GATAGTATGAGTAATTTTTGAGCTGATCAGCGACACGCAAACATGGGTGGAAGAGGAACGAGCGATGAAGAGGAAACGGAAGAGAGCGCAGAATAGGCGCCCAGCGTTGCGGAGCCTCGTGTTCACAGATCGTGATCTCGACGCGTCTCCGCGTGCCGCCGAGTTCTCTGTCTCTTCGCCTCCTCCCCGCGCGACCGTTTCCTCTCGCGCGCCGCACTCGTGGAGTGCTGCACTGAGCACAGGCTCCTCCGCTGCAGGTCAGTCTTCTCATTTTCAGTGTTAAGACTAGGGACCCCAATCCTGTGTGTCTACATGTACTGACTGAGATTCCGCCGAACCTGCTTTGTCATATTGCATGGCATCGCAGAACTTCGAGGATTGCATGTACCGGAATATCACTCGCACCGTGCCACAGCGCTCTGGGCCTCATTCGGATGTAGGCGCTGCGGATGTGCCGTGATCTGCACGTTCATCGTGGGATGAACTCGCTTATGTACCGAGGTGTTACCGGTTGGCCGTTGCGGTGAACCCTGCACATACTAGTAGGTATAGGACAAGAATGAAAGATATACATACTCTTTCACTGTGTGGACCTTACTTACTGAGGCTACAATGCTGTCTTGGAAAACATTCAAGACATCCTCGTATCCTCAGGCCAGTAATGACCTCATGCCGGTGGGAAGCATTTGCCCGCGAGGGTCTCACGTCTCGGCTCGCGCGTATTGGTTGTCCGTGCCAAGTGTTGATGGCCGATCTATACTGAGATCTCAATTCCGTGAGTTGTCCTCACAACTCAGGATGCTCAGTGTGAGGAATCTGTTCATAAGAGGGGGCATGAGGTGGTGATGTGCCAGTGAGGAATAAGAAATGCCACTACAGCAGGACCTCAGGACTGTGCAAAGCAAGACCTTAGTTGTTGAAGCCACTGAGCCAAGCATCAGGAAGAAGTCAAGCACCGGAGATAGGCAGGGGCTGCAGTCATTGCCGAAGGAAGCCCGGTGGTCTGAGGCCAGAAAATGAGAAAGTCGTGTGAATGTATATATCACAGCAGGCCATCCCTCTTTGGTAAGACACCATTATGCCTCCACGTAGTCTGTCCCTTCTCTCGAAGCATCATCATTCAGGCAACTTCCATGGTAATGTCCTCCCTCCTGCTTTGTTGGCAACACTAACACAGACTCACAGTTGCGAGCCACGACTCGCAGACCACCAACAGTGTCAATTCGGACAACAGGGATCCACAGTAAGTCAATCCTCTCATTGCACGGTCACTCACTAAGGCTCGCACACAGGACTCGCTGCTCACACTTACACCGCTGGCATATGTACCGCACCAATCGGACGCACGGAGCCCACGCATCTCTCACTCGCGCCTCGTCGGGTGGATTGTCTGCCCCGTGCAGTACACAGGCCGACGGCGTAGACAAGCACCGTTGCCCGGTGGTCGAGGGCGCACGCGATTCACATAGACGTACGTGCAGGTCTTTCTCGTCCTGACTGCTCGGGCTCACACTATGCATTTCCAGTCAGTGCCGCAGCCGTCGACGGTGCATAGGAACGGACTCCACGTCATTCGAGGCTCTACCAGCATCCGAAGCCTGAGTGCATATCCGCGCGACAGACGGGACATCGTTCGTAAGGTCCGGTACGTCGGACGCGCCCTTGCAGACTCGAGACACATTGCTCATAGCGGTCCGTGCCAGGTGCCGAGACGCAGCCATAGGAAACTATCCATGACGCTCCAGCGCGCGGGCGATTCGCGCCGTTGCGTCAGGATGCGCGCGTCGAAGGACCAGGCAACGAGCGGACGCCTCTGCTCTTGGCTGAATCGGGCGCGTAGCCCTCGTCATGTCTGGCGAGGCAAGTCCATTGATTATGCCTACCTGACTTCCTGCTAACGCGTCTACGGTAGCAGCTCCCGGCGAGGCGTGCTCCTATGCAACCACGCGACCCTCGATCGACGTCCGGCGGGCAAGACCGATCATGCCGGTGCCCGGGCATGCATTGCGCCCCACTCGTCTGCCGCACCGGTACGTACCTGTGCTTCGTGTCGCACGCACGTCTGACCTGCTTGACACAGTCACCACGTATCGCGTCCCGGCGAGCAGCCTCGGCGACCAGGGTATGAGTCATGTCTCGAGGTCGACCCATGCACGACATCAATCCGCACAGGTCGCATACTCGGTGGCGGGTCGACGGTACGTACCTGTGTCTCGCAGTCTGCGCTCCGCTGACCCGGTCCGTTCGACAAAGTCACCATATATCGCGTCCCGGCGAGCGACCCTACGGACACGACGTGGTAGCTAGTCGGCTCGCGCAGAAAAGAGCCTGCCCACGAGAAACGCAGGACAGAATCCGGCGCCCCACTCGTCTGCCGCGTGGGCAGGTCGACGGTGAGCAGATGCCTCTTGCGAGCACTCTCGCTGCTGACCGTGCGCGATCGACAAAGTCGCTATGCATCGTCTTCCGACGAGGGCCGTGCCGTGGTCCCGCAGGACGCGCCTCACGATGCCTTCGTGCAGGACAGCTTGCACCCTGCTCGTCTGCCGCGTTGGAGGCTCTTGTGCAGGCGGTGCGTCTTCCACTTGTCCTCGTCTCCGCGCTGCTGAGCCGGTGCTACAGTGTCCGTTCGATGCGTCGCGCCCCGGCGAGCGGCCCCATGGACGATCCGGCAGCGAGTCGGCGAGCGGCGGAGGAGAGCATTGCCGACTACCACTATCCGCGACGCGGTCCGGCACCCTATTCGTCTGCCGCGTTGGCAGGTCCAGGATGAGCACATGCCGCCGCAGGCTGTGCTCAGCTGACGCAGATCGCGTTCTGGCGAGCGCCCTCGGAAGGCGTCCGGGTGACTGGTGGGGAAGCCGACTCTCGGCGGGAGTGTTTTGCGGGGCCGTGCAGAATGCACCCTACTCGTCTGGCGCGTTGAGGAGTGGTACGTCTTCGACCTGCGCTGCTCTGCTCGTGGCTGAGCGGATGGTACAGTGCCCGTTTGACGACGACACCATATATCGCGTTCCGGCGGCGCGCGAGACGGGGAGCAGCGCATTCCATGGACACGCCGGCGATGCGCGCAATGTAGCGTCGTGGGGCTTTGCTCGCGGAGTCGGTGGTCAGTAATGACTCAGGCTGGCGGCTCACCCTGTTCGACAATGTAACCACGTATCGTTTTCCGGCGAGCGGCAGCTGGTCCCGCGCAGATGGGCAGCCACGGGGCATGCCCGCGAAGGACGGAGTCGCCCGGGACAATGGTGTGTTGCGTGTTTTCGTCGCGCCGATCGACGTTGTCGGCATGCATTGCGTCCCAGCGCGGCGTTCCGGTACGCGTCAGCCAGTAAGAGGGCCGCATAGGTGGTCCATGGCGTCCCGCGGACTGTGGGCCCCGAACGTGCATCGGGCGCGGTCGTCAGAGAGCTGACGAAGGAGTGCGGTGTGGCAGGCGGGGGACGGAGACTTGTAGAAATCCCCTGAAGACGAGGACGCGCGTCAAGTCGAGAGCAGCGGGGACTTCTGGTATATCGAGTATACCCCGTTCGAACGCGTGAAGACCTGCTACGTACATGCGAACTATGTAGCTACTCCGATCACGTGCAGTAGGCGCTACACCCCATATTCCGTCACACCCCCTCGACTACTGCACAGAGCATCATGCAGAATGTATGTCAATAGTAAATGCTAAGGCGAAATGCACCCCCTGATTCCAATCAAAGAACATGCCCAGGCAACCGAAGGCTCCCAATCTCAATCGTCCCGTAGTCCCTCGGTGGAACTTGAAGTTGCGAGATGTCATGCACAGCTGTCATGGCGGCTTCATTCTTCGAAGGGTTAGGACTGCTGCCTCGAACCGGCTCCTCGCGACAGAATGCACGAATGTGCCCCTGCTTCCCACATCTCCAGCACGTTGGCATACCTCCCGATGAACCTCCCGAACCATAGCCTTCCGCCCCGTTCCCTGAATCCCCACCCCCTGATCCTCGCCCTCGACCACTCCCATTCTTCGACTGAGCTATGTAAGCACCGTCCGTACGTTTCGTGTCAGGCTTGTGGCCACCGCGCCGCATCTCTTCGCTGATCAGCCGATCAATGACATGACTGAGCGTGAGTTGGTCGGACGGCGTAGCGTCCAGCGAAATAACGAAGGGTTCGTATGACTCATCGAGTCCGTTCGTAAGCGTGAGGATGCGATCTTCATCAGTCACCTGAATTCCAGCCTTCTCCATTCGAAAGGCAAAAGCCTTCACTCGCCCAATCCACGCCGCCATAACCTCATCCTCCTTCCGGAATCGCATGAACTGCCTCCGAAGTGCCAACCGGGTTGCGAACCCACGCGCAACGTGAATCTGCGCAAGGTGGTTCCAGATCTCCATCGGATCCCGACTTTGCATGTGCGACAGTTGACCATCCTCCACCCTTGCAATCATCTCCGCCCGAGCCTCCGCCATCTTCGCCTTCGACCGTGCATCAACCAATTTCTTCCACCATGCCTCCGTCTCCCCCATCGGCAACGCAGTCGGCGGTTCTGCGTCAATCACGACAACACCCGTCCACAACTTCTTTCGGATGAGGTCAGCCTCCATCCGGGTAGCCCACTCCGCATAATTGGTGTCGTTTAGGGCCGTAAAGTTGTTCTTCGTGAGTTCGATCGACATTCCGAGAGGAGGGCGACAACAATCCAGCAAACGAGCAAACAGACAGACAGACAACCAGGTGTTTAAACCAAAAACGGGCAACACGGGTAGTGATATACGCGTTCGTGTAGAAATCCCCTGAAGACGAGGACGCGCGTCAAGTCGAGAGCAGCGGGGACTTCTGGTATATCGAGTATACCCCGTTCGAACGCGTGAAGACCTGCTACGTACATGCGAACTATGTAGCTACTCCGATCACGTGCAGTAGGCGCTACACCCCATATTCCGTCAAGACTCACCATGTAGAGACGGCCGCACGCAGGACGGAGGGCAGACCGTACGCGTCCATGGCCAAGAGTTGCGACTTGGGGGCGAGGGCAGAGCGATGCGACGGTAGGCACGCGCGCACCGATACTGACATGCGCTGCGAGTGTCCCTGCGGGGAGGGGGACGTATGTCGGTAGAGTCGATTTCTGTAATTTGGGTAATGGGACAAGGCACTTTTTTTCGTTCTCCAGCCAATCCGCGCCCTCGCATTGGCATATGCGCGGCGTGCCATTGGTCCGGAGGCGGTGGATGTGCGGTGAGACGAGGGCGAGAGCGAGAGATGCATCCGTGCACGGGCGCCTGCTGTCGCGTCCCGGCGCGTCATCCGTGTGCTTCCCTGCCGCCACGACTGCCACCTCGATCGACCTCCTCCGTCCCCGCCGCCATGCATGCCGCGCGCAGACCGTCGGGCGAGGGAGGCAGGAGAGGCCCTCGGCACAGCCCGACAGAGGCGAAGCGGTGCGTCTATTCGTGCAGCGCCCTTGTCTGCAGCCAGTACTTATACCACCTGCTCGTCGCAGGCGGCGTCCTCCACAGCCCTCTCACCGTCACCGAACCCGCGACATCGCAGCACGTCCGCAAAGCCGAACAGAATGAGCCCCACCCCAGCGACGGTGCCCTGCCAGGCAAGTTCCTCTAATGCCTGCCTTGCGGCGACCGCCCTGACACCTCGAGAACCTCTAGTACCGCACTGGGAAGACTCTGGGCAGTGGAACGTATGCCATTGTCAAGGAGGCTGTTCACATCAAGACGGGGGAGTACTATGCGTGCAAAGTGATCAACAAGAAGCTTATGGAGGGGCGGGAGTACATGGTGCGCAAACATTCTCCTCGCTTTGCGGATCGGGGCAGTTCGTGATGCCCCACTGCGCGGTGCAACCGGACGAGTTTGACTGATGATGGTTCTTTGTGCGCGATCCTAAGGTGCGGAACGAGATCGCAGTGTTGAAGAAGGTCTCAAGAGGCAACCCCAACATCGTTACGCTTCACGACTACTTCGAGGTGAGTTTCGTCCCCTTCTGCTCACATTCCTCCGCGTCCGCCGGCTAGACAGTCCGTGCGTTCGCACGTTTGTGTCTTGGCCAGGATGACGCATTGGCTGGCTCGAGTCCAAGCCGATTTCGGGCGACTCTCTTCTGGTGTTTAGCGCCGATTGCATGCTCGGCGTACGTGAGTCCTGCCATGAGGCTACCCACCGCCAGACTTGCCGAATGTCGGTCGGTCTGTCCGATTCATGGTTGACGATGCATGATCTGCGCGTCTGCCGTATTGTGTAGCTGTGGCAGGTACCAAAAGTCCACCGATAACTACGTCCGATGGCTGAAGGCCTCCGAGACGTAAATTCCCGGCTAGTCTTGCCGCTGCCTACGTCCAGACACCAGGGTGCCCCAAACCTATCGATGTCTAACCGGTTGTATTTGCTGACATCATTTCCAGACATCCCACAATCTGTACCTGTGTTTCGACCTTTGCACGGGCGGTGAGCTTTTCGATCGGATATGTGCGAAGGGAAATTACTACGAAGCGTGAGTCCTGGTCGCGTTTCCGCTCCAATCGCTGAGATGTACCCGCTAGCGACGCTGCCGAGCTGGTGCGGACGATCATGGGCGCCGTGAAGTACATCCACGGCTGTGGTATCGTACACAGGGGTAAGCTACATCGGTACCAATCCCGAGCCATGTGGCTCACCGGGTTTCCCAGATTTGAAGCCCGAAAACCTGCTGTTCAGGACGAAGGACGAGGACGCAGACATCATGATCGCAGACTTTGGTCTCAGTCGTGTTATGGAGGACCATCTGCTCACGGAGGTCTGTGGTACGCCGGGGGTGAGTCAGACACGAACGATACTGGATATATTTGACTGATGGATTTCGCAGTACATGGCCCCGGAGATTTTCAAGAAAAGTACGAGGGTTGGGGTTCATGTATAGGACTGTACGCTGACACTCTTCCAGCTGGCCACGGCAAGCCTGTCGATGTCTGGGCCATGGGTGTCATCACCTACTTCCTCCTCTGCGGTACGTCACCTCCGCCTCTCACACTCTGCTTCATTTAACTTTTCGCCAGGCTACACGCCCTTCGACCGCGACACGCAGCAGCAAGAGATGGAGGCGATCCTCGCGGGCGACTACAAGTTCGAGCCGGACGAGTACTGGCAGAACGTCTCCCAGCCCGCGCGCGACTTCGTCGCCTCGTGCCTCACGATCGACCCCGCCGCACGCCCGACCGCGGAGGAGGCGCTCCAGCTCCCGTGGCTCGCGGCCGCGACGCCGCACTACGTGGCCGACCCCGAGAGCCCGCACGGCGGGCCGAAGGACCTGTTGCCGCAAGTGAAGAAGGCGTTCGACGCGAAGAAGACTTGTGCGTTGCCTTCCGTGCTCTTTCGTGTGGCGTGCTGACCGTGCCATCGCAGTCCGGAAAGCGGTCCTCTCCATGGTGGCGATGCGCCGGATGTCGACGCTCGCACACACGCATACGCTCGATCCGCAGATCGGCGGCAAGAGCCTGCGGCAGCTCCTCGAAGAGTCCGAGAAGGTGCGTGTGCGCTCACTTCACGCTGATGTTTCCGATGCTTACCCCGCGTTCGCAGGAACACGTCGACGGCGAGCACTCTGTCATGCACTTCGACAGCAGCTCGTCCGAAGGCGGCAGCCCCGGCGGTGAGGAGCACGGCACGCTCGTGGACGCGCTCTCGTCCGTCAAGCTCTCGACTGCTGCGAAGTAATGACGATTGTTCGGGTCGTAGCAGTTACGGGAGTATGCAGACCGGCGTTGGATTGCTGTCTGAGTGACATTCAACTTAGTGGTAGATTTATGTAGGATACGGCAGACCTGCTGAGTAGTGTTCGATAGTGCATCGTCGGTTGTTATCTAACGCGAAGTGATAATGTGTTATGAGATACCAAGGTTATCCATGCTATATGGCAGTCGAACTGCAGATCCACGCAAGTCCAAAGGAGTTGACGATGATGGAACTTCCTACACAGCGTCGACGAGGATGAGCGATTTGTTCAGAGTTATCTGCATATGGTTACGGTATAATAACTGCGACCAGATCTGACTTAGACATCCTGGGTGCTACTGTCATCGTGCTGCATCAACTGTTCCATGATCCTATACAGAGATAAGTAGCGGTGGGCGACTGGCTCCCTCAAGAAAGCCGTGGCTGTGGCAGCGATAGTCGCCCCTGGTCATCGTGACCGCTTCATGTCGACTTTGGACAGGGTACTATCAGTGTCTTCGAGTTCATCGAACTAGCCATCTGTCTTGTACTTTCCTAAGAGCAACGAATGAGCATAAGGGATGATCGATGAAGGCGTATCACGACACAACTGACCCAGTTACTAGTAGTCGCCTGACGGCCTCTGCAGGATGGTCCGTGCCCACCATGCTACCAGACTATGTCTGTCTCGACCTATGAGTCGCATGCGGATGAGGAAATTGAATGATAACTATCGCAAGAAACACAATCCACCTGTGCGACCACATCGTCTATCTTAGCCACTAGAATGACCATGAATTCCTCCAAGTCGGCCACCGACCGCGGGCCGCAGTGGCTGCATTTCGCCGCTTCACTCAAGGCTGCCGCGGCGTAATTGAAGAAAATGAGCTCTAGGGCTTTCCCACAAGGCCTACTTCGTAATCCGTTTCGGCAACAACTCATATGTAACTGGAACCACCATGCCCGAGGTGACTTGTAAATATTGTCCTTGAATGTCACTGGGCCGTGAGTGACGTGGACTTGACACAGGTCGTTGGTGCAAGTCAACCAGCACCATCTATTCGAATCGATCCAGGTGCTGTCGCCGAAGACGCTGACATCGATGGCCACAGCGCACCGGTCGCGGTAGTCGAGGAAGGACAGGTAGGCGGAAGCGCTTATGTGCTGGAAGTCCACCACTCGCTTCAACTTGGCCGTGGGGGCGATTAGATTGAGACATGCATTGAGGGCTGCCTTGATAACCTTGTCCGGCAGCTGGTGGCGGACTGCTATGGCATAGACCTGTATGGGCGACCTTTCGGCGAAGGACACGAGCCTTTCGCCTAGAAAGTTCAGCGCGCTATCCATGGCATACTTCTTCGCTGCGTCCAGCAGGGTGACGGCCTGGTCCAGCGTCCGCAATGGCATTTCACTAGCGGGGTAACACAGACGCAACAAACCCTCCAGGGTGCGACTGTCTTCCGTCATTGGGACCACGGGGAGACTGCCGGCTGGGTTTTGCGGCGCAGGGAGCGTGAACATGTCCTCGAACACGGGAGATGCCTCCGCGAGAAAGGCCTTCCGCACGCGGAAGTTCATACCATCCGACGAACGGAGGATGAGATCGGCGGTGGGCTTATTGAAGGGTGCTGGCGCGTCGGTCGTAGGGGGTACTGTCTGTGCGGCGTCGACGGTACTCGTTGAATCAGGCTGCAACGACACTGCGGCGAGCTGGTCAGGTACAGTACCGAGTATACGAAGCATAGCAGAGGCTCATACTCACTCTCGTATCAGATATTTAATGCGCGACGAGGCTGCAATTGTGAGACACGACTATGGTTGACGACTCGGAGACGTACGAGGCTCGTTTGCTCGCGGGCATTGGTGGTCCCGACTGATTACGTAAGCTACCCAGGAATGACTTTCCCACCCGTGCCAGAGTGCCTAGCACCTTCCCGCTGCATTCAGACTGGTGTCTATGAGCCTTGTATACGTTTGAAGCCGTGTCCTCGATGCATACTACACGCAAAAACGGTCATTTTGGGAAGACATATTTTAAGCGCCGGGATAATAAACACATCAGACGGTTGTGGTTGAAAACCACCTAAGTACTCGTCTGACGTCCAGAAAGTGACATCCCCAGCAAACTTGACGGCTTCATGTCATCTGCTGAGCGGGGCACTGTATATGGTGCAAGGAGACCAATCGAACCAGCCGCCTGGCCTGCACGATCTAAATACCAACGACCCGGAATGAGGACGAGGATCAATGCTATGTCGACACAACTGACTCACAGCGGTCATCTGGTGGTCGTGGCAGGGTCTGCAGTGACTACCATTCCATGTCTAATTCCACCTATGACAAGTGTACGTGAGTGGGATTTCTGAACCAGTCATCGTTTAGAGCGTGATCACTCACCTGTGCGACCGCATTGTCTACCTCAGCCATGAGACAAACCACAAATTGATCCAGTTCAACTGGGGCACGAGAGGCACACCTGCCACAGCTCCCGGCGTCCTTGAGAGCCTCGGCTATGCAGCTTCGAGGGCGAGGATCTTTCCGTACGGGTTTGTCTTCACCAGGCCTCGACAGCGTCCCATGAATTGTACCCACCATACTCGAGGGAGTTTGGATACACCATTTCCAAACGTATCATATCTCACATGACATTGGCAGCATATAAATGTCTCGAGCCAGCACCATCTATTCCCATCAATCCAAGCGTAGTTGTCAAAAACGCCCGTGGCAGCGACAACACAGCGCTCGCGGTACTCGATGAGGCACATGAGGGCAGAAGCGCTGATATGTCGAAGGTTTGCCAATTTCCTCAATTCGTTGTTTGGGATGGTCAACGCAAGGAACGCCTGTGCGGCGGCTTTTGCCACCTCCGGCAGTTCGTGGCGGACAGAGAGTACGTAAACTTGTACCGGTGAGGTTTCGGCGAAGGACAATAGCTTTTGATATAGGAAGTACTGGGCGCCATCCATAGCGTACTTCTTTGCTGCATTCAACATGGCAGATGTTTGGTCCAACGTCTGCGATGGCATGTCGTTGAAGGGGTAACACAGACGCAACAACCCCTCCAGGGTGCGACTGTCTTCCGTCATTGGGACTACGGGGAGGTTGTTGGGCGACTCGGCAGGGTCCTGCGGCGTAGGGAGCATGAACATATCCTCGAACACGGGAGATGCCTCTGCGAGTATGGCCTTCCGCACGCGGAAGTTCATGCCATCTGACGAACGGAGGATGAGGTCGGCGGTGGGTTTATTGAAAGGTGCTGGTGCGTCGGTTGTAGGGGGTACGACCTGCGTGGCGTCGACGGTGCTCGAATCAGATTGCGACGACACTGCAGCGAGCTGATCAAAAACGGGATCTACGAAATGCAACAGGAGTGACTGACTCTCGTATGGTTTACGGTACCTGGTGCGCGACGAGGCTGCGATTGTGGGAGACGACTGAAGCTTGCGGCTTGAACGTTGACCACGATGGTGAACAAGGGACACGTATGTGGTGCGTGAGACTGCGATGCAATAAGGTTGGCCGCCTCGTGTCGACCTCAAGCGAAGAGGCCGAACGACTTCGATCACTGACGCTCAGTGTCGACTTGGAGGAGCTTTATTCCCATATCCGCCCAATACGAAGACAAGTGTATGATGAGAGCCGGGAGCGATCTGACGACGCACCTTGTGGACAGCAAATGAGGCCGATGCCTCTGCTCTGAAGCGACGTCCTACGTGTTCGTCACCACACATACCCGCAAGCCCCGTCGACCCCAACATGGTTGGGATAATGACAAGCATGTCAGCGATGCTATGAGTACTTCCTTCGATTATGTACCAGACGCAATATATGCTCGTCCCGCACATGCAGGTATTCTACCCCGTGCCCGACGGCCCATGCCAGTCTCGCTCCGCTCGTCGTCATGTTGAATGCGAGTGTGGGCCGTTGCCTCTGCGGTTTCCTACAGCACCGCTCAAAGCGAAGCAACAATCTAGTTTGGAAAATGAATGTCAAGTCGCCCACAGGTGTCACTGCGCCATACCTTAAGTGTCGAGCGTCATCCACTTCACGCCGCCTGTGCTGCGGCGGGTTGTATCTCGGCTTGCTTCGAAGCTTGCAGCTTTTCCCGCACCATCACTCGTATCCGCATGCCCTCCCATCCTAGCAACTCGTGCCGCGTGTTGAGAACGTACTTGTCGATCCCTCCGTACTAAGACACGCCATAGGGTCAACATAAACGACGACGGTCACGCAGTGGGCATTCGACGCACCTTCTTGATCGTCTTCAACGCACACGTGGACACCTGCACTCGCACGAACTGTTGCAGCGCGTCGGAGAAGAACCGTTTGTTGTGGAGGTTCGGCAACCACGACCGCCGCGTTTTGTGCAGGGAGTGCGGTACGTTATTGCCATATTGCTTGGTCTTTCCGTGAAAAAGACCAAGTTGTGACCGCTTGAATGGTACACTGATGGCGTCCTTGAGCAAGGGCAAGGAGGCGAACATGGCGGATAGCGGACGAACAGACTGGTGCATTAAGCGCGCGACGAAGATCGCCAGCACTATGTACCCGGTTTCCTAATTCGGAGGTGCTTTACTTCGATCCAACCTCCTCCGACTGAGTACAGTCTGAGTTCTCTTCGAGTCTTTCAACCTCTTGAAGTTTCACTGCCAGTGTGAATCGGTGCGGCCTTCGAAGCGTTCAACTCAGTTTTATGCCGTACAGGGCACTGGGCGTCGTCGCAGGCCTGCTGCCGCAGCGCACGGCCCAGTGACGCGGGCGCGACAACTTACAAGAACGTGGTGAAGGTGGCCGCCTCAGACTGACATATACTGGAATCCGATATACATGCGAAGGGTGAGTACTTAATATGTATGGCTGAGTTCACTTCTGTAAGCGCAGGGCATCAGAAATACAAGGCCTTCATTGACGCCCTACAACGTCGCAATACACTCTACTGCACACAACACACATTTACGCCCTACAACCAGTTACAACCAGAACGTACAACCGCCTAATTCGTGACCCGTCGCAAAGGCAGCATTCCGAACCGGCCCTCTCAGACGTACTTGACAGTGACGCTGCTGGAGCCGGTAGAGACAGAGGTAAGGACCTTGTTGTTCTGCTTGATGTCGATGATCGTCGCGCCCGACGGGCCAGTGGAGCCCGAGCCCGTCGACGCGGACGCGCCGGTAAAGGTGACTGTGCCGAAGTCCGCGAAGGGCACGAGCGAGCTGCCCTCCTCGTAGTCCTCGACGATCCACTCCGCGTTCTCCTCGCAGAGCGCGCTCGACGACGTGATCGACTTGGACACCGTCTTTCCCGTGCTCACGTTCTCGATCACGGCCTTGCCGGCCGTGGTCGAGGAGGCGGTGACCGTCAGCTTGACGGTGTCGCCCGAGCTGAAGCTGATGCCGGAGAAGTCGTACGCGTAGTCGGGGTACCACTCGTACCAGGCTGTCGAAGCGTACGCCGTCAGCTTTTGCGCTCGCGCAGACTGTGATGTAGTTAACGTACCATCGTACGAGACGGAGCCACCGTCCACGGTGAAGTCGACGCCGGTTTGAAGAATGGCGTTTCCGCAGGTGTCGCCGTCAATGCCGACCCAAGCAGAGGCAGAGTAGGAGCCAGAGCCACCCGAGGGAGTAGACGGCGTGGGCACAACGAAAGTACCCGTAACGGACTTGAAGGTGCCCTGTAATCACAAGGTAAGCCTGATGGTGCTGAACGATGGTTGCCAACACGACGTACTGAGCTCTTCTCCCACACGGCGCCGGCCCAGTTAGAACTATACGAAACTTGCGAAACGTTGCTGAGCTCCTCCGGCTGCTCGACGAGCTGCATGGGGCGCGACATGTGCGAGCCCTCAGCGCGCCGCGCCAGACGATCCGCGAGGCGGCCCTTGGGGGCAGCTACGGCGGCGGTGGCGAGGAGGACGAAGCTGAAGAAGCTGGAGGCGAACATCTTCACGCAGGATGCAGGACGGGAGCGGGAGCAGGGGTGCGTCGACTCGAGAGACTTGTCAAGACCGAGGGCAACCTGGCGAACGTAGTACTGCTTGCCATAGCTTTATACCTGCAGCTGATGGAGCGCATGGCGCACAGCTTGCTGAATGCTGCTCATCGCCAGCTCGCCATATGATGCCTCAGCGCTCAGCCTTGGCAAGGAGCTGGTGCAAAGGTACGCGGAAGCAGTCTCCCCTCCTGCGGCACGACGTGATTTTGGTCGCTCGAGGCAACCACAACGGGAAGACACCAACCGGTGGTAGTTCCTAAAAAGACCGATAGGACCTAGAGCATGAGAGCCACGCGCATCACGTTGACAGAACCACTGGGTCGACGGCGCAACATGCATCCAGGAGGAAGATGGACAACTAGGGCAACAGCTTCCTCCCAGGATCTACGGGACTCATAATGATGTGTACCGAAGTCAAGATTAATCCACTCACATGCTCTGGGGCATCATGCGCGACGCACGCAGGGGATCACGACGAGGGCCGTCGGCCCCGATAACAAGCAACAGAACTGCTGATGGAGTCGTTGCCCGCATGAAACCGATGCATATGGTCTTCCGCCGATAAGACTGCACAATTGTGATCCCGCCTTCGGCGTCGACCGTTATGCTCGGGGAATGAACAGTACAGCGTGGAAGTGTGAATTGCATCATGCTTCTGCAGGGAATGCCCTGAACTTGGCCTATGTAGTCTTCGTGAGTGCTCACGACATTCGAAGGCAGTAGTCAAGCATGCCTCACGGTCCTCACACGATCCCCGGCTTCTCTCTCCTGCCGAGCAGGTACATACCTGGTCGAGCATCCACGGTGTTCTGAGAACCGCGCATTAGCAATCGTCCGTACCGTTCTAGGCCGTCACCGGGCAAGAAAGGTTTTGGGTGCGGGCAGGTAGACGATTCAGAATGGGCGCCGCGAGCGGACGACCCCAAGCGATATCATTTTGAAGTCAGCCGCCGTTTGCAGAGCCACAAAGCAGACGTGTTCGAGGTGCCAGTTTGGCCTCTGTCAAAGTCGTCGAGGGGCCCCACAGTTGCGCAGTGAAGGAAGGAGAATTTGCTTCTGCCTTGGGGAACCAATCAGCGAGGCAAGCGGACCGCCGGCAAGAGTATTAGCGTGATCTTAAATAGCGCAATGGATCGTCGTTGGATCGTCGATAGGCGACTTGAGGCTTTTTGGCTCACTCCTCGCACGAAGCACAATTGCCTGCGCGGGCAATGCCATATGGTCATCTGTGATTGCGTGATGAGTAGACAACATCGAGATAGATCTGTAACCTACGTGAAAGCACGTCGCGTTACATGATGGTGAAAGGCGGTCCCATTGGGCATGTACGGTCTGAGGAGACGAACGCGACCCCACGAAGGACTCACCAGGCGGTATGTACGACGACAAGGCGTGGACGACACCGGATCCAACTGACACGGACGACACAATTATGCCAGGACCACACGACAACGGCGCCGTATCGTAACATTACATGAACCTAGAATAAGGCAGCCTGGGGCATGCAAGCTGTGAGTAGGCCGCTGGACAGAGCAACACTCGGTCACACCTGTGTACCGCTCACCACTTGATCTCCGTCTGTGGCTCCTTGTCCATACAAATGCTCAGCTCCCAGTCGCTGACGCGCTTCGCCCACCGATACATCTTCACGCCGCCATAGCCTCCTCTCGGCCCCCGCATCTCCTGCAATATCTCCATAAAGACCTCAGGATTGTCGTTGAGCAGGAAGTACGCATCGACGGAGCGCTGCCTGTCATACGCCATGATGCTCGACGGTGTGTTGCCGAGCGACGCCTGCAGCTTCACGAGGAAGAGCCGATTGCCGTGCGGGTTCGGCGGGATGACAGAAGCGTCCAATTTGCGGACGGCGTTCCGACCGTCACTAGTGCGCGAACTGTGCTTGTTGAACGAGGCTGCATACATGCCCTCCAAGCCCGGTAAGACGGTCACGAATCGCGCGGTGTGCCAGGTCCCACCATTCAGTGCTCGGCAAACGCGTTTGTGGTTAGGCCAGTCCGCCTTTTGGCAGTCTGGGTTAGAAGAATTAGCGCGATGTATGCGCACAGAACGAGGAGATACGCACCACTGCTACAGTACGCAACCGACTGACATTGCGAACAGCGACTCGTAGTCTTTCTCCCACACAGAACGCAGCCCGTATCGTTGTTGAGCTTGCCTACGTCCTCGAAACTGAGCGGACCAAGCGGGAGCAGGAACGAGACTTTGAAGTTCTGCTCGGAAGACTCCTTCTTAGGCTTGTATGTACTCGACAGGAGTTTGGCGTTGATCGCTAAGATTTTCAGCAAGAGCTTCTGCTCGAGAGCAGTGCATTTGATATTGACCAGATATCCAGGCGAGTCCTGCTTGTCTTGCATTTGGTGCAGCCATTGCAGACCCTCCATCACGGTCGCCCGAGTGACAGACTGGTAGAGCAAGATGATCACTGGTGTATCCTTGTCGAGCTCCAAGACAGACAGCAGCTGTAAGTCTGATCTGTAAGCACTGAAAGACTGACATGCAACCGAGCGACATACTCGTATGTTGATGGCGCACTGCTCTGAATCAGGGTCCTGCAAGACCATCCACCGGTGTCCCTCATCCCACCACCTCGCGATACCCATGAGCGTCTGTCGAGCGTCGAGCATCGGGTTCTTGTACAATTCTGCCTCCTTGCCTTGCAGCTTTGCCTGATAGTTTTGTTGAGCCTCGTGGAAGTTACCCCGCCTCACGCCCTCGTACACTTCGTGCCCCGATGGCCATGCTGATAAAGTAGCGGGGTTCAGCGGAGGATCCGGCAGCACGTTTGAGACGAACTGTGCGCCGTTCAGGGCTTGTCTGAGCCGCTTCTGCAAAGCTTCATCTGGCAACTTGGTAGCGGGAGGCAGCTCGACACCCATTCCCGACAGGATAGCCAAGGTCTCCTGGCGAGACAGAGAGTCCATATTGGGCTAGAGCGACGTCGATCTTCAAGCTTCAGGAGTTCTGTAGATATCGAAACGGTACAGAGTGAGTGGCAGTCGCGGATGACTCGATGACCGGGCTTCGAGTCGGGTCGGCCGCGGGATTCAAAAACGCGGTCACGTTACTGTAACCATTTGCTCGAGACGCGCCTGTCGTCTGGCCAATTTCCACTGTTCAGCCTGCGAGCATATATATCGCGATACTGTCGATTCCTCGTCTTCTCACTTGCTTCTCACCATCCCTACGTGGAAATCAGTCGAGTGCAACTCGTGGTAACTTGCTCGACTGCTCACCACGAAGCTATCAAGTAGTATACATGGCATGGCAGAGTATTCAAGCTGGAGGTGCCTGGCGCGACGGGTCCACGCAGTGCTCAAAGGGCCCATCATTAGTACTCAGGTCACACTTGCAATTTCCTAGACTCGTTTACGCTCTGTTGTCAATGTGCTGCTCGCGCATGCAATTGTTAGTACCAAGTCTCGTTCTAGAGTCCATGCACATCCATTCCATAGTTGTACAATCACACGGTCTTGCTCTGGGAGATGGCCTTAAACTCGTTATCAAACTCTTCCATGGCATCGAGAGTCTCCGAGAGATGGCGATATCCGAGCTTCTCTCCACGGCTCTGCGCGAGCGAGGTCGCAGTCCTGGTAGCGTTCTTGATCTGACGCCCGTTCACCTCTCGGCTGACGAGATTGTCTAGCTCGTCCGCCGTGAGGTCCGCCGAGTCCACTTTCAGAAGGAAAGCCTGCCAGATCTTGTACTTGGCCTCCTTGCTCAGCTCTTGGAAGCGGAGAGCAACGTGGATGCGAGACAAGAAGGCTTGGTCGAAGGCCTTGACCCTGTTCGTAGTGAGAAACAGGATGCCGCGGTAGTACTCGACGTGCCGCAAACTAACACAAAGGCGAATCAGGAAGGCACTTCTCAAGGATGAGAGGTGACATACAACACTGCGACCATGGCATTGCGTGACAGGTCGTTCATAGCGCGCTGCTCTAGAAACACATCGGCCTATGCCCACGACATCAGTACGGCTTGGGCTAACGAGCTACCACCAAGCGGATCTACCTCGTCTATGAGCACGATGGCCCTCCAGCGCGCGGCCATACTGAAGACCCTCTTCAAATTGGCGTCGACAGCGTCCGCGGACTCCCCGAGGTCCCCACCTCCAATCATGTACAGCGGTCTCCTGAGGTGCTCGCTAGTAGCCTCCGCGGACAGAGTCTTGCCGACTCCGGGAGGGCCGAAGAGGTTTATGACGAGACCTTGTCCCTTGCCTTTGACGAAATCGTCGAAGTTCAAGTTAGAGTTGTGTGCTTCAACGAGAGATCGCAGGAGGTCTCTTCGATTACCCGATAGGACGAGGTTCGTGAACGGCTCATTGGACCATTCGATAGGTTGGACTTTCTCGACGTTCAATTTGACTAGTGTACGCGAGTCAGTACTGGCGTTCTGCATAGATGCATGTATCAAGGACTCACGCCATAGCTTGTCAGACAGGCTGAACCCGTACAACACTGGCGAGGCGAGAATTAGTTCATCGTCTGCCATGTGCTGATCCTGCGGGCTAGCCTTCTCATCGTAATGCAAATCGACCTGGGTGTCTACTTCCGAATGCGAGATAACTGACCCCTCTGGGGTGGTGGGGTCTTCCACTGCGACAATGACCTCAGGCATCGCCTGCTTGGGGTTATGGTGCTTGAAGGCGCCTGGTGTGATCCCGAGTCAGATCGTCTACAGTCGTAATAGCATTAAGTGCAAAGTTGTTACCTCGGTCGATCATCACCCTGGAGTCAATCTTGTCGAAGCGTGTCAGCCATTACAGTCAGTATTACAGGCACTGACAACTCACCTCGTATGTGGTCGAATTACGGACGGCAGTCCCTTCGTACTGCACATGGTGTACACCGTTGAGGTCGACCCATTTGCGCGCCCGAGCAAGGAGGGCCCTCCTCAAACTTCCTTCGTCGCTGTGGTACCTCATCGGGTAGATAGGGAGCGTATTGATCTTCACAACTCCTTTGAAACGCGGAACGTGCCACGTGCATTTGACCCTACCGAATCCCTCTGCAGACGTAGTAGTGTCGAGACCCTCGCAGTGTAGCGCATATCCACCAAGTGCTTTCTCGGAGCTCTTGAGTTGTAACGCGAGAGGCTCCCCGGTCGTGTCGTCTCTGCAGGTGAACAGCGTTTCGGGGATGAGAATCGCATAGAGGAGATCCGACGTGATCTCCTTCTGTGCCAGGAGGTCCGCGATCTGAGAGATGGTGACCCCGTGGTCTTCACGCAGATAGTTCAGGAGAGCATCAAGGCTCGCGAGCACGTCTTCCTCGTCGCTAGTGCGGCCCGCTCGTTCTTGCAACGTTTGATGATACTCCGTGAGCTGAGGGAAGAATCGGATCAACAGGTTGATGGGGAGCTGTCACATCGTCAGCGAGTGAATCAAGGATGTGGAACGAACAACTCGGAGGGATACCTCAAGAGGATCGACCGTCCAGGAGAGTCCTGGGACTTCTCCGATGACGTCCTTGCAAGCTGATTTCAGATAGGGACTCTTGATTGTCACTGCCACGGACGGCTCTTCTCCTGGAACGGAGTCCGCCGAAAACTCGCGCACTACCACAAAGCAGAAAGACTGCCAGATATCGGAGCCTTCCGATGTCTTACCACCAGGTAAAACCTGTGGGGTAGACTTGATCTTGGTGTCCTTGTATGACCATACACCGTTCTTCCTGTTGAAGAAATGATCGACTCGCTTGACACGCAAAGTAGGTGTGGGTCTGACAAGAGACGGTGTTAGTCCGTCGATTTAGACCAGTCAGGAAGATGTAACACCTAGGACTTGCATCCACGGATGATTGAGCTTCAGGATTGCGTCCATGCGAGGGGACGTTTCCTTTCTTTCTCTCGCACCACCTCCATCGTCGTCCCGTTCCTCCTTTCTCACCTTTTCCTATGTTCCATTTCAGCCCCATCGTTGAGATCGCTGGCCTCTGAGTTGTCTGTGCTCGGCTTCTTTGTTGCTATTACGCGTCCGGCGACCGCAGCTGAGAGGAACGTGGTCTCAGCGGGCACCCAGTCGCATGGACTCTATCGACGGTCAATTCCTTTATACCTGCAGTGCGCCTAAAGAACCATATGACCCGATCTTTGTTAACGGAGATACATAATACCGGACAACACAGCCATTCCGCTCTTTGCAATGGCCTGTTCCATGGATATTTCATCCCAGTCAGACCTGCATTGGCCATACCGGTGTGCAAGAGTAGGCACAGATATGCAGAGGACTTGTCTGTCACTCGAATAAGTCACCGATATGCACAAGAAATATACAGCACTTTACTCACCGCGCAGCACACCGCTATCGCGACTAAAAATATTTACAGTAGTTCCCCCGCAAGTCAATTGGTGGCCTGCATCTCTGCCAAATACCGCTTCATTTCACTAGGATGAGGAATGCTCCATGCTTCGCTGACGTTACCGATACACATGACTTGGTAGCGCATCGAACTCTGCGTAGTCTCGGGACTACTTATGCAATTGTGGGCGGGCGCCGTGTGTAGAGCACGACACGCATTAGGTGGAATTGTGTTCTCGTGTCCTTCAAGTGAGACGCATGCGCAGCATTCAAGTTGATGATTACGCACCAAACCCACTATATGATACTGGCAGACTGCGTGTAGCTATTGGCACGTCATCCTGCGTCCATGCTACGCATACTAGCGGTCCGAGCAGAAGGGGCACAAGGCCCGGAGTTTCTTCTGCTCAGACTTGTGCGGCGTGAGAGCGGCTAGGGAAGTTCACATTGACTGAGGTCGAGTAGCAGCTCATGCTCACGTCGTCCAACTCCCAGCCGAAGTCACCTAGCAATTCAGACATGCGATAATGAGCTCTCAGTTAAACCACCATAAGTCCCACTCATGGGAAGACCAGATTGACGGAGGCAGAATTATCGTCGAGGATAGAGTCAAGGAAGACGAGCTCTCGAACTCAGGTGCGGCCCGGAGGAGGAGACACGGTCACGGTACCGTGACCCCACCCGGCGTCAACGCGTCGACCGCGACACGAAACCGTCCGTGGTGAGCCATATGTGGTACGGCTAACTAGTACTAAGTAAGTACTTGTATCCTAACGCGTCGTAAATCATGGCCAACCCGAGCACATAAGCAACGACAGCCTTAAAATGTCGCAGCTTTCGCGTCCGACTCGGAGTCGTGACTCGTTCGTTCCTTGAGTGTCCAACTCGGTCTGAGATCTGAACGTTCTGAACGTTTGAACATTGACGCATGCTCTCGGAGCCAGCAGATTCGATAATAAATTATTTCAAACAATCAAATGCCAGTGGCCATCTGTGTACCGCGTGCAACCACGCCCAACAGCACTCACAAGCCACTGCGGGATATGGCATTGAACTCGCTCTCGAATTCTTCCATCGCATCTAGGGTTTCAGCGAGATGACTATACCCCAGCGTCTCTCCACGGCTCCTAGCCAGCGAGGTGGCCGTCCTGGTAGCGTTCTTGATCTGACGCCCGTTGACCTCTCGACCGACGAGATCGTCTAGCTGCTCCGCGGTGAGGCTGTCCATCTTGACTTTATGGAGGAAAGCCTGCCATATCTTGAGTTTCGCTTCCTTGCTCAGATCCCGGAAATGAAGAGCAACGTGGATACGAGACAGGAAGGCTGGATCGAAGGCCGTGACCCTGTTTGTCGTCAGAAAGAGGATCCCGCGGTAATATTCGACATGCCGCAAACTTGCAGAACCATTAGTCAGGAGTGCGGCCGTGCTTGATAAGAACACGTACAAAACCGCGACCATGGCATTGCGTAACAAGTCATGCATAGATCGCTGTTCCAGGAATACATCTGCCTAAGACTCCGGCGTCAGTACAGCTAGCACTGGCAGCAGATAGGCAGACGAACATACCTCGTCTATGAGCACAATCGCCCCCCAGCGCGTAGCTATACTGAAGACGCGCTTGAGAGCAGTATCGACAGCGTTGGCGTCGGTACCAAGGTCCCCGCCCCCGATCATGTAAAGCGGTCTCTTTAGGTGCTCGCTGGTTGCCTCCGCAGACAGAGTCTTTCCAACTCCCGGAGGACCGAAGAGATTGATGACGAGGCCCTGGCCCTTCCCTTGTACGAAGTCGTCGAAATTGATGTTGGAGTTGTGCGCCTCTATGAGGGATCGCAGGAGCTCCCTACGATTGCCCGGGAGCACAAGGTTCGTGAAGGGCTCATCGGACCATACGATGGGGTGGATTTTCTCGACGTTGAACTCGACTAGTACACGAGAGATGAGTGGATGCATGAGCATGTATGCTAGGTACTCACGCCATAGCTTGTCGGAAAGGCTGAACCCGTACAGCACGGGCGAAGCGAGAATGAGATCGTCGTCTGGCAGTTGCCAACTAAAATACTGCGGGATGGTTGTCTCCCCAGCATCGGACGCCGCGTCCGGATCGCGTGTCAGAGTATCTGGCGGTCCAATGTCTGAGTCCGCAATGGTTTCTTCCGCCGGAATGACTCTGAACTCTGTCTGATCAACGACCTCAAGCATGTCGTAGTTCGGATTGTGGTGTCTGAACGCAGCTGCATCGTCATCAGATCAATACTCTGACAGTGACAAGTACGATTTCATCACCTCCGTCGATCATCACCCTGGAATCAATCTCGTCGCACGACGTCAGTGGATACAGCTTACCAATTGACTCTACGCGACTCACCTCGAACTTCTTGCGATTATAGACAGAAATCCCTTGATACCGCACATGTTGCACTCCGTACAAGTCGATCCACTTGCGTGCCCGGGCGAGGAGTGCAGCCCTCAGACCTCCTTCATTGCTGTGGTACTTCATCGGGTACGCAGGCAACGTATTGATCTTCACTACCCCCTTGAAACGCGGAATGAACCGAGTGTGCTCGACCCTGCAGAATCGCTTCGCAGGTACAACATGCGCCAGATCAGAGTCAGCGACGTCGTCCAGCTCAACGTCCACGGCATCGATGCCCTCGCAGTAGAGCGTGTACCCGCGAGCCCCTTTGTCGAACTGCTTGAGCTGTAGAGCGCGAGGCTCCCCCGTCGTCGCGTCCGTGCTGACGAGCAACGTGCCGGGGAGTAAGATGGCGTGGAGCAGATCCCAAGTTATCTCCTCGTGTGCCAGCAGGCCGGCAATCTGAGAGATGATGACTCCGTGGTCTTCGCGCAAGTAGCTGATGAGGATCTCGAGGCTGGCGAGCACCTCAGTGTCGTCATCGCTCGAGCGATCCGCGCTGTCTTCTGGTTCCTGAGAGTCGTCGCTCGGGCGGCTCGCTCTGTCTTCCAGTTCTTGGCGGTACTCTACGAGCTTGGGGAATGCCTGGATCAACAGATCGACTGGAAGCTGCGATCGAAAACGAGTCAGGGGGTGCAGTTGAGTATGACAGTCAAGCAACACGTACCTCGAGAGGGTCGGCCGTCCACGAGATGCCCGAGATCTCTCCAATGACGTCCTGACAAGCCGCTACCAAGTATGGACTCTTGATCGTCACCGCGACGGCCGGCTCTTCTCCCGCACAAGTGGGCATCTGGCGCACTACCACGAAACAGAAGGACCGCCAGACGTCGGCGCCGTCCGCCGTCTTTCCACCGTGCAACACATGCGGGGTGGCCTGGACCTTGGTGTCCTCGTATGACCACATGCATGTATACATGTCGTAGACGTGATCGACCCGCTTGACCTGCAGACTGTACGCAGATGTGAGCCTGAGGAAACGTCTTGTGTTATTGGTTTACAGGTAACACCGAGCGAGGACTCACCCAGGAGAGCTTATGTCCACGCATGGTTCCGCCTCCGCAGGTGCGGGCGTGGGTGCAAAATAGGAGTACAGACTCCCCAGCCACGTCCATTGCGATTCTCCTTTCTCCTCCACTTCGTTTCCTGTATACTCTGTCATTGTCGCAGAGACGATGGCCCGCCCCTGTAGCGATATAGGCCTGCCCCTAGAAAGTGCTGCGTCTCGGAGAGCGCAGCGACGACCGAAGGAGATCGTTATCACAGCGGGCAACGTGTGTCCTGCGGAGAAGAACTAGATTTACGCCTGCACATTGCGGTGATTTATAAACGCACTGCGCCTGACGGAACCTGTGCTAACCCAAGTATCGCGAACCAGTGGTGCAGCTGCCGCCGAGCCACACTTATCTGTGCGCTCTGCACGCCATCAAACCCTACAACGTCGAGGGCGACACTACGACGGCAGGTTGCTGCAGATAGACCTGCATGTCGGTGAAGACATTGTCAACAAACGAATGATGGACGAGGTGTATGACTTACTCGAAAGAAACACTGGGTACTCTTCGTAGCGGTCTCGAAGCAGTCCTCGAAGTTGTTCCTCGGAAACCTCCTTACATGACATGCTTCCCCGCCATATACAGGTACGAAGTATCGCCTCGTTGTTCTCGATACCCACGAGAGTCAGACTTGTGTGGCTCTCAATTGGTCTTCGCTGGTGTTACTAGTACGCATGCCCATCCACGCATTGGATGAAAAGCGCGTATAAGTTAGCGACGACCCTCGATTTGATAAAGCGGTCAGGTGGACGCAGAATATGTAAAGCATCCCGATACACGCAGACAGTCGTCATCGCATATGTTTGCAGCGTGTAAAATGTGAGCATAAATGCTGTGCGAAGGGGGAGACTGGTAAGTACTGCGGGGCCCACGTAAGGAATCTTGCGCACGTCGCCGGCTCGACAATTCCGGATGCCCGCTCTGCATGAAGTTCAGGATATGGCGGATCACGACATCTGTGTACATTGCTGCTCTTATAAGCAGAGAGGAGGCGAACACCACATGTTAGGATCCGAACGGACGACGAAAGCAAATACTGTGTAGTCGGGCTGCATATATGTGGCCAATTCCCTGTATAAATTTCAGAATGCGTACAGCCTGAAGCGCCAAGGTCCGCTTTCGCCTTGCAGGGATCGGCGGACATATTCGTGCCTCGTCTGGCAGTCCGAACGCGAGTGTGAGTGGACTATATGCGCATATAGTGTAGTTGCATACCTACTATGCACTGAGACAGCGATGCGAACTGCAAGCAACGTGTCGTTTTCCGCGTGTAGAGAACACGTAGTGGAGAATCATTGGAGAACTTGCTGAACTGCTCGCCGCTAAAAAGCATGGGGCAAACGATGGGCAGACGGGTGTCGATTGTGGGGTGCATGGGTTGTTCCGCAGGCACACAAGTCTCCGAACCACGTCGAGCCGATTGGACCACGTCGTTTGGCGGTGGGAAGGCACAATGCATCTTGGCAGAAGATCACCTACATACTCGTCGGTGCAGATTGGACAAGCTTCAGGTGACACCGAGCATCATTGACATTCGGACTGACTCGGATCCGCACTTGATTCAGTCCCTGTGAGGATGTTCCTTCGCCAACGTTGTCTCTGACCCGGTGGCGACGGTGCGCTTGGTCATGGGAGTCTGCGCGAGTGCCTGTATGCGGTAGCTCTGTTGCCAGATACGCCCGTATGTCGTTCGCGCCGGCCACGCTTGTCAATGCATGACTTGGCTGCAGACGGCGGTCCTTGTACACCGACCTTCTGACGAAAAAATGCTAGGCACTTCACGAGGCGACTCACCAATGATCGTGGGGAGATCCGCCTGAGACTAGTGCGCCTGCTGGTCTTGGAAAATGACCATGTATGTCGTCGTAATGACGGCTTAGGCAATATCTCCGTAAGTCTTTATGGGGGTCTCTCGCTCCGCATCGTGCCTGGGCTTTGTTGACGGCGAACACCGAGCCACCTCCCGCGGTGCTGATGTCAATGTCAGGGCGCGCAGCTCGCAGGAGCCATGCCTCGGCTCACGAAGCTGGTGAGCCCTTCGCGTCAGTGGCGGAAGCAAACACGCTCCGGACACGTGTAGTGTTTTTGCGAGGTGGGCAATTTGCTCTGCAGGAAAACGCCACGAGCGAATAAGTACGGACGGACTGCCGCTGACTGTCATGCCAGGGCCACTCTCGCTGTGACGGAAGTGATCCGGGCCACACATATGTACTTGCAGACGAACGAGCGGGTGCTGCAATGCCGCGTCTGTAACTGTGGCGTCACGCGAGAGCTCAGATATGTTCTTGGATGCACTCACCCGACTTGAGGCCATAGATCAGAGTTGTGTTGCTGATTCGACGCGGACGTAAGAACATACTTAGACCGCGGAGTGCGCGTACTTGCCTCGGACCACCTGTAACCTTGTTCGCAAGGCATCTTGCGTCGCAGGCGTCACATGCGACACGAATGCGAGTTTCGATGATATAATCGAGTTAGGGGGGCTCCGATTCTGTCCCGCTCGCATGGCTGCCACTGTCAATGTCAGAACGGTGCGACCCGTATGCAGACGCACCCGATAACAGCCCCATAAAAACTTTCTGCTCATCGCTCGACGGTGTCCTGGGCAGTGAAGAGACACGGCGACAGAGCAAAAGCAGCCACAGCTTGTCCACAGCAACATGGGGGAATGTACGTAACGTCGGGACGTAGAGGGCCCGGCGGTGGGAAGGAGGTGATGGCCGCGGAAGCAGATGGCGGAGGGCAGCCGGCGGCATTGCCCAAAGCGGAGAGCGTGCTCTGCGGGCGTGACGGGCGTGTCTCGATAAGAACGACCACGACTGTCCAAGCGCAATGAATCGTCCGTGCACGCGTCGTCTCGTAAGGCCCCGCTGACTGGCCGCCAACGACGTCGACAACGCCCCAGCACCCGCCGACGCCCCCACACCGTGATCCCCGCCTTGCGTCGCTTGAACCCCGCCCACCGCCATGCCCAACACAGTCCGCCCCCGCGACGACAAGGAGCGGTCCGCGCGGGCCCAGGAGCAGGCCTTCAAGCGCGCAAGAGGTGCCATATCTTGCGCAGAATGCCGTCGCCTCAAGCTCAAGTGCGACAAGACCGTCCCGTGTTCGTCTTGCAAACGAAGAGGCTGCTCTTCCATCTGTCCCAATGGGAGCCTTACCACTGGTCAGGGTACCAGGTGAGTCGTCGTGGTGTGTTTCGATGCATGTACGCGCGCGGGGAGGAGGCTTTTCGCTAGTGTAGGCGCGGAGACGGCTCGGAGCGATGCTTGTGCCACTCAAGGGCAGACGCGAGCCCCGAACGCTGTTGAGACTCACGCTGTCTAGCAATCGGGCGTGGTCGTAGGCTCAACGAACCCCCCGCCATGATCATCGGGCAGAAAGCGGTCGGACTTACGCGTTCTAGAGGGTATCAAAACCCGACTCTTGGAGCCATCGCCGAGCAGGGTCGATGGGCGTCCGTACAAATGGTTGCCCCAGGAGCTCGGGACACAAAATGGCCATAGTATTCTCCTGTGCGATCTCGGCGTGCCACTCACGGTGGTTGACGCCTACCTGCGGGGCGGGCCTTGTCGGTAGAGTTCTGAGGGATTGTGTCGGGATGGTCGCGCAGGCTTGGCCACCTGCTAGGTTCTCGTCCTGACTTCTCGGGCGGATTATCCTTTCAGTCCGGACAAGACCTACGAGTTGCGGAGCAGGCGTTCTCGCGTATGATCATGGGTCCTGTGTGGGCTTGCACAGAGCTTGAGTGCGTCGGTTTATGTTTCCACCAAGATTACACACACCACACCCAACAGTATCGAGGCGGTCGTGGCAAGTGTCTGAGGTCATATCGCAGAAGGCGCGGATCACCTGCAGTCAACACCGGGTCAACACCCGATGTTCTCTGCGCGTGTGTAATTTTTTGGGGCGAGACCTAGCGACATGGATACAATTATCATATGCGCACCCAAAGTCAATGGTGTGCCACAATTGCCATGAGACAGACCGTTGACGTCGCATGGGTTTACGCTCCAGTGTCAGGCCTTTGACTTTACGAAACATCAGTGTCAAAGTATCTATAACTCATTGCGAACATGGTTCTAACAAACACGAGTGCAGATTTATCCTGGCGGACACCGACCGCCTACACCGAAAGATCGCGGAGATGAGCGACCGCATCCGCGAACTCGAAGACTCGCTCGCGCTCCTCCAGTCGTCCGTGTCGCGCGAGACGCACCCGTTGTTGTCCCGCGATCGTCTCAAAATCAAGTCCGGCCTGGAGCTGCACTCGGCGGCATCCAGGCTGGGCGGCGACGGGTTGTTCGAAGAGGAAGAAGAGGAAGACGAGGAGAGCGAGTACATCGACTCGTTCGGGACGCTCGCGGTGCGCGACGACGGGGCAGCGACGTTCTACGGCCGCTCCGCCGGCTCCGAGGTGCGTCGTTCCCAGCGTGATCCACCCCCATACTGACCACCCGCGTAGAGTCTACTTCTGGACGAAAAACCGGGGCCTGCAACAGCTCCGCCTGAACGCCCGCCCAACAAGGGCCCGATGCTGCCCGCCTCCCTCGCGCGACTCACGACGTCGTTCCCGTCCGCGCCGTCGGACATCCCCGCGGAGGACATGCAGGAGCTGATCGAGGAGCACCTGCCGCCGTGGCCGCGGGCAGCGCAGTTGTGCGACCTGTACCTGGAGCAGGCGCCGTGGTTCTTTGGCGCGGTGACGCGGCGGCAATTGTTGGAGGAAATCTTGCCACTTTTCTACGACGAGGCGGCGGAAGGTGCGAAAAGCGGCGCGCTGAGTAGCTCCGCCGCGGCGTTTGCGCTGGGGAGAGAGGGCGGCGGGACCGGTGGCTCGTCGCATGACTTGGCGCTGTTGTTTGTGATATTCTGCTTTGGCGCGCTGACGGACGTCGACCTCCCACCGGCGCCGCATAACCCGGAGGCCGAGCGGTACTTTCAGCTCACGAGGGCTGCGCTAAACCTTGAGCCAGTGCTCGAGCGTCCGCCGAGTGTCGTCACCGTGCAGACGCTCAGTCTCATGGCGATCTATCAGGTTGGCTGTATGCGTCAATCTTCTGAAAGCGAGGCTGATGGTTTGGTTGCGCAGGGCTTGGTTGCGGACGAGAATAGCATCGAGAGTACGTGGGCGCTCATGGGGCTAAGCTCAAAACTTGCGCAGAGTGTGAGTGCCAAGTCCATGACCTTTGGACCAATAGACTGATCATTGGTTTAGATCGGTCTTCGTGCGTCGACCTCTGTCTTCCTGTCTGGGCAATACCTTAACAAATTGTAGATCGTGACTGTGCCCGCTGGAAGCTATCACCAGCAGAAGTACAGAAGCGTCGCGCGCTGTTCTGGGAAGTGTTTATCACTGACTGTTGGCAAGCACTCGCCACCGGCCGTCTATCCACTTTCTCCCTCCCCTTCGTCGACACCGAACTCCCTGCGGACCCCGATGAGACGCTCGCAGAGGACGGCACGCCTCAGCTGTCTTGTAAGTGTTTCGCAAGTTTCACTGCGTACTCTGCGCTTACCATTGTGGGGCTCTACGGTGTTCATACAGTCCCTGCGTGGAAAGCGCGCTGGGGTAAAGAATGTGTCTCGGAGGTCGTCCAGGGCACGCTCACGTCGCGCGCCCCGAAATACACTGTCATCCTTGAACTCGATCGTAAGCTGAGAGACATGCCACTGCCAAAATACGCCACCGGCTCGCCGCCAGAAGGGAAGGGCCTCTCGGAAACGATGAGCCACTACATGCCGATCAACTACTTACATCTGAGTGAGTCTTCAGTGCTTACGCGAGTCCGTGAAGCGTGAATGACTGTTGTGCGGCAGCTCTGCTTTATGTGCATAGATGCTTCTTCGCGCAAGCACTGAGCGACCACCCGACGGACCCGCTTCGGAGCCCGTACTCGCCGTCTTTCCTCGCTGGCTATCGGAGTGCGTGCATCCTGTTGAGCTCGCTCCGCGAGCAGTTCAACCTGTTCCCGATACAAATTGCCAGATTCTGGGTCTTGTGGACGCATGCGTTCTCCTCCACTGTGAGTACGCGACCAATGTGAACGTGCCAGGTACAAGCTGACATGGCGGGACAGGTGATGCTCGCTTCGGTCGTTACCCATGGAGGTACGACAAAGACGGCACAGGCAGCATTGGGAGAGCTGAGACTGGCGTATGACTTGTTTGAGAGTGCTGCGAAGCATGGCGGGCGCGCTGTGAAGTTCTTGGTGGGTACACAGTTCTCCGTGCGGACAATAGCATCGAGCATACTGACTTCCTTCCAGCCGATCGTCCGGAGACTACACGACAAGGCATACGCGACTTACACACAGGGCCTCCCACCTGTCCGTGATATCTTCGCACCTCGCGTGGACGCCGGCCAGCACGACGAGCTCCAGATCTTCAGCGGTCGTACGCGGACCGTCGCTACGAAATCTCACAATATCCAGCGAGTGCGCTCCGTCTCGAGGCGTCGTCCGGGGGCTTCCAGTAGCACGCCGAGCAGCTCGACGTCAGGACCTATCTCGCCGGACTCTACCACGTCCCCTGGCTCGGGTTCGGGCTCCAGCCGCTCGTCGGAGAGCCCGCAGGTAACCTCCGTGGATATGTTCCCGGCCCTCCAGAGCTATGGGGGCGCGGTGCACCCGATGCTCGTGGACGAGATGCACGGGTTTCAGGGCGCGCTGGACGACCAGATCCGGGACGTCAATGCGTATTACATGAGCAAACAGGAGGAGGCACGGTTGGAAGAGCAGAGGCGGTATGGTGACATGCAGCAATCAGGGAGCTATCCTACTCCGCCGGACTACCAGAGTCCGCCGCAGAAATATGAGATGTCGCAGGGCTACGGAAGCACGCATGGGTATGAAGGCGTAGAGGGGCATTCGGGTCACCAGGAGTATTCAGAATGGTACCCCGCACCACCGCAGACGCACGGACAGCCTGAGCATGATCAGGCTATGTCCCAATACCCAGGGCGCACTTCGCAGCTCGTCCCAGTAGATCCGCAGCATGCAGGATTCGCCCAAGGCCACTCACAACCATACCCGTCGTACCACGCTGGCGACAGCAATCATACCACGGTTCCTCATGGACAGTATCACGGTTTCCCTCCTGCCATGCATGCCCCGGCATACCATTCCGATATGCCGCCCCCGCCTCCTGCGACCCGCTCCCAGCTGTGGCAAGTCCCTCCAGGACAAACTGGACATGAACTCGGGTACCCGACGACGCCTATTGACTACCCTTCTCAGCCCACTCAGCCCGTGCATCCTGGCAATTCGTATGGTCACGCACCGACGCCTAGCCTCAGCCGGAGTCACAGCATGACCCAGATGCGTCAGGATCCGTCGATGGCCCCCCAGCCGGTGATGAATGTGCATTACAGCTTGCAGGAGACCTGGAATTCGTTCGTGCAGCATCAGCTGCCCACGCCCGTCGCCCCGCAGCCGCCCCCGCAAGGACTCGGATATGGTGGTGCTGGAGCTTGATCGGGTACCTCTGTGCTCTTCCGTCTGTACTTGCTCCTTCTCGGATAGCTGTCTATGCTTTTTTGCTACTCGTTATGCTATCAGATTGTTTGCATCTCTAGATATCCTAGCTTGAATGTACCGTTGTGTTGTTAGGGGGTCGGGCAAGTACCCGGTACCGGTCCTGCTCTCTTAGATTGCTTGCAAGGTCCCCTCCTGGCCCGTTTTGTCATGCCGATACACATCCGTTATGCAGTTCTTCACTTTGCAAACGCTTGAATGCTGCGTTTCGAGCATCCCTGTAGGTGCACTGTAACTTTCAGTACTCAGTACACACCGTGACCGGGGTCGACTCCCTGGCGCTGGTGCGGAACGTTTTAGGCTCGAATTGTCACGTGGCATCACAGAGCTTGCGCTCTCTCAGAAATCGGGAAAGCGTATCCTCCAGGACCTCCTCCTCCAACTGTACGCTCGCTACACCTGGGCCTTTCCTTCTGTCATTCCGCTATCTGAGGCGGTAGACAACCTCTGGAGTCCGACAATGTCTAGAAATGTAGGACGTATATTCGCTGCTCCGCGGAAGATTTCGACACCGTGTCGACCGGCTGCAGGTAAACAGTGTCAGTGCTCGCTCGACCTGGCGCACCTAACAGTAAAACAGGGTCGAGATCAAGGCCACAATGGAGGTCACTGTCGGCGGCGGCGCAGGCGCAACAATCCCCCCCACCTTCCTCCGCGCCAGCTCACCCTTCAGAGTTCCGAGCTGCGTCGTCAAATAGCGCATCGGCCCGACGGCAGGCTGCAGCAGTCAGCCCCGAGGAACATCTGAACACACTCTTCGCACCTCTGAAGTTCCCAAGAGAGCTTGCCGACCGGATGCTTACGCATTCGAGTCACCCGGACGCGAGGATCAGGCACAATGCGCGACTAACCTTCATGGGTGAGTTTGCTGTCGCGGTCTCTTCGAGTCGTCGTTCTTAAGTGTGATCTCAGGGAGACGGGTCATGCAGTTTTATCTGTACGCTCTGCTGGATTCGTCGCCGTCTCTTCGACAGGACCACGATTTTGAGCACATGGTGGAGCGTGCGCTGAACACCTACATTTTGGGGGAACATGTTGGAGCTGCCTGGTCGTTGGGCAAGGCACTGAAGTGGTCTCCTCCCAGCAACTCAATGGACACGAGCGAAGCCTCTGTGAGAAGCGTAGGACTGCACAAGGTGCTGGGCGGTGCCGTGGAGGCGATCGTCGGTGGCGTAAACCATCAATTCGTGCGTGTTCCTCCCTGTTGCGCATCCCCCACTTTCTGATGTCCTACACACTCCAGGGAGGTGTGGCTGCCCAGCGACTGTTCCACACTCGTGTGCTTCCCCATTTGCTCTTGCGCGGGACGTCACATGGCTTGAACGACGCCTTCCATGAACATGCTATCACGATCTGCGAGCGGTTCGGCGGACTGAACGCCGATCTGACTGGCTTCGGGGCGAAGGGTGCGCAATAAGTACAGTACGTAGTGCTATCTAATGTCGTCGGTATGCTCTGGGTGTTTCTCGGATTGCATGTCAGACTTACGGCCGCTGGAAAAGTATGTGCGCCCGCTGCGGGTATTCACTCAGGTGAGTCTCCATGCGAATGTGCAGGTCGACGAGCACCGATGCGCCCGGGCGGTGGCTATTCATCCGGGTCGTTTTCCTGGTCAGAGGCGTGACGTGCATGTGATAGCAAGTACGGGTTCGGCGTGTCACTGTTTGACGTCAAGTTACTTAGCAGCGATCCTTCCAAGATGCTCCTTTTGTCCAGCCACCGACGAGGGGACAGGGGCGGCCTTCCTCCATGCTTTCTGGCTTCCTTCATCGTCAGGGAGTTGGCCCTCTCTGTCGTCGCTCGACATGGACTCTTTGACCCGCCAAGAGACATTGACCATCCTAGCTTCCATGGGCGTCCAGCTGCCCCCCGCTACGAGAATGCCGGATGCCGCTCTGCAGAAGCGGCTCAAACAAGCACTGAACTGCGCGCAATATGCGTCGAAGGTGCTTGGACATCCTCCACTCGAACCGACTTCGCTGCCTGCATGGTCGCGCCCTGCTTTAGAGGGCGTGAGGAGGACCAACTTCCTCGAAACATACCAAACCTCTCAGGGCATGGGGATGGAGTTATACACCAACCCGATGCTTGATGCACGACAGACCCTTATGGCGGTCGCAGAGGGGTGGGACAAAGGACATAGGTGGCTGTTGGTGCAGGACCACGCGAAACAGTGTGCCATCTCAATCAGGGTAGGTCGCTCAGCTATATCGCGTGTCTTGACTGACCGATGATGTGAATTGTTTCCAGTTGCTGTCCGTGCTGCGACTAGACGAAGACACGCCCGCGATCATCTTGTTATACCAGTCGCACACGCGAGCGACAGCCCTGAAGGGCGTAGCATGGGTCCGCCAGATGCAAGAGAACTACGCCTGCCCTGGTCCTGCCGTCAACATCAATGCGACGCCGCTCGAGCAGAAGCTCTTGCTCAAGCTTCTGTCCATCAACGAGAAACTTCTTCCGTCCACATACACGCCGCAGAGAGTGTCTACGGAGCAGAATTTCCATGTCTCCTTCCTCTTACCCCTCGGTCCGCTCGGCTACGGGGACATAGCAAAGCTTAACAACGACCCCGGATGTGCTCTGTGCGGGCGCAAGACAGCGAGTCGCTGTGCGCAATGCCTATCAGCATCGTACTGTGGATCAGGTGCGTTGCCACGGAGTATGCACGCATGAATCTCGCTTATGCTCAGTACGTATAGATTGCCAGAAGGCGGATTGGCCTGATCACAAGCATGCCTGTCGATCCCTCAAGGGCGGGACTTGGCGCACTCTGCCCTTCGTGACCGTGTTGCCCGGCATGAAAAGCATGTATGTGAGCGGCATCAACAAGTTCTCCCAGGCAGGCGACATGCGCCCTGGTGGCCTGCCCGACCCCAACGCCATTCCGCCGAACATACACGGTGACCGCCTCTTCCTCGTGAAGGTCCAGATAGAGGCAAACAGGCAAGATCATCTCGTTCTTTACGACAGACAGCGCTCCATCATGGTGTACTTGGTGGAAGGCAAGGATCCGGAGTTGCTCGACGAGATGAAGACGGAGATGCGTGGCCCGCGGGGAGGCTATGGCGGTGCAAAGATGTATCGATGGGCGAAGCGCACCAACGACTGGGAGTTGCGTATCTGTGTGGACAAGGAGCCGCAGACGGAGATCAAGTGGTGATCTACTCGGGTGAGCTGGTCTTCGTTTCTCCCGGAAGACGTACGGACACTCACTGTCTGTGTGCTGCAGATGGTCCACCGCCACGCGTTCGTGTACTAATATGGCATGTCACCGATGGTTTCCGACCTTGTATAATTGACTGGGAAGCTACGCTTGTATTGTATTGACCTGGGCGACTCGACACAGGTCTGTTGTACTCGTAGGAATCTTGACAATCACCTTTGAAGTTCTTTGGGGTGCGCTGTCAGGTATTGCAAGCATATATGCGACCGAACTTCACAGCATTCGCAAGTAGTTCGGTCGACCTAATGCACACGGCGATCGCCTCGCCCTTCTGCAATGCACAGGATGTTCGTGATTTACGACAATACGCTTTTCCAGAGTGAGCATCCGCACCTACGAGTCGACGACATACAGAAGAGGGCTTCTCGGTAGAGCGTCGTACTGTTGTTCGCCGTACTGGGCCTAGCAGTCGACAAAGTCGCCTCAAGGTTACCCGTTGACGGGACATGCAGAAGGTTGCTTAGGTGAGCTCTACGGTACCAACCGTCTTCACCTGTCAAAGTCACAAGAACCTCACTGTCTGTATGCTGCAGATATTTCCGACGATGACTGGTGAATGTTATGTGGCTATGGTCTAGTCGTGCCACCTGAATCATCGTCGATGCTGTTCACCTTCGTTCGAGCCCGGGCCGCAGCTTCCATGGGCTCTGCGTCTAAACTGTCTGACAGCTCCGAAGTCGGCCTTTTGGGTTGTTAGCCATCATCGCAGAAGGCGAGGCTTACTCTGGTGCACAGCTACATTGCCGGGAGCGCAAGCAAGTGCTCACAGCACTGGTGGGCTTCCATGCGGTACTGGCTCGCAAGAGTCTTACAGGTCGTAAGCGGTGTGTGCTGCTCATTCTTGCTCAGCTGATTGTTCTTGCGCACAGCCCGTTTCAGCCGTGGACAACTGGACCGGAGGACATGTTCGCCGGTACCCTACAGGCTATGCTCGGGCGACACCAAATTTCGGGGGGACAATTGGGATTCAATGTGCGGACGGGGCACGCGTACTACTAGTACAATGGCGGACCACCCAACTCAATGGCGTTGGCTTCGAGAACGATGAAGCGATACTACCTATATTCAGGGAAGCATGACATATCAGCACGTCTCGGAGAAACTCTACAAAGGGTCGAATCACCTTCACAGCAGCGCAAACACTGCTCAGTACGATTTCGAGTGAGTCATGGACTTCGTTCATAGTTTTTTGTTCGTACTGCCTCACCGACGTGCAGGCTTACCTGAAGGGACTCGCCAATAGCCTCACCCTCGACATTGTAGGTTTGATGGAGTACAGGGCGCAGATAGGTGTGGCTCGGCGGCAACTGCATCATTCTTCGCGGTATTTGGGTTAGCACAGGCTCCGAACGTCGTAGTGCGTTGATAAAGCATCTGCGTTTGTAGGCGTCACTGATATTCCTTTCCGTAGCACACACGTCGCCTGCTTGTGCAACGATCTTCAACGGACGTTCTGTTTTCCGAAACGCAACGCTCTTGAAGGAAACAGGCTCAAACCAGCGTATCTGCAACAAGGATGACGGAGTATACAGGGAACGAAGGAGAGGGGAGAGAACCCCAGGAGATTGTACAGTATGAGCACTTTGTGCCCTTTGTGCCCACGTCTGCACCCATGGAAGTAGAGCCGTACACAAGCCCCCCTGGGTGAGTCCTCGCTCCGTCTGAGCTAGCATCAACCAGCGCAAACTGATCCTCCATATTCACATCCATGCATAGCTTGCAGGTGAAGCGGGTAGACCGCATCTTCGACATGAACGCCCACACGTGGACATACGAGGACACCAAGGTCCATGCTATCCCCCAGGTGTTTTCTGGTGGCAGGACATCGGACGGCTCCGACGTCTGGCAATCGTTCTGTTTCGTGGTCGTCCGCCAGATACCTCCAGTTCCGGGAGCGGAGTCGACAGTATCAGTGATAGTCAAGAGTCCGTACCTGAGAACAGCTTGTCAGGACGTCATCGGTGAGGTCTCGGGGATATCCTGGACGGTCGACCATCTGGAGGTAGGTCGTGGTTGACCCTCATCCTTTACCGTGGCTGTCTGACAATATATTAGCTTTCACCCGACCTGTTTATCCGGTTTTTCCCTCAGTTCTTAAAGTACCGTCAAGAGCTGGAAGGCAAGGCGAACCGCTCGAGTGATGATGATCAAATACTCGCCAGCCTCGACACCCTCATCAACTACCTGCGCGAAGACCACGGCGCCGTCATCTCCCAGATTGCCAGCCTACTCATACACGGAGAGATAACCTGGGATCTACTCCACGCCATTCTACTCCCCAACACACTCCTCGTCAGCACAGACGCCCTGACGAGAGAGCCCTGTGTTCTTCAGCTCAAGCAATTCCACAAAGGGCTTCGTGGATACAGCTTGTCTTGCGAGGGTCTTGATGCGTTGGATGTCCAGCTGGACGACGACGCTGACTCTGAGCTCACGCTGGCTGCACCCGCGAAGAGATTCTGTAGGGTCGAGAACACGCGGGGTATTCCGTGTTTCGAGGGCGTGGTAAAGATCAATGCGCTGCCTGCGTACCCCATCAAATACCATAAAAACGAAGCAAGCCTGAGGGCCGCCCTGCTAACTCGGGCACGCAAGTGGATCGAACTCAACGGGGTGCAACATGTACGGTATCAAGGTATTGCTTTATATCACGACTGGAAGTACGAGGTGAGCCGTAGACAATACCAAAAACATCGCGTTAACTGATATCACCGGACAGATTGATTCTAGAGTCATGATTGACCGAGGTAACGTACTGGCATTGGCAGTTGGTGCTTCCTTGGGCGTACCAACCTGACAGCATTGCAGCTGCATTCATGCACCATTATCCCGATTATGACAAACCTGAGGTCGTCGATCAAACGGCGTTCGCAGTAGTCTCGGAAGAGACAACGATCTCGGTGTCAGGGCCTGTACCGCCGCATACCTTTCCACGCGGCCTAGACGCAGACTTCGATACTGAGGAGGCCGTCATCCCACAGTATCATGTCTCGCAATTGTCAGACGATGACCTGCTCCTTGCTTCGCCTGTGCTGTACGGATTTAGTCTTTCCGACAAGCTATGGCGTAAGTTTCAGCTCCTGGCAGGTTCATGCGCGTACTTACTGCTCGTATACCAGTCAAGTCCAATGTTGAGAAGGTCCACCCCATTGAATGGTCCGACGAGCCCTTCAGTAATCTCGTACTCCCGGGCAATCGCAAGGAATTCCTGCGATCCCTCGTGGAGGCTCACAATTCCAATCTCAAATTTGACGACTTCGTCCAGGGGAAAGGACAAGGTCTCGTCATCAATCTGTTTGGTCCTCCCGGAGTCGGGAAGACTCTGTCTGCGGAGGCGACCAGCGAGCATCTGAAGAGGCCGCTTTATATAATTGGGGGCGAAGACCTCGGCTCCGACGCGAGCACTGTCGACGGTACTCTGAGGCACGTCTTCAGTATAGTCACGCGCTGGAGCGCGATTGTTCTCATAGATGAGGTATCTTCGTCTACTTGTCTGCTGCCAGTGCTAGCTGTACTAACGCCGGCGCTGTAGGCAGACGTATTCCTAGAACAGCGCTCTATGCACGACCTGTCGCGCAATGCCATGGTTGCGGTCTTGTGAGTGATCTTGTCACGTATGATTGTTGACCCTTCTGACTCGTCGCCTTCAAGTTTGCGGCATGTCGAATATTACCGTGGTATCCTGTTCCTCACCACGAACAGGGTCACGGCTTTCGATCCAGCCTTCCTGTCTCGTATCCACATCGCTCTCCACTTTCGTTAACTTGGGAAAGAAGCGAAGTCTAAGATCTGGCATGCTTTTCTTCAGAAGGTCAAGATGGACGGTCTCAATGCAGACGAACTAGACAATCTCGTCGGTCGAGACGTCAACGGCCGTCAGATCAAGAACGCTACCAGGACGGAAATCTCACTGGCTAGGAGCCGCGGAGAGACGCTGGGGTATAGTCATCTCGCTGAAACCCTAGATGCGATGGAAGAGTTCGAGAGCGAGTTCAATGCTATATCCCGCGGTGGCTTGTGAGAAGTTAGAACTGTGGGATGGTTGTACGGTACATGAATTGCCACTGGCTCTGTCGTGCTCTAGTATGATGCAAGCGACAATAGTCTCGCACCTGATTGTTGATGAATCCTATACTCGAATCTGCCGGTTCCGAGAGCATGCGTCAATGTTCAGATCTCAGACCTGAGTGGGATGCTCAACGCGAAAGGATCATGGGTTCGACAATACAACGCTGTCGTCGTCTATGTTCTCGGGTCGACCGTGGATTATGACGCGCTACAATACAAGGACTTAGCACTATGCTGGCAGTACGGCTCACCACGGAGTCCGGACAGTTTCCGTGTCGCGGTCGACGCGTTGACGCCAGGTGGCGGCGGTCACGGTACCGTGACCGCGTCTACGTCGATCGGGGCGCGCCTATTAGGTTCGAGAGTTCGTCTTCCTTGACTCCATCCTCGACGGTAATTCTGCGTCACGTCAGTCTGCTTTTCCCGATAGTGGAACTTATGGCGGTTCAACTGAGAGCTCGTTGTCGCATATCTGAATTGCTAGGTGGCGTCGGCTTATTTGACTGGGAGCTGGGCGACGTGAGCATGTGTTCCCCGCTCTGGTCGTTGATATGTCCTACATACAGTCACTCGCGCAGACTCCCATGACCAAGCGCACCGTCGCCACCGGGTCAGAGACAATGTTGGCGAAGGAACATCCTCACAGGGACCAAATCAAGTGCGGATCCGAGTCGAAGGTCCGAATGAGTCAATGATACTTGGTGTCACCTGAAGCTTGTCCAATCCCCATCGACGAGTAGGCGATCTTCTGCCAGGGCCATTTCGCCTTCCCACCGTCAAACGACGTGGTCCAATCGGTTCGACGTGGTTTGGAGACTTATGTGCCTGCGGAACACCCCATGCACTGTGTCCCATGCTCTCGGCGACGAGCAGTTCAGGAATGATTCTCCACTTTGTTGTCTCTGCATGCGGAAAACGACTCGTTGCTCACAGTGCCCATCGGTGTCATAGTACGCAGGAGTACGTACCCTATATGCGCATACACCCCTCCATCCTCGCGCTCGGACTACCAGACGGGTCACAAATTTCTGCTGATCCCTCAATGGCGAACACGGATCTCGGCGCATCAGGCTGTGCGCATTTTGGATTTTTCACAGGAATCGACTGCATATATGCGGCCTGACTACCCACTAGCTGCACTCCGAGTCGCCAGTCGGATCCCAACGTATGTCGTGAACGCCTCTTTCCTGCTTATTAACAGCAATGGTGTGCACAGATGTCGTGATCTGCGATAGTCTAAACTTCATAGAGTGAGCATTCGGGGTTGTCGAGTCGGTGACATACGCAAGATTTCTGAGGTGGGTCCCGCAGTACCAGCTGTCCCTCTTCCTTCGCGCAGTAATTATGCTTACTGTTTACGCTCTCGCAGCACATCGATTTCAAATTACATATGGTTCTAGTATATACGTTGCCTTGATTCAATGTGTGGATGGGACATGCGTACCAATGACGCCAGCGAAGCCCAATTGAAAGCCATACCAGTCTGATCCTCGAGGCATCGAGAATGATGAGGCGATATTACATGTATTTGCAGGGAAGCAAGTCATATAAGTAGGTTTTGGGGGAATCACTCCGAGGGCCAAACCGCCTTGAAAAATGTGACCGTTTCGAAGAATACTTAGGAGCTCTTAGAGTAAGTCATAGACTGTATCCGTGGTCCGTTTGTTGACAATGCCTATCGGCATGCAGGTTTATCTGAAGGAACCCGCTGTTGTAGTGCCGCCCTCGACAATGTAGGGTTTGGACAATGTAGGGTTTGATGGTGTGAAGAGCGCACATATAAGTGCGGCTCGGCGGCAGCTGCACCACTGGTCGCGATATTTGGGGTTGGCTCATGCTCCGTTAGTCGGAGTGCGTTTATATACAGCCGGTCTTCGTGGACATCATTCTAGTTCTTTTCCGCAGGACACGCCCCTCGCTGTGATACGATCTCAACTGGTGGTCGTTGCGCTCTCCGAGACGCAACACTTTAGGGGCAGACCTATATCGCTACGGAGGTGGGCCATCGTCTCTGCGACAATGACAGAGTATACATGGAACGAGGGGGCGGAGAAAGGAGATGCGCAATGGTCGTGGTTGGGGAGTCTATACTCCGATTTTGCACGCATGCCTGCACCTGTAGAAGCGGAACCATGCGTATACATCAGCTCTCCTAGGTGAGTCCTCGCTCCGTGTTAGGTGTAAGCGAATAAAACGTGTCGTTTACTCAGGCTCACACCTACGTACAGTCTGCAGGTCAAGCGGGTCGATCACGTCTATCACAGGCATTCATGCATGTGGTCATACGAGGATACGAAGCTCCAGGATACCCCGCATGTGTTGCATGGTGGAAAGACGTCGAATGGCTCCGACGTCTGGCAGTCCTTCTGTTTCGTGGTAGTGCGCCGGATGCCCACATGTGCAGGAGAAGAGCCGACCGTCGCAGTAACAATCAAGAGTCCGTACTTGAGAGCAGCTTGTCAGGACGTCATTGGTGAGATCGAGGGCATCTCGTGGACGGCCGACCCTCTCGAGGTACGTGTTGCTCTACTATCATACTGCACTGCAGCCCCTAACCCGTTTTTGATCGCAGCTTCCAGTCGATCTGTTGATCCAAGCATTCCCCAAGCTCGTAAAGTACCGCCAAGGATTTGAAGGCAGAGCGGGCCGCTCGAGCGATGACGGCAAGGTGCTCGCCAGCCTCGAGGTCCTCATCAACTACTTGCGCGAAGACCACGGAGTCATCATCTCTCAGATCGCCGGCCTGCTGGCACACGAGGAGATAACTTGGGATCTGTTCCACGCCATTCTACTTCCCGGCACGCTGCTCGTCAGCACGGATGCGGCGACGGGAGAGCCCCGCGCTCTACAGCTCAAGCAGTTCGACAAGGGAGCTCAAGGATACGTCCTGAACTGCGAGGGCATCGATGTCATGGACGTTGAGCTGGACGACGTCGCTGACTCTGATCTGGCGCATGCTCTACCCGCGAAGCGATTCTGCAGGGTCGAGCACACTCGGTGCATCCCGCGTTTCAAGGGGATAGTGAAGATCAATACGTTGCCTGCGTACCCAATCGAGTATCACAGCAATGAGGGGGGTCTGAGGGCGGCACTCCTTGCTCGGGCGCGCAAGTGGATCGACTTGTACGGAGTGCAGCATGTGCGGTATCAAGGAATTGCTGTCTATAATCGCAAGAAATACGAGGTGAGTCGCGCAGAGTCACAGAGCAGGCTGTATCCACTGACGTTGTGCGACGAGATTGATTCCAGGATGATGATCGACGGAGGTGATGAGATCGTACCTGTCGCTGTCAGAGTCTTGATCTGACGACGATGCAGCTACGTTCAGACACCATAATCCGAACTACGACATGCCTGAGGAAGTTGATCAGACAGAGTTCAGAGTCATTCAAGCAGAAGTAACCATTCCGGACTCAGACATCAGACGAGCATACACCCTGACACGCGACCCGGACGCGGCGTCCGATGCTGGGGAGACAACTATCCCGCAGTATTTCAGTTGGCAACTGCCAGACAACGATCTCATTCTCGCTTCACCCGTGCTGTACGGGTTCAGCCTTTCCGACAAGCTATGGCGTGAGTACCTAGCATTTAGGCTCATGCATCCGCTCACCACTCGTGTACCAGTCGAGTTCAACGTCGAGAAAATCCACCCCATCGTATGGTCCGATGAGCCCTTCACGAACCTTGTACTCCCGGGCAATCGCAGGGAGCTCCTGCGATCCCTCATAGAGGCGCACAACTCCAACATCAATTTCGACGACTTCGTACAAGGGAAGGGCCAGGGCCTCGTCATCAATCTCTTCGGTCCTCCGGGAGTTGGAAAGACTCTGTCTGCGGAGGCAACCAGCGAGCACCTAAAGAGACCGCTTTACATGATCGGGGGCGGGGACCTTGGTACCGACGCCAACGCTGTCGATACTGCTCTCAAGCGCGTCTTCAGTATAGCTACGCGCTGGGGGGCGATTGTCCTCATAGACGAGGTATCTTCGTCTACTTGTCTGCTGCCAGTGCTAGCTGTACTAACGCCGGCGCTGTAGGCAGACGTATTCCTAGAACAGCGCTCTATGCATGACTTGTTGCGTAATGCCATGGTCGCGGTCTTGTACGTGTCCTTATCGCATTTGAGCGGCGATCCTTCTGACTCGTGGTTCTGCTAGTTTGCGGCATGTCGAATATTACCGCGGGATCCTTTTCCTCACCACAAACAGGGTGACGGCGTTCGATCCAGCCTTCCTCTCTCGTATCCACGTTGCCCTGCATTACCGGGAACTGAGCAAGGAAGCGAAACTCAAGATTTGGCAGGCTTTCCTTCATAAAGTCAATGTGGACGGCCTCACCGCAGAGCAGCTAGCCGATCTCGTCAGTCGAGAGGTCAATGGGCGCCAGATCAAGAACGCTACCAGGACGGCCACCTCGCTGGCCAGGAGCCGTGGAGAGACGCTGGGGTACAATCATCTCGCTGAAACCCTAGATGCGATGGAAGACTTCGAGAGGGAGTTCAATGCCATATCCCGCGTTGGCCTGTGACAACCGTAGTGTGGTTGTACGCGGTACATAGATGGCTCACTGTCGTGCTCTAGTATGGTGTGTGAGACAACAGCGCAGTACATGATATTTTCATTTTGATAAATCTCATTCTTGAATCCGCCGGTTCCCAGAGCATGCGTCAACGTTCAGACCAGAGTTGGACGGACAGCCGAAGGAATCGAATCGGAGGCCAAATTATCATAGGTTCGACGATTTGAACCTGCCGCCGCCAGTGTGTTTGGGCCGGCCGTAAGTTATAACGCGTTAACTTTCCAAGAATCAACGTACTTAGCCGTTGCGAGTTTGCGGACGGTTTCGCGTTGACGCGTTGACGCCGGGTGGCACCGGGCACGGTACCGTGACCGCGTCGAAACCGGGTCGCGGCTAAGCTCGATGGCACTCGGAACTCGTACTTCTTTGACTCCATCCTCGACGGTTCTGCTCTCCGTTGCTCTGGTCTGGAAGCTTGAAACTTATTACCTGTGGAACTAATGAAGGCTCAGCGGCCTTGCCTCCTTCCACTTTCCTTTGGAGTTGGACCGTGACGTGACGAGCATGAATATCATATCCTATTCGAGTTCCTGTACTGTGACTGTTCCATGCGCATTCTGGCTTCCACCACCACCACCAAGAATTTCCGTTACCTATATTCTCGCTCAACATGGATCCTTTAACCCACCAAGAGACATTGGTCGTCTTGGCCTCTATGGGTGTCCAGCTGCCTCCGACACAAGGATGCCGGATGACGCTCTGCAGAAGCGGCTCAGACTAGCATTGAACTGCGCACAATATGTATCAAAGGTGCTAAGAAATCCTCCACTCAATCCAACTGTGCTACCCGCGTGGTCGGGCTCAGTGTATGAGAGTGTAACGAGGACTAACTTCCTCGAAGCATACCAAACCTCTCAAGGCATGGAAATGGATGTGTACACAAACCCGATGCACGATGCTCGACAGACCCTTATGGCGATTGCGAAATGTTGGGACAACGGATATAGCTGGTTGTTGGTGCAGGACCATGCGGAACAGTGTGCCATCTCAGTCAGGGTGAGTCGCTCGGCTACACGATATTTCAAGCTTGACTGATCACGACATTGATTGGCTTCAGTTGTTGTCCGTGCTGAGGCTCAACGAGGACACGCCGGTCGTCGTCTTGATGTATCAATCTAACGCGCGAGCGACCGCCATGAAATGGGTCCACCAGATGCAAGCCAATATACCCTACCCCTGGCCCCACGGGCATCATCAATGCGACGCCTCTCGGACAGACGCTCCTGCTCAAGCTGCTGTCCATCAACAAGAAACTGCTGCCTCCCACATATGCGCCACAGAGGGAGTCCACGGAGCAGAAGTTCCATGTCTCCTTCCTCCTCCCGTTCGGTCCGCTCGGCTACGAGGACATAGGAAAGCTTAACAAGGACACAGGCTGTGTTCTTTGCGGGCGCAAGACAGCGAGCCGTTGTAGGCAATGCCAATCTGTGTCCTACTGCGGAGCAGGTGCGTGACCGTGGAACGTGTGCGCGCACATCTTGCTGATGCTACGTTTAGATTGCCAGAAGGCGGACTGGCCTGACCACAAACATGCCTGTCGAACCCTCAAAGGTGGAACTTGGCGTACTCTTCCCTTCTTGACCGTGTTGCCCGGCAGGGAAGGCATGTTTGCGACCAGGATCAATAGGTTCTCCCAGGCGAGCGATATGCGCCCTAATGCCATGCCCGAGGACCCAAATGTCGCCCCATCAAACACACACGGTGACCACCTCTTCCTCGTGAAGATCCTGATAGAGGCGATGACGCGAGATCATCTCGTGATCTACGACAGGCAGGGCTCCATCATGGTGTACTTTGTGAAGGGCAAGAATCCGGGGTTGTTTGACGAGATGGAGAGGGAGATGCGTGGCCCGCGGGAAGGTATGGTGGGCTGAAGATGTATCGATGGGCGAAGCGCGTCAGCGATTGGGAATTGAGTGTCTGTGTGGACAGGGAACCGCAGACGGAGATCCAATGGTGAACGGTTCAGGTGAGCTCGCTTTCACAAGTTCCGCGGCAACATACTGTGACTTACCTCGCATGCCGCAGGCATATGTAACCCTAGTGTCGCCGCATCATGTCAATATCTAAACTCGAAGGTGTCTGCGTGTCTTTACGTCGGTATAGCCTCTGCTTCCTTTGGTGCCCTGATCTGGGCCTCTTCAGCCCATTGCCTACCATGTATCAGCCGGAACTTGCAGCGCCACGATATTTAACTGATTCTACGCACCAGAACGTGGCAAGTACTCTCAACGAGACACCAGAATTCATCACAGGACCACAATCGTCGCACAAGCGAGCCGTGAGTGCCATATCGTTACCCCATGTGTTCTACTCATCATTGTCGTGTACCGCTCTGAGTCGTTCCGCCGCCAAGCGCTGCGGCCGGATCACACTGGTTACGCAGCACGCCTAGCCCCGATGAGTGCTCAGCTGCAGCACATATGTGATAAGGCGTGTGTCACTGGCTGAGCATGATCAGGAGGACCCGCATGAAGGTCACTTGTACCGACGAGATGAAGGCGGTAAGCACTACCTGTATTTGGCAGGGAAGCGTATCATCTCACTGGATTGCGGCAGAACACCTTCCTAGTTGGAAGAGCACCCCTGCCTGATACACCGGTACCGTGAGCTGCGCGATATGCCTTTCCCTCGAATGCCAACGCTGGCATGGACAGCTGCCTCATTGTCAGTATCATTTCTGGATCTCCGAGTCACTTGAAGGCCTCGGTGCCTGTCATGGTATCTCACGCCGTATTAGGTTCACGATTGCGAAGAGCGAGCAAGTGGCTGTACGTTCCAGTGATATGTATCTCCATGGATGTGGCAGTTGAGTCAAAGCGGTTCCGGTGGTCGCGATGCGGTATATAGGGACTATTCCTGAAGACGTGTAGGAGGTTCAGCCTCCCATAATACCTGGTCCCCCCAGCAGTCGCCAAGTCGGGGCGAGAACGAACTGGGAACACAAGCTATCGACAACAATGGCGATGAACGGGAGCATCGAAAAAGAGGGGACAGAAAGGAAAGAACGGCGATGGAGGTTGTTCCAGGACAAGAGGGGACGCGGTGAGGATGCCAAGCTGTGTGCAGACGCCAGCTCTAGGTGCGTCTCTTACTAGAAGTACCCCCGTACCACAAGTCTCACCGGCATTGTTTGTGTCTTCGCCCAGTCTGCGAGTGAAGCGAGTAGACCATGTCTTCAATATGCAAACGCGCGCATGGACGTACAAAGATACCAAGGTCAAGTCTGCCTCGCAGGTCTTGACCGGCGGCAAGACATCGGACGGCTCCGACGTCTGGCAGTCGTTTTGCTTCGTGGTTGTGCGCAACATTCCTCCGGAGGACTCCCCACCAGGCGTGGAGCCGACGGTTGCACTAACGATTAAGAGCCCATACCTGCGAACGGCATGCCAAGATGTCATCGGCGACATTCCCGGGCTCTCTTGGACAGTTGATCCTCTTGAGGTAGCCCCTCATTTCACGGACTCGATCGAACTGTTCTAACGAGCTCGGGCAGCTCTCTATAGACCTGTTGGTCTCCGCTTACCCGCGCTTCGTGGAATACCAATCAGATCTGAAGAAGAGCACAGACCGTTTGAGTGACGAGGACAACGTCCTCCGGAGCCTCGAAGTCCTCTTGGACTACTTGCGGACAGATTTTCAGGCCACCATCTCCCAAATCTCTAACCTCCTCGCACATGAAGAGATCTCGTCGGACCTGCTCTACGCCATCCTGATCCCTGGGACACTGCTGGTCACCACGGATCCTTCGACAGGCGAACCTTGCGTCCTGCAGCTCAAGAGCTTCGCAAAAGGCACGACGTCGTACACGCTGAACGGCGAGGGCCTCGATGTTATTGACGATCCGCAGGACAACAACACAGACAATGTTTCGGCGCCAGCTGGGGCTACGACGAAGTTCGGTAGGGTCCTCCGCAGCATTCAGATCCCACATTTCCGAGGGGTCGTCAAGATCAACACGCTTTCCGCATACCCGATGTCCTATCATAGCAACGAAGCGCGTCTGAAAGAGGCTCTCCTCGCTCGGGCACGCAAGTGGATGAAGCTGAGCGGTGTACATCATATGCACTACCAAGGGACTGCCGTCATCGGGGTCGAAACCCAATGTGGAAGAGTGTACATCAAATACCAGGTGAGTCGTGTCACGTTGAAGGGAATCGCGGTTACTTACTTCCGTACAAACAAGACCGATTCAAGGACCATCATCGACAGAGGTAATGTTGTTGCAATTTCTGCTGCAACTTTACTGAGACTTCGCAGGCGCATTCAAGCAGAACAACGCAAACTATGCGATGTCTCAGCCTGCTGCTGTGCAGGCATCGCAACCCAGGCAACGCTCTCGACCTAACCGACGTCGTCGTGGGGAGCCAGCCGTCAAGGCCGAAACTCTGCGTGTTAAAACGGAGAGTCAATCAGTTGGATTGCCAGACGACGAGCTCATCCTGGCATCACCTGTGTTGTACGGCTTCAGTCTGTCCGACAAGATGTGGCGTACGTTTCACTGACATCCGCATTTCCCACTGGGTACTGACCTATTTCATCTACTAGTCGAGTTCAATGTCGAGAAGGTCCGCCCTATCGCATGGTCCGACGAGCCGTTCACGAACCTCGTACTCCCAGGCAATCGGAGAGACCTCTTGCGATCCCTCGTGGAGGCACACAACTCTAATCTCGATTTCGACGACTTCGTCCAGGGGAAGGGACAAGGTCTCGTCATCAACCTCTTCGGCCCTCCCGGAGTCGGAAAGACCCTGTCTGCGGAGGCGACTAGTGAACATCTCAAGCGACCGCTGTACATGATCGGTGGTGGTGACCTTGGGGCCGACGCGAACACCGTTGATACTACGCTGAAGCGTGTTTTCAGCATCGCTGCACGCTGGAGGGCCATCGTCCTCATAGATGAGGTGATTTTATTGACTCGACGTGCTGGCCAACCTAACATCTCGAATGCAGGCCGACGTGTTCCTAGAACAGCGCTCTATGCATGACCTGATGCGCAACGCCATGGTCGCAGTGTTGTATGTCACCTCTCACCCTTCAGAGGCGCTTTTCTGATTCGTCCTTGTGTTAGTTTGCGGCACGTCGAGTACTACCGCGGAATCCTATTCCTCACCACGAACAGAGTTAAGGCCTTCGACCCCGCCTTCCTGTCCCGTATACACGTCGCTCTCCGGTTCCAGGAACTGAGCAAAGAAGCGAAGCTCAAGATCTGGCAGGCTTTCCTTCAGAAGGTCAAGGTCGATGACCTCCCCTCCGACGAGATAGACAATCTCGTCGGCCGAGAAGTAAACGGACGTCAAATCAAGAATGCTACCAGAACGGCTACCTCGCTGGCTAAGAGCCGTGGAGAGAAGCTGGGATACAAGCATCTTGCGGAGACTCTCGATACGATGGTTGAGTTCGAGAACGAGTTCACGGCTATATCTCATGAAATGTAAAGAACACCAGTCGGTGGCTACAATTGAGACGAATGCGATGCAGTGGCTGCCATCCAAACTGGTGCAGTCGTTGTTGAACAACTATGCATGGGTCCGGCCGAGCGCGAGATCCCGGCCCGATACAGTACGAGACGCCGTTGCGTGGTGTTGTAGCTTTTTGTAGACGACCGCGACAGCGCTAGTTCATTCTCAGCATTTCGTGTAATGTGGTTCATCATCTTTGCGACCGATGCACTCTAGCATCTCGGCTTGAGGAGCCTTCAACACCGGTCATCGTAGCTGAACGCGCGGCGGACGGGCGAGTGGAAGTCAAGGTGACGCCGACACAAAGGTCCGCTGCTGGCTTGTGGAGTCTCCGGAAACAACAGGTCCTGCTTGTACCTCTGGATAAGAACGTGCGTATATCTCTTGAAGGCCTACTTTTGCTTCTGGTGAATGCAAGTCCCGCTTTTCCCGGGCTGTGCCAGAAGTGTTGCGTCAAGGCGAAACGCAGTGGGCTTGTCTATTGCAACTACTGCTCTCGCTTCCAATCATTTCACCCCCCTAAACCAACGTGTTCAAAGCCTGCAGAGTTCTCTGAGCATAACTGGTACCTGGGTGTCTCTGTGAGTACAAGGTTGCTGCTCCCTGCTGCCTCGAGGCTCACTCCTCCGCACCTCCGCCCTGCAAAAGAGGCCTAGCCGTGTTAATGACTTTATCTGAACGCTATCGCTATGCTGGTAAGTGCTACTTCTTGCCATGCACAAGCCATGCACTTTTTTGGACCGCTCCCATGGACTCGATCGCATTCTCATGAGCACATCGGGGTCAGATGCTCTCATGCGCAAAGTTTAACCAACTCTTCACCCTCCGATTCGCTCATGCCGAGACGTTATGCTATTCCGAGGGTGTCACAGATCGGCGGTATGACGCCAATCAATATAACCACATCGGCCATTAGGCGGAGACCTGAACGTCTCGAGACTCAGTCGCGAACGCGGAGGGTGCAGCACCACGGGTCCCCACTTCGCACTTCTTCTGGGGGCCTCGACGTGCTCATCCACCCTTCCTCCAGTCCTCCTCACGGCATTGCAATATAGAGCCCTCATCTTAGCCCTTTGTGCGTTTACAATCGCCGGCGATCTATCAACACGTGTTGTCCTCGCATGGATAAGGCTCAATAGCGCTACATCGGAACACGCCTTTGCAGCACGTCGTTGGTGCATGATCGCGGGACTGCGGAAGCGGCCGGGGCAATATCTACGGGCAGCGAGGTCTACCTCCAGAGCGCTCCCTACGTATACGACGTGGCCATGACGGCAGCGCGTGTGTACCGTACCCAATGCACCTTCTCATTATTCACTTCGCGTATGTCAACTGACCGTTTATGAGCAGACCGCGCCTGCCATGTTCCCTTTAATCGAGGACGAAGGCCGGTGCGTCTATTAACCAAATATCTACCTCACACTGCCTGGCGCTGACCATGCCTCCAGCACTGAGTACCCCTTCCCCCCTGTGCCGTCGACCGCTATGGATGCCGTTGAGCCGTCTTCATCATCCAGCGATACGCTTCCCTCGGCGCCGTCGAGGATAGGCTCGCGAAGCTCACGATCGTCACCTGCGCCACCTCACGCCCCACGCGACCGAGACTATGCCTACGACCGAGAGCACTCCTGGGGGGGCACGGGCGGGAAGGCAAAGCTGCTCGCGCGGCTGATGACGCGTTCGGAACGCGACGCGAACCATTACCGGTCGATGCTCATGCTCGCGAATGAGCGGCTGGAGCACGAGACGCGGCGTGCGGACGACGCGGAGCAGCGCGCCATTGACACGCTACAGCGCCTCCGGCAGACGCGTGAGCAGGCCGCGCAGGCGCAGGCGGATACCGCGCGCGCGAACGAGGAGACGAGGCTGTGGAAGCTGCGCCTGGAAGAGGCGCAGAGGGAGATCCTGCGCGCGCAGGAGATCGTGGACAGGCTGGAGCAGGACAAGCTGGATGCGGAGGCTGAGGCGGCGCGGGCGAGGACGGTTGCGAGGAGACTGAGGGAAGAGAAGGTGATTTCCAGAGCCAGGGAAGAGGGACACCGCCAGGGCTTCCAAGAGGGCCTCAGCAAGGGGAGGGAGATGACCTACTACGAGGCCCGAGCAGCCGGCATTGCGTCTCGGAACGAGCCTAGGAGATATATACAACGCCCGGCGGTCGTCGACGACATGTCCGACGAAGAGGAGCAGGAGGAAAACGCCACGGGAAGCGGGAGTCAGCCGGAAGAGATCATCCCCATCACACGTTCACCTCCGCCCCAGTCATGGCGACCGCCTTCTCGGTAGGTCATACCTGTTTGGTGCTTCTCGGTTGACCCGATGTCATTCTACCCCTGTAGCTCGGCGGAGACCAGGTCGAGCATGCGCAGCCCGCCCAGGGAACCTACCAGCCCCATCAGAGTGAGGAGCCCACGCATAGCGGCGCCTTCTCCCATCCATCCCAATGTACCACCACCTGCTACGACACCTAACCCAATACCCGTACCGGATCCTAGCGCAGGTCGCTCGCAATCCCGTCATGACGATACCGTCCACCCTATTTCTGTTCACAACGCTGTGCCTTCGCCTTCGCACCCACCCGTCGAAATACCTCCGGACAACTGGATTCCGTACATGAGCAGTGACAACGTGATAGGACTGCCGCCACCCCATGAGCTGACGAAACCCTTGTCGCCTCGTGCTTCCTCTCCCTCCTTGATTGACACCACCATGCGCGTGCCCGCATCGAGCACGGCGGTCTACGAGCAGCCCGTTCGCTCGCGGGACTATGCATACATAGCCGGCGCGGGCCCGTCACAACCTCACGGGTCAGCCTTCTCACCTCTTTCGAAGGCCTCTACCGCGATCTCTCAATATGAAATTGTCAGCTCGCGCGGGGAACGGGAAAGGTCGATGAGCCACGGTCGATCTCGCTCAGACGTCTTGGCTGGGTTGAGGGAAATGATTGGTTCGCCGAGCGGGCGCTCGAAGACTCCATCGAGGCAGACACGAGAGGACGTACGTTCCATTGCGCACCAGTATCACGAGTGATTCTAATGTGACTGTTTTGTGTCGTAAGCGTCCAATACAGTCCCCGAGAGGACCCCGTCCGAAGGAAGAGCCGTTCACCGAAGTACCTGACCTTGCACGCTCTCAGATTCCGGCTCGTTCACGAACACCGGCTCGATCGAAGACACCGGCACGGCCTGAAACTCCAGGGCGAGTGGATACCTCCGGAGGCAAACCGAGCGCCTTGGACAGGCTGTTCAAGAAGAAGTGGAGGAACCGGACATCCACCAGCAGTGGTGTACCAGACATCCAAGTGGAGTCTCCGGTAAGCCCTTCGCTCAGCGTTCGAACGTAATATTCATCAGCTGGACATCGCAGTCTACGAACGACGTGTCACCAGCAACTTCCGCGGGTACCATTTCACAACCTCACATGCTGAGTCCTGAGACTTCCCACACCGACCTACCAAGCCTGGAAGTCGTGCACAACTACATTGACCCAGCACTGATGGAGAGTAAGGATAAACGAGGTCTGCCGTCCTTGCCCGGGGCCGACTTTGCTGCTCCAGGGGACGTGCCTGTGATGCAAGAGGGGCAGCTACCGCCTGGCTTCGTGGCCTTCACATCATCCATACCTCAGCCAGGTTTTCCAAGCAGGTCGAACACCCCATACGCACCCATGTATTCGGACGCAGATCCGAGCACATCGTCAAGGACCGACTCCACCCGATCGAGGACAACCAGTAGTTCCCGCAGATCAGCGGGAACGGCAAAGCCTGCCACACCCAAGCCTCGTTCTGGACCGGCGTACGAGGAGGCACCGCTTCCGCCTGGTATGTTCTACCCCGCCCCGCCTGGAAGAGGCCCGACACCGGGCGTTGCAGCGGGCGTGCCCCTCCCGCCGTCGCCCCCGCGCTCGGCGACCCCAAGAGCAAGAAGAGGGAGTATCTCGTCGGCTCTGTCACCACTTGCAATCCCACAACTGCTCTCAGACTTACGGACGCCTTTATGAAGCCATGAACTTCGCCTCGACCACGCATATAATGTATCAAGCTGTCTCATTTCTGTTTGCATTGTTCTAACATTGTTCCGCCAAGCCGCATGTTGTCTGTTGTCTCGTCATATCATTGTCCTTCACACGTGTACCAACATTGCATAGCATACTTTTCTCCAGCCAACCCGCGATACACCACAGGATCCGCCGTTGAAGCGTCCCAGTCTGCTTATCAGAAAGCACATTGCCTCGGACTGTCATGAATGATATCGTACATTGAGGCTTCAAATCGTCACATCTGCGTATACAGGTCGATGATCGCTAGCAAGGACACCATCGTCCGTCAACGACGTCCCCACTTTGTACGCGTCCGCGGTCCTGATACGCGTGTCAGTCGCGTTCTGTCGTCTAACGCATGTTTTGCACTCACCATCCGCCGTTGCTCCCGCCGAACACGAAGTCGATCCTCGTGTACACGCTCGGGTCCCCGGGGCGGTTGAAGCCCGTGAACGTTGCGAAGTCGCCCGACACGCGCATGCGCGGCGTCTCCGCCTTCAAGTCCACCCCCACGAACGCGTCCTTCTCGTCTCCGCGCGTGGGGACCTTGTACTTCTCCGCGAACGTCTCGTTGATGGGCACAGGCGGGACCACGCCCGTGACGATCTGGTATGCGCCCGAGTCGTACCCGTGCGACGCGCTGTTGAAGTCGCCGGTGATGAAGACGGGGCCGGAGGTGGTGTGCGCTTCGTAGCGGGCGCGCGCGAGGAGCATCGAAGCGGCGAGGCGGCGCTGGGCGTCGGAGCGGTCGTCCAGGTGTGAGTTAAGGATCGTAAAGGTCTTCGTGGATGTCTTGAAGCGGGCGACCTCGCACACGCGGAAGGAGCCTGCGTCGGGATACCTCGATGGCTCGAATGGCTTGTCCCTGTGAACTCGGGCGGTTCACGTTGAATTCGATGCTCTCGCTCAATGTTAAAGATGACTTACGAGAGCCAGAAGGATTCATGATGGACCAATGTCAGATCCGACCTGCATGCTCGGGCTATAGTGAGCTCAGCGGTACAAGACGGGGTACGGGCCGGGAGTACTTCTTGTAGAAGATAGGACAGAATTCGCCGGCTTGCTTGCCGTCGTCGCGTCCTACGCCGACCTATGCAAGGGAGGATTCTGGTCACTCTGAATTCCCCGTGACGATGTTTGCAGCACTGACCCAGGCCCAGTCATCCCCAAGTAACTCTGCCAGGTCGTAAACTTGCCTGACTAGGGATTCCTGGAAGGCTTACAAACGTGTGAGTGAGTGAACATTACAGAAATAAGGGTAATTAAGCGCACCAATCAAGTTGGGCTCCTCCTGCAACAGCTGTTGTGCTACCTTCAATCTCCTCGTACTCCAAGGCACCTCTCCCGACCGTCCAAGAAAGCGCGGTCGTTCCAGCGGATTCGGCAGGGCTTCAATAGACTCGCGAACAGATATCCTGTCTGGCTGAGAGTCGTACCGCAGGTTGTACGTTGCTATGCGCATCCTGCCGTGGTGATGCGGTCCGAAGATGCAGCGGAAGATGTGACTAGGCTTCAGGATCCAGAGGAAGAGTGCGAGGACGATGGCGAAGGGTGCCTTCATGTACTCCTGAACGGACGTTGAGCGGTGATTCTCGATGGCTTATCGGAAACAATATTGGGTGTATGCAATGTGCATGTGTACATACATACTGCCTTGGCTAGCATTGGGCTGGCACTGACGGCACGACGTTGCGGGCCTCATGAAACATGTACTCACCTCGTGCTCCCACCACTCAGATAGAGAACCAGCTGGGTATGTATGCTTCCAGTTCGGCGCGGTGCGAACTACTAACAATGTCCGGATGCGTGGTCTCAATCACTAGTAGGCGCAACGAGCTCGGTACGCTTGACCACAAGTATGCGGTGCGGATGTCAGTTTAACTATCACCACGGTTGGGTCACCGGCAGTACTGGGAGTCTACGTGTGTGATCCAGAGCGCGAAACGTAGCGATCCGTCGTCAGAGATGCGGAGGCGGTCGCGGAGGTGGCAGGCTCAAGCTGAGGTAGGCTCTGTTGACGCTCGCAACAGGATGTGTGTTTACATAGGAATCAAATTCGTCGTCAAATTCGCATTTCGCTCTTGGTCCCACTACTCAACATGAACCAGTATTCGGAAAAGTATCAGGTTGAATCATGTCCCATCTGTCAGTCCACTGTACACACAAGAGAACCTAATGCTATATGAATTACAATCTGGCTTACTGCTGCCGCCAACGCGCCCTACGATGACGCGAACTCTTCCATCGCATCAAGGGTCTCAGCAAGGTGCTTATATCCCAGCTGTTCCCCACGACTTCTCGCCAGCGATATCGCGGTCCTGGTAGCATTCTTGATCTGGCGCCCGTTGACCTCCCGACTGACGAGATTGTCTAGCTCGTCCGCCGTGAGGTCGTCCACCTTGACCTTCTGAAGGAAAGCATGCCAAATTTGGAGCTTCGCTTCCTTGCTCAGTTCCTGGAAGCGGAGAGCGACATGAATCCGGGACAGGAAGGCTGGATCAAAGGCCTTGACCCTGTTCGTGGTGAGGAATAGAATGCCGCGGTAGTACTCGACGTGCCGCAAACTAACAGAGCGGGTCAGAAGGATTGCCATGCACAGGTGAAGAGATAGCGCACAAGACTGCGACCATAGCATTGCGCGTCAGATCATGCAATGAGCGCTGCTCCAGGAATACATCGGCCTATGCGCGCGGTTCAGTATGGCTCGCACCGACAGCCGAACAACGAGGGAAGTCACCTCGTCAATGAGGACAATAGCACTCCAGCTGGCAGCTATACTGAAGACGCGCTTCAGGGTGGTATCAACGGTGTTTGCGTCAGCCCCGAGCTCCCCACCCCCGATCATGTACAGCGGCCGCTTGAGGTGCTCGCTAGTCGCCTCCGCAGACAGAGTCTTGCCTACTCCAGGGGGCCAAACAGGTTGATGACGAGACCTTGTCCCTTCCCGTGGACGAAGTCGTCGAAGTCGAGGTTGGAGTTATGCGCCTCTACGAGGGATCGCAGGAGGTCTCTCCGGTTACCCGGGAGCACGAGGTTCGTGAAGGGCTCGTCGGACCACACGATTGGGCGGACCTTCTCGACATTGAACTCGACTGGTATATGAATCTGGTCAGTATGCAGCGGACAACACGGATGTCAGTAACGTACGCCACAACTTGTCGGACAAACTGAAGCCGTATAATACAGGCGAGGCCAGGATGAGATCGTCGTCTGACAGTTCGACTCGATGCTTTTCGGGAGCGTTCATGACATGCAGAGTATCAGTCTGTGCCACGGGTGGAGGGTAAAAGCCCTGTTGAGCTGTATCATTGAGTGGTTGGGCTTGAGGTATCTGATAGTTTGCGTTGTGATGCTTGAATGTCCCTGGTAAGTGAATGTTTCGACGTCTAGCAATGTCTGATACAGCATGACTTCGAATACCGACCTCTGTCGATCATGATCCTGGAATCAATCTTGTCGATATTTCGGTCAATACTGTAATCCAAATTGAGAAGCAAACGGTGCACCTCGTATTTTATGTACGTCTTGCCCATGGGCGAGTTTGCCGCGCTCACAGCTGTCCCCTGGTAGTGCACATGGTGCACGCCATTCAAAGTCATCCATCTGTGAGCCCGAGCGAGGAGCACCTCCTTCAATCCTGCTTCGTCACTGTGGTATTTCATGGGGTAGACAGGTAGCATGTTGATTTTGATGACTCCCTCAAAGCGTGCTAAGTTCAGCGGGCGCTGAACCTTACCGAACCGCGGGGGCTTTGCAGCTTGCGCTGTCTGCGAAGGCGTACCAGCAACATTGTCGCCGAACAGGACCTGTGGCTGCGGCATGTCCAGGACGTCGACTCCCGTGCAAGAAAGTACATGGAACATAGGCCCCCTCGCGCAGCTATTGAGTTTGAGGGCGCAAGGCTCCCCTGTCGAGGAATCCGTGCTGGCGAGCCGCGTACCGGGAATGAGGATGGCATAGAGCAGATCATACGTGATCTCTCCGTGTTCGAGGAGGTTATCGATTTGGGAAATAGTATTCTGGTGGTCCTCACGCAAGTATCCTATGAGAAGTTGGAGGTCATCAAGGATGTTTCCCTCCTCGCTCGAGCGGTCGGCCTTGCTTTCAAGTTCGTCTCGGTACGCGACAAATCGCGAGAAGAACGCGATCAACAGATCTGTGGAAAGCTGGCATAATTTGTCAGGCAGTCGTTGAGGGTGCCAGCGGGACGGGAGATACCTCCAGAGGGTCAACCGTCCAGGACATCGTGGGAACATCCCCGATGACATTCTTGCACGCAGCCACCAAGTACGGGCTCTTGATCGTGAGCGACACCGTAGGTTCTGTACCCGGAGAGGAATTCCCCGGAGGGATCTTGCGTACGACCACGAAGCAGTACGACTGCCAGGCGTCCGAGCCGTCTGACATCTTGCCGCCGCGCAGGATTTGTGGCTCAACGAGGACTTTGGTATCCTCGTACGTCCACATACGTGTCATCATGTTGTAGACATGGTCGACACGCTTCACCTGGAGACTAGGCTGAGACATGTTAGGTGAGTATGGGCTGCACCGCGGGAAGGAAGGTAGATGAAGATAGAGTTCATCGTCATCTTCATTGTCGGGTCCTATATAGGACGCACTGCAGGTCTCGGAGCCGCAGTGTATCACAGGCTGTGACAAGTGCACAGATTAACGCAGCCAAAGTGCATGTCCATTCGCACTCTGACATGATGGAAGCGACTGACAGATCCGTGCAGTCAACTGAAGTCCTTGCATCCGTCGGCCGCTGCAGCTAGTTGCAAGGGCAACCAATAAGTATGGTCATGAACCATTCGTGCCCTATACTGTGCTGGATGAGGCAAGCAAGTGAACAGATCGAGACTCTGAACATACATACTCATCATCCCAAGTGGGACCGTGCCACGGTAAGTAGTGCCTTGTAGGCCGCGAAGTGACGCTCGGAGTCAACTCGGAGTTGAGTCACGTCGAGAATCAGTTAATTGACATGTGTCGCCTACCACATACAGTGGTAATAGGACCGCCTCGAGGTCTTTGATATGATGAGATTTGGTACTCACATAGAGCCCTTCATCACGCCGCGGTCGTTGCGACGAGTACATGCGACCTCCCTGTGGGTGTATTGGACTCCGATGCCGTACCAGTCCTTGGTACAAGAGGTGCCAGGAAGCGGGTCAGGTCATGCCCGAAGCAATGCGAGATCTCGTCGCCCTCTCTTATCCTAATATCAGGTGGTCAACCAATCACAACGTCATTGAGTCTTACAACAAGACTGCGAAGTCGCTCGCGAACTCTTCCATCGCATCAAGGGTCTCTGCAAGGTGGATATATCCAAGTTGCTCCCTACGACTTGTCGCCAGCGAGATCGCGGTCCTGGTAGCATTCTGACGTCCATTAACCTCTCGACCGACGAGATTGTCTAGCTCGTCGGAGGTGAGGTTGCGAACATGGACCTTCTGGAGGAAAGCCTGCCAGATCTTGAGCTTCGCTTCTTTGCTCAGTTCGTGGAACCGGAGAGCGACGTGAATCCGGGACAGGAAGGCGGGATCGAAGACCTTGACTCTGTCTGTGGTGAGGAATGAGATGTCGCGGTAGTACTCGATGTGCTGCAAACTAACAGAGCCACGGGCCCCGGTCAGAAGAGCCACCACTCATAGGTAGGGGGACAACGTACAAGACTGCGACCATGGCATTACGCGTCATGTCATGCAAAAACCGCTGCTCCAGGAAGACGCATGAGGTGAGCGATGAATTTGTGCAGTCACTGAGTCAGGCCTAGGCTTTTGCATCTGTCGGTCAGTGCATTGTAACTTACCGGCGGACAATGAGAATTAATATGCACATAGGGCACTCGTGCATTGACGTGCTGGACGAGACGAGCAAGTGAACGGTCAAAACCAAGGGTCATCCCAACTGGGGCAACGCCTTCGCGAAGTGACGGTAGACCCTCGGAGTTGTTGTGTCGAGATTCAGTTGATTGCTGTGACGTGTCTCGCCTGCCGCAAATAGTACCGCCTTTAGACATGACCGATGTATTCAGAATGTACTCACTTGCGGCTCTCAATCTATTGTCACGATTGTGTGCAGCCTCCCGACTCGCAATTGCCATGCCTTGATATATGGGGTATGCCAGGAAGCCAGTCAAATCATGTTCAACGTATAATTAGATGTTGTCTTCTCGTGTCCTAATACGATATAGGGTGGTATACTTATGGGGTCTAGCCGCATGCTCCAGTTAGGTAAAGTGAGATTTTCGACACGCCGAGCAGTAGTGAAGTTACGCACCAGGTAAGTACTAATAGTAGTACGCGTTGTGTTCTACTGAGACTAAGTTACTTACACGCAAGAACGATGCACGTGATGGAAAAGCGGCGGTTCACCCCCCAATTGCGACTTATTCCTCACTGATCTCAAGGTGTTCAAGAATGTTTAAGACATATATGTCCGAGAGTTGAGTGTAACGTTGAAGTAGTTGCAGCACAGGATGTGGGGAAGGATGCGTCTGGCAGTCGCTGAGACGATCCGGGCCGAGTCGAACCGTATGCTACTGTATAGTATCTCGCGGCAATAGCCGAGTGGCTGAAGGCCACCGGCGGGCTAGCCAGTCACGCCGAAGGGCAGGTAAGGAATCAAGCTCGTCGCTGTCGGTCGTAATCCCCTCAAGATGCCTCGTGGTATGTTTTTGCGTAGGTCGTACTGGGAGGCATGCTGATGGACTTTTGACAGTATACAAGCCCGGAAAAGTGAGGATTGCAAGTCGTGCGGACACTGCAGTTTGTTGAACTCGTTCGTTAGGTCGCGATTGTCCTCCAGGGACGCCAGGCCGGAAAGAAGGTCGTTGTGATCAAGCAGCTGGATGAGGGCACGAAGGAGCGGCCATACCCCCATGCGATCGTCGCTGGCGTCGAGCGCTACCCGCTCAAGGTGACGAAGCGCATGGGTCAGAAGAAGTTGGCGAAGCGGAGCAAGGTCAAGCCTTTCATCAAGGTATGTGCCCTCTACGACTGCTCAGAACTCGCGACCTGATGGGACACGGACGTCGTAGGTCGTTAACTACTCGCATTTGTTCCCTACCCGATACGCACTCGAGCTCGAGGGTCTCAAGGGCACTGTAGCTGCCGAGACTTTCAAGGAGCCAACACAGCGGGAGGATGCGAAGAAGGTGATCAAGAAGCTCTTCGAGGACAGGTACACGAGCGGAAAGAACAAGTGGTTCTTCCAGCCTCTGAGGGTGAGTTGGCCCTGTCCTGCTGTTGCAATCTTACTGAATGTGCTATGTAGTTCTGAGCTTGCTGGCTCTTGTCCGCCGCGTTGTTGGAGACCTCAAAATCGCTACATGTATTTCACATGCATACTCATGACGCATGCCCGCATATTGCTATCTCGTATTCTCTCCGGTATTATGCAATGACTCTCACAGCATACTGCAATCGAGACTCGGCGACTTAAGCCAGTGAGTTGTACCCCACTATAGCTGTGGGAGAGTAGCCTCCGCCCGATTGCGTGCGTTCCACGCTCGTATCAATGTTCGTTGGCATATGATGTCTCGTGCGTTTTGTCGTTACTAGGATCAATCTAGCGACGCTGAGGGCGCGGCAGTTTCAGCGCACCTGTGAATGTGCTTACAGTGCTGGATTTCGTGGATATGTCGGGATTAATATTGCCTCGACGATTGGCTTGACGTGCCGCCCGCGAATATGATCTTGCAGATCTGCACCCAGCAAGGGACAACTCGCATCGTAGTGCGTGGCCGAGGCCACGCAGCCCTTGCTATGACGCACTGACAGCCAAGCTCACGGCTCTAACATAATGAAGATGGCGCCGTGTTAATTGCCCTCAGGGACCTGGAATTCGATCTCCCGTGCGCCGTGCGCTCGGGCCATTCAAATACTGGCTGAGAACGTAGGCCGCGAGCTTCGCGGGCAGCAGAATCGATGCTAGATTGGGAAGACCGTCAAACATTGCATTGCAGACACTGGACTCGCGGTACCGCCGACAGGTGAGTCCCTGCACTCCGAAATCTTGACAACTAGGAGGTCGGAGGCCGGAGGCCAGCTGATGTATGAGAATGTAGGGACGTTTTGTCAACCGCATGCGCCCTGCACATTCCCCTGAACGCCCCTCGCGATGTTGTTTCGCCTGGGCCCAGGCTGTCATCAGCATGTCCGTCCTTCCAGTCTTGCGTCGACGCGGGGACAATATTGCCGGCCCCTAAGCGGATTTATTTCATCCTCCTGTCCGCGCACCAGAACTGTGATTCCGCTGTCATCCGTCACTGCGTCCCGTGCGAACGAACACGATGATGCAGGACACTCGACAATGCCTTGGAACATGGAACGGACCATATTAATAGCGTAGGACGCGCTGCCATGCTGCCTGGCGTGCCCGTTCTCACCGTCTTTCAGATACACATACCCTTCCTCCAGGGCTCGCGGTTTGCGAGCCGACGCAACCATGTTGCACACACTACTGCCTTCATGCTTGTTCTCCCGCTCCTTTCTGCTGTGGCCGTGACCGTGCAACCCAGAAGTCTGAGTACGCTCGAAGTGTGCGGGGAGATTGCCTCCGCTGTTTCCTCGGCGTCTGAGGTCTTTTATCCGTGTGAGTTACACGCCTCTCCCAGCTCGACCGCACCCGCTGACTTTGTGGTACACAGTGGAACTCTACTACACGGAAGACAACTACCATTGGGCGCAGTCGAGCTCCCAGGTATCGGCGTGTACTGTGGAGCCTGGCACAGCGGAGGATGTAGGCGCCATCGTGAGTTCCGTTGCGGTACCGACGTCCCGTCGCACAGAGCTGACGGTGCTGTGAACAGCTCCAAGTAATAGCGCGTACTCAAACGCCCTTCGCAGTAAGCCCATTTGTGTTGGCTGAGACTGACCAGTATGTCTGAATGACGACAGGTGAAAGGCGGAGGCCATAGTGCCAACCCGGAGTTCTCGTCGACCACCGGCGTGCAGATTGCTATGGCACGTTTCAACGATGTGACATACGACTCTTCTGCAGGTACCGCGACGATAGGCGCTGGCCTCATCTGGGACGATGTCTATGCGGCGCTCGAGCCGTACAACGTGAATGTCGTTGGCGGCCGTGTAACTGGTGTCGGCGTGGCCGGATTCACCTTGGGCGGAGGTAAGCTTGAAGATTGAAGTAGGCAGGGCACTGCACTCATGTGAACGCCACCAGGATTTTCTTTCCTCAGCAACCAATACGGATTGACCATCGATTCTGTCCGAGCCTTTGAGTTGGTATTGCCGAACGGCACGTTCACGACGGTTACCGACTCAAACCCAGATCTGTTCTGGGCTTTGAAGGTTAGCGCACTCCGTCTTCTGCGGCTACGTTCGCGTGTGTTGACCGTACGCTCTAGGGAGGATTCAACAACTTCGTAGGTCGAGACTACTACACCGGTAGCTTTGCGACTGACAAGCCATCTAGGGCATCGTCACCCAATTTGTCTTGGAGACGCACCCACAAGGCCAAGTCTGGGTACGTGCTGTCTTGTGTTTACAGACTCGCCGCTGACGATCTGTAGGGAGGCTCCATCATCACCTTGGGCGAGGTCACGCCGTCAAGAATGCCACGGCGAACTTCTACGCCAACGTGACTGATCCGAAAGCGTCGATCCTCACAACCCTCAACTGGGAACTCGGTATCGTGAGTGCCCATCGTCAGCCGTGCTTCTGAGGCTTCTGTTTTTCTGACGAAGTTCTCGCATAGACCGCCATAGAGCTGAATTTGTTCTACGATGCACCCACACCACCGGACGGCATATTTGACGAGTTATTGGCGATTCCCTTCCTCACTCAGGATATCAGCACTCGTTCCTTCCTGTCTCTCGTTTTGACGGCACCTAGCAATGCCACGTTCGGCCTTCGGTGAGTGGTCATCTGAACCTGGATTGACATATCCTAATTGCCAGCAAAGCGGGTACTTTGACACCGTATCCATAACCGACATAACTCTTCCTTTGCTTGACGCTGTTGTGAATGAGACCGAGGTTGGTTCCCTCGCGCCTATATCGCCAAGTGTCTGACTGAAATCATCACAGTACTGGGCTACCACATTGGCAGCTGAAGTCCCCGGCCTTTTCGTCAGCTACGACATCGAGCCGTTTCTACCAAGCGTCTACTCTCACGGAGCCTCTTCCGCATGGCCTCCCACTCGCACTCAGGGTTTCATGCCCATCAACATCTACTACGCCTGGTCGCTGGAGGCCTCGGACTCGCTCATCAACAGCGTCATGCAAGAGAGCGCGCGCTACCTCACCCAAGTAGCTATCAGCGAGGGCCAGGACATAGCCAACACGCCGCTCTACCCGAACTACGCCATCTACGACAGCGCGCTCTCCAGCTTGTACGGCGACAACGTTGCAAGCCTGCAAGCAATCAAGGCGCAGTACGATCCGGACAACGTCATGGCTCTCGCGGGCGGCTGGAAGTTCTGAAAGTGGGCTGTGAACATTCATTTATTACTCCTCTCTCGTTCGGTCTTTGGACTTCGTGTTGGCTCACTGGAACACTTACTGTAAATCTGTACGGACATTCCGGGTATGTAACCAGTCAGTGAGTGATCACTACTGTTTCGGGATTCGAGATTGACGCAGCGATGCGGTGGATTGACAACGCCTGTCTGATGCTTCTCCTGGGGGCATCCGGTTCGGACATACCCGAGGTAGTCGTTGCTTTGGCAGGACCTTTCATCTAAGTAAGTCTGTTAACATCAGTATACGAGCATATCTCGTGCCCGTCCTCGCTCGTTCCGCCCATTCCGCGCGGCCGGCGCAGCCACTACGTCCGCCCGAGCCGCCCTTGCCCGTTACACCTGGCAGCCAATTCCATACTGATAGACCTTGAGCGCAAGGAACGCTCAGACGGAGTGTGTCGGTCTTGCTTAGGTTGTTATCACTGGTGCACCCGTCGAGACTACGTATACCAGGACGAGCCGAGCGCGACATAGACCGAACGTTGTGGCCGAGGTCGATCGGCTGCGGATCGCTCGAATCGCGAGGAAATTTAGACGAAGACCCGACCAGTACTCTCCGCCCCTGCACGCTTCTCACTGCAATAGGGAATGAGCTGGGTCGCATTTGGGTGAAACTGCGCGCCGTCACAGCATTGGTATTTGGCCCGTCTCTCAGGGCACAGCCTCAGAGTTGTAGCTTGAGGTACGCGACGTTACACTTGTCCGGCTGCTCGACGCTCGTATGCGGTCAAGCCGCGCGCATCACTGCGACTTGATTGCACGGCTGTGCTTGGTGACACCAGTGAGGGAGGCATGAATTCATGCGTATATATACGTCTGAGAACTTATTGAGTAGCCCTGTGTCTTGTCTTTGCCGTATTGTCCTTTCACGGGTATATCTATTCTCCGTACTATAATGCTCTCCCGCCGACTGTTACGTTTCGAAGCATTTGCGGCACTCGCTCTTTCGTGCCTTTCAATACTCATCCCTGCTGTTGGAGCAGCTTCTTGGCCGGGGACTCCAGAGGGCCCCCGTGATGTGTGTGGGCTAATTGCTGCGTCCGTCTCTGCTGCGTCAGCGGTCTACTATCCCAGTGAGTGTTCATCAAAATGTGGCATATTCTGACCTGACCAACGTCCTCTAACCTACAGATACCGCAAATTATGACTTAGATAACTACCACTTTGCGTCTTCGAGTTCGCAAGCAAGTGAATGTTCTGTCGAGCCCGGCACTGTGGAAGATGTTGCTACCATCGTGAGCATGCCGCTCCCCTTGGCACTCGTCGAGACACAACTCATGATTTGGCCAGATCAAAATAGTAGGCATGACGAGAACGCCGTTTGCGGTTTGTGATACTGTTTCTCTAGGTGAACCATCGAGCCTTACGATGTTAATCTGCAGGTCAAAAGTGGCGGTCATAACACGAACCCCGGCTTCTCATCTGCGACTGGCGTCCAGATTGCCATGTCACGTTTTAACAACATCACAATCGACTCGACAGCTCAGACAGCGACCATCGGCGCGGGACTCATCTTCGATGAGATTTATGCCGCTCTGGAGGAGCATGGGGTCATGATTTTGGGCGCCCGTGCTACAGGAATTGGTGCCGGAGGATTCATTCTGGGCGGTGGTGAGTAGTGTCGGTGTCGATTCGACATGACAAGCGCTGAGACTTGCATTCCGTATCTCAGGCTACTCTTTCCTGTCAAACGAACATGGATTGACGGTTGATACTGTTCGAGCATTTGAGGCTGTCCTGCCTGATGGGACTATAACCACTGCTACAAACACCTCAAACTCCGATTTGTTCTGGGCATTGAAGGTGAGGAGCATTGCAACACAGAAATTGTATTACACTAAGATGCTCTTTCCAGGGTGGACATAACAAATTCGTAAGCGTTACCGGTCGCCGGCTGCGACAGTGATCTGACCAAAAGCAGGGAATCGTGACGCAATTCACCATGGATACATTCCCTATCGGTCAAGTTTGGGTGCGTCACCTCCTTTCCGGGGGGCTGGGCCGACGTATAACCTCTGGATAGGGTGGATCGGTGATGCTTCCTGTCACGAACTATGACGCAGTGAAGGATGCAACACTGCAGTTTTGGCAGAACGCGACAGATCCCAAGGCAGACATTTTGATTGGTTTCACCGCAACGCAAAATCAGGTCAGTGTCCGCGCCTCGAGTGTCTCTCTCATAGTCGCATGATGCTAAAGCATCACAATGCGCTCGGTTTCCTTAGACCTCCATCGAAGTGGACCTCTTTTACGACGGACCTTCACCGCCTGCAGGGCTATTCGATGGCTTCATGAACGTACCGGACGCAGCGCAGATTACTAGCGCTATGGATGCTCGCTCCTATTTATCGCTAGTGCAAAGTGCTAACACCAATGCTACGGCCGGAATGCGGTGAGTAATATTTACAGGCTCGATCAGATAACCTCATTCATCGGCTGTTGAAGCGAATACTTCGACACGGTCTCAATCACGAACCCCTCGTCCTCCTTATTTGACGCCGTTCTGAACGAAACGACTGTATGTATCCTCTACCAAATTGAAGCAGCCTTTGAAGTTGCGGCTAACATAGACATCCACAGTACTGGTACCAAACACTGGCAGCCGAGGTATCTGATCTTGTCGTACACTACGATGTGGAACCTTTCCTCCGGAATATCTACTCGCATGCCGGCGCGGACTCCTCTGCCTGGCCCCCGAGACGCGATCAGAGCTTCACGCCCATGCTCATTGCCTACGCATGGACGTCGCCGGACAACGACGGCCTCATCAATACGGTCATGCAGCAAAGCACGAGACAACTCACTGATCTCGCTATGAGCGAAGGGCAGGACATTGCTAACACTCCTCTCTACAACAATTACGCTCTATACAGCCACCCGGCTGAGAAGGTGTATGGAAACAACCTCGGTCGCCTTCGGTCGATCAGGGAGAGGTATGACCCTCAGCGTGTTATGGACCTTGCAGGAGGGTGGAACTTCTAAGGCGAGGCTGCAGGCCTCTCGTCATGACGAAGCAGTTATGTACAGCTCACTCATATATATTGTGGGCACGCCGCCGTACCTACCTAGTAACTTAGTAGTCGTTCAATATGGACACTAGACCCTGAAGTCTTCGCGCGAATCTGGGTTCTATTTATCCCAACTTGAATCTACTTACTAGTACTAGCATTACAAGCCTGCCGATTCTTAGCAGCTTAGCAGTAGTTGATTCGTTCTGTGGACAGTAAGTGTATGTGGCATGTCATTGATCGTATAAGTACGGTCGGATACAGACATTGAGACAATTGCAAGGTAGAGTTGGTGTAGAAGTTGTGGTCACGTAGAGTCACAACCCTCCATAACGGGCGCTTGTAATACGATCGGCCTCTGTTCTCTACCATCATCTGTCCAAAGGATTTATGCAATGCTCATGCATCATCATATCGGCTTATGGGAGGCTAGACCTGGTCTTCGTTACAGTGCATGATAACTGGCGAGCATAGAACAGGTCAAAACGCGTTCCAGGTGGTCTAGTAGCTCGCTGTCGCTGGTCCGCAAATATGGCCTGGACATCAAATCTATGCCCTTCACAACGGCCACGTCCTTCCTCAAGCACGGCGTAGTGCTCTGTTTGCACCTTCGTCAATGCTATCACCGTCCCTGGATGATTGAGTTCAAGTTCAAGTCGACACAGATCCGGACATGCGTTGTACATGCGCCTAACTCTCGGTAGCCTCATGGTGGCCGTAAGGCGTGCAGGAGGTGTGTGTTTCTACTTCTCAGCAGTCAAGGGATCCCACATCTTATAAGCATCCTAGCGAAGTGGCCAGTAACGGCCGCCATTCCCTTACCACCTGATCCTTGTAGGCTGAGCGCTGAGCGCTGAGCGCTGAGCTGTCGCAAATGCCGGAAGATTTACCTACGTCCAGTGGTCTGAAGCACAGTATGCAGCAATTGCAGATCGAGATCCCAGAGTCGCTTGTCCCCCTTCCGACATCGTACTCGACGTCCCGATCTTCATCTTCCCCGCCGTCGAGCTGGGTGAATCACTCACCAGCTCGCCATGTATCGGCCCTCCCGTCGCCCGTATCGCCCATTATCGTCCACACGGAGCTCTCGCCTATACACTCCGAGCAAGACTCCGTTGATGAGCATACCGAGTCTCACCCTTCCGATGGTCCGTCCCCACCAAGGCATTACGTAGAGGTCGAACTTCCCTCTCCGAGTGTAGCGTCGCTGGTCGACTTCCCCGGAAACAGGGCATCACGGACGGACCTGATGGCCGTGGTCATCACCCCCCATAGCCCTGCTATCCCATTTCCAGCTCCTGTGCAACCGCGCTCGCACCGTCGAAAGGCCGCTTGTCCAAGAGCACATACGTCACCCAGTCGGTCAAGCTCCCCTCTACCGACTCCCCCATCTGCGGAAGCGTTGTCGTCCTCCATGACATGCTCTCCTCATGGTGTTCAGTCGGAGAACCATCTTCCTCAAGTGACGATTAGCTTGAAAGCCACGTCCGACGCGCCGCGTTCTGCTGTGCGCCCATCTGTCCATGACATGTTCTACATACGGGATGAAATGGTCGTTCTCAGCGTTAGTACTTTCATACGAGGCTGGATAATATGTCTTGATATTGGATTGCATACAGGTCGAGGATTGCCTTTACAGGGTCCATCGTCATCTACTGGAATACAACTCCGATTTCTTCCGGCGACTGTTCTTCGAGGGCGCGAAAGACGGGAGGAACCTCGGTGTTACAGATGATTCCGCGATCGCTCTTCCGGATGTGTCGCAGCATGACTTCGACTGCCTGTTGAACTTCCTTTACTTCAGGTATGCGCGTTCAGGCCTTCGTCTCTGCGCCCGAGAAGTGCTGATAAGATCATTAAACCAGGATATTCGACGATGATGCGCTGTCGTTGCGTGATTGGGTCACACTGCTGGACGTGTCTACTCGCCTGCGCTTCTCAAAGCTCCGTCCTAGGTCAATCAGGGAGATCTCCGCTCGCAGAGAGTCACTGACCGCGGTCGAGACGGTTGTGCTCGCTCACAAACACGACGTCCCCGGTTGGCTGGCAAGAGCATACGGCGACTTGTGCCGGAGACCACACCCGCTGGACGACGCGGAGGCAGAACAGCTGGGCGCGAAGATCACCGCGAGGATCGCACGTGCCCGCGAGACTATCCGGGACGAAACCTTCCGCGCGTCCAACCAAACGCGCTCTGGCAACCGTTCTCCGCCGGAAGCTTACGATGATGAACTCGTCTCGCGAACTGTGATGGATGTGTTCTGGCTGGGAGAATGAAGGAGGCGATGTGTATGCCTGGGACACGACATTAGAGACCGTTCGTGCGGTGTTTGCTCCAGTATGTGTGCGTTTGTGCGTCTCGTCCCAGTTCGGAAACCTGAGCTCACTATGGCAGTGTATTGTTATCAGTATGCGGACGCTGTAATGCGATGTAGGGCGGCAGATAAAGCAAGGTTTGCGATGTAGTGAGGTTCGTTTCCTCGTGCAGCATGACCCCGTGTCCCGGTCCATGGCAGTGTGGTCCAAGGCCTAGGACCCTCCTGAGCATACCTGGGAATCGAAGGCGTTATGCATGATGCACGTCATTCATCCCCAGACAAGGACAGCCATTGTTTCAAGGACGTTATCGCTCACTTATATACAGCCATCTCTCGTTGGGGGCGCAATCTGTCCCCTCATACACTGTTGTGGCGTCCGCCCTGTGGCCGTCCCTCTACCACCCGCAGTTGTACAGTTGTATACAATGGACTCTCGCAGCTCGTCTCGCCTTTCGATCAGTTCGTGGGACTTCTCGTCTTCACCGCCGTCGCCGTCGCCGTCACTGTCGCCGGCGTCGTCGTCGTCATCCTTCCCCGAGTCTCCCCCACCGCCGATATCGCCCGAGCTCAAGCGAGGACCCGACCTCGATCTTGACCAAGAGCAAGAGCTTGACTCATACGCGGAGCAGGCTGAGCGGGAGCGAGATCTCTGGCTAGCGCCCCTCCAAGGGCATGAACTAGATCAGGAACAAGAGGAGCAAGAGGTACAAGAGGTACAAGAGGTACAAGAGGTACAAGAGGTACAAGAGGTACAAGAGGAAGAACAGGAAGGCGACCATGAGGATGACCATGAGGATGACCTCGATGACATACGAGACTCAACACCTTCCCCCTCGCTGTCGACTGTCGGCGTAGAAGAGCGATCGCCTTCGCCTGCCCCAGCGCCGCCGCCAACACCGCCCCCTCACCATCCATTCTACTACATCGATGACGACATGATTATCCTCAGCGTATGTGTAATTAAGAGAGCACCGATCCCTCGGCTGAATGATAATTTTCCAGGTCGAGGCATGCCTGTTCAAGGTTCACAAATATTTCTTGGTCCGTGAGTCGAAGGTATTCGAAACGCTGTTTCAGCTCCCGCCCGGGGATGACACGGCAGAAGGGCAGGATGATCATCGTCCTGTCTATCTGCCTGAAGTGACTGTGCGCGAATTTGAGAGCCTGATGCATTTCTTGTACTATGGGTGAGTTGCAATCACTGTGAACACAAGCGTCATCAGAGTCTTACACAACTGCGTCGTTCCACAGCATGTTCGATAATTGCGGCGTGACGTTGCCTCAATGGATCGACATTCTGCGCGTCTCTAAGCTCTTCGTATGCGACAATCTGGTCGACCGCGCTATCAAGGAAATACACCAACACAGGCCCCGCATCGACCCTGTCGAGAAGATCGTGCTTGCGGTCAGACACAACATTGCCGACTGGCTCGCGCCCTCCTACGCTGCCATTTGCCAGCGCGCGCAACCACTCAACAGCGAAGAAGGGCACAAGCTGCGCCTCGAGACGACCGTTTTGCTTGCGCGCGCAAGGGAAGCCGTACGTCAGGATCATGTCTCTCGCACGGAGTCGAGACAGGCCCAGGGAGCTGGGGGGCGGGGCGGCGGACGTACGGGAACCTCGCGTACGACGACCTCCTCGGCGCTCCCTGAGCCTGAGCCCGAGCCTAGGCCATCGTCTGCCTCCAGTTGGCAAGGATGGGAAGGATGGACCGTCCCTGACTCGGAAGACCCGTTCGATCCTCAGCGCGTGGCTGAGATAGTCGACGAGGTATTCAAAGCTCTTGACGAAGAACGTGCAACTTAGCATATGATCGTCTTTCTACCCCATCTTCCACGGGCAGTTGTAGGTAGGTCGTGTGCGTGAGAGGCACACGCACGGTCATTACACTCGTTCTATACATATCGCTAGGCAGTCGCGGGCCGCTTTCTTTCGTCACAAAACGTGCCGTGTATTCTGTGTACAGTAGATTGAGTTGACGACGTATGCACTCTCCTTCAGGATGACAGTCTTTGCACCACGCCCGTCTCTTCGGTTTCTCATACGACACGGATTACTTCCGCGAACGTTCTGCAGCTGACTCTAGCCTCACTGTGGATTCACAGACTGGGCCCACGGCGTGTGTGAAAGAGCGAGACTCGGTCGCTCTACACACGGCCTGCGCGGAAGCGAGTTCAAAGGCGTTGCAGCCACGCTGTGCTACCCGTGCTCGATCATGTCTCTACCCGACCATCCAAACGCTACGACGACACAACCAGACGGCTCGCCCGCCTCTCAGCCTGTTGCGATGCGCCGGTCTCGCTTCTTTTTGGAACCCGAAGTAGTCTTTCTCCGTGTACGTGTGGCATCGTGAGGTTCACGTTCTTTGAGTTGGGTGCTCACGACTCGTAGGTGTCTGATGAAGACAAGAGGGAAGAACGTTCGTTCAAAGTCCATCGATATTTCCTCGAGCGCGACTCCGAGCTGTTTCGTGGGATGTTCGCATGCCCAACTGGTGCGGACGCGAGCTCTGAAGGGCAGACAGAAGAGACGGCAGTACATCTGCCCGACGTGACGCCTTGCGAGCTGGAATGCTTGATGTCGTTTCTGTATGAAGGGTGAGTAGCGGGATCCGTGCAATGCGAGCGCTCACCCAATGTTGATGGATCTTCAGAATGTACGACCGCGTCATATCTCTGGCGGATTGGGTTGCGTTGCTATCCGTCTCGTCACGCCTGCTCTTTGACAAAATCCGAGAGCGCGCTATATCGGCCATCGAGGCGCACGTCCCGCCTCTGGAGCCCGCCGAGAGGATCCTGCTTGCAACGAAACACGACATCCCCCAATGGTTGAATCCCGCATTCACAGAGCTTTGCACGAGGTCGGACCCCCTCAGCGACGCAGAAACGAGTAAACTGGGGGCGGATATCGCAGAGCGGGTGGAGCGGGCGAGGGACATGGTGAAGTCGCGCGCGGGATACGACCAGCCAGGCGGTGCTGGGTTCCCGAAGGCATACCTCGGCTGTGGCTGTAAAGACTGCAGGGAGGCACGGAGTGAGAGCGTTCGAGTCAGCTATGTGGACATGGTCAATAGTGTCATCAAGGAGACGATATCTCTGCCATCGTGAAGGCTGGCTCACCATTCCTAGTCTATCCCCAGTCTATCAATACATGCATCGTGCCCATGTCGAGTCTTCAATTCATCATTTTGCTTCCATTGGTGACCTGGCACTGTCTCCGTAAGTCAAAGTGCTGCAGACTTGCAGTTCAGAGAGACCTGGAAGCGACAAAAGTAGGCCTGGATGAGTCGGCATCATGCCTCGTGAACTGTGGGCATATTCATAATAGTCAGTTATGATGTCAGGGGGATACTTAAACTCCTATGTAAGAGCTGACATTATTGTAAAGGATGATGGATACTTCAATAGTAGTCGTGTTGATTGTTGCTGAAGCTTGAGTATGAAGGTCGAAACGTTGCAGTGACCTGCAACTTGCTCTTCAGCCTGTATATCGGTAACATCCGAGATGCCATATAGCCACAGATCAGATCTCAGATCTCAACATGCCCCGGCAGTTGCCGACGGTTGTAGTTGTCGAGTCGATGTGACTTGAAACATTCAGAGGCCCTCCGTCCAACAACGTCTCTCAACGTCGAACGAGCCCTGCTGAGGTTCTATAGTGTATGGGCCTAGTTCATCAATTCTGGATTGAAGACATTCCGGTGCTACTAGTATTGACAGTGCGTAGATACGGTACCCGCTCCGAGTGAGCTTGTCCTCCGAGTCAACGCCTCAGCCTCTATCGTTCTCTTGCGACATCACAGTCGTTGGGCAAGCTACATATCATTATGTCTTGCTGGACTGTATCAGCTTACGCATGCATTTTTTCGGAATTAACAGTGCTGACCTGTCCGCCGGTCTCAAGCTGGATCGACACTATGTCCGACAAGCTCAAGCTCGTGGTTCAAGGGCTCTTACGTCCGTCCGAGGTGGTGAAAGCGGCCATCGAGGCGCGCCTTGTCTCGAGTGAGGACAAGGCTCCTGACGGTAGCTTCATGACAAGAGCAATTAGCCCAGGTCGCATCCGAGTGGTGACGTTGTCACACATCTCGACCCACAGGATGGCGGCTACGACCAGGTTGGTGAGTACAAACCATCATTGTGCTATCCGTATATGCTAGCGAGCTGGCGCTTTTATCTCCGCGTAAGCAAGCCATCTGGCCACTGCTGGCCGCTGAACGTCGTACCATTCGGAGAGTGCTTAGACTGAGATTATGGCATCCAACAGTGTACTCGTCATCAAGATGGCGTCAGGTCCTCCGTCGTCCAAGACGAGCTATACATTCGAGCGTGCATTTCCTATCTCCGATGGATTCTCAATATCAATGGCCCAAACCTCGTTCGATAGACTAGATCCCGCACGTCAATCTGGCCGTCCCCCGTCCAGTACTGCGAACACAGGTATGACAGATCGCCATGGTCGACGGATCCATAATGCTCATTTGCCGTTATAGCGTTCGCCTTGACCATCGTCGCTGATGGTCATCCAGAAGCCGAGCGTTTGACCTTATTGACGCGGGATTCAGAAGGGCTCAAGTCCTTACTAGAGGAATACCGCCGCTGCAAGGAAAGTCGCAACCTTCAAGCTGAGCCAGACTACAGCTGGCTGGCAGCGTATATCGGACATCCGAGCCGCCCGGCAATACGTAAGGTCGGCGGTCGAGTGTATGGCACATGCTGACGCTCCAGCCTTCGCAGTTTCCTCCGTTCCCCCGGATCTACGGATGCTCCAGAAGCCTGTACACACTCTTCTTTCTCCGGCCAGCGCAGGATTGCCTGGGGATGAGGCGTTTGATACAGCGGTTATCCGAGATGACTGGATCCGCAGAAGAGTCAAAGATCATCTATTAGCACATGCAGAGCAGCGCTCTCGCCTCCGGTAGCGACTTACTCTTCAGAAGTTGAATATGGGGCTCATGCAGGTTTCGCCCGGTGCCAGCATCCGTGTGGGGACCTTCAACGTAAACGGCAAGATGCCTATCCAGGATCTCTCTTCTTGGCTCCGCCACGGTCGTCTCTACGAGTCATTCATCCCCCCTCTAAAGGAAATTTCCCCGCTCTCGCTCAGCGACCTAGCGCAGAGCCCAATGAGCACAGGTACCGTTGAATCGCCCCTCAGTTGCGTAGCGTGCTCAACTCCCCTGCACAGAGACCTCATGCTCCGAAGGTGATTACTGCCGGGTTAATCTGATAACGCAGTTAACGCCTTGCAGACGTCAAACCTTCGGCAGCCGCAGATGTGGACGACAAGGCGCGCGTCGCGGAGAATCAAGACGATCCAGATCTATTGGTGCTAGCCTTTCAGGAACTCGATCTGTCAGCCGAGGCGCTGCTCTATTCTACGAAGACCGTGCGAGAAGACGCATGGTGCACAGCGGCTTTTGCAGCTCTGGGCGAGAAAGCTGTGCTGTATGAGAAGGTGAATGAAATTGCGTCCCTTGTGAAATCACTCCCCCGTATTTGCCGGGATTATGTCACCGAGGAGTTGTAAGACTCTTCTCGTCCCAGTCGCTCGTGCGCATGAGGACCGATATCAACGACCTTGATTTTGCGCCGGTTTTGCATGTTGCTTATGTTGTTTCTTAATCTTTAGCTCGTGTCTAAGCAGCTCGTCGGCATGCTATTGCTTGTGATAGTACAAAAGCGCCTCAAAGGATGCTTTGGTGATGTTCGAAGCGCATCTATCGGAGCCGGTATCATGGGCATGATGGTGTGTTGCGCTAAACCACTAAAGAACCTGGCTCTGATTTTTACAAAGGGCAACAAGGGTGCAACTGCTATCCGGATGACATACACTCCGAACACGGCGGGGAAGGTGGTAACACCTCGCCCGATTACATTGACATTCGTCAATTCGCACCTAGCGGCGTTCGACGAGATGTTCGACAGGAGAAATGCAGACTTTCACGATATCTGCAAACGGCTACTATTCGAATCCGGAGCAACCGCTCAAGAACCATCGCCACAAGATGATGTGCCATCGGAGAACAGCCCGATCACACTAAATGTATTTGAGACGGACGTACTTTTCTGGACGGTGAAACTTCAGTGCTTCCTGCTGAAATGTGCTGCTGATGGCTCGACCATGTCTAGGGAGGTCAGCTTCCTGGCGAGCTCTACCCGAAAATTCAACTGACGTGAAATTGAGATCTCAATTACAGAATGAATCTACCAGATGCCGACGTGCGCTACCTACTTTCCTCCTCTCAGGAAGTCAGAGGATCAGATATGGAACTACTATTGAGATTTGACCAGGTTTGCTTTTACATAGTACTTCGACCGCACGAGGCTCCACCATTTTGACCTTCACGCATTAGCTATATTTGGCCCAACGCATGCGGAAGGCTTTTGAAAATTTCAAAGAACATCCCATCCAACATGCTCCGTGAGGCGGTTGCTTGGCTGTGTGCTGATTGTGTCTCTGACCGTTTTTGACCGCTCAGGTCTTATCGATTGACGAGTGACGGGCTGGAAGATGAGCTAGGCTACGACATGAGGTATTTTCCTTACTCTACGCTTATTTTAAATCCATTCATTCTAACCGAATACTAGGAGGAAACCCGCATGGACCGATCGCATTCTTCACACACATTCGGCGATGGTGGACGTAAAGCAGTTCTCTTACACCAGCCATCCGGACATATCAATGAGTGACCACAAGCCGGTTTCGGCAGACTTTGACGTTCGAGTGCGTCCAGACACGCGTTCAGCGTCCAAATTTTAATGAACAATTTTATGCAGGCAGCTTCGCTTGATGCAACTTCATTTGAGGAATTTGTGCAGGACCTATGGAGACAAGTGGGCTCTGTCGAGGAATCAGAACAGATTCCATGGTTGAGAGTCAGCACTACGTTCATCGACGTCGGATCATTCTCGTGCGTTCCCATTCATCGTATTGCTAAATTCTTCACAAAGTTATCTCAGCTATCACAAACCAACTCAGCAGAGCTTGCACATAGAGAACGTCGGAAAGGTACATTAGCGGCGTAGCTCCAGCATAGTTGGATGTACTGATGTCACATAGATTCCATGCACCTATCGCTTTGTCGCGGCAAAACCTGGCTCAGAATTATGTAGGCTCCCAGTCGTTTTGAAGAACTTACGTGGCCTCTGATACGCCTCAGTCCCAGAATGGCTCGAAACTGACCAAGTGTCGGTGAGTGCCACGGTACAAATCATACAATCGTGACCTACGCCTGATGTGATCCGGGATCAGGGCTTGTTACTACCAGGAGAGAGTACAGTCGTCCACATCTCGACTCGAATTCAGAAGGCATTGGCCACGAAGCTGAATATTTCACGGCCTGAACTTACACATACACTCATATTGCATACCGCAATGGGCAAAGACCATTTCATCACGGTCGTTGCGAAGTATGGTATGTGGCACACTGTATCTTAGCGACGTCTGTCACATCTCTTGACCCTTGCAGAGCGGACATGCTTTTGTAATCATCTTCACATGCTTGCACGACTTCCTGGTCCCATCCGGGCACTGAAATCCTTGGGTGAATTGCTTCCTGCGGATCATGCCGTGACCGCACCAAGGGAAGTCATGCGTCTAATCAACTGGTTAATGACAAACGCAACGAATGTGGTGAGTGGTCGCGCACGTGTATGTATTGGGTCTCAACGTTACTTGAAGGAGGGACTGTTCGTGCAGGCCGGTGACAGCAAACTGGTTGACACGATCTGTGAGGTCGGTATGACGGCCAGCATTGTCCGCTAAAAGCTTTGATTGACAGATTGAGGCAGTGCCTAGATACGGGCGCAGAGTTTCCATTCTACCATCCTGAAAAGGAGTCCGCGGCCGCGCTGGCATTTGGGATGCATTCATCCGTTTTCTGAGGCTCCTTCCTGAACCGGTTGTCCCAGTCAATCTGTTTGCCAGATGTACGGAAGTCTCTAGTAAGGATAGCGCCTTTGAGGTTCGTTCCTTCCGATGTGGTTCGTGTGTGTTGATCTCAACATACTCCCCAAATTATAGCTGTTGGAGGATCTACCGGCCGTAAACTTGAATGTGCGCCATCTGTCACTTTTAGCTCCTGGTAAAACTAAATTGTGGCGTAGGTATGGATCTCAACCACTGCGGTCCTGCACTTCATCGTACAACAAGCAGCGTCAGCGGCGCGGATAGAACAGCTCGGTCGGTGTTCATGCAGGCTGATTCCTTGAGACTCATGCTCGGGCAGTGGCAGTGTTCACGTCTGTATTACTCCCGGACGACCCGACTGCGGATACATCGCCTTCCGCAACAGTACGTGGCAAACGGGCCTTCCTTCGCTATTTCATTCTTTGAAAGATTTGGATAACGGCACAGCGCTGTGATGCGCTATGATATCGACCGTGCGTAGCGTATTGAAACAGATGTACATACTAGCACATGCTACGTAGTGTATGAAGAAGTACCAGTAACGACGAGAAATAAATAGGCTTTAGACATGTAAGTGGGCGATGGTTGCTGTGTCAAGGACAGTGTGTCTAGGGCGTTGTGTACTATTTCTGACCCGAACTGCGCCGCGGTACACTCAGTGCAAGCCCAACATGTGGACAGCAAGGTACTTACACTGGAACATAAGTACAAGCGATACCCCGGCGCTGACAGTTGGCGCATGTCTGGCGACCGTCACACTTCAGCTTCCTGCCTGGAATGGGTTAGTCTTAGGATTGAGATGCGATCGAGCAAGATACCTCGGCAGAACTGGCATGCCATGGGTGTACGGCGGGGAGTCCTGGGTGAGGCGTAGTCATCTTCGGAGTCAGACTGCCTGTTACTCTGACCCTGGCTAGTCTGCCAAATCACTTGAGTAACCGGTCTTTGATCCTCAAAGGCAAAAGCTTTACCTGGGCAGTGCTCATGGTGTATAAACGGCCACGCGAATGCTAGAATAGAGCGAGAGAATGTGAGAGCTGCGAATCTTGGAGTGGGTAGATGACAATGCAAGTTTTATAGGTACCTGCAGGACAGGCGTTCCGTGATATGTGGTGCATTACGCGCCTCAAATGCTCAACACGCCTGTCTAGGCCCACAAAAGGCGCACAGAGAGATAAATAGCGATGCGTTCGGTCCCTTCAGGTGGGCTTTCCACCCAAACAGACGACACGGGCAGTGCCAGCGGCCGTGGTGCCATCTGAAATTAAGTGGCCACAGAGTACGCGATCTGTGATGCTGAATCCGGGTGAGTGACGTGTCGCCATCGCCGTACCAGAAGGATAATGTAACGGATTAATAGCTTGCATTGTTGGACGCTGAGGGGATATATCCGATCCCCGACCGAGCCTAGCTTACTCAATCGCGGGTGAAACGGCAATCCAGATTGACTAAGAGGAACCTGTTGGGAATCTCAAAAGCCTTCGCGGAAGGATTTGGCGGACTTGCCTCTTTCGCGACGAACTGACATCCATTAGCGAACCACATGGCTTGTCTCGACACGTTTCATGCGGCCCGCTTCCCTTGTTAGGTGTAACACCGAGGATAGGTGCTGTTCGTCTCCACGGATGCAGCGCCCGACGTCTTTCCAGTGTATGATCGCCTGTGGCCGAAAGTGAACGAAGTTCGTCATCCTGATCCACACGCGACCGACTCAGTCAGAGCTCAGAGCTCAGACTCGGAGTGGACGTGTGATCATCGTGGGTGTGTGGGAGATTACGAAGAGAGACACTGTCCGAGTCATTCGCGTAGATTACGCCGGCGGGAAGACCAAAAATGACTGTTTCATATCCTGGTAACGACTTGCTTGTTTCGAGAGGGCATGAGCGCGTAACTCCGGTACCATGCGGAAGAGAACATGCTCTGCATCCCGTGCGACTAAATGTGGCAGTGCGTACAGCGTAGCGGACCATGACCACCGCGCAGCGACTGTGCCTAGTCTGCAGTAAGGCGTTCACTGCGCTGCGTTTCGCGTCTAGTGGCGTCGCATCACCGCCAGGCGCCGCCCCTTTCGGCGCTTTGCACAGACGGAATGCCGCACTGCAGGTTTCGCGTTGCATTGCGCGATGTTAAATTCCCCTCTTCGGGACAAAAGGTCCACTGCGAAATTATCATGGTAAGATCCACCGAAGCGCGGCCAGTGACTCATTCGACCGGAATGAATGGACCAAGACTTGCATACCTGGATTATGAGTTAAGGGCGCGCTTCCGGCCTCGGCGAGTGAGCAGAACACAGGCACCTAGCGCTTGACAGAAGTGAACCACTGGCAGCATGTCTCGTCTGAGATTCAGATACCACGTGCAGTACGAGTCTTTCTTGACAATACGATCGGCGATGATCGGAACCAGAGTGGACCAACGAGGATCTGCAACCGGGTTCTTGCTATCATGCCCGAGACGCTCGCGGTAGGGCCTCTAGTCAGCAGGGACTGAGCTGACTGGAGGCATTCACTAGCCTGAAACAGGGCATCTGTGTCAATATCTCGGAGAGTAACACATGCAGACGGTGCAAGATCGTGCCGACCAACTAGCGCAGCGTCTCGTTCACTAAGTACCGGTACCGGCATTTGTGTGAAAACTGCTTTGAAGGTCGCGACCCGAGGATGCCACGGTCCACAACCACTGCGTCTCTTTGTCGAGACGCACGGATCGCCGAGTGTGCACGCAGCCCAGAATTGGGTGCAGGGGACGGAACGGAGTATTGAGCGATACGGCAATACAGCGTATGTATTGCGGCCACGGGGCGGAACGGTCGGAAACGCTGCCCGGTCAATTAGTTCATCATACAGATTTGTTACAGTATACTTCTCTTGGCAAGTTACAAATATCATGCAAACAGCTTTTTGAATGCCTTCTTTTCTTGTCCCGCTGTTCTTTCTTCCTCTGCCGGACTTCTCCAGCTCAGTCAGAATCGCCCTGTCATCTTTCACAAGCTCATGGGCGGCTACGAGATCTTCCTCGGCGCACTCTCCTCTTTAGCACTACCTTCGCCAAAGCACGACGATACAGTGCTTTCGCTACAGAGCAAAATTATTTGTCAATAGGAGAAAATGAAGACGTTGAACAGTATCGCGAAGAAAAACGCACCCTTATCCGCGGTGTTCAAATCCATTCCAAGAGCCCGATCCGTTGCACTACGCGCAATCCCAGCGTTGGCGGTTCCCCCCGCCCTGAGCGCAGCCAACGCCGAATTGAGTAGAAGCGGTGCAAGCAACACGTCGTAAGAGTCCTTAAGCTCCGGTGGCGCATCATCGGGAAGCATCTGGTGCATGTCGAGGTAGCGTATCGCCTCTGCGCAAACCTAGTCAGTACGCTCGCGCCACTTCCGTCATAGTGAACCAACACAGCGTACTCCGGTATTTGCTAACGCCTCCGCCGCTTTGCCATCCTTGAATAGCTTGTTACCAGTTTCTCGGACTTGCTTGGCGACCTTGAGTGCGGCCTCGGGTTTCTCGATGACATCCTGACCGTCTATTGGTCCCTGGTCCTCTGGGTAGTCTTCAAATGGATCCCCTCCGCGGCCGTCGGATCCTCCGCGAGTGACGGGTCGTCCGGAGACAGCTGTCCACAATCTGCGATGACACACGGCGATTTGGGGGCATCGCCGTCGGCCGTGGGCGTGTTCTCGACGGCGCGTACGACCGACTTTCCGCGTATCACCTCGCCGAAGACGACTGCTTGCCGTCCAGATGTTCCGTGGCGTTGCAGGTGATGAAGAACTGCGATCCGTTCGTTCCTGGACCGGCATTCGCCTGTTGGACGTGCGGACAATCAGTACCGCATCGCTCTATGACGGTGACGGAGGGCGCGCCCGCGACTGACCATGGACAGCAAGAACCGTTTCGTGTGCTTCACCTCGAAGTTTTCATCCTCGAATTTCTCGCCATAGATCGACTCGCCGCCCATGCCGTTTCCCATGGTGAAGTCGCCGCCCTGCACCATGAACCTGTACTTTCATCTATCACCGGCGTAACTAGCAGCGTGAAGTCCGGACGTACCCTTGATCACCCTGTGGAACGCGCACCCCTTGTAGTGCAGCGGCTTACCCGCCGTGCCCTCCCCTTTCTCGCCGGTGCATAGTGCGCGGAAATTCTCCACCGTTTTCGGTACGATATCACTGTATAGCTGCATGACACCCGCCCAGCGGCTGTCCCCCGATCGTTATGTCGAAATACACGAGAGGACGTTCGGACGACATGGTGCTTGTGAGGCTTCCTATACGGTGAATGCGCGAGCTTGTGGTGTGAATGGCCTTGTGAGTCGAGCAGTAGTCTGAGCAGGTCGTTTGTCGCGCCCATGGTCTCAAATATTCAAGTTGAACGTGCTTATTAGGCGTCTCTAGAACATGCTAGAACGGTACACTTAAGCGCCATTGTAAGCCGGTTAACAAAAGTAAGCATTGTTTGTAATCGAGTCATTAAGCATTCAACGGGGATAAGTAAACTATGAAGGTCTTTCGACAGAATAATGATCATCACTTCAAGTTCAATCAACGGTATATGCCTCAGCCAGACTTAGTTCAGGCAACTTGTTCTGTACGTCGGGCTCCCTCAAAACAGTTCAGACGTGACTTGTATTCATGGAATAGAATGTAAGTAGCAATAGCGAAAACAAACAAAAGGTACAGTAGACTACTAGAAGAGTCCGCTCTTCCTACATCACACAACAGTGATACAACCAAAACGCGTAGTGGCAGCACTGCCCTTCAGCATCGACGAGTCCCCGGTAGACAATAATAATAACACAGTCAAAAAGTTCGAAAGCGAAGTAGCGCAGCGACTATTCGCCGCGCTGGCGAAGGACCTTGGAGGGTCAGGGTATTGTGGGACGAAATGGGTAAATCCGTTTTAGCTGCGGCCGTAAGGAGGGAGCGCGCAGGTCGTGCGAATGTCATGCGTCATGCAGAGTCATTCAGGAGAACATGGCGTGGGCGTGCAGTCTAGACAACGGACTCGACAAGTCGTGATGGTAGTGTAGGGCGGGGCGCGCCCGACATGCGTCGTTGGAGGCGAGCTGGCCGACGCTGTGACTGTAGAAGCAGTCGTGTCAGCCCCGAACAGAAGACTCAGTCACACGACAGCGAGAACACTGACGTGGCGGGACATGATGACTTTCGCCATGGACAATGGAGGCTGCGACTCGTAGAAATGAGGACCTGCAGTGTCGGAAGAAAGATGAGACACGACATGAGGAGGAACTGCCAGAGAGCAGGTTGCGAGACTCACCTAATCTGGGTCGTCCGACTTGCCAGTGGACCCTCATTATATCAGACCCGCCCATAAACCCAAGTCCCTTCTCATCCGCAGACCTCTCCTGGGTCTCCTCGCCCAGTATGCTGCTCAGCGAGAACGACACAGGCAGCGCGCTCCAGTTCCACAAATGCGGCTTGCCCGTGTTCAGAGACAGCTGGGGCAGGTTGAGATCTGCCTCAAACTTGTTCGATAGTCGGTGCAGCGAACCCGCTCCGACATGGAGCACAGCAAGGATTGAGGTGAGGAACGAAACCACCGAGAGGACCTGGAGGACCGAAAATGATAGGATCTCGAACATCGTGTGCAACCTCTGGTGGGCCTGGCTCTGCTGGATGGGTGGACCGGCGCTGGAGGCGTAAGCGCGTACGGTCGAAGCCAATGCGGTCTGCGAGCAGCGCAGCTCGAGGAGGTCGCGTGTGAGGGGAGGAGCGGTGGGCAAGACGCGGGGGCCGTGCACCCCTCAACTTCGGGAGCAGCGGCATCCTCCGTGACGCTGTGATCGTCACTGCCTGTCACACTGTGGCGTCCACTCATCGCCCGTAACGGTAACCTGCTACTGAGCAGCCACCCGCAGCGAGTGCTCCAACTTAGTCCTTCACAATGCACAGGTACGGCCGTTATTCTCCGCGCTGTGTTGTTGAGTGGGCATTGAGCCTGAAAATATCGGGTATTTCCCCTTTTCCGCCTGAATCCCATTGTTGATTCAGTTTGCAGTGGTTGGACTCTGCCGCTGTGATTGAATGTCATGGCTCAATTAGACATTCCCTATCGGGCAGATACAGTAGGGATTGCGGTGAACCCTGCGATGAGGTTTTGGCCCTCCCAAGCAGCTCAAATCGCCGAGGAAACTGACAGATAGACGTGTTACAATCGAAAGTCCGGCGCCGATCGGTACAGCTGCTTCGAACATGTTTTGGACCGTCCCCACTGGCAGAGGACCTATGTCCATCACTTCCCGAGACCAGACAGCCAGACACTCGAGCATGCCTGTCCGTGCTATACAGTACTAATGTTGCTGCCTTAACGTCAATAGCGCTAGTGTGCTTGTCACCAGCAGGGCGTGGACCTAACTGCTCAAGCATCAAGCAAGTACGCCAGCGCGCTGAATTTGTGGACTACTGTCATGCGGTATCTGACACCACGCTTCATGTTCCCCGATCCTACTCAATTGCCAATAAATCAGAGTGGTGCGCCGCTCCGACTTGTTGTTATATGGGAATGTTCAAGTGGTACCATCACTTGCTGCGACCGGACAGCCAAGCGCATCCGTCGGGCAGGCTTTGACACAGCGGTGTGGTGTTACACGGCGCTGGTTCTGCCGCGATGCGACGTCGGCAACGCTCTCGCCGACTGGTCGGATGCTGAGCTAAGTAAGTTAGCAGAGTCCGCACCTCCATTGCACCTCCACAAGTCCTGAAACTCAGCTTAAACAGTGTTTTTGTCTTTATGTGAGTACGATCCTCAAACGATCCTAGTGTGCGACCACAAATAAATGATCTGACTGTGTCATACCAGAGATGAATCGCCGGTATGTTCAGCCGTGACAGTTGCATCCGTATCTTCCAACATCCGGCACCAGCTCACTTTGCGGACCCAAGGACAATCTATGGAGGGTGGTCTTGTGGGTCGTTACCACGAACGTCATGGCATGCGCGCCCTTCGTACTTACTTGCCATATACATCCGGCCGGTCATTGACCATTCCCATGCCACAGGAATGAACTCATGTGCGTAGCCCCCGGCGTGTCAACGAAACATATCGTCCATTTGACATTCCGACAGGGTCCAATATGGACACTAGAAGTTTGAGGTGCTTCCTGTGTGGTGCGACTGCTACAAGCAGTGTTAGCAGCCCGCTGGTACCAGCGGAGCGATGGGGCCGCGGCACCGGTGCAGTGGTTACGGATCTCTCGACCTCGGCCATGAACAACTACGACGCGTGGCGTAGGCCACACAAGCACGGAACAATACGCCTCCCCGGATACTTTACCCCGACTTAGCACGGGAAACGCCAGGTAACGATGGCAACACTGACTGGGTCGTTGGATCACAGTCCGATATGTCGTAGGCTGCTCGTATGTTCACTACTCTCGTTGGGACATACATCCGCGCGTGTTGGCTTCAGATCACCCGCGGCCCGCCCTTGCGTTCACGTCATCGCGGGAACCAAACTTTCCTGTGAACGAAGAAACCATACTCCGGTTCACGCGGTATGGACATACGGATCTTCTGTCCGCACTAACTCAATAGGAATCATTCTTCCGCGAGACTAGGCCACCACTACAAATGCTACTGCGTAGTCTGGAAGGTGTGGTCAAGGCCACCACGACGCCTGCGGGGGTCCCCCTGTCGGCTCACGACTGCTCTATGTGGTCTGCAGCACGACCACAATTCTGCGGTGCGCCATGGCCTCTCTCACACACACACAAGGGACGCTACTCACGTTTCACAGTGTGTGTACGACCACCAGCGGGAGCTGTGTCGATCAATCCACTCGCGGTCTCCTACCGGAGGTGCGTCGCATTGGCGGTATGCGGTGCTAGCTGTCGGACCGAAGCAGCGGGACGCCAGAGCATTATATTGTCCCAACGTCGGAAACACGTCCAGCCGTCGGGTCGAGGCTCTGACTCAATGTGGCCCAACGAATCTAAGGGTTCAGTACAGCGGCCCAGCTTTGAAGGCCGCAAACCGTGATTGACGCGAACGGCGCCGAGGTGTTTGGTAGCAGCAGACCGAACAATCCCCGCTCGGGCGTACCGTCGCTTGGAGGCGGGCTTCGAAAGACCAGCGCCCGGCGGGGATCCGCACATCGATATTCCGAGGACGTGCGCCTCTACATCTCGGCAGGCCGCGAAGTATGCCCGCTAGGCCGCATGTAGCGGCTTGGTTGTGGGTCCCCCGTACCTAGGAGTTGGTTCGCCGCGTCCTTGCTTCGGATAGAGTGTAGCCCGAGTTGGCCGCGATTATCTGTGGTCCTCTCTTCATGCTCCGCGGTTGGCTGCGGCTCCGATAATGCGGCACACTAACCACCCTGATAGTAGGTTGGGCGGCCATCAAAGCACCTGTACTTAGCTGGGCCACACCGGCAGGGCCAGGGCTGTGTAGTCAGGAATAACGGTGCACACGTCGCGGGAAGTAGTACTGTAGCCCTGTGCCCCCTAGTGTGCGCTTGCTCTGGGTCCGAGGTCCGTACTATAATTTGTTATGCAATGCCTGACCCATTCAGCCTACGGTGACGGTTCGAATTCATACAACAAGTTACTATTCCAGACAATGAGTGAGTACATACAATACAACACAAAGCTTCTAACACATAGCACTCAGAAAACATATTGACGCAACGTAACACGACAAGCACGACACCTCCCACCAGCCCCCAACCTCAATAGTCCCAGTTTGCGATCAAGAGCTCCTTCTCGACTTTGTTCCGGTCGTATTTCGCCTGGTCCCGCCATCCTTCGCCTTGGTCTCCTTCTTCTGCACGTCTTCCTCCTTCACGACGTGCTCATTCCAGTACATCGCGCGGCCAAAATCGATGATCCGGAAGCTCGGCGTCTTGCGTGATCGCTCCTGGGGCGGCTTCCACAACGGGCCGGGCTGCCATAGGATGTTGCGCACGTACATCGAGCCCTGGAGGAACTCCGCGAGCTGGAGGCGCACCACGAGCGAGTAGCACTCCGATCTGTAAAACACAGTCTCTCTCAGTCCCAACTCGCACGCAGCGAAGGCACTGAACGCACCTGTCATCGATGCTGAACTTGGACGGCACGACGGGCTGGCCGCACTCCTCCATCAGCAGTATCGGGCTCGAGCCCTTCCCACACGCATATCACCATCATCGTACCCCGCATACTTGTGGTCCGGCGCGGAGCCGTCCTTCTCGACGGGCACGTAGTACCCGTAGAACTTCGGAACCACCGCGCCGACGGGCACGGGGTGCTTCACCGGCGTGACGAGGTTGTATCCGCAGTACTCCTCCTGGAGGTGCCGCGGGAAGAGGCTGAAGATCTCTGCCTCGTGTCGCAGGAACTTGCGCGCGGAGATGTGAACGAAGGCCGTCTTTGCGGCGACGGTCACCATGCGATGCTTGCCGTATGTGCTGAGCGGTGGGGGCAGCTTGAGGGGCGCGCGCCGCACGAGAGAGTGGTGTCCCTCGCCGATCAGGGGGCCGTTGAGATACAGACGGCCGAGACGCTCTGGTTCACCTTTGAGGCTGTCTCTCTCGAACTTGGGGAAGATGCGCTTATACTTTGCAGGTTCCTGCAGAATGTATGTCAGTTTGGCAGGACATCATGGAATGAAAGCAACGCACCCTGCTGGTGCGATGGACGATGAGTGCATCTGGAAAGTATTCTTCCGGAATGAATTCTTCCAGCTTCGGGATATCAGCCAAGAACGTCTCGTTGAAGCATCCATTTTCTTTGATGTAAGCCTCCGAGGCCTCCGTGGGCGCGACTCCATCTTCGATCTCATCCACGTCTGCCATATCTTGATCTTCATCCTTCTCATCTTTCTTGTGGTCATCACCTTCACCACTTTCCGGCTCGACAAAGCGGCCTTTGCCTTTGTCCTTGACCGGCTCCTTTGGAGGCTGCGATCCTTCACCTGATCCGCTTGAGTCGGTAGTGGTCTCCTTCTTGTCATCTTCGTGCTTGGTTGATCCTTCAGATTGCATCTCCACGTCGCTTTCGGTCTTGTTTGTGCTGGGATCCACAGACATAGGCGCATCCGGGGCCTCAACGACATCAGCTGTTTCTCTCTTTGCACCTGCCGACGATTCGGCGACCTTTGGACGATGCTCTTGTTCTTGCTCACTCGTAGTTGCGCCCTTCTTATCCGTCTTCACCGTCTTCCCTTCGTTGAGGAATATCACAGGGCTCGGATCATGACGGACATGCAAGAGACAATCGCCTTCTGGGATGAGAAGGCCGCTAGGCACCGCGTCGTCCTCGTCGTCCTCGTCGTCGGTAAAGTCTTCCACGATAACCGCCATGATACCCTTGTCATCGACCAGCTCAGCGCGTCCCCTCTCGTTGCCAGGCTTCCTGACGATCGAGTACGGGCCACAGACACCCAGACTCTGCGCCATCGCATACTCCTCGCGGACCTCCGGCCTCCACAGCGCGGCGTAAGGATGTTTCAGAGGAGATATGACGGGGTTCACTGCATCGTTAGGCATGAACACACCTTCCATGTCCTCGATGACGACGCGGTGGACGAGCTTGTCTTCCACGGCCTCGCCGGTCTTAGGGTCGTCCGCGCGCACACGCCAGCAGCGCACGTCGGACGCCTCGTCGTCTTCGTGGTCCGAGCCGTCGTCATACGCGCCGATGGGCGGCACGGTCCGATTGAGCGCATCATTCGCGAGCCTCAGCACGGGCCACGGGCGGCGCAGGCGCGGGCGGGGTTCGGGCGCGTCGAACTCGCTCTCGTCGTAGTTCTCGGCGAACTCCTTGATCATGCTGCGCGACCAGATGGTGAGGACGTCGACGTTCGGGACGCGTTGCAGCCACATGAAGTCCTCGCAGGAGTGGCCCCAGATGAGCCCGCTCGGGGTGCGCGTGCCGACGGGCGGCGGGCGCGGGAGGATCTCGCCGGTGGGGTCGCGCAGCCATTGGCGGGAGACGATCCGGCGGCGATTAGAGTAGTGGAAACGGTCTTCGCTCTTTTTGCCGCTGGACATGGTCGACGTGGATAGCGATGGTCAGCGAGACGGACGGGTGAGATGTGGAAGTGCGTCGAGCGTCAAAAGGGCGGTCTTTTATAGCGTGGCCAACGAAGACACCACGAGGCCGTGGTCGCGTTAGAAGCAGTGCACCTGTCACTTCTGCCTTCTTGAGTGGTTGTTATCACGTCGATCGTGATGGCGATCCTGAAGAAGGAAAACCAAGTAAGGAGAAGGTGACACTAAAAGACAATGGATGCCATACCTGGACGTGCCACCCCACTCTGCCAGATGGACCCTTGGTCTCTGCGCGGAGGTCATCGCCAACCAGACTCCCACATCAGCAAAAGTGCGGACGCCAATCTGCACAGGAACAAATGGTCTGGCTTACCACCGAACAAAATGAAAGAATAATCACAGATTATGTGATTTCTGAATGCCGAACCATTGTCTTCAGTTCTTCTAACGAGATAGGCTTGTCGTACACACTGAGGACAGATGTCAACAGCTAATCGCCGCTGGTTTCGCCGCTGTGTGATAATATCAGAAGCTGGGACCAAGCTAGGATCCAGGATTACAAGTCGGAAGGCGCAGCAGTGCAATCACCTGGGCACCGAGCAAGATATTTATCCTCTTTGTTCTTAGAATATGACCGGCAAACTTCGTATGATCTTTGAGGGACGTGTGACGTGGCTATTGCGAATATATGCGCGAGAAATGTGTGGTGAACGATATTCTGTAGGCTGAGTATGGTACGCCGGAAGGCCACAGTTCGATTTTGGACGCGGCTCGGCGCTATCCGCACCGGGATAGACGCCGGCCACCCACCGACGAGTTCAACAAAGCTACAGTTCACATACTCTTTCCGTGATCCGGAGGGACTCGCTACAACTGCAACTCCTATTGAGATGATATTTTGAGGTATCAAGTGGCCTTGCAAGAAAATCGAAAATCGTCACTCTGAGTACGGTGGCGCAAACGGGGAATAAGCGCCCATCAAGTTCGAACGTAGCCGTAATAGATTATAGAGCTAATAAATATCTTAGCCCTCTGTTTTCGTACTAGCAGAAGCCCGTGCTACGCTACTACGGGAGCGTATGCTTGCAGATCCAATCGTGCTATACATATAGTATGAGTTCGCAGAAATGCGGAATTGTTGCTCGAGTAGCTCGCTAACGTAGAACTTGAAGGCCACTCAGCCGCCTCCCTCCGGGAGTCGGCTTCGTGGCCATATTCATGGATTCCTCTGTATGAAAGTACTTACCCGGTGCTCGTAGAGCCTTGTGCGGCAGCTGGTCAATGGCGCCTCATTGTGCGCCCTCGTCGCCGCAATGCGCCCATCTTCATCATCCTTATCCTCTGCATCATGGAACTCGTTGAGCTCCTCCTCCTCCGCCTATCCCTCCCGGCATACTCGTTCAGCAACACGACATTCGTCGGTGAGAGCGCATCGCCATTCCCGAGTGGATGAAGTCCATTCGCCGCCACTTGTTCCATTGCGAGGCTGAACGCAGGGTCCGAGAACATCGCCAGGTCGAAGGGCACCATCGTCGGGCGCTTTCTCGTGTATTGCGTGCCATTCTGTGTGTTCTTCGCACTGCCACCAACCGCGTCGGGCTCGATCCCGAACGTGAGATCGTTCACCGTTGCTGCGAGGCGCGGTCGGTGTGTGTTGCTCGCGTCCCAGCCTTCCTAAGTCGCCGTCGCTGGTCTTTTTCTCAGCGCATGGGGTCCGAATTCGTTGGCCATGCGTGCGTGCCGGGCAGTTCTTCCCCGCCATCCGTTCGCTCCCGTCCGCACTCACCCTCCACCCGTCCTCTTTCTTGCTCGCCGCTATGCTCGCGCCCATGGTCTGCTCTTTGGCTGGGCTTGCATAGGGGACCCTTGCCCTGCGTTCTAGCGGTCGGCGGGTGTTGTGCTGCACGTTGCCGTGGGTTCACCGTCTACTCGCCCTCGCGCGTTCTTCCCTCACATGAGTAGTCCGTTCGTCGGTCGCGTTTGCGTGCAGTGCATTCGCCCGGTGCGCCGCTCGCGGTTGATGTACGCATCGTGCTTCACATCGCCGTGCCCTGTGAGTGTAGTCAGTGCGCTCGCTCGCGTGCGTCTGCACTCACCTTTCCCCGATGTCTATCCTTACCTCTCGTGAACACAGTCCGTTCGTCGGCCACGTCTGCACACAGAGCATTGGCCTACATGCTCGTGGTCGTCGTGCGTCTTGTGCCCGTGCTGTTCAAGCTTGTATTGCTGCACGTCACGCCCGCGAGCCCCTCGCCCTCGTTGTGCATGTCGTGGCCCACTTGTCTGCCCGCTCGCATGTCTCCGTATGCGTTCGTCGGCCGCGTCTGCGTGCACAGGGTGTTCGCCCACCGCGCTCACGGGCGGCGGTGGACGTGTGCGCTGTTGCCTGCCGCCTGCCCGCTCTCCCGCCTGCCCGCTCTCCCGCCCGCTCGCTCTCCCGCCCGCTCGCTCTCCCGCCCGCTCGCTCTCCCGCCCATCCACTTGCTTGCACATCCGATTGCCCGTCCACGCGTGCCCACTTGCCCACCAGCTCGCCCGCCTGCCCACTGGCTCCGCGTGCGTTCGTCGGCCGTGTCTGCGTGCTGGGCATTCGCCCGGTGCGCTCGCGGTCGGCGTGCGCATCGCGCTTCATGGCGCCACGGCGACTGCGCCCTGCGCCTGCCACATTCTCCCATCCGTCCGATTCCTTCGCTGATGCACCCGCGGTCCGGTCGTCGGCCGTGTTTATGTGCTGGGCTTATGCCCTGCGCGTTCACGATCAACGTGTGTTCTGCGTGCCCCGGCCCTGCCGACCATAGCCCACGCCCGTTCTTAGCCAGCTCGCTCGCGTGCAATAATGGCACTCACCTTCGCGTCTGTTGCTCACGCGCTCGTCGGTCGCGTACGCATGCTGGGCACTTACCCTGCGTGCCCATCGTTCCGTCTCGGGCCTTCGATGCGCTTCACAGTGCCATTGTTGTTGCGCTCGTGGTGGTGCTCTTACACGCCCGATCCCGAGCCAGGCCGTCGTGAATGAATATTGAGGGGGTGGTGCCCACGGCGAGAGAGGGAGAGAGTGGCAGTGGCAGATTGGCATGAGGCAACGCCGCGAGCGATTCGACGGCCCGCACAGGATCAAGCATGCTTCCAAACTTAGAGGATTCGGCTAGGTCGAAGAGCGCAGCGAGTGTATGTACATGCCAGAGTACGTTTTAACAGTGGAGGACAGTACTACTTTGAAACGACGCAAGGAGGTGGACGGCGCTCGGGCCTCGGGCATGGCCCGGAGGCCGAACCGCGTCCGTATTCGAACCGTGGCCTTCCGGCCGACCTTAGGCTGAGCGACTCCGAGCGAGTTCCTAGGCCTTCAGCAGGCGGATTTCAATGCTTCTGAAGCACCGTATTGACAGCGAGAATATCGGAACACGCGCGTAGCAGCGCACAGTCCGAGGATGGGTGCAGAATGTGAACGTTGAAGACACGAGCGACGACCATCCTGGTGTGAGTCAGGCAGGTCGTAGTGTCTCGATCACATGACCTGTAGTAGGTCGCCGATCGCGAGCAGAACCTGGAATTAAGTACCTGAGCCTCCATCTTACCCTCCTCCTCTGCGTACCAAGATGCCCTCATGATCCTCATATAACATCCCGGGGCATTATCGCTTCAATATGGAGCAATGGTTAAGTACAAATTGCAGCCACCACCGCCGCGATATGTCTCGTCGGCTGTGAATAGTTTGAGGAAGAGAACATATCGGAATCATTCCGCGTGCGATGAGTCCTCTCGAAACCATGCGGCTCATTCTCCGCTCCTGCATAGTCCTAACAATAATTCTGATATTTATGTTGCCCAAGGGGGCCCACTTACAGGGATGGTACGTTCCATGGAGTGCATATACATTATCATCACCTGAAACAGCATATATGCGCTCCATGCTTGTATATTATCACCATACTGTGATGTAATCGCTCACAGATGTGTTGGTTCAGTGCTACAACGTATGGACAGCTGGTGAGCTTGCCTGTTCCCGTGTACCGTCAGTGACGGCGTCACGGAGTACCAACAGATCTACAAACTCCAGAACCGTTGGACAAGGCGCAGTGTAACATGCTCCGAATTCTATAAGATGTTCTCGCTTTTCTTTGAAGACGAAGATAGATGCAAGGACATCCTTGCATCCTGGGACACGTTCATAACTTCTCAGTGTTTTCAAATAGTGACGACCGTGCAGGGAAGCGCACCCTATTTTTGAGCCCGAGCATGTTGTTCTCGAGTCTCGACCCGTGGATCCGCTCGCTGCACCACACGGTCTTACGGGACCTGGAATCTTCGGCGCGGTCGCGATGCTAGTGAGTACTCTGTAAAGTATGTGAGGGCTTTTGAAGCTGACAGTCCGGCAGATTTTGCGTCGATCATCGTGCCGGATGCCAATGGTGAGAGGTACTAGGGAGGGGACAAAGCATGGAGGGCTTTGTAGTTGGCGAGACTTCGAGCTTGGGGCTGACGCCAGGGAAGTGGTCGTGTGGACTGGCTTCGCCGTTTGACTCTGCTGCAGAGAAGGATTTAGGTGGACTCCGAGCTGGTGAACACGCGCTGCTAGCTGTTCCTTGAGACATGCAACGGAAGATCTTCTGGCGCGGACGGTTCTCGAGCTTGACTTAGTATCGGGGGCGTTGATTCCGAACATCTGAGGTAAATCTGTCGGGACTTCCGGCGTCGAAGCTCAACTGCGGGGAAAAGTAAAGGTACGTGTTTCTCATAGTACCAGTGGCCACGTTTATTGACTGATGTCTCGCAAGTCGAACGACGCACCTCCAAGCTAATCAGAATCTTTACAAGTTAATAGTAAAGTTCCTTGTCACTTCCCGCTACGTATCATTAACTGACTCCGGCGGTGAGCTGGATAGCTTACCCTCATGATCGCTGCCTCGCTCCCCAAACATATAACGCTATCTCAAGCACTTGGTCATCCCGCGACTTCAACTCTGTTATGCCGTGGTTCATCTGCCACCTCTTGATCCCAGCGCTCATGCTGGCACCATACTATGGCGCCCTCAAATGCTCTCTGGCTCAGCGGACACACGCTCCCTGACACTCGCCAGTTCGATTTCTTTACCATCTCCGCCTTGCTTGATTGTACCGACTTTCATCGCTCCACTGTCCCTTCGCTCACCTCGCCCCCCTTGCTCATTCCGGAATATGGTAACAGTCATTGGCCCAGATGCTAGCTCATCTGTCGAGGGTCGTCGAAGATTCGTGACAGTTCTCAGCTAAGTAGGTGAGTATTGTGACCTAGTGCTCATGTAGAACATCATGTGCGAGTCCTCCAGTTCACTTAGGATCAACCCACAAGCGCGTCCTCCGCAATTATCCCAGCTCTGCGCATGTCCTCAGTATCAGAAAGAGGCAGTGAGTCGACTGTGAATCGCAGTGAGATATTGACCTCAGGCTCTTTGAACGCAGTACAGTAAGGCAGCAGGCCAGCCATCGGAAGTTCAAGCGCTCAAGCTCAAGGTCGGCCTGGTCGGGCGGCCGGCTGCGGCCGGGTAGCAGGCTGTGGCACTTATTTGTTGGTGCTTGCACCCTGTGTCAGTACTGGCAATCTTAGACATTGCGCACTCGTGTCAAACCACATGTAAGTACATAACTTACCTTGTTCTCTTCGCTCAAGATGCTCATGACTGGACAGTTTCGACGATTAGCGTTCGACAGCATCTACAAACGGTTAGCTGCGAGGTAGTATGTCCGCATTGTCGGATTGAAGCGGCGAAATGTTCTTGCGCCCCTCAAACCGCGTCATTTGGGCTGTGGCGTCTGCGGCGTGTTTTGCGCGTGCACTGCAGCTGGCTGTGCGTCGCCGCCCTTTGTCTGCTTCGGTCATTCTTCGCCTCCGCAGCTTAGGCGACGTGGCGACTGTCGCGCACATAAAACGGGCTGTCGTGGGCAACGCATGCCCGTACGCTCTGCGCCCCCCTCTCCTGCACTTCACACCGGCCCACGATCTCACGATCTCGTGAAAATTTGCGTCTTTGCGTTGATTCTCTCTCCTGTTGCTATCCTTAGCACAGCGTATACTTGGCTCTCCTATTAATAAGAGCACTGCGCAAGGAAGACGAGGTCGCTGCACTTCTGCATCGCACCTACGACCCGACACGACACCACGACGTCCTCACGTCCTTGAGATTGTATTCTCCAGTGAGCGATACCGCTTCCATGTCTTGCCTCCGATCTTAGCTGATCACTTAGCAGGCTAATACTTCTATCGTGAGTGCGAGACCGCTGGGGCCGCACGCGACGCTGACAGGGGATAATCCGCATCAGACATGCGTGCCTTCCTGCTCTGCATCCTCGCAATCGCGCCCTCGGAGCTACTGCAAGTCCACCCCTGTACGACAAGAATTAGCCGCCATGAACGATGCCGTCCCGTCACAGCGGCGCACGTCTACAGCCGCAGACCTCGCGCCACCCGTAGCCTCGCTTGCCGATTCCTTTGCATGGACATCAGAGCTGCACAGTTCGGACTCTCTTCTATAGCATGCATCGCTTTGTATCCTATAATCCACGGACCATTCCTCGTAGCTGATTTCTATACAGCCCGCGAAGCCTCTGTCCCTTTGTCAGACCCTAACGCTACGCCACGCCATCTCACGTTGTCTACCGATCTACCCAGTGGGGCTGCCCCACTACTTGCCCATCACGTCCGCCAGCTGCGTCTTCGGTATCGCCTCCGGGTACGCCTTCTTCTCCAGCCGGTGCTTCGTCGCCTGCTCATACGCATACGCGTACTGGATGAGCTGGAACTCGCTGTACGCCGTTCCTAGGAACGAGATCCCGAAGGGCATGTTCGGGCCGTTCATACGTGTTGGGCTCGCCTCCGTGAGCGCGACGTCGGGGGGCTGGAACCCGAGGGGCACTACAAGTTTATCAAGGTCAGCATTGTATAGCACACGCTGCATGGAGTAGGACGGACCAGTGATGACGGGATAGCCTGCGACCGCGGCGGGACGGGACGCCCTGGCGGTGGGGATGAGGATCGCGTCGACCCGTACTTCTTCAGCAGGCCGTCGACGCCGTCCTGCCTGCCCATGCGGTAGTCCCACTCCAGTGCCTCCCAGAATGCCGGGTCCTGGTGCACGCCATTGGACTTGACGAACCTGCCAATGTCGCGTCATTCACAAGACACAACAAGGAAAACACGCGGGACGCAAGCGTACCTCGCCTGGTCCGTCCAGTACGGCTCCACAAGCTCCTTCTCCCTGTTGTCCTCGTTGAACTTGATAAGATCCGCAAGGGTGCGCACGCCCGTCGGGACGTCCACGAGCTTAGACAGTAACTGTGGATGTTGACCTTGAAGTCCCCACAGAGTACGACGTCCTCGCGATTTTGCACCTCCTCGTAGTCCCACCCATCTCCGAAGTCTGCGGGGTCGACAACTGTCGCGCCGAGTTCCGTGAGGTCCTTCAGCGCCTTGTTGAACGCAATCAGGACGTTCGCGTCGACGCCCTCGAGGACCTTGCGCGGCACGCCGAGACGCACGCCCCTGAGCCGTCTTTCTTGAGGGCCTTGGTGTAGTCGGGCACCTGCGCGGGCTGGTTCAGCGTGTAGCTGTCGTGCGGGTCGCGCCCCGCGATGGTCGAGAGGACAATAGCGCAGTCCGCGACACTGCGGCACATGAGGCCGACGCTATCCTGGTGCTCTGAGATTGGGATCACTGGGCATGCCGGTCACCCGTGAGCGCTTGAGCATTCACACGTCTGAGCCAGAGCAGCACCACGTACCCCCTGCGCGCGAAGTAAGCCCCACCGTCGGCTTGAGGCCCACCACATTACAGTTACCACTCGGGCTGATGATCGACCCGTCCGTCTCCGAGCCGAGCGTGGCCGTCGCGAGGCCCACCGCGCCCGCGATCCCGCTGCCCGAGCTCGAGCCGGACGGGTTGCCCAGCGGGACGTACGGGTTCGTGCCGTGGCCGCCGCGCCCGCAGAAACCCGAGGGCACCGTGCCGCGCCAGTTCGCCCACTCGGAGAGGGTACACTTGCCCAGGAGGATCGCACCCGCCGCGCGGAGCTGCGCGGCGACGAAGGACTCGCCGGCAACGACGGAGCCGAGCAGGGCGTAGGACCCTGCGGTGGTGTTCATGCCTGTAGGGGTACTTTAACAGGCTGCGAAGGAGGCAAGTGTGGGGTGCGCACCCTCGCTGTGCAGTGTTGCGATGTTGTCTTTGAGCAGAATCGGGATGCCGTGGAGGGGACCGCGGGGCCCTGAGGTTTCCCTCTCCTTGTCGAGCTCAGCAGCCTGCCTCAGCACATTTGGATTGGTCTCCAGGACGGCGCGTAATGCGGGTCCGTTCAAGTTGACCTCGTCGATGCGAGCGAGATAAGCCTGAACGCGCTCAGGTCAAGCCTAAGCAAAAGACGAAAGCGAGGGATAACTGCGCACCTTCACGAGATCAACACTAGTAAATCGCTTCCTCTTGAGACCATCCTGGATCTCCTCAATTCCCGCCTCGTACAAGTCCGGCAACGAACCCATCCCGAACAAACTCGAGCTCAACGGTATCCGCACGTACTCCGTGTATGCAGCCAGGGAGAGGCCTAGGGCGATAGCGAGGGCGGAGAGGACGGCAGTGGACCTACCAGGAGTTAACATAGCAGCACAGGGTTCCGAGAGGCATTCGCGACAGCTGCAAGTTCCAGGCTCCGAGTCATCGGAGGTCGAGAGTCGTACACGGTGCCGCACTGCAGCCACACCTTACATATCATCAGGAGTCAAAGAAGTGCTGCCGGAGAGCCGCCTCGCCGATGGAGGGGCGGCGAGAGCATCGATCACACGGTTGACCTTTCTCCGAGATAGGTGGAAGAGTCCCGCGCCCGTGGGTACTTACGCTGTGCCTGTGCGTATCGTTTGCGATACCAGAACCTTAGTGATCACGCGCACGATTGAGGAACACAAGTCCGCTATCCTATCGAACGTCCGGAGAGCATAGCACAAACAACGCCCAGTGCTCCGGCGATTCACGTTCAACGTTCAACGTCAAGCATTCGGCCTGCCGTTGAGGCTTCGCTCGGCTTCGGTGCCTGGCGATCCTCCAATTTCGATCGAGATACGATTGGTATCGACCCGAGACAGCGGTAAGTGCAAAACTGAGGATCTATACATCGGGGCCGTCATGCCGGCATCCACTGCAGACCTGGGCGCCGACTTGCTTAGGGATGGACGAGAATCTTGACTACAGGCCACAACAGCGTTTAGCGTATGAGGCTTTCAGCCTAGTATGGCCACGCACTCTGGGTATCTTTCTCTGCAATGAGGGTCTTGATCCCCTTCTCGACGAAGTCGTCCAAGGCAATCTTGCTGGTGATCAGCTCCTCGAGATTAGGGATCCGACCTTCTGCAACGACCTTGAGAAGCTCTTCGTGTCTGCGATCATACGCTTGGCTCGCTATCCCCATAGCTCAATCAGACGAACAATAGCAGCATGCCAAAATAGGTACCAGTCAGGATCGCCTCCTTCGTCTGCAGTGCTCCCATTTTGATCACAGGATTCGTCTCCCAGACTGCAACCTCGACAACGTTCCCTTGGGTCCGGACGGCAGCTAGTGCGGCGTCGAAGCTAGCTTGTATTCCTGCGCAGTCGAAAACGACGTCGGCCCCACCGTCGGTAGCCCGGAATGTCTCGGCAACGACGTCTTCGGTAAGCGGGTTGTAGACTGCAGAGACGCCGAGCTTCACAGCGGTCGCACGGCGAGCGGCAGCTGGTTCGGACACTCCAATCCAAGACGCGCCTTCGGCTCTGGCGACGAGTGACTGTTTGGCAACAAGAATACGCGAAGAAGACGGGACGCACTTCAGTATCTTCAACAGTAGGAGACCGATCTAGAAGGGTAATCAATCAGCATATGCTCGTCAGGTCACTTGCACCTAATCATTCACAGGCCCGGCTCCGATAATGAGCACACTACTCCCGCGCTTGAAGCGGGATATCTTCATGGCATGCCAACTGACGGCTAGAGGCTCGATGAGTGCTCCTACATCCACTAAAGCATGCGTTGAACCAAAGGATGCCCTCAATGGATGAAGACTGGACGTGCTCACGAGGAATACTATCCGGGAGCACATGTACGAGGTCTTCATTCGTGACTGTGTACTCTGCCAAACCACCACCCCATCCGCCGATGCCCTACAAAGATATTGAATGATTCTGAATGGAAGGAGGGGTTCCAGGCTGAGAGGGAACGTACGATGAAGCTGATCTGATGACAAAGGTTCCGAGTGCCAGACAAGCAGGGCCCACACTTTCCGCACGAGATGAGCGGCTCGCTGGGCACATCAACGCGGGGCCAGTCACAGACCGAACGAAGACGTACACTACGACATTCTGGCCTACCGAGAACTTACTGATGTCCACCGCCTTGCCTAATTCGACGATTGTTCCAGAGAACCTGGGATGCCTCACGTTGGTCGGCGTCACACCACTTCCATCATACACTCGAACACGCACTCATGGCCCATGACGACGGGAAGGGTTTCCTGCGTGGTGGGATGAGGTGTCGTCAAGGTGGGAGACACCGGGGTTTGCAGTACGAAGTACGAATGTAAGTCGGAGCCGCATACTTGAGATATACATCAATCGCATGGACGGTGTCGGCCCAAGTACATGTATACTGACTTCCGTTCCTACAGGTGCAATTCAGTTCGATAACAGGTCGCTCTGCAATGAAACTTAGAGCTCACCATGCTACCTGGCAATAGAGGGAAACTCCGTGCTCCTCTCAATGCGTGCAGATAAGGCAGCTCACCTTGATCTTGATCTGCTTGTCGCCGGTGGTGGGTTCCGGTATGTTATCGACGCGTATATCCCCCGGTCCGTAGTAGCGTACTGCCTTCATGGTGGTCTCCGTCAAGGTTGGCAATGGTAGGGTGCCATCGACTAGCTATCATTCCCGTTGTTCCCACTGGCGAGCGCATGACCACTCGATACATATGATGCGAGAAGAGTCGAATCAGCGCTTCCTGTGTCGCGCCGCATATTCATTTACGCGCTCTCGAATCGCTGGGTTGAGCGGCCCAATAGTACTTACTTGCTCCTCCTCCTAGGTTCGACACAGACCGCGCATATGCCTCGCGGAGAATCTTGACAGGAATCGAGACTATCTGTCCTCCCGCGATTTGCGTCCATCGCATGTTTCAACTTCACCAGAACACCTCGAGATCGGATAGAGGTTGGACGGAGGTCACGCAGCTTGAAGCACCCGGCCAACGCCCGGCCTACGTGTTAGTGAATGAAGTCTAGAAGGCCCCAGTAAGGTAGGCTTTAGTAAGAACCCCCTCACCGTAGAGCACGCTCACACTACTAGTGACAGCATGCTTCGGGCTGCTGAGTACACTCGCCCGTAGCCGTCCCCACCCCGGGGGATGACAGTCAGAAGCGTCATGAGAGCTTCTGCAGCGTATATATGGCGGTCAAGCAAAATGGCAACCTGCACGATACAGACGTCGCTTCCACCTCATGTCCAAGACAATCCACGACGTACGCGCGAAACGCATCATCTTCGACAGTTCGCTGCTGTTCGACGAGGTGACCGCTCGGCTCGATCAAGAGTTAAGCAGGGACAAGGCGGGGCCGAAGGGCTTTGACATCTTCGCGACTGCGAAGACCAGGGAAGATCTTGAGCAAGGCATACAGAACGTCATCGGCGGCAAAGATTTCATGTGCGCTCGCTCCTCGTTTTGACCCTCCTGTTGTTGATCTTGGTTCTTCAGATTCTTCGGAGCGCCCGCCTTTCACGATTGGCGCAATGCGTATTACGACCAGGCGGTCCAGGTGCCGAAGACGACGCAGTACATACTCGGGAACCCATTCATTGCCGAGACGATGATCGTGCACGATCTATACGTCCCCTTGAACGTCCCGCCACGACTTCTGGTGGTAGAGAAAGCGGACAAGAGTGGGACGCAGGTGGTCTATTACCAGCCATCGTCGATTATCGCGGTGTCTGCCGATGGCAATGTGAAGCCCGAGTTGAAGGTGGCTGCCGAGGCACTGGACGCGAAGCTGGAGGCGTTAGTGAGAAAGATCACTGCGTGAGCCGTGCGTTGCCTTACCTCCCAACTGGATTATCTGCACTCGCTCATGGGATTCCAGGCCGTCTTTGACGGCACTAGCATTGCTGTAATGTCACTTGTCTGTGCTATATGTATCACCGAAATGGTCACTCTTAGCAACAATCCATGACTGCCACTGCTGTAGACGAACCTTCGTGTGCCACGAGGAGGCTTAAGTGGGCTTCGGGATGTTGCCTTTCATAGGGCCTTTGAATAGCGAACACGTTATTGAGGATACAACCACCGGCTCATTCAAGACACATACAGACGCGATGGAGACACAAAGCGATCGTGCAGCAGAAGAAGCTGGAACAGTGTGTCGTCAGTGGGCCGCGACTGATCCAAGCCTGAGTCCTCGACACTTCAGGGGGTTCGTCCATCATCGAACCGCGCATGGCTTGTTACCTACGAGGGCTGTCCGTGTGCGAGTAAACGATGGCCTCCGTCATAAATTCATATTGCACCGGGTGCGGCCGCGGTGATGGCTATTGCGGCGGTGATTGACCACTATGGTTGGCGAGACGTCCGACTACTGTAAGTATTGAAGGCGACTCAGTATATCGTATCACAAACGGGGTGCAGCCTCTGGGACGAGATCAGCTGCGCAGAACGGACTCGAATGGGGTTCTAATACAAGTTCAGTTGAATAATGAGTACATGCTGTAACTTTAAGTACAAGAAGTTACGGTGCAGCCCGTGGGATCGAACGTTACGTAAACATCTGGTGGCGCCCGATAAACTTGCATGCATTAATGCGACGCTCAAGCGCTCAATACTTGTTCACTGCATTCAAATATTCACCAGCACCCTCGACGTCGGGTCTGACTTGCAGCCCGGGGCATATAACCTTCAAGCTTCAAGCATAAGGTCTGTACGCCCGTCGTCGCCTTCAAGGGTGAATGCATTGAATGAAGGCGCTTATCTTCTACTACTGGGCTGGCCCGTAGGCGCGATAGGTGCCGTGACCAGCAAACGGGGTGCTCGCACTAACACCTCATTCAATGCGCCATGGGCTGGCGGGTCAACACGGAACAATGGCGAGAGCATCGTGGAAAAATACCTGTCCACTGGCAATGGCGACCCAAACTACTCTGTCCATAATATCTGCATACGCGTCCTCTCAGCACAACGAATCACTATGAGGTTAGTCTCGCATCTCTGAGTTTCATCGACTGTGTTCCTCATTGACGTGGTGCGCAGTTCGATTGTGATTAAAGGTGAGCATTGGGCATCCCAATGAATGCCTGTGACTTCACACTCCAACCTCGCAGGCATCCTGGTGCAATGGGCGTCGCCTCCCCCGCAGTTAACAAAGGAATCTTCTGTAGTTATTGTGCTCACCGTAGGGGGTGACGAAGCATTGCGCACGGAGCCGCTCGCCCGGCGATCGGATGTAGTATGGCGCATGGAGAACGAAGTTTTACAGACGTTGGTATCAGCATAATGCCTCGCTTTCCGGATGTACTAACCCCAGACCTATGCATAGTCCGCTCGGCGGCCAAGTGTTCAACTTGGAGGTGAAATCCCGGAATGCCGAGCATGCTTCTGATACGCCTATCGGTCATGTACAGGTCAATTCCGACGAGCTGCTCGCGCTCTGCTTGCAGGGCCACGGTCGGTATCATGGTCGACTGTGACATTGTACCGACACTGAACGCAGGGGCTATCGGTTTACAGTGATGACTGCGATCGCGCTGTCTACGAGACAAGATGACCCTGATGCGAAAATTGAACTGGAATTTGTGGTATATGTCGACAAGAACTTCGAGGCTCGTTCGCATGGTCATGCACTTGCCAGTAGCGATGGACCCTCAAGGAGTGAGATTAACGTAACATCTCGCTGGGCCTTCGTACTGATGATTGGTGTATTGACAGAGCTTGATCATACATTTTTCCTCGCCAATCAGCTCAGCGACACGTACGCCGATAAATGGACCTTTCTAATGACCATCGGCACTCACTATTTCAATGGTCTGCGCACATCCCATGACGCTCTCGCCCTGCCGAAAGCACTGGCCGCATTTGACGAAGCCATCAGATTGATACTCAACGTCGTTCCTCTCAAGTCGGACCAGCAAGACTTTCTCCGTGCCATGATGGAAATTTATGTGGCCGTGACATCTGAGGCAGTGGCTTTCGAATGTGATGCCAAAGCCATCGACAGCCTTAGCGCCATGCTCAACAATTCGTCTACGATATTCTTGATGCTCTATGACCGCTTCGGGGACCGCGGAGACCTACGCAAGGCTATCGAACTCTGCGAACAGGCTAAAGCACGTGTGCCCAGAGACCATCCTGACACATCCATTCATCTGCACCGATGGGGCGTGGCGACCTTGTCCCGGTTCCGCTTTTCTGGTGCAGTCCGGGATATCAACGAATCCATCGCGTCACTCGAGCGATCAGTGCGCCTCCCGCCGGAATCGGATGTCATTTTCCTATCCCGCAGACTATCCAATCTCGGCACTGCGTACGTTTTGCGGGCCGAATATGCGCGCGATCTCCAAGATGTCACCAAGGCAATTGCTGCTCACACGAGGGCCATCGCCTTCAAGGAGGATTACGTCAGTCTGCTGGAGCTTGGCGATGCCGTCTTGCTGCGCTTCATGTTGCAGCGAGACCTCGCGGATGCCGAAGTCGCAGTTGTGACGCTAGAGAGGGCGTTGGACCTTGTTCCTGACGGACATCCCGAGCTGCGGCGATGTTTGGGCAACCTGGCAGTTGCGTATCATAATCGGTTCGAAGCCACCTACAGGCTCGAGGATATCGACAGCGCGGTGGAAATGGCCCAGCGTGCGTTGGACGCCTTGGTCGATACCGGGGATAATAGTCCCGAGAGAGCAATGCATCTTGCATCCCTCGGCAACGCGCATATGGTTCGCGCCGAGATTCTTCTGGAGGTCCAGGACCTTCACGACGCAATCAAAGCTCTCAATCAAGCCGTCGAGCTTACGCCTTCGGGCCTTGCCCATTTGCAGAAACGGCGTTACAACCTTGGAAACGCGTATTCCCAACGATACCAACGTCTGCACGATCCCCGAGATGTCGATTGCGCGATTTCCGAATTCGACGCCTCGCTCAAGCTCCTACCCGAAGGACACGCAGACCAACCCCTTTGTCTATCTCAGCTAGCGGAGGCGCTGACCGCGAAGTTTGAAGCAACTTCGAGCGTGGAAGATATCGACCGTGCGATATATTTGAGCTTAGGAGCACTGGACGCGGTGAAAAGAGGGGATTATCGGCGACGCTCTATGTTGTCACACCTAGCGAAGTCTTACATCTCAAGGTTCGAAGCGTTCCAGGACCCTATCGACCTCGATGAGGCCGTGCGACGATACGAAGAGGTCATGGATCTCGCTGTAACAGATGCGGAGGGCCCCGACAAACAAGGTGATGCAATGCGTCTCGCTCGCGCATTGGAGCGACGTTTCAAGTACAAAAATACTTCCGATGACATCGATGCGGCCATCGTCAACTATCGCCTGGCTGCGACAACGCCGAATGGAGTGCCTTGGACTTCCTTCCTTGCCGCTAAGTATTGGGCCCGTGCAGCTAGGACTCGTGGCGAAGATGGCCTAGCAGTCGCCTTGCATGCGTACGGTATGGCAGTCGAACTCCTGCCGCGCGTAGGGTGGATTGGACAGACGATAGCCAAGCGTCACTCACAGCTCGTGGCTATGGGGAGTTCGCTAGCCACCGAGGCCGTAGCCGTGGCTGTTGCGCTAGGCGAACACCGCTTAGCTATCGAGTGGCTGGAACAGGCGCGTACGATTGTCTGGGGCCAACACTTCAAGTTGCGATCATCCTTCGACGACCTACGGGTAGCGGCACCGGAACTGGCGACTGAACTTGACCGTGTCTCACGAGCTCTCGACACCGCCGGTTCCAGAGACTTCGCTCCCACGACCGATGTATTAGGATTCATACGCGAGACAGCCGTAGCTGCGGGGGGACGTATCACCGCAGATGAATGGAAAAAGCTTCAAAGTCACCTTACGGATCTCTCGGACTTCCTGAGCTCAGTGGGCGCCCGCATGGAGGTCGTGACTGCCAGAGAGCGGTTAGCGCGCGAGCAGCGCAGGCTAGCGGAGGAATGGGAGAGGCTGGTAGCGCGGATCCGGACTGTCCCTGGCTTCGAGGATTTCTTGCGGCCGAGGTCTTATTCGCAGATTATGAAGACTGTCGTTCACAGTCCCGTGGTTGTGGTCAATGCTGATCGGCTTCGATGTGATGCGCTTGTTCTGATGGAGGGGCGGGACGAAAATCAAGTCATTCATATCTCCCTCGAGTCGTTCACTTTCGACCACGCACAACGCCTTCAGAGCGGTCTCTCGAGGCTGTTGTCTGCTCAAAACCTTCGAGAACGCTCTACGAGAGCCGCGAGGATGGTACCCACGGATCCTTCTGTGACCGGTATAGACACCATTCTCGCAGAACTATGGAAAGGAGTGGTGAAACCTATTTTAGAATCGTTGCCAGTGGCACTTCCGGTGAGTCGATACATGGAGAGCATGGTCATAATCTAATCACATCTTAACGCAGCCGGCAGCCGGTGATGACCTGCCTCGTCTTTGGTGGTGTCCTACAGGTCTATTTGCATCACTTCCACTTCATGCAGCAGGTGTTTATACAGATGACGAACCGGGGACTAAGCTATCTGACTTTGCCATCCCTTCGTATACACCAACACTCACTCCGTTCACGTTGACGCGACGTTCGCCTTCGACTGGGGAATTTCACGGCATACTCAGCGTCAGCCAGACGGCAACCCTACCTAACGCCGAAATCGAATCACTGCGTATCCAAGAGATGGCTCAGGATCGCAGTGTTGACTGTCGCTCTTTGCGGAATGAAGAGGCGGTGATACAAGCTGTTCTCGATGGCCTAGATCACTACGGCTGGGTTCACTTCGCGTGTCACGGAGTGCAGGACATCGAAGAGCCGACCAATAGCCATTTCGTGCTGCACGACGGGTCGTTGACGATGCTGAAGCTGATCGCCGCGTCCTGCGAGAATGCGGACTTCGCCTTCCTCTCTGCCTGTCAAACTGCTATGGGCACCGAAATGCTCCCAGACGAAGCTGCCCACCTAGCCGCGGGAATGCTCGCCGCCGGGTTCAAGAGCGTCGTCGGTACGATGTGGTCAATTCAGGATTCGGTCGGCCCAATTGTGGCAGAACAAGTGTACAAGACCTTGCTATCTGGTACCGCGGAGCCCGATAGTTCGCAAGCGGCTGTGGCTCTCCATTACGCTGTACAGGTGCTGCGTGCGCAGGATCACTCGAAGTCCTTTTGTTGGGTGCCGTTCGTCCATTTTGGGCAGTGAATGTATGCGTCGTGACCGCGGCACTTGATGTGTAGATATGTACTAAGTAGAGACTGGTGCCAAGATCCATGCTAAGCTACTGTATATCTGACGAGACACGATGCGTGCAAAATATCAATTATGTAGCTGTAACAATTGATATCAATGTCGTGAGAATGCCACAGTACTGTAACCTGGCAGTTTGACACCGTGACCTTACTTAATAAATAGTTACTAAGTACCTTGGCTCAAACGTCGACTTCATTGAGATTCCACTCAGCATCATCTGTCCTGCAGCCACTCTGGACTTATCCAAGTCTGCGTCTTCCACCTTGGAATCAACCTCAGAGAGGTAGACATTAGTAGCACTAGTCTGACGATGTCACAAACCTTTCTGGATCTACCGCTGGAGCTCCTCCCGGTAATCATGCAACAGCTTGTCCGGCCCAGCCACTTCGCAGCTCTCTGTCTAGTCAACAAGGCGTTCTACACGTTCGCAATCCCGTATCTGTATGAGCGGGCGTTCATTTACGCTTGGCATAAGGAAGGAAAGGCGAAGGTGACTAGTAGCCTGCTGTTTTGAAGGATTGTAAGATCCGCTAAGGATGCATAGGTGGTTAGGTTGTTCCGCACCCTTAGTTCGTGTCCACACCTGGCTAAACATGTTCAACGACTAGGTGAGCAATGCATAAGATGGAATGCAAACGCATGCGACCGTAGTTATTGCCACCTCAGCCAGTCTGACGCGCTTGTTGCACCTACACAGAAATACGAGACTTCCCAAAGTCCTTCTACGTCGTCGAGCACGAAGCGACGCTCCAGCTCTGCCTCTCCGGCATCAAGAACTGCGTCAACCTCCGCTCGTGCACCTGGACGCGCGACGGCTCGCTGACTACAGAGATCCTCGAGGCACTCCTCCCGTGCGCGCACCTCGAGGAGCTCGAAATCAACGGCAACCACGAGAACTACTACGATCCGTGGTTATTGAGGAAATTCACGCACTTGCGGCGGATATCGTTGATCATGCCGAGACATGCCGTTACTGACGTGCTGCCAACCTGGACGTCAGCTACTGGAGGTGTGCTGAGGCATTTGACCATTCTGTGCAAGGTAAGGACACTGAAAACGGTGGCTGAGTAATATTGACGGTGCAGCTGTGCAGACACCGGGTACAATAAACGACGCGATCTTGCAAGAAATGGCTCCGAATATACCCAATGTGGAACGCCTGTACATTGCGGGTTGTGTCAAGGTCACAGAACACGGCATCTGGGCGATAATAGCCCAGAACACTCATGGCCTACTCGCATTGGGCATGGAAGGCCTCTCACCGTCGTTTGTACGATTTGGGTCCCTAATTTCAAACAGACCTCGCATCTGACCTTAGCAAATGATCTGTAGGATATGGCCAACTTCAGCGACCTATGTGCAAGACACAACGCATTGGCGCGGTTGCGCTCGATCACGCTGACTGTCGACGGTTCACCGACGTGGAAAACGGACGTCCTTTCCCTGCTCCACCCCGCACCGCTGGAACAGTTCCACATCTCCACGATCGGCGGGGATGTCGGCCCTGCCTTCGGCGAAGAGTTCTGCAACGCGATCGTAGACCGGCACGGAAGACGCTTAAGGCGGTTCAGCGTGCACAGGCTGAGGATGAACCTGGCCAGTGTCAATTATATCTGCCGGGGATGCGAGCAGCTTGAACAACTGTTTGTCGTGATTGAGCAAGGGTCGTTGGTAGGTACTCGCTCTCTTGCAGTGTGTCGTTACTAAAGTACTGCGGGGTGTGCAAGGGCAAACTGGGTCCCATCCTCGCTCAGGCAAGGGGTTTGCGTGCCGTGCATGTGAACCGTCCCCTCGATCTCGGATCGGAGGACGTACCCATGATCGCGCGGGATCAGATCCTCAGCATCGTTAAGCAGAGTGGGCCGAACCTCATGCAGTTTGGCTACAACACGCGTGTCTTCCAGGTGCGTACGATAACGTGCTGCTTGTGTCGATCATGCGTGTTGATCCCATATCGATGGCCCAGGTTGAGCGGATTGTGCGCAAGAAGGAGGACGGCTCGCTGGAATCGGAGACTCGGTTGGGCCCGTACGAAAGCCCAGAAGTTCCGGAACAGTTCCTCGTTGTGCGCACCTGAGCATTGCTGGCTGCTTCCTGGCTACTTCACGCTCGCTAGAATGTCGCATTACCTCCCCGTCAGTCTTCATAGAATTCAACTCTGTTCTCTTCCGTGCTGCATCGTTCTAATGGTGAAGAGACCCGTTGGGCACTGCATACGGATTGACGTCAGAGGTCGTGACAACGTCGTGACTCCCACTGCCGCCCGAGCGTGACCTCGGCGGAAGGATCGTCGAAAGCAACGTGCGTTGGAATAGAGGCCAAGAGTTCCTTTCAACGCTGGGGAATCCATAGGCTTAGATGCCAAGGTGACAATCAAAGTTCGTATAAGTCGGTCCGGTGGGTGAGCGGGGCAGAATGGGTCGCCATATCCGGTGATAGAACGCGTGACATAACGCGACTGTCACGGAGGTCACGGCGTCGATGTAGATTAGATCGCTATAAAGGCTGCTCCAGTCGCATTTCCTCCACAACTCTTCCCTCTCATTCATCATGTCGTTCCAAGTTAAGGAGATCCAGACCAAGCCGTACGATGGCCAGAAGCCAGGAACATCTGGCTTGCGGAAGCGGTGAGTACTACTGCACGCAGTCTTGGAATAGTGTTAGGCGCGTCGGAGGTGCTGGAGGGCTGCCACCGTCATGGGGATGGAGGCTTGGTGGGCGACGGGAGGGGGCTTGAATGAAGCCGTGATGTCGAGCTGTGAGAGTAGAACGCATCTGGCGACACAGGCTAGGCACATCGAGGTCGCGGACGCGCGGACGCTGCCACCGTGCGAGGCGCTCAATGACATGGAGCAGCCTTGACGCGCAACATCGAGATTGACGGCGCTGCGCTGCCGCTGTAACAGAATTGTTACTTACCGCAAGCCTTGTTGAAAACAATGACGCCTCCAGCATCTTTCACAAGCATTCTAAATATGATCGCTATGTTGTAATTTGAGACATGTACTAATGACGCTTGGGTAGGGTGAAGGTCTTCCAGCAAGACGTATGTCCCCGTATTTCCTTCCAGTGCAACTGTACTGACCTTGTACTGATTCGAGTAGCACTACACAGAGAACTTCATCCAGGCCATCTTCGACTCCATCGAGCCGAAGGGTATGACCCTCGTCGTCGGTGGCGATGGCCGTTTCTTCAGTCCCGAGACGGCGCAGTTGATCCTCAAGATCGGCGCTGCGAATGGCGTCGCGAAGTTCATCATCGGAAAGGACGTCATCCTGTCCACGCCCGCAGCCTCGAATGCCATCCGGAAGTACAAGGCGAATGGTGGCATCCTGCTCACCGCATCCCATAACCCGGGAGGCCCGAACAACGACTTCGGTATCAAGTACAACGTCTCGAATGGTGGGCCCGCGCCGGAGAACGTGACGAACAAGATCTACGAGAAGAGCAAGACCATCTCGTCCTACAAGCTCCTTGAGCTCCCGCCCGCCGATCTGAGCAAGATTGGCACGTCCAAATACGGCCCGGCCGAAGTGCAGGTGCTCGACTCCGTCAAGGACTACCTCGAGATGCTGCAGGAGATCTTTGACTTCCCGCTCATCAAGAGCTTCCTCGTCGAGAAGGCAGACACCTTCAGCGTGCTCTTCGACGGTCTGCATGGTGTCACCGGCCCGTACGGCCGAGCGATCTTCGTGGACACGCTCGGGCTGCCCTCGTCGTCCGTGCAGAACGACGTGCCTCTGCCGGACTTTGGCGGCGGACACCCCGACCCGAACCTGACCTACGCACACGACCTCGTGGAGCGGGTTGAGCGCGACAACATCGCCTTCGGCGCCGCTAGCGATGGTGATGGTGACCGGAATATGATCTATGGAAAGGGCGCGTTTGTCACGCCGAGTGACAGTGTCGCAATCATCGCCGACTGGGCTGCGGAGGCGATCCCTTACTTCAAGAGTGGCGTCAAGGGTCTTGCGCGTAGTATGCCAACGAGTGCGCAGATCGACTACGTTGCGAAGAAGAAGGGCCTCGAGTGCCATGTCGTACCGACTGGTGAGAGCTGTTCGGTTCATTTGAGCTATGGGCGAATCTGATCACAATCAACTGATAGGCTGGAAGTTCTTCGGGAATCTCATGGATGCTGGTCGTCTCTCCATTTGTGGTGAGGAGTCATTCGGTACCGGCTCGGACCACATTCGGGAGAAGGACGGGGTGTGGGCTGTTGTCGGTAAGTCTCGCTACCGATGAAAGCGCGAGTTACGCCCTAACAAACTCCCAGCATGGCTCAACATCCTCGCGTACGCGAACAAGCAGTCACCGAATGAGTTGATCGGCATCAACGAGTTGCTGCAGAAGCACTACGACGTGTATGGCCGTTCGTTCTTTTCGCGGTACGACTATGAGGAAGTCTCGTCCGACGGCGCGCAGAAGATCGTCGACAAGCTCAACGCACACATCGCAAAGGGCGACCTCGCGGGCACGACGCACGCGTCTGCGTCGACGGGTCAGAAGTTCGTCGTCAAGGACGCGTACAACTTCGACTACACGGACCCGATCGACCACAGCGTGTCGAAGAACCAGGGCCAGGTCGTCCGCTTCGAGGACGGCAGTCGTGTCGTGTTCCGGCTCAGCGGCACGGGCAGCCAGGGCGCTACGGTGCGGATGTATGTCGAGCGCTACGTCGCGGCGGACAAGGGCAAAGCGGAGCTCAGCAAGCCGACGAAGGAGGGTCTGCAGGGCTTGATCGAGGTTGCGCTGGAGCTGAGCAGCCTTAAGGAGTTCTTGCAGCGCGATGAGCCGACTGTCATCACGTAAAACCGGACAGTGGCAGTAGTTTGGATTTACCTTCGGAAGGGAAAGAATACATAATGTAGCAATATCTTTGCAGGCCGGCAGCAACACCAAATGGGCATAGACTGATTGAAATGGCGCGTAGTAATCTCGAGTAAAGACGAATCCAACAAGGTGATGCTTTTTTGTGGGCGAAGGAAGGCTGAGCGAGGCTTCTGACAGTTGACACCGGAGTCTACTACTGTACATTGTGATAATCATTTCTGCAAGCACATAGCGCCTTCTCAACCGCTCTCAGTTGTAGTGCTTTACAACGATACCATGGACGACATCCTGCTCGTGGCCATCGGTCCTCTTCTCGAGGTTGACCTGGCCGTACCGACTGGACCTGCCCTTCCGCCACTGCTCCATAGTAGGAGCGTCGACGTCCTCGAAGCGCCGCTTGATGCCGCTTCTCTGCAGGACGGGACTCTCGACTTGCGGGACGAGCAGAACGTCGTCGTCGGGCATGGTGAAGTAGAACAGACCCAGACGCGGATAGCCGTGCTGGTCCTCTGGCGGCTGGACCACGCGGTGGATGGTCGCTTTGTAGTACCCGCCGGAGAGAAACTCCATGGCTTCGCCTGCGTTGATGACCTTGAAATGGAGTCAAGCAGGAAGTGAGCGCGAATCCTCTGAGTTGCGAGCAGCCTGACTCACGACTGCGTTGTCGATGTGCTTGACCCAGCGCCATCTTCCGTCCGGGGACATCACTTGCAAGGCGGATACCGGTTGGCTCCACAGGATCGAGATGCCGGTGTAGTCTGGGACGATATGAGACACTTCATCTACTTGGGTAGTGGCGGGTGAAATACATACCAGTGTGGCCTTTGAGCCAGACGTTCTTCGTCTTCTCTTCTTCGTCCTTAGAACGAGGGTAACTGTGCATTCTTGAGATTCTGTCACGGATAACCAGCGAGACCCTACGTACTACTTCATGGCCCGAACTGATGCACTCGTCAGACATGCTCATCAAAGGCATGAAAAGCGGTAGATACGTACACCAGGTATCACCCTCGGCATCGAAATTGAATTGGTCCACGAACGTGTTCTCTGGCAGCTCGAGGCGAATGGCGAGGAGCCTGGTTTAACCTTTCGAAATAGTCATTGAGCTAAGGAATTGATCCACATACCGAAGCACGGGGTGAAGGATGTTGAAGTGACAGAATTTGGCGAACTCGCTGATTTCAGGCAGGACCGGTCGCATAGCTTCCGGGTGCTGCCTCCTTGTAACGTCTCGATTGACTGTTCCTACTATTAGTATAAATCATAATATTTCGGAAGATATGAACGAACTGTTGTAGTGCTCGATCTGGTCCTTCACGCCCGCTTCGATGTGCTAGAGGCCCGTTCATCAAGGTGTAGTATATAAGGGGCTGCCGACTTACCCAGTACTGACGCAACTTGTAGCCTTGGTACGTCCCTGTCTCCTTGACATTTCCTTCGTAGGCCTTCTTTTCCTGGTCAGATACCTGACTGAATGCAACATCCCCAATGTCGAACATCCTGTCGGTCTACCCAATAAGATGTGAACAATCAGCTTAATAATTTCCGAGTCTGTGCGCAGACCTCTGCCTGTGTATGACCATGATTGACCACGTAGAAGAAACCTGAGGTGGTCATTGCATCGTGCACTTGCTGCGCCAACTCCGCGCTACCACCGGGGGTAGCCAACTTCGCAAAGTCGATGATGGGTAGGTCGGCATACTCCACTGATGAGTAGCTATGAGACATCGACTACTGTCTATCCATTGTGCACTCACAGTTCACCCCTGTAAGTGGGGCAGGGACCCAACGTGGTGCAGGTGGTAAGACTGTACCCGGCATTGTGTCTGAAGGGGATTGTCGGGAACTGCTTGGACGTCTCGCAGACACCCTCCCTTAAATATTCATAAGTGACGCGCAATAGCCTCAAGGAACGAAGCAGTCACTGGTACCGCAAACTCACCAGACAATGCCTGGCCCCGAGAGAGCCACGGCCCTACGAGATATGCTGCGCTCCATCAACTTCTGCACACGATAAGGGTCAGCTGGGATTCAGGAAGAATGGAGTGAGTGAACTCAGGCTCAATACGATTGGGATTCCCATGTCGTAGAACCGTCAAGAACCCCTAGTGAGCCTATCCACTGTTTGATATCTTACTCCTTCCGCGGGCCTTTTGGCTTCGATGCTATGATTGGGCAAGAGACACTCAGTACATAAGTAATGGGCCCTTCCACGCCAGCCTCTCGAAACAGCTGTGGTGCATCCATTCCAGCGAAGCCGAGTTTATTAACGTACCCGAAAGCAACATTCACCCTGATGCCCTCTCGCGGGAACACCACCATCCTGGTTATCAGAGCATGTCACTGGGTGTATAATATGGCCGGCAATTGTCAAACCTTCTTGGAGGGCGGGGTTCCTCATATCCGTTCAAGTCAGCGTAGTGTCTTCAGCACGGTATGAAGACGGCTGACAATTGACATGTGTGGCTATCGACATAGAGTGCCTGTGAACATCACACCGTAGGGTGCCTATTCAAGTTACAGCGAGGAGCAAGCGAGGAGGCCAACTTCGGAATACAGCATTGTCAATAAATGTCGGACGAAAAATCAATATCACGGAGGCCAAAGACAAAGACTTCTCTTCCGGCGGACTCACAAGCACAGCGTTCTGTTCCAAAGCACCCAAAATTGCAATTGAACGTTTGAACAACGACAGATTTTGTAGCTCACACTGATCACATCCGAGTCCGACTCAAGACTACAAAGACGGGCTAAGTCATGTGACATCCATATATGGCAGTTGATCCCTGTGGCTCCGAGCGTGCCAGTGGACGATCGCGTTCTGACTTGCAACAGCTTGCAACGTCGTCTTTCTTCGCATTGCTCACCATGTCTGATTACGAGGACGACATACCAGCTAGCGGCGGAGCTGTGGAGGAGAATGAAGAGGTAGAAGCAGAATACGAGGAGGAACAGGAGGAACGACCGCGCAAGAGCTCTCGGAGGGACTACGACGAGGATGAGGACGAGGAAGATGAGGAGGAAGAGGACCCAGGAGCAGACCGGGGGAAGAAACGGAGAGTGCGTAACGAATATGGTATAGCCGCACTGACTCACCACCAAGATGTATATAGAGGACGAAACGCCCTGCCGTAAATCGTTTCCTCGATGTCGAGGCCGAGGTGGATGAGGACGAAGACGAAGAGGAGGACGAGGATGAGTATGCTCGTGGTGAGTAACCTGCTTCTCTCTGTCGGGGAAAGATAGCTTATCATGCCACCCAGATGAGTTCGTCGTCGGCGGAGAGGCGGAGGAGGACGACGTTACGCGCCGCGCAGCGGATCATGCACGGTTCGACAGACGAGAGCGGGAGCTCAACGACCAAGATCTTGCTAAGATTGCAGAAAACCTGAATCAACGGTACAAGCGCACTGCGAAGCGGTTCACCAGTGATGCAGAGCTGCCGCAACGAATGCTTATGCCGTCCGTGGAGGACCCAAGCCTTTGGCAAGTCCGCGTGAGGGTAGGTATACGATACTCGTGTGTGTATTCAGCTCGCATTGATGCATCATTTTTAGCCCGGCAAGGAACGCGACCTCGTCTTCAGTCTCATGCGCAAGGCCCTTGACCTGGAATTCTCCAACCGGCCACTCCAGGTTTTATCTGCCTTCCAACGTGATTCCCTTCCTGGTATGATTTATGTGGAGGCCCACAGCGCCAGCAAGTCTCAGACGCCTGCAACGGGCTCGTCGGCGTGTTCCCCAGTCGAGGAATCGTGCTTGTGCCTATTGATGAAATGGCTAGTCTGCTGCAAATCAAGAAACAGGACCTTACTGTCACGCCGGGAAGCTGGGTTCGCATCAAGCGTGGCAAATACCAGGGCGACCTCGCGCAGGTCATGGACATCACGGAGAACGGAGAGGAGGTTGGCCTCAAGTTCATCCCGCGTATCGACCTGAACCCCAAGGACGACGCAGCGCTCGACGCGACGGGCAAGAAGCGCAAGAAGGGCCCGTCTGGGCTATCATCCTTCAGCATGCGTCCGCCACAACGTTTCTTCAATTACGAGGAGGCGGTCAAGGTGTACGGACGCAAGGCCGTATCGAAGCGTAACCAAGTGTATGTGTTCCAGAACGACACTTACAGAGACGGCTTCATCGAGAAGGACTTCCGCCTCACCGCGCTTCAACTGGATGACGTCAGTCCCACGCTGGACGAGATCACACGGTTCACGCGCGGCCAGGATGGCACAGAAAACGACGCGAACGTAGACCTGTCGATTATCGCCGAGGCGTCACGGAAAGCTGCCATCTCCGTGCTGCAGCCCGGTGATCATGTCGAGGTCTTCGAGGGCGAGCAGGCCGGCGTGCACGGAACTGTCCATTCAATTGAGCAGGACATCGTATCAATCCAGTCTGTAGGTATGGACCTCGAGGGGCAGCGGATTCAGCTCCCCGCGCGCAGTGTGCGCAAGCGCTTCAAGGCCGGTGATCATGTCAAGGTTATGACAGGGCAAAATGCCGATGAGACGGGTCTCGTCGTCTCGGTTGTTGACAATGTAGTGACTTTCTTATCTGACATGTCGATGCAAGAGGTAAGTAATGTTGTCCAATGTTCGCCAACTGGATTAACAACCCCATTAGGTCTCTGTGTTCTCGAAAGATCTCCGTGAAGCAGCTGAGGTCGGCACGGGAACAAACGTCGTTGGCAACTACGAGCTACACGATCTTGTTCAGCTCGAGTGAGTTTCTTGCACTGGACTTCTGGCTTGTGACTGATTTGTGCAACTCAGTCTGCAGACCGTCGGTGTCATCTTCAAGACGGAGAGGGACTCGTTTCGAGTGCTCGACCAGAATGGCCAAGTTCGACTCGTGCAGCCACATCAAATCTCCATGCGTCGAGACTCGAATCGAGCGATCGCCACTGATGCAGAAGGCCACGAATTGCGTGTGAACGACAATGTCAAGGAGATCGACGGGGAGGTAAGATTGCGGAACTCATACATGGAAAGGACGGTTTTAAATTGCATTGGTCTAGGCACGTAAAGGCCGTGTCCTGCACACCTACCAATCGTTCTTCGCGTTCCTGCACAACCGGGACTACAACGAGAACGGTGGTGTGTTCGTCACCCGTGCTCGTTCCCTGGTATCCTTGGCGCCCAAAGGCAACGCCATGAAGCTTGGCACCACTGACCTCTCCAAGATGAATCCTGCGTTAAATGGTGGTGTAGGAGGCATGGTCGGCTCTGGTAACATGGGTCGCGGTCCTAGAGATCGTCTGATCGGTGTCACTGTGACTGTGACGAAGGGACCAAACAAGGGCTACGTCGGCACTATCAAGGATACGAATGGACCTATTGCTCGAGTCGAACTCGTCACTGGTAACAAGGTGATCTCGATCGATAAGGCGAAGCTCATGCGGAGAAAGTGCGAAATCTTGCTATTCCACTGATGCGCTTGTTGACCGTGTCCACAGTCAGAATGGTGCCCTAGAACCGCTTGAAGGCCTCAACAATATGGGCCCGCCGCGGGGCGGTTTCAACGCTAATGGTGGCCGTACACCGAACCCATACGCGGGCAACGGCGGGCGCACGCCTGCTTGGGGTGCGGTGGGACGGACACCGAATCCATATGCCAATGGCGGGGGAAAGACACCGCATTGGGGCTCAGGACAGACGCCTGGTTGGGAGAAGACCCCTGCATGGCCAGGTGCAGGGGCCACACCGCATCAGTTTGGCGACAAGACCCCGGCGTGGCCTGGCGCGGGACGGACACCGAACCCGTACACGCAGAACCAGCCGAAGACGCCACGCTGGGACGGATCAGCACAGTCGCCCACAGGAGGTCAAGCCAAGTCTCCAGAACGCCCACAGGGATCTGGCCACGAGACCCCACGCAGAGCTTGGGGCTCCGAATGGGTGAGTATGCCATCTGGCCGTTTGCACACCGTATTCATGCATAATATACGACAGGAGGACCTCAGTTACATCGACAATCCTCAACAGTTCCGTCGTCCTGCTGGTGAAGAGGCGACCTCCCCTGCCGCGAACCCATACACCGGTGCACCGACGCCTGGTGTTCACGACTTGTACAATGACTTCCGAACACCTAACATCGCGACCAGCATGGTCACTCCTGGTCCTTCTGCAGCTGACTTCAACATCAACGTCGCATCCAATGCTCCCTTCGGTAGGTCTTTTAATTGTTCAGAGTGCGGTTTCGTCTCATATCTGTTCAGAACTGTCGGACCAATGGCTCCTTGAACCGGAGTTCTCGAGCCAGCGCGGCATGCTGGTCGATGTCAAAGGCTCCTTCGGTCCCAGCGGGTGGTTCAACGGCGATTACGAGGGCAAACAGGGCATCGTTGTGTCTGTCTTTGATACGAAGAGCGCGAATTTCGCTGCAACGGCGAACGTGCGCTTCCTCGAGCCGCTGGACCCCGCCAAACCTTCGTTGCAGGTACCGGTCGAGGTCCTCAAGCCTGTCAACCCTGAGAAGTACGGTACGGAAGTCCTCATCCTTCACGGTCCACATAAGGGTCAGCAAGCGAGGGTTAACATGGTCGAAGCCGGCGGTCTCATGGTCGTCACGACAAGGCAATTTACGGTGGATGAGCTCGGCGCTGAGAAGCTGGTGGTCGTTCGTCCGGTCGATTGAGCAACTATCCGTATCTCAATGCCATGGACGCTGTTGTAACATACTGATTTTGTCCTTACTTATATCATTACTGTTCTGAGATTGACTGATCACTATTCGTATCGTGGTTGTGTAGGTTTTCCCAGCTTTGTCAATCGAGTATTCTAGTATACATTCATCATCCGATATGAACGAAGGGCACCCAAGAAAGGGACTTTCTGTGATCCGCCGCACGCAGCTGCCACTGGCTATAAGTAGACGTACTTATGTACAGCGTGACTGATAATGCGGGTAACAATATATATCAGTAGTTTTGTGAGGACATAAGTAAACTCTACAAGGGCCAATAACAAAAGTACTTACATCGGGTGAGACCGCATAAGAAAGACTACACGTTGGCACCGAACACTCCCGACCTCAAACCATGTCGAGCTTTGCGAACGATCCGGGCCACGCCGATACCACCACTCCTGATTCCGCCTCAACCGAGCCGCACCATTTCGACGGCGAGCAGGACCAGGACGGCACGGGAAAGAAGAAAAAAGGGCCCAAACGCCGCAAGGTCAACCATGCCTGTCTCTATTGTCGTCGCAGCCATATGACCTGCGACGAGGGTCGTCCATGCCAGCGTTGGTGCGTATTCCATCCATCCGCACGGGAAATGAAAGATTAATCGGGACCCGGGACGCGCAGCATTAAACGTGAGATTGGACATCTCTGTCACGACGAACGGCGTTCTGCGGGCAAGGACCCTGCGCTCGCGAGCCCTACCAGCTCGATACCGAATCCTGCCGCGGACGCTACGAGACCTCTCCCTGGTGTGTGAATTTACAATAGACCGTACCCGCTGTGCACCGAAAGCGGATCATTGCAGGCCCCTCCCAGTTCGCACCACCCATGACTGCTGCCCCGATGAACACTGGTTGGCCCGGTATGGGAATGAGCATGGCACAGGGCGCGTTCCTGTACCCGCCCGACGGGATGAACGAGTTCTCGGTGCTTTCGTACGTTGTCCCCCCTACGACTTCGCCCGAAGACCCCTCCTTGATGACACTCGCAGGGACTTCCTAGAGTCATTAGACGATGGCTCTTTCTTCGGCCAGCAAGCAGGGGTGAACCCGTCCCTGATGTCCCCGACACCGTACGGCAACTCTGTCTCCCTCGGCGTCGACAACCCTTACATAGCCCCTCCACAATCCTCCGGCTCCGCTGAAGCTATCGCGCCTCCGTCTCCGGAGAGGCCTCCAGAAGAGCCCGCACCGGTCGTGCTTCCCGCAGCGACGAAGACGGAGAGGTTCTTCCTCACAGCAGCAGATCAAGCGTCTGGGTCACGGAACGAACGTCTGAACATGGTCATCCGAAGCAAGTACGAAGCGGGCTTGCTGAAGCCGTACAACTACGTGAAGGGCTACGCACGTTTGTCACGGTGGATGGACAGAAAGTGTGTGGCTATCGAGTGCTCTGACGGCCGAGTCCATACTGCGGGGCCTCCGTACCTCGAACTGCTCGCACGCAGTCCGTCGCTACTGAACAGGCGGATACAACGCCGACCACAGCGGCCCGGGCAGAGCAGTTCAGTACGGAGGCTTCATCGTATGGACTACGCCGGAGTGTCGTCAATGAAAGCTTAACGGGTGTTCTAGTGTCTCTTTGGAGTCGAAGCAGAAGATCTTGCAGCCATTATCTGTGCTACGACCAAAGTTCCGAGCAATAGCCCAGTCTGAATCATTAACGGACATTGTGAGTGGCGTCCTGCAGAGTGATGATCATGACAGCTGATCTGCTGTGCAGGACCTGGTCTTCATCGAGGAAGCCTTCGAGCGATTACTGCTCGACTATGACCGCGTGTTCTCTGCGATGGCTATCCCAGCATGTCTATGGCGACGTACTGGAGAAATTTACAAAGCCAACCGCGAGTTTGCGGAACTCGTGGGTGTTGACGGCTACATGCTGCGTGACGTAGGTTCCTCCACTCTGACGCGGACTTTGACTAACTCTAATCCTCGAAGGGGCGGTTATGTATCTACGAACTCATGGCAGAAGATTCAGCCGTGAACTACTGGGAGGTGAGCAGGGCCGTGCTGAGATTGCGTGCCAAGTCCGACCATCACTGCAGAAGTACGGCAACGTTGCCTTTGACTCCAACCAAAAGGCGGTGCTCACATCGTGCGTGCTGCGTTACAAGCCTTCACTGCCCTCGTCCGGTGCCTTGACGCCGTCTCGCGGGAAGCCAAAAGACGATCCCCCAAAGGAGGAAGGGTTCATAAGTTGCTGTTTCTCCTTCACCATCCGGCGGGATCCCTACGGGATTCCGACATTGATCGTCGGGAACTTCATCAAGTGTTGAGCTTTGAATTCGTCATCCTCGTTTTCTGCAATCTGTCAAGGGTGTCTGTACAGTAGCCACACACTAACGCCAGGTCTCATGAGCGTCCGAACAATGTTGTACATCTCCATATATTATTGATTACTGCATAGTGCCTTCGTTGTGACCTGCAGGATGCAACGCGGCTAGTGTCGATGGCATTGTCGCGGTGACCTCGTGCCGGCGAAGTGAGTTTTTGAGCCGAGCTTGGCGCTGTGCCGGTGCGCGCGATGTAAGGCGATGTCAACACGTCTCTTTAGTCGCTCACGGGCACCTTCTGGCTGGGAAGTCGCACTGCGCTCACCTTGGTCCCCATCTCATCAACACCGCTCTCGGACCTCGAGATAGAGATATGTGCCCATGACCAATCACGACATGCTTTATAGACTGCATGTTCTCCAGCGTTGTCCAAGGCACCGCAGCAGACAACACGCGAGGCTCGTAGAGCCGGGCTCCACAGCTTGAGACATCCTCGCCGCTGAACGGTTCTGCAGGACGAGTAATGTCGCAACCCGGCAGCCCCTCGCCTCCCGCGCGCGATTCTAAGACCGAACAGCAGCAGGAGCTAGGGAGCCCAGGCCTGCGGAGAGGCAGCAACTCTGAGGGTGCGTTACGCGCGGCGATCGTTTCATCTGAAGGCGGACATTGTTCATCGTTCTGCAGGGATTGGCGGGTCCATCCGAAGGAAGCTACGCGAGGTGAAGGACACGCAGATCGCTCGTGCGCATCGCTTCGCACGGCGAGCGAGCTCGGCATCTGGCTCACCCTCGTCGCGCGAGTCCATCTCCGACTACGAGCTTGTCCAGACATCAACGGTCCCTCCGAGCTCTGGACGGACAAAGCGAAACGACAGCATCGCTCGCAGTCTGAAGTGCGTTCGTCCAGGCCAGTCGTTCATTATAGCAATACCGAGCCCATGCGCTCCCTCTCGCCTAACGACCGGCGTCGACCGTCGTTTGGAGCTGCACCCCAGGTTGCGGGGCGGCTCTCAGCGTCGCCTCCCACCGACCCAATACAGCCGGACAATGCTGTCCTGGAGGATGAAGAAGCCTCTCCGGTCGCACAGGATTCCTCGATGTTGGATGTGACGGTCCCCCAGTTGCTGCAACAAGGTGTACCGATGCTGAAGGTGTCAGCTAAGAAACAGAAACGGTACGTATTCAAGCTGGACCCCGACCAAGGCCAGATTGTCTGGCAGTCGAAGAAGCTGCGTATCAGTGAGTCGCGCCTGTCTCCACACAGTCTCTCGTTTACATGTCCTCAATGCTAGTTTACATCGAGAACATCAAGGAACTACGGGAGGGCGCTGACGCGCGCTATTACCGCGAGCAGTTCCAGATATCGCCGTCGTTTGAGGACCGATGGCTCACCATCGTATATGTGCTCGACGGACGTTACAAGACGCTGCACCTGCTCGCGGCGACGCGTGATGTCTTCCAGATGTGGGACCTCACGCTGCGCCGGCTGTATGCGATTCGACAGAAGCTCATGAGCGGCCTAGGACATACGGAGGTGCGCCAGGCGGTCTGGGAGAAGCAGTTCTGGAAGGGCGAGTCGGGCACGGACCAGAGGCTCGAGTTTGAGGAGGTCGAGCGGATGTGCAGGAGGCTGAATATCAACCCGAGCAGAGATGATCTGTTGCGGAGGTTCAAGGTTGGTGTGTCTTCGCATTGTAGTGTCGTTCGATACTTAGGACCTTCGCAATACAGGAAGTCGACCTTCAGGGCCGAGGCTACCTCGACTTTGCCGATTTCCAACGTTTTGTCAAGGCGCTCAAGGCGCGGCCTGAGATCGACAGTTTGTATGAGCGGATCGCAGGTGGTAGTGGTGGGACTGTCACATATGAAGCCTTCGAGAGGTTCATGCGTACATGTCAGAAGGTGTGTGGTGTATCTTGTAACCTATAACCCACGCAGCTCATCGTTATGCAGTCATCGTTGAGTGCCAACGAGCTACAGCGCATCTTCTTGCGGTACGCCTCGTCGATAGACGACCGCGGTACCTCTCCACCATCCTCGCCCTTCCAGACTTCGTTGGAACTAGCCGTGCAATCTGCCTCGGTGATGAGGGAAGCCGGGCCGTCCGGCGGACACACTGACCCTACAGGTAGCTCACCACGCCCTTCATCTTCCATCGGCACGCCCTCATCCGGGATATCGACATCCAACTCTGGGCTTACTGTCGAGACTGCGGTGATGTCACTCAAGGGCTTCACAACCTTCCTGCTGTCTACCGACAACTCGGCGTTTGCGGACCAGCACGGAAAGATCTACCATGACATGACGCGCCCTCTGTCTGACTATTATGTTTCATCATCACATAACACGTACCTGGTTGGCCATCAACTCGTAGGAGAGAGCACGATTGAAGGGTACATCCGCGCATTGCTGCACAGCTGCAGGAGTGTCGAGCGTGAGTCAATACCCTCGCCCATCTTCACAGTACCCTTCATGCTGAGTCGCCTTCCATCGCAGTTGACATTTATGACGGCGACATTGAGCCCGTCGTGTACCACAAGCATACGCTCGTCTCGAAGGTGTCTCTGCGCGACGCGTGTGCTGCGATCAACAAGTACGCGTTCGTCGCCTCGCCGTACCCGATCATCATCTCGGCAGAGGTACACTGCTCGTTGTCGCAGCAAGAGCTCATCGCGAGCATCATGCAAGAGGAGTTTGGAACCGCACTCGTGAGCGCACCAATTGATGGGAGACCAAGACTGGAATATCTACCCAGCCCGGAAGACCTGAAAGGGTGTATCCTGCTGAAGGTAAGCGGACATTCGATGTTATTTACCCGCACGCTTACAATTGTTCCCGAGCAGGCAAAGAACCTGTTCGTGACGACGGACCAGGAGGGTATGCAGGAGAAGGAGATTGTAGTAGATGCTGAGTTGTCCTCGACTGAGACATCGTCCGCTTCTGAGCTGGAGGAGCTGAAGGAATGGCGGACTACGCACATGAAGGGTATGCCCAACCGCACTTCCTCGTGACTAGAGGCTGACGTCCACGACACTATCTACAGAGCTCAGGTCTGAGTTCAAGAAAGCCCGTGCAGTCCTTGGAGGCTCTCCGCGTGCAGACGCGCGTCAGCTCCCTCCCCCGTATCAACCTCCGCAGAAAGTGAAGATGTCGCTCTCCCTCGTCGCGCTCCTCGTCTACACCGTCGGCGTCAAGTGTCGTGGACTCAACAAGAAGGAAGTGTACGCGCCGGAGCACCTGTTCTCGCTGTCGGAGGGAACGACGAACCGGATCATGAAGCAGGGCATGCTAGACTTGATCAAGCACAATCGCACACACTTAGTCAGGATCTATCCCAAGGGCACGCGCATTGGCTCGACGAACTTTGAGCCCCATCGGTTCTGGTCAGCGGGGTGCCAGCTAGTGGCGATCAACTGGCAGACGTTCGGTTAGTGACAGCACGTATGCTCTACTAGAGCGTGGCGGTTGACGACCTGTTGCAGACCTGGGCTACATGATCAACCGTGCGATGTTCCAGCGTAACGGGCGCGCGGGCTACGTCCTCAAGCCGCTTGCCCTTCGCTCGAACGACAAGCACCTCCTCGGAAGACACACAAGTCACCGTCTCGAGGTGACCATCATTTCTGCGCAACAGCTACCCCGGCCGAAGGACTCGTCCGGACGCGACGTCATCGACCGGTCCACCGTGGACCCTTTCATTGAGGTTTCCTTGCACATCCCCGACTGGACGGAGGCACCGCACCATGTCCCCCCGCCGCCGCTGCCACGCTCCCGGCGTACGTCGCAAACTGCACCGGACACGCCGCCCGCGGATGTGAAGGACCCGCTGACGGCGGTTACCTCTGCGCGCACGGTCGTGCAGCGGACGGTCGTAGTGAAGAACAACGGGTTCAACCCGGTGTGGGAGCAGCAGCTGAGCATACCGTTCGACGTGACGGGCGAGATGCAGGAGTTGATCTTCGTGCGATTCGCCGTGAAGCAGGAGGGCCTCGCGGACGAGGAGCCGCTGGCGGTGTATTGCGCGAGTCTGGGGAGCCTGAATATGGGTGAGTACTGTGCTGGCGCGAGATGGGATCACTGTGGCTAATGTGATCTCAAGGCTATCGACACCTGCCGCTTCACGACGCCCAACTCTCGCAGTACCTGTTCTCTACGCTCTTCGTCAAGCTTGACATCCTCGACGCCTAGATCATCGCTCGCGTCTTTCAATTGCTCTATATCCGCTCTCACTCCGCAACAACCCATCATAGGAGGCTCGACCATTGTACAACATCGCACTCACTTCGTTCTAACCTAAGCCACTTTTCTGTTTTGGCTTCGCCTGTTACCCCACCACGTTTTCACCCTCCATCGCATCTTCAACCATCAGTTGCTCATCTCAGGTTGTACTATACCATCGGCCAGCCATCCATCGCATCTCTCCAACACAATCCGAATCTCGCGGCAGTCGTCGTACACATATGCCATAATCAATACTACATCCGACACCCTAGTTCAACATATTACCAGCCTGGGCAAGACAGTGTGATAACGGATCCAAGAGACGGAGACATGAGATTTCGTTCGGATGACATAGCAAATGCTATCGCGTTGGATGATGAGGAGACCGAAGGGACAGGAATGAAACGAAGTACGTCATGATAGCTGCAAAGAGAAAGGGAGGAAGCGGATTGCCGTGACTGAGGTTAAGTCAAGCACCATTGTCGGCCGATGCAGCCGATGTTCGAGGGAAGGACATGACAGGCTGTATTACTTAGGGGGAGGCGATGGAGGTCCTGCGCAAGGTGTCAGGGGCGTCGTAGACAATGGGATGTTTGTTGCATACCGAAGAGACCCATGCGAGGCGGTGCCATCTCAGTAGGCAGGGGCGAAGCCGTTGTACCGGGGATGGGCTGCGGGGAGAGGAGCGGATTCGCTGCACATTGTGAAAACAACGTTGCAACAACGTCATGGTTAATACCAGTCCTTCGACCATGAAAGTTCATAACCACGCACGTTTCCACTGAGCCCACGCAGGCAAGTTCGGGGTTGGCGGCTCCGGGATGGGCGCGGGGATCTGGGGCGCCGGCAGTGCCTTCGCCTTCGCCTTCTGACGGCGCTCCTGACGGACGTTGACAGTGCGCCACGCAGGGCGAGCAGGGCCGTCGCCAGCTACACTCTGCGGCGCGGGTGGTGCCTCAACGGCGGGTGGTGGAGGCGGCTGTTCAAGCTATTGGGACCCGGGATCAGCACGGACCAAGTGGGAAATTGTAGGGTGGGATGGGACTGACAGGTGGTTGCCAGTCGGGAGTGTACTCGCCTCCGGCGCCATGCTTCGACTTCACGCTCATGAGTTCCGCGATCTCGCTGGGGCGGGGCGACAATAGAGCGATCGTGCAACAGTGGACCCTTTAGCACCTTCGGTGGGACAGAAAAACAAGAGAACGTACTATTGCAGTTGCCTGCGCTCATCACGTAGCTTCCCGACCTCCTGGAGGAGAATGCGGACCTCGTTCGCAAGAGCCTTACTGAAGTCATTGATATACCTGTTGAAACGGGGAAAGTGGCGATCTCAGAGTTCGTAACCATGGCTGAATCACTGTTACACACCGTGCCTGATTGGCTGGGTTTGATTTCCCGGACATGAGTGGACAACGCAGCAGGAGGGAGTGGTGGTGAGGAGAAAGACGAGCAAGTTGAACATCTACGGAACCAATCCATGTGCCTCACCGCGTTCAGCCACGAGGCGCCATCCGTCCCGCTGCCTGCCTCTCCTCTGCAATCGACCCGTGGAGAAAATGTGATATATATCCCGAACAACATCTCGGACGTCTGTGCGTTACGTCAAATGCCTTCGACGACGTAGCGGACAAGACTGCACGGTGCACAAAAAGTAGAAAAACAAAAATTAACTGCCCCACTGAGGCTCGAACTCAGGGCCTTCCGATATGGCAAGTGAAGACATTTTCTTCGACCTAACAGTCGGACGCTGTAACCAACTCAGCCATGGGGCATTGATACTCAAGCCTAATGCAAACAATATACCTACAAACATGGGCACCTAGCACTAACGCAAAGAGCTCCATCCAAATCCAACCCGCTACATAACCTTCGTCGCGTTCCCCTCGTCCTTTCAATCATATTGCTCTGACATTCACGACCTCTTCGTGGACATCATCATGACCAAACACAGCAAAAATAACACAGCATCTTCTATATTCTCATATGCGGAGTACAAGAAGTTGGATTATGGGACGAGGCGTGTGAGCACATATGGCATTTGCTCCGCGTGAAGCTAATGGCGAACGTCGCAGCAACGTCTAGGAAACGAGTCCATGAGGAGATTCGATGCATGTGTACTATGCCTGCAGAAGGCACGAGAACCCGTAGCATGTCAGAAGGGGCATCTCTTCTGCAAGGAGTGCGTCTACACAGATCTCGGTGCGTTAGGCTTCCTGCGTACGGAGTCAGGTGCCACCAACAAATCCTTGTCTAGTCACGCAGCTCGAGGACATCAAGCGTCAGAAAGTGCGACTAGAGAAAATGAAGCGGGAAGTAGAAGAGGAGAAGCAAAGGGCACGAGAGGCCGCTCGGGAGCGCGTCTTGCTCGATTTCGAGAAGGGACAGCTTGGGTTGGCGAGCACGCCGACTGTTACAACATCGGGCACCGCTTCCAAAGACTGTGAGGCATTCGCGCCATCTCCTTCTGTCAGCTCTGATACATGCGCGTACAGCGCGGGGTACCAAGCGGAAGTTCGACTTTGATGAGTCCACCGTCGAGACCCTTGCGCGGGAGGCGGAAGAGGCCGCGCTTCGTCAAATAGAGCGGGAACAGGCTGAGGCGCTCAAGCATAAGCTGCCCGACTTTTGGCTACCGTCGCTCACCCCTACGTACACTTCAAGCGGTCCGCCCACGTCGATCACTGACGTGAAGCTGCAGACAACATGTCACGGCGGTAATCCGGCCCATCCATTGGCGTACGCTCAACGTCACCGCAAGCTGTCTACTGATGAACTGACACCCTTCACGCTGTAGACGAAAGAATCTTATCCCTGTGAATTTTATATTTGAAAAGGACTCGACCGTTGCGGCTCGTTTTGTAGAATCGACTCCTGCCACGGAGAGCGGCGAAGAACCCAAGGCGAAGCACGAAGAAGAGAAAGTTGCCATATGCCCATCTTGTAAGAAGACACTGTCAAATAACGCGTTGATGTACCGTGAGTCATCCTCCTTCCTCGCGCTCCGATCACTTTGTGACGCTGCACACTATTAGTCATGAAACCTTGCGGCCATGTCGTATGCAAGACTTGTACAGAAACGCTAGTGAAGCCCGGCAAGCAATGCATACACTGCGATGCGAAGCTGTCAGAGAAAGACATCATTGAGCTTACTCGAGAAGGTATGTGGCTCGGTGGTTCATGGCTGCTCGCACATCTCACGTACGTTCAGGCACTGGGTTCGCCGCTGGAGGCCTGGCAGAGACTTCAAAGAAAGGTGTCGCCTTTCAAGGCTAAGTACCGTTTCCCCGGCCATGCTTTGCTACAAAATCGGACGTTTGCACTTTTCTCAATGTCAGAATGCACTTCCCATTCTATGCGTGACTGACCTGAACGACGTGTCTGCGTGCTCATGATGGATGTGTCTGTCTACTGAAGTCCGTGATGTGGCCTAGGTCGCAATGCAGGGAAGGAAGGGGTAACGTGTGCCGTACTCTAGGGACAGCGTATGATGGTGCGAAGGCAGCGGAAGCCCAGCGTCCGCATGATCACCATCATCCGAGGACAGAACGCCCGGCTTCTTCGTCGGGTCCTGCTGTCCGCCAGGGACTCGACGTCGACGGATATGCTCGGTTCGCTTTTGCTCGATTGTTTCGGTGAGTCGCCTACACACAGTGGTGCCGGGCTCTGCGGACAGCCATCATCAGCACGACCTCAACGGGCCATACGATGGACGTACTCGATACCACTGAGCGCTATCCAGTGATGAACCCGCCAGCGGTGCATCAACTGGTCCAGACGAGAGGTCGTGAGTTGGGTCGTGAGTGTCGTCATGAACATTTCGAGGATCGGTAAGGGTGAAAAGGAACGTGGAATTGGTCCGCAAGTAGAAGCCACAGTCGAGCCCGAGCCGTATCCGCTGTCTCAACCTGTGTTGAAGATGCGCGAGGAGGACGGGTAGATGTAGAGGGTGTCCGCTCGAGAGCAGCGCTGCGCGGACGAGGGCCAGCGTGAACGACGGCCAGTTGATGCAGTTCCGGTCGACGTTCCTCGGGGTCGACCGTGCGCGCGGCGGGTGGGTGCGAGTGCGGCTCGTCTTCAGCGGCGCCCTCGACTCGGACCCGGATGCTCGTGCTCGCCGTGCGCGGTGCGTTGTTCGTGCGCGGAGCTTCGCATGTGGTGCGGTGCGCCGCCGCTCAGCACTCGACTTTTGGTGCATCGTGGACCTAGGACGCCAGCGAGGCAAAAGCTGGAGGGCGCGCAGCTCGCAGCACGCTGCAGACAAAAGAGTTTGAGGCAAGAAGCACTGGCCTCGCTATTGAACCGGAACTCGGAGGTGGTGCAGCAGACCTGGTCAGGCGGACAACTCTCCGACCGCTTTCGGGTCAGTCTGCGGAAGCACGAGCGAGGTACAGATCGGCTAGACCTTCGGGAAAGCCGAACACGCGACATTCGACATGATGTTCCGCGCAAAGAAGTACACTCAAACAGCAGGCTACGGTACTGCGGGGGAACAAACCATTATCAGGAATGGCAAAGTGTTCAGCGAGCAAGATACATTATTCTGTGGGACATTGCAGGAGATACAACAGAGAGCGTGGTATAAGCAGTTCGTGGTAAGTGTGACAGTGCAGCATCGACTACACAGTAATGAGCAAGCACTGATCGATCCCCAATAGCTACAACAATACAGCGACGAACGCGATCAATACGTACAAAACCACACCGAGAGGGTATTCAAACTCTAGCGACGAGAAGACCCAAACCTATCCCCGCACAGAACGCACCCACGAGTGCCAAACCCAGTCCGAAGCCCATTGATCGGTTGGGCTTCGCTCGCGAAGTGCTCGAGACATCCCGTCTCCCGAAGGACAATGACCGCGCGATGTGTGACTTCAGCGGGCCAAGCAGGGAAAGCGAGAACATGAACAGCGATCCGAGGTGCAGCGGGTCGAACGGGGCCGGGGCGCACTGCGACCCACGGCGTACACGCGACTCCGAGAACACAGGTGGACGGCTCTCCTCTTCCTCACGCGGACGCGCAGGAAGCGCGGTATCAGCACGCCGGCGCTGCTGCAGTCCGACTGCGATCTCCTGCGAGAGCGAGCCCTCCCACTCTGCCTCCCATTGTGCCTTGTCCCAGCCGCTCTTCGTTCTCGCGTGAGCGACGACCGGACTCTTCGATGCGCGGACTGTGTCTGCGGATGAACTCGGGCTAATCTTCTCCACGGCACGCTCGACTTCGCGCCAGCGCAGGAAGCGGGATGCCGCCTCAGAACGCAAGCGCGCAAGTGTCTCGGGCGCGCGGAACAGGCCCGTGCGAAGGGCGTGCGGGGTCGCGGGTCGGAACGACGAGACAGTTGCAGCTGTGTGAGGGGAGCTGGACCCTTCGGGGTAGCGCGGCGACGAATACGCAGAGGAGGCGTTGGAGAGCGGGTATGTCGTCTGGAAGGGGTATGTCGGATGTGCTGGCAATGGTGGCAGCACGATGACCGGGATGTGGGGGCTCAGATCATTGAGGAACGATTTCTCCAACGGCGTGGGCGCTGTAGAGATATGACTGTCAGAATGAGTTATGCGGTAGTGGTGCTCGCGCACGCCCTGTACCCGGCCAGTGTCCAGGACGTTGCAAGAAGTATCACCGGACTCCCACGATAGTTTTAGCATCAACTCGGAATTGTTGCCAAAACTCTCTGTGCAGACCCCAAGCGGGCTGGAGAGGCGCGAGCATCCTGACGTTGCACCTAGACTTCGGAGAATGCAGTTTCAGAAAGCCACCGTTATGGTGACCTGGTGGCTAAGAGTCCTTGGTCGGGCCCTGCTTGGTGCCGACTGACCACTGCTCACCCCTGCACGAATGCATTGCGCAGAGCGGTCCGCCAATATTTCCTTTGATGGACGTGCACCCCACCCCATTGATAATCAGGGTTGTTTCGACTTTCGAATGCAAATGGGCACACAGAGTTACGGGGATAAACACTCACATGACGTCAAGAGTAGGATGAGTGCAGTGTACAGGGGCGTCGACCCAGACGATATCAGATTCGCAAGCACGGCGCTGGGCGCATAGTCAGGGTGAAGAGCCTCAGAGACCTGCTTGAATGGGCTGTGAATGATAGGCAGGGCACGCTCAAGTACAGTCTCCGCCTGCAAAGTAGTCAGCGGGTATAGTATGGGTCAGTGGTAGCACCACGCACGTCGTCTGAGGGGTCGTATCCAGGCAGCTCAACGATCTCCACGTTACGGGCGGACTCGGTGTGCTCCAGCCCATGCGCATCGCGGTGCTCTACCCAGTCCGTGGACGCACGCAGTACGCTCACCGTCGGCGCAGCATCGTCCGCACCGTGGGTTTCCTCCCACGCGCCGAGCTCGACGATGTCGTCATTCTCTCCAGGAGATGGGCTATGAGGGAGGCGGTGGATGCTGCGGCGCGCCGAGGCGCAAGCACGAGCAGCCGTAGATCGCCCAGCGTCTGGCCGTAGGGCGTCGGCCGCTTCGCTGGGGCGGGCAGCGTCACGAAGGGATGATGAGCCCCTGTGTCGAGTCGTGCAGCTCGCCGTCGGACTCTCCTGGAAGTGATCTGTGGCGCATGAATTCAGAATGCGGAGGGCTGCCGGGGCCAGACGAGAAGAGGAAGGAGGAGGAGATCTCGGACGGGAAGGAGGACACGGAGTCGCCTGAAGGACTGCTCGGCGATGGGGGTGCGCTGTGCGGCGACTCTGGCCGTGAGTGGTGGTTAGTCCTTTCGGCACGTCGACTGTCGTGTCGTCCGACCCCGACGAGACTGACATGACGAGGTCGCCCGCGACGGTGGTGCTTAGCCGGTGCAGACCGCGGATGGTCGACGCGCTCGTCCCGGGTTCGTACTGGCCTTCCGGCTGCATTGGGTGATCCTCGCTATCCTGTGCTGGTCTGAGATGGTCGTCGTGCAAGAACAAGTAGTCGATGTACGAAGTAGATGGTCAAGAAGGGGTCGAAGCTGAAACGCGGCCCAAATAAGCGGATTGCTGGGCTCTGGCTGGACTGGCGTGATAATTCCATCTAATCTTATCTAATGTCCGTGCTTCCAAATCGGGGGCGAAACGGTCGTGCGCGCTTTTCCTCAAAAAATACGCCTGCTCTATGCACCTTCCGTGTTCTCGTCGACGGGTCCGAACCTTGTCACGGCGCAAACCGTGCCATGCAATGCAAGAAATCGAAGGCGAGCTTCAGACTCAGAGCATCGGCCATCTCGCGACACGAGGCTTATCGATAGCACGACTCATGAGAAAAGTCGCATTGACAAGTCGTCGTCGAGTCTCGACATTGACATTACAGCAAAGAAGTGTTCGAAGGCGGCCTGGCTCACGGTGAGCGAGTCGAGACAGCCCTAGTTCTGGAGGTAACGTACAGCTCACACTGTGATCTTCCTCACCAACGCCTCTAGCTTCTCATCTAGTGCATCAGCAGCGGCCTTCAACTCCGGCTTCATATTCCCATCGGCAGACACTGCATTATCGACGATGGCTGGTAATAGACCACCTGCGTACCGCTCTTGTCCGCTTTCTCCACCACGAGGACTCGTAGCGGGACGTTCAGAGGGACGTATGGGTCATGCGCGATCATCGTCTCGGCGATGAGTGGGTTCCCCAGTATGTACTGGGTCGCTTTCGGTATTTGGACCGTCTGATCATAGTATGCACTGCGCCACCTATGGAAGGACGACGCTGCGAAGAACCTAAAGACGGCAGCTCGACGGCGGGAGGTGAGGTGAGGGCGGGAAAAGAACGCACATAAAGTCATTCTCGCCAATGATGGCTTGCATCCCTCGCTCAAGGTCTTCTTTGCTCTTCACCGTTCCGAGGAGCTCGAACACCTTCGGCCCCGCCTTTTCTCTGCTCAGCTCCCTGTCGAGCCGCGCCGTCACCTCGTCGAACAACAGCGAGCTGTCGAAGATGATGCGTTTCGCATGGACGTCGTGGACTGTCTTTGACATGGTGGTGAGCGCCCTTCGTGTTGTGCAATTTCCTTCCTTCAACTGTCATTTATACTTGCGAGGAGGCTCCGACGTGACGCTTCCTGATTTCATGTTAGTTGCCATCCCCGAGGCATACGGGCGAGCGTACTCATCAGCCCGATGGGCACATGCAGTAAGTATGACAAGCATCCTTACTTATCGCCGAGTCCTGTTGTATACAAGACTCGGCGAACGACGTCACGACTCTAAATGCTACTGCGGCGGGACTTCGGATTGCGCTCTGATATGTTGTGTGTACCACCAGCGCTTACCCACGCTAGTACTAGTAGCCTGTCTATATGCGGAGGAACAGACAAGGCCTTCAGGTCACTGATCGATGGGTATCCAAGCCCGCGCCGGTGTCCTCATCTACATGCCTCATGGCCAATTCACGGCCATACTTGCCTGTGACACTTGTTCGTCCCCTCAACAATCGCGAATATGCTCACGGGATTTCTTTCCGCCCCGCAGATACAGCGTATGATGCCAGGATTTATAACCTGCGGAGACCGAGCAGTGTCGCTATTGCTGTGTTCGGCCTTGCGAAGCAGCCAAGTGTTCTCGATCGTGGTGTTATGATACTCACCTACGTCTTTGTAGAGGCTATGGCATCGAGTGGGCGCGATCTACTCAACCTTGGTGCGATCTTCAATGCCCGCACAAGCCATAGCGCATGATACGAACTCTGGCTGGCTGTCATTTGATGCTCCTTTGGCCAGCTCGTCGCAGCACTCGGTTGGTGTCACCCGACGTGTCGGAACCCACATCAACGAAATTCGACTTTCTGGTCGACATAGCCCGTTATGCGTCGGGTAAGGTTGAGCCACGGATGCATTAGATGATTGACAGAATGCTCACTCGTGCACATTGCGAAGGGGTCTACAGTTACTTGGGTCCATCGACGCGGTGATTGACTGGACCGTGCGCTCGGAGATGTATCAGGCTCCTTTGACGTTCTCTGGTGTGCCCGCCTTACGTTTCGTCGGACAGTGCTGGCGGCCTTGCATGGGCCGGTCTAAGGACTCTGCGGTCAAGGATGCCCCTAACGTTTCAAACAGTGGGGTCATCCTTTCCCTGAGAGTCTTAGAGACCTCACTGCTGGCTCAAATCCGCGACGCATTAGTAGACCGTGCAGTGATCTCGCAGAAGACATCGCCTACCAAACATCGTGCCCGCGAGGTCTGCCAGTTCGGAGTAACCAACATGAACCGCGGTATTCGGTCGCTTACTCACTGGCCTTGGACGAACGACTTCGGGTGGTATCGCCTTAAGTCCCCTTTCCTGAGTGTGTCACGATGTGGCTGACGAATGATAGCAGGAGGAACGGCAGGCGCGATCGTCAGCCGTCGAGGGCGGAAGGTGGGGCGATCGCCGTCACCGGCCAGAACTCTAATCTTATGTCGAGGCGCAAAGCCCAGGGACGGCCAATGCTGCTTGCCTCTCCCCTGCGACGAGCTCCGTTGACCCTGCGCTCCCACTTCATCTCCTTCCTGCAGTCTCGCCTCCCACCTGCCAGCCCCAACTACGTGCTCCTGACGATGCCGAAACGCAAACGCACTGCGGCAGCCGTGACGACCGCGGTAGATGTGCCAGCGGCCCCAGGCGAAGATGCCATCGCAGCGGCGACTGCTGCCGTACTAGCTCTGAGCGACCCGGTGGCAGGTTTTCCCGCCTCACCGCGACGTGCGTCCACTCGGACACGCAGATCAACCGATGTCAAGCCCGTAGAGCCCGAGAGCCCGCTCAGCGATCTCGATGGTGAGCTCCCAGTAACAAAGAAGCGCACACCTCGAAAGAAAGCGAAGCGACACGCAGCAGACGTCGAGAGCCGCTCGCCGGACTCGAGGACGGTGAGGGATCGCCCGCAAAGAAGAAACGCGCAAGGCGGACGAAAGCAACGGAGCCGGTCGTGTACGACATCCCGCCCGTGGAGCGCAAGGAGACGAAGTTCACGGGCCGTCTGGGCTACGCATGCCTGAACACAATCTTGCGCGCGACGAAGCCCGAGCCGATCTTCTGCTCGCGGACGTGCCGCCTCGAGACGATTAGGAAGAATGGGATCGAGTTTGCGAAGGATCTTGGGCTGAGGAACGCACGGGACCTCAGCGAGATGATCGAGGTGCGCTACTGGTTCCTATGCATAAGGTGTGCAGAGTGTAACGACGTTGCTGGCAGTGGAACGAGAAGAACAAGATCCGTTTCTTCCGGATCTCGTCGGAGATGTTCCCGTTCGCGTCACACAAGGTTCACGGGTACGACCTCGAGTATGCGCGTGAGCAGTTGAAGGTAACTTACGTCTCACTGCGATATGTTCTGGTGTTGACCAGTTGACCTTGAATGACGCGCATATAGGCAGCTGGAGACCTCGCGAGACGATATGGTCACAGGTTGACGACGCACCCGGGACAGTTCACCCAATTAGCGTCTCCGAAGGACGACGTGGTCACTGCGAGTGTGCGCGAGCTCGAATGTCAGCATCTACCATGTCAAATCTACTCACGACGCTAACATGCTGCACACGCCTACAGATCACTGCCAGATGATGCGCTACATGGAGCTCGACCAAGACAGCGTGATCATCATACACATGGGGGTGCGTCTGCATGCCTCACTTGCCCTTTGCTCACGACTTGACGTTGGCGGGGCTGGCAGGGCGTGTACGGTGACAAGGAGACGACGCTCGCACGCTTCAAGGAGAACTACCGCACGCGGCTGACGGACGAGATGCGGGCGCGGCTCGTGCTTGAGAACGATGAGGTACGCTTCTGAGACTGCGGGTTCCCGTATTTGTGAGCTCACGAGAGCGATAGATATGTTACAGCCCAGACGATCTCTTGCCCGTGTGCGATGAGCTCAGGATCCCGATGGTACTCGACTATCATCACAATTGGATTAACGTATGCTCACCGCTTGGACTCCTCATTGGCAACTCGGACTGAGACACACTCCCCGCAGCCATCCAAACACGAGCTACCGGACCTCCTCCCGCTCGTCGCGGCGGGCTGGGCGCGCAAGGGCATCCGGCAGAAGCAGCACCTGAGCGAGCCGCGCCCAGGCGCAGAGAGCGTCATGGAGAAGCGCGCACATGCGGACCGGTGCGTGACGCTGCCAGAGGTGCTCGAGGGCGGGGAGGTGGACCTGATGATCGAGGTGGGTCCTCGGGTCGCGTCTCTCTCTTTTTAATGTTGATGGTCCGTGGCTGCGCGTAGGCTAAGGACAAGGAGCAGGCAGTGTTCCACTTGTTCAGGATTTATGGGCTTGAGCCTGTGGCTCACGATAATCTGCGCCCGGAGAAGCCGCCGAAGCCGTTCGTGCGGGGGAAGGGCCGGGCACTTGCGGGTGACGGGGACGCGGACGGCGAAGGCGCGGCTGGGGAGGACGCGGCGGAGGCTGTGGATGGGACACCGAGGAGGCGGACGAGGGCGAGGGCGGAACGGAAGGATGCCGTTGGGGATGGAGGTGCGGGAGGCGATGTTGACGGAGAGACGGAACTTGAGGCACCGTCGAAGCCAAAGCAGAAGAGACGCCGCACTGCGACCACCGTCGTTGCGGGCGACGTGCCCTCGCCCTCCGCATTCCCGAGGAAGCGCAAGCGCGTGTCCGTCGCGCGAGGAAAGAAGTCGGTGGTCAATGCTGAGGGAGAGGTGGAACGCGCGGAGGAGCTGGTGAATCAGAGGATGATCCAGAGCCTGTGGACGGGCGAGGGCTGGTGAGGTAGAGGCGGAGGAGCACCCGAGGCGGTGCAGGGAGGTGATGGGCGCGCGGAGACGGTGAGGGAGGAGGCAAGGGAGTGCCTGGGTGAAGTAGAAGGACGTGAGTCAGGGTGTAGGTGAGGCGGGGTCACCATGGGTGTTGTTCCCGGAGGAGCAGGGACCTCAGCATCCATGTTAACGCCGTTGCTGCTCGTTCATGTCTAGACCTCAGCGTCCATCAGCGATCCCGACCCGACATAAAACTCTGAAGAATGAGGATCCGACCGTATGCGGAGGTGTGCACCAATTCAGTCTCAGATGGATGGCGCACTTTTGTCTCAAGCGAACGTACCATCGCGTCCTGGTCCTCGCAGGATCCACACATCTCAACTGTCTTGCTGTCAAATCCTGTGAAGGTCTCTGAATCAGATTCTTATGTTTGGACGACGCAGCATCGAAGTAAGCAGTTTCCTCGTCCTTTCGCCGCGTCGCACCCGGGCCCTTTGCAACCGTGTCCGGGATGCTGTTCAATATCTCGCTGCTTGCCCTCCCTGTTCACTAGTGACATTCCGATCCCGTCCAAGCGCAAGATTGAGCTACACAATGTTACCTCTTCAGGACCGTCGCGGTCGACTTCGTCTTCGGAGGCGGTCGTGGAAGCTTCTTGAATGCGGACCACCAAATCCCTCGTCTCTCTTCTTTTCCCCCTCACCGTACCTAGAGCCAGACTCAAGTTAGTGGAACACAATGTATCATATGTATCCATGCCCGTGCCTTTGGTAAACGCTTGACTGTTGTCGGGCAGCAGCGTCTGGCTGGATCCATCTGTGAGTCGAGTTCTCGCGACCCTCCCAATTTCCTAATGGAACCCACACAAGTCGGCGTCAGGAAAGTCTCAACCTTCCATCTCAATCGCAGTAAGACCCAGTCAGAAGAAGTCAAAACACTTCGCATTGCCGCTGCGATACTAGCGTACAGATACATAGACATACACGTCATACGATCACTAGGTATACCAACTACAGATCATCACTAATAAGATACAGCAAGACGTCACCGCGCGCAGAACGCACGCATGTAGACTCGGGGGAAGACACCACGGGCTCAGCGAGAGGTATCATATCGGTTTCAGTCGGGTTGCGATCCAAGGAGGACGCGGGAACAGACGGGGCATTACGACGAGGCGACCTTGGTCTTGATGAGCTCCACGACGCTAGGGTCCGCAAGGGTGCTGAGGTCGCCGAGCTGGTCAGCCTCGCCCGCGACGATCTTGCGCATAATCCGGCGCATGATCTGTCCGTCTCGTCAGTACGCTCTCACACAGAGTCAGCACAGGGTGGACGCATACCTTGCCCGAGCGCGTCTTCGGCAGGTCTGAGACGAGGAATATCTTCTTCGGTGCTGCAAAGGGGCCGATCACCTTGCGCACCTGGAGCGTGAGCTCCTTGATCAGCGCAGCCTCCTCCGTCCCGTCGAACTTGAACTCCCTGCAACAGCCAGTTTGAATCAGTATCTAAGACCATCTACGAAGTGCAAATGGGCAGGTACGTACGGCTTCAGGGTCACGAACGCGTACACAGCCTGACCAGTCAGCTCGTCGGCGGTACCGACTACAGCGGTCTCAGCCACGCCAGCATGGGTGATGAGCGCAGACTCAATCTCCGCCGTCGATAGACGATGACCAGACACGTTGATGACATCTGTCATGCATCCCGACCCATAGCGCGTTAGCACTCGGGTTCTCCCCGGCAGTGGGAACTCCACAGCGGAAAAAGAAGACAAGACGCACCGTCTACACGGCCCTTGATCCAGATGTATCCGTGCTCGTCCCGCGCGGCGCCATCGCCCGTGTAGAACACGCCAGGGTACGGCTACATCAGCGCAGAAAAGGCGACGATGGCGTCAGTTCACGAGTTGTACGACGGTTGGAGAGCCCGAGCTTACCTTCATGTAAGTCTCGAGATACCTGTCGAATCAGTCATCCGCGGCAGACACACGTGATCGTATCAGTACACGGCCCAGCAACAACTCTAGAGTAAGTTACGTACCGCTTATGGTCCTGGTAGACCGTGCGCGCGATCGACGGCCATGGAGTCTTGAGGACGAGCACGCCCTCGACGTCCGGGCCTTCGAGCTCCTTCCCAGTCGTGGGATCGAGGATCGCAGTCTCGATGCCGAAGAAGGGCACGGTCGCCGAACCGGGCTTCGTCTCGATCGCGCCGGGGAACGGCGTCACGACGATGCTGCCCGTCTCCGTCTGCCAGAACGTGTCAACGATAGCACACTGGCGGCGGCCGACATGGTCGTTGTACCAGTGCCACGCCTCGGGGTTGATCGGTTCGCCGACACTACCGAGCACACGGAGCGAGCTCAGATCGTGGTCCTTGACGTGGTGGTCACCAAGGCGGCGGAGGAGGCGAATCGCAGTGGGCGCGGAGTAGAACTGTGTGATCTTGTGCTTGTCAACAGCCTGCCAGTAACGCGACGGCGTAGGGTATACTGGCGTCGACTCGAACACCATCGTTGTCACACCGTTCATGAGCGGCCCGTAGACGATGTACGTGTGGCCCGTGATCCAGCCCACGTCGGCCATACATGCGAAGCGGTCGTCCGGGTGCACATCGAACACATACTTCACCGTCAACGCAGCACCGAGGAGGTAACCTGCGGTAGTGTGCACGACGCCCTTCGGTCGCCCGGTCGATCCGGAGGTCTGAGGAGGATCGGAACGGAAAGGGGGAAGCGTCAGGGGTGCCTGATCGGACTAGATCGTGTATAGACTCACGTATAGAATGAACAACGGGTCTTCTGCAGCCATGACCTCGGGCGGGCAGTAGCTCGGCACCTTAGTGAGCTCCTCGTGCCACCAGCGGTCCCTGCCTGGCGTCCACGGGACCTCGTTCCCTGTGCGCTTGAGCACGAGCACATGCTCCACGACGGGGCATTCCTTGACCGCCGCGTCCGCGATGACCTTGGTCGCGATCGTCTTGCCGCCGCGGCGCCCCTCGTCGCTCGTGATAAGCACGCGCGACTTGCAGTCCTGCATACGATCTCGCAGCGACTCCGCACTGAAACCCGCGAAGACAACTGAGTGCACCGCGCCAATGCGCGCGCACGCGAGGAACGCCGCCACGGCGTGCCATGTCATGGGCAGATAGATGGACACGGTGTCGCCCTTCTTGACACCGAGCGACTTGAGCACATTCGCGATCCCGCAGACCTCGCGGAGCAGCTCTGCGTATGTGATCTCGCAGCCCTCATTTGGCTCGTCCGCTTCGTAGATGATGGCGGTCTGAGAGTGAATTGAGTAGCACGAAGTTAGCGTGAGCTTCGCGGGTTCTAAAGAAGGCGAGAAGCGCACCTTGTTTGGGTGCTTGAACGCCCACCTGTCTACGCAGTTGTATGACGCATTCAGGCCACCTTCTGGGAACCAGACGATGTCGCCCGTCTCGAAACCTCCCGCCCGGACGGTATGGAAGGGCCTGTCCCAGTGGATTGTCTCCCTGGCCATCTTCGTTTCCGCGTCAGCTTGGCTGCAGTCGCAAACGAACCATACCGACCTTAGCCCACCACTTGTCGCTCTCATGACCGAGCGTCTGCGAGTGCAGTGACCTGAGAATCTGGTGAGAGCGCGAGCACTGCGCAAGGGAGCCCAACTCACCTATACGCGTGAATGTGAGGCCCAACGTGCGGCGTTTTGTGCCCATCCTGACACGGGGTGCAATGGGGTGCAGCGGGACGGGTTCGTGGGGCACTTCGGACATGGCTAGGAGGGAATGCAGCGGACAGGGTATGTCGGGGCATTATGCAGTGGGCGGCGCTATATATGAGGGGACATCGCAGCCTAATCTGTTAATGGTGCGCGCGTGATCAGACGATCGAACGGACCAATCATGAGTGTGACCGGTAGCGACGGTGTCTGCGATCCTCCTGTCGCCCGTTCGCGGTGTCTCGTCAGGAAGCCTGCCACTCCCTCCTCGCCCGACGTCCTCGGCCCTCTCCAAGGGTCGTAGTGCGGCCCATGCTTCGCCCTACGATTGGCCGCTCGCGTCTGTCTACCGCGGTCCTGCCAACTCGACGCGGCGTGGTTGCCTTTCCAGGAACAGATAACGATGGCATCTCATTGGGGAAAGGGCGGGCGTTTGAATGGGATTTCCCGACGCGCACGGCACCAGTGCGCTGAGCAGCCACTCCAAGCGGAACGCCGTCGACAGCAGCGCAGGGGGCACTCGCTCGAATACGATTACCCAGCGCAACCTCAAGCAGAGACACCCGTCGCCGTTTGCCTGGACACGTCCGAGGAGAGCACCTTCTGACCATGTACGCCGACCGTCCGACGTCATGCACCCGCGAGACCCTGTGTGAGCTTCGTGGCAGCGCCGTTCCGCGTACGGGCAGCGTAGAGGCCGGGTACCGACTGGGCTACGCCCAGGACGGAGTCGGTTTTTTGTGCGTGTGCCCCTGGTGTGCCCAGTCGTCGCCGTGGCGCGATTTCCATTAACCCCGCATTTTAGCGCGTCCCATGCGCACCCCTCCCCGCTTCCCCGCATCCTGCCGAGTTCACAGCGTCAGCAGCGTTTGCACGCAATCCCATTGGCCCCGGGCATCATAGTACCGGCCTACAACATACCGGTCACCGAGGAAGTCGCCAGGATGCTCCGCGAAGGGTCAATCCGCTCGGAGACCTTGCTTTCGGAGAAGGGGAGCTGAATGAAAATGCGTGAGTGTATAGCTTTCGATGACCTGATCCTACGTAGGAGAAGTACGCACGTCAGGCGTCCGCGTCGGGGAGACCCCTATCGGATCGGAGCACAGTCAGGTCCGTAAGGCCTCAGGCGCTGTATGAGACATCGAACCCTGTTGCCCAGACATTTTCGTCGTTCCATGGGCTTGATGCGGCAGGACCTCGCCATCCCAGTGCAGCGCTGTCAAACTATAGGTGGTACGAGCAAGTCGTTTTTGAGTCTTCCGTTCATGGGACAGCTCAAAGATGGTAGTACAAGGTCAAGAGGGACGTTCCGTGCAACGAGGGTATCCATTCATATATACTAAGCTCCGCCTTCCAGTCCAGTCGAATTATCCTAGAACAGTTGCTGTCAAGGATGTATCGCGAGTTGCCTGATCCAGCCACAAAATCGCCAAATCAGGTAAGTCTCCCCAATTGGCGTACTCGGTGGCCCACCCAGACTGTTAACTGTGCAAATCCGCATCTGCGACACCTGAGAGACACTCCGGTCGTCTGACCGTCTGCGATGCAGCTTCAGAAACACTGACAGCATGTCAGCTGCTGACATGTCGCTAGAAGTGGTCGCCGAGCACTAGTTTCATGACTATGATAGCTCAGTAAACCATCTTCCAATCGAAGGACCGCGGGATGTCTTGCGGCCTACATGTCGTCACGTTTTGAAGTTGACGACGGAGTACTCATGAAGATCTCAAGCTCGGACGAACGGACTGCATACGACGCATCAAGTCGCTACACTTCGAATGACCGACACGAAAGTCTTGACCAAAACGTAGGTTCATAACGATACCGTCAGGTCACAGCTACTGTAAAACAGTACCAAACATTATTGTGTACTTTAGATTCTTCGTGTCGATGATGGGGAACGCGCTTGCCGTGACAAGTTGCGACCGTGACGTCACATCGCGACGCGACGCGCCATTACCAGTGCACGTGCCACGCGTTGTATGGTTACTGCTCACCTCAACTTCAAGTTGCCGTCTCGCAATCATCGTCTCCAGCAGTCCGGACTCAGCTCGGAGTAGAAGCAGAAGTAGAGCCCGACGGACGGAGAACCTCACAGCCCACAAGGTACAACCTTCACACAGCAACGCGTCCGTCGCCGCATATACTCACCGTAGAACCGGCCCCGCAATACCCGTGCGCCGAATGCCCCGAGCGAGCCCCACCAAGGCGAGCGCGAAGCCCGCAAGGAGTACAGGTCGGAAGGCCGCTGCTCCGGGCGGAGAGGCTTCACCCGCGAAGACAAGCAGGAAGAGTGGAACCCGCGGATCCGGCAGGAAGGGGAAGGGGGTGGCCAGCGACCCCGAGGAAGGTCATGAGGGGCCTCGCGATGGTGCCGCGGATGACGACGGGGGGTCGGAGGAGGAGTATGGGGAGGAAGAGGAGGTCGAGGCCGTCTTGGACAGTGACGCGTTGGATGACTCTCCGGACGAGCTGCCTGTGGTCGGGCGAAGCGGAAACGCGAGTCGGTTGGTGGCGCGAAGGCTACTCGCAAGAAGCGCAGGAGCGTCACAGACAAGTCATACAAGTATGAACGCGATGATGATGATGACGAGCCCTCGCTGGACAGCGACGCATTGGATGAGGACGACGACGTAGGCGCGAAGAGGACGCGGAAGCGCGCGTCGGTGGCGAAGAAGGTCACGCCGAAGAAGGGATCACCAAGGAAGATCTCACCGAAGAAGCGGAAGCAGGAGGAGAGCGGGACGAGGATGCGGACGACGGACTGGACCTGAAGGACGGCCAGGAGGTCGTCGGTGTGGTTGTACAGGCGCCGAAGACTGGGCGAGGTGCGTGGCCAACTTCGTGTCGTTCGCGCCTGGGACAAATCAGTTCGCGCATTGACTGTCTGCTGCAGTCCCGCCAGGCCGGATATCCAAGAACACGCTAAACTTCCTGACCGAGCTCAAGAACCCAGAGTGTAACGATCGCGAGTGGTACATACGCCACGTTCTCCGCACTCGCCGTTCACTCATACTGATCCCCTTCACGCTGCCAGGTTCAAGCTACACGGTGCGCAGGCCGCCTTCTCGCACACCGCTACAACTCTGACGCGTGCGAACCCACAGAGCCCGTCTACCGTCTCGCGGAGAAAGAGTTCAAGGACTTCATCGACGCGTTCACGCCCCTGCTCATCGAGGTCGACTCCCAGATCCCGCACCTGCCACCAAAGGACGTAATCCACCGCATTTACCGCGACGTGCGTGTCTGCCGTATCCCCTTCCCAGCCTCGTATTCTCCTCTACCCATGCCGTACACCCTTCACACTCCCAGCGCGTCCCTTCAGCCCATCTGTCTTGGCACCATTCTTCCGCGCTTCTCGGGCGGGGGATCATCCTGAATGAACGCGCGTGCTGATTGAGTTACGTTGTGTGGGTAGATTCGCTTCAGCAATGACAAGACGCCGTACAAGACCGGGTTCTCTGCCAGCTTTTCGAGGAGCGGGCGGAAGGGCATCTTCGCCCACTGTGCGTCGTTCAATTGTCTTCCCCGTGTGCGAGTTGCCGATTGACACTTTGGCTGGCTAGACCATGTGTGAGTCGGCTTCTCCGCTGTCTTGAAGTTGTCTCTAATGACGATGATTCTGACGCGCGGGACTGCAGATTAAGTGAGTCTTGCTGTTGCGACTGGGATCGTGGAAGTGGCTCACCGCTTCGCAGTCAAGCCAGGTGGTGAAAGCCTGATCGCGGCAGGGGCATGGCAGCCAGGCAAGAACGAGCTCGCGACGATTAGGTTAGCCCACTTCCCGCATCGTACTCCTGTCAACCTAGTTGACTGTGCCATGCAGGAACAACATCATCCGCTCACCTAGGCGTCTGCGCAACATCATCTCCGCGCGTGACTTTGTGCGCTACTTCGGGGACCCGAAACCAGACGCGAAGGGCGGGCGCAGCAGTATCTTTGGGCGGGAAGACGAACTGAAGAATGCACCCAAGGGCGTGGCGAAGGACCATCCGTACGTGTTCGCTCAAACGTGCACACTTGGGTGTGGGTCGCTGACGAAGACTGCGTTCAGGGATATTGACTTGCTCAAGTGCCGGTCGTTCGCTGTAGTGCACTGGTGAGCGACAGTTCGCAAAGGGGATGGATGGACGAGTGTGGAGACTCACTGGTATCAGCTTCCTGGACAGCGAGGTGTTAGCACCTGGTTTTAAGGAGTCACTCTGCAAGATCGTGCAGGTCGTCAAGCCGTTCGTGCATTGGTAGACATTCCCTGTTGTCTTTACAGGCTCTGGGTCGTGCTCATGCCTCATGCTCTTGCAGTCTCAACGACATGATGACGATTCAGGATCAAGATAGCTCCGACGACGACGATGAAGAGGAAGGCGAAGGTGATGACGATGAGGAAGGCGAGTGAGATGGGGATGGTAGTCAATATCTTGATTTGTATGACCTCGCATTCCTCTTGGTTTGGTCACCCTATGCTTGCTCCTGGTTGTCGTCCTGGATATGTATGTACTGTACCTCCGCTCGTAATGTACCCACCTTATAACGACCCGATAGCATGGTTTTGGAGGTTATAGATAATTTTGGGCTGGCTAGTAAGAGGACACGGTCGTCGATGTGATGTGGAACCATGGCTACCTCGTCGTCTGGTCTTGTCCGGACAGTCAGGCGTGGCTGGGGACAAGCAACGCGCCACGAAGCAATTCATTCTAGCATCCTGGAAGTCCATATCTACTCGGCTTTCCGCTGGTCCCGATACTGCTTCGCCCACTGGAACAATTCGGCTTGTATGTCAGTCACGAACCTGGAATATAGGCTGATGTCGTACCAGCATCGAGGGTATGGGCCGTACAGGCTCGATATACCTGACCTAGCAGTGAACTGTTCAGAGACGAGACATGGGCATAGCAGGGCGAACATACCTCCTTCTCTGCGGTATAACTCCAGCCGGCGTAGACGACCGCGAGGATACCGGCGAAAGAAACGGCGGTGTTGGACTTCCAGTTCGAGGGGCGAGTCCACCAGCCACCTGTGTGTTACGATATGTGACAAATTGTGTAGTTTGTGTAGTTTGTGTGATGGGACGATGAGTTGAACGCAGGACTCGAGCGGGGAGCAACGTACCAGCTGGTGACCAGACTTGCTTGGGATACGGATATCTCGCGCCTCCTCCCTACGAAGACTGCCTCGATTATCGGTCCTTCGATCTATGAAAGCTGCGACGTACCATTGTGTTTGATTGTCGGAGACGAAGTGGTGGTCGGTTATAACAGGTCGAGTACTCAAACACGTGGATGCGGGGGGCGACTCAGTGAGGCGCTCAGCGGCAGACTGCTTTCCCCGCCGCTCTCTTTCCTCTACTCCAGATGCCCTTCTAGAGCGTTCGTCAATTCATCCCAACAACATGCTGAGTGGCCTAGCCAGTTATTTCAAGGAACGCAGGTCAGGTCTGCAGAGAACGGCAGGCTATGTAGGCGGGGCGTACTTGCTGGGGCAGTATGCCCTGGGACGGTTGGAGGACGTACGAACAACAGTCATGCAAGACCGATCCGCACGAGACAAGTGAGTTCGCAAGGTCATGTAACAGCGTGTACCGGCTGAGCTTACGCAGTGTCTTGCTAAACGCAATTTCGTAGTCTACGCCGGAGGTTCGAGCAGAACCAGCAGGACATCTCTTTTACTGTCATGGCCCTCCTCCCAACACTTGGCAGACATATCTTAGAGGGTATGGATGTTGAGGGAGTCACCTGCGAACTCCAATCGTACTCCAAGTCTGCCAAGTCATCATCCGAATCGCCGTCCGCCGTGCCAGCGTCGGAGTCCAGTCTCACAAGCAGTATGGAACTGGTTTCCAAACCGCACCATCCAGACCACTCCGAGAACAGCTCCTTCTCAATGCTGCAGTCGGTCGAGGAGAACGGAGTGGCGACGCCGACGGACCTGTCCGCATCGTCCGCCAGCTGGGTCGACCAGTTCTCGTCCATGCAGTCATCTCAGGTCGCCAATGGTTCCGCGCCGGAGGTGCCACCAAACGGTACCAATTTACAAATGCCTCGATTGGGTGCCGATCTGGGTCTGTCGGACTCCGTTCTCTCAACATCGACGAGTTCATCGTCAAGCGTAGCACCCGAAGCTGTGAGCGCCGCTTCGGGCATCTCCATTGCAGAGTGATATTGACCAGTCTAGTCTCCACCAGAGAACGGCTCTGCACATACCACTGATACCCCGCCGAAGAGCAAGGCAGAGCTGTGGAAAGAAGTCAAGATACTAAGTGAGTGATCGATTGGTGCGCTATATAACCTATCTGACACCCTTTGCAGCATTTACACGGACATTAACCATCATTTACTCTATGACCCTGCTGACGCTCTTCACGCATATGCAGCTTAGTATACTGGGTCGTTCCAAGTATATACACTCCATCATCCAGGCGGAACAGGAAGAACGTCTGCGAGAGCAGATGATGGATGCCTCTCTTTTCTCTCTGCTATGGAACGGCGATGTTTCCGAAGAAGCAGAGACGCAGAGTGCCGAAGTCATTAGCGAGGAGACGGAGAGGAAGTATCTCACCCTCAGCTGGTGGATATTGCACGTAGGATGGAAAGATGTGGGCGAGAGGGTGAGGCGTGGCGTCGAAGAGGTCTTTGAAGGGTACTGTTCAACTGGTCCACGTATGACTCGTATGACTGATACCTCTGCAGCGTCTCCTTGAAGACCAAGTTCACCATCAATGATATGTTTCGCCTAGTCAGCGACGTGCGCCGTCGAGTCGAGTATGAGGTCACATTCGAAGGTCACGAGCGACGAATAAAGTCAGGCAAGCCTCTCTATCATTTGTGTCCGTGTCTCACGAAATGGCTCGTCTAGCTTCATGTCGACTCTTCTCCCTCCCACGTCTGAAACACTCCACCATGTCTTAACTCAAGGCGGCATTCCCGCCGACATCGTTGGTGCATTAGACCCGAAGTTCGAATCTCTGCTATCCGAGGCGCGATCACATATCATGTCAGCTTCATTCCAGCATGTCTTGGAAGCCTGCCTCGATCAAGCGACCGAAACGCTATTTTCTGGGTTGCGGAAGCATGTGTTCAGTGGCACCTCTGGGCCGTTGAATTTTGAAGACAATGATGAAGAGGTGCGCGAGAGGCTGGCGGCGATGCTACCTGGTCTTGCTCGGTGGTGTCATTTGGCCCTAGAAGGACTGCCGAATGAGATGGTTGACGTATGTCTCCGTGTTTCATCTAGTGTTGAATTGCTCATCACGTTGCAATTATCACAGAATCTATCGAGTCTTCGGGAAACCGCAGCATTCTCTGCTATTATCTACTCTAGTTATGAGGATCGCTTCTCATAATGACCATGGTTCAATTGCAGTAATCTCACTCACACTGAATAATAACTTCACGACAGTGGAACGCAGGTGCATAATCGTTGACTTTCTCAGCCGTACTCCAGGACACTGCCCCTCGTGTCTCTTTCTCTCTCAAATGAACGTATGCTATCGTACACGAACTTCCATGTTATCTGTGCTTACATCCCTCTCCTTCCTACGCCAGCTTGATCAGCTTCTCGACATCTATCGGTGAGCCTTTACTGTTCAGGGAAGCCTCGATGAATGCGACATCCCGTAATGCGCCCAACGGTGTCCCCAATCCGTTATCCGACCCGTTGATCGCATTGACGAAGAACTGTATCTCGTTCGGCACTCCATCGGAAACTTTGTCGATGATCTCCTCCGTCTCTCCGGTGACGTTCCCATGTTTGTCCTTCTTTGCGGTGACAACGGTGACGCGCATGCCACCCACAGACTTCGGTCCGTCAACGATCTTGACCGAGGCCACAGAAAGCCAACCATCGGTACCGACAATCGTGGTGCCCTTCGCTGCGCGCTCAGAAGCTGAAGCGGTCGGTGCACCCCAAGTGAGGTCAAGGACACCATGCGACCCGTCGGCAGACTGGACGATCGCATTGATCGTGTCCTCGGGTTTGAGGAATTCTCGATTGAGCGAGGCGAAGCCAGACACGATCTTGATCGGGCTGGGGAGCATTGTTCGCAACGCCGCGAGGGTGTGCTGGATCGCGGATAATGTTTGGGCAAGGTTCGGAAACATGGCAACCACGGCTTACTCACCACTCCACCATCGAGCTTCGTCCCCCCTTGTTGTCAGCGACAGTGCACCCTGGACCTGAAGTTACGAGAGGGGCTTACCAAGAACCCGCCTTGATACTGCGTAGTGTGGACATCGTCGTGAGCATTTGACCCTTGCGCATGTCTGAATCGGAGTCTACTCACGTCTGGGATGGTGCGCCAGGGTGTGTTATACCACTTGGAACTAGTGTCCATGTAGTTCACAACGCGGGCGTTGTAGAAGGAGACCTTCCCTATCTTGCCATCACTAATCGCCTTCGCGGCCACCTGGTAGGCAGACTCCGTCTCAAAATTCTCCGCGACGCGCCAGATCAGGCCCTTGGGCTTGTAGTCGGTCTCGTAATCCTTGATGAGCTCCAGGCCAGACGCGACGTCTGGAGCGACTGGCTTCTCGCTGAGGACGTGTTTTCCTGCCCCTAACGCCTTCCGGATGATACTCGGCTGCGTCGTGATGGGGAGCACGACGATGACAGCCTGGATGTCGGGGCGTGCGAGGAGCGCATCGAGGTTCCCGTTGGGGGCGGCATCGAAGTACACGTCTGGCTTCGATGTGAGCTTGAGCGCTGCTTGCGCCTCCTCTGCGAGCGAGGCTGCGCCCTTCTCTGAGCGGGAGTAAATCGCCTTCAACTCGACGACCGAGGGGCCCACGGTTGCAATCGCAGGTAGGTGAGCTGATTAAGATCAGGAACGATGGGAGGTGAGTGTTAGTTTGTCCCCGTGTTCCGTGCTACAGCGTATCGGGCTCACCTTCTTTGGCGAAGATGCCCGAGCCAAGGATGGCGATACCTGTGGGTGCCATGAGATTCAGTTATACGTGGTGGTCGATCTGAAGTTGCGTGTCGTGCCAAGCGGGCAGACAGGCTGAGGTTTAATACAATGTCGCAGCTCAAGATTGTAGCGATCTCAACGACGTGGCCGGAGTTCCTTGTACTTCCGTGTCACCAGAGCCAGCGCGCGTGCTGCCAAATGCTGCCAGGCGGGAAAATGCAAGGTACCTACGGCAAGCGCGCCGTGGCCCGTGGATGCCAGAATCTTGCACTCTGCGGGGTAATGTCGGCTGCTCCGGAGAGGAGCTCGACATCACCTGTCGCGAGCAGCTCGGCGCGGCAGTCGAATGGCTGCGCGTTATCTTATCTTGCTACTGTTGGAATCTCTCGGAAGAAACTATTGAGCACCGAGGAGGCTTCTTGTAAGCTCGGAAATTGACGTTCTGTTGGCGAAGATGAGCAAATCGCGAGAACTGCACGGGTGGCTCTTGCGTTCGTTGGGCTAGTAGACGTTCATTGAGAGCGCTCCACATTGTCTTGACTTTACACGGTGCACATAGGTATTCGCCCGTTTCATCAATCCGATGGGATGCCCATCTAGGCCCGCTGGGTTTTCAGCCGTACACACACGAGCAAGCTGCGCAGGTTGCCGTCGTGAGGACCAGGAATGAGTAGTAGAACCTTCGCATGCTACTGCGACTTGGCCGAACTCTGGGGAAAAGGTCCGTGTCAGCGGGGACTCGGACGTCGTGAAGAGAATCGCATCTGAGTCTGCCCAAGTCCACAATCGCCTTCAACCTCCCAAATTTTATGTCAGCGCAGGTGAGCATCGCCCTACAATCTGTGCACCCCCGGAATAACCAAGCGCCTCCCTCAGGCCCCAGAGCTTTGTGAGTTATGTTGTCGCTCCCGAAGACCACTGCCGCATGTGCCTCTCCAGTCTACTATACCCGGATTAACCTCGGGACTCCTCACCGGGTATACGGATGGGTATGAGATCCAATCGGCTGGAGCAGGTGTCGCAGCAGCATACATAAGAGAGCAGGGCGATAAACATGGGCAGCACCTTGGTCTCTGGACACTGTCGGACCTTTCTCAGACATGAGCAGCGCAACAATCTCCAAAACCAAACTCCCCAAGGATTTCTTGTGGGGTTTCGCAACAGGTGAGCCGGTCTCCTCGCACGGCGCCCGTCTGTTCAAATGGCTTATACATATTACAAGCGAGCTTCCAGATCGAAGGCTCCTTAGATGCGGATGGGCGAGGCAAGTCGATTTGGGACGACTTTTCGCGTCAGCCGGGCAAGACACTTGACGGCGGGAACGGGGACGTCGCGACAGACTCGTACCGCCGCTGGGAGGAGGACATAGACCTGCTTGTGTCTTACGGGGTGAAGGCGTACCGCTTCTCTATCGCGTGGTCACGCATTATACCGCTCGGCGGCCGTAATGACCCTGTGAACGAGAGCGGCATACAGTTCTACTCCAAAATTATTGACACTTTGCTGGCGAAGGGGATCACACCATTTGTGGTATGTATGCAGCGTGCTGGCAGGTGACACCCCCTTATAATTTTGATTCCGCAGACAATCTACCACTGGGATCTACCGCAAGCTCTGCAAGACAGGTACAACGGGTGGCTCAACAAGGATGAGATCGTACCCGACTTTGTCAACTACGCGAAAGTAAGGCCGTTGCAACTCACTTCTCCGCGCAGCTTCTGATGCTCGACAGATCTGTTTCGAACGCTTCGGCGACCGCGTGAAGTACTGGTGCGTTCTCATGTAGATACTTCTCAAGCGAAGACATCGCTCACGCTAAGCTCCGGCTTTAGGCTCACATTCAACGAGCCCTGGTGCATCTCCATCCTCGGCTATGGCCGTGGTGTATTCGCACCGGGTCGCTCGAGTGACCGTGTACGCAGCCCCGAAGGCGACTCGGCGACTGAACCGTGGATGTACGTCTCCCGATACTGCGCACACCTGAGCCTATTTGCTCAATGTACCCGCTGGTCGCCACGACAGAGTCGGACACAGCGTGATCTTGGCGCACGCTTATGCCTCGAAGCTGTACCGTGAGCAGTTCAAGCAGGCGCAAGGTGGCCAGATTGGCGTCACACTCAATGGCGATTGGATGATGCCATATGATGATACCCCAGAGAGTACGCGCATCTTCACCGTGCTGAAGAGGTGATGGTGCTACCGTGCTGATATGTGCTTGCTCTGCAGATATAGAAGCAGCTCAACATGCACTGGACGTTGCAATCGGTTCGTCTATGTACCATCTCTCCTAACGGATCGTATTGACCACTTTTCACAGGATGGTTTGCTGTGCGTATCATATTGTCCTCTTACCCACTTTCACTCCCTAGAATGTACAATGGACGAGACCCTGACTGTGTTATTGCTCTCAGGACCCGATCTATCTCGGGCATTACCCGGAGTATCTCGGCGTCATGTTGGGCGATCGGCTCCCGACATTCACGCCCGAAGAGCTCACCGTTGTGAAAGGCTCCTCCGAGTTCTATGGCATGAATACATACACCACCAATCTTTGCAGTCAGTCCTTTCTTTTACATCATCACGCTGCGTGAACCCTGCTTTACACCCTCCTGTCGCCCAGAGGCTGGTGGAGAAGACGAGTTCCAGGGAAAGGTCCAATACACATTTACTCGGCCTGACGGGACGCAGCTCGGTACCCAAGGTGAGCAGCATTGCTTCAACGCGGAAAGCAGCGATGTGACGTGATTTACGCAGCACATTGCGCCTGGCTCCAAGACTGTAAGATTCCGGATCGCCTGCTTCCAGTAGATCCTAATTCAATCGCTCATAGATGGGCCCGGGTTCCGCGATCTACTTAACTATCTCTGGAAGGTAGGTATCTATGTTTCCCTAATGCAAATGGCCGTTGATCACTGACGATTCTGCGTCTCACAGCGCTATGGCAAGCCCATCTAGTGAGAATGTCCCGTTGCTTTGTCTCAAAACGTACCCTGGCTAACTACCCTGACTAGCGTGACCGAGAACGGGTTCGCCGTCAAAGACGAGACGAGCAAGCCCATTGAGGAGGCGTTGTCTGACAAAGACCGCGTGCACTACTTCCAGGGCACGACATCTTCGCTGCTCGCTGCCGTGAACGAGGACGGCGTTGACATCCGGTCCTACTTCGCGTGGAGTAGGTCACCGCATCGTCTCGTTGATGCGCGTCGCTGACGACGTACCTCACTCGTCGCAGGTCTGCTTGACAACTTCGAATGGTTGACGCTTCCTCCGATAGGTATTCAGTTGGGCTGACTTCGTACATGACACAGGGCGGACGGCTACACCACCCGTTTCGGGGTAACCTACGTCGACTACGACAGCCAGAAGCGCTACCCGAAGGATTCCGCGCGCTTCATCTGCAAGGTTGGCCCACCCCTTCTCCTCCCACTGTTTGTCCTTGCAGCTCGCTAACGTGGTCCACCCGAACATGACAGTGGTTCAAGGAGACCGTCGAGAAGGATGAGCCCCCCGCACCGCGGCGCAAAGGCCCGCTCGCCGCGCTGGCGGCGCGCCTGGTCAACGCTGTCAAGGCTTGAGTCTGAGCTGGGTGCCCGATGTTGTGCGGTGAGCAGGAAGGAGCATCTATTATCGATACGGACATTCATATACGGATGTACTATGTGTATGTATACACGCTACATGTGACCGAGAGGCGTTGGGTGATCTTCTAGTGAAGGCTCTCACAAACCTGTGTCAAATACTATGCGGTTTGCCAAATCTTTGCTCTAGGCGTCGTGCGATTCGAGAATGACGTTAGAGCGCCGGGGAGAATTCATCAATTCTTTCTCCATGCTCACTAGCTCGATGCAATGGCAGACAACACATACGTTCTATGTTCGCGTAAGTAGTCACCAAGCACCTGCGCATCGATATTCATCAGCTTGTCTCAGACTCAACCCAACCCAAAACTTACGAGCCACGAATCCACATTCGGGCATACAAACTTGGCATGACCAGCTTGAGTCTACTCGGGCCGTCGCATTCAGAACGGTGTGCCAGTGTTGTGTGTGGATTTGTGGGCGTCAGCCCCGAGTCACGGTCAAGTTGGGAGTTGTTCGATCATCGTGTATACGGTACTTAGTACTTGGCGACATATCACGAAGGTGCCTCAAGAGCGATATTGGCTCTAGAATCCGTGTATCTTGTTATCAGCTTGACGACGTAGGATAGAATCGGAGCGTCTCATCCTCCACCGTATACACTCAGCCTGGATTGGCCGGTAGTCGAGCGTGGGGCTCTGATGTTCTGGTAGTACCCGGTGACATTCATGATTACGCCCTGATCCTGTGTCGGCGTCGCGGTGAACGCGAAAAAGCAAAGACAAATGAGAAAATGAAAGACACACCGCAAGCAAGCCATTGAGGACGTACTGGCCGCCATACTCGCCCTCGTGCGACATGCCTCACCCAAAGAAAGGTCCGAACGGCAATGGTGCATCGTAATGTAGTCGCTGTAGTCGCCTCGGGAGAACGTTGGCACGCTCGAGTGGGACCTGTTGGTCATCTGTGCAGCAGATGTCAACTCACAGTCAGCCTGAATCGATATCGTTAGTTACTTACATCCCTTCGCACACGGCCCTCGACCATCATCGGCAGCGGAACGTGATATGCACTCAACGTAGATTAGGTATGTTGTGCAGCAGTAGGTAGCATCACTATAGTATGACAAGGTGATAAGGCCCATTAGTATAGTAAGATGAGTAAGTGTCCAGAGTCCCTGCTAAATTAGCCCAAAGTATGAGGGAAGCTTCGACCACAATCCCTTTTGTATGGCGTGCATCCTCGTTGTCAACTTCGGAGAACATTCGCCGCAGATGGTATATCTGGTACTAGTACACAGGGTGGGGATGCATCTCAATATTCGTCCCCACATCTCAACAGGCTGTCGCGACGACACCAACATTCGTCCGTCTTCCCACCACGCTCTGCCTAAGTCTGCCCAGAGTAGTCTCATGCCCGGCAAGCACTGACCGACATGATCGCCCGAAAGGCCGAAACCGTCCACCGCTGGGACGGATAGCACCGCCCTGCTGTGGAAATCGCGTATCTGCTCGAGCCCGCGGACGAACCGCGCGATGTCAGCTCGCGGAAGTTCCTCGAATACACGGTCATACTCGTCGACCTTGAATTCGGCGCACGTCAATGCATAGAACAGAGGTGTCAGAACCTCCACGTCGTTGCACCCGTCTTCCCTGAGCAATATGATGATGCGAGCAGGGTGGATGAGCGGCGAGGCTTTCGCACCAGCGGTAGGATCTCCCTGGACATTTGTTGCTGGACCACCCCCACCACCAATAAGTCCGAAAAGTCTGGGCACTCGACTGAGACCGTTCCTTTGCTCCAGTAAAATTTTTGCGTCATGCGCATCCAGATCGGCAGGCCACTTCCCTCTGATCAGAGTATAGATCTCCGTGAGGGTGCGCTCGATGCGATACTTCGTGGACATGCGAAATATGCTTGTCACCAATGAGAGCTCGTCGGCGACCAATTCGAGGCGATCCACGCGACTGCACGGCAGTTCACACCAGGCACATCAGATCCACAACACCCACGAGCAGTGAACTAGCACTACTCACAGGTCATTGTACACGATCTTCAGCAACGTTTCTACGTCCTCCTTTGTATGGTCCAGCGCGATGTGGAGACACCCACGCAAGACGTCTGGCTTGCGGTCTTCCTCCCCGTTCGTCTCGAGCATCTCGCGCAGTACCGGCGAATTCTTGGACAGAACCGAGCGATGCGCGCGGAATAACATATTCTCGCAGCTGAGGATGACATTGCCGTCATCGTAGTAGAGCGAAGGGTGCTCGACTACCGCGCTCTCATCGGTGTTGCCGTCCAAATCGTCCGGTCGTGGACGTTTGCGGCTCGACTGTGCTGCGTTCTGTGAAGACATATAGAAGCAAGAAGATGGGGAAGGCCGCAGTGTTCAATTGGAATCCCCTCTTCCTCCAGCTCCTCCTCCTCCTCCCAGTTCTGAGCGAATTGGCGCGTTGGATGCTCCGGCTCTGCTGGCGCCCGAGGGAGTTATGAGTGAGAGTCGCAAGGATGCAGGTAGCTTTGGCTTAGTACGCTGCACACGTCGTTCCTCGGGGTGTAGCACGAGAAATGAGGGCAACGGAGTCTTCAAAGCGGCCTGAGAGGCGAGACACAAGCGAGATGCATAAGTTGAGTACTTTCCTTTTTCGGAAGTGGTGTCACCACGTGACTGACGCGTCGCGCGACGCGCCGGTCCTCCTTCCGCGTAGCCACAACCCATCTACATCCACCCCTCTTCCGCGCCTAGTAAGCTATGCATCTGCTATGGTCATGCATGACCGTGCGCCTGCCACCGGTATCCGATGAGGTGCGAGACAATCGACCCCTAGGCTCGTGCGTTAACTGTCTGTACAACAGTGAGAATAGACACAGTAGCCTAGACATAGACAAGTGGGGGCCTCTCCTAGTGTATGATGTCAAGCGCAACTGGCGCGTCACGGTTGAGTGACTAGCTGCTGAGTGTCCAAATGAAACATCATCAGTCCTCCCATACTGCACTACTTCTGCACTATTAGTGCATAGTCCGACCTAACAAACACATGAATTTTCGAAGTGGTAACAGACGAGCGGTGTTATCTTAACTTGACCATGAGCTCGTCTTCATAGACAGAAGCATTCAGCGAGGATTGGCGTAACGAGATGCGAGACGAACACACCATATACAGCTTCGCCGAGCTTGCGCCAACTTGCAGTTGAATTTCCCCCTCGGTGATATACCAGAGCTGGCGCTCTGTGCTCCACAGCGAAAGGTCCTTGCGCCGCAGCGCAAATGTCGCTGTGCGTGTCTCACCAGGCGAGAGGGCCTTCAGCTTGTCGAAGCCCCGCAGCCAGATCCCAGGGCTGTCTGGGAATGTAGCATACTGCAAGGAGAACGCTCGGAGGATTAGTAGCTACCATGGTGCGAGACACAACGAGAACGCACCAGCTGAGCGGCTTCGGACGCAGTGACGTTCCCTGTGTTCGTCACCTGCGCCGTCACCTCCGCAATGATATCGTACAGACTGTTGCTCCCGTCGCTGTCCTCGAACGGCTCATTCGTCTTCTGGATCGTGCTGTTGTCCGCCTCGTACACGCTCCGAACGGAGATATTGTTGTAAGCAAACGTGGAGTACGACAGGCCGTAGCCGAATTCGAAGCGCGGCGTGATGTTGTGCGCACTGAACCAGCGGTAGTCGATCAGCGTCGACTCGGTGAAGTTGGCTTGTGGATTGAGGACCGGATCATCCGAGATTGTGTTCGGGGGATAGTCGTCGAGAGAGCGGCCGATCGTGTAGGGCAACTTTCCACTTGGAGAGACGTCGCCGAACAGTACATTAGCGATGGCGTCGCCGGATTCTTGACCAGGGAAGTGGGCGGCGACGACAGCGGTCACGTGGGGATTGTCGATCCATGCCTCCACGAGAACGGGGCCGCCGGCGCTGGGCTCAGTCAGCATCTCAGTACGCCAGTCAAGAATACCGGAAACTCGTACTGTATGACCACGATGGTGTTGTTGCAAACTGCCGCGACGGTTTCGATCAGTAATTCCTCATCGTGGTCACTGTCGCAATCAGTCAGCTGGAAGACATGGTATCGTCTGCGAAGACCTACAGATAGAGAGTAGCACGGTCCACGCCCTCCATCGTGTACGCACTCACGAACACAATCGCAACATCCGCCATGGATTCCGCCACGGTATACGCGATCACGTCGTACGCCGTATCGTTGAACACCGCGTAGACCTGCGAGTTCATCCGGCGGGCACGATAGTTGATCGCCTCGTAAGGCGTAACGATGGTCGGTGGGATCGCCCAACCCGAGCCTCCACCCAGGGTGAGCGTGCCGTTGATATTCCAGGTGGGGTACTCGTTGTCGCCCCCGCCGTCCAGCGCCCCAGCTCATTCGCACCTGCGTCCGTCCCGATAATCGCTAGCACCTTCGGCGCGCGCAGGGGAACGCGCCGTCCACGTTCTTGAGTAGTGTCGCGGAGTCCTCGCCGATCTGCCTGATGAGCGCCATTGTTTCAACTTTCCTGACGTCGCGCCAGTACACGTCGTCCGTGATGTAGACAGGATCGACATTGAAGGTGACAGCTGGAGGTGGATTGTCTGCCTGCCCAGAAAAGATCCAAGGAGTTAGGAGGCGAATGGCCTAAGTAGGTTGTCAGTTAATCATGGATGGTGCCAGAGAGCTTGAAAGGGAGTGTTTGGACGTACTGCATCGTCCACTCGAGACTCGGAAACAACGCCGGATTCGACGTACGGAATAAGACCATCCCCCCACCACAGACCAAAGATTCCGAGGAATGCGACGCCAGGCATGGCGATATCGAGTCCACCGTTAATGAACTCTGTATCACTCCAGACCCCTCCCTGAATAAAGACCACTGTCGGCGCGGACACTAAGAGGATTGATCGCGCGATAGACATACCCAATCTGACATTATACCGCCCTGGAAGTTAAGCTATATGCGGGCGAGGTCAACCTAGTACGGGTTATGGCGTGTAGTCCCACGTACCTCGCCCTTCAGGATGTTGTTCTGGGTGTAGGCATTGGCACATGCATGTGTCTCGTTGACTTCGTTGTACGAGCTATGCGAAGTTCAAACCGTCCTCAAACAATGTGGCGCAGGCAGAAGCCAATCCAGCACCTACCACATAACGTAGCCAGTACCGGCGCGGACTGCTTCAGCGAACCCCCACAAGTACAGCTATGCGGGATATGAGTTCAGGCATGCGGAGAAAGCAATTCGCAACTTGTACCTCATGTAGGGCCTTATTGTCGATGTTCGATGAGATGGGAGCTTGGATGTTAATAGGATCAATCACATCCAACACCGAGTAAGGATTTCTGAGCAACAAATTTCAAGACGGCTCAGGGAGGCGATGAAGCTCATCTACTAACCGGAAAGTCTCTTGCTCATAGCCGACGTAGTGCTTCGCTGTGGTAAGTACACCAGCGTCTTGCATGCCTTTGACGGTGGCGTAGGCAGCTTCTCCAGTGGCATATGCGTCATCGAAGAACCCCTCAAAGTTACTACGTAGGCGGCATATGGGCCAACGGAGTTCAATTTGTGAGAAGGATACGACTCACCGGCCACCACGCGGACTGCGTCCGAGAGGTCCACCCGTGACGGGAGACAGCGCAATATTAACACCCCTTCGAAACAATATGAGCACTCAACATTCGGATGGCTACCCCGATGGAACATGCTCACTGATCGAAGAATTCCTGTCCCATGGCATGGCCGCGTTGATATATCAGATCCCTGTCCCAGGTCGCGGCAACAGCCTGCCCCGCGGGGAATTGGGACACGCCCAGAACGGGGCGCACCCCGGCGGGCCCGTCCTCGAGACAGAGTGCAGGGACGCCAAGTCGTTCGACCGCGCCCGTGTTACCGACACAACGACCATCGTGGCCTGTGATGAGATTGACCTTCTCCTCGAGCGTCATTTGGGCGACGAAGGCTTGGGCGCGCGAGAACGCGTCTTTCCATGCGTTCCCACCAGTCGCGTTGGCTGGCAGTGCGGATAAGATTTTACTTTCGCGGGACGCATAAACTGTGGTACGTACGTGCTGGCCATGCCTCGGGCGAGTTGTCGGAGAGCGTGGTTGAGCCCGCACCGTCGCGCAGGAGGATGTCACCCAACGACAGTGTGACAAAGAGTGAAAGAGTGACAATGAGCAAGGAGAGTACTGTTGAATGCATATTGTGACAGCTTAGAGAGGTTCAACCGAGTTACAGGGATGCCCGAACGAGACCTCGTCTCAATGCATCCGGGTTGCGAGCCCTAGCTTCGCCGCGGTCTTTAGGAACCAGGGAACGCTCACGATGCGCAGCCTGAGGTAGACAATCATGTGTAAGTGCCGAGTCATGCGGCTGGATCATCAGAAGTACTGCCATACGTACGTTGTGCCGTGACAGAATGACTGTATGCGCCTTGTGATCAGCGAGGACCTTCGGATGTCTCAGTCGCCAGCGGGGATCACCAGCGTGTATAAGATCCGGGTTCCGAACGTCAACGTTTGACAGTCGTCAAACGGGCTATGGCGGTTGTGTGCGAACGTGCGCGCGGTGACCTCAGAAGAAGAGTAAGTTGAGGAAGGTCTCAAGGTATCTATCACAAATCAGAAGGCCGCGGTTTCTGCTGCAGAGGAGTATGCCCATGAAAGAACCATACCGCACGCAATCCGTCAGCGCGTGAGCTCCCGTGAGTGACGTCCAGCGAAGCGCCTCAGGTGTATGCGATACAGTATATCGACGCCGCCGGCGGACAGCCTGAGCCTCGCTACCAGTGGCACGACCGGCCGTGACGCTGCTTGCCAATATTGACGACCACCAAAAAAATGAGGCACCGTACCCTGGGCCTGAGCTTGAGGCTTGATGCGATGGTAATGAGGAGAGAGGTCAATATTCAGAGCTTCAGTCGTCGACACTTGATAGTGTATACATTATGAGTTTCGCCGCCGTGACAACCGACGGGCGTCGTGTCACTGATCACATGACTGTGACCGACGCGTCGAATGCTTTGCGACCGTCACTCCTACATACGCGAGTTGCTCTCCCTTGTGTCTCTCAGGCCGCTTACTTGAAGACTCCTTTGCCCTCCTTTGCCCGCGATACTCCCTCAGGCCGCACAAACTACGTGTGCGACGTATCAAGCAGAAGCTACCGGATACATCGCGTCTCTCCCTCATAGCCCACCGTCTCTTTGGAACGGAGCTAATTCATCGAGCATCCGACATGCCCAATGGCCAACAACCGGGAGTACATCCTTCCCCGCATTCTTCCCTCTCTTAACCCCCATGGGCACAGCCCAGCTAAGTTGCAAACGTCCACGACCGGACAATTCGGAAGATAATAACTAGTCCGGGAATAACGATGATAACCTAGTGGTCAGCACCCCTCGCTCTAGATCTATGACGACGGCAGCGTCACTCTCAGCTGCGAACACATGTTGTTTTGTGCGCATCGCTCAATGTTGGCCAAACACTCCCTCGTCCTCCGCGAGATGCTCGAGCTAAGGGTGCAGGAGAACCGCAAACCAGCCGTCTTGCACGGATATCCCTGCATCGCGCTAGACGATGCAAGGGAGGATGTACAAACGTTGTTAAAGATTGTTTACAACGACCGGTGAGTGCTACCTCCAATTGTGGGCAGTTTTGAACTGACGTGAATGGTGCTACTATCGTGCAGTCGCGTGGATCGCCTGAGATTAGCGGCTGACGAACTCCCATTGCTACCCAGCACTTTTCGCATGGCCACACGATTTTGCATCGAGCACACCCTCGCTGAGGCTTGCACTCTGATCAAAGAGAGGTGGCCTTCCGATCTGGATGCATATGATGCAAGGGTCATGCTGGAGGAACGGTCTCAGTCGAGTGCCCAGAATTCGCGGGCTTCCTGGCGGGGATGATCCAGTGGTAAATATTATGGGAAACCCTACCGCTGTCCCGCCGTTCATCCACCCTGCCCGTCTCATCACACTGCTCATGGAAGATGGGTACAGCGACGTAGATGTCCTGACCCCTCTGTTCCATGCGCTAACGTGCGCCGAAGTCAGGGTTGACGAGTGTGATCATGCACTCGAGACACTCCCGCGAGCTGACATCGCGCGGTTCGCCCGTGGGCTCGAACTAACGATGGCTTCAGCTTTCTGGGTGGTCATGTCGATCGGTACTGGCCGGGTAGTATGAGACGACTCAGGGCGGACTTGGCAGAGTGTGCTCGGAAAACGGACAGATGTTCGCATCGGCGCTACAGCCTGTTGTGACGTGGGGCTTGCTTGTAACGAGCCTAACATCTACCTCCACCCATTTTACCAGGTCTGGCGTCTGTAGTGACCGCTCTACAAAGTTGATGATTACGAGGATACACAACATCATTCGGAGACTGGTCGAAGCTTCCCTCATATTTCGGGCTGATTTAGAAGAGAGTCGGACATGTAAGTACTGTGATATTCAATAGATGGTATCGCCTCGTATTGGCAATTTATCCCATGCAGTTGAATTGAGACCGCCTGGCTGCAGCTGCAGATCGGCCCGGGAGTCTGCAGCCTGAGCGATGCAAGCACTGGCATACGTTGAGTACTTTCCATTTCTGGAAGTGACAGGGGCCACACATATCACCACGTGACTGACGCGTCGGCCGGGTCGCACGACGCGCCGTCCGCCTATCCAAGTTGTCTTTGCCACAACTTTGCCATCCGACCGCCACGAGTGAGGATAGCGACGGGATGGCTCGAAAATCCACGGCCTCGTCTGCATCAACGACCACTGCAAGAAAACGGAAGTCAACAGGGGACATACCCAATGATGCGTCGACGAAGGATGTTAAACGGCCACGCACGACGCTCGACAGTTTCTTCTCCCCGCAGGTTAGTCCCCCCCTCCCCATTTTACCTCGGATGGATTCATTAATGCATGAGTAATGCTTGATAGGTTCCCGTGTCGAGCAGCTCGAAGGGCGACCCAGATGCTGGTGCCCGAGACTCTGTGGCGCTGAATGACGAACAGAGGAAGGTTCTCCGGATGGTCGTAGACGAGGGAAAGAACGTCTTCTTCACTGGTGCAGCTGGTAAGCACTTTATTGTAACTCTACACATTGACCCTCACGTCGGACACGTCAGGCACTGGGAAGAGTTTGCTCCTGAGGGCCATCATATCCGCTCTGCGCAGAAAGCACGCGAAGAAGCCGGAGGTCGTCTCCGTCACTGCGAGCACGGGTATGGCTGCTTCGAACATCGGAGGTACGTGCCCATCCGTGAAAGTTGTGTGAGTGGCGGCGTGCATTGGCACTGACCGGCCTACGCATACAGGGATGACAATCCACTCGTGGGGCGCTGTTACGCCTGGCATGACTAACATCGAGAGGCAAATTAGCTGTATCAAGACCTGCAAACCAGCTTTTCAGCGCTGGAAGACGACCAAGGTGCTCGTCGTCGATGAAAGTGAGTGCGCGCCCGTGCCGGTTCTGTTTTCGTCTCACCCATTGTCTGTAGTCTCTATGGTGGATGGAGAGCTATTCGAGCTGCTCACTTCCCTTGCTGACAGGCTGCGGAGGAAGACAGACAAACCATTCGGGGGTATTCAGGTTCGTCAAAGCATACGCTGGTATCTGCCTTCCTGAAGCTTCATCCCATAATAGCTCGTCATCACTGGCGACTTCTTCCAGCTACCGCCAGTCACAAAGTCAAACAAGGAACCCTTCTTCGCTTTTGAGTGCGAGGCTTGGCAACGCTGCGTCGATCACATTGTCACCCTGACTCAAGTGTACCGGCAGAAAGAGAGCAGTCCGTCGCATTCTGTCTGTCACCCCCTGCGATAGCTGATGAGTTGTCTTTAGATTTCGTCGAGCTACTGAACGAACTCCGAAGAGGAACAATCTCCCACTCGGCGCAACGCACGTTCTCCTCGCTCTCCCGGCCACTCACGCCGCTGCCCAGCGGGCTCCTGCCGACAGAGCTGTACCCGCTCCGGTCGCAAGTCGAGACCTCGAACAACGGCAGACTGGCGAAGCTGCCCGGGTCGACGCGGGAGTACGCCGCGCGCGACTCGGGGAGCAACTCGAGGATCCTGGAGCAGATGGTCGCACCCGCCCGGCTGGTGCTCAAGCCAGACGCGCAGGTCATGCTCGTCAAGAACGTGGACGAGCGACTGGTGAATGGCTGCGTCGGGCGCGTGCTTGGCTTCTTCGGCGTCAGCGTGTGCAACGCCTCCGCGAGCGCGCCCGAGAGCCAAGGCGCCAAGCCGAAATCAACGTCGCAGGAGTCGAGCAGCAAGAACGGAGGCGGCCTCGTGCGGAACGTACAGGTAGGCGCGGACGGGCGGACACCGACGGCGCTGGGTGCACCGGGGAAGGAGAACGTAGACGAGGAGAAGAAAGACGTGAAATCGAAGAGTGTAGCGAAGGACGAGGAGCTATTCCCCCTTGTGGAATTCAGAACGGCGCATGGCACGGAGATCGTCCTGTTGGGCCGCGAGGAGTTTCGGGTGGAAGATAACGAGGGGAAGCTGCTTGCGCGGCGTGTGCAGGTAGGTTTTGCCATGGACAGATTAGATACTTTAGATACTTGTCAGGTGCTGAGGATGTACAGGTCCCTCTCGTCCTGGCATGGGCTATGTCCATACATAAGAGCCAAGGACAGACCATTGAACGCGTCAAGATTGACCTTGCTCGGGTTTTTGAGAAAGGTGCGTAGGCGTGGCCCATGTAGGGTCTAAGGCTGAATTCGCGCAGGTCAGAGCTACGTCGCGCTCTCCCGCGCAGCTACCCTCGACGGCCTACAAGTAGTCGGGTTTGACGCTAGGAAGGTGCGCACATGGGATCATACTCGGCTTCAGCGAGTTTCAGGCTCATGGCATGCTCAGGTAAAGGCACACCCGAAGGTCGTAGAGTGGAGTGCCAAGTTGGAGCAATTAAGCACGAGCTCAGAGCAGTGAATAATGAAAGGGCAGACGGCACTTCGAGAGCGAATTCTTGTTCATTTATTGGTAAATTACCGAGGTAGAAACATACCCACTCCACGGACTTCATACGTTACTTCTACAGTACTTACTCAGATATGTGACATACATACTGACCAACTGCGCAACCTTTTTATTTGTATACGAGCAATACTGGGCGTCGAAACTGAGACATTCGTGTGCTAAGATCTGCTATGCATATGCACTGTCACAAGCGTGCTGCCAAATAGTATGAGGAACGTCATCTTCGGTAGTTCAGCTTTGCAATCACACACGCACCATAGAATTCCGCGTGCCCTCAACTGTGGGAATCGAGAGGATAACAAGGCGTCCCAATGCTGGGCGTCCAGCACGACCCCGTTACGGGCACACAACAGGCCGATCCGCAGTGTTTTCAGAGTGGAGAACTCGGGGCGACACAGCAGGCGATCTATCTCCAGGCAGATTGGCTCGCTGAGGAATGCGGCAACAATGCCGAGTAACTTGGAAGTGGTAATCGACGGTTCCTCTTGTACTCCACGTACGCTGGAGTAAGTAGGATCTGTGTAAGCTTCTTGCTTGTGGCCGTCAATAGTACTAGGTGTAGCCAGGTACATGCAGGGACCTGTGCATCGGATGGGGTGATGTTACGGACGTATAACCCAAGATGGAGCATCTTGAGACTTGAGTTTGAAGTAATGTCGACGTTTGCCGCTGACGGTGACCCGGTGAGAGTCGTGCAGCAAACACACACCACTCTCCCCACTCACCCAATATATCAAATGCAACTGTCGTGTCCATGTCAACTCGCCGTACATGAAAGACATCCTTTCGCAGCCGTGTGAATTTAAATTTCGGCTCTGCAGACGAGGCAGTATAGGGAATAGTGTGAGTCAATCCCCGCCAATACCAACGGAGTGAATGGGAGGAAAAGCGGCTCCTGCTGTCAGCTATCCACCGTATGTGGACTTCCTGACCACAGGACCCCAGCCTATACCAGTGAACAACACGAGGCGCCACCGTCGATTGCATTAAACCATTGGCAAGACTGATCCGTAGAAGTCTCCGTTCATCTTGAGAGGTCCGATACCCTGTGCAGTAAAAACTGAGTACGTAAAAACGCACAAACAAAGGTGAATGTTCACTAGATATGACCCATACCTTAAGGTCACATCCTATGTGCAACTGCGCAATCTCGAGTTGAATTACCTATATTGGAATGATCCCGTTGTTTACCCCGGATGCTCTTAGCCCAAGGGCCGTGCTAACACCACACGCATTCCTGCGATTCATTTTGATCAGCAGGTTCGTAGGCAATTGCATATCGTTCGATGCTTACGCCAATGTGGATCGTCTGGACAGGCATGCGGCTTTAGCGTTTCCCCGGCATGGCGGATTGAATTGAGCAGCAGACCTCGCAGTCAAGCATATGTGGCACGTACAATGACAACCTCACAGAACTCCAGAAATAAGGGTCAGACGGGTCTGTTATGAATTACCGTCCAACAGTGTCCTCGCCACGTGCACAGCTCAAAGCGGCACCCCATTCAGAGTGTACTTTGAGGATCAACACAAAAGACGAAGACGAGCGAATCATGGAAAGACGCACCTCGAACAGACCGTTGAGGACATGCCGGCCGCCATACTCGCCCGCGTGCGAGATGCCTTACGATGACATGTACCTGACATTATACGTCCATGACCTGAATGCATCAGCATCATGTCCAACTCGTTGGTCCACCTGTGTATGATAGTAGACTCATCATACTTGTCACTGGTAGCCTGTGCTGTAAAATTGTGGACAGCGATCGTGAGTTGTCGATGATATCGTACTTAAACGTACCGGTCAGATCAAAGCGCACTTCAAGGCTTCGATCCCAGCCTGCGACTTGCATCGCTATTGAATAGTGCGTTGCATACTTGTTTATCCCACAAATGTCAGTACTTCATGATTTGAAGCCAGTGATTTCACGTAGGATTCCAGACGTTCTTCGTTCTGCAACGTCCGGCGCGTTGTGTCCACAGTCAAGAACCTCCGGCGGGACCCGGGACACGCTACGCGCGACGTCACACGACGTCACACGGCGTCACACGCCACGCTCTCCCCGCGCCTCTCTCAAAGTCAAACTCCAGTCCTGCAACCTGCACCATCTTGCTGTATCATATTCACCGTTCCCGACACATTCGCGGGACCGTATTTACCGCACTACAAGGCCCTTGGAGTTTGAACCAGCACAAATATGTCAAGCGAATCGACGGCGAAGCCGACGTCGAGCGAGAACATCGTCGCGCAGAAGGTGCGTGTTCTACCACGGGAAGAGTGTAGGGAAACGCTAACAGTCGTCTTTGTGCGTTTTGGTCTAGTATGACCGCTGCTGTGGGTGTCCTACGCCTGTGTTGCTGCCCGGCGACTGACGGCGGATTCGTACATGCATGATCGCTACACGTTCGCTCTGCCGTGTTGGACGCTTCCGCTGACATTCGATGCGACCTTCCTGACATTCTCCCCTCGATTACCCTCCTTTTGCAGTGGCGGACCTTGTTGTGAAGTCGTACGTGTCGTTTGCTCTCACACGATATATGGCCCTCTCATGCTTCCCTCTCGTTCCGTCATTCCTCGACTATCCATCCAATGCCCTCGCGTTGATGCCGATACCTGCGCTACCCATGTGCCCTCTACACGACCTCCTCAACCAATGTCACACTCCAGAGGAGTAGGCTTCAGCGTCGGTGTTATTGCCTCCGTCATCCTCTTCCGCCGTAAGCCCTACCCTTTACCTCTGCAGTCCTCCCACACGAGACTGACACACATTCCCGATGTTAGGACGAGGGTGGCCCATCGCGCTCTCGACAGGCTTCGGGGCGGGAGCTGCCTACGCAGACTGCGACCGATCTTTCAACCCCGCGCGGATACCGGGCACGCGCGTCGTCAGCGCGCAGGAGCTTGCGGCACTCGCGGCGCAGGCACAACAGCCGAAGTGAGGTGTGCGTGGAGGAACAGGACACTACGAAGCGGAGGAGAGGGAGATGGGAGCGGATAATGATGCGGGTGCCCATATGGATTGCGAGGGGATGAGTACGATACATGGTGGTCTATAGAAGCGCTTCTTCCCGTCTGCTCTAGGAGTCGTCGTGAGACTTGCTGCATGATTTTCCACCTGGGCTTCCCTGTGTTCTCCAGTAGGGCGTGCCCTGTCTGAGGTGGGACACCAGCACTGCTTGTCTCTTCTGACCCTCGTAGCTCTCCTGGAGTCCACGGGAGATTCATCACAACACGACTACTCCTGCATGAGAGCCTCCTCATCCCCGCCACCCGTGCTCCCTGCACCCGTCCCGGTCTTCCCAGTCACAGTCTTGAGAGGAATGATCCGCCTGTCTTGCTCAGAACCCGGAGGATAGACAGCGTCTGCTCTCGGAAGCGTGCGCTGCGGCTCGCCCAAGACGAGCCGTTTGTAGAGGACAACTGTAACGAGAGGGCAGACGTCAGCAAGTAACGAGCGCACATGCATGGCGGAAGAGGTACACTCACAGGACGTAGCTGCCATGATAGGTACGGTGACGATGATCGTCCGGAGGCGTCGTGCCTGTGGTGATAGTTTTGGTGCCATTGCGCGAGATGAGGTCGCAGTCACCCTAGGAAGTGCTCCTTAGTCGGATGTAAGAAGATGTTATGCAAGCCATTATCACCTTCCAGTCAAGAACGTCCCATCCGGTTATGAATGCGGTGCCGGTCAAGTTTGTGGATAAGTACAAGGGCGTACTAACTGTGCCCGAAGCGGAGCGCCCTTGTATGTAGGAGGTACCGGTGAGCGCCTATGCAACGGAGGACTTGGCGAAATATACATGTGACGCACCAAGAATTCGAATGCACCTCACTGCACCATGCATATGTATGTTTCCAGTACCAACGTCCAGCTACCACCTTACATCGCTCTCGAATGCCCGACTCAAAGTCGGCTGTACGTGACAACACTCCTGATATAGGTCCTCCGGAGCCCACCCGCCTCTCGAAAGGCGAACTCAAGACCGAAGAGTATTGGTGGCGGGATCGGCAAAAATGGCTCGAAGAACAAGGCTACATGCTTCGTGCGCGGTACAAACCAGACTGGATGCCATCTTGGAAGGCGACGCACAAGCCGTACTGGAAATGCGAAGATGGACAGGCAATCATGGTACGTGAATCTCCGTCGCCTCTCCTGCCCGGCGACTTGCCCCCGAAACGACACCGACGCCCGACGCTTCAAGGTTCCCCATCTCCTTGACGCAACACGGATCCCCGACGGCGAGTCTGTTGTCTTGAAGAGAATCCTCACCACCGAGCATCCATACGAGGTCGCAATCACGCGGTTCCTGTCTTCCGAGCCGCTGGCGTCGGACTCCCGGAATCACTGTGTACGCCTATGTGATGTTCTAAACGTACCGAACGAAGATGACACGGTGATCTTGGTTATGCCCCTCTTACGCCGGTACGATAGCCCGCCTTTCGAAACTGTGGGGGAAGCAGTCGACTTCTTCAGTCAAGTCTTTGAGGTGGAGTTTCATATGGAACTTGTCGTACAGGCGCTGACTGGATTGCATGCAGGGCTTGCAATTTATGCACCATCACTACGTCGCGCATAGGTAGGCTTGCATCCAAAGTAGCTCAGCGCGTCTTCTGACCACTCCCAGGGACTGCATGAACCAGAACATTATGTTGGACCCCAAACCACTATACCCTGAACCGTACCATCCCCGTGTTATCGACTGGACCCGGGATCTCTCGCGGCCCGCCAAGCATCACACGCGGACGACACATCCGACCCAGTACTACCTCATCGACTTCGGCCTCTCGCGCAGGTACGACCCCGCAGACGGCCCGCCGCGCGAGGCGCCGATACTGGGCGGAGACAAGTCAGTGCCGGAGTTCCGCAACGCGAAGGAGCCATGCGACCCGTTCCCGACGGACATCTACTACCTCGGGAACCTCGTGCGGGAGGACTTCTTGCAGGTGGGCGGTGTCCGTGTCTGTCCGGTCGGGGATCAGGTCTGAACTGTTCGCAGACGTATCACGGCGTGGAGTTCATGCAGCCTCTCGTCGACGATATGGTGCAGGACGAGCCCGGGCGACGGCCGACCATCGACGAGGTTGTCTCTCGTTTCGTGGACATGCGCTCGTCGCTCGGCGCGCGGAAGCTGCGGTCTCGCCTGGTGGCTCGAAACGAGAACCCGGTGGAACGGGTCGTCAAGGGTGTCAAGCATGTCCTTGGGAACACTCGGAAGGTGTCTCACCCCGTCCCGACCGTGAATGGAGGGCGAGAACAGTCGCCTGCGTAGTGAGAGCCCTGCTTGTGTCCGTCAGATACCCAATAATACAGCGCACCCGCCTGATGTGTACGCCGCTGTGCCCCCGTTTCACGTTCGGTATGTTGCGGCATCGACGCTGAATGATTGTCAGTGAAAGTAAGTGGGATACGGTTCGTTCAGGCTCATTGTAGCCTCACCAAGTATCGCCGCTGTCTGAGACGATTCTAATCGCACACCACGCGACAGCCCTGAACTGGTGTCCTTCAGCTGTTCATAGTACTCAAGCTTTGAGCTCACACAGCAGCGTCTGTCTGGTCAGTGTTCCTTCATCTAGACTCGAGCGCGAATTGACGACCTGCATCTCTGCCATCGGACAACATTGGTCATTGCAATCATGTGTCCCTCTACTGGTTGCGCTCCCCCGCTCCCTCAAACGCCTCGTACCGCACAGCAATATTTAGCGCCCGTAGGCGGGACCCCTACGGCGTACGCTCGCGCTCCACAAGGGTGATGTTCCGTCGGGGAGGGTTGAGAGGTGTGGGCGCCGTCTGGGAATCCGTCGGCGCCCCTCCACCCGAGCCCGGGTCCAAGGCCCTCCGTTGTCGACGGAATGAGCTGGTATGGCAAGCGTCTCAAAGAATGTCGTGCTATGGTCTTCCGTATGTCACCTATGGTAAAATGAGGTATATATACGCGGTCAGGATCGACCACTCACCCCGGCATCAGACCAAGTATCTAGCCCAGCAGTCGAGACCGCAACACCCAAGTCATCGTATAGAATGGATCCCGAGAACAAGCCTCAAGGACCATCTCCCAATTACTCTCTGTACCAGCGAGAGATTTTCAAGCATGGCGGTGAGACTGGCCAGTGTACGTCGTATGCTACTTGACCCCCATGTAGCATTGGCCCGCTGACTCTATCGCGCATTCTGCTTCAGTGCCGACGTTCTCCGTCCACCCCGACGAGCTCCAGGAATCGACGAAGAAGAAGCTCAACGACAGGGGCTACTTCTATGCCAACTCGAATGCCGGTATCGGATGGACCGACCGGGCGAACAGGGAGGCATTTTACCGCTGGCGCATCGTTCCGCGCACCCTCGTGGATACTAACGTCCGGGATCTGACGAGTGCGTACTCCGCGTGACCTCAGTACGCAGTATGTGGTTGACCACATTGATCCAGCCACGATTTTCGGACACAAGATCCCCGCTCCCGTCATGTTCGCACCAATTGGCATCAACAAACTATACCACCCACTGGGAGAGTTCGTGCCCGCGAAGATTGCGGGTGAACTCGGTATTCCGGTAGGCATCGACTTCAGCACTGGCGTCTGCTCACGCTGAGTTCCTTGTCGGTACGCAGTACGCTCTGTCCACCGCAGCGTCCCAGTCAATCGAGGAAGTCGCGAAGGTGAACGACCTGGCCGCATCTATCAAGAACGAGAGCAACAGCGTGCACACGTACAGCGGACCGAACGGGGGCGACGCGCAGGGCCCGCGATTCTTCCAGCTCTATATGGGTCATGACGACGATATCGTGAGCATGACGGCTAAAATTGGGCAATCCATCCTAATGCACGCTTCGTGCATAGACTCTTTCGCTGCTAAACCGCGCGTGGAAGTCTGGCTTTGACGTGCTCATGCTCACAACAGACACCTGGCAGCTTGGCTGGCGTCCCACTGACATCAACATCGCAAATTACACGTTCTACTACGAGAATACGGTTAGCCCGGAGTTCCTGATGCTTCAGTAGAACGCCGCTGACTCAGATACTGTGATCGCGAAGCCGGGCAACGCGACAGGCCTTTCCGACCCTATCTTCATGCAGAAGCACGCAGAGAACCTCAAGAAAGACTCCGGCAAGTGGATTGACCATAGCGTCTGGCATGGCAAAGCCCACACCTGGGAGAAGATTCGCTGGCTCATCGGCGAGGTCAGTTTTGTCCATGCTTTCCAGGCTGTATGCTCATATTTGAGATAGTGGAAGAGGATCTCAAATGGACGGCCGTTCGTGATCAAGGGAATTCAGTGCGCTGAAGACGCACTCAAGGCATATGACGTCGGCTGCGAGGGCATCGTCGTCACGAACCACGCCGGGCGCCAGGTCGATGGTGCAGTCGGGAGCTTGGAGGTCCTGCCTGAAATTGCTGAGGCAGTTGGAGACAGTACGTTGTTCACTATGAGTTCATTCTTCCGGCTCAAGGAGTGTGCGACGTCCACTGTAGAGATGACCATCATATTCGACTCGGGCGTGCGCACGGGCGCCGATGTATTCAAGGCGATTGCGCTGGGTGCGCATGTCGTCGCCCTCGGACGGCTCTTTGTGTGGGGCATGTCGCACGAGGGCGAATATGGCTGTCGGCATGTCATCAAGAGTTTGCTTGCGGTGCGATAGTCCCCTGCTCGTCTCTATCCTATTCATAGTTGCTGACCCTGATGTAGGATCTGGACATACTCATGACCGTTGCTGGGTATCGGAGCATCGCAGAGGACGTGTACAACAACCGAAAGGCACTTAGGTACACGCCGAGCGGAGTGCCTCCGGGTCCGCACGAGCATGCCACGCTGTGATTTGTAGATGTAGCGAGGATGTTGTTCGCCAGTAATCTGAGACAAATCTCATGCCCATTTCGTGCACATCCCCGGCAATAACTTGTCGTCCAGCGCGATGCGGGGACACCCACGTAAGACGTCTGGCTTGCGGTTCTCCCGCACCCTTGCTAGCTCGAGCATCTCGCGGAGGACGGGGCAGCTTTTGGACAAAATCGGGCGATGCGCTCGCAGCTGAGAATGGCGTTGCCGTCGTCGTAGTAGAGCGAGGGGTGCTCGACTACTACGCTATCGATCTCATCGTTATGTCCGGACCCGTTGTTATCTTCCGAATTATCCGGCCGTGCGCGTGTGCGACGCAACTGCGCTGTGTCTATGCGAGTTCAAGAAAGAGAAAGAACACGTGGTGGACTAGCACGTCGGATGCTCGGTGAACTAGGTCCGTTCGAGGAAGAGACGATGGGTTGGAAATGAGAGACGCAATGGATCTGCTAGCCATGGCTGAGTACGTTGCAAACGAAGATTATGCGGCCTCATGGATCTCACGAGAAAAGGAAGGCAAAGGTTGGGCAAAGGAGTCTTCAAGTAAGCGGCCTGAGAGTCAGCAACAAGCAAGACTGGCTCGCGTAAGAGTGACGGGTCGCTGCCGGTCGCAAACACAAAGCAATCGACGCGTCGGTCACGATCATGTGATAGTGACAACACCCGTCAGTGTCACGGCGACCCCGGGCCAACGGCCACGACTTAAGTAACTTACTTTCCTTCTAATACCGAACGTCGACCCCCTCGAGCACATCTGCTAACGGATGAGACCTCTCCCTCGCTGCATTCGCATCAATTATCAAGGGTACGGGTGCCTCATTCTTCATTCGTTGAATAAACTACTTGTCAATATTGGCAAGCAACGTTGGAGTGAGGCCGCAGCCTGAGTATATGCACAGGCGCATGACTCCCTGAATGCTACAGTATCACGGGGGCTGACGCGCTCACAGATTGTGTGCGGTAGCTTTCATAGACATACTCCTTCGCAGCGAAAACCGCCGCCTTCTAATTCGGAATAGACACCTCAAGACTGCTGAACCTGCTCTTCTTAGGTCGCAGCGTGCACATTCGCACATGACTACCCTAGGCCGCTTGATGACTGTGCTAGACTTGTCATAGTCATAGTCGACATCCTCGCTCCCGGAGTTTGCTCATGCTGATCATCCCCGCTGCCAAGGCATACGGGCATCACAAACCGTACGTTGCACGGCACGACATTTATGTACAGTGTTTCTGATGCTCCAGCCGCATGATCCAGTACGCATATTGTCCATTGATTGTTTACAAGCTCAGGCTGTGCGTTGGTCTCGTACCCATCCGTGTGGACGCACCCCACCACCGCCGGAGCGGTGGTGGGGTGCGTCCGAGACCAGATCCTGATGTTCTTGTTCACTGGTTCTGGTCCTAACGATCGCTGGCGGCGGCGGGGCATCGGCTCGCACCCTGATGTATTGAGGCGAGGTGGATAAATCCTCGTTCGGGCGTCCTGTAACTCGGTTGAACCTCAGCCTGTTCCACCGCCCTCTCAGCTTTGAGAATATGCGCTCAACGGTACTCACCTTACTCACTGTCACTCTTTCATACTTTGTTGCTCTCTCGTTAGGTGTCATTCTACTGCGCGACGATGCGGGCCTGACCACGCTCTCCGACAACTCGCCCGAGACATGGCCGGCACGTACGTGCCACACCTTATGCGTCTCGCGATAATGATACCTTACCCACACTGCCAGCCAACGCGACTGGTGGGAACGCATGGACAGCTGCGTTCTCGCGCGCCCAAGCCCTCGTCGCCCAGATGACGCTCGAGGAGAAGGTCAATCTCATCACAGGCCACGATGGTCGTTGCACCGGTAACACCGGCGCAGTCGAACGGCTTGGCATCCCTGTACTTTGTCTCAACGACGGGCCCGCCGGGGTGGGGCGCGTCCTGGGCGTCTCCCAATTCCCCGCGGGGCAGACTGTTGCAGCGACCTGGGACAGGGATCTGATCTATCAACGCGGCCATGCCATGGGACAGGAATTTTACGATCAGTGAGCATGTTCCATCGGGGTAGCCATCCGAATGTTGAGTGCTCACATTGTTTCGAAGGGGTGTCAACATTGCGTTGTCTCCCGTCACCGGTGGACCTCTCGGGCGCAGTCCGCGTGGTGGCCGGTGAGTCGTGTCCTTCTCACAAATGAACACCATAGACCCAAATGCCGCCTGCGCAGCAACTTTGAGGGTTTCTTCGATGACGCTTATGGCACCGGGGAAGCTGCCTACGCCACCATCAAAGGCATGCAAGACGCTGGGGTACTTACCACAGCGAAGCACTTCATCGGGTATGAGCAAGAGACATCCCGGTTAGTAGACGATCTTCACCGCCTTCTTGAGTCACCTTGACATCTGACGTTCAGAAATCCTTACGCGCCGTCGGACGCGATCGATCCTACTGACGTACAGGTCCCCATCTCATCGAACATCGACAACAAGGCACTACATGAGGTATGAGTCGCGAGGGGCTTCCTTCACACGCCTGTAATCATAACCTATATAGTTGTACTTGTGGGGATTCGCTGAAGCAGTCCGCGCCGGCACGGGCTACGTTATGTGGTAGGTGCTCGAATGGCGTCTGCGCCGCATCGTTTGACAATGATTTGTATAGCTCGTACAACGAAGTCAACGGGACTCATGCATGTGCCAATGCCTACACCCAGAACAACATCCTGAAGGATGAGGTACGTGGAACCACATGCCATAACCCATACTCGGCTGACCTCGCCTACGTATAGCTTAACTTCCAGGGCGGTATAATGTCAGATTGGGTATGTCCATATTGCGACCAATCCCTTGACGTCCGGTTTACATCGGCACTTGCCTAGGGAGGTGTCTGGAGTGATGCAGAGACCATCAACGGCGGACTCGATATCTCCATGCCTGGCGTTGCACTTCTTGGATACTTCGGTTTGATGTGGGGGGATGGTCTTGTTTCCTCCATCGAATCCGGCCTTGTTTCCGAGTCTCGGGTGGACGACGCCGTACGTGCCAGCCCTCGCTCTCGCATTCTCTGGCACCGTTCATGACTGATGGCAACGTACTTAGGCCATTCGCCTCTGACTCCTTGGATCTCTTCTGGCCAGGCAGACAATCCACCTCCAGCAGTCACCTATAACGTCAATCCCATCTTCGTGGCGGAAGACGCCCACTGGCGCGACGTCAGGAAAATCGAAACTATGGCGCTCATCAGGCAGATCGGCGAGGATTCCGCAACGTTACTCAAGAACGTAGACGGCGCGCTTCCCCTGCACGCGCCCAAAGTGCTAGCGATTATCGGGGCGGACGCAGGTGCGAATGAACTGGGGGCGTTGGGTGGCCAGGGCACGAACGAGTACCCCACCTGGAACATCAACGGCACGCTGACCTTGGGCGGAGGCTCGGGCTGGGTGATCCCACCAACCATCGTTACGCCTTACGAAGCGATCAACTATCGTGCCCGCCGGATGAACTCGCAGGTCTACGCGGTGTTCAACGATACGGCGTACGATGTGATCGCGCAGACCGTGACAAACTCCATGGCGGATGTCGCGATTGTGTTCGTGAGCGCATTCACGGAGGAGAGCGTGGATCGGGCTACTCTCTATCTGTAGGTCTCCGTACAGGTAGTGTCTGATGTTCTAACTGACTGTCGGCGACAGTGACCGTGATGGTGAAGCACTGATCGAGACCGTCGCGGCAGGTTGCAACAACACCATCGTCGTGATACAGTACGTCTTTCCACTACCGCCTGTAACAGATGCGCTGAAGCGCTCACTGAGATCAGCGCTGGCGCCCCCGTTCTCGTGGAGGAATGGATCGACAACCCAATGTTACCGCTGTCATCGCCGCCCATTTCCCTGGCCAAGAGTCTGGCGATGCCATCGCCAATGTACTCTTCGGCGACGTCTCTCCGAGTGGCAAGTTGCCCTACACGATCGGCCACTCCCTCGACGAGTATCCTCCGAACACAATCTCGGATGATCCGGTCTCAATCCCAAGCCAACTTCACCGATCGACGTGATCGACTACCGCTGGTTCAGTGCGCACAACATCACGCCGCGCTTGAGTTCGGCTACGGCCTGTCGTACTCGACGTTTGCTTACAACAAATCTCTGTTCGGAGCGTGTACGAGGCGGACAACAGCACCATCCAGAAGACGAATGAACCGTTCGAGGTAGCGACGGGAGCAACAGTCTGTACGATATCATTGCGGAGGTGACGGCGCAGGTGACGAACACGGGAACGTCACTGCATCGGAAGCCGCTCAGCTGGTACGTTCTCGTTGTGTCTCGCACCATGGTAGCTACTGACTCTCCGAGTGTTCTCCTTGCAGTATGCTACATTCCCAGACAGCCCTGGATTTGGCTGCGGGGCTTCGACAAGCTGAGGGCCCTCTCGCCTGGTGAGACACGCACGGCGACATTTGCGCTTCGGCGCAAGGATTTTTCGCTGTGGAGCACAGAGCGGCAGCTCTGGTATGTTCCCGAGGGAGATATTCAATTGCAGGTCGGCGCGAGCTCGACGAAGCTGTATCTGGTACGTTCGTCTCGCATCTCGTCGGATCAATCCTCGCTGAATGCTACTTATTGCGTTCTCAAGACGAGCTCATGGTCCAGTTGAGATAACACCGCTCGTCTCCTACCACTTCGGAAATCCTCGTGTTAGTTGGGTCGGACTATGTTTAGCGTTAAGCCAGCGCCCTAGCTAGTAAGTAGTGCAGTATGGGAGGAGGACTCTGATTGGACACTCAGCTAGTAGTGCAAGACGCCGTACACTAGGTACAACTAAATGCGTGACAGCCACCTGTCCGAGAGGCCCCCGCTTGTCTACGTAGGCAATGATCGTAGGCAATGGAAAAAGCCAGCAGGGTGAGACGGCCAACAAGAGCGGAACAATCGGTCTGTGGCTAGTGGCCTGACGGCAATTGGCCCGGGAAAGTCCTGGGCGAAACGGCGGAGGACATGATGAACAAAATGTGAATGAAGGTATCTCGTGTTTGCCATGTTACGGTCCTTACGGATGTAGCTTACGTTGCACGCGATGGCCTCAGCGGTACCAGAGAAAGGATGAGGAGAGAGACAAAGAGAGCGTCGGTGCTACATTCTGCATATGCGTCTCGGGCGCCGTCGAAGCATCAACGCTCGAACATGGGACCCCACTGGCACTGTGGGTGACGAGGCACGAGTTCGGGGGTTGAACGTCTCGCACGTCGGAAGAGACCGGTGACAGGCATGGCCGTGCGTGGCCGCAGCAGATGCACAGCGTGCTGGATGCTTACGAGTGGTGGATGCGTATGGGTTCACGTTGTGGCTGTAAACTTGACGTTCAGTAAGTTTTCCATTTATGGGAGTCGTGGGAACTTGACGCGCACACGTGACGAGACGCGCGAAAGCAAACACAACTTCAACTCGAACCACGACCGTCGCGACGGCCGGCCGCCACTCTCTGAGTCTGCCTTTCCGCTAGTCCTGGCTAATTATTGCAGCTAGCTGATACTGGGTCCTTGTCTGGTTGTCCGTTCTCCAGAACATCGAGGTGGCCGGTCATGGCTACCACTACCCAAATCCTGTATAATTCGCCCGCGCTGCACTCCCTGAAGCGTGAGCAGCTGGTGAAGCTGTGCAAGATACACTCCTTGAAGGCCAATGGCAAGAATACAGAGATCATTGAACGACTTAAGAAGCACGCCCTCCAACTCGGCCAAGAGACCTTCCTCGATACCCACCAGCGGGACGATCAGAAGGAGAACATACAGGATGGGTTCAAACTGCAGATGCCAAGGCCGAGTGAACAATGGGAGGTCGTTATGGAAGACATACAGGAGGCGCCCGAGCCCCTCGGTACGATCTCGTCGAAAGGCACTCTGACCAGCATGAGAGGCGGAACAGAGGAGTTCGGCTCCAAAAGTGAGTCGTATTTTATACATCCCTTTGGTCTGGCGAAATATGTTTGCGTTGTTTTCGGTCTGGGACGGGGGTCGTCGAACCTTTGCATGCCACGCATGGTGATTCTCGACCGGAGCTCTGCATGCAGGTTCGCCGCGGTCTTGGTTGTTGTAGTCAATGATCTTCATTCCGTATTTGCCGTTCCCAGATTGGGACTGCACGAGTAGTTGGCAACATCAAAGAGAGCAGGGGTCGATGTGGTCTCAGCGAGAGAAAGCAGTGTTTCTCATAGTTTCCCATAGAAACCTCATAGGCGTGTGAGGTCTTCATCCGGACAATGACAGGCCTCGTCCATTGTGTTTCGCGCCAAAACTCATCCACGGAAACGGCCGCGTGGATGTTCACAGTGACGCCATTGCTTTCCTCTTGGAGGGTGTTTTGTATTTGGTATCCGCTCGCGGAGTTGGCAGCCACGTTACAAACGTTACTAACCACCTGCGATCTGTCTAGCTTCGACTGTGAGTTCCTCGCTCCGCGCACTGGCCACGTCGCTAGGCATCAAGCACACCTCTAACAACACAAACGGAAGCCTCAACAAGCACGCCGTCCCTTTCAAGGACTTGCCGTCTCCGGAAGCACTGCCGCGGACCGAGCCCGCACCGCTGAGCACGCCAGATGTCGAGGCTCTTAAAGAAGCCGCGCGTACTGCGGCGGCGGAGGACGATGGCGACGTATCCATGTCAGCCCCTGTTCCTGGAAGCCCGTCCCGCCCCGGTGCACCAGCTCCTGCCAACGCGCGACTGAGCATGGGCCAGGGCCCAACGACCACTATCCGCCTCATTAACTCGCAGAATACACTCGAGGCGCCCGGAACTCCGGTATTACCAGCGTTTCAGACGAACTTCGATCTTATCCTGGGGTCGCCGAATCCGACCGCTACACCTGGGCGGGCTATCAACGTGTGGCCTGCGTCCCCAGGAGGTCCGTCCGAGCGACTCTACCCGGCGATACCCTTCGAGGACTTGCTTTCTATGAAGGCACCCAGCCAAACCCCCGACGACGATGTTAACATGCCTGGCGGTCTCGGCGGGCCAGAGATTCGCGCGACTCAGGCTACACCCGTCAAGAAGCCAGAGCAGCCTCTCTCAAAGGGCACCCCGAAGCCCACTGATGCGCTAGACATCTTCTCGCCTATGCGCCCCACTGCTGCTGGTGCTTCTCCTGCTGCTAACTCCGGTTCGAAACTTGGCATTCCGCGCAGCGAGCCCTTCCTCTTTGGCTCCCCGCTGCCGCGGAACAGTCTCTCCAACCAGCAATTTAGCGATGCAGCGCAGACACTTATGCAGGAGATGCAGCGGCGCCTTGCTGAGCAGGGCAAGGACAAGGGCCCCGAGCAGAAGCCTTCCGCCGCATCTGTACCACCCATTTTCGCGTTGATCGACAAAGGACAGAGTGCGAACCAGCAGGCCGGTAGCCCGGACAGGTTCATGAAGGCGCACGAGGCACAGTTCAGCAAGATGGACTCGATCACGACGCACTATGCTGCTAAACGTCTCGTTGCTCCTGCCTCCCGGCCTGCGGGCGCCGCGTCGAGGAAGCGCAAGTCAGACGCACTGGGGCTTGGCCATGCCCCGGGTGGCAAACGGAAAAGCAGTGCTGCGGGTGCGCGGGTTATCAGTGCGGGTGCGCGCAAGCGCATGGCTGTCCCAGGAGGGTTTGGGGCCGATGACGACGACGACGAAGAGGGAGAGGAAGATGCTGGAGACCGGCGCTCGTCGAAACGTGTGCGAGTCTCCGAACTCGACGGCGTGCACAATGGGAGGAGAGTCTCGATTGCTCCTACCGCTGGTGCTATTCAGGAAGGCGATGACAAAGAGGAAGAGGAAGCGAAGAAGCTGAAGGAGCGGGAAGCCATCCGCCGGAGGCTTGAGGCCAATAAGGCTCGAAGGCGCAGCAGCAGAGGCCGGGTCAGCGTGGGTGGAAAGGCCGTTCCTCGTGAGTTCAGCCCCATCGACTTGGATATTCAGTGTGTAACTTCTCTTCTCAGCCAAAGCTAAGCCGTCTCGCTTCGGCTTCTTCACGTCCGCCAAGACCCTCGTGAAGAACGTTTGGAATATGGGAGGCGGGCCAGCGACCACCAGCAAGCCTGCTCCGGTAGCGAGCTCCAGCATTCCGGTGGCCAAACCGACCCAGGCTGTGCCGAAGCCCGTCATCACCACCGCTGCCCCACCAGCCGTCCAGAATTCCAGCATGAGAAGCACGACATCGACTGCACGCAAAGCTCCAGTCTCCACTTCGAACAAACTACAGAAGCCACGCCCTGAGCCACAGGCATCCTCGTCGAAAGGGAATGGCACTGTAAAGTCGTCGCACTCCGCTGCACAGGCTCGCGCTCCCATACCGTCCTTCGCGAGTCCCGTTGCCGGAACTGCCAGTTCCAGGACGAGCACGTCAACCGCGACGTCGAAGATACCCTCGAGGCCTGGTTCCATCGCAGGCGCGTCGTCGCTGGGAATGCGGACTAGTCTGGCGACCAAGTCACAAGGCCCCACATCGTCTGTCGGGACGCGGCGAAGCCTTTTGACTACCTCGGCTGCTGGCACGGTTACTAGCACGAGAGCGTCCACGAGCTCCGCGCAGGGATCACGCGACAGAGATAGCATTCCTCGCTCCAGGACGTCGTCTCTCCTCGCGCCAACGGCCAGTTCTCTCGCCAAGGCTGTCGGGAAGGGTGATACGGGGACGGCAAGCAGGCTCTCGACCCTCCCTGCTGTCGCAGAGCAGCCGGTCAAACGCGCCGAGCGGAGGTCGGTGGCTGCGACGACGAAGGCGACGTTGAACATGATTACGAACAGCCCTCGGTCGCCCGATCACCGAGGCCCACCAAGATCTTTTCGCAGCCGCTCACGGCTGATATGTTCTCAAGCCCTACTTCACAAACCACTCCCATACACCACGCGTCTCTCACTGCCGCTGCGACTGCATTGGCGAGCCCGTCTGCATCCCTACAGCTGTGCCACCCAAGCCAAAGGGATTGATCGCGAAGAAGCCACGGATCTCCCGCACTCGAGTTATCGCGAAGGTCGGCGCGCAGCGGGATACCACGCAGCCTGCGGCGCCGTCTGTCCTTGCACCTGCTCCCCGTATGCGATCTAGCATGGGTGTGCGGAAGTCTCTGGGAGGAGTCAAGTCTGGGCGTGCCAGCGCTGGCGGCGAGGCTGCGAAGCTTGCTGCGAAGAAGAGGGCGAGGCAGAGCGAGTATGCGCGGCGGCGGAGTCGTGCTGAAGAAGGGCTTAAGTCACCTCGGGGCCGGGCAAGTGTGATTGACGACGATGCGATGGACGTTGATGCCTGATTATTATCCTTTCTCTCTTTTACCTCTACGCGAGTGTGCCAGTAGTATGCATACTTATGCCTATGGTCAAACAGTATATAGTTCGTCTTGGACTCATGAATCCTATGTATATGTATCTTGGCATGTTGAGGCAACTTCAGTTCGGTGATTAAACCTGCTGATCATCATATGCATGATCACACCTCTATTGAACACAAAAGTGTCGCACGAACCTTGCACGGACCACATCTCACTTCTGAAGTATCCGCACGAAGTCGTGAGTGATCTGCACCAGTTATGCGCCCCAGTGCTCGGTGGCGCGCGGTGGAGTATCGTATTCCAGTTAACTTTATTGTGAAGTGTTGGTGGTTGGATGCTCGGAACGTTCCTATGATAGGGCACCCGACGTCGTAGTACAGCCCCAGAGACGTACTGCTCGGAGGACAACTTAAACTGAGGCGAAAGGCCGTTACATAAGGAAGTGGGTGAGGACGTAGATTTTGATAAGGGGTCCCTCAGGGTCGAAACCGTGACCGCCGGTACTACTAGTGGCATGCCAGTCCGACATTAATCTCATCATGTCGAAGCTGTGCGCTCAGCTTGATATCGAGACGTGCAGGGAGGAAGAGGAGGAGGGTGGAAGTGGCAAGGACAGTAAGTAAGTCGCAATCTAAGTCAACCAGGTCTGGACTGCGAGTCTGGGTTACATAATCCGCCAAATGCCACCATCAACCGCGCAGATTGCGATCTGCGCATCCGCGCGTCGGGACTGGACCCGTTGTTCTCTCTCGATTTGGCAACTGCCAGCGCCAACCGACCTGGCGATGAGCGCGCTCACGCTCGACGTCGTCCTCGCGCTTGCCCTTGATCAATGCCGTGCCACACCTTCACGCCCGAAAGGAAGGCAGAGGGGACGTCATGCTCCAGACCCTTCCAGTTGACTCCCTCAGGTTTGCGGCGAGTTCCCGCTCGACTCGGAGTCGCCTCGCCCTCGCTTGCCTTGAAGTTAGTTCTTTTGAATTTGTTTGAGACCCCCAATGATTGTCTGCTAAGGGCCAAGCCCTATGTAGACTCTACGTCCGTTTACATGGTATGCTAGGTAATGCTAATGGCCATCGGATGTGTCTAACACATCATTGACGCCCTTGAAGTCTCTCAAGTCGTGGTAATTCTTCACGCCCGAGTGAAAGGCAGAGGCGACGTCGTGCTCCAAACAATTCCCGTTGATTTTACGCGTCTCTGAGCATCCTTGTCTGACAGGCCCTTCCAGCTGACTTCACGGCGGGCAAGCTCGTCCGAGTCCTCGCGCCTGCCATGCCCTCTCCCGCCGGAGTGAACGACGTGTGCGGTGTCGTACTCCGAGCTGCCCCCGATGACCTTGAAGTGAAGCGCGAGCTCCTCCGAGTCCTCGCGCCCGGCGTGCGACTTGACAGACCTGAAGTCGTCGCCGGGCACCCATTCGCGGCTGTCCTCTGGGACGGCATGTGCGGCGTGCACGAGCGGATGATGCGCGACAGTGTTCTCCGAGTCTGTGCGGTGCTCTGGTGGGCGGGCACGCTGCTTGTGGATGAAGTTTAGTCATGAGTGAATGGGTGGCGAGTGAAGCAGGGACTCACCTGGCGGAGTTGATGGACGCGGCTGCGGGCGACCGCGAGGATAACGAGAGCGGAGGCGCGGATGGTCCAAGTTGTGAGGAGAGGCAGTGGTGTGAGAGATCAGACTACTGAGGACAGACCTGCACCGATTCTTAAGATGGAGTTTCAAGCGCAAGGCGAAGAAAGCTGAGCTGGGGCACTTGAGCTAGACAGTGCGCAGGCTTTATACTACTGCGTCTATGGCGCCCCTCGAAAGGACTTTGAGGAACTCCACGTACTAAGTGGATCCCATGTATATCCCGCGCCGACTGCGGCCGTGCGGTGCTCAGTACGCCAATGCTCTCAGACTGTCGATTAACGTTCGAACGCCCTAGTACGGCGCATCGAAGTGTTTGGGTAGCATCTCGCCACCTGAGACGTGGATGAGGAAACAAAGAGCGCTCTCTAGAGACACGCTATCAGAATTCGACGCTTCATGCGAAGACAAGAAGAAAACACCGTCCATATGAATCCCCCAGAGTTCGATGTAGGTTTTGAAGTTGCAGCTCGTCGAACAACCAGCGAGAATGCGCCAGGCAACGCGCTAGCAGGCACATCGACATCTACAAGTTGTCCAGTGTTAGTTAGTACCGAAGATCGAAGCCTTCAGTTGTTCACAGACTGCCTTGCCGGTTTTGAGCATTCGGCGAAAACAGGCCGTTGGCGCTGCATCCTTGCGCGATCCAGAAGTCGTGCCAGCTACATGCAAAGGACGACACCGCTTCGGCATATGCTTTGTGGCGTGGGTGTCTCTGCGGATGAATGACGTCAGAAAGTCATCTAAGTACACTGGTTGAGCGATCAGCGTGGGCGCTCTCGTGTGGCCTGCCCAGCAAGTACTCACCCGGCATTGGCAACGCCCACATCGTCTCTCTTGGTTCCTGGCTCCCCATCGTCAGGAAAAAGTCATGGCGGTGTACAATCACGCGCAGAGTCCGCTGAGTTGGCACGCGTCCCTCAGTACGCGGTGGGCACAGGGATGTTCCTAATCCAATGCCAAGTACACCCACGTCTCGGGACGATCTAGCCTGAACCTGAAAGTGGCCCGGGCGCGCGTCCATGGCAGAGGGACGCACCGATGCAATATGAATGAGCTCTCTGAAGTTGACGACCTCCCTTTGGCCCGGCTGAGGCTGCGAAGGCACCGTCCCCATGTTTCGCTGACAGTGATCGAGCGCCGGGGCAACTGGTACGCTTCATGTCCATCGGAAGGTTCCTGTGATGGGGCGCCCGACATTGTACTGCCCAAGAGAGTAACAACCGAAGTGAAAGGCCGTTGAGGAAGCGGGTAAGGACGTGGATCTTGATGAAGCGGTGACCCTCAGGTCGAGGCCGGCGCCGGTACCTGTGACACGCTAGTCCGACGACCTCATCGTCACTGCAAAGAGGGCATAATTTCCTCCGCGTACAAGAGTTGCGATGAAGTGAGAGCCTCTTCCATACCTTCGCGGGTGGGCAGGGAGATTGAACCATAGGACATCATTCTGGGCCTAGGAAAGGTTTCGATGTCTTTGTCCGCCGGAAAGACATCCTTCGACATCTTCCAGAGGTACATCTACGTCGAGCGAAAACCATGAGGAATTCTTTCACTTCCGAAGCCTTTTCTGCCCGAGTGAACCGTGATACCTTTGCAGTGCGTGTCGAAGCTGTGCGCTCAGCTTGATATCGAGACGTGTATTCGGTTATCCTGTTGTGCAGTGGAAGTGAGAAACAAAGTATAGTCGCAACCCACGCTCTCGCTCCGGCGACGAGCGCATGCTCAGCCTGATCGCGCTCGTACCAACTCATAGTGTTAGAGAGCTTTGACTACGTAAGGCTCGGCCCTCGCGGACAACAAAAGGATTCGAACGAAAGGTAGATTGCGATCTGCGCACGCACACGAGCCAGCCCCGAACGATGCCCCCCCGGATATCTCGCAGAACTCGACATCGCACCGCGGGTATCCAGGCCACCGTGGGTCCGTGGCAAGGATTTCCGTTGCGTGGGGAGGCTCCGATGCTTCGCGAACAGTCGTGAACCATGCGACCGACTACAGCATCGGTTCCGAATCTTGCCACCCTGAGAAGGAACGCGGCACGTCACGAGAGCATAACGGGCAGCACACGACGCTGACTGTGGCACAGTGGGCTACGTAGCCACTATGCACCCTGAAGCACATGGAGCATCGGCAGTGCTAGGGAAGGGTGGGCTTAGACGGCGTGTCTAACGTACACCCCCGGGGGTATGTAGAACCGCCGAGTCGAGTATGCAGAGCCGTCGAGGCCTCGAGCGCGGGTGGGATGAAAGAAGATTCGAGTGGCTGCTGTCGAGCATGTGTCCCTTGACTTGCGCGGTGTGGTACGGAGTGGCCAGTGACGCCGCGGATGAGTCCGAGTCAAAGAACTTCTCACCATCGCCCAGGGATGCAGGGTCTCTCTACGCAGGTTCATTCGTACTCGGATGTCAGCCAGCGATACAGGGATGATGACGCGAGCACGCGTTACAAGTTGGCTGTGGCCCACAGACAGACTCGGAGGAACGACTACATAGGACGACTGCCGCTGCGGCCACAGATTGATCGGAAGTTGCCGCTGAACGCGGCTCTAAGTTTTGAGCCCCGATTATGATCGAGACAGTAGCTTATGTAAGCTACGTTCTTCCACGACCACTGCCTCGAGTCAACGTGCGTCGGGCCTACTCACTCTGTGGACGCCACCTTTCACGGTCAGGCGACTGCCACCGTCATTCTCAGGACGATAAGCTAAGAGTAGCGAGGGAAGTGCATGCCTATTCCAATGTGACAACTGATTGTCCCCGACGATCGTCATAGGAGAATGTACCGCATATGTCGGCATGGCGCTGCATTCTGCAAAGCACGGACTCGGAATGCCGGCGGCGATGAGCTCGAATGAATCAGACTTCACTTTGGCGCAAGATGGTAACCATCTGCGAGGGCTATGTCCATCGTGTGCTGTCTTGGTCGACCATCGCTCCATCTCTTGTTCAATGTCCACTCGGCAGCCACCTCTACCTGCCGAATACGCGCTCCTGTCCTCCAGATATAACTGGCGTGCACGCGACACGCTGTGCTAGCTGCGGGATGTCGTACATGCTTCTGTCAAGCCACGAATCAATGGAACAATGGGGTGACACGTGTCGATGGGTACGTCTGCTCGTACTTTGTGGCACAACCCCCTCCGGGATCGCCTCACTCGACTATTTTGGCCGCCTGCGGGACGGGTCCAGACAGCAGCCGTGTCGCGTGAGGGAGGCGTACATGCGCTGCTCTGGCTGACAGGATTGTGCTTATGTCGCAACTCGCAGGCGGGATCATGCACCATGCCATTGTCATTGCGTTGCGTTTCTATTCATAGACCCGGCTGGGCCGCGCAGGTGCTCCTTCTTCTCCTGATGGCAAGATATTCATCGGCCGGGCACTCAGATCATAGGTGCTCTCACGTCCATGGAGCATCTGCGCGATCTCACAGCCATTTCCTCCCTCGGCGAGCACTATCCCTCTGAATGCGCATGGTCTACTTGCTCTGGATGGCAGGATGTGATGACCTTCCGCGGTCATGTTCCGACGGCGCCTTCGTGCATGCCGGGCTCATCGACATGCCGTCGATACTGACCAAACGAGGATACGGTCTACATAGTATGCCGTCATAGCGTCCGGGCTTCCGCCGCAACTCTGCCAAGGCTTACATACGCCATACTGCAGGCTTCTTCGACGGCCCGTTACTGCACGGTTTCTCTGTGGCACAAGTCCGGGCCACCGGTCCACAAACGACAGCGCACATCAGCCCGCCATCGCCGCAGTGTCCAAGGACGCCCCTCCTCGGTCTGCATTTCCACTGAGGCGGCGCAATACCATTCCTTATACCCGCAGAAGCGTGCAGTCGCATGGCTGCGAACACCCATTCTTCGGTGTTTGCCCACGCGAAGCGTCCGGATATGGAACACACCTCTCCGGTGCGTCCCTCTGACCTCTTGATCCCCAGGAACGGAGGCGGTTCCATTGCTCCTCTCGATTCCAGAGCTCGTGCCGGCCTCTGTTGCAGCTCGCAGTGGCTTTATCAGAACATTCTCATGCCGATAAGGCCTATCTGAATGCCAGCGACTTCTCGCCGAAGAGCCCTCCACCACACGTCGGACGGCGCCGTGGAATCCATCTGCCCGTCACCACACGGTCAACACCCGCATCGCCGAACGTGACTGCCGCACAGCCCTCGCCCATCTCTGTTCAGGGTGCGGGGCGGGGATCTGCCCTGAGCACTCCCAGAGCACACAACGTATAAATGGCGCAGCGGGGCGGCGGGGGACAGCAGGTCCTTCGGTCTCGACAGCCCCTCGACCCGACAGCCTCTGCGCCCCAGTGCACTCGCTCCGATGATGTTCTCCGCCGCGCTCCTCGCGTCCGTGCTCCTCGCCACCTCCGCGCTCGCCCGCCCGTCGGGCATCGCCGGCCGCCTCGCGCGCCGCCGCTCGGGCGTCCGCCAGAGCCACCCGCTGCAGCTCTCCGAGTCCGAGCACGCGGCCAGCTCCAACGCCTCCCACGTGGAGTACTCCTCGAACTGGGCCGGCGCCGTGTACGACTCGTACCCCTCGGTGAGCACACGCCTGCGAGCGCGGGCAGCGGCCGGTGGTTCTGACGGTGCTGCGTGCGGGTGCAGGGCTCTTTCACGTCCGTGACGGGCACGTTCACCGTGCCCACCCCGAGCGCGCCCTCGGGTGGCCGTGGCTCCTACTCTGCCTCCGCCTGGGTCGGCATCGACGGCGACACCTGCAGCACCGCTATCCTCCAGACCGGCGTCGACTTCACCATCGACGGCGGCGACGTCTCGTACGATGGTGCGTGCCCCGTTGTCCCACGTCCTGCATAAGTGCGCAGCTGACCCGCGCGCCCGCCAGCTGGTACGAGTGGTACCCGGACTACGCGTACGACTTCTCGGGGATCAGCTTCAGCGCGGGCGACACCGTGAAGCTGACGGTGACCGCGTCGTCGACGACGTCGGGCACGGCGGTGATCGAGAACACGAGCACGGGCCAGACGGTCACGCAGGACATCACGTCGTCGTCCGCGCTCTGCGAGGAGAACGCGGAGTGGATCGTCGAGGACTACGAGGAGGGCGGCTCGCTCGTGCCCCTCGCCGACTTCGGCACGGTTACCTTCACCGGCGCGTCCGCGGAGACGACCTCCGGCGCCGTCGGCCCCAGCGGCGCGACCCTGATCGATATCGAGCAGAACAACGACGTCCTCACCTCCGCGTCGACTTCCTCGGACTCGGTCACCGTCAAGTACGTCTAGAGGGGGTTGGCTTGGGATGGGGATGGATAGGTGTCAGAAAGGTTCGGATGGATGATGGACTTCTTCCCCCGTTTTTGACGGAGGCTGTTTTGACGCATTTAGTGAAGACGATGAGAATCAAGAATTTATGTACACTTGACAGGATGATTTGAGCAGTTGCTCTGTGGCGTAATAGATTCGATCTCGGCGGATCGCAACTGGGTGTATACGTGACGTCGATTCATATGCTGACGACTCACTGTCAAAGGAAACGCCGTCAAAGACCTCAGTCACGAGACTGCATGCATTACTTACCTCTCGTCTCGGAGACCTCTCTGCTAAACCATTCAGTACTAACACAAGTATATCTGCGCGAGGCAAGTTTCTGAGTCCAGCCCGGGGGATCTGCCAAGTAGGAGATGCTTGATGTTGACGGTCAACAGCCAATGCGTTGATATATGCGGGGCTACTTACAGCACCTCAGACGAGAGGACGACGCATTTGCGTCCCGAAACTGTAACCGACGTGGGGTGCTCATCATCGCTCGGATCCATACACCGTGTCCTTGATGAACAAGCCGAGCTTCCACCCGTACGGCATCAGGTAACTCTAAGTACCCTGTGGTGCAGACGTGATAACTTTGTTCTGCAGTACGGGATGAAGGGTGCGCCCTGGGGCCTGCATAGACCACTTCAACCATCCTGTGGATCGTTCCAAGGACGTGCGCGCCCGCATGCACTAGGTAATAGTCTACCGCATAAGACGTACCTGGGCGCATACACGATACATCCCCCCACCGAACAAGCACATCGCTTGTTGGCTCACATTGACAAGCGGCCAAGCAGCTCGAGCATCGGTGTGAAGATGTATCACGATGTTGTGGGTGCCGCGGAGCGCGAGCACTTGGTCTTGCAGGACAGATCTGACGTTTGTGCTGTCAGACGAGATGTCCACAACGTAAACGAGAAATCCAGGATACCAAGTACATACCAGTGGGTGTGGCAGATGTCAAGCCGAAGCAATACCCAGGACGCCGTTGTTGATACTAATAGCAGATGCATGTGTGTTCGAGTTCATTGATGAGAAGCAGTGAATGACTCGACTGAAACGTAAGGAACCTCAATCAGGCAAGAACACGCACATACCACTGAGATGAGTGGAATGCGAGTTCTGTATGTCCAACGACAACATTGTAACTACCTGTTCGTCACGGAGACTGATCAGCTCCACATATCGCCAGATGAACACACCGAACGTTCATTTCGGAATGCGGGAGCGCGTACGCGCAACAGCCTCGTCCTGACCATGAACCCTGCGCTGTACCCAGCAGCGCGCGATAACGAGGAAGCACTAGCACGGGGGGGCGCAGAAGATGGGTTGAGTTTCGAATTCGCCATGACGGGTTCTGTCAAGGTGCTGTCGACGTCCGGCGTTGTTTGGACGGGTCACGGCTATGTGGCTGCCATCAGATCGGAATCTGCGCTCCTCCACCGTCACGGAGCGCGTGATGAGCGGCGTGCTGTATGTCGATTGCACAAGTTTCCAATGTACCACCGCCTGGGTTGGATACGAGACCGACAGTGTCTCATACACGACCGCCCTCCCTCACTCAACAGGGTTGTGTTCAGGGTCTGCCTATGTCATGATGACTCCTCATCGCAGTTCTGATTGAGATTCGTAGTCCGTACTCAGCCCGTAGGGATGCGCGTAGAAGCCTTGACCTGTCCCAGGGAGTGGAATATGCATGCTGCCCCAATAAGTACTACGTGGGTCGAGTCATTTAGTCTGCCTTGGATAATGATAGAGATATCGACTCACCATTCGACCTGGTGGCGCTCCAACAAAGTTCGACCAGAACCCATTGATACCAGCAATGTAAGCCATGTGCAACTACATACGATGTGTCCTGACGCCACGCATTGTCAGTACAGGCGATATGGATAGAGACATGGCACGCCCACTCACGACCTGGCCGCGGACCTACTTACGCTGTGGCGGCAACGTCGGCCCGCGAGCCCCGGGCCGCTGTCTCTACGTCATATGCAAGGATCGCCTGTGAGAAGGATGTGAGAACGGCGACGCTCCCAATGTGGCCATTACCAACACCCACCGCAGTTTGCTCCTTGCTATCACTGGCCTGCCATACCTGCCGAGAGTCGTGAGTCCCCTGCTACCAAGTAACATCGCTGAGCCCAACATCAGTCTCCAGATCCGAGTCATGGCCAGCGATCTGCAGCGCCAGATAGTCATCGTCGGCGGAGGCATCGTCGGCTGCACCACCGCCTACTACCTCTGCGCCCACCCCGCCTTCGCCGCCTCCAAAACCAAGGTCACCCTCATCGAGGCATCCGCACGGGGCGTCGCCCAGGGCGCCTCGGGCAAGGCGGGCGGGCTCGTCGCGAAGTGGGCGTACCCCAAGGAACTCGTGAACGTCTCCTTCGCGGAGCACGTCCGGCTCGCGCGCGAGCACGACGGCACGCGGCGCTGGGGCTGGCGGTTCGTCGGGTGCGGGAGCTGGGAGGGCCGCGGCGAGCTCGCGCCGGACGAGGGCACGGGCACGGGCGTCGGCAGGGGCGGGGACTGGCGGAGCCTGGAGAAGACGAACGGGCTGGACGGCGACGGCGGCTGGGGCGCGCGGAAGCGGAAGGAGGCGGGCCTGCCGGACGACCTCGACTGGGTGCGCGCGGACCTGACGGACGGGTACTCGCCCATGGCGCCGGCGGGGGCCACGGCGCAGGTGCATCCGTACCTGTTCACGACGAGCATGCTTGACCTCGCGAAAGAGAAGGGGTGCGAGTTCGTCCAGGGGAAGGTCACCTCGATCGACATCGACAAGGCTGAAGGACGAGTCTCTGGCGTGACCTACTCCGCTCCCACAACGGACGGCTCCTCCTCCTCAACACACACCCTCCCCGCGACGCACGTCATCCTCGCCGCCGGCGCGTGGTCCCCGCGCATCCTCCCCGCGCTCCCCATCTCCGGCACGCGCGCGCACAGCGTCACGATCCACCCCAGCCCGGCGTCACCATCTCGCCCTACGTCCTCTTCACCGAGATCCTCCTCCCCGCCGCCGGCCGCAAAGGCCCACAGACCGTAAGTCCCGAGATCTACGCGCGCCCGGACAACGAGGTGTACGCGTGCGGGCCGGGCGACAGCAGCGCCGTGCCGGAGACGGTCGACGACGTCGCGGTCGACCCGGCGGCGTGCGAGAGCATCCGCGCGCACGTCGCGAGCATATCGCCGGAGCTCCGGGCGGGGACGGTGGACAAGCGGCAGGCGTGCTTCCTGCCGGTCGTGAGCGCGGGAGGGGGCCCGATCGTAGGTGAGGCGACGAACATCGCGAAGGGGCTGGTGATTGCCACCGGCCACACTTGCTGGGTGCGTGCTCTTCTGGTTGGGCCCACGCTGGTGTGCTGACGGTAGTTCGTCAGGGTATCTGCAACGCACCGGGAACTGCAAAAGCCATCTCCGAGCTGATCATGGAGGGCAAGATCAGCTGTGCAAACCTCAAAAGACTAGAGCCGTCAGTTTCTTGTGAGCTGATAGCTAGCCAGGGATATATGGGGCCACACAGTGCAGAGGATCCAGACGGGCATAGAAGTGATACCCCACTTGTAGAATGCAACAGACTATGATGCCTGCAGCTGATTGTTGATAGACGACTGCAGGCTTACTCAAGCTGAACGAACAGCATCCAGGGTGCAGAGCGCGCCGTCCATTCCCTGTAAGCGTGCCTCATGAGCAGTGGCAAGGCCGAGACGAATCAGCACTCACCCCGCACCTCCGCCACAGACGACCGACGAACACCCGGTCGCAAGCGCAGACGCAGCGTTCGAATACGGGTATGGATTGCTAGCGTAAGCGACTAATAGCGAAACGGGTATGCGAGGCTACGGGTATACGTACGGCTCTTGATGCTACATTAGATACAGGCGTATCCTACGACTAGTACTTGGAACCAGGGTCCGGGTCCGAGTCCGGCGAGAGCGATAGATTATCTATACATTCAGCGGCGCGACACTAACTTAGCTCAGTCCAGTCCGGGGGAGTGAGTGCATGTAAGGGTGGGGTGGAAGGAGCGTGGCGGGGTCTGCGCACCCGTCGGTGCTTTTGGCTCGCAGGGGAGGGGGAAGGACAGTCTGGGGAAGGGGGGGGGGCAGAGGAGCGAGGCTCCTCTTCGCGAGTGCCCAGGAGGCCTTCCGCGCGTCTGCTCGTTTGCTCGTCTCGTCGTGTCGTGCATCTCGGGGTCCACGTCGTCCCACACGGTGGACGCGTGTAACGCAGGCGCTAGCGCCGCCGCCGCCCGCGCTGCTCCAGCTCGCGCAGGCGGCGCGCCTCCCGGCACACGTTCCACGCGCAGCGGACCATGTCGACGATCCGCCCGTCGCGCGGGCCGAGCGCGAGCACGTTCGCCCAGAGCCCGCCCACGAACGCCGTGCGCTCCCGCAGCTGCGCGTCCATCGCCTCGTCAGGCTGCGGCTCGTCCCCGTCCGAGTCCCCGTCCGAGCCCGAGCCTGCGCTGGACCCCGAGTCGGAGTGTGCGGCGGTGCGGATGACGGCGCGCGAGCCGCGCAGGAGCGCGGAGGCCATTGCGGGGCCCGAGGGGAACTCGGTGATGACGTGGTCCGGGAGGAGGAAGCTGGCGAGAAGGCCGGTGTGCGTGTCGAGCGGGGACGGGCCGCTTCTTCGCCGCGAGGCACACTCCGGCGAGCTAGAAGTTGATGGCGAGGGCGGCAGCGAAGCCAGGGGCAGAGACAGCCCGAGTCCGAAGAAGAGGAGGAGAGAGACGGAGAGCGGGTGGGGGAGGGACAGAGGGATCGTCGGCAGCTCTACGCATTGCACGCCCGTTCGGCGTAGAAAGGTACGGGGAGCGTCGAGCCCATTGCGTACGCGTCATCAGCAGATAGACGTGAGAGGTCGTACGTGAAGCGTTGCGCAAAGAGGTCGGCGTTGATGGGGAGAGCGAGAGGGCGAGGCGAGTCGGGGAAAGAGTGGCCGGCCGGCGAGGGAGTAGAAGAGGAAGCAGACGGGGCAGGAGCGGCGTGGGACGGGAGGACAATTAGCCCGTGGGTGGGCATGTGCGCGTCGCGGCGGACGGGCATGCATACGGTGGGCGGGACGGCGCCATCTGGAAGGAGTGTGACGGAGGTCTTGTAGACGTTGAAGGAGCGACATAGTTCCCTGGTATAGCCCCGTCAAAAGCCGACCTGACAGCAGAGAAGACGACGCACTCGTATGGGTCATCAAAGGGCTGGGCCAGCCTCGTTAGGTAGGTGAGCGGGGCAGTCTCGCTCGCGTCGTCGTCGGGCGCGTCGGGCGTGTGGCCGTGTGCGGATGGTGCTGCGTACCACGACGGCGGCCTGAGGGCGCGAGCGGCGCGTGCGTGCGGGCTCGGAGGGTCGTACATGAGCCTGCACGTATGCAAGGAGCACTGACCTTCCTCCCTTGCCCCGATGCCCTTCTGGAACGACTAGCCGGATCGACACCAACTCTCCGTGTCTGCCCGGAACGTTTGGAGCGCGTGGCCTCGACGGAAGCAAGCCAGCGGTGGGGGCCCAGCGGTGGGGATGGCTGTGGCCAGGGAAACTCAGCAGGACATAATAAGGAGCCCCTGTGCGCTGCGCCACGGTGGGCGAACGGAGGAAAGGGCGGCGAGCGGGGGCAGGAAGGGATGCCAGCAAGATGCCAGCGTGAGGGTCGCACTGCATCTGCCGGAGCCCATTGGCCAAACTGAGCGGCCATGATCAGCCTCGAGGCTGATCGTCCTCCAACCGCGGTCACTCACCGGCGCCTAATCCAGCCTTCTCTCGTTCTGCGCCCTGAGTGATTGATTGTGGCAGCGTCCCGCCTTTGTTCGCCTTCGCTGCATTGTTTGTCAACCCGGGCTGCAACTCGACTGTCTCCTGCCGGTGTGGGCCTTGGACGGGCTGAGGTGGGGCGGGGAAGCAATGGTGGGTCGCTGCGGGTGAAGGGGGGAGGTGCGTCTTGCCATCCCATGTCTGCAGAATATCTTCGCAGCGCGTTGCTAGGGTCCAGGTGTCAGTTGCAGCTCCACGATCCTCTGTCGCAGGCGCGGACTCTCCACGACTATAGGCCAGCCGCTTGCCACCCGTATGGCTCCAGACTTTTGTGTCGAACCTACCAGACTTTCGGCTCCAACGCAGTGTGCATGCACGGATGTCGATGCGAACAACAGCTATACGTGCGTGTGGTCCAGGAAGTGGTCCCTGCGCAAACACGAGTTCTGCTTCCTCGCCTTGCTTGCGGCGCAAACTCCAAACTCAATCCGTATATCATGATGCTGTCAGCCAGACTGCTCACCCGGAAGATGCTGCCGTCTCTTTCTGCACATGCGGAGGTTGCCCGCGCCGAGTGGAGGAAGACCAAGGCCGAACTCTGTCGCCACCGCTCCTCCGTGGGCGCGACTCTGGCTCTGCCTCCGAGATTCGTGTCTCGCGCATCTCCATCTTCGCATCCTGGTCACATCATGCCGTCTGGCGATCCTTCCCACACCACCCTGTGCTCGTCCGGGGTGTCCGGGCGCACGCGTCGCAGCGCAACACGGTCGTCACCGATCTGCCAAGTCGACCTCTTCCCCAAACCTAGTCTCCTCTCCATCTTCACTCTCAGCGACTCCCTCTTGGCGCTGGCGGACTCGAGCTCGGACCGGCGATCAAGCTCGTGTCGTCCTGGGCACTACTCCGTTCTGCTGTAGCCCGGAATAGCTGCGCGCCGCCGAGAAGAACCCGCAGCCTGCGCGCCCGCGCGATCAGATGCATGGACATAGGACGCGCGGATTCGGCCTGATCCGTCTATGCTTGTATCAGCTCGGGAGCGTCCCAAAGGGGATCGCTGGATGCGCCTTTGAGCTTGGCCACTGCACACGCGTGGGTCAAGGCTGCCGAGAGGCTTGCGTCGGGTGGATGCAAGCGGGCGGAAGAGAAGAAACTCGGATTCATGGCGGGAGTTCGTCTTAGCTACATCGTCGTTCCTGTCGTAGTACCGAGGCATATTATGAACTACTACATATGGTCGCATCGTCGTCATATTGTGAATGTGAAGGCGATGTAGTTGACTGATTCGGAAGGTGCCCTACCCGTGTGGCAGACACGTACCGTTGCTGACCAGGAAGACACGATGTTGGTTAATGTCACGTGCCTTGTTCTCATCTAGGCGAAGAAACCGGGTGAAGCCTCGAACTTGTGAGATCACTCTAGGCCTCCACGGATATGATGTTCCATAACGGAGAATTCTATTGAAAGGAATAAGGTAGATATAAAGGCATACAGTATGGTACGCAGAGCATAGAGACAGAGAGGAGGGAGTGATGATGTGACATACAATGCTAGATGCTACAGGCATATGTTCAAGTCATGCGAATGAGTGATACCCAAGAACGGAAAAGATGCGACGGTGACGATGATGAGGATGGACGAGAAAGCGGCGCGACGGCGACGGCGAACAGAATGAGATGGACGAGGAACGTTCACCGGAACGAGACCGACTGCAGCGAAGGCTCCCAGACAGGCGTCGCTTTGTCGGGAACGTCGGTCATGACGGCCTTGCCGTACACGTCCCAGGCGAGGTCGAGCATGCCCCACAGCCCGTCGTCGAACACGCCCAACGCGCAGGCGTTGCGCCAGACACCCTGCACGCGCGACATGCGCTTGAGAAGGTCGGCGCGCTCATATTCGCGGGCGAGGCTGCGCGCGTAGCGGTCCATCGCGTCCTGGCCCTGCGTTGCGCTCGGTGGTGGTGCAGGGAGGAGCTCGGAGAGAAGCTCGTCGGCGCGCTTGGTGTACATGTAGCACATGAGCTCGCGGAAGTGCTCCGGGCTCGGGAGGCCAAGCGGGACGACGGGGACGGTGATACGGGCGGGCGCCTCCGGCGTCGGAATCGCGGAAACAGTGGGCGTGGAGGGCGGGAGGGACGGAAGGTGGGCGCAGTTGGTGTCCCAGATGCACTGGTGCGCGGCGAGCATGGTGATAATGTTGCGCTGGCCCTCGGGGAGGTCCTTCTTGTAGACGGCGAGCATGTGGGTGGGGAGGTCGGCGGAGGCGTCGCTGACGTCGACGGTGATCTCCTCGGGGATGGAAGTGGGGAGGGGAGGGGTAACCTCGACGTGCTCGAGAACGCTGAGCAACCTGAAGAGAAGGCACATGTAAGCAACTAAGCCAAAGACCAGAGAGAGTGGTGTACGCACTTGTCCCCGTTACGCGCCAACTCATCCTGGATGTACTCGATCGGGACGTCCTTCAAGTCCTCGTTCATGAAGAGCGCCTTCTCGATCGGCACGCGCTTGTACTTGGGGCGGGCGAGCCGCCTCGGGATGGCGATGGAGATCTTTGCCTCGGCTCCTGCTCCGGCGCGACGTCCTTCATCTCGACGTCGACGACAGGAGCCTTCTCGGGCTTCGGGAGGCGGAACTCGGCCTTGAAGGCTGCAGCGGTGACGGCAGCATTGCGCGCGGAACGCTGGCCAGGGAGAGGACGATGGACGCGTTTGGCCTTCTGCAGGCGCTGCTGCTGAGCCTCGGAGTAGCGCGAAGTCGGGAGCTCGTTGGCGCCAGCGCGGCGGCGCGAGGCGACGGACTTGAGAACGCCAGGGAGGATAGACTTCCTCGAACTCTTGGAGTCCGGAGTGGGAGTGGGAGTGGAGGTGGAAGAGGGCATGGTACCCTCGAGGTCAGAGACGCCAGCCAAGAAGTGAGGCAAGGTCGACATGTTCGGCGAGCGGAAAGTTGGTTCGGGGCGCGGGGAGAAGATGGGGGGAAAGTTCAACTGCGTTCCGGTGATGGGGGGAGAAGTGCCCCGGGCCCTGGGGTTTATATACGCAGAGCAGCAGTCCGAGGTCGCGATGCGTGGGACACTTGATTGGTTTTCTGACGAAAACGGATGAGTGGGGATTGGTGGGCGTCTGTTTGTGTGTGTGGGCGTACCTGCCTTTGCAAGGCAAATCTCCTTCCTGGAAAGGCAACCTGCTCAATGAGGCGTCGACCTGCGTGGGTCCACCCACCAATCCGCCTATGCACAATAGGTCACGTTGCCACGAAGCGGCGGCCTGGCCGGCAGCTGAGTCTTGGCGCCGTTGCGACCCTGGAAACCAAGCGTTATCGATGTTTCCCAGCCAGATAGTCGCCACAACTCCCTCTGCAGCAGACAACACACACCAGTGCGGCATGCTGCCCTGTCGGAGGTCTATTGCGTACCCATGGAACGGGCTTGCGTTCTCCGAGAGTCGGGCGCTGGATAGTCAAGTTTGCACTCACGCTGGGCCGCCGGGACAGGCTGAACACCCCACTCAGAGCGCGATAACGAGCCTTGCATGGCATGGCACCTTCGTCAGACCTCATACTCGAACTGTGTCATCTAGACCGCACCTCGTATACCGCACCGCTCAGTGGCGGCATGCTTCTTGCTGTGTTGTGGCGCCGCCGCCGGCCTAAATCCAGACGCCCATTTGAACTTGCAGCCAACGGCACGGAGACGTCCCCACTCGCGACTTCATGCACATGGGCCAACTTCACCTTCAACTGTGAATGCTGAAGCTAGTCCCGCATAGCGGTCTTCGCATTGACTCTGGATGTAGGGCATGAGGAACTGGCGTGTAGGGGGGAAGCACGAGGAAGCCACTCGGGCTCTTGCTTTGTTCGGCGCTGGACTCAGGCTCTAGATGCGCATATATCGCTTCCGCACACTCGGATGCTCATTCCACAGGAGCGCCTTCACTTTACTTGTGCCACTTCTCGATGCTCAAGCAACTACACAGCTTCACCATGATGCCACAGGTACCGGCGGCCTCTACAACGGCTACTGATATCCCATCGGGTTCTGCGTCCTTGCTCGATTCCTCATCCTCAGCAACCTCCCACTCAACTGTCCATCTACGACGCGTTTCCCAAGGCTATGCAATTTCAAGCGCTCTCATCATCAAAACCACGTTCCGTTGGACAGGAAGCATCCATCTCGCCGCACTCGACCACTGACATCGGGCCACAGCCAACGAGCGGTTCGGCGCCTTCGCAGCCTCAAGCAGACGCACACCCGGGGAGAGCTCGTTCAGATCGTATCGATACGTCCCTCCGAACGGCGCGTGCCACCCGAAATATCCTTGAGACACGAACTCAAGATTGGGACCACTGTGCATGCCGACGTACCGAGCGCGCGTCAGGGACTCTATGCGGTCCCGTACAGCGTCCTGCCAAGATGGGTGATGGATACCAGCTGCACGGACGCCGGGATTGTATGGAGAGTACTGGGCGGGCCGCGCGAGACCGCTTGTGCCTAGTAACATTTCGACGTGCGCGTTCTCTTTGTATAACAGCGCTCGCTCTCACTTAGCTCTCTTCACGCCGCAGGTTGTGTTCCGAAGCAGTCTTGTAGGTTACTGCCGCTGAATCGCGCCGGGGACGCTACACGGTCGGCATATTCTCGCCGAAACACTGGACACTGGGCCGTTTGTGGACTATCGTATGTTTCGATCATGTGTGTAAACGATGGTTCCCGGCGTTGAACAAGTTGCAGCTGCAACGTTCCTGCGGATGCAACCCCGGCATCTTTGCGGATTGCTCGACGAAACCCGAGCCGGTATTCGACTGGGAAGGGAGACCTTGGGTAAACAGCGGTGCTCCTCGTTCTCCTACGCTCACGTAGGAAGCGAGGTATTCCAGCAGCGTGTCAACGCCCTTGTTACGGAGAGCCCTTCATCTCCTCATCCACGTCAGATGTTGGGTTGGTACCCAAACCTGTTGATCTTGCCGCCCCCTAGGGCGTTGAACACTGACAGATCCGCATCATGGCATGGGATGTTCACAGTGAGTCAGCGCTGGCCTGAACACCGGGCAGGCCGATGTTGGCTTTTCCAAATACATGCGAGGGGACGCGAGAGACACAGTATAAAGGCCACACGTCTGAAGGCAGGTACTCCAGCTCCTCGGCTCTCTTCACTCTTTCGCCTAAGCTCCAGCCCAAGAATCGGCGCCGGTCGGTGAGTCGTGGCCCCACCCAATCGCAATGTCAGGCTCGCACTGACCACTAGACAACGCTACAGCCTGATTTTTTATTGTCTTCTCTCCGCCGCTACTCTACGCTTCACGACTTCTTTGACGACCGTCCACGAACCTCGCCCTTAATACCTTTCTCACCCACTCCCTTTCCCCTCTTCACACCATGCGCACCTCCGCTTTCGCTATCCTCGCCGTCGCGGCCGCCACTGTCTCGCCGGCCCTGGCAGTGCCCATCGCATTTCCTCAGTGAGTTCCCTCACCTCATCCCTCGATCCCGCCTAACCGTAGATCCAGCCTGCCCTTCGACACGCATGTCCGGAACGGACTGCGCGCCGGCGGCGACGCAGCTCCCGAAGGGAGCGGCGCGGTCAACTGGGGCGGCGTGTGGCACAACGGCGTCGGGCTCGTCAAGTCGCTCGCCGAGCGCGGGGACATGGAGCCCGAGTCGGAGTTCATGGCCCGCGCCGTGAACTGGGAGGGCCTCGAGCACGACGTCCCCGCTGCGTTCCACTCCGGCGTGCAGGTGTGGCACGACGTGAAGGGCAAGCGCGAGGATGAGCGCGAGCTCGAGCTCGCCCGCCGCAAGGTCAACTGGAATGCCTTGGGACACGATGCTAAGAGTGCCTTCCACACGGGTGTGCGGATTTACCACGACATCAAGGGCAAGCGCGAGGACGACCTCGAGCGCGAGCTCGCCCGCCGCAAGGTTAACTGGGAGGGTCTGGAGCACGACGTCCCCTCTGCCGTCCATTCGGGCGTGAAGGTGTGGCACGACTTCAAGGTCAAGCGCGAGGACGACCTCGACCTCGAGCTCGCCCGCCGCAAGGTCAACTGGGAGGGCTTGGAGCACGATGCTCCCGCTGCGTTCCACGCGGGAGTGAAGGTCGCTCACGACTTCGGCGTGTGAACCGAGGACGAGCGCCATAGCCATGTCGTTGACGGGGACTACGTTGTGTATACCGTCTATTGACGAACGTGCTTGTTATGCGGTGCCAGTGTATAGTCAGTACCGTAGAGAAGTAGAGAATTTATTCGCTCGTTGAGGAGCTCAACCATGGAGCCTGAGGCTCATAGCTGTTGAGACTCAGCACACATGTGTCTCGTCGCGGTTGTGTCGTTACCCTAACCTGCTGGACCTGAGCTGTCTACTGAACACTGTCGAAGGCTATGCCGCTTGGCGCCGCTGCGAACGCAGGATGGAAATGTCGGTTAATTGTGCTCACTGCTTATCGCTAGAATCTGGCTTGACCAGCACCCGCGGACAAAAACCCTCAAAAGGGTTAGTTCTGCTGTGTCGGCGCTGGCAAATATTGTCAGTGTCACATCGAGAGAGAACGGGCTTATTCCCGACGCGCGCACAGTGCGCAGATCGCAATCTACGAGGTTGATGGCGGATTATGTAACCCAGACTCGCAGCCTGAGCCCAGAATTCAACTAATTGCGACTTACTGACTTTGCCTTCCACTTCCACTTTACAACGACAGTCCTGCACGTCTCGATACCAAGTTGAGCGCATAGCTTCGACGTGATGAAGTGTGCCACAGGTACCGGCGGCCTCGACCCATTTCGTCAAAATCCACGTCCTCACACACTTTCTCAACGGCCGTTCGCCTCAGTTGTCCCTCATCTCTGAGGCTGTACGACGTCGGGTGCCCCATCACAGGGACGTACCGATGGGCAGGAAGCGTCCAAGTCGCCCCGGCGCTCGACCACTGGCAGTGAAAGATAGGGGCGGTGCCTCAGGTCGTCAACTTGAACTCCAGAGACCTCGTTCATATTGCATCGGTGCGTCTCTCTGGACGCGTGCCCGGGCCACTTTCAGGCTAGATCATCTCGTTAGACATGAGGTTAGGAACACCCTTGTGCCTACCGCGTACTGAAGGACGCGTGATTCAGTACCTGTTGGGCAGGCCGCGCGAGACCGCCCACGCTGATAGCTCAACCATGGCAGCCTGAGTCTAGATGTTTTTCTGACGTGCGGATCGTGTAACGCAGAAACACACACGCCACAGACCATATGCCGGAGCATTGTCGTCCTCCGCATGTATCCACGACTTTTGGGATCGCGCAAGAATGCAGCGCCAACGGTCTGTTCTCGCCGAATGCTCAAAACCGGCAAGGCCGTTTGTGAACAACTGGATGTTTCGATCATCAGCAGTAACGCTGGACAACTTGTGGATGTGGAGCATGTCTGCTAGTGCGTTGCCTGGTGCATTCTCGCCAGTTGTTCGACGAGCTACAATTGGACCTCTGTCAAACTCTGGAAGTTTTGTGGACGGTGTTTGCTTTTCGTCTTTGCATGAAGCGTCGAATCCGGATAATGTCTGTTTCTAGAGAGGCCTTTACTTCCTCATCCACGTCTCAGGTGGAGAGATGCTACCCAAACACTATGATGCGTCGTACTAGGGTGTTCACGTTGATTGACAGAGTAGTACCGCAGCACCGCACGGTCACAATCGGCGTGGGCTACACATGGGGTCCACTTACGTGTAGTTCTCAAAGCCCTCGAGGGGCGCCAGAGACGCAGTATAAAGCCTGCGCAGGTTCAGCTAGATACCCCAGCTCAGCTCTCTCGCTCTTTCGCTCAACCCTACAACTCAAGAATCGGTGCCGGTCGGTGAGTCGCAGGCGGACTATCAGTCATTACATTCCCATTAACCAATGGACACCGCGCACACAGCCTGATTTTTGTTGTCTTTTCTCATTTCTCTTACGCCCCTCTACATTTCACGACTTCCTCCACGACTGTCTGCGAACCTCATCCTTGGTCTCATCTCTCACACCCACCCCTCTGCACAACCATGCGCACTTCCGCTTTCATTATCCTTGCCGCCGCCCTCGCCACGGTCTCGTCCGCCGTAGCCGTGCCCGTCAACTCCGCCAGGTGAGTCTATACTACTCCACCCACTCGCCCATGACTGACCTTCATCCACAAGCAGCGTGCCCGAGCACCACACGCACCGCCCAGAGAACACTGTCGCGCACCATCCGCACGTGCACGCGGCACACGCCATCCCGGAGGGCAGCCGCACATGGCAGACCGGCGCCGACTTCAGGTTTGTCAAGTCGCACGCCGGGCGCGAGGATTCGGAGGAGCTCGTACGGCGCCACAAGATCACCACGGGAGGGTCGGCGCACGACGCGCATGTCGCTCAATCCGGTGGAAGGGGACACGGCAGACGCAGCAAGATCACCGGGGGGAGTTCTGAGCACGACGCACACGTCGTTCACTCCGGCGGGAGGGGACACGGCAGGCGCGACGAAGAGCTTGCCCGGCGCCACAAGATCACCGCGGGAGGCTCGGCGCACGACGCGCACGTCGCCCACTCCGGTGGACACGGCAGACGTAGCAAGATCACTGGGGGGAGCTCTGAGCACGATGCGCATGTCGCCCACTCCGGCGGGAGGGGTCACGGTAGGCGCGACGAAGAGCTTGCCCGGCGCCACAAGATCACCGCGGGAGGCTCGGCGCACGACGCGCATGTCGCCCTCTCCGGTGGAAGGGGACACGGCAGACGCAGCAAGATCACCGGGGGGAGTTCTGAGCACGACGCACACGTCATTCACTCCGACGGCAGGGGCCACGGCAGACGCGAGGACTTCGAGGAGCTTGCCCGCCGTAAGGTCAGCTGGAAGGGCCTGGCGCACGACGCCCCCTCCGCGTTCCGCGCCGGAGCGAGGATCTACCACGACATCAAGGGCAAGCGCGACGACGAGCTTGCTCGTCGCCTGCTCACCTGGGAGCCTGAGGCTTGAAGTTGAATGTTCCAATTTGCGCTTCACGCCCCGCGTTCCTTGCCAGTGTGCGCGATTTCGCCTGACAGGAACTCGGATGGGATCCACAGGGATGCGTAGTCGATGGGGACCGCGATGTACTACTACGTTTGCTGCCGGACATGGTACAGTCAGTAGAGTGTTTGCCCTAGAGAATATAATCGCACATTGAGCAGCTCTTGGCATGACTGCGACTACGCGTTGAACCGCAGCCTGCCCGTGGAAGGTGAGACACGAGTTCGTGCTTCTAACCTTACCCGGCGCGACGCGTCGGCGGGCGCATGCGCAGATCGCAATCTGGGAGGTTTGATGGCGGCATTTGGGGGGCGCTCTCGAAACCAACTCAGAGTCATAACTAGCATGAGAACTCGGCCAAACGCCACCTTGAAGCATTCATATGCGTGACTGGCATCAGGGATGGGCCGGGGCTAGCAATCATTGTAGCCTGCTACTATTCGGGCGATATGATATACTGTATGATACTTACAATGATGAAGCTGCAGGCTCAGTACAGAGAGGAACACATCCGGCTGTTCCGAGTCTGTTCGGTGCGGCGGTGATGGTTCCTCGGCAACTTGGAGATGTACAGCACAGGAGCTACTACGGCTCCTCCTATGCTTTATAGTGCAGTAATGATAAAGAGGCTTACAGTACCTCCTACAGCACTGGCAACAGACACCCAGTCAAGTCAACGACGCCATGCCTTTCTTCCTACAACCAGCTGATCCTTCATTTGAGAAAAGCGCCTTCGCATGTGCTCCAAGAGCTTCTGGACGTACCGACCGGAGCGTGAACAAGGCTCTGCACACCTTTATGATGCGCGACTCACTGTGAGTAGTCTCGCCGCTTTGTTTCGTTCACACCTTCTTTTGTCGTAGTGGTGTCCACACTCGGACGGAGATGTGTGTTCGGTGACGCTCTCGATGGCGAGCGTATCCAGCGCCGGTAACCATCTCTCGAGGAGTAGGTCCTCTACAGTCGACATCGGCTGGTGGATACATCCGATCAGTCTAGGGTTGCCCTGCCGTAGAGAGTGCTATGTAAACCAAGTATGGACGCACCGGAAGCATACTAAAGTAAATATCATCGCCGTTCAGTTCGTAGAAAATTTGTCGCAGGGGGTAGTAGGAGCCCCTCGTCATCGTCATGTTCGCCCACATTTGATGTGTAGACGGGAGACTCATCGTGGGCCGTCGTTTCCTGCGCCCCCAGGTGGCCTGAGCCGTCTAGTAAGTAAGCCTTGTCTGAGACTATGCGTCTTGGCGTTGCGAACTCGGGATGGAGATAAAGGAGAAGTGCACTTTAATGCCGCAGGGGTTCGACAGCTTGGTCGCATCCTTGAGTGAACGTCGGTATGGAAGGTTTGTCGTGTCCGCACCACGGTGAGCAAACTGGCTCGATCTTGCACCTGATGATTTACGTTACGTACCTGAAGCCATTCTGCAGAACGGTCTGTGGGCCGTGCGCGGCACTGATCTGCCAGGCTCAGGCCCCAGCACTGAAACGATATTGTCTCGGCAAGAAGAGAACGAACTTTGCACCGTCTTGGCGGAATGCTTCGACGTAATGAACGAAGCGCTGCTTTTGTAAGAGGTGCGCACCCCGGACATCTTCCCAGTCGGTGGTGCTTCCATCCGACAAAGATCGCAATCTTGCCAACAACACGAGTCTACTGGCCTCCGTGAACATCAAACCACACTCGGAACAACCACCTTCCATGCGCGCCGCAACACCGTGTTCGAGTTTCAGCACATTAAAACCGACGATCTAAATCCCAAACTAGATGCATGCAGATGTGAACTCGATACAAGAGAAGCCAACGCACGGTGCGGCCTTTAATCGGACACCACTACCACGTCCTCATCATCATCTTGCTTCTTCTTCCTCTCCAGATCCCGCAGTATGTGCGCCATGTCCGGCAGCTCCGACCCCGAAGAGATGGAGAGTGTCGAGAGAGCACGGCTGAGCCGTTGGCGGGGCGATCCCGAGTGCAGACTGTCAGGCCCGCCCATTGCATCAAAGTCTTCTTCTGGCTGCGCCCCAATGCACGTCGCGGGGCTCCTGTTGGTGCGGGTTCCGCACCGTCATCGAAGTCTGACAGGTCCGATTCGGAGGAGTCGCTTATCTCGACATACGTGGGCGGTGCCCTTGTGCGAGGGTTTTGGCGGTGTTGCGAGGCCAAGGACATCGGGGGTTTGGAAGTCGGGGCATTGACCTGCGCTGACGGAACATCGGCGGCGACGTTGGATGTGGTACTCCGTGGCTCTGCGGTTCTTGCTGGCGCGGAGCCTGGACGTCCCTCCTTGCACCACGGGATACCTTTGTACTTTTCTCTGGATGAGATCTCGTAGGGTTCTGCCTAGTGCTCGAGCTCGGCACTGGCGCCGCCTCCTCCGGGCGGTTGTTCTCTGGTGTGTTTCCCCGTCCTACCGCCGTACGCGACGCCGTGGTGGTACGTTGTACAGATGCCACCACGAGAGGTTCGCCGCCCGCAGAATCGTCCTCGGAAGATCCAGAAACGTTATTCAAGTCGAAGAACTCCCCTTCGCTCAAGCCCTCTTCAAGAAGTGCTGCGGGGCGTTTCCTCGGGGCTGCGCCTCCCCGGCGCCGGCTGGCGGTCTTGCCTAGGGCTTTCTTACTGGGTTGCCGAGTCGGCGGTAGGACAATTTCGGCATCCTCAAGCGACTGCGCTTCTTCATCCTCCATACCGTCGGACTCGGGCTGAGGCGCGTCGTCGCCCCTGCGTCTGTAGCACCCCCGTATGACATCACCCCATAGGATGTACGTGCGACACGAACGGCACTCGCCGCCCCGGGGGATCATCGCGAGCCTGCCAGGAGTCGCATCTGTCGAGCGCTCGTGTTCAAGGAAATCGGAGCAGAGACAGGAGAGGTGCGAGACCGTAGTACAATTTGGGGAGGGGCATAGCGCGGTAGTCATCGGGTCCTGGGTCGGTCATGGCTATGAGTTGGTGTGAACTTGTATGAGGTGCGAAAGGTATGACTCACTATGATTTGGCGGTCCAAGGCTTCATTACAGACAGAACAGAGCAATGGCCTGGGCGACGCTAACACGGTGGTCCATTTTCGGAGGTGGTCCGAGGTAAAGGCCACTGGGCACACAGTTCAACGATGACGATACCAGGGGAGGTCGAAAGACTCACCATCGTTCACATCGATTGGCCCCGTTCTCCCTGTGCCCGCCTTGCCTGACTTCCCGTCCACGCCCTCGAGTTCGACCGTGTAGGAGAACCCCTGCGGAAGCGCGAGGTCGTCAGCATCACGGGCAGCATCGCTCCAGGCTTTCTCAGCTTCGGCAGTGAACAGCTTGACACGCAGAGGCCATGTGTTGTACGGGTGAGAGCATATCATACTTCGTGCGATCCTGGACAACAGTCTGCGTGAGCATGCGTATTCACCACGAGTCGAAGAGCGCGCATACGAACGAGACATTCGTCTTCAAGTACCTCGACTTCGAGTTGTTCTGGAAGACGGCCTTGCCGTCCTCGCCTCGAAGGTGACGCGAGATGTGCGGGTGCTGCCATGCCCATTCGAACTGCAGCGCTGTGAGCTTGGAGGGGAAACCGTAGACGATCATCTGCATGATCCAAGGCCTGTTGTGCTTTGTCTTCCATGCGCCTTGCGTGATTTCGCCATTGTGTTGGCTGGGCATATGAAGTGAGTGGTAACAGCACGACCGTTCACCGGCGGAAGCGCGAACCGTATGCGTCTGGGAGGGCTCGGCGTGCTCCCTATATATGTCCTTAGTAGATCTCAGAATCAGCAGGCCTTCAAGTAGACAAATGTACAGCTCACGCAGTCGCGCGCGCCGTGCGGATGCTCTTGAGTAGGTAGCATGCGTAGAACCGGGGAAAGTGGTGGTCGACTAAAGAAGACTTGACTTTGCGAGGCATCTCAGTGGATGGTTGAAAGCGAGATAGTTATACAGAGATCTGGAGATACAGTTATTGCCGCACAGCCAATGGGTTTGGAAAGCAGAAGCAGCAAGCAAGAGCCGGTCGCAGAGGTCAAGGGGTAAACTTGGGGCAACCTGGTGGCAGTCGCGCGCGTTTGTGGCAGCAACCGAGCGCGTCGCCGCGTCGATCAATTCGCGCAGTGTCACGCGCATGTCACAGCGCCACAACGAATTTCGCGTCACGTTTCCCAAGTTTAGTGGCAAGACGGTATACATTCTCTCTTCTCCCTTGCATCCGCCTGCGCTCTTGTCAGATTCTTCCGGAGCACAGAAGGGTTTACAATGGGTGAAGCTGGACCCTCTCGCGCTGCCAAACCTGCCAAGCCCAAATCGAAGAAGGGCACAAAACCGAAGAATGGTCTACACTCGTCAAAGTCGCGCAAAGTCTCGGAGGCGAAGACAATCGAAGCCTTAGAGCAGGCGGCATCACAATTTGTAAGTCCAGATATGAGGCTCGGGCTTTAGTGGTTACTTATATGTTGACGCAGCGTGATTGTTGCAGGAGCCCCCTCCGGGCTTGAAAGCTTTCGCTGACCTCCCGATCTCCGACTTCACCAAGCGAGGTAAGCATGAGCGCAACCAACATACTGTATAGTGGTGACGGTGTAATTATCACCAGGTTTGAAGAAAGCATACTTCACGAAGATGACAGACATCCAGGCGAAAAGTCTGCCTGTGTCGCTGAAGGGCAAGGACGTTCTAGGCGCAGCGAGGACAGGGAGCGGCAAGACGCTGGCCTTCCTGATCCCTGTTCTAGAGATGTTGTATCGGAGAAAGTGGGGTCCTCAGGATGGTCTTGGAGCTTTGATTATTTCGCCTACACGAGAGCTGGTGCGTCTGTCTAACGCTTAGGTTTTGACTTGACTGAATGACCCCGTGCAGGCAGTCCAAATATTTGACGTGCTACGATCCATAGGTGGCTACCATAGCTTTTCTGCGGGACTGGTTATCGGAGGGAAGAACCTCAAAGACGAGAGGGAGCGTCTTTCTCGGATGAACATCCTAGTCGCGACCCCTGGCCGTCTATTGCAGCACATGGACCAGACCATCGGCTTTGAGTGTGATAACCTGCAGATCCTCGTTCTTGACGAAGCCGATCGTATTCTCGACATGGGATTCCACCGCACTCTCACTGCGCTCCTCTTCCATCTTCCAAAAACTCGGCAAACCCTCCTCTTCTCAGCTACGCAAACCGACTCAGTCGTATCCCTCGCTCGTCTCTCGCTGACCGACCCAGTCTCAATTGGTGTAGCCGAAAGCTCCAGCTCCCTCGCCACACCGGCATCCCTCCAGCAGAACTACGTCGTGACCACTCTCGACCAGAAACTCTCCCTCCTTTGGTCCTTCCTTAAGTCGCACCTTCAAGCCAAGACACTCGTCTTCCTCTCGAGCTGTAAGCAGGTCCGGTTCGTCTTCGAGACCTTCCGGCGACTGCACCCTGGTGTACCCCTGCTGCACTTACACGGGAAGCAGAAGCAGACAATACGGCTCGAGACGTTCCAGCGCTTCACCGGCATGCAGAAGGCCGTCTTATTGGCTACCGACATTGCAGCGCGGGGGCTCGACTTCCCCTCCGTCGACTGGGTCGTCCAGGTCGACGCGCCAGAGGATGCGGAAACGTACGTGCACCGTGTCGGCCGCACGGCGCGTTATGAGAGCTCGGGCCGTGCACTGCTGTTCTTGATGCCGAGTGAGGAGGAAGGGATGAAGGCTGCGTTAGAGAAGAAGGGATTGCAGGTGGAGAAGATCAAGATCCGAGCGAGCAAGACGCAGAACATCGAGAACCAGCTGCAGAATCTGGCCTTTCAAGATCCTGAGATCAAGTATCTGGGACAGCGGGTAAGTCATAGCGACGTTCATATCTTGCGAATGGCCTGCTGATGCATCGTGTCGGATAGACATTCGTCTCGTATCTGCGCTCTGTCCACCTGCAGAAGGACAAGTCTGTATTCAAGGTCGACGAGCTGCCGGTGGAGCGCTTTGCGGAGTCACTCGGTCTCCCTGGGATGCCCAAAATTAAGTTCTTGAGCAGGGAACTGGCAAAGAAGAAGAAAAATGCAAGTCATGCTGTCGCGATCGCCGAGTCTAGCGCCGCTCGCCAGGCGCGGGAAAGCGAGGGAGAGGAGAGCGAGGCCTCCAGGAGTGGCTCGGGCTCAGAAACGAGAGCAGCGGCGCGTCAAGCGATGACGAGGAGCAGCAACCTGGGAAAGACAAGGAGAAGGAGAAGGCGAGCCGCGTGCGGACGAAGTACGATCGGATGTTCGAGCGCAAGAACCAGAACATCCTCTCGGAGCACTACACCAAGCTCGTCGAGCACGCCACTGGGTCCGACGAGGAGGACGACTTCATCACCCTCAAGCGGGCGGACCATGAGCTGCCCGCGGACCCGTCTGCCATGCCTGAATCTGAGTACACCTCGAAGCGCAAGCAGAGGATGGCGCTGTCGAAGAAGGCAGTCGTCAAGTCTGGCCCGCAGGGAAACAAGCTTGTGTTTGACGACGAGGGTGGCGCGCATGAGATCTACGAGATGAAAGCGCCAGAAGAGGTCTTCGGGGAGGGCGGCGCTGCGGTCAAGGAGGCAGGGAGGGTGTTCGTCGAGGGCGAGAGGGGGCGAATGAAGGAGGCGGATGTCAAGGATAAGGAGGAGGCGCGAGAGAAGAAGAGAGAGAGGAAGAGGAAGAGGAAGGAGAGGGAACGTGAGGTATGTGACTGAAGAGCGAATGGATTGATGTCTAAGCTGACATTGATGACCGTCACAGGGAATGGGTGATAGCGGACCGATGGCAGCCACTCAAGATCCTCTGGGTGAGGACGATGGCTATGTCAGCCCGGAGTTCGACTTGCCCTCCGAGGACGAGGACGAGGACGAGGCGCCTCCTGCAAAGCGCAACAGACCTTCTGGTGGTCAAGGTCGCAAACACAGTTCTGATGGCGCCACACTTGAAGAAGAAGAGGAGTTGGCCTTACAGTTTCTACGTAGTCGCCGGTAGTATCTTCTATGTATGCTTTGAATCACTATCCCCCTGCTTCCACAGGACGTACGAGAATTGCATACCTACTGCATCGTGTGGGGTATCAGCATCTTACTGCCGCCTTACATCACAGATGCATGTTCGAGACTCGGAAGCCATCCGTTTGAGTTGGCATGACAGTGAGGCTTACTTTTCCGGAGACTAGTCGTCCTTTGGCGAACCCGAGCTCACGAGCTAGTTAGTCCGCTCAGACCCCACGCGGCGCTCACGTGCGGGTTGTGTCGAACCTAGCTCACGAGCGGTGAAGATGGTAGAGACGAGGGCCTCACTCATCGATGGTATTGGGTACTGGACGGTGCGCGTTACGCTCGAAAGGTGAGGTGGTCATGATGCATGATGGCGCAAAGACAATGGAGCGCCGGCCAGCAGTTCGTCACACTGGCAGTTCGATTCTCACCGGGTTCACATTTGAAACTCTGCGAGCTTAACCTGTGTGCATTCAAGCGGTGATATCTCCCGGTTCAAGACAGCGGACACGCCGTCGGAAACCTGCTGTACTTCGTCGAGTAGATGGGCCCGAAGCTCGAGGTGTCGGACGTCGACATCGTGGCATGACAGGAACGCGAAATCAAGTACAGGATCAACAGGAGCACGCCGAGCGGCACGACTCCAAGGACTAGCCCCTTAACGACATCAAGTAGATGCATAAAAAATGCTGCCTGCATGTGGCGAATCAAGGACTGGCACGGACGGATACTAAGTCCAAGAAACATCGTCTAGTCTTCCCCATCTGAAGTAACAAGTTGCAATCTTCCTTTCTTTTTGACCTCTAGAGCGGATGGAAGCGGCGACGGAGATTTTACAGTTCTGTCCTCGGCATTGGCAGGTGTCGGATGCGGATCTTGCGTAGTGTCCTCCACAGCTTCACTGGCCAACTTCCGCCGTGGACGCGGCCTTGGCCTCGGCTTTGGCGGCTCTGCCTCGACAGGGTCAGGGGAGGTTGGCTGAGTTGAGGGAGATCTTCTGGGCGAGCCGAAAAGGTTCAGGTCGCTGTCGTCTGAATCGCTGTCGTCGCCCTTCGGTGCACTCTGTGCCTCCTCCACTTCCTCCTCTGCGTCGGCCCCCTTCCGCCCTTTGCGCCGCCTCTTCTTTGCACCGCCGTCATCCGTCGCCCGCTTGCGCCGCTTCTTCGTCCCAGTAGGCCTCATTGTCGCGATATGCCCTGTGGACGCCGCCAACAGCGCAGTCCGCTCTCTGAGAGCCTTCTCCTTCTCGAGGAAGGCCTCTAAGTCCTCCATCTCCGCATCGCTGTCCTCGATGAACTGTGCGGACTTGTACTGCTGCTTCTCCTTTTTCTTCTTCTCCTTCCGCTTCTTCGGCTCTTCGCCCTCCGAGGCGCTCGCATCAGGGTCGGGGGAAGGCGAACGGCGTCGCCGCCGTCTGCGTCGTTTCTTGTTGAGTAGCTGCGACGCTTTCTTACCATCAAGTTCGATCGGGCTCTCGAGGAACTGGTTGATAACGTTGAGATAGCTTTGGAGATCAGAGGGCAAAATCGCTGCAGGGATGTGCCATTCCAGCTCATTCGCGTCTGTTCCGTACGGTCAATGATGTGACGCTAGAATTGCTGATTCTCCTCGCCTCACCTTCGTCCAGAATCTCGAATTTTATGAGACGAAACAGAAGCTTGAGATGCGGATCTTGAGTGGCGGCATTGGCTTGTTCGTCAGTGACATAGGGAATTACTAACGAAATTGTGAAAGATCGTCCTCAGTACACTCGAACGTCTGCAACAAAAGACTCACAGTAGTCGGTGATCTTTGCGAGAGCTTCCTCAGACGGTCCTCTTTTCGCAGTGACCGCCGCGAGCTCGTTCTCGTGCTCGTCGTCGCTGTCCACGTCGATGACGTTCGAAGACGAGCCATCCGTATCCTCGATGATACGTTGTCGCTGCCCCATAGCGAGCATGAGAATCTAGGGATCCAATCGTTAGAGCACTGCGTGACTGCCCATGCACATTCATCTCACCTGCTTCACCCAGTCTATCAACTCGATCTTGCCCTCCTCAACCAGACACGCGATCGCGATGCCGAGCTGCTCGCTCCATGAATATCCTTTCTTGACCTGGACATCCTGCGGGAACCTGGTGTCCTCCACTTTCTCAGCCCGACCGCTCTTCTTCTCCTCGGGCGTCCAACTCGAGAATTCCTTCCAGTGGCCCCGGTTCATGGGGAAGACGCCTGACAACGAGGAACGATTCCTCCTCAACGGCCTTGAAAAACTGGCGCAAGATGTATTGATGAGATTCATGAGGTCTTTGTAGGGCTGGTCCTTTGGCATGGACTTCTCGTCCGCGAGAATGTTCTTGAAGAGATCCAGAGTAGATACCTATGTGGATGCAATCAGTTAGCAACCGTCTCGCTGCGAAGGTTGTTGATGCACAGACGTTGAAGTAGAGACCCTCTGCCTTGGCCTTGACGGCTTGCCGATGCATCAGGCTCACGACGCGCTTCATCTTGTCCGCTGACGTGAACTCCTTGTACCGGGAGACGCACGACAGCAGAGTTTGTGTGATGTCCGAGTGAGCGAATTTCTAGGAGACATGGTCAGGACGCGACCGCAAGCCGTCAGTGACAACATACCGCTTCAAACATGTCGAATGTGAACATGGTCTCATGGATCATGTCATCCTGATCGACTTGCGGCTCCTCTTCTTCATCCGGTACGCCGTCGTCCTCACCTTCCCGGCACCTGAGATCGACGCGTTGGCTCGTCGAACCTCGTTGTTCAAGAGAACCTACGCACCTTTCCTTCTCCTCGCCTTCTCTTTCCGCCGGACATACATCTCACCCTTCCCGCTGCGTTTCTTTCCCCAGCGCTCGAGCATCCGGAAGAGCGCATACGCAAGGTGCACACTCGAATCAAGGTATGCCAGACTCTGCGTGTTCTCCCGGTACGCACGGAGGCTGTCAAACGCAAGGTCCAGCACCTCGCCGTTGTAGATGAGTTGCTGCTGGAGAACGTCCGCGACATCAGCTTCGGAGGCGACAGGCGACGTAGACATAGCGTCGATCAAGAGGACGAGCTGCGTGAGACAGTCGATGCCGGCTTGGAGCTCGTTCCAGGCTTTCGGCTGTCGCAGAGGGTCAGAGAGGGTTGTTAGCATCAGGATGGAGCGCACCTTCTCTTCCACGGCCTGACGCATGCGCTTCAGCACCCAGACAATCCATGCCCGATCAGTCACCTCTGCGATCAGACCGAAACTCCATGCGTTGTCGGATCCTTGGCTGGCACGGACACATAGAAAGAACTCCAGGAACCACTTCGCCACATACAGCAGCCGGAGGTTATCCTTCTCGGTGATCTTCGCCCTCTCGGCTCTGATATCCTTCAGTAGCGATGAGAGGAACGCTGTGTTTGCAACATGACTCTTCAAACCCCGTGTCGAAGCGAGTGACGGGACACTCACAATTGAAGCAAGCCTCGATGAATGTGCGCGCGAGGTTCTGTAGTAAGAGTTTCGCGTCCACGGATAGGTTGTCCTCTCGCGCCAGCTCATCTACCTTCTTGCTCTTTTGCTTCCTCTGTTTCTTCAACTGATCCACGATGCTGCCTGAGTCTCGGTTTAGCGCTTGCTGGTGGTGGAGGACCAATGTCTGGGATGCTCCTGCCGGTTCGGCATCAGCCTGCGGGGCCTCTTCGTCGACCGCTTTTGCTTGCGACTTCTTGGGGTTCAGTTTGACTGAGAGTGTTGTACCGAATCGGGAGTGTCGTGATGTAGCATTCCGGCGAAAGTCTCGCCTCCGCTGGTCCTCTACAGCGAGGAGGCGCCGCAGGTTCTGCGTTGGCTCCTGAACCGCGTTGAGCACATGCGATCCAAAAAGACCCGTAAAGCCGCACCTTACTTTGGTCCGACGCTAGCGAGGAAGGCGTGATGCCTCGGAAGAGAAGATAGAACATCTCGAGTACAAGAGCGTTCCAACCGTTGAACATCGGGTCGGTGCTGACGCTTGACGCGATTGTAACGAGAAAGTCCAGAACATTCGCGTCTGACAGCGTTTTGACCAGGCGAGACTGCAAAGATGAAAACTCGGCCTGGTCTGCGCTGAGGTGCATGTTCGGCGGCAAGTCCTTGATGAACGCCAGGTTGCGAATAAGGTAAAGCACAACGTTGATGATTTGGATGTCCCGCTCCTTGCGCTCCTTGGGACTCTTGGCCAAACATGGCAGGGTGATCCCGAAAAGTGCCTGGATGACACCTGGCCTCAGGAGAGCCGCCTTGTAGTGCAGATGGCTGAGCGCGAGCTGCGTGTAGTCCGTCCCCTTGTCGTGCTCTTCATCGAGCTCCTTCAACTCCTCCGCCATGTCAATCGGCCATGTCATCGCGGTCATGAGATCGGCGCATGCAATGGCGCACTTGTCTTCCAGGAGTCCCTTGCCTGCGGTCTCCAACAGAATAGGAACGAGGTCGTTGGGAAGTACCCTCGTCTCCCAGAAGATACGAGCCACAGTACGCTCATCATCCGTGTCATCCTTCCTCCAGAGCTTCTTGAGATCCTTCAAGCACCCATAACATTCGTCACCGAGGCGATACGACCCGTTCTCGTAGCCACCGAGCGCGTCGACCACGCTCCGGATGGCAGGTTCGAGGATGGCACGCCGATCCAGGTATTCTTCATCGCCAGAGGCATCAGAGATAGATATAGCGTCGTCTTCCATGGTTGAAATTGGCGATGAGGGTAATGGCGCGGTCGTGGGCGAAGGAAAGGCGGTTAGCGCGACTCAAGCGCGACGCGTCTCAAACGTGACGACGCGAACAATCACAGTGTGATGCATGTGACGTGTCGCGTCTGTCACTAACTTGAATTGGACTGGAGGCTTGGAGCTGTGCGCACTGCCGCTGGAATGAACTTTGCCTCAAGCTCTCAAGATCTCAAATCCCCTAAGTATCTGCGTCCCCCCGAGTACATCCTGAATCGCGACACTGCATGATCTCTTGGCTACGAAGGATGAGATATCGCACTCATGTTGCTGGAGAAAAGGCACGGTAAGTGCATCGAATCTATCGTGCTCGCTGATCAATCGACCCATGTTAGTATGAATACCGTACGCACGAACAGGCGGTAGTGGCAATATACCAGAATATCTGCCAAGTATGAGAATGTTCTTCAATGCGCTCTGGAAAGAATGTCCAAGGAGCATTAACTGATCAGAATGGCAACAAGTAACGCGTCACTGACCCTTGGACGAGACGGCCAGACTCGCTGGCGTCGGGCTCGACATGCGGCAATGGAGTGTAGTTCAACTCCCCTTAGCTCCGTGCACAATAAGTACTCACATGTAATCATCTCACCTTTAACATCGTTGTTCCTCACTTCCCTTCATTCTGAGCCGAGCTTCTCATTTCCTGTTGCAGTGCGGCCGCTGGCTTTGAGAGATATCCTCAAGTACTCTGCTTATAGGACCGCACAGTTTACCGCAAGATGCGAACTGCCTGTACGGACGTATTCCGGTTGCGCTCGATGCTGTGTGACACTGACAAAGTCTCATCTCGCGCTGATGACAGAAAGCGCTGATGAAACTCAGCAATGATTTACGGCAGAAAGACGCTCCTTGTCAGACTGCCATCCTGCTACCATCCAAACCTGTGCTGTGTATTAGGCTGCATATGGACCTCCTATTCGCGGACCGGCTATGGCACGATCAAACGCATCGACCGCGCGCCCCTGATCATGAGCCTTCGGGCGATGAGTCCAACCGGCCACGCAGTTTATTGGCGGCGCTGTGCGGCCGTCCTGTGTAATAAAGAGACAGTCGACGGGTACATAGCGTCCTACCGACCCCCTTTGTCTAGCTGGACCTTCGCCAGACCCCTTCGCTTCCCTCCTACTCTCACCTCTAAGGCTGCTAGACCGTGAGTTATTCCTGCACTGTGCACGACGTCGACTTATGTCCTAATAGGTGACCGAGGACATCATGGCACTTGCGTTCGACAATTATGCATCTGCTCCCGACGCTTACAACCCATATACAGCTTCATCGCAGTCATATCCTACTCTTGCACCTATTGGTCATAATCAACCCACGAAGATATTCACGGCAAAGGAGCTCCTGAATGACCCATCTACGGCATTTCTTATCACCTGTCTGCCCACAGTTGCAACACTATCCGTGCAGCTCAACGCCGTTCAAGAGCCATCTTACGACCCGGCCGGTCAAGTGACATGGTGTCATGAAGTCCTTGACCTCGTCGAACGCACCCAGCGTCTGCAGGCAACTACCAGCAGCCTGAAGCCCGGCCGCCCACCTTCAGGTAAACCCGCGCGCGTCACGGACCCAGAGCTGCAGCGCCTCGTTGACGTCGCGCTCCCGATGCTTCAGAAACTCGCGGGGCGCAAGAAGGCGATGCAGAGCTTCGTACCCGGATACGTCTCGGAAGCGGTCTACCTGTACTCGACGTGCGAGGCGAACGGCGCGTTCCCGCAACACATCGCGCATAATCCGAAGCGCGCGTTCACGCAGTGTGAACAAGCGGCGAAGGCAGGCTACGACCCCGCGTGGCTCGACCTTGCGCGCGACTTCGAGAAGTTCGGAGACGCAGTACATGCGAGAGAGTGTTACGAGCATGGTGCAGCGCATGTCGTGCCGGGGTGTCTCTTTGTACGTCATCTCGCCATGTTGTGATCCTGCGTACGGCTAGCTGAAGAACGCACTCTTAGCGACTAGGCATGGCTTACCTATCGGGTCAATTGGGCCTCCCGCGTTCGCCAGAGCAAGCACTGCCGCTGCTCAAGCAAGCTGCCGCCCTCTCCACTGCGGACACGCCACATCCTGCCTACGTCTACGCCCTACTCCTTCTGAACGAATTGGCCAACCTCTCCGTCCAACCATACCTCCTCGCGCCGCATGTTGCGCCGGGCTCCACGCCCGCGCTCGAGGCGCGGCGGCACCTCGAGCGCGCAGCGTACCTGATGCACGGGCCCGCGCAGACGCGGCTTGGGCAGGCATTCGAGCTCGCGGACGAGGCGGGTGGCTTCCCATTCGATGCCGCGCTGAGCGTACAATACTACGGCTTGGCGGCAGCCCAAGGTGACGCAGATGCGGAGATGGCGCTGAGCAAATGGTTCTTGTGCGGATCTGAGGGCATATTCGAGCGCGATGAAGGGTTGGCGTATCAGTACGCGGAGAGTGCGGCGCGGAGGGGGCTGCCGAGTGGGATGTTCGCAATGGGGTACTACATGGAAGTGGGCGTGGGGTGCGAGAAGGACTTGGTGGCGGCGCAGAAGTGGTACCAGATGGTGAGGATCTAACACGTCCTGTAGCCCAGCGCGAATGCTGACTGGGCTGGTTCGACAGGCTGCTCACAGGGTAATGCTGATGCATCTGAGCGGTTGCAAGCGCTCTCTAGATCAAAATCGCTGTCGCGCAAGGAGCATGAGCAGCTCACGGAGACGACTCTTGTCCGCAAACGCACCCAGGCGCGCATGCGGTCCGAGGCGAATCCGCGCAACGATGCGCCGCCCATGACCTCAGGTTCTACTGCCTATCCCCCTCCTAATGTCGCCTCCGCGCCTCCCATGCCTCCCCCGGGCGCAGCGGCTCCCCGAATGACTGCTCTACCTCCACAGGGCGGTTATTCACAACACTGCCCTCCAGCAGCAGAGGTGCGCCCTCTCACATTTCGCGGCCGCTCGCCTCCACAGCAACAGCCCGGCTTCCCAATACCCAACGGGCCTCCACGGGGCCGCGAATCTTCCTTGGGCCCCGGCGCAACGTCCTCGCGAGGACCCTCTGCCATTCCTCCGCGTGGCTACACACCCACTGGCTCGCGTGGTTCATCTCCCGCGCCAAACAGAGCGCCGGACCAATATGCATACCATCGCAGGGCACATTCCGCTGCTCCATACCCCTCTGTGCCGATGGAATGGCAGTACCCCGCGCAAGGCCAGCGCTCCTCGTCCCGAGCCCCGGGCCCGTCGAATTCCCTTCCCGTGCCCCAGTCGCTGCCGTCCCGCGCACCAAGCCCGGGGCGCCCGCCGATGCAGGCGACATACCGAGGCCCGCAGACCTTCAGGGATATGGGTATCTCCACTGCAAAGGTAGAGGAAAAGGAGTGCATCATTATGTAACGCTGAGACACGACTCGAGATGATAAGTTATTGTCGTGTAGTAATAGTATCAAACACGGACTGATGTTTTGCTGTCGTTAGTTTGGAACTCATCGTTGGAACTATATCATCCTATCTTGTTGTTGCCCTTCGACGGTTGTTTTCAGTTCGCGGTGCTCTGCTCATCTTGAAATCGGTACTGATGCTTTGCACGGGCGCCGGCGTCAACTTCCCCACGCTGACATGAGCGGGCGCATATATCGCAATAGTTGTCCTCTTCCTACGTCTTTCTTGTCATAGATATGCTCACTCTCGCAGCTCGCCTTCGACATACTACAGGTTGTGCGCTCAGTACAGAGATTGTGGGAGCCATGTTTGGGTTCATTATTTCACTTGAACACTGAGCCTGAGGCTGACAGCGAAGCGTCCGGTTCACGAGTCTTGAAACCATGGTCTTCTTGGTCCACGACCGTGATTCGCAGTCATCAATGAAGTAAGTCGTTCTCAGAGGAGCTTGTGTTGTCTGAATGACAATCCGTCTGTGCCTAGGTGCTGTTACCAGGATGGACAACCGATGCTCCAGAGTTCTACCACCTCTCCCACGCCCATGTATGCAGCTTTCTGCTACTTAGGTGTGTGCCTCATATCTAGTGTTGTCCATGTACACTGTCGCAGTGGACAGGTGCATTTGTATCAGCGATCCTGAGGCCCTGGCTGGAACTATGGATGAATAGCTCCGTCTTTCTGCATGGTCGCCTCGACCCGTATCTCCCCAGCGTTTTCGAATGTCCGTTCCCTGGATGGCACCCTGACTGCTTGGTACCACACTCTCAGCAGCATGTCTGACTGCCAATAACGATCCCTATCATGACGAGGATCATGATCGTTCCGTCCTGCTTTGCTCGACAGATATGTGAATGCATACGCTGCTGTCGCACTCTCGACTTGTTCAGCCAAGGCCGTGGTATCACCTTCAAGTCGGATCTTGCCAATAGTTGCCACTGGACATCGGACCGGCGTCCGCGTTTCAAATGTGGCCGGTAACGAGTGGCTCACGACACGCGCGGGCAACACGCGTTGAGCACTCCATTATGTCTCACAGTACCAAATATGCATGCCATTCATCCTTCTCATATGCGTCACCCTCTCAAGCTGATATCGAGCTTATAGATGTCTACAGCTCCGTCGAAAGTCTTTCGGGACCCTAGTCTTTGGTACATCGACTCGGAACAGGCCGCTGTCACTAGGGCTGTTCATGCTACGACGCAGAAGGTGCGACATGTTGTAGTCAGGATCTTGTATCATGTTCCCCCCTGCCATGGAGAACAAGGTGCGTATTCATCCGATACGGGAACTCTTGTGGACTGGCGGCAAGTTTTGTTCTTCCGTCGCGCACACAACTATCCAAATGAAGGAACAGGGCGCGTATTTGAAACTACTTTGGTTCGTGGGTCCGTATTTGCAGGTCGCCAAACAACTTCCTTAGCAGGCAGGAATCAATCCGACTACGCTCATACCCTGCACAGAGGCTGCATCAGACAGGGCGATCCACGCTCTTTGCTTGGTATAAAATGGCCCGCTTCGCCCCTATGTTCGTCGCATTCGTCCTTGGCCACCAGCCCCCCTCGCCCTATATAAACCGGCATGCGTTTCCGCGAATTCAAGCTAGACGCCCTCACCCTCAGCTCTAAACAGAAGGCCCTCTCAGCGTCTCGAAGACTTGTACTCTCCGCGAAACTCAGGACCCGACGTCCGTTCCACTCTGAATACTTCGAACGCCCCGAAGAGAACGTCAGGATGGCGCAGCCAACCTCGTCCACATCGGAAGGTTGGACCCCTACGTCGAGGATTCGCTCGTGGTGTCTGTACCAGAGACCATCGAGAGGCCCCCACTACCTCCGGTGCTGTCCCACATGATAGGAAAGTTCGAACCAGAACTGGCAGACATCCCCGTCGAGTACGCACGCGAAGCACTCGCGTCCATGGGTACCAGGTATGCGTGGACTCTCATCACATCCCATGAGCCACTTCACTCACCAGACGTGTCTTACAGGTTGATGGGTGTCTTCGAGAAGTGCCGTGTCGATCCGCCGCGATTGGCCGTCAGATCTGAAGTCAACCTCATCGTCACGGACACTGGCCTAACGTGTCTACCGACCCACGCTCTTGCGATCCACTCTCCCGCGGAGCCCTCCACAGGCTCTCCTTCCGACAGAGCCAACAACCTTGACGGCCGCGGCCGGGAGGTGATCGTTATACCATCCACGCGGTCATCCTCGTCGCGAACTGCGGGCGGCTACCCTCGCAGATGCCCGAATCCCGCCCGCGGCCCCCTCCGAACCAGATCATCTTCTCGGGTGGCGAGATCGCAAACGGATACCGCATTCCGTTGGTGACCTGCTGCTTGCCGATGCCCCAGGCCTTCGAGCCCCTCATGAGGTACCTGTACACGCACGACAACGACGAGCTCCTCAATGCGCTCCTACCCATGAAGGTCCCCTTCGACGTTTCCGGCGACAGGTCGCCACTGTACGTACCGAACCCTGGTCTCCGCCAAGGCGTCGGGCGGAAGCAGCGCCTCAACCGCGTGGCATCCGAGTGCTTTGCGTTCTACGGCGGACAGATCTCATCCATGTACCAGCGAGCGAAGTTCCTCGAGGGCTTCTGGAGGAACGCGATCGCTGTGGCCGTGTCGGACGACGGCATGTGGGAGACGCTGCAGCTCGCATACGAGGCGCTCGTGCAGGCCATGAAGTGGGCCAGGGACGCACACGTCCAGATCTTTGAGCGCGAAGCGAGGGACGTGGGGTTCGCTGCGCGGATGCGCGCCGACTTCGGCGTCGTGCCCATCGACACACCTCAGGCGAGAGCCATGAAGACATCGATTCTCACTCAGAGATACGTGCAGTCACTCCTGTCTACTGGGCAAGGGAACTGTTATCCACCTGAACTTCCAGGGGATCCGACCTACCAATAAATCCCGCGGTGTTACATTCCCTTCACACCAGACCCACTGGACGGACATGCATCTATGTAGCCAACAGTAACAACATGTACGCAGTTTTGTATGCCAACGTATGATGTCAATATGTACTTACCTTGTATGCAACCGAATGGATCGACTTACTTATGCACTGGATACTAGTCGATGCGGACAAGGGGCGTGCATTCGTCATAACGACTCGTAACGGGTAACTACACAGAACTCACACGAACAGAGCATTGACAGAGTGGGGTAACCGCTGCATGACAGCAATACGAAGAGATTCAGCATGCGAGTGATAATGTAAACTTCGTCGTAACGTCCGGACGTCCAAGAAACACACCCTCACGCCTTATCCTGATCGAAGAAAGCCACCAACTCTCCTACAGGTGCCCTGGGCTTCCCAGGCATCACCTTTGGTGGGTTCGGCTGGACACCCGTCAAGGCATCCTTTGTTTGTCGGCGCACAACCAGCGGGTCCACGAACTTGGACGTGAGGGTAGCGGGCACGGGCGCGCCGTTGCTATCTGATATCCCCAATCCAAACCTGTCGGTTGACCGCGAACGCAGGCGGACGTTCAGGGGAGTGACAGGAGACGGCGCAGCGATCGAGAATTGCGAGCCGTACATCGTCTGCGGGCGTGCACGCTTCGCAGACGGTGTCGAGATGGGTGAAACAGACGGTGATCTTCGTTCCTCGTCGTCTGTTGCATCCGAGGCGGCTGCTGCAGCAATACCGGAGCGTCGCCCGGCTGACTTGCCAACGGTCTCCTCGTTGGCACCCGAGTCGCTGTCCGAGTCGTCGGCATCAGGCTTCGGCGAGGTGGACAATGGAGACGTCGAGAAGAACGCAGTGCTGATCTCTCTGGATTGACTACGCCGGTGAGGTGTGACTGGAAGTTCGCGTTCCTCGTAGCTCTCACGATACCCGCGCTTCATAATCGGCTTGTCGAGTGCGACAGTGTACCGCTTCGGGGTCGGGCTCACGCTGTTGGTGCGTGCAGCAGGGAGGCTTGGGGGGGACAATGCCGGCGGGCTGGCAGCAGACATGGGCGACTCTCCGCGGGAACGCCAGAAGGTGAGATACTGACGGAGGCCATGCCTTGCCCCGGCAGCCCGGAGATTGACATGTGTCGATGCCTAGTGGCAGAGGTGATTGACGATGGAGGGGAATTAGGAGGTGAGAATGCGCCTTGTCCGAACATTGTACTGTCCGGTGGAGTAGCATAGTCGCCTGTAGGGTACGGAAGACGCGTTCGCGAGTTCCGCGAGGAACCCACCGCAGTGGTCGTGGGTGGACTGACGGATGCAGCTACGCGCGGTGGCGTAGATGTTGGACTCGTAGCGACATTCTGAGAGATGGAACGGACCGCGACGGCCGAGGTCGCAGAGGGCGCACGCGCGATGGCAGCAGAGTTGCGGGAGGGGCCCGAGGCGAGGTTGCCCGGCGCCGTTATGAGCTTGGCCATCTCGCGACCCAACTCACTCACGCGGGCCTGCATCTCTGCCAGTTCTTCTCGAACCTCACTCAGGCCACCTTCCCCTTCAGCGTCTGTTCCGTTCACTCTCGGTTTCGTGCCCGTTTCTTTCTCCTTCTCCTTCTCCACGAGCCACCGCTCTACGTCGTCCATGCGTTCCTCCAAGGCTCGGACGTGACCAACAGTCCATTTCTCCAGTTTTTCGAAACGCTTGGCGATGGTCAATAGTGTAGTCGGCACGTCAAGACTGCCCTGAACGTTGAACTGCGCGTAGATAGGCTGTCCATGTGAAGATCCGTCGCCTGAGCGCAGGGGAGACGCCGTGAGACTTGGTGGCGGATGGAATGAACCTGGAGACGATAGCGCGGCGGATATGGGTCGCACTGGTGTTGTCAAACCTGACGAGGCGGCCGCGAGACCTAGTGTCATGAACGCAGGATCCTCGAATTTGCTCTCGGGTGCAGCTGGCCAATCGCTGTCCTTGCTCTTCTGCCTCTGCTTCTCTTTCTTCTTCTTTCCTTTCTCTTGCTCCTTCTCGCGGACCTTGGTTTCGTGGATGACTTGCTGTGCGGGGTAAGGGACTCCTTGGTCGGCGTCAGCTTGTTCTTCGCAGCTGCCCACCAGCTGCTGTCCTTCTGCGAAGTTGGAGATGGGGGCGTGCCTGGCGGCATAGTTTGGGAGCGCGAAGGCGGCAGTGGAAGCGAGTTAGGAGATCCTCCATCAGCGCCGTTGAGCATCGCCATGACGCGCTGCTCGACAGTCCGCCGGTCTTCAGCCTCCTGGCGCATAATACGCTCAGCCTCTCGCCTGCTCCACTCTCGTTGTCGTTCGGCCTCTGCCTCGAGCTCGTCGTCCGTAGGCAGGTCGTTCGTGCGCGATCCAGGACTCACGCTGTTCACGAGCGACCCTACTCGCTGAGCAATGTTGGCCGCAAACTTCGCAACCGATGGAGACGGGGAGTGTGAGCGTGTCCACGACCTGCCTTCGTGCGAACCCTCCGACTGGTGCACAGAGCCATCTTCGGACTCGCTGATCTCGCCCGTGTTAGGGTCGATTGTCGTTGCCTTCCTCAGGGGCGACGGAGGGCGTCGGTGCCCATACACCGGTTCTGGCTGCTCATTACGCGTTCAACGCGTGGAGCACGCATATGTGCGGGAACACTGACCAGATTGAGCGGCGATGGTGGTGGGAGCGAGGGCGAGGTCATTCGCCGCTGCCTCATATCCATTTGAGGCGGTACAAGATTGGTCGTAGACATAGACGCTGCCGGGCGATGGGAGGGAGAGTACGCCATCGTCGTTGGACGAGCGCGAAGCTCAGGTTCGTCGTCGTCGCATGCGGCAGTGAGCTCGGCCTACGAACAGCGCTGGTGCTGCAGCGGAACGCATAACCCTACTTTTGGAAATTGCCGCTGATATTGATTACGGCGATTAAAGATAAGTCAACATATCCTATAATATTGGTGTTAGTCTGAACGCGCTGGACTCTTCGTCGTCGACACCCATCACCAAGTCGACCTTCACGATGAGTACGGCCACGTCGAGCTTAGAGCCCCTCTTCACGCTCGTCGCTCAGTCCTATGAGACGTTGGAGTCCAACTTCTTCAAAATACCCGGCTCAGCGGTCATCGCACGATATGTGAAGTCCTCCCACCGCGACGATCCTGGCCGTACTCTCCTCGAGGTCATCCTCATCATCTTCGCCATCCGTACGCTACTCCAATCCAGGACAAAGGCTGAAGCGTCGGGAAAACATTTCATCGAGTTCTCCGAAAAGGTGTGCGTCCAGGCTGGCGCGCAGCAGACGTGTTCTGACCCTGCGCGATAGGAAATCAACGAGCTTGTAGATGAATGGTCCCCGGAATCCCTCACTCAGCCCTTGGACGAGGCCGAACGCGCTGAGCTCGATTCTGTTCCGGTCATTGCTGGCCCGAATGGACCGAAGCCCAAACTCGCGAATGGGAAGACGGTGCTGAACCTGGCTAGCTACAACTTCACCGGTCTCGCAGGGAACCAGACGATCAAGGAGCGTTGTGTTGATATCCTACGGAGATACGGCTTGGGGAGCTGCAGCCCTCCTGGTTTCTACGGTTCACAGGGTGCGTGCTGGCTCGACGTCGCTTGGCGCCCATACTGATGGCTGTGCAGACGTCCAGACTCAGCTTGAGCAGGACATTGCGGACTTCCTGGGCACGGAGGCCGCCATCTTGTACTCTCAGGCGTTCTCCACGATCTCCTCCGTCATTCCTGCCTTCTGCAAGCGTGGCGACATTATCGTGGCAGACCGCAGTGTGAATTTCGCTATTCAGAAGGGCTTGGAGATCTCGCGGTGCACTGTGCGCTGGTATGATCACAACGACATGGGGAGCCTGCAGCACGTACTGGAGAGCGTTGAGAAGGAGCGGATCAAGAAGAACTGGCCCTTGACGCGGCGTTTCATTGTTACGGAGGGCATCTTCGACCACGATGGAGTGATGTCCGACCTCCCGAAGCTTATTGAACTCAAGCACAAGTATAAGTATCGCTTGATCCTCGATGAGAGCGTCTCGTTCGGGAGCGTGGGTCGCACTGGGCGCGGTCTTACCGAGCTCTACAACGTCCCTGTATGTCTGCCTATCTCGCTTGTATGAGGGAAGCTAAACCGGGTCCTCAGGCCTCCCAAGTCGACATGCTTGTTGGTTCAGTAGCCAACGGTCTTACTGCAACCGGAGGTTTCTGCGCCGGATCAAACATAGTAGTCAAACATCAGGTGCGTATAATGTCTCGTGTACGATTCACTGGTCTCTCTGACTGCTATGTCTAAGCGCATTAACGGGACATCTTATGTCTTCTCGGCGGCAATGCCGCCCCTGATGACCGTCGCTGCGTCAGAAGGGATAAACATACTACGCACCACACCTTCCATCCTCACTACGCTCCAGGAGAACGTCCGGGCAGTGCGCGCCATCTTAGACAAGGTGGACTGCATCGTCATCCCCTCGCACCCCGCCAGTGCTGTCATTCACATCAATGTCCGCTCTCCTTCGCCCGCGCCCGCGCAGCTACTGTCGCCGACGCCATTGCTATCGCCGACGCCGTTGACCCCCACTATGCCGGCCTCGCCGCTGTCCCCCACGTCGGCCAAGCTATCCAACCCTACGTCTGTCCGCCCGCGGCACCCCCCGCACTTCGATGCGGAGCTAGAGGAACGCCTCCTGCAGGACATCGTGGAGGATGTGCTTGCACAGGGCGTATTGATCACTCGCGCGAAGAGGCTGCGGGACCAAGAACTGATCGAGGTTCGCCCGAGCATCCGTCTCGCTATCAGCTCTGCTCTGTCCAAGAAAGACTGCGAGAAGGCTGCGAACGCTATCAAGGCCTCGTGCGTAAAGGTGTTGAGTAAACGTCGTTGAGGATTCTGGGCAAGCTAGGGTTGCCGTGCTGATGTGTGTATTTATGGTAGATATTGGTTCACTGCATATACTACGCTCATGTAATGTTTCTGCCGCAGAGGGCTTTACCGATGAATTGTCATTCGCTCAGCGACGAGATGTTTTAACACGATATAATACGATAGGAGAGGTGTATGTATCTGCACGTAAGGATCGCAGAGCACAATGGTGGTCCAGCGGCGTGCGGCTGCTGCTTGGTGCGATCGAACTAGAAACTGCGATTGCTGTACCTGGAGGCGGCACATATAGCTGGCCGCTTCATACATACGTGGAGTGTAATTTTGGGTATATGCGATGTCAGGTCGTTTGTTCTGCACATTTGCTGCCCATCCTCAGCCTCAAGTCTGGTCACAAGATTGCGTCAGGGATTTGAGCGTTCTGATCGTTATTTCGCCATTGCACCAGCGTCCCAATGCATACAACGACCACCGTAACTTACAGAAGGCCACCCCTGGTGAAACAGGAAGCCAGCCCCGCTCACGAAGCGGACTTCTTGGCCTTCTGCTTTTCAGCTTTCTGGCGCTCCTTTTCAGCTTCCTTCTTCGCGACCTCGTGTGCGGTGTCGTTAAGACCGAGCCTGTTGCGTGCAATCTAGACTGTCGTGAGTAACGCGGTGCAGGTGAAGGGGCGCAAAAGTTTCACCTCGAACGCGTAGAACTGCATCCGCGTTACTGGACGACATAGAAGTCAGGTAGGTCGCCCTGTGGTAATCATGGGCGTGGACGCACCGAAAATCGTGTTCTTCTCTCCGTACTCATCCCTCGCGTCCGTGCGTATGAGCGAGCCGAAGTTGTAGTCTTTCACCTTCTTCTCGTATCTAGCGCGATACCACCAAAAGCGCAGGTACCCGATATTTGAGTTCACTGGGGTACAGCATCCTGACAGGCGGTACTCACGACTCGATGAACTTTCGCCACCGCTCTTTGCCCTCCTTGCTCTTCAACCAGTCCTCGTCCAAGACAGTGATCTTCGCGTAGTTCTCATCCTTCAGCTCCGGAAAGTCCGCTATTGTATGCTCAAAGATCTCATCATCGATCCTGCCCGAGCCCCGTTTGTATCTATGTCGTAGTCTGGACCTTGAGAGGACAGACTCACTTGGTGAGCTTGAGCTCGCGAGGCGGGACCTTCTCAAGAATACTCCAGTACGTCTAGAGACCCCATAAGGGGTGAGAGTATACGGTAGAGTGGGGCAGCGCACCTGGGCATGCTCGACTGCCTTGACTGCAAACCTGCCCGCCCCGTCAATTCCTCCCTGAAATCTAACGTTCATGTGCTCACTGTTTTTCGATCTATTCCACCATTACCATCAGCTCTAGCAGGGCTGTTCCTCAATGTAGGTGCATACCTCAACGAGATTCTGCGCGTTGTTTGGGTCGAATTTGCCGGGGGCAGCCATCGTGGGTCGTGACAGTGAGAGTCCGAGTACAAGGAACGTTAAGTATCAAGGCCTCGCAGATGTTGGCAGCTCAGGACAGCTCAGAACCCTGGGATCGACGACTTATACCGAATCGGTCAGTCTGAGATGACAGAGGCGATGTCGGAACGCTGGACATGGTGGTACAGGCGATCATATGAGCGGCGCCGTGGCACATCCCGTGTTTGAATGCCCCTGTGAGAATGGATTGCGGCAGCAAGCCGCTCTGCTATTGGAAGCTTGTACACGGTATATGGCTACAGTGCGGTCTAGGGCTACACGATGATATCTTGAAGGAGAGCCAGGGTACAGATCGTCACGATCATGGACCACTGTTCGTAGTGCCAACCTCTACACCAAATCGCTTCAACTTCTCGAAGTACTTTTGTACGCGGCTCGCAACCTGCCTCGCAGTGCGCCGGCCGTCCATGGCTTGTGAGATCTTGGCCCACCTGTCAGGAAAGTTGTGTGAGCCATGGGGCACTATTAGTAGCATGCTGAATAACTTACCGGTGCTTCGTTCCATCGGGTATTTCCTCGAGTAGACGTTCGAGCAGATGCTGTTCATCAACTGACCACGACTGCTTATACGTTTCGGACTTTCGTTTCCCTTTCTTCAAGCTCTTCCCGGCGTCCGGTACCTCGTCCACTCCGGCCGGAGCAGGGGTTGATTCGTCCGGGCCAGCCTCCGTTTTATGTTTGGTTTGAACCCTCTTCTTCGCTTTGGCATGGGTGCTGTTCGTTGAGGGTCCTGAGACAGTGGTGTCTTGCGCCTTTGTAGCTGGACGACGATCACGGGAAGTCTTGTTGACCAATGGCGGAAGAATCGCCTTAGATGACACGGGAGAAGCGACTGATGTCGGGGGCGTGTCCACCTCCATAGGCACAGCACCCATTCCATCAAAGACAGATGGAGCTCGTTCGCCCTCTTCATCCTCCGCATCCAAAGAGATGTCAACCTCCGCACTTTCATCCGCTTGATCTCGCCGGATGAATACGCCGAACGACGCCTGTGTGGGCCGGCGGAGCCCCGCGACGACGGGTACGGCAACGTCGGAGCTGATCCGCCGCTGCTTCAGCTCGTGAATCTTCTCGCGCTCGAGAGCTCGACGGATTTCCTCCGGATCGGGCGGTTCATCAGGCTCAGAGTCGGGCTCGTTGAGGAAGGCGTAGGACGGGAGAACTGGGTCAATGATCGCGATTCGGGCATCCTTGACTAGTTTCTGCAGGTCAGACAGCTCGGAGGTCTGCTTGACCGAAGGTTTGCTGCGCTCGGCTTGGGTAGCTCGTACAGAGGACGCGAGGATCTTGAAGGGCAATGGGTCTACCTCTCTTAGATAGCGAATACGTAGAAGGTCATAGCAACGTACCACATGACTTGAAGGTATCCCAGTCAAGCTCTTGCGCAACCGAAGCCGCAATATTCGGCTGGGCACTGAGCGGTACAGTGAGGGTATTGACCTGGTCTGCCCTTCAACTCAAGGGCTTTTTTCATGTGTCCGCGTGCTCTTACCTGCTCAGTGAAAATCTTCTGGGAATCATCTGGGTGAGCGACCACACTCTCCCTGAGCTCCTGTAATGCAGTGATGTCCCTCCGGGTCTGATCTAGCAAGGCCTTTTGCGACTGTATAAACTCGGACAGCGCCTCCAAGCTGCATTCCCGTGAGTTCAAACGTTGCGAATCAGTAACTCGTGTATGCTCACGTTTTGGCGCGTTTTTCTTCCATCGGGTAGCTGACAGTGACATGGACGGGTATGTGGAAGGATGAGCTCGGGATGGCGGTAGGATTTCAGAGGAGTCCAGTTCTAAGCGCCCAGGCATGTGAGGCAACTCGCGGACCACGGAGACCCATTTCCTATTTAAGCAAACTGTGGACCAAGACAATGATCCATGAATGTCATGATCCCGGTTCGAGTTGTCGTAGCCACGCAGTGAGTCAAGCTCAAGCTCTGGGCTATGATATTGAGTGAGATATCAATGCAAGAAATATGCGTATGATGTCGTGAGGCGGTTATATTTTATATTGCTTGTGAGTACACTCTGAGTAGTACTGTACAGTCTCCTCGTAATAGTACTTCGCGCACGCTTCCCTGGAGCTACATATTGATTCTATCCGTGAAAGGCTGCATCAACCTCACAACTTCGCCTTCATCTTCGTCGATATAACACTCCCGCCGTCCACAACAACGTGCGTGCCGGTCACGTACGCAGCCGCAGGGCTGGCGAGGAAGAGAGCTACACCGGCGGATCAACATAAGCACGGAAGGGTGAATCATTAAATACTCACCTACGCCTGCCATGTCGCGCGCTTCGCCGACACGACCTATGAAGGCAATGTCAGCACATTGAGACGGCAACGGTTTCCGGTCTCTGCGTACCGAAGGGGTTCGTCTTTGCGATATTGTCCTCACCGTTCTTGCCGAAGCCAAATGCAGTCATATTTGTGTGGAAAATGCTGCGAGATTTCTTGAGTCTCGGTCTCCGCGTATATCATATGTGTAAAGCTCACCCAGGGAGGACTGCATTCACACTACTACATATGAGTGTCTGTAGAATCATAAGATGGAAATTTGAACAAACGTGATGCATTTCTTGTGAGAGTAGACGCGAGCTGAGTCGTGAGGTGGTTCACAGCCGCTTTGCTTGTGTTATCTGTCAACAGTCGTCAATGAGCCGATCCAAAAGAAGCGGACTTTGAGATGGGCACAACACTCACAGCTCCACAAGCCAATACCGCCTCCGCCCGTGACCGCGAATCAAACGATATGGAAGCAATGCTCCCGATGGACGAGATGTTGATGACCCTTCCGGATCGCGCGCAGTCGCATCCTTCGCAAGGACGCTGTCAGCCTGCAGGTCTCGTCATTGTATATTTTGGGCCATTTGGTCGACACCTACGCACAGTCACTGCCAGAGTGAATGACGTAGAGAAGAGGTAGGATGAGGAGCAAAGTGTACATACAGTAGAATATGCTCTTCACATTGAGCGCAAGGACGCGATCCCAACCGGCTTCCGGAAAGCTGAAGACACCAATCAATGCCTGTGATGGCTGATGGCAGAGCAGAATCGCCATCCGTGCTACTCACTCATCATATCTGGCGCCCCAGGTCATACCCGAGTTGTTGACGAGGATGTGGACCTTGCTCTCCCGCTCCATAACAGAGGCGGCAAGCTTATCGCACCCTGCCTTGGTCTGTCGGTCCACATCCCTCCCGTCAGTACGCTGCCCAGGAGCCTATTCAAGAGGGGACACACCATGAGGTCAGCAACGAAGTAGTGACAGCTCCCCGGGCCCTTCGCGTTCAACATGTCGCAAACCTACGTGGTATCATGACCCCAATCAGCCATGCCTTCGCACAATACGGCATTGCGGTGCACACACGTCCTTGAGCTGTTTCTCCTTCCTCGCCGCGATGTACACCTTCGCCCCGTTCTGCACGTACGCCGCGGCGATCATCGAGCCTATGCCGGACCCGCCGCCCGTCACCACCGCTGTGTACACGTCGTCAGATCGGACGCAGGAGGGAGTACAGCTGGGACGCACCGACTTTGCCTTTCACATCGAACAGTGAGGCGATGCTGAGATCTACATCACACATGCATTCTCCAATGAGTGCTCGTCTTGAACTTAGCCAGGACTGCCCACGCACCGTCCGACATGGTGAGCTGAACTTGACTACGTGCTCCGGAGAGCACTGGAGCGCTGAAGCTGAAGCTAGAACTTGTAGTCACGATGAGTTAAGTTTGACGGCATCATTCCATCAATATCTTGCTCAAACACATCCTCAGAACGCTCGGCCAGTAGTCGGCACGCGCCTCTTTCGTCAACAGGATCCACCCTCAGGGACATATTCCGACTCGGAGGTACCTCTCAGACCACCGTGATCAACTGCGATAGTCTGCAGAGGTGCCAGCCAATTACGCAGCCCGGATAGCTGACAGTGACATCAGTGACATAGATGGCTGTGCTGAGGAAGCCACATATACAATCACTCCTAGCTAGCAGTGTCTTGCGGAGAAAGACCTATAACCCAAGAGGCTGACGATCTCACAGCTTCGCCTTCGCCTTCGTAGAAATGACATCCCCTCCATCAACCACGGTGTGGGTCCCAGTGATGTACGCAGCCGCGGGGCTCGCGAGGAAGAGCGCTGTCCGAATGGCGGTCAACACCGACCAAAGACGAGAAGGGAAGACTCACCGACGCCGGCTATGTCGCGCGGCTCACCTAGACGACCTATGTATGTATACGGCTCAGAACATGGGGAGGGAGCTCGGGGCGTCAGAGCGTACCGAATGGGTGCTCCTTGCTCATGGTGTCCGCGCCGGTCGTACCGAAGCCAAAGGCAGTCATCTTTGAGGGGAAGACCCTACGATGTCGATTAGTACTCAGGACACCCGCAGGTAATGCATGCAAAGCTCACCCCGGGAGGATCGCATTCACCCTGTCGCATGTTAGCGTCGGCGGGCTCGTGCAGCAAAAACGAAGACATACGTGATGTGTTTCCGTGTAAGGGTAGACGCGAGCTGTGTCGTGAGGTGGTTCACCGCCGCCTTGCTTGTGTTATCTGACCCAGCCTGTCAGTACGGCGCAGCCGGGTTTAATAAGAACAATGAAGGGCACGCACAACTCCACAAGCCGGCACCGTTTCCGCCCGTGAGTCGGTCGTCGTACGGGATGGGCGTAAGGCCTGCGATGGACGAGATGTTGATGACCCTACCAGGGTTGTGCGACGTCGCGTCCTTTGTGAGGACGTCCGTTAGGCTAGAGGGCGGCTTTTGTCATGCAGGCAGTCCGGGAAGGAAGTATGGGGAAGTACGTACGCGACAGTCACTGCCTCAAGGTCAGTGGGCGAGATACGGTACAGGAAGGATGTGCGTACGGTAGAAGATGCTCTTCACATTGAGCGCGAGGACGCGATCCCAGCCTACCTCCGGGAAGCTATCGACAAGGCACGTCCGAGTCGTATACAAGTGAGATGCGTAACCTCGCAACTACACGAACAAAGTCACTCACTCGTCGTATTGGGCACCCCAGCTCATGCCCGAGTTATTGACCAGGATGTGGACCTTGCTCTCCCGCTCCTTGATGGATGCCGCGAGCTTGTCGCATCCGGCCTTGGTCTACCCAACTGAGTGAGCACACCGATCAATTACAGTAACTATCGAGGGACACATACTGTGAGGTCAGCAACGAAGTAATGACAGCTCCCCGGGCCCTTCGCATTCAACGTATCGGAGACCTATATAGCAACATGACCCCATTGAGCAAGACCCCTTATATGACAGGACTCGGAGAGGACGCACATCCTTGAGCTGCTTCTCCTTCCTCGCTGCAATGTATACCTTCGCCCCGTTCTGCACGTACGCCGCTGCGATCATCGTCCCAATACCGGACCCGCCACCCGTTACCACCGCTGTGCATGGGCGTACGCGTTGTAAGACACGACGCATGAGAGATTCGACAGAGACGCACCGACTTTGCCCTTCACATCGAAAAGAGAGGGGATGCTGAGGTCTGTCGTCCGAAACACACTCAAATCAGTGAGTCCTGCGGCCGGGTATGCATGAACTAGTCGACTGTCCACACACCGTCGGACATTGTGCGTTAGGTTTCAGGCGCACCGTTGCAAGGAAGACTGGGAGGGGTCGAGTACGACTGAGCCAAGGTACTAGGAGGTAGCAGGTGCGCTGAAGACATCTTTCTCATGATATACATGCCTGGCCGGGTAATGTCCAACTGTGTGCGCGGAGAGTATCACAAGGTCTGGGGACTCTGGGTGGCGTGCGTCCACGAGCACGCTTCGGCACAAATCCCGACTTTCTCGGAGTAGCATTCGCAGAGAGCGCGAGGCGACACCGAATCGTGAGCATGATACTTATGCGCTGTCTCTAAGAAGGCATGCCATTCAATAATTACTAGCTATACAGTACGCTATATAGCAACAAGTCTTGTATACCCAAAGGCGACCCTATAGCAACTCTACAGCCCTACAACCCCTCACACAACGTCCTCCCCCTCCCCACCTGCGCCCTACACAGCGCCACCTCCGTCGGGACCGACACAATGCTCGCCAACAAGATCCCCGCACCGTCCGCGATCCCAATCGAACCGATCTTGAACTCGCGCTCCTGCCGCGCGCGCTCCCTGCGTTCCTCCGTGTCCGCGTCGAGCGCGATTCCCCGCGTGTCGGGGTCGGCTTCTTGGTTAACGCGGTGGTAAACGTTCACGCTGTTTCCGCCCCATATAAGCAAACGGTCAGACGGGCAGGAGGGCAGGATGGACGTACTACGCGAGGCCGCCGCAGATCCCTTCAATGCTGATCAGCCCGAAGACGAGCCCGAACGCGAGCGCGCCGCCGTCCCCTCCGCCGTCGAAGAGTCCCACAGCAGACTCGAGCGCGAGCGTGAGGAGCACGAACGCCTGGATGATTGCCGGGAGGGGGAGCAAGGACGCCGGGAGCGGTGGCAGGCCGAGGGAGAGCGTCGAGCGGGACAGGAACACGGAGGTTTGGTAGACGAGCTGCGGGAGTCAGATGTGAGCCGAATTGCATCTGCAGGGGTTTGGCAGGGGTAGTGGAGATATATGAACAGACCTGCCAAAGAGGATAGAAGTCACGGATGGAGTGTATGATCTTGCTCATCAACGGGTGCTCCGCCGCCGCCGGGACGGGATAGAGGAGTGTCGGTGCGATGCCCTACTGATAGTCAGCATGTGGACAACGATCGTGCCCGACCCAGCGCACCTGGTTGATCGTATACTCGAACTGCTCGTCGTTAGTCTTACGTCAATCCACGCCACTCTGAGGGACTCACCAAGTACACACAGACTATCTCCACATCAGCTACATCGGCCTACAAATCAGGACAGTATGAGCACTCACATAGCGGCATCATATACCTCCCCACCAGCGGCTTCACAAGCCTCCACTTATCCTCCATGCTCAGTGCCACACCCCCGGTCTTCACAGCGCCGGCTTCCCGAACCCCTTCCGTCTCCCCTTCCGGCGTGTCCTCCTCGCCAGTAGGGAGCGCAGTGTACTCTGCCGCGACGACCGAGTATGGTAAGGCAGTCGGTGGTAAATCTGCGTTCGCAAATGTAGCCGGCTGAGGAAGGAGGAGGAAGTATGTCAGAGGAATGACGAGGGGGAGGACCTGCATTCAGGAGATGGATGTCAGCATCTAATGGAAGGAGGTGAAGAGTGGACCCACTGAGCTGAGCCCGACGCCTATACGGACGCCGAGACCACGGAGCTCCCACCAGAGGAACGCGCCGACGAGGCCGGCTGCACCTGTTCCAGAGGCGAAATACCTTGATAAGTGCGGTGGTGAGTATGTGGGACTGGAAGGAAGGAGTAAAAGTGCTCACCCAACGCTGTGTCCTGCCACCGATGGTGGATGGTAGCGCGTCGAGAGCTGCAGGAACGTGAGCTCGCCCAGGCCTGCGTTCGTGTGCTCGTTGGTGAGCACGTATGATAGAGTATATAACGAGTACACGCACCGGATGAGAACGACGCACAGCATATCCCCAGCAAGCGCATGAACAAGCTGTCAAATGCCGCAATCACCTACACGGCTCCCATTCTCCGTCAGTTAACAGACGCATCCCGTCATGCTGCGTCTCGCGCTCACCCACATCCCGAGGACGCTGACGGCGGCACAACCTACGAGACGCATGGCGTACCGCACCCGGCCGCGTAGGAGGTATGGCCAGCCGAGCTTGACCAGGAGGGAGGGGAAGATGTTGCAGAAGGCGATGATACCTTTCGGCGTGGATGGAGGTACGAGGTCGAGTGCAGCTGAGAGGATGATGACATAGAGTACTGTTTGGGTTGGCAAACGAGGAGTTGAAGGTAGTAAGAGTGATGCACACCGTTGTTAATGAGTCCGAAAAAGAAGAAGGAGAGGCCTAAGTGGCGGAGCAAGTTGCGCGGTGCTAGCCAGACACGTTACTTCGCGGACAGAGAGCAAGCTACGCTGTACTCACCTCCCTTCAGGCCGACACTCTCGTCCGCTGGAGAAAGTAATCCTTCCTCCTCCTCAGTATACCTACTGACATGGTCGCCCTGCATATCGTGATGGACCAGTGTTTCGAGTTCGTGGATCTCCTCGTCAGATGAACGTCGTGCTCGCATTCACCGGATGCATATCACTGCAAGACTGCACAGTGTCGCAAGATCTAGCAGCAGAGAATATGTTGCTAAGTTGATATCTCTGCTTTAAGAAAAGCAAAAGGAGGAGGTCAACCGGTCACCGGTCACTGCTAGTCGAGGTCGGTGCTGCTCAGGCGTTGTGTGGTTAGCGCCCATACTTGCGAGCACCGTGTGGCAAAATGATCGGGCCATGGATCGGGCGCGTGATTTCGCGGGGTGATCGTGTCTGTCAGTGCCCGAGGCGTCGCCGAGCATGATTTCCCCGCACCGCGTACCATGGCCTCCCACTGGAGCCGGTGTTCCTTGCCCATCCCGACCAAGTTCAATCCGGGGACATATACGTACTTCACGCTGGCAGCGGCAGCCTTGCTTCAACACGTACCTCTCACTTGCAAGCAGTGTGCAGAGTTGGAGGATTCCCGGTCGAGTGTCTAGTCGTCGAGCACTTGTATGCGGTGAGTTCCACTTCGTAGCTGCAGTGCATGCTCGACTCATGCTAGCATGCTTGACGTGCGTAGGCCCATCATACGAGATATTCTCTCTAGCGCACTCTCAATCTCACGTAGACCCGGAGCAATGGCCTCTCGCCGCCTGCAACACGTACTATCGTCGCTCACCCCTCCGGCGGAACCCATTGGCACGCTTACCATAGGGGATATAACATACGACGTTCCTGCTACGGCCGCTCCTGCTAGACTGCCGCACTCTGAGGATGCCTTGCTAGACTTGAGCGATCCCGTCAATCTGGAGAACGTCCAGTTCCTGTTGCAGAAGTATCTACTCGGTCAAGACGTCTTCCTTGTCGGACAGCCGGGGCCCTACGCGCGGAGATTGGTCATGACCTTCTGCAGGTATGCTCTCATCCCAACTACCGGTTACGCGGTGCAGTTGAAGGAAACCACTACTTCCGAGTCTGTCCGCATACAGGCGCATATATGGAGGATGAGCATATGCTATGGCACGTCTTCTTATGAACGGCCAAACTTTTGTGCACTTCAATGCTGCCTAGCTCGAAATTTGTCTCGATGTCGTGCGTCTCATAACTTAGCGCGAGCTGATGTCAACTGAGCATGCATTTCGTTGCATTCATCGACACTACAAATTCTGTTCACGACTCCGTTTTCTCATAATCATATTGATACGAGGCGTTCATTTTCAGGCTCATTAACTCTGAGTACGAACACATCGCCCTCCACCGAGACATCGGCGAGACCGAGCTGAAGCAAGGCCGTGAGATTCGCGTAGGGGGTAACCTTGTCTATGTAGACAGCGCCGCGGTGCGGGCAGTGAAGCACGGGAGAGTGCTAGTGATCGAAGGAGTAGAGAAAGCGGAGCGCGGTATCATGCCTGTGAGGCCCCTTCTCGCTAGTCGACAGATGGTTACCGTACTGACCCTACTATGCACAGTTACTAAACAACCTCCTGGAGAACCGTGAATTGTTAGTATGCCCTCTTCCTGCTCCTCATTCCTCCTTGATATAACCACATCACCACAGGAACCTAGACGACGGCACACACATCATTCACCCTCACCGCTACGCCCTCCTCGACACCCCTTCGCCGCTGTCATCCTCCACAGCGAAGCCAGACGCAGTCAAGTTCGTCCCCGCCCACACCCGCTTCCGTGTCATCGCGCTCGGCGCGCCCGTCCCGCCGTACCCAGGCTACCCGCTCGACCCGCCCTTCCGCTCGCGCTTCCAAGCGCGCTTCGTCGACCCCGTCGGTGCGATGATGGCGCTCGCCGCGCCCCGTCATCCCGACACCGACAGCCCGTCTAGCTCCGAACCCTTCTCCCCCGCCCGGATTGTCACCCCTGCTTTGTCGGAGGGCGACGGGGGCCTGTACGAGAAGCTGAGGCAGGTGATCATCGCGACGCAGTACGCGAGCGAGGCGCGGACGTCGCTCGATAGCAGTGCGCGCTCGACGCTGCCCGCGTTCCCGCAGACTGCCCTCGCGAAGCTGCGCGCCCTGCTGGATACTTTCCCTGTGCCCGCATCTGCCGCCCTTTCACCCGTCCTCCTGGCGCGTGTGGTACTGGCGATCCACCCTGCGCTCACGCACGCGCCGTTCGTTGCGTGGGCGTTGCTTTCGCGGCAGCTCGAAGAGGTGGGTGTGGGTGCCCTGGGGAGCCCCGCTGGGAACCAGGACGACTCAGCCGACTATGAGGGCGCCGGCCTGCTCGGCTACACCCTACTCAAGGTCGAACGCGCAGGCGAGCGGACAGCCCGCCTCACCTTCGCCTCGCCTTCTGGCGCACACCTCATCGTATCGGCCCCTGCAGGCCCGCGCACTTTCTTCTCATATCCTTTCCTCCCACAGGACACCGAGACGCTGGGGTTCCTCCCCACGCCGCGGTTCACCGGCCTCCTGACGAGTGTGCTCCAGGCGCACGCGCTCGGATACGACGTCTCGCTCGTCCCGCCCGCGCTGCCCGGTGCGAGCTGCAGCACGAGCACGCTCATGCGCATCTTCGCGCGGGTGCTCGGGTACGAGAGCGAGGAGTGGGGGATGTACAAGGAGCTTGGCGGGCGGGAGCTCGTCATGCGAAGGGTCGTACAGGAGGGCGGGGCGACGCGGTGGGAGCCGAGGTGAGTGTCGTGTGCGCGTTTAGGGCGCTAGGAGGCTCGAGAGTTGATGGTGGTGGTGTAGCTTGCTCGTTGAGGCTGCGTGGGCGGGGAAGATGGTGAGATTGGATGGATTGGATACGCTCGGGAGTACAGCGGGCTCGCTTGCCAGGCTTACGCAAGACCGGGAGTGCGAGCTGTGGGAGGGGAGGAGGATCGTGCAGTCTGCTTCGGAAGAGGAGGTACGGAGACGCGGCACCTGTTTCCCTCTCGCATTACTGCTCTTACTGACCGGTTCGTTACGTGCGTTCGCAGCTGAGGAAAGATGGCCTGAGCGTCGCACACCCTTCTTTCCGGATGATCGCCACTGCCTCCAAGTCGCAGCCACTGACTGACTGGCTCAACGCTGAGCACGCTAATATGTTCTTCACTCTACCTCTCCTCCCCATGCCTCGCGCGGAAGAACGCGCGATTCTCTCGCAGACCGGGTGTCCCCTTTCCGCGATCAACGCCCTCCTGGAATTTGCGGACCGGTACCGCGCTCGCTTCACTGGCGGGGAGTCGGCTTCGAGCTCTACAGTGCATACGCAGAAGAATAGGAAGCTTGGGACGCGCGCGTTGGTCAGAATATGTAAGAGAGTAGCGAGGGCGCGAGAAGGGGAGGATGAGGACTTGAGGGTGCTCCTAGAGCGTGCGGTGCTGAAAGAGTTCTTACCCCGCACGGAGGCCATGTGCCTTGAGGAGCTGCTCGAGGAGTGTGGTATCCCGCGCAAGAGCCCACCTGTACGTCACCCGAACATCGCAGTTTGTAGAAACGCGCCCATTGATTGCCATTCATTCCCGGCAGTTCAACCCTCCACCTGTCGTCTCGAAAGACGGAATCACCTTTCCTGCATCAACCAGCTCGTCGCCTGGCAGTGAATCTCTGCTTGAGACGCAGAAGGCGACGTTCGTGCCCGCCTTCGATCCTGCACAGGACCTCGAGGGCGTGCAGACGCATGTCCCGCACATGGATCACTTCTATGACAACAGCTTGCAGACGGGCTTGATGAGGGATATGGCCGTGGATCTTGAGATGGGTGAGCACCTGGTGCTGTTGGGTAACCAGGTAGGTGAAGGGTGTCATATGGACGACGCTCTCATATTGAGCTTCTATTCAGGGTGTAGGCAAGAACAAAATCATTGATCGGTCAGTCTTTCACTGGACATGTTTGCTTGAACGCATCTCACAATCAGTAAACTAGATTGTGCCAGGTACAGGAATGATTTCAGCGTCATCCTGCATATGCTGACAGCTCTCCAGCTGCTCCGACGCCCCCGCGAATATATTCAACTCCACCGCGACACAACCGTCAACCAACTAATGTTCACCACTGTTCTGTCCCAAGGCACGATTGAATACACCGATTCTCCCCTGCTACGCGCCATTACCCACGGGCGTATCATGGTCGTCGACGAGGCTGACAAGGCTGCCGAGCATGTTGTCGCAATTTTCCGAGGCCTCGCAGGTCATGGACAACTGACTCTGGCGGATGGACGGAGGGTCCGCAGACAGAAGGAGCGCGAGGGCGATTTGGTCGTTCATCCGGGCTTCAGACTCATCCTCCTCGCGAATCGACCAGGCTATCGTAAGCGCACAGGCCCCTCTGTTATATGTCCGGTACACTAAGCTGAGCTACACTAGCATTCTTGGGAAACCACTTTCTCCAAGTGCTCGGTGACAACTTCAGCTGTCACGCGGTGATGAACCCTGACCTCCACAGCGAAATGAGGCTACTTTCTCAGCTGGCGCCGGACCTGAAAGAAGATATGATCATTCGTTGGTAGGCGCGTTCCAGGATTTGCGGAAGGCATACGAAGCTGGTACTTTGACTTACCCCTACTCGCTGAGAGGTGCGTCGTTGATGATGACCGGTTCGATATGCGTAAACTGACAATCTCACAGAACTCATCAACATTGTCCGGCATATGCAAACGTATCCGAGCGACCCGCTTGAGGCGACACTGCGAAACATCTTTGACTTCGACGTCTATAAACCGGAGACGATCACGAAGTTGGGTGAGATTCTTGACCACCATGGGTATAATCTATGCAATACGATTCTATGAACTTTATCGCTTAATCTTCCTAAGGTTAATGGTGAAACGCCTTGGACTGGACGCCGCTCGCGACACTGCACAACAGAAAGTGCTAGATGTCAAGTTCGAGCCGAAGGGGAGAACAGATGTTTCAAGCCCGAAGTTTGGAAAGGTAGACCCGCAGGACAAGCCCCATACAGGAGGCAATACATGGGCTGGAGGAGTGAGTGGATTTACGCAATGATAAGAAGGTACAGTCACTGACCGCAGCATAGACCGGTGGACGGGACACTGCCGGTCTAGGTGGTCGTGGCGGCTACATGCGCCTGTTTAAAGGGCACGATATAAACCAGGTATGACCATATCCTGGCAGTGAGGGTAGCTATATTGATTTATTCACTAAGGTCTCCGACACTCTCAAGAACGATGTGCCTGACCATGTCAAGGAAAAGGCACGCGAGATGGCTCGGCAGGAGCTCGCACGCAGGCTCGAAGAACTCGACATGAAGGTCAGCGAAGCAAAAGGCTACGGGGCACTGCTTAGTGCTGTGGAATCACACGTTGCAACCCTGCATGACCTACTAGAGAGTACGTCGAGTAGGTCTTCCTTGCCCTTCATACTGCTGAATCGTTTTTCAAGACTTGGCTGCGAGGGAGGAAGAACGCGTTTGGGTGAAACGACAGACAGATGGCGAGCTAGATGACAGTCGCCTGACCGAAGGTCTGACTGGCGAGGCCACTGTGTACAAGCGTAGGGGAATGGCAAAACCTGAGCTAGGTCGACCGCAAATCAAGTAAGTCGTGTTTTGTACCGTTGTTTCGACGCAGTCTCACGCATGGTCTGTGCAGACCGAAGCGTATTCGATTCGTCTTCGACATCAGCGCTTCGATGTATCGCTTCCAATACGATGGGCGGCTGCAAAGAAGCATGGAGACCGGCAAGTAATCCTCCCTCGGTTTGTCGGGTGTCGTGTCGACCGTTGTTTCTAGCTGTCATGCTGATGGAGACCTTCAACCGGCTCACTCGAAAGGACAAATATGTTTGGGATGTGGGTGGTTCATATTTCATGCAGTCATGCTGCAGTATGGCTGACGATGTCCCTTAGATGTATGGACATGTCAGTGTTTTCCGCAGCTCCTTTTCCATAACAAAACCTCATAGCTTGACGACGTAGTCCGGGGACTCGCCCGTCATCCCGTTGGTTGAATCGGACAAGCTGCCGACCGAGATCAGGGATAGATGGAAGGTCGCCGAGAAGATGGAGCTCGTTACACAGTATGCTTTCGCCGGCGACTATACAGGTGCGGTGTCCCTTACCCTTGCAACGGTTCTTCCTCATTCATCCACCCATGTCATGAACAGTGGAAGCCATTGACAAAGCGGTCAATGAAGTAGCCAAGTTCGATGCTGGTGAGCCCGAGTCAGCAACCTTGTCGTCACGGCTAGCTAACAGGGGTCCTTGTCCATCCCTTATCCCTAGACGACTGGTTCGTGATCACAATTACAGATGCCAACTTTGCGCGCTACGGCATCAACGAGAAGATCTACATAGGGTCATGACACGCCAGCCGAAGGTCCACACTGCCCTTATTTGCATCGGAGAAGGTGCCGAGGCCCTGTGGTAAGGGGATGACTGGACTGTTATGGATGCAACTGATGCTTACAAATGTCAATCCATCCAGGATCCCCAAGAAGCTGCAGGGGAGAGGCTTCCGTGTCACGAACACAGCAGACATTCCGGTGGTGCTCCGAAGTATATTGGCCACCATGGTGGATCGGTGAAGATCTGTTGTATCTAATGCTAGCTATACATGGGAAAGAAGGAGAATAGGTCAATCAGACGAACACAACCTACTCTACGCGAAACAGCTCAAGACGTGAGCAGTGTAACAACAATACACCAAGAATCTCGACCTGAAGTTGAATGGTCCTAGTAGTACAAAATTGACGGCCTAGTCCTCAAATACGCTACGTACGCTACGCCCCGCGTCCATTGTACCAGCCGCTACATATACGCCCTCACTGACCATACTCTTGCGGTCCTTCTTCGAACTCTTCGTCGAACTCTTCCGCGATCTTTTACTTAGTTTCCTACTTTTTCTCTGGTCGCTCGACACCTCGTTCACTGACTCCAGCTCCACCGCGACACTCTCCCGCGTGAAGATGCTGCTGTTCGTCGGCGTCGGCGTGTACCGCCGCGGGGCAACCCCAACGCTCTTAATACGAGGCACGCGCGGGCGGGCCGGAGGCAAGTCGGCGAACTCGTCCGTCACGGCGCTGTCCACGCTGTCCATCCGGAGCGGCTGCGTACGAGTGGCGTCGAGCGTGCGCGCCTTCCGTGCGCGCTCGCGGAGCCTCGCCTGCAGGTCCTCCTCGGACACGGAGGCGGGCGGGGACGGCAGGCTCGTGAGCAGCGACGTGGGCGTGGGGAAGGCGGCGACGGCCTTCGAGTCGGTCGATATCCGCTTCTTGTGGCTGCCGTGGCCGATGAGCGTGCTGTCCTCCGACATGCGCGGCTCCGGCTCCTCCTCAATCGTCATGGGCGAGGTGAGGAGGTCCTTAGAGGGCCCGCGCGAGTGCGAAGGCAGCGTGCGTGCATCCCAGCTATCCGCCCGCGCGAGCGACTGGTCGCCGACGGTCATCCACATGGTCACGTCGCTGTCCCGGCTAGCGGAGTGCGCATGGGACGCCTGGAACGCGTCCTGGGACGGGCTCCCTGCGTGCGGCGTGCCGGGGAACTGCGCCGCGAGCGCCTGGAGCAGCTCGATGGACGACGCGTACGAGCTCCCGCGGCGGTGCACCTGCTGCGGCCCGCCGTACGTGTGGCGCGCGTACGCGCGTTCAACGCGCACGACGGGCGCGATGACCGCAGACGACGGGACGGAGAACACGGAGCCCTCCCTGCTGAGCGACGTGAACGCCTCCGCTTCCTCAACCGTCTGTGAGTACCCGCTCGGCGACAGGGATGTGCGCGATTGCATGGGCGGGGGCGAGCTGCGGTACCGCGCCCGCGCGTCGTCGTTGAAGCGCCGCAGGCTGGGGTGGTCGCGCTGCACGGCGGCCCACTCCTCCATCGCGACGTGCGTGGGGAGACTCATCGCACGGAAGACGCCCATATGAGGATGCACGTCGCCGTACGGATCGATGCCGAGCTGCGTGAGGCGAACGAGAGAGGTCTGGTCGAGCAGGTCCGATACGCGACGCAGCTCGAGCTGCGGCGGGCTGAGGCCGTTCCCCCAGTGCACCGTCACGCGCTCCTGAGGACGTGGGCGCAGCGGCGGGTCGCGTAAGCGCACCGTCGAGGACGGAATCTCGGCAGCACTGGGGTGGTTGATGATGTTAATCGGCGGTGTGACCGTGCGTTCGTGAATAACTGCCTCCACGGATGAGTCAGGGGCCGTGCTGTCCGCCGGACGGAGCGATGAGCGCGGGCTGTTGCCGAGGCGGATGGAGATGGTGCGGATCTCGTCGAGTGCGTTGGACGCCATCAGGGAGAGACGGTCCAGCTTGGGGCGCAGCCCGCCCGTCTCTGGGTCGTATTGATAGCCCTCGAGCTGGCGGAACGTGCTGTTGCGCGGGTTGCCGATGAGGCCGAGCAGCTTGGAACGGCGGCGCTGCTGGACGGCTTCCATCTTGAGCATGTGAAAGTCCTCGACGGTGTCCACGCTACGTGGGTAACGGTCAGTGGAAGCTTTCGGGGCATGGATGGAGACGTACCCATTGAACAAGCCGATGATGAGGCACGCTCGACTGAGCATGCGGAGCACCCGCCGAATCAGTGCGAGCGCGAACCCGCCGCCAGGGAACCCGAGGGTCGTCTCGAGTGTGCCGAGCAACATACCAGCGACGAGCCAGGGCGACCCGCGGAACATCTGCGTCTTAAGCTCGCTGCCGTCGGACTTCTCCGTCACGAGGTCCTGGCGGTATCGGAACGCGCGCGCGAGCCGGTACGCCGCCAGGCTGAATATGAGCAGCTGGTAGATCAGGAGCACTACGAGAGTGAGGCTGTCAAAGCCGACGTGGATGTATGGATTTGTGAAGCCGACGTAGAGCCCGTTGTTCAGCACACCTACAACCGGACTGAGCGCAATAGGTGAGAGGTGCAGCTGGGACGTACGGTAGGAGATGCCGGTGAACGAGCCGATCTCGTTCGCGGCGACGATGACCGGGAGGAAGAAGATTAGGAATTGTCTCGCCAGGGGACGGAATTGTCTTGGAAGGCTGGGGATGAACTGGGATGCCGTGAACGTGTAAAGGAACGAAATGTAGAGGAGAAGCGGGAGCGAAGAAAGGGCGCCTGGAAAGACCCAGTGAGCCGAGGGCGGTGGAGTAGGACATTTCATACATACCTATCACGATGTCCAGAGGCTTGAATACGCTGAGCCGTGACGAGGCGACAGGAATGACGTGCACCAAGAGGTCGAGTATTGCAAGGCCGCAGTAGGTGAAGCCTTCAGTTGTAAGGAAGACGTGCTTTCTAAACGCACAGTCAGTACACACAGCTCGAGCCTGTCTCCCGGCCATTCGGAAACCCTTTTGTCCGGTCGTGTGAAGTATTCAGTGCATTGTCTGGTGGTACGGAGCAGCTACTACTGTAGCGCTGCAAGCATCGCCTGACGGCCCCAGGTTTGAGGCCAAAGAGTCTGTCCAGCTCGCGTTTTCGCGATTCACAGCGAACTGCAACACGGGTGTCCCGCTCCGCCACCGTATGCCATGCACTTGCCTTCAACGCTGCAAGCAGAGCAGGGGCCCACGCGTCGACGAGACGCCATGGTGCTCAACCTCACAACCGCACCCAACCGCTGCTCTGGCCCGATCCACCCCATTCACATTGTGGACTGCTTCGCTGCGGTCATTCCGAGGGCGAGACACCGAACTCACCTATTACAACCTCTGAGTACGACCAGACCTATGCAGAAGACCAACTCGAGCCCCGGAGGGATGAGGAGAACACCAGACTCGACCTCTGTGAGCGATTGACAGCGCAGGATGGGGGCCTGAGATAGACAGATTGCGTGCATCGAGCGCGGCCGGGTGAGACTAGGGAGGCTCAGAAACCAGACAAAAGCATCTCAGATGACACGGGCCGGAGCGCGAAGACCTGCAAGCAGCGACCGCGGAGAACGAAGGCGAAAGGGGGGGGGGGTGAAGACGAAGGAAGCCAGGCAGTAAGGAATGGACTGCAGGCTGGCTGCGAGGACGGTGCGCCGGCACCTGGAAGGGGAGAAAGGAAGGATGGGAGAGGGAGGCGGGCATGTCGGGGCGTAACTGGCGTGATAGGGATGCGCCGACGACGACCTGTTCGGATCGCGCTGTTCTGTTCTCAGGCAGGTCGAGACTCGTGCACAGTAACCACATCGCGTCCGTCTCCCTGGCAATCCCCCTCCCGCATGCCTATTCCGGCACTCACCATCTCTCAGCCACCGCTTCCTCCATTAAACAACGCTATGTCGATGTCTGGCCTTGCGCACAGACGACTGAAGCTGCCAGCCTGCACGCAAGCTAGTCGAAGTCAGGTCCTCGGTCTAGCCGGCGCTCGGCATGTTACGCGTCGCGACGGGGTACTTACCCCAGTACCGCCAAGTAATCCAGCGACTTGAAGGCACCGCTAATGCTCGATTCTGATATCGGTCGCAGGCGGCACTATGGCAAGGGTAGCCCCTGTACAATGGCGAGTTGACCATCGTGCCGCCGTCACATCAGTATGTTCCGAGTCCAAGGCTGCACGGGCCATCGCCTTACAACGACATCCGTCAGGTCATCATACACTGATACGTCGGTCATTGCTCAACATTGGACTCACCTCCGGATGCTTCGAGGCTACACACGACTACAGGCTACCAAACATCGGGGATATGCGTTTGCTGTGATTGGCTACCCCATGGGGAGCATATTCACATTCTTAATGGGTCGACTTTGCGACTTTGCGCCGACTACATATAGATCCAGTGCCGCTCGAGTCACTGCAGTACAGGGCTCTCTGTTAGTCGTGTTTATGTGACCTTCACCTACGAGATGTAACAATACTTGGGATAGTCACTTGTTCCGAACGCAGCGCAATTTTGTATCGCATTGAAGCGGCGGTGAATGATACTGAAATGGATTGGGCTGATGCTGCCAATTGACTACTGAATCTGGTGGTCTCTAATAGAAATGTGGCGGTGAACGACTGGGTTCTCTTGATGAGTAAAGTTTTGAAGGGTCGTGGAAAGAAAGCGTTTTCGTCCAGTCTCCTCAACTCTCTCAAGCTGGTTGAATTTGTACCTGTTTGTCCGTTGCAACATACCCCGCAAGATCTCCCCGCTCACCCGGTAACTTTCAAGTTCTTCCTGGCACAACATCAGTATCATGAATCTTGCTGGTCACTGAGCTCCGTAGTATATCTTTCACCACATCAGCACAGCGCTGCGCCTCACCGCCGCAGTACAGGACGACTCGAAAGGCGCGACGGTGGCGCGTCCAGTGACACATCAAGCCACCCCCTCCGGACCTGCTCTAAGCAGCCATGGCGGCATACTTCTTCGCATCACCCGTGGACGTGGACATCAAGCTCGAGGGCGAAGACGAGCGCAAGAAGGTGGACCTTAAACTTGAGAAGGAGCGCGCCATATCATGTCCGGTATACTATGACGGAGACGCGGTCTCGGGGCAGGTGCGTCTGCACGTATCTCACTCATTTCGTGCGCAGTGATCGACGGCCGCTGCTACGATTAGGTGACCGTGCGTGTGCGCGACGGGAAGCGGCTGGCGCACGAGGGCATCAAGGTGGAGTTTATTGGCAGCATAGGTGTGTCGCGTTCTGAGTCGGTCATGAGTGTGACGGCGAACAAGGGTCGCAGAGCTATTCTACGATCGTGGGCACCATCATGAGTTCCTCTCATTATCCCAAGAGCTCGCCGCACCAGGGGAGATGCGTGCAGCACAGACATTCGACTTCCTTTTCAAGAACGTCGAGAAGCAGTATGAGAGCTACCAGGGGATCAACGTCAAGCTACGGTGCGTTGTCCTTACACTTGTCTACCACCACCACCGTGGTATGTAGCATGGGTGGCTGACGGCTAGCTGGGCATGGACAGGTACCTCGTCCGTGTGACGATCTCGAGGCGAATAGCGGACGTGACGAAGGAGCAGGAGTTATGGGTGCACTCGTTTCGCATGCCGCCCGACAGCAACAACTCGATCAAGATGGAAGTAGGCATCGAGGACTGTCTCCACATCGAGTTCGAATACAACAAATCCAAGTGCGTGTGCGATCCCTCACTTCGCTCCTGCGTCCACTTCTTTCCCGCACTATACTGACACGGGCCCCGTCGCAGATACCACCTGAAAGACGTCATCGTGGGCAAGATTTACTTCCTGCTCGTGCGCATCAAGATCAAGCACATGGAGCTCTCCATCATCCGCCGCGAGACGACCGGCGCGCCGCCGAACCAGTACAACGAGAGCGAGACCATCACGAAGTTCGAGATCATGGACGGTGCTCCCGTGCGAGGTGTGTCTCCGCCGCATCCCTTCGTTTGCAGACAGGACTGATCAAACCCGCCGACAGGGGAGACGATCCCAATACGGTTGTTCCTGGGTGGGTTCGAGCTGACGCCGACGTTCCGGGAAGTGAACAAGAAGTTCAGCGTGCGGTACTACCTCAACCTCGTCCTCATCGACGAGGAGAACCGGAGGTACTTCAAGCAGCAGGTGGGTCCCGTCTGCCTGCCCCGTGTCCGAAGCTCGCTCATCAGCGTCCCTGCGCAGGAAATCACTATTTTCCGTATTCCAGAGGTGTGTCGGTTCTCGGTCTGGTGTGCTCGATGGGGCTTTTACTGACGGTTGGCTTTGCAGAACTGACGAGGACGGACTCTGTGTACTTATTATACGTATTGATTATTCTGGAACTCGCCTCTCCCTGTTTTGAGAAATTTGTTCTCATTGTTCCTTCTATGCTGATGGTCGTGTTTTCATCGCGGTCTGTTTGTAACACCGAGGGTGCCTTGACTAAAGCCTACATATCAAAATGGTCTCCGACGCCAGTCAACCTCAAGCTAAGTATCTCTGACCATCCCGAGATGATGTGCCCAAGCAAACTGTACCTGTGACTGAAGATGTGCATAACTCATAGTACCACAGTATTGAAATATTGGAGTTAAGACGTACACACGACTCGGACCGTTTGCGCAAACAAGCCGAGCAAGCGCGTCATACAGCGCTCGAGCGCTCGGTGCCCCATCGAAGTCGAGACTTTTTATTTAACACCAGTACTGAACGTACACGGATCCTCTGGTCTGCTTTGTCTCAATACTCGAGGCTATACGGCTCTTGCATATCTAATTCTGTCGGCAACACCTTCTCCATGAACCTCGACATCTCGTCCCACCGCGTCCAATTAGCACTGGCAGCGCTGGGTGCGTCAGTTGCCACTGCCGGGCTCTTGACCGCCTACCAGCAACACAGCAGACACCAGAAGCGGCGCGACCTTGAGCAGGAGATCAAGCGGTCGCTCAAGAGCCAGGACGCAGCCTCTCGACCCGATAGAGTGCCCAGACAACCCGCCGACCCGAGGGACGGCGTTGCGGAGATCATGCTCGCGGCGAGGCAGAGCGAGGACTATGAATACGACGAGGAGCTCATACGGGAGCAGCTCGCGCGCAACTATGCGTTCTTCGGGGAGGAGGGAATGACGCGGATACGCAAAGGTAGCGTCGTTGTGGTCGGGTGCGGCGGCGTAGGGAGCTGGGCGGCCATCATGCTCGTAAGATCGTACGCTCCCTGGCTAGACATCTCGGGCCACGACGCTGACGACCATCGCTTCTGATGACCGTAGGGGCGTCTCTAAAATACGGCTGGTCGACTTTGACCAGGTGACGCTGTCGTCGCTGAACCGACATGCGACCGCCGTACTCGCGGACGTCGGCACGCCGAAGGTGCGCTCGATTGAGCGGGTCATCAAGCAGATTGCGCGCTGGGTGCAGGTTGATGCGCGGGTGGATATTTGGCGGAAGGAGCAGGGCGGCGACCTCCTAGAAGGCGCGGACTGGGTCATAGGTATGCACGTCTTCTCGCATCAGGGGTACTATGGTTGAGGCCGCCTTCAGATGCAATCGACAATATATCCACGAAAGTTGACCTCCTCAAGTACTGTCACGACCATCGAATAAAGGTGCGTCCCAGCGCTGTCACTGCATTGACCGACATCCCACGGCACCCCAGGTCTTCTCCTCCATGGGCGCCGGCGCGAAATGCGATCCATCGCGCATCCAAATCGCGGACATCTCGCACACGATGTACGACCCGCTCGCGCGCGCCGTCCGGCAGCGGCTCCGAGTGCAGGGTATCCCCTCCGGCATCCCCGTCGTGTACTCTACAGAGGTCCCGGGCGACGTCAAGCTGCTCCCGCTCCCCGACGAGGAGTTCCAGAAGGGTGACGTGAAGGAGCTCGGCGTGTTTGACGACTTCCGCGTGCGGATTCTCCCCGTTCTCGGTGCGCGACGCAGTCTCTGCATCTCTGTGAGAGGCTGACGTCTGGATTGTAGGCCCCTTACCGTCGATTTCGGCTTGAACGCGGCGACGTGGATCCTCTGCGAGCTCGCGGGGAAGCCGATCACGAATCCCTGCCTATCAAGGGCCGGAGGAAGCTCCACGACCGGCTCTACCGCGACCTCCTCCACCGCGAGCAGAAGATCACCGGCCAAGTCATCAAGTATGTTCGCTCCCTCCATTATCGCGACTTACTGACGAAATTGACTTCTTCCTACTCGCAGTAAACTTCCTTTCGACGAAGCGCTTGCGGCATGCTCTTCGACGACATCCACCGCGGGCGCTCCGTCGTCCCGCCACATGCCGTGCCATCGCGCCCCGCCCTCGTCCGTGGGACCCCGCCCAGCCGCTAGCACTGGGAAACTGTGTCGCGCTGGAGGACAAGGATGCAGATAGGCACGCGAAGGAATGCTTTGAGGACGGACGAAGACCCGAGGAGGTGTGGGGAGAGGAGTGTGCACGAGTGGTAGAGAGGAGGAAGGATGAGGTGAGGAGGGCAGAGGAGTGGGTATTGTAAATGGCTTCGGGGCGATGCGAGGAACTCAGTTATTATGTCCTCTCTGCGCTAGGTCCTCTGAACCATCTAGACTTACTTAGTTGTGAGATTAATGCCCCCGTGCACGCAGAATCCAATTCACTACTCATTCCGATTCGACAAACAAGGGAGACAATGAAGTTTGACATGCAAGGGACACAATGAAACTCGATGAAAAGCACATAGCACGGGTAAGATAGCAAGAAACACATCGAAGAAGTCAGAATAAAGACAGTAGTCATTACATACAAGCAGGCCGCCATGGAAGGACCGTATACAAGGACTGTGAAGGCTGCAAAATTCCTATACAAAGATCATGACAATAACAACACTGAGACCAAAGAAAAAAAACGGAATGTGGTGCGTTGGGACTGGGTATGTATCGTAGCGACTTGCGCAGCGAACGCCCCGCGGCCCGCGGTTTGAGACAGTTCAAACGCGGCCGGTGACGTTGAAAGAGCGGTCGAGCATGTGCACGCCGCGCTTCGTCGTCGTCGAAGAGGACGGGCAGAAAGTGATGGTGTAATCAGCGCCGAGGTTCGAGGCGCACGTCCAGAGCGCTGTGCCGCTGCTCTCGTCGTACGCGTAGGCGTACGAGTTCGGGCAGTTGCTCTCTGCGCCGGAGTCAACCGCTGCACGGTTTAAACGGACGGGAAATTCCACGTACTGAAGTAGGAGTAGTCCTTCACACCCGAGGACGGGCAGGTCGCCGGGGTGTTGTAGCTGCCGGAGCAGCAGTTCGGCGAGTTCGCTGTGTCGCGGAAACGTCAGGGACACCGGCCCGCACTACTCATACTGCACAGCCTCAAAGTCCAATGCACTCACATTGGTCGCCGTCAAGGTTGGCTTCGCAGGCGCTCTTGCAGCCGACGGCGTTGCCGGAGGAGTCGTACGGACCCTTAATCTCAGTGGGGCCTGTGCAAGCAATCGACAGATCGTTGGCCTCCGGGCCGCCATGCGTATATGAGATGAGAGCGCTTACAGTTCGCGTTCAAGTCGACGGGGCAGTCCGCGACGGCACAGTTGACGTTGTTGGTGACGCTCATGGGCAGGTTGAAACCATCCACAAGGGAGACTGCGGAGTGTCAGTCGAGCACGCGTGTGTAGCTATGTAAGCGCAGCGCACCATCATAGTTGTCTGTGCCGTCAGCCCCGAGCGTGAACTCCGCAACAGTCGCAGGGGGACGCCCTACACACAGCGGATGTCAGCCTGGTCGCGACCTGTCCGGACGGGGCGCTGCGACTCACAGTACCGCCGGTTTTGGCACACTCGAGACCGCCGTTGCAGCCGCCGTCAGCACATGAAGTGGAAGGATCACTCGAGGCGGAAAAATCACAATCCCGGCGACCCTACAACCCAAGTTAAAAGGTGCGTAGCGGTTGGAAGACGACATGCTTACCCAAATGCGGCCTGAGTTCCAGTCTTCCGGGACTGAGAAGGTTACTGAAGTACCCGCTGCCGCTTCCCAACTGGAGTCAAGTCAGTAAATGTTCAACGTTCAACACGGGGACACGGTATAGTTACCCAGTGGGGTAGGTCGGGGCTGAAGTGCCTGCACCGGTGAAATACTGTAGACTGAGTCAGCGTGCAACCAGTTGGTCAATGCCGTAGGTCCTCACAGCAGGCCTGCAAAAGATGAAGACAATAAGCCGTGGGTAACGCGCAGAACGGGATTTACTGACCAGATGGTGTAGTCGCAGTTGTTGACGACCGTGAAGGTGCGGTCAGCAGCAACACCAGCCGCAAAGAGCAAGGAAGCAGCAGCGACGTTCTTCATAGTTGAATCCGTAGACGAGTGGAAGAAAGGACAGGATAGTGCTGTTTACCGGGAACCCGATGGAGAGAGACTGGCGATATCCAGTTCCTTTATATGCTGCAGCTCATGCCGGTTTACGAACATGTTGGTCAGAGTCTCCAGGATACGTCGACACGCAACCGGCATCTCTGCAGCTTTTGGGGTTGTTGATTCAAGGAGCAACGACTGCGAGGTTGTGAGCAGTTGACCGTATGGCATATGCTCACCCCACCCATCGGACATGCATAGGAGATAGTCAGAAGCACTGACTGGGATCAATCATATGTCAGTTGTGTCGTAACGTTGCATGCAAATTCAGTCGACCTAAACGTACCACCGCCGCCGAGAAGTTCGGGAGTGCGCGCTGCGCAATGTGTGTGCGTACGTGCGCGACGTCGCATTCAACGGCTGATCGAGACGGAGCACAAGGCGAGCCACCGGCTGAGGCTCAGTGCCACGTGCCAAGCAATACTAGAATGCATGAGCACAAGCTCGTGTCAGTGGTTTTGCCGCATCTCAACATCTTCGCATGCTTGCCTTACTGAATATAGTTGTATGTACCAATGCTTCGAGAAGATATGATGGTGCAGTTGGTCTGCCCCGAGGGCAAGACCTCGTCCCGTACTCGCGGTCACGGTGGCGCACGCGAAACCGTATGTGTCTGTGAAGACCATGAAAGCATCACGATAACAAGCCTAATGGCACATGGCCTGTGATCTAGCACAGAATCTTCAATGGCTTTGCCAGCGCCGGCCCAGAGTTACAGTCCAGGCGGTCAGTGACAGCGAGGCGGAGTCCGAGTCCGAGTTGCAACTGCCGTTATATGCCAGGGCCCCGGGGTCGCAATAATGGGCCATCCGAACTGTAAGAGTACAAGTCAGACGTGGTCTTGATGTGCAGGCCGTAGACACAGACTAGCGTTCCAGATGATTTGAGCGGTGTAAGTAACTGAAAGTAGGAGGAAGACGTCGACCTCTGAGATCTGAGATCTGAGCGCTTGGGCGCTACCACTGACTCGCTACCACAGCCAAATACGGCAAGTCTTCAAGAATGTTCATGACCCCTAGTTCCCAAACAAGTCCACCACAAGCGAGTCTTTTACTGTTTTATTGCTATTCTTCTATCCTGACCTGCTCGTATACGTTCGATAGTGGAGGATCACCTCGCCGGGGAGAACTTGAACTCAGAGGCTCATGTCCTGTCTACGGCATTCGCCAAGGCTAATAAGCGCAGCTCCTCGAGCTCCGATACCTCCTCGAGTGTTTCCTCTGGGGAGGGCTCTCCTCACGATGTGCCCAAGCTCGAGGCCCACCTTTACTATGCCGGTCTCTCTGGTCACAGTGGTCCCAAGCTGGTCTACAGGACGTCCTGCGACAAATTCGTCCCTCCCGATGGGCCTGAGGCCTATCGTCGTCTGATGAGGCTTCGTACCGTTCCCGAAAATCACAAACTCGGCAAGGATGGTTTGTGGGATCGCATTCGTGCCGAGGTTCGTGGTGTATTCGAGTCGGACGCGCAGTAAGTAATCTGTGGGCCGACATTCGTTCTAAGTATAGGTAGTCAAACCTTCGACCAGAGAGGCATTCAACTCTCGTCCGTCGACCTTGTCCGTTTCACCTGGGTTGAGAAGAACGACGACCAGGAGGACCAAGAAGACGACGACGATGACGAGGAGGGCCAGGAGGGCCAGGACGACGTTACTAACTACGACGACATCGCACCCATTACGCCCGTCGTGGATGGGACAGTCTATACCACTCCCGTTACGATATGGGTCGGCGTGATGCCGGAAACTACGACTGGCGAACATGCCTACAATCCTTCTAGGGATATCCTCAATTTACTTCAACAGTACAACATTACCGACGTCGATGTCGCATACCGCGAGTCGGAGGTCAAGTTCTCGGGTAGTCCAGAGCTCTTCGCCCCAGTCTCTGACCTCGATCCTGTCAAGGACGTCATTGATAGCTTGTCGACTCCACTTAGTCTGCCTATTGCCGGCTCGAAGACGAAGATGCAGGGCACTCTTGGGTTTTACTTTAGGATCGAGGAAGACCTTTACGCCGTCACCGCCCGCCACGTTCTTTTCAGGGCCAACGAGGCCAACGTCGAATGCAACTACGTCGGTACGTTCTTATCCTTGAGACAGATGAGGGCAATCCTGACCACACACCTACATAGCCGGGCCGAAGAAGAAAGTCATCGTGATGGGACGCAACACATTCACCAACCACCTCGCTTTCCTGCAGAGCACCATCGGCCCTCTTCTCGATACGGCCGAGTACCTGAAGACGCGCATCACGTCGTTAACGGCTGCGGTGGACGGCGGAGGCTCCCGTGCTGAACAGTCGAGGCTCGAGCTACCGGAGACACAGGAACAGCTGGTCAAGACACGAACCAAGATCGACGCGCTCAAGGCACACTTCGTGACAGTGAAGAAGACATGGAGCAAGGCGAAGGACCGCGTTATCGGACACGTCGTCTGGGCCCCTCCCATCAGCGTCGCTACGCCTCCATATTATTACACGCAGGACGTCTGCGTCATCAAGCTCGAGAAGGACAAGTTCCGTCACTTCAGGAGGAACGTGCTTAGCTTAGGTCGTGCTGGTCCGCCCCGCCGAAGGTGTCTATTCTATCTAACTGTTCATATTCCAGGCCCGGAGATCTCCCCCGCCAACTTCAAGAAGTTGATGTGCGAACCCTTCGACGCGCCAAACGAATTCGTCTATCCGCCTGAAGGTCTCTTCGAATTGCGGGGCATCCTTACCGAAGAAGAGATACACACGCCCAACAACAAGCCTCTGCAAGGAGCTCCCTTCCGCCGTGTGATTAAATGGGCTTTACTACGTACACCACAGTCGGTAATTTATCCGGGTTTTTGTCCCACGTTCGCCGGTACTTCATCGCAGGCAGTATCGACTCGATTGAAGTGGCGATCCACCCCCACAACGACTCTGGTCCGTTCTCCAGGGGCGGTGATAGTGGATCTGTCATCGTCGACGCCCGCGGAAGATTTGTTGCTCTGCTCACCGGTGGAACGGGCAAGACCGGCGCGTCGGACATTACCTTCGGTACGCCCATGCATTGGCTCTGGCCCTTCATCCTGGCCAAGTTCGACGGTGCCAATCTACTGGGACGACGACGACAACCGCCCCAACTCGCTTGCCTCTCCCCTCGTATAAATCTCACTCAGATTATGCCAAACGGACATCATAGTTGATATCGTTATAATTCGCGCGTGATAATAGAGCTGTAGTTCGATGCCCACTGAGTAACGATTGACCTAAGCATTCGGACCCCGACGCTGCGCCACGGACCGACTTTCAACTTTAACGACTTCTTCTGATAAGTACTTCTCTCCTACGATGTGGGACTTTCAAATGTACTCCGATGTACGCACCGTCGTCTCCCTTGTTGGAATGACGACGTTGACAGCGTTGCCTCTGAGTCCGTAAGTCTCAGCGGGTCATTCGACTCGTGATCAAGATCTTCGAGTTCGACCATGCGAGACGGCGCCCGGCCAAGGACTCACCATGTGCAGTGTCGGTGCCGACGTCAACAGCATATGTCACTGTGTACAAGCTGAGCCATATGACTGGGTCTCGACCTTCGCTGACAGTGACCTCGTGTGCGTCGGACGTCGCGAGAGAAATGTACGTAGTAAGACGATAGTACTGAATTCAGTCAACTTCGTGTACAATCAGTGTTACGACATCATCCGGTTAAATACCGAATACTGGACATCATGCTTCGAGATACAAGAGTTCATACCCTAATGTTCTGGACCGTTACACAAGAGGAAAGAGGCATCAAATAGTACAATCGACTCGGAGGGAACAGCCATTGAGTCCCATCGAGAAAGCACCTAAACTTAACTTGAAGGGCAGAAAGTAACGGTGTAATCGGCGCCAAGGTTCGCGTTGCACGTCCAGAGAGCAGTGCCACTCTTTTCGTCGTAGGCGTATGCGTACGAATTGGGGCAGTTGTCCTCTGTGAAGACAAGCTTAGCATCAGTCGCGGACAGCCAGATTACTCCACTGGGACTTACTGAAGTAGGAGTAGTAGGCGACACCAGACGATGGGCACGTCGTCGGGGTGTCGTACTGGCCCGAGCAGCAGTTGGGCGAGTTGGCTGTGCATATGACATGAGACACTTGTGATCATTTGTCGAAATACGGAAAACATACCCTGGTCGCCGTCGAGGTTGGCGTCGCAAGCGCTCTTGCAGCCGACAGGGTAACCGGAGGAATCGTAAGGACCCTTTAGCGCAGCCGGGCCTGCGCGAGCCCATGAGCCAAACACAGTGTGCAGCTTCAGACGACGTACAGTTGGGGCCAAGGTCTACTGGGCAACTCGGAATGCCACAGTTAACATTGTTATCGATCCTCATGGGCAAGTTAAAGCCGTCGACGAGAGATACTGAATGAAGCCAATCAGTCAATACATGGCATACTGTCAACAAAAAAACCTACCGTCGTAATTGTCGACACCAGTGGTTCCACCAAGGGTGAACTCCGCGACAGTCGCAGGCGGCACGCCCTGAGATGACAGACGTCAGAACATCCCGTTACATGATGGAATCAATCAGCCGCTCACGGTACCGCCACTGAGAGCACACTCGAGGCCGCCATTGCAGCCGCCATCGGCGCATTGAGTAGCAGGATTGCTTATGCTGAAGTCACAGTCACGGCGACCCTGCGTGTCGTGTCCTGTTAGAGTCGTCCATCGTCGGCTACAAACCATCGGCTCACCCAGATACGTCCGGCATTCCAGTCGTCGGGTACCGAAAAAGTGACGTGGGTGTAGGCCGCGGCCTCCCATCTATTGTCGAGTGTTAGCAGAAGCCTGTGGCGTGTAAGCCAAGTGAACTCACCCTGTGGGGTACGAAGGGCGGGAGGTACCGGCGCCGGTGTAGTACTACATTGTGAACATACGGTCAGCAAGCGGTAACGGGGCGCGAAGTCGAGGAGCCTCACAGCCGGCCTGGGATAGTGTGCTACGGTCAGATGGAGGTGGAGCACGAAGACATCTAACTCACCAGATAGTGAACGGACAGCCGTTGTAGACGGTAAAAGTTCGATCCGCAACAGCGCCAGCAGCGAAGACGAGGGAGGCTGCGAGAATGCTCTTCATCCTGAGAATTGTTGTGTATGTGAGGACTGCCGTCGCGACTCTCTCGTGTTGTTTTGTGGGATGCATCTACCGTGGATTTTATACCTGTCTAGCTGGGTCCGCTCAGGCACGGAGACTAGAGGGCAGCCACGGCTTAGACAGCGCACCTACGCCCGAGCAGACAGACGGTTGTCTGCCGAATGTCGGCCATGTGATGGTCGCTGGACGTATCTGGCGGCAGCCTGGGGAATGCATACGCAGAATCGGGCGGTCAACAAGGTTTACGGCCTGCCAAGTCGGCCGACCAGAGGCACAGGATGGACGTGCATTTCTGTTTGGGCGTTCTGGTTCGATGTTGAGTTCGTGGGAGGCATGATGCTCATGCTCATCCACTGTCCCCCCGCCGGATACATGGCTAAGCGGAGCTTTGCCGTTCTCATACATTCAGTGTAGTAATGCACATGATAAGAAAGGCCCGAATGACCCACCAAGGTGACCATCGGTGACGAGGCATGGGAATGGAGGACCGCGCGGACGAAAAGGCGCACCATGCGTCGCGTCTGTGTGCAGCTGTCAGCATCTGCTTCAGGTGATACTTGTCGTTGTCGTAAGTACCTGTGTTGTGTTGACACTGAGAGCGACATCCCGGTATGCCAGCTGTGTTACTCAGCGACATGCATCAGGTGGGGTGTCTGTTGAACATAGCATTCTTAGAGCACTGGCAAACGGAAACTCAGGAGGAGGCAATCATCATTCTATCTGTCCGGCTTGCTTGATCAAGTTCGTCCTTGTGCACAGGCCATTCCACTTTATCAAAATAAGTTCCATATTGAGTTTGACCGCATCGACCCCGGGCCCCGGCCCCCGATCGCATGATCGCAAGCGGTGCACTTGTCCATCCCATCAGATCTGGGATTTGACCACTGTGAAAATCAACGGGCGTACCTAGTACAGGCCGTATCGTGCGTCCTCACTCCCATATGCAACAAATAAGTCACACTCCTGCGTAATCAACACCCGTGCGCCGAATGTGACTTTCGGAGAGCCGACGTAATCGCAATATACTGAGTCTCTGCGTGTAGCAGTAAAGGTCAGGGAGCAGACGGCACGTTAGCTCACAGCGCAACTAGCGTGGTCGCCACCTACGCAAGAGATGATTACATACCATAGCGCGACCACGAGGGCACGTCAAGAGGAAGAAAGCGTGGGGCATGTCTAAAAACAAGCCCTGCAGAGCTTCCCATCGGCCGTCGCTTGGGCTTGATGGGAACTGTGTACATCAGCTAACTTGGTTCGTTCCAACCAGGTTCGAGCCTGCAGTATATGCTGAGTGCAGCAGCAAGAGACCACATGCTACCCAAAGAATAAACCATCAAGCAGCTCAGTTACGAGGCCTAGGCAGGAGACAGATATCTGGTGACCTACCAGCGAGACCGTGACGACGGCGTAGTGAAAGGCCCCGGAGGCTGCCTAAGAAGGCTGCAGCCAAAGTGCAGCCGACTGATGACCAAGGCGTGTTCAGGTCACTTCCGTGGCAATCATCGAGTGTAGCCCACGCGGTATGAACACAGTCAGCGAAAATCACAGAGGATGACCGGTGAAGTAGGGTGAAGTGACCGGTCCAGCCCAAAGTCCAACCTTCCGAATGGCGACGGGCGCCCCGAGCGAGCCTTCCGTTGCCAAGCCCGAATCTAGCAATCTGGATCGGCGGATCTCAGGTTCAGGGACACCTTGATGATGGGAGGACTTATTGTCCCAACTGCCCCTCTGGGAGATTCCCATTGCGAGACAGTGATTTGCTCATCTGCATTCTGGGTTACCCGTGTCTATTACACTAGATATTGAGTTGCAGCATCAGCTGAGGAGAGGAAGGACGGATTCATACCAAGGCACGCTCTCCATGTACTCCACGGAGTTCATTATCTGTTTAATAGGGAACAGCAGGTATGCGATAACCGGGAGACTCACTGCCAGCTGACTGTCAACCATTGATTACGCATGACATCGGCTCAAGTCGAAGGTCGACATAGTTCACGTCCATGACAGATGCATGCGGCCGGACAGCGCATCTCACATGGGGACGAGGGTCGCGCGTCGGGCCCCTCCCACACGCCGATGTAGCAGCTCATCGCGATGTGAGCGACGTGCGCATGAACGCGCACCACGAGGATCTGGGCCACCATCAGATTCGTAGCTGACTAGAGTTGAACTAGGGTGCAGGTAGCCAGCAGGTAGCAGTTGGTCGGAGGTGGCAGCCTTAACCAAACCCGTCCAGAGAGCGTATCGAGGAAGGCAAAAGTCAGTCGACTTTAGCCTCTTGCTCGGCCTTGTCTTCGAGCTTTCCTGCAAGTAACGCAGAGGCGAATGAGGGTTACCGGAACCGGAACCCGTGAGCAGAAGGGTAACACCGGTCATGCACTCGTCCCTCAACCATTCTGGCAAAAGCGCTGCTGAGTACCGGAAGCTTTACGCGCACGTTTTGAGCGAACCGACCACTCACCCGAGAACGTTCCGCAGTGCGCACCAAACAGCGAAAGAGATTGTCCACATCCTCGAAGCGAAGGTGGCAGCGTGTGTGCGCACGACACGACGGAACGAGGCTCTCGCGCGTCCAACGCGAGGCCGCCTTCCGAATCGTCAAAAGTCCGCCGCGTGTTCCACGTCGTTGCCCGCGTTCGTGTCGGCCCCAATAACACTATCGACAACAGCGCGTGATGCAGCTGCAGATGCAATGCACAGGTGTGGACCACGAGGGAGGACATCGTCTGAGAATGAGGGTGGAAATGATACAGCGGTCAAGCCAGTCAGCGCGCTGGAGCCTGGTCCTAATAACTATCTAGAGATACAACAACACTCTTGGTACACTCGAAGAAAGCGAAAGAACGAAGTGAATAAGTTATGGTTAAGTTCAAGCAGAAGCGGCAACAACAGCCCAAGGGTGCGATATTGGAGAATGGGAGCATAGGCGCATAGAGGGCATATGTGTGAGGCGATGATAAGGCATACCGTAGCGGATGAGCAAGAGGGTGACTTCGCCTGGGCGCCTCATACGAGATGGTGCGCCAAGGCCCTCCGGTCGGGCGCGAAGAGGCAGAGCGTGAAGAACGTGCCGATAAAGATGCCCGTCAGCAGGCAAGACGCGGACCACGCGAACGCGTCCGTCCTGGACTCGAACCCGGGTGCCGCCTCGTCTTCGAGTTCCTCCGCCGATTCTTCCGCGAAACCAAGCGCCGCCCTCTCCACGTCCAGGCCAGACAGGGCCGTGACAGCGGCGACGGTAGTCGCAGTACCGGGGCTGGGTATGAGCAGGTCGAGCGCGGGCTTCGTCTCGACGGGCGTCGCCTTCGAGCTCGGCGGGAGACACCTGCGTATGCGCTCGCGCATCTGGTACCGCTGCGCGAGCTGCTCCAGGCCGCCGACGATCTCCTGCATGCGCGTCGCGTCCGCGAGGGCCTGCACCCTGCGCGCCTCGCGCACCTCCTCGCCGATGATGTGCACCATGCACCGCACGAGGCCCTGGATCTCGGGGTGCTCCCGCACCCACCACTGCCCGCTCCAGCGTGCGATGACGAACGCGAGCTCGCACGCGGTCACCGTCGCGGTCGTGAAGTCCTCGAGCGCGAGCCGGTGGAACCATGGGCGCAGATGGCAGAGGGCGAGACGGACGGAGCCGGCGGTGGTGTCCCGCATGCGGCGGTCCACTGGCATGCGCAGGAAGCGGTCAGACATCTCCTGGCAGAACTGTCGGTAGCTTGGCTTCTTGCGTGTGTAGTCCCAGGCTAGTCGCGAGAGGGATGTGTCCTTGCCGTTGGTGGGCGTCGGCGCATCAGGGAGAAGGAAGTAAGAAGGCAGCTTGGTGAACATCTGCGTTAGAGGTACAGAGGCCAGCACGGCCGTGCCCGGGACGTAGCCCCAGACGAGGACGTCCTGCGCCTCGAGTGCAAAGCGGTACCACTTCCAGTGGTCCGTGTGACGACTGAAGGAAGCACAGTCAGTACGCATCCCCGCTGGTCAATGTGTGTTACGCACTCCTTCGCATCCGCTTGCCTGAGCAGCTCGACTGCCGTGACAGCGCGTCCTGCGACGGCGCGGGCATCTATGATCGCGATCTCGATGGAGTGCTTCATGTTGTGGTGGTATCTCCTCGTCGCCTCCCAGATGGCCCACGCAAAACTGAACGACGTCGAGACATACGGAGAAGACGAACGGCTTGTCCAGTCCATGTGCTGCACGGCGTCGGCATAGGAGGGTGCGGGTGGGCTGCGGAACGGCGAGGACTCGCTCTGGGACGAGAAGCTGGACGACGCGAAGTCTTCCTCGAACCGAGGACCGACGAAGTACGGATCTGTGCGGTCATAGAATGGGGAGAGCTCGCGCGGCGTGTGCACCCGGAAGAGGAACGGGTTGCTGCTGACGAGCTTGTCAAACTCGACCTCCGGGCCGAAGCCGTACTGAGGCAGCGCGTTGCGATCCTGAACGGATACCTCCGTGGACAGAGCACTTCCAGGACCAGCAGGAATGCCCATGGTGCGAGAGGCGTAGGGGAGGATATTGGGGGTGTGTTGAGCGTGAGCGATGGTAGATGATCCGAAGGATGCTCACCTCCTCCAGGACGCACTTACTTAAAGACTCTGGATACAGCTAGTGCTGTGCCCAAGCCACGCACTTTCAATACGCCCAGGTCTTCGGGACCCCATAGTTCGCATGCGGAAGCAACGAGGCATCCTCGCACGAGCCGTGGCCGTTGGGAAATGCACGCCTGTGGAGGCCGGGCGGACCATCTGGGAGGGACGGGATTGAGCTCGGACATGATGGGTAGGGTATGACATCGTAGTCGGTGGTCCAGATGAGATTCCGGTCGCCGTCGAGACCATGGACGACGTCGAGAACGATGAAGAGCGGTGTCTGGCGTCCGGACAATGAGTACCGTGGTATGACAACGTGGCCGGGGGACGGATCAATCGTGCTGGTTATCGAGAGACCGAGCGCCCATTGTCTTGCACTGAGAACACCGCTCGGCCTCCGCGATGGGCGATATGGCCCGGATGGGTCAGTGTCGAGGGCCAGAGAAGCTCATACGATGCTTCGATGCTGAGCTAGGACCCAACCAGGCAGGCTGATAAGCTTGGTGTGTGGTACTAACCCCTTGTAAGACTCACCACGAGCATGCGGATCTTCACCTGGTATGTACGACTCGGTACGAAACCCAGTTAGTCCCCTCGGACCCAGCGGAGCGAGCTACCACTTGCGTAAGCATACAGAAGGTAACGATGAGAAAGCGTACTGGTACGTTGGTAGTCCGACGCCATTGAACCCCGTCGATGAATACCGATAAGGAACGACCGGGTGTATTCAAAATCACTGTGATATTGGCCGTATACTCCCGCTCGTCGCTCGAACGGCGAGAAGCCCGGTGACTGCCAACCTTGAAGCCTGAAGCTTGAAGGGTTCGAGGTATAACAGAGCAATATTTGGGCGACGCGTTGGGCAGAACAACACATTGTGGTCGGTCCAGAGACTCTACTCGCATAGTGTAGTAGTACTACTAGTAGGTCGGTATGAGGGTCAACAAACAAGAAAGTGATTCGAAGAAAGAGGTTGCCTGTTTGGGATGGTTTGTGGCGTGGCACGTGATCTTCATGGGGACACGGATGGATGCCAACTTGAAATGGACACCTCTAGGACACCTCATGCACACCGCGTTACTGTCAAGACAATCTTTGGTATCCTTCATCGGACTGCAGTCTCATACATCACTGTGGTCATCGTATGAATTTTGCCATTATGTTGCAGGGCCATGCGCGTACCGCCTAGCAGCGGAAATGATACACTGAGGTGTCAATTAGGAGCTTGACGTCAGGACTTCAGGACTTGCGGCTCGGCTACGACCTTGGCGATCATCCAACGTTGAAAGTGCGTGGCTAGAATGCAGTGCAGGTTTCGACGTAAGCTAATACGTAGTTGTGTATGTCTCCCGGTAAGCTTTAGCGTGGCGGTTGCGCTGACGGTCCTGATGACACCGTTCATTTACCATGATTCATCTAAACAGTATGATCCATGACTGCAGTTTGGAGGTCTCATTTCCCTGTGGGAGAGCCCTTCAGCGGAAGAACACCCTCCAACCCAGTCGGGCAGCACGCGTTCATGTTAGCCAGAACGTGGATCTGTTGTTTGAAGGGGCCGCACACAGCCATTGGCTCCCGCAACGCTGATCCTGCGATCGTCCTCGAATGCGTCACGCGTAGAACGTGAGTTTTTGGCGCGACTTTGCCAAGTCTACAGTGCCCGCTCGGACGCTGTCCATGATGATCCCCACACCAAGCCATCTGATGCCGCCTGGACGAACAAGCAAGTACGTAGGAGGCCTCCGCTCTATGTCCGTGATAGTGTCTTACCAGCGATTTCGATCAGGAACTTCGTACTGGAGCTTGATCCAGTATCCATCACAAGGTCTCCTGTAAACCCGCCATCTCCAATCCGTGCGTAGCCATTGTGTTGATATGCCCACCTTGGAGCTGCTACCAACACCTTCTCCGATAGAGCAGAGAGTTGTATGGCGATAGCCCTCAGCTATTCTTAGACCGCGGGAGGCTTTCGACATTGGGCGGAGTGTTTCGGCCGATTGGAGCTTTGGTGAGTGCATGTTCTGCTGCAGAGCTCCATACTTACACGACATCTCTCTTGTTTAATAGATTAGAGAGGTCTAAGCACTCGCAAGAGGAAGTTAGATATCATCAGAAGGGACTTCTTTCAAGTGCTTGGGTGCGTGAATGCGGGCTTACAAGTTTGCGGAACTACATTCGACTTCGGTCGAGCGATTGAGCGCTGTTCACGGCGAATTGGAGGTTATAATGATTGCGCTCACTACCACTAGGTTCTGTACAGGGTTCGCGGGGATTGGCACCATGGTCCTATGAGTACGACCACAGACCGTGTGTGATATACCTACTAACATGTATCATGAGCAGATCACGAAAATCGGCGCCTCTGCTGTCGAGCGATCCTCGTTCGCGAAGCGCCCTCACTGGCAGGCTTCAGCCACAGTCCGAGCACAAGTTCATCGGATGGTCAATGTCAAACTGTCGTACCTAGCGACCATGCGCTGGCATATTCTCCACCACCGCGGTCCGCGTTGCTCAATTCGGCGGATTCGACGTCATGAAGGAAAGCGAGTCCTCCGCTCTTGGTCTCTTGTATCCCTTCTTTAATGTCTGGCGTCTCGTTGACGTCGGGACATCGCTGACGTCGAAGCCACTCTCCGACAGCCAGGGCTCCGGTCCTGGTGTGCCTTCGACAATCATCTGTCTCTGTTTCTCCAGGAAGGTATGATCGACTGACCTGGTGTGCTCCTTATGGCGATAATGCGGCACCCAGCCCAGTGGCGCGGTGTGTGCCTCATCCATGGCGACGTATGCGTGTCTGTCAAGACCACCAGCGCGCACCAAACACAGCAGATCGCTGTCTACAACGGACCGAGTAGCTGGGCGCTGGGTCATCGCGGGGAATGCTGGCAGCGGTGGGTCTGCCCCCGCAGCGCCCTTCGCCATTCACGTCCATTCCTCGCGCACGCAAGACGCTAACGCCGCAGCATCTCCGACGTCCTCTCTGGCATGGCCACTCAGTCTTCCATCGGACGCGGTCGAGGCATCTCTGCGGATTCCACAACTCCCTGGCAGCTATCAATGCGTACAATCGACGCCCACCGACATATAATAAACTCCGCTTCTCCCTCAGAGTCGTTCAAAGGCAAGGCTCACCTCCAAAACACTCTTACCGTCGTGACCACTCTCCCGACCTCATAGAACTAGAATAGTCATGCGCCCAACGACACCCATTCGCCGAGCCCTGAACGCAGATGCTCTAGCGGCCACACTTCGGTCCTCTGCTACCAGCGCCAGCACCAGCACCTCCTCTCCGCCCGCCCGCCGCCAGCTCGCCACTGTCTCCGCCGACATCCCCCAAGGCAGCGCACCAGAGCTGCCCATTTTCGACATCTTCGACGCCCCCGCGCGCCTCGGCACCTCGCCCGCGCGTCTGCGCCTCCCTCCGCGTGCGCCGCCCGCCGCCCCCTCGTCCTCCCCCAGCAAACAAGGCGACCCACGCGCTTGATGATGCCGAGCCCCATCATCTTCGACGGGCCCAGCGGGACACCCCCGCGCTCGCCTCCTCTCCCCGTATCCGCTACATCAGCATCTGTCTCCGCATTCTTCGACTCGCTTCCGTACACGCTTCCTCCGCCCGAGATATTTGACGGGCCCGCGCATGTGCGGGGCCCCCGGACGGAGGTGCGCCCCACTGTTGGCGCAGGCGCAGGCAGGAAAACGGTACGTGCGCAGCGGCCCCTCAGGCCTCAGGTCGGGCGACCGCTTATTGCGTGTGGCGATGTGTAGCCGCGGCTGACTCCTTCGTTCTGGGTGCCTCTGATTGGCATGTCCGGTGCGGCAGGTCTTTTCGGGATGAACGAGAAGGCCAGGCGCATCAACTGAACGCGGTGTTTCGGGTGAAGGTAACGTGTCTACGATTCAGCGAGGTAATCAGTAGTCTGACATCAGTTAAGCAGCATACGCATACGAACCTCCCGCCACTACATGATTGGACAGACGGAAACCGCGCACTTGGGTGTAATAAGAACACCTACCACCTCACATAGATGCCAACTGAATCGACAGCATCAACTCGGAATAGGTCTCTGACAAGTTACACATATTCCTCGCAGGGTCTAAAGATACATACGAAAGGGGCGATATCATGGGGTGCGAATAGATGGCACTGTAGATCTGTACTTGTACGTACCCGAAGAATGTAGACTGGTTGTGTTTTCCGGTCTTCACCAGCGCGCATGCGTGAGCAAGAGCAAGAGCACCATCCGGGCGCAATTGTCTAGACTGTGATACAACTCATTAACAATACGCTTTGATTGTCATGATCCGTGTAATGCAGCGGATAGAGCATGTGCGGCGTTAACCTCAGAAGACGCGAAGCGGTCTACGACAGCCATTGAGTCGAGCACACAAAACGCAGACTGCTATTAGCAGGTACAACAAGGACGAAAGCAACACTGGACAACAGACAACCGTGACACCACACAGAAATGACACAACGGACGCCCGCACTACGTTTGCTCGGCAATGACGATCTTCTTCCTCTCTGCCTTTGGCTTCGTCTCGCCCGCGCGCGTGTGCTTCCGCCTGCGCTCCTCCTTGACGCGGCGCGCGTCCAGCATCGTCCGCTTGAGCTGCGACGCCTTGTACACCGGCTTCGGTATGTGTCGGCTCCTGTAACGCATCCATGAGTACACCAGAAACCCTGACAAATACACAAGGACCACGCACCTCTGCACCCTGCCCACCTCCTTGTCCATCTTCCACTTCTGCTTGAGGCTCTCGCGATACTCGATCGCCGCGCGCTCGTGCGCCGTGACCACGCCGAGCTTCTCCGCCGCGTGCGCCTTCCACACGCGCACGTTCCCGTCGTCCGAGCCCGACAGCACGAAGCGCGCGTCGGCGGTGTAGAGCGTCGTCGTCACGCGCTGCATGCGCTTCGTGTGGTAGACCTCCGGCTGCGTGCCCGCGCCCTCCGCCAGATGCGCACGGTGCGGTCCCAGCTCCCGCTCACGAGCTCCGTCCCCGTCGGGCTCCAGTCGCAGCTCATGACTGCCGCGACGTGCGCTTTGTATATCTGCGAGGGCGATTTGAGCGCGCGGATGTCGAACGTGTAGAGATTGTGGTCTTCGGAGGCGAGCAGGATCGAGGTGGGGAAGGTCGGCGACCAGGCGAGCGCGTTGCTGCGCATCTGTGGGGTCGTGTTCAGCTCAGTGGAGCGTGAGGTTTTGTGTATGGACGGACCTGCATCACTATTCGTCGCTCTGCCTTGCCTGTCCTGATGTCATACAGGGTGAAGGTCCGGTCGGAGCCTATACTTGCGAGTACTGAGGACTCGGAGAGATTGAAGCGCACTGCGTCGATCGTCTCCGTTGATGTCGGGAACGTGAGGTTTGAGATGGCTGCGCTCCTATAGGACGTCTCAAATTCATTCCGTAAGACGGAAGGCTACGGCACCCACTTTGTCTCATCCCATATTTGTACCATGTTTGATGCGGTTGCGAAGAGAGGGTCTGACCGGTGATGGTCTATTGAGCTGCAATGCCATAAGTGACGTACAAGATACAGTAGTGCAGATCCTTACTTGAAGGCCGTCTTGCCTGGGAAGACTTTCAAAGGTTTCCGGCTCTGCACGCAGTCAGTAACGAGTTACACTTTGCTGCGTATATGCGCACCGTGGACGGACCAGCACCATCCTCGCCTATATCCTCTTCTGAAGGGCGGATACCCCATAGCTTAATATTCCGGTCTACCCCGCAACTCAACAGCCTGTCGCTGTCCGCAAAGCAGATGCCAGACACCTTTCCCTTGTGCGCACTCTCGACGTGCATAACCTTCGTCCGTCTCGAGATGTCATGCAGAATGAGTCCTGGCGGCTTCGTCAGAACCTAATTCTCCGCGTCGCACTGCGAAGACACGCACATACCTCCGTCCCAGCTCCCGCTCGCGACCATGTCCAGGCTGTCTGGCTTCCGCGCCATCGTCTCCACTGCGTCTACGTGACCCTCCAGCCCAGCTACGAATGGCTTTGCGAAAAGTCGTTCCATCTTCGCGGCGTTCAGTGCACGCATGCGTTCGCGTGCACGCGCAAACGGATGTTGTAAAGGGTCGAGGTTTCGTGACGTTGGCGTAGGATCGCCCGGTCTTGTTGGAAGGTGCGTCGAGGGCGCATGTTGCAGCACGGATATTTTCTGGAGTGGACTCCGGTGTGAGGTTCCCGGTCGTCACACATGCTGCTGCACTTACCACCATAGTCGTGTACGTAGGTAGTGTTCACGATGATGTTACCTGAACAGATTGAGGGTTGAATTCAGTGCCGCAAGCACGAAGAAGATAGGGACGAGGAGAAGGACCCGGAGCAGTATTGAATTTTTCCCAATTTGGCAGGCCGATCGAAAGAATATACGACCACGTGATCGACTCTTACTGCAAGGTTAACGCTAATAACGGGCCGCCGCAACTTGGCCTTAATTTTACCCCTCGTTACCATGCTGCCATACCTCGATGGTACACTCATCTGCCTACTTGGAAATCATCGTCGATACGTGATGAAGCAGAACAAAGGTCAGGGTCGCGGTACACAGTCCTCGGTACGCAGAAAGTATTTCAGCCTGAATTTCAATGCCGCATCTTACGCCGCGTCCTCTTGAAGCACTGAACTGAAGTCGCTCATTCGTGTAACACATCATTGAATATTGAACATGTATTGTATATACATCATGTGTCCCGCTGCGACAATTATACGCACTCCCATTCAGCCCAATCCCTCTACTCGGACGTCGGCCGGAGGGCCTGGCGCCGCGGCCAGCGATCGAAGTAGCCCCCCATCGCATGCAAAAATCCGTAGGCGGACCCGTCGCCCTAGAGAGAAAGGTACGTCGGTAACGACGTCACCATCGACAGAGCGCGACTTACGATCATCTCATGCGGGAACCCGCGGACGAACGGCAGGACGTCCTCGAGGTACTTGACCTGCTCCTCGCTGAGCGCGATGTCGAGCGCGGCGATATTGTCCATCAGGTGCTCGACCTTGCGCCCGCCGATGATCGGGAACACGTTCGGCGTCTTCTGCATCACATACGCGAGCGCAACTGCCGTTGAACGGAGCGCACCCGTCAGTACGCTGCTCCATAACGGACGCACGAGGCAGAAATCTCACCAGCTGTGATGCTCTTCACGCCGACCTCCCCGGCGACCTTCTCGAGCGCGAGACAGACCTTGCGCTCATCTTCGGAGCGCTCCCAATCTGGGGCAAATGACATGCGACCTGCAGGCCGTCGGTGCGTTGCTCGCAGACGAGGTGATATCCGAACGTACCTTTCTCGCCTGTCTGGCGACGACGCTCCTCTTCGGCGTCTGTCCGGATCTTCCCTCCGGCGAGCACGTTCCACGGGGCGAGCGCCATGCCTACACGTCGACAGCGCCGTCGTCAGAGTCGTACGCATGCATGGCGATCCACGGACGCCGCTCACCTTCCTCGCGCGCCATGTGGATGATCTCCCGCTCAAAGTCGCGCTGGAGGATGCTCCACGCGCCCTGGTAGATCACGAACGGCGTCTTGTTCGCCATCCGCGCGTACATGTTCGCCTTGGACACGATCCACGCAGGCGTGTCGGAGATGCCCTAGACAGAGGTTAAGGTTTCTGCATTTCACTCCGGAGCTAAGCGCCGGGGCGTACCAGGTAGAGCACCTTGCCCTGGACTACTAGGTTGTGGAGGCCGTTCATCACTTCCTCGACGCCGCAGCCCCAGTCCCACTGTGCGTTGATGTGTCGTCAGAATGAAGTGGAAAGACACAGAGGAGCGCACTCACCCAGTGAACGTAGAGGATGTCGATGTAGTCGGTGCGGAGCTTCTTGAGCGACGCTGCGACAGACATGTGGAGAGACTTTATGTTGTTCCCCACGTAGTGCGTCTGCTGGGGGATGCCCGTGTCTCTTTTGTAGTTGGTAGAGTACTGCGAGCGGACGCCGTCAGGGCCCAGTTCCGCTCGACTGCGTCGGGGACGCTACGCACCTTGGTCGCAATGACCATCTGATCACGGAGCCCGCGCTGCTCCATCCACTCGCCGATGAACTGCTCCGACGACTCGTCCTGGTAGTTGTTCGCGGTGTCGATGAAGTTCCCTCCCGCGTCGTAGAACGCGTCGAGCAGCTTGAAGCTGCTCTCCTTGTCCATGGCGCCGAACCCGATCTTGTCCCACTTGTCGCCGATGCTCATCGCCCCCAGGCAGAGCGGCGAGACGTGCATCCCCGCGAGCGGGGCGAGCTGGCGGTGCCGGCCCAGACGGGTCTTGGGCGGCGGAGGCGGCACGACGAACCCAGGCATCTCTCGTGTGCTGAGTTGGAGTAGAGTTGCTGGTTCAAGTTGTAAAGAGGAGGAAGGCGGGTTCAACATCCTCCGTCGGCCTGAGCAGCCTTTTTATATGCCAACGGGCTTGCATTGCGTCAGCAAGGGAAGTGAACGTCATTGCAGAGCTGTCAGACTCACAGGGTGCCATCGAAGTGGGTCGAGCCGGAGATCTTCGTCACCACGTTGTGGGCTTAAATTCACAAGCTGCCGTAGTAAGCCTGCATTGCGGACTTCTCAGTGGATTCAACTTCGCGTCTGGGCTCCGTATGTAAGCAGCTCGAAGCCAACTGAGCCCGAGTCCCTGGCATGGATGATCATTCAACACACCTAGATAGTCTATCCCGCTGGAGCGGAGCAGCTTGGATCTCTCAAATCCCGCGTAAACCCGTACGAACTTGACAGAAAGACGGGCCATCGAAGTGCTCAATTGCAAGCGCGCAGTCCCCTGAGCAATGTATATTTGACTGAATTTTGCCGGCGGATGATGTGTGGTGGATTGCGTATTGCCTGATTGGGTTCAGAAGCGAGCTTGCTGCTCCCAATCCCACGATAATAGCAAGCTATATGATATTATTATGAAAGGCGAACCATAGAGTCAATCGTCCTAGCGCCTGCGCGATATGAGCGAACATCAAAAGCTACCTGCAGTGCTGGTGGCAAGAGGCTCATATGGACTACTTGGGATGTGAGACACAATAGGCGAGTCTCCAAGACCTAGAGCCTGAGGAAGGACGAGACAGTGGTGATGACAGCCACAGGATCTTGAAAATCACACTGAAGGGATTGGGGGTTTTTTAAACTATTTCAGCGGATCCCGACGGTAGAGGGGATCCAGCGTTCAGCTGTGGTTTCCCTGCGCGCGGCGCGGCGGACTGTGATCGACAAAGGCACAGACTCACAGGCTGGCAGCATCTGATCGCATAGCGACTCGACCCAATCGAGTACCCAAGTCAGTTCTTCATGGCATCGTGCTGTTGTGCATTGTCCCGTAGTTGTACGATTGGGTACTGGAAAACAGCACGTACACAGGGTGGCCTTGGGGTGGCCGACTCGGAGACCGGAGTTTGATGAACGCGAACACGTGACAAGGTCGCCTCAAGTCCTGCAAGTGCCACTTTCGCGTCGCGGTTGTACAACGACGGGTACGTATACGACACTGGCCTCCTGCTACCTCTGCAGTGTCTACACCCCTTCCTATAGTCATTGCACTTTAGGACTACCCAGGACCTACGCCGTATATAAGCCGCACGATTCTCGAATCCACGCACGCTCGATCTCTCCGTTGACTTTCATGGTTCATCGCCCTTTCAAGTCTCAGACTATCGCACCGCCTTGACAGCCTTGCGCTCGCTCTCCGTCTCTGCCGACAGTTCTTTTGGCCAAATGCAAGTCGCGTAAGTACCAAGCAGGGGGTGTCATTGCTGTCAGGGCGCATATAGTCATCCACTGATAGATGCAGCCTTAGGCAATCAACATCTCAGCTCAAGTTCGGGCCTGGGTACTTCTGCGCACATCGCGGTAAGCGAACCCCATCTTCTAACGCCGTTTGCCTCGTTACCGAACATGATGAGTTGCCTCGCCGTATGCCTTTCTACTGTTCACGTTAGTGCCTGCGCTTGCAAAGGGGGGAGGGGTCGATTTCTGTGCACTTCAGTATTCAGTACTCAGTACTCATTCTCGCTGGCCATACACATGGTACGTTCCAATCCACATTCACGTGCACTCAATTTCCCCGTTGACTACCAACCATCACCCACTCGTCTGGTATATGAGACTCTCGCAGAGCCTTGACAGAGTCGCTCTTGTTCCCCGGCTCGGCCGGCCGTCCCTCATGTCAGGCGCAAGTCGCGCAAGTACCTCTCCAGGTGGATGTCACTGCTACTCAGGGCGCATATAGTCATCCACCGGTCGATATATGCAATCAATATTCAACTCAAAGTCGGGCTTGGGTACTTCTGCGCATGCTCGCGACCAGCGAACCTCATCTTCCATCTCCCAGCGCCGTACGTCTAGTTTTCAGGTCACCTTCCCTGGGGCTGTCACCGAACATGGTCCGCCTCGCCATATGTCTACAATCCACTGTTCAAATTGCCAGTGCCTGAACTTGCAAGGGTGACATTGGCCGAGTCGATCTCTGTGCACATACGTAAGTCTTGCTGGTCGCATAGTATACGGCACGTTCGCATTACGGGACGACACGTCCGCCGTACTGACTATTATGCCAAGAAGCGTGATGGACACGCATGGCCAACGCATAACTGCACATCGGGCAGGCTCCATCCCCCACGCCGTAGCAGGTTGAGCCTTTCAACGTGTTCCGGGTCAATGACCCAGTGGCCGCCGACAACGGTGGCCCGGGTTAGTACTTATACGCCTGCCTGACGCGGATCTGGTATGCATGGTTCAAGTTATAGTCGTATGATTGGGCTAGTAATCCTGATTGATGCTTAATCTGCAGTGATCTACCTATATATTAGTATATGATGACCATGACCGGCGATGCTTGGATGTATGACCTCCTCAATAGGTTCGCCGCCCTCTCGTAGCGTTCAATGGACAGCTTCCATGGATGCGTTCCCCAGACAAGGTAAGGGTATTCATCTATCGTACAGACGACGATTGACTACTCATACAAGCCCGGAAACAGAGGCTGTGTCACCGTGCACCATATGCATATCTGCTGGTTTATGTGCCCGCGGCATGTACACTTCTACGTACACTACGACCGCTGCAGGACATCTCGCCCGAGGTAAGCTATCCAATTAGACTTGTGTCAAGCGCAGGATCCTCTGAGTCGGCACTTGACACAAACTTGACAGCAGGCACCGGGGACAAATCAGTTTTTTGGGACTCAGAAGATGCTAAGAAGAGTGGCGCCTATGGAGAACCAGTTATGGGCCACTTCGACGCGCGAAAACCTTAAGTAAACGCATTATTATCCTTGAATCTTCGGAGCTTCGAACATGCGGCGAACATGCAATGTCGCCGGGCGCAGAACATGTGTCACGTTTTCTTAAAGTTTTCGGACGGGGACAATGCTGCGAAAATGCCAAATGTCCGGCGACTTTCCGAAACGCGACAACTTTGGGTAAAATCCAGTCTTTTCCGTCGCAGAATGCAACGCGAAAACGGACAGAAAACGGGACCTTTTCTGTCCCATGTTCTCCTTCCGAAAATGATATCAGTTCTGTCCCCGAAAATTTATCATTTGCAGGCTTAGAAGACGCTGTATTTCTGAGCGCCGAACATGCAATGAAAATGATGTTTTTTCGCATCCAATAAATGGAATATTCTCGTTGCATGTGCGACCGTCGAACATGTTGTATGTTCGAAGGCAAATCGCGTCTAAATCATGACAATTCAGACTCGAAATCAGGTTGAGTCAGGGCTGGAATCAGAGCTATTCAGGGAGTGAATTCATGGCATTCCGAGCAAATTGGAACACTATTCGGAGGCGCAGTATACGATTCGAGCGCTGGATCCTTCATCGCCCGCGACGTCCAGTCATCAGATACAACCTACCATCCATCGAGCTGACCCTGCTCGATTGGCCCGCGCCCGCGCCCCCCGCCGTTACACGGAAACCTAATGCCAGACGCGGGAAGGGACCAGAGAGTCTTGGACCGGCCGTCTATGAAGATATGTGGGATCCGCACAAAGGACGATGTATTGAGCGCGATGGCGAAGCTGGCATCATGCGAGGCTGCTGTAACAGACAGAGGTGAAGATACCCATGTGTGAGGAACCTAGAAGCACGTACGTCATTAACCAAGGGCCTCCTGGAGAGGGGTGTACGTACTGATAATACATGTGGCCCGTCATGCCGTGTCTGAATTTCTTGATGTGTGGAAGGCGTGCTTGAAGCCAGAGGCAACGTACTGAAGGATGCGAGGGCATGGGACTGCTATGGCGCGTACGGGATAATCGTAACTTCATTGGGAGCCAGTCAAAGCCCGCGCAGGAGTCGGTATCACTCACTCTCTCCACACGAACGCCGAGTTGAGGTCACACCAGGGCATTTAAACCCCCACACCGAAGTCCTGCACCGTGCGGATCATATAATCGGAGTGCACTAAGTACGTCAACCACGCCACACCGGACACGACCGTGCTGAAGAACGTACCCACTAAGTCCTCTAAGCCCTCGATGGTCTTCGGGGAGAGCTTGATCAGCGCCATGCGCCCGACCGCAATACGCCAGACGTAGGCGAAGACATTGCAGACGACAAGCGAACCCTCGAAGATGTTGTCCACGACGAAGTGGCTCGAAACCATGATAACCGGAAGTGACACGACGCCCTCAGCAGAAGAGCCCAGATAGCTGCCCAAGGTAGCCGCACTTAAGTGACTTGACGAAACTGAAGGAGACCAAGGGTGTGATCGAGTCCGACGTTCTCACGCACGAGCGTGCAGGAATGTGGGTGATTCAGGGTGTACTCCAGATCGCTGACAGGCGCGAGGGGAGCGTGACGTGGTAAGGCACATGCAGGAAGGGAATTGGCCATAGAGCGCATCGCGGACGACCTCCAGAGGGAATTCCTTCACCATCGACTCCACATCTACGCATTCAAGCATCAGCCTCCAAGCCCCAGAATACAGATACCAGACCACTCACCAGACGACGTCGAGAACTTGACACACTGTTCCATATCCTGCGCACACTCCAACGCCACCTGCGCAGCGCAGCGCGGTTCATGTTCAGCACTACTAGGTTGCCCACCTGGATCTTCCCGTCCACCGCCGCGCTTACGAGCGTCACGGTGCCGTTCAGGCCGACGGTGGGGATGATCTCGGAGACGCTCTGCGAGTAGGGCGCGGTGCAGAAGACGAAGCATGCGCCGCCGAGCGACTTGACGATAAGACGACGTCCGTCGCGGAGGCGTCGATGTACTTGGAGGCTCCGAGCGAGAGAGCGAGCGGCTTTTTGGACAAGCCAGAGGAGAGCGGTGTCCTGCAGCAGTCCCCTTGAGCTTTGATACAGATGACGAGGCGTGAGCGAGTACTTACCTTCAGGCCGAGTTTCGATGCGTATCGGATGGCAAGGTGCCCAAGACCTACAACGCCCTGTACGAGGCAGACGTAGCCGAGTCGACAGTGCCACGCGGATAGCGTCAAAACCCGCGATGCCTCTACGCAGCAAGGGTGCGAACTCCACATACGACGCCTGCTGCAACGCCTCCTCCGGGATGCTCACCACCGCTGCAGCTCAGTCAGCACTGCACCAATGCATACCTTACTCGGGGCAACTCACCCGTCTCAGGCGCATACATGTACTCCGCATGCCCATCATCAAACGTGAACCCCGTCTCCTGTCCCTCCTCGCACAAAAACGCGGTCCCCGTCCTGCGCGACTCGCATCGTCCGCAGTAGCCGCCAATCCAGTCGACGCTGACGGGCGCGCCGAGCCTGTACCGTCCCTCCCTGTCCGTGCCCGGCTACGTCCCCGACTTGTCGAAGTGGTCCAAGTTGCCGTTATCCGAAGCGTACACGCGGATGAACACCTTGTTCGGCGCGCGCAGCTCTTTGTGATGAAGATCGTCGTATCCACTGCCAAATCACTAGTCATCGATTGTTAGCGCAATAATCTCGTTGGGCAGGAGGACATACGCGTGAACGATGCAGAAAACATGGGCAAATGCGACAAAATGTCATTTGGCGGATCAAGGGTACACGGTGCAACTGCCGTCAGCATACGTACTCGCGGAACCTGTGTGCAAGACTTGCTGCGTATGTTCGCCCTCAGAGTTTTTATGCAAGGACCCACGTACGTAGACTGACGACCAGAGTGCAGTTGATCTCCCGACGTCGAGGTGTCCTGTGTATGTCGCAGGTGTCCTTCATCACGCGCTGTGTGGTAATCGCTTGCGTCTTGCCAAAGTGTCGAGCAGCCGGCCGATCGCCAGCGTCGGTGGCGACCACGTCTGAGCCATGTCAGCCTCTGAAGATCGGTTCGAGGTCGACTAACAAAATGACGTACCTTTCATTTCTCCGATACATCCATAGACCGACTGCGACCAGTAGGTACTTTCATTCAGACTCAGGAATCGCCGAGTATTCTAGCGGCAGATCAAAGTCAGCATAGAGAAGGTAGATCGCGGCGCATCGCCCGTTACGATCATGCTGTCGTGGGCTCCATTATTAGCACTCAGGTCGGTGTTCATAATCCACGGGCTCACCCCGAAGACGACGATGCCATCCAGACGCACTTCGCAAGCTCCTGTCTTTCTTTGAGAAGTTGGCACGAGAGAACAACGGCACGAGCATCAAACACTACTCAGATCGGGTGATGTCACAGACTACGCCATAGAAGAGCAACGACGATGCTTGACGAACAGGCTTGATGAGAGTCCTTGAAGGGAGGGCGGAAGGGCGTCGCTGGAGTGACCGCAGTCGCGGTGGCGAGCTGCGCCGACGCGCTGTGATTCCCACGCGTTTGCCTTTCCGATACAAGCGTGTCCTGTTCGTGGTCGTACAAAACTAACGCATGCTTATTACACTGCCGGTGCCAGGGTCGATCTTAGCCACTTTGTGTAGCGTCTCGGGCCCAGCAGCATATTGTGAATTGTTTGATAGGTATACATGTATGGAACTTTCGCGCTGCCGCATGCGTCAGTCGGCCAGTCAAACTTATCAAACTTCAGACAGTTCGTCTTCCTCCTCTACAGGGGCATCTGTTGGTTCCCAGTGTAGGTCCTGGTACATGAGGAGATGAGTTTCGGTTATGAATATATAGATAATAAGATGCACTCGCCCTGACGAGTGGTAGCACGTGAACAGTAGGTGCATTGTCCTTCGACAATGAAGGGTCCGAGCTTGTGAACTCGGTTCGTGCGAACGGACAGACCACAGACTTTGCGCGAATGAGTTCAAAATTCTCGTATAGCCCTTGGAAGAGGCGTCCGGCGATGGCGAAGCCCAGACCACGGTATGGATCGTTGATTTGTGCGTCAGAGTCCAGTAACTTGTGCCGGCGAACAATCAGGAAGACGACAGGAATATCGCCGCGAACGCTAGGGGTCGTAGTCTTTCGCCAAAGGATTCGAACTATTTGTGCTGGTGCTAGATCGGTGTCCTCCAGTTCCGGTCCCGTTGCATCAGCTAGATCTGCTGCCGTGGCCAGCCCAGATCGACGGATGATAATGTTAGCGTCCTTGTCGCTCACAGTAAACGGGCGACAGCTGAAAGCATTCATTCGCAACAACGAACAGCATACAAGGCCTAGATAGATACATTCAGATATCTTGTCCAGTCGATTGTTAGTTACGCACCACGAAGATCAGGTGTTCCGAGGTAAGACACCACTAGCTGGCGCTCGCTGGCAAGGAGGCGCATATCTCCACGGAATTCTCTAACCCGCATTCTTGCGGCGTCTCCAAAGCCCATGATGGCGTTCATGCGTGTGCCGCGGAAGTCCCATTTGAAGGCTTCATCGAAGGCCGGCCGAAGCTCTGCAAGCTCATCCGCGAGACCGTCACTACCAAGCAAGGCGCGAATGTTCGCCGCGCGGCAATACTGGAACATCATCGTCATTTCCAATTCGCCTGAAGATGCACATGAGTACGTTTCCCTCAGTGACAATTTCACTTGGCACATACCCCACTTCCCGTTCTTTGCGAAGTTATGCAGTGTGTTGTTGACCCGTTCCATCGCCCAAGCACGGATCGAATGAGAGGGCCCAAACATGGCTAGAAACTTGTCTGCGAAGTGCTGAGCCATGTGGTTACTCGGCGTGAGAGGGACCTCTTTATACAAGTCAAGGAATCCTTGGAGGTACGTCTGGTAGTGGTGGTCGTAGGCTATGATGTGATCATGAGATGTCGAGTGCAGGCCTGCGACAGCAATAGCTGAAACTAGGTGAATGAAGTTATCCAGCATGGCTTGTTGTCTCTCATCACCGAAGCGCCAGAGTCGCACGAGGGAAATGACCAAGTGTATTGTTCCAAGAGAGCGCCATTCGTCCGCCTTGAGCGTCCGTTTTTGAGAACCGACTCGAGTAGGGGCGGGTGCCACACACGACGGTAGCAAGGTCCGTTGTTGATCGCTCCAGATTTCCTGAAGAACATCTAGGCCGAGTACGTACGAACCCTCAGGCTCGGTATCTTGATCTTCGTCGGCATCATGTTCTAACTGGTCTTCGTTCTGAAAAAGTACAATCAGTGAGACAGAACTCGTTTGTACTATGCAGTCGACGCCCTACCCATTCTTTCAATTGTTTCCACATATCTTGCATTGAGAGGTCAGTACGGATGCCTCGCTTCATGCACATCTCGACCAGAACGTTCCTATTCACATTGGGATGTTTGTTGCCCTTGCGAAGGCCCCTTTCACCCTTCTCTATGTCGTCCGCTGAGACGGTGATCCCACGACTCTCAGGAGCTCCTCTGGACGTCGGAGTAGCAGACGCGCTCCTCGTGCGATCCTCGGGTGTTATCGTAGACGTCGGAGTAGCGGATGAGCTCACGCTATCCTCAGTCAGCGATAATCGTTCGGTGTTGTAGAGGAAAGGGTGCGGTGAGTCTAAATGCAAGGATGAGACACTGGCACTATCACCGGGTCTGCAAAGATATACATCAATTTCCGAGGCGGCATTTATCTAGCTTGAACGTACAGCTGTCTGGGCTGCTCTGTCTCTTGTTGCGAAGTGGTAGTACTTTCATCTGCGTACTGTACTGTTCCTCCCATGGCTCGCTGTAATGAGACGAACGTCAAATGAGTACGGCAGAGTTAAAAGCGGCAACTGACCCAATGTATCAGTCTTTCCGCAAGCATGCGCTTTGTCCCAGCGCGCCTTAAGTCGCGGTCCAAGCATAGATGCCATAGTTGACCGTACTTCAGCTTGGTCAACTGGTCCACCGTATCCCGCTCGAGATGTTGCAAGATCCGGTTCCACGATACCGCATTCGTCTTCTGGGAGCATGCGGGTACCTTCCTGGCATACCACAGTACACCGTCCCCCGATTGGTGTTTTGCACTCATACCCCATGTATCCCGGATATGGTGCTTGAGATTGTTGAGGTAGTGCGCGTGCATGCTTTCGACGACGGTGAACCGAACAGAGTCCCAGTATGGCAATCGCAGGAACTCCGTGTGACGAGCAAATCCATGTTTGATGTGAGCCTTGCGCGCGGCGTCGCTGTCGAGGCTGCGCCATACCTCAGCCTGCCTGCGATGTTCCTCGACGCTTCGATATGACCATTGGTGCTTGTCGATCTGCTCGATCTGGTCCTGTTTGAGATGACAGACTGAACAGAAGTAGGTCGCGCTGTGGCTCGCGAAGCCAGACATCTGCCGAGCAGCACTGAGGTCGCATATCATGGGAAGGAGAGCCCCCAGTGCGAACCGGCCGGTCGGATACAATGCTGTTTGGGAAAAATAGATACCAGGTTCCCAGAACTTCAGCATATCGTCGACGATCAGCTTGGTGAAATGGTCGATTTGATCCAGCGACGGCTTGTTTGGGCCGGGTATAATACCAATGAGAAACATATTCTCCTCCAGGAAGCGTAGATCGGGTGGCAGGCTTAGCAAGACGGCATACAGCGCTGAAGACCCGGAAGAAGGTCTACCTGGCTTCATACCATGGGGACTGAAGCTGTCGAAGCCGAGACCCCAGATGAACCGAAGCTCTTCTTGAGGTGCATCCACAAAGCGGCTGCCATCAGGACCGACAAAATCCTGAACCGCACGACTCTCCAGAATGTCTCGCACGACCCGATCTTCGTTGCGGCTGGCTGATCTCGCAGTCGCGGCACCTCTGTCGAGTGCAGCCTCGATATCAGGGCGGGCGAGGAGTCGAGCGTGCCAAGAAGCGAAATCTTGATGCAGATATTTGCGAACAGCGATAAGGTGCTTGGACCCCTTCAGGAGGCGAGTCTCGAATAAAGGGGTTCCGCACGGTCGAGATGCCGATGATGTGAATGTTGTGGATGTGCAAAGATCAGGAATGGAGGAGGAATGCTCGTTGTAGAGGCAGAAGCACGTCGGGCAACACACGTAGGCCTCGACATCAGGATCTAAATCGAAATGATGGAGGACAGTGCGGAAGTCCAACGGAAGATGCCCTAATCCAATCGCATTGGCTCCTAGTCGACTCTGTATCTGGCTGAGCATTAGTCGGAGAGCTGCGAGTACGAAGTCACACTTCTTCCTGGAAACACGGCAGAGGAGGTTGAGTACAAGGACTAGGAAGGACGCAGTGGCCAACGCAGAGTCCTCTCCTAGTTGAGAGTGTCGATGGTGCCGAGCTATGGGACAGTGTTCAGAATGAGGGTATCAAGGTGCAGGAGACACTTACCACAGTCGATATATCGACGATCTTTCCCCTTGTAACTGTAGGCATGCGCGCTCGCAGACTCGGGATGCGTCCGCTGGAAGTTCCACTCCCTGGCCTTGACATCAGAGATCCTCTGGATCTCGTCAACAATAATCTGACGGATCCTGATTCGAAGGTCCTCGAACACCATGTATTGCGGTAGTTCATATTGCTCGATGAGATGGAGAAGCGCGTACATGCTAGCTTCGTGAGCCAGTAATGCCTCGTTTCTGGGAGAGCTCGGCGACAGTCTGAAAGGACCAGCATTAGGTGCCGCCGGTATGTCGTTAGAGGGGTGATATGGAGGGGAGTTAGGACCGGGTGGAGCAACGAAGACAAGAGGTGCCGATGCTGAAAATCCGAGCGCTGCACGAGTGATGACGTCCAAGAGACTGCTCATGTCGTCAAGGGAGGTTTCAACGAGGCTAGGATCCGAGTAATCCGCCCCCATTGGTGGGACGTCAACACCAATGTCATGGACCGCTTCGGACTCGACTAGCGTGCTGTCTTCGCCCAGAGATCGGATGGCATTTTCGACAGAACTCACGGAGGCGAGTCGCCGGTCGAGTAGCGCAGCGATGCGATCCGCTCGAAGGTGGCTTGCCAATGCGCTATGTCTGAGCCAGTTACCCGTAACGCGTGTATCGTTGTATGGATTTTGTGATATGTCGTTTCGACACCCATGCACGATACACGTACAAAGGTATCGTGTCTCGTTGCCGATAACTGCAGACGTGCGCCTGTGTGATCCTGAGCCATCCATTATGTACTGTCATTGTGAGTGAGTCGGCGATGATGCCCCAGCAGTGATGTGGTACGCACAGCGGTCGCTGAAAGCTCCTAGCAATCCCAACCGGGCCCGCGATTTCAAATAAGGACAGTAGCGCGGCGACGGCAGGCAAGACGAGGTCAGAGGCCGAATGTCGAATGCCGAGTGTCGTGGGTCGAGTGACAAGTGTCGAGTGTCGTGTGTCGTGTGTCGTGGCTCGTGTATCTAGGGATCAGAGACTAATGACGAGTCGCGAGATGCTTCAGTTCTTGTCAGAGACACTCACGATCACTGACGCAATGCAGTTACCGGTCACGAGAGTATTATATCATTGCATATGATAGCGCATTCTTTCTCCCTGTATATCGAATCAAGTACGCAAATGTAGAGACAATGACGTGGACGGTGGGTAATGAGCGGTGAGACGTATAGCGGCGAGACAATTACTATTGAAGTACACCGAAAAATCGATCCAACAACCCGTCATTCCGCCGAACGCCATTGTCAGCCTGCCGCGGATTGCGTTCACCGCGAATATGGCCTACGAGTTCCGAGATATCTCTCAATGCGAAGTTTTGCGCTGGTGTCGATGTCACTGGAGTGCGACACATTGGACAGATGTAAGCAGGGCGTGGATGGGCAGCTTGGACGTTGGCGAGCTCGAGGCGTATCTGCTGACGCATCGCTTCGTCGAGGTTTACCTGTCGTAATGCTTGATGGTAAGGGAGCACATCGGGGACGTCGAGCGCGGGGTTCGCCACGACATGTTCCGCGAATATTCCGTCGAAGTACTCCTCCAAGCAGGTTTGGCAAAACGTATGACCGCAGGGCAACCTGGGGCACGTCAATGAAACAGCATTACTTGTTCACCTAACGATCACCTACACGCATGGGTTATACAGCACGTATGCGCAAATCGTGCAATCAACGTTCTGCTCCATGCGCGAGAAGAAGTCCTAGCAAATGGATTAGGAGGTGAGGCATTATCGACGGCGCAGTGAACGTTACCTGCGCTCTCGAATTCCCGGTCTTCAGCTCCTCGAGTTGGGCGTTCACCTGCGCAAGCACCTGGGTCGACTCAGTCACATAATCGACCGCGTAAGGAGAGAAACGACGCGAACCATCTGTACACGAGCGGTCAGAAGCAGGATCTGGGGCAAGTATAATGGAAATACACGTACCGCCATGCTCGTACTCTCTTCTTCGAATTTGACAAGCTGAGCGCGCTGCGTATTAAAAAGCTATGCAAACAAAATGAGTGCAATGTGCATGAAGGTGTATATTCAATGATAGAACGTACGTCACGAGTCCTCTGAATTTCTTGCTCTAGTCGAACATTCTTGTCTAATGTGGTCTGTGCCTCTTGACGCGTCTGATCATGCGCTGCGTACGCGACCTCAAGTTCCTGTTGCAGTGCTGCGAGAGTGTCGCATAGCGCCTCATGTTCTTTCTGCACATCCGCCTTGCTCTCGCATGCGGCGTCCGCCTGTTTCTGCAAGTTGGCCGCCTTCTCTAATGCGATTCTAAGCTCTTGTTCTAGATGCCTAGTTCTATGCTCGAGGTCTTCGCGCAAAGTGGCGTTAGCGTCAAAGGCTGCTTCGATGACTTCGCGAATGTTGGTCGTCGCCGTAGACGCAGACACCGACGTCTGTAGTTCATGTGATTGTTTGTGGCCGTTGGAACGCACTGTAAGAATCCTCGTCCGATCCTCCTCGTCCGACGAGATTTCAATGACACCGTCTGGTTCCACAGGAGCCCTTGTCGGTGTCCTTGTCTTTTTTCTCTTCCGTCCTGATACCATCATAGCAGACACAGCATCCTCGCCAGCATCTACAGCAACTATTTCTCCCCGAGCAGAGTGGCTTGAGAGCGTCGGCTTGCGTCGAGAGGAGAGCCCTGAAGTGGTCGCTTCACGTTGACTGGACTGTCCCAGCAGTGTACGCCCACCTCGCGAGACGTTCACAGAGTTGGAGGGCATCAGTTACAGTGTTTGTGCTAAGCAGCGTAGAGCGTACCCAAAGGCAGGAGAACATCAAGGCACGAAGGCGAGACCGATGTGTCTTTGCAGGCCATCAACATAAAGGCGGCGACATGTCCAAATCGGCGACATAAAAGGCTTTGCCACGTGTGGGTTTCACCTAGATTGAACCGACATTGCATTATTCGGCTTCCTCCCCAGCCGCTTTGTCACTGTCAGAGCAAGCCAGAAAAGCGGGTGGATCGGGAGTGCCGAGTTCCATGAATGAGTCTTGAAGTAATATGGAATACCTCATCGTGGATAGTTTTCAGCAACGGGCGCGACACCAATTACAGCAATATCACATCTTACCTGCTGGCTCGATTTTGAGGGATTAACGAACCGCTCGACGAGCGAGAGATCAATGACTCTTTACATGCGGATAACCTTGGCCATACGAAGACACCTAAGCCGTTGTTTTCTTGGGTTCATGCTCAAGGGGTCGGTGGTCTCTGGCAGTGCTGAACAAGGTTTCAGTCTTCTAATTCAGTGTTCGATCATAGCGGAATGAGGATAGCAAGTAGCGGAACAGCGAGTACGGAGAGCGAGATTCTACGAAACAATGACAGAACAACAAGCATACAAGAATCTCGCTGCATCAGATGTCACTCTTGCCGGTAGTGGTGTGGCGAGTCTCATACAGGAGTTGGAAAAAGACTCGGAATGCGAAATCGAGATCCCGAGCCTGCGCAGCATTGGTCTTCTGAAGAGAAATCGCAAGGCTTTCTAGCTCGGGACGGCTCAGTTCTATCAACAACAGTCAGTGGCCTGACCAGATGTTTTGGCAGCAAAGGACTTACTCTTGACGCTATCCTTGTCTATAACCTGGAGCGCAGGTACCTCGCCTCCGGCAAGATCCTGTCCGAACGTACTACTGCCCCCATATCCGCCTTCACCTGTGCTATGTATTTGTCCATAAGCAGCCCTCCTTCGACAAGCTTGGCTTTAGCCTGTTCCGGCTCGAAGGCGCAGGTCCCGTCGTACTGATAAAGCTTCGCGTCGGGTGTAGTCATGACTCGGGAGTGTAGCTTTTCAGAACGGTCCGTAGGCAGGAGTAAGAATCTATGGATGAGGGCTTGACTTTGACTCACGTTCGGTGTGCAGATATGAGTATACCCAAGGAAGCAGCTGGTGGACGGCTGGGTGAAGGTGCTGAGAACGCGAACCCATGTTCCGGCGTTGAGTACTTGAGTAACGTGTTCTGACCAAATATGGCAGCTAACGCGGCGCTTAAGCGACCTCCCAGTTCCTCCGAGTCGACACTTTCCTCGACATTGGTCAATCAATCTTCCTTCACGCTCGACGGCCGGATTCTTTGCGTGAACGCCAGCTCGATTAGTCTCAGAGTATACAATGTCGATAAACGCATCCGCGAGTTGAGCGGGAATCAAAATGATCGCGCTGGTTGGCCCTTTGTCGAGATCTTGCGTCGCGGTGGTTAATGCATGCCAGTTCAGGAGCGCAGAAAGCATATGAGCACGATCCACCTTGGTAAGTGGCACTCATCCCCTTGCAATGCCGGACGACGCTGTCACCATCATGCAGCAGGACTCTGTCGAATCATCGCTGAATAGCTTTCGTCGCCAGATACTGGTACAATTACACCAAGAAATCACCTCAGGCGATCTAGGATCGAGCGGAGTGTTTTCTAAGGCCCTTCAGAACAATTTATCATCTGCACCATCTTTCATGCCATACAGAAACCTCGCCGAGTGGGCCGCCATCCACCCGGGCTCCTCGCAGTCGTCGTCGCGAACACCGAGCTCCAATGGTACCCTTTTCCTTGAAGACGTCAAGGCTTACATCAGGAGGTGTGTAGTTGCTGGTGGTGTATGGCACTGTGCCGACAGTGTTCGCAGATTCGTGACGCGGGAGTTACCGGGCACAGTCCCTTACGACGCCAAGGTGGTGCTCTTCACGAAGGAGCACGCCCGGTGGCTCAATGACGTGGTCCGTTACGTTCAGAATCAAGGGCAACTAGTGTATGCTCTCATCAAGCGTCTCTTGGATGACACACCCCTTCTCTATCCAGAGCTGGCGGATTCAGTACGGTGCGTATCATTTCAACTCGAAGGTTAGAAACTCCTGTTCAGATAAAGGTACCCTATAATTCAGACGGATGCTCCACACGCTCAGTCACGACCTCCTTCAACAGTGTATGTCGATTATTGCAGATCAGATGGAAAAGGAGAGATTCCCTTTCGTAGGGGACCGCGATTATTACATCGAGTGCGTGCGCAAATACCGTATGGTCTATGTAAGTGAACTGCACTTCATAAACTTCAGAGCTGACTGTGATAAGCTAGGAAATGCACCCCGTCCCTGATTACGAGACTGAGCTGAAACTTATGGCGGAGGGACAGGCGTATATTGACATAGCATCAGCGGTGCGTTTCTCATTACGATCATGACACGTCGACTCATTCTGATTGTCTCTTGCAACAGCGAGTATACGAAATGGTGACCTCGACTCTCCACAATAGCTTTTTGCTACGTCTGAGCAGTGTCATTGAGCAATGTGTCATGGGCGACGATGGTCAACTGGTTCACTGCGTCACCGAGCCAGAGACCACGCAGCAGGTGCGTGTTTCGTCGTCATTGACAGAGCTGGCATCGATGCTCACCACTGCACGCAAGCCTTGATTGCTACTATACTATCAGTTCACCGTGCGTCAGGTTGATACAGTTTAGAATGCCCATTACAATGTACTTGTATTCACGAATCATACACAATGTTCCGTTCGACTCCCGTTGATGTTCGCTACGTGCTCTCGATGCGAAGAAAACATTGAGTGTCCCCGTGAAAATGTAAACATCCTGACGGTTCAGACCCTAGACGACTCGGACAAGGACTACTACTGTGCAAACATGACTGCGAGAAGGCCAATACTTCATCGTGCGTACATGCACGCGTTCAGATCACTTTTGTTCTGAGTGATCTTGAGCGCGTTCCTGTTTCTTGTCGCGACCAAGATACGTGCGATACGTCTCCTTTGTAACCCATCGAGGTTCGCCATTGTCGAGGATCCGGAGTACATAACCCTCTATCGTCGGGTGCGGATGGCTATCATTGACCTTCGTCCAGCTAGGAGGATCCCTACGGAGCCAAACCTGGATCTGCCCATCGCCAAAATAGTTGATGAATAAATCACCAACTGATGCGATAGCAGGGGCCACAGGTACATCGACTAAGCGAGGCCCCGACGCAGGATACCAACGGACTTTCTCCGGACGTGACCTGATCGCATGTTCATGGAGACGTCCGCTGCGGTAGGAGAGATCAATGGACAACTAGCCCAATACAAGATTCGCACTCACACCACAGTTTGAAGAGGTGGTTGTATGGAGGGAGGCTGCGGGGATGCTGGTAGTGCGCTCGTTCGCAGTGCACTTGGTGATGCCACTCTTTCTATGGGTGGACCACCGCACAACCCTGCCGATAGCGAGGAGGATTGAATACCTGCGGGATTGAACCCTCTCGGGGTAGCGCCTGACTGAATAACAGTGTGCTCAACCTCGATGCGTAGCCCATTGGAGCCTACGACGCGCTGAAGGAGGGGGCGATGGGTGCGCACTGGTACACCCTGGTTGTCGACGCCTATGAAATTCGTTTCTCCGGTGGTCTTCGCAGCGTTATCTGCGCGATATTCTCCGATATGCACAGCACTGGCAGGCGCTAAGTCGGGAGTGAGACATTTGGGTCGCTTATTTGACACATGTTCTGTCTCAACCTACCTAGCGGGATGCTTGAATGAAGGAAGGAAACCGCAGGTAGCTGACCAGAAGTCGTAGATGCACCCGGCTGATTGACAGGACTGCCGATCTGCGGAAGTGGCATACGCTAAGTTGATAGACGGTGAGCACCGCACCGAAAAAGCAGTCGCATTAAGAGGACCCACCCAGACACTTTGTCCATCGACTCTCTTTGTAGTCGGAAGTACGTGGGTGCTCCCTGTATCATGCTTGGTCGCACTGCGTACCAAAGAGGGGAAGGGAGCAAATTAAGCCCTCGCGAAGTGCAGGACTCAGTAGACGACACACACCTCAAAGTCGAAGACATTCGCAGATGCCTGTGGCGAAGAATATGATACCCGGATCGAAGTACATCATCCTACAGACCGGTAAATGAGTGGCAGTAGTCGTATTGTCCATGGGTTCACGCACATCGCGTTCTAGCGGGTAGGCCGGTAACTGGGAATCCTTGATAATAAAGTCAATGGCCTGAGGGCTAGTATGTTCGCTCATGAGTGGCGATATGCACGAAAAGAGGTCGTCAAGGCTAAATGACGGGACAGGGCGTGAGGATTTACTTTGCACGTACAAAGGCAAACCGACTCACGCCGCTGTGGTGGCGGTGGCACCCACTGTGACTGTGCCCGAGCTTGGGTCGAGAATCCTACCCATACAGGCGCTCTTCGAGTCTCGAGGTCGCCACGAGTGGGCCATGTGCCATGAGCTGCCAAGAGTAGCTGAGCGACTTCACCGGAATCGCCCACTGAAAGACAAATCAGTCGCATACGCTCGCCGAGCTCACAGATAGTAACCCCACCCTACATACCAGTACGCCCGCCGTATCATTGCACCCTTGAATACACCTGAACGTCTTGCTCAAGTTCGAAGGTTCACTATCAGTCACAACCCGGGCTCCAGGAAGTCACGACGGATGCGCACTTGCGCGTGCATGCGTGTTCGTCCGTGAGGGATATTAATACACGCTCTAGTACACGCTCGTCATCGGCGTAAACAACACCTACTATAAGGAGCAGAACCACGGGGCATACTGATGCAACCCGAGCATCCACTCCGTCTCTCTCCAGTATCTGAGCATCTAGCAGGCTGACACAGACCCCTCAGACTCGTCAGAGTGTCAACGAGATTCTATGATACAAAGGTTCCCGATTATTATATTGTGATACACGGTTCAAAAATTACAGGGGGAAGACGAGCGAGTCGCCAGACAGATGGCCGCCTGGACCACGTCGAACGCGCCAGGGCAAACATCGGTATGTATCTCGCGCACACCTTCGCTTCAAAATGCAGGTCGTTGGCTGGTAGATGGACTTACGGTTGACACGTGCGGCGAGGCCATGGTACTTACATGGCTGCACTAGTGCCCGGTCTGCGTTGACAGTGTTGTGAATCACCGGACACGCCCGAGTGCGCGGGCCAGGAGTTAACCGTGTTTGTGACGGGCGTACTGAACTGGAGCGTGGCGTTGAGAGGTGCATCTGTCCGCGAGAAGCCCGACGAGAAGTCCTGCCAGGTCAAGATGGTGGCTCGTTTCGTGGCGCGTGCCTATAGGCTACGAAGAGCCCACCATCTATGAATTGCTAATCTGTGGTGCATCTCAGGAGCACTCACCGCCCGGGCGCCTTCCGTCAGGTCGAACGGCAGCTTCTCGCCATCCGCCATCGCGAAACCCATGGCCTCGAACTCGCCTCACTTGAGGTCTGTCAGGCTACGGAAGCGGTCTTCGCCAGACCGGCCGAGTAAGCCGTGCTCGTCCATGCTGGACATTGCCGACGATGCGTAGGATACCGAGGTCGACAACGACGGGGCACTCACCGAGGACGAAGTCGATCCGGCTCCCGTGGCTGTCGACAGCAGTATCTCGGCGTCGAGTCGCAGGTAGCTGTTGATGCTGGACATTGGGAAAGGGTATACAGCAAGCACGGACGGACCACGTACCAGGACAACCGCATACTCGCCCTCGCATTGCTTGACTTGCTGATCCGTTCCAGCGGGGGACAAACACCTACTATGTGTAGAGTGCTAAACGAATAGAAACGGACGATGGACGGAGGATGATTGCCGACGTACTCCGCAGGACTTTCGGCGAGCGTGGCTTTCGCTGTCGTCTCGAGGACATTGCGAGAGGTTCCGCTCTGGAGTCGACACGGTGTCGGGCGCGAAGCGGAGACTGCAGGTCACAAACACTGTCCGAGGGTGCAATATTCCCGCCCATAGAGGGAGTAGCATCTACCTTACGTCGGGAGCAGAGCATGTACCGGCAATACGCATCGTCTTGAGTCCGAGAAGGTCGAGAAGCGGTGGACTTGGGACAGCAGCAGGGGAGGACGAGGACGAGGACGAGGAGTCCATTTAGCCACCGACCGACAACACACACCGTGACGGGCGCCATCGAGGGCATCTTGACGATGACCGCGCTCACTAAGTGACTACAGCGATCGCGGGCGTGGAGGAGGAGGAGGCCGTGACACGCATACCGTTACGTACCCGCTAGTCCGTGGATGAAAGTCCCGCGCCACACGCCTCAGCCACCTCGCGTCTCGCCCGTCGCCTTCACGCAACGCCCAATACCTCGCTCGAAACTCATCGTATGGCCTTGGCGACCTCATTTTCGGAATCTACGCGTCAAACACTACTCAGGCATGATATCAGAAAGGCCAAATTGAGAGGCAGCTGCGCACAAGACCTCACAACAGTCCGGACGAGTCGGCGAACACCCGCACGCAGCGTAAACGGCGCGTGCGTGCCACACATTGCGTGTCGGGAGACTATGAGAGAGGGTGCTACGAGTGATCGCTTAAGCCAGGGTTGAAGCTGGTTGTACGGTGAGTCTTCAATGCTAGTGTTGTTGTCCTTTCGTCCTTCTGTACTCGCGCGAGCAGCCCTGGGCTTATGGGATACTGGCAGTGGGTAACGGTACACGCAGGTCCACTGGCACAGGAGAAGTCTTAAGCGCCAAAGCTGGGAAACCGCGTTGCACACCACGCGGCCAGCGCTTGCATCCTCCGCTCGCTGCCAGTGCCCTTCTCCGCCTCCCAGTCCTTCACCTCGCTCTCGCTCTCGCCTGTTCGCTACTGACCTCCGGTACACACAAGCGGACTCATCCGAAAGAGACGGCGCGCGCATCGGCCTGCCGCGCGCCCTCAGATCGCGCGGCACACAGTTCAAACAAGCTTCAGCGACTCGGACGTGCGAAGAAAATTGCTGGAAGTTCGCGATGGGAGGATGTGCCAGGAGGGAGAGTAGCTGCGGCTAGCAGGATTAGCGACCCAAGTGAGTGCCCTCCGCACGTCATCTCGACCCGCATACGACCCCGGCAAGCGAGAGCACAGCAAGGACGTTCCAACAGAGACTGTTCCTGCTCGCGCGCGCGCAACGAGTACAGGCGCAGCGAAAATAGCTCCGGCGTGTTCGTGTCTAGTAACCAGCTCACCAGCGGGAGCCCAGTACGCATGCACAGGTCGAGCCCCAACGCACGGGAACAGCCTGCAAGAATCGGCCGCACACGGACACGACGTGTCACGCACCGACGCACTCGGGTACGAACGCGGCAGCGTGCAGTATGACGTGCACGGCGCATGGCCGACGAACGGGCAGCGGGCGGACGAGCAGGCGGGCGGCAGCGCACATGCCGACTGCCCAGCATGCGAACATGGCCGACGAGCGGACCGCGGGTGCGTGAGCGAACGAGTCGGAAGGACGGGTGAGTGGGTAGGCACAGGTCGCCGCGGCGACGCACGCCGATCGCCAGCGCACTGGGCAAATGCCCAGCACGCAGACACGGCCGACGAACGCGCGCGAAGCGAGCGGGCAGGCGGACGAGCGAGCGGATAGGTGAGCAGGCGCGGACAGGCAAGTGCATAGGCGAGAGAGGAGTAGGTGAGCGGGTAAGCGGACAGGCGGGCGGGTGGGTGGACAGGCACACAAGCGGTGACGACACATACACCGACCACGAGGGCACTGGGCGAGCGCCCAGCACACAAGAACGCCCGACGACCGGACGGCGCGGGGGAGCGAGTGGGAGCAGACAGCGACGGTGGGCAGGGCTGGGGCGTGCACAACACTGACCGCGAGGGCCCAGGCATTGTAGCTAGCGTAGATGATGCATTGACTCGATCATACAGAGTACGAGCTTCGACCGACATCACTCGCGCCTTTAAATATGATCGTACCTATCCGAGATTCCACCTCGGACAATGATCAACGGGCTGGTACTTCTACACTCAGTCGTAAACGTCTACGTCTACCGTGAGATAAGTGAGTAAGCCGGTCAGAAACAACGATCGAGTCCAATGCGGTGAACATAATAGTTAATGTGGAGGAGGAACATCAAGTATATCAGCAGTGAAGAGGACTTTGCAGACAGAAAGAATACATGTCGTTCCAGAAATTGAGTAGAGGGACGTGAGAGTCAATGAGTTACACCTGCTAACACTGGAAATCATTAGTTATAGCCTGCTTATGAACACATCGGACGTACCATTAAGCGTGACAGCAAGGCTGTCCCTACATCTCCGCTGCGGGGCCGACATAATCTGCGAACATGTTCATGGCCTGCATCTCGAAGACCATGGGATCTTCTCTGGAAGACGATGCTATGGGTCCCATCAAGGGCACAGATTGCGAATGCGCCGCCGACTCTGTCCTATCCATACCCATCATGACACTGTTCGCCATTTGCGAGACGTCACCAGGGACGTAAGCGGATATATCCTGGATTGCGGTAGCGACAGCGTGCGCAAGTACGTCGGCGGGTATATTGACAGAAGGAACGTTCGCGGGTATGCTGGCGGAGACGTTCACGGGCATGTTGGACGGGACGTTCGCGGGAACGTTAGACGGTACGTTGGCGGAGACGTTCATGGGCATGTTGGGCGGGACGTTCGCGGGAACGTTAGACGGTATGTTGGCCAGACAGTGCTTCAAACGCTCTTGATAGCTGCGCTCGTTAGCTCTGACGGCGGAAAGAGCGGTCGTAAAGGCAGCGAGAAGATCGCAAAAGTCTTTGTCGTTGTGTCCCAACAAAGAGAACTGGAAGGTCGCTTCCGGCAAAGTCCAAGCGAGGACGCGTGTTTCCTGCGCAAGCTTTAGAGACGCGAAATACTGATATGACGGACATACCTCATTGAACGCCATCTTCCATTGCGCCGCAAAGCGGAAATTCAGGAAGCGAGTCGTGCACAGGGCGTCAAACATGACAAGGGCGACTGAGATGTAAGATCAGTGAGGAGTAAGACCGAAGTGTGGAACAAAGACACGTACACTGCGCAGGGAGTACCTCTGCGATCAGGAGGACTATTGCGACGCCGAGATATCGTTCGTTGGCGTCGCTGTTCGAAAAGACATTGATGACGCCGGTGGCCATGAGGTTCACAACGGCCCTGTAGTATCCTGGTCAGGGGAGATAGCTTTACTGGTAGGAGACAACTCACGAATGCGCCTCATTCGTACTCATGATGCGATGGTGAAAGGGTCAAGACGGTAACGGGGCGCGTGAGGGGTTTGAGAGCGCGAACGACTTGAGAACTGACGACGACGAGGTAGGCGACGAAGACGACGCAGAGAGTAGATGGCAGAGCGCAGACTACGGAGAGCGCAGAAGGCAGGGATTGACAGCAAAGGGCAGACGACGCACGGTCTATGTCTGCTCGGAGAGAGCATCGTAAGGCCTGCTTTTATAGATGTAGAGTAGGACTTTCTTGTGCCTCCACAAAGGGCGTTGAATGGCATCCGGACGGTCCAGCGTACGCAGCACCGAGCGGCACAAGTGGCACAATGGATCGGGTTCTGTTACAGATTGTAGGTCGAGAAGAAGGCGGAAGGCGAGACTCGCTCACAACCACGCACACGCCATGCTGAGATCGCATCGCGCCGACCTCTTTGCTGCAGGTAAGTACTTGTCCCAGGCATCCGTCCAGATTATATCCCACCATGCGCGCACATATACAAGGGCAGTTCACGCCAGATAGAAGCTACGCTGTCGGGGCCAGATGGGCTAGTTAGCGAGCAGTCGATGTAGCTCTCTGGAACCTCACCTTGAAAATCCGCACAGTCAAGCACGTCTTCCCGAAGTGTACAAATGACGCGTCGAGCGGCGCAAATTAAACGTCGAGGTCGAGGTTGCTTGAGGGCCACGCGAGACCACGAGTCGCCCTGAGGCATGATTGGATGTTTGAGCATTTATGAAGTGCACGCGGCGCGGCGAGTATCACGTACAGGGATACGAGTACCAGCATTCGGCGTACCGTTAGAGCGATGTTCAAGGCTTCGTTCCCAATCGCCCTTTGACGTTGACTAGGACGTTGGAATTCCAGAGTGACCACAGGGCAGGGACGATAGTATCAAAAACTTAAATCGCGATGTGATTTAGCATCTGGTCATTTTCAGAACGGTGCACGCTGCTAATCAAGGCATCAATAATTCGACACACAGATTTTAGCAGAATTGCAAACCACCTCGGATTCCATTGCCTAGCTCAACGGAGTTTCTGGGACGTAACACGACCCGTAAGCAATAGACTCGGATTCGATGCTGTTTGCCCATACGCATACCTGTATCGTCGTTACTGTATACGCATCATCTCAGTATGAGGAATTCCCGACGCTCACGGCTTCGTAAGTTGCATCTCTTGTCGAAGGATGATTTGCAGAATAAATCAAGAGTCTGAGTCCGAGCCTCAGGCTCACGAACATGCGACGGAGACGCGCGTCCGCCACATGAGGGTTACGTAACTGCGTATGCAACCATGCCGCCCCGATCGCGAGTGCTCAAAGCCTTCAAGCTTCAACGCTATCACTCAAGCTCCTACAGACCCGTTTCTCCTGACATCGACGCCCATAGTTGTCTCAGTAAGTACAGGTTGGCCGGCGCACGATTGCTTTACCTTAAATGTCTGAACACAAGATGAGTACTAGTAGCGCACGCGTCTCGATTGATTCCAGCGCACACCAAATTGGCACCAGCATTGACGATGAGACGCATGACAAGAGCTAGAAAATAGGATAATCAAACCGATACAAGATTCAACACGACATCCGAGTCATACCACATCTCCCGTATGGTACTGTACTTGGTCATTTACTGTCAAGTCCGTTAAACCACAATATCGAGGTTTTCAGGGATGATGACGATGGTACGGTTAAGCACGTCGTTTCTGTATGCCTCTGCGGCCTTGAGAAACCTGAGACAAATTGGTAAGTAATGTCCAGCAACACCTGATTAAAAGCGAAAGATGAACTCACGCCTCTACCGCCCTATTCGCTAGTGCCTTCTGCGCCGACCCGTCAAGATGAATGTATTGGCCTTTTCTTCCGATTTGCATTACTAAGACGTCGCCTGGAAATTGGCTTCCACGAACCAATGTTCGAACAGCTTGATTGACAGGCACTCGAGCGGTCGTGACGACATCAGCCGACTGCAGACGTTGCCAGAAAACGGCAAACCGGTGAGCAGTGCCACGGACGTCTCCAGTATCGATTATGCTGTACGAGCTGGCGGTACCGAAGATCGCCTCAACAAAGGGTCTGCCAGCATCGGAGGGATCGACTGGATGCGGCAGGACTGTATTGACCTCGACGACGTGCGGTCTATCGAGGTTCGCTTTGAATAGTACACCCCGAATGAATCGCACTCGATTCTGACAGATACTTCAGTAGGATATTGCTGGATCTATTGGTTCAACGCACGGTGGCTTTCCTTGACGCAATCGCCTTTGCTTTTCTGTGGGTAGATGTCCCCGAACGCATGGTAAATCTTGTGGTGAGGTAGTACCGTCGATATGGTGCCTACGAGCTGGACACCTCGCAACGTTCGGCGGCGCGTGTGGTAGTGTGGCGGCCTACCCGCCGCGAGCTAGAGAAACATGTCCTCTGCAAGCTAGAGAGTCGTCTCCATTGTCTTGCAGCATCATTGCCTTGAGGCATCGGCACGTCACTGCAAGATATCAAGTTCTGGAGCGCGGTCAGGCAATGCTTCACGTCTCTTCACAATAGTTTACCTCCGACGTCCACGTTCATTCAACTCTTCACTCTCCTCCACGCTCATTTCTTCATCCGATGCCACTGATCAACCTGCCAAACTGCCTCGATGTCTCTTCTGTGCACTTGCCTCACACGATGTTGCTGCCCAGGCTCTTTTCGTCGTCTACTCAAGTCCGCGACCATCCCCTTAGCACGACCAGCTTCAGCCGTGCGTTTTCCGCACCGGGCCATTGCCCAATCTTCGGTACGACGTCTCCGTCACTTTACGCTGACCGCATCTTGGACGATCTCTGGCGTTTGTCTTCGCGTGCGCAGACCTCACCACCAGCGTGACGTGGGTTTTCCTTTGTCTACATCGTCACGGCCAATCCCCGAGTATGGTGTCGCCCTTTCTTGTCTGATAGCGCCTTAGTTTCCCGTTACCCTCATAACATCGCAGGCCTCTCCGCAGGCGGCGTGGCGCCGTCGCTCGCCCTTCTTCTGTGCTTCAACACTGCAAGTGCCAAACAGCCGGTATGGCGTCGCGAATTTTTGTCACTACCGCGTCTGACGACCTCTGAGTTTTTGTGCACAGTTCCATCATCAGTTACCCATCGGCGCGAGGCTGGGAGTGACATTGCAAATCGGTCAGTATAGCGTTGTGAAACTTAGTCCTGATGCTGCCTCTGACGACCCTTGGTCTTTTTTCTTCTAGCGTCCCAGAGCACTACATCTTCGTCTGCACTTTGTCGTTGCTATTGTCAACCTAGTGGTATGGCGTTGAGACTCTTGGGCGGAGAGCAATTCTGACGTCCCCTGACTTCTTTGTTCACGGTAGCATCATTGGCGCGACGTTCTCTACCAGTTGTTTCCGCACTTACGACGGCCCGCGACCCTTGTCTTTGACCTCTCCGTCTGAGTCTCTTATCCTTTGTCTATTGCAATCACTCTGCCGCCTCTCACCGACACACGCCCACGCGAACGCCTGCTCTTGTACAACGTTTGCGGAGTGTAACAGCAATGTTCCGCTCAGCGTTCCGCATTCTGTCCCAACTGCTTGTCTCGGGTTACGCTCTCGTCTACATGGCGACCCTCATGTGGGGGCACATGCGCGGTCTTTGTCAATACCCGATGGTTTCGTCTCTCGTGCGCTCCTGCGACGTGTTCAACTCCAACCTCACCGCATGGGCAGCCCTTCCGCTTTTGTTGGGCGCGCAAATATCCGGAATGGAGAACGTTCTTAACCAGACGGATGCCAATGCGAACATTATGGCGGATCTGCTCGAGACCCGCATTGCCGCCATCGATCTCTCTCTTTTGGTCCGCGCCAGTAGTCTCGAGCACCGCAGCCAGTTGTCCACCGCGATTGAGAAGCTCGCTGATGATGCACTCGACCTCAATCGTGCACTTCAGCATCTCGCTGCGAAGATAGGGACCGGGTTCGACAGGTAAGCCCCGTATCGTTCCTTCTTCCAAGGGTTTCACTCACTTGCATCATCGCAGGATCATGTCCACCAATGATCACCTGTCTCGCCTGTTGCGCTCCTCGTCTGCACATACCGGTGACCTCCTCGATATACGCCTTTGCCAGATGGGGATCGGCGCCGATACATGCCCTGCATCCTCTTCATATCCAGCCGACATCACCGATGCCTACGTGCATTCCCTATCCACGTACGAGGCCGTACTCCGCGATCTCTTACAGTACACAATGGTCTCTCTGACCAAGGCTGCGGTATTCGACGAAGATCTTCTATCGGCGATGCACGTGGTCGCGCAGGAGAAGCTCGAAGTCGACATCGCCAAACGTGAACTGGGTGCCGTCTGGGCCCTGCTCCGTAGTCAGAGTCGAAGCCAGTCCTTGGCCCACCTCGCTCACAACGTGGGCATACTCAACAGCATCGGGGATTACAGTATGCGTGCCCTTCGCTACGTCCAGGCTGTCCAGGGCACTTTGGAATCGATGCAGTGCCATGTGGAGGAATTGCGCATGGTGGCTTCGGGCGCGCTGGTGTCCGAGGGCGCATCAACTGAGGTTGTGCTCGAGATGCTCGCCAAAGGTCTGGAGCGTGTGCGGAACGCCCGTGCCGGAGCAATCCATCCTGCTCTGAGCAAGGACTGAATTTATTTGGCGTCGGTTTTCAGGTAAGTATTGCTATGATTCAATAGCGGCGGGGGTTGTGGTTCCCGCCCGTTTCTTCCATCCGTCGGCCTGCGTCTCTTGTCTGTGTCTCCTGCCATGTCATACGTATGTCTACGTGTTTGTGTTGCCTATAACATATACGTCCGCGTCTATTTAAAACTTGTGTATATGTGACGGCGTGCTCGCCATACGATCGAAGATTAAGGTTGTACGATGAGGCCCTTGTCCGGCCTCTCGCCTAGACCGTGCTGTTCCAACCATCTGTTCGCGCTTCTGACTCAGCTATTTGCGGGAGACCCCGCTGCTCTCGCCACCGTGATAAGCGCAATATGCAGGCGAGCGCAACATGGTTGCTACTGACGAGGACGTCCGCGTCCGTGATAAGTATATGCGTCGATATAGTCCCTTGGGCAGTGATCAACGCTAGCGTCTTGAGGGAGCATCGCCACGCGGTTTCTGACAGCCTCTTGCGAAGGTCACTTACTACTAGTCCCAATGTGGAAGACCACCGGTCCATTCCAGCAAAAACGGTCGGTTTTATTTCCTCTCCTGAACGCTATGACACTGGCAGGACGTCTACCGCCACTAGTACTTCGACCGCGACCGCTCCGGCACGACCGACGTGCGCAAGCTGTGCGGCGCCCTGACGCGGTTCGGCTACAACCTCCCCGCCTCTGCGTTGTCACATGCTAGTAGGCCGGCCTCAGAGAATGCAATTGAGCGGCGTGCTGCGGGTTCATATCAGATGTCAGCAGGTGAGGCCTTCTCACGTCAGGAGAGCATGCGTACCAGCCTTCCCGTACATGCTATGCCTAGACCCACCAGACCCGCCGAGTGCCACACAGGACCATCGGATCACAAGCTTGTCTGAAGACACCGTACCTGGAGGATGTAGCAACAAGAACCAGTAGTGAGCAGAGCTTGCAGAGAGTCAGAGGATGTAGACTAACGTGGAGACGCAATGTTGATTTCCTCGCCGTACTCTGGTATGCCGCTTGGCACGACACGCTGTTTCCCATCATTCGGTACTTGTTCAGTACGGCAACAATTGAGTGGGCTGTAGGCGAGATAGAAGCTAGGCTGTCCTTCGAAACGCTGCAGCATGCATCAGACCGCAATCACACCTCACCCACCGTCCGACAGACAGCTCCCCAGGTCGATGCCCTCATTTTTTGCCATCGAACGCGTGCGATGGAAAGCAGGGTTACAGATTACAAGCGTAAGCGAGAGTGAGAATACAGTCGCAATGCACGGCTACTCTTAGGCTCCCGCAGGCTGCTGGACGGATTGAACAGACTGCGTGAAATACAGTTATCGAGGCAGACATACTATGCAGCGCCAACGATTCCGAGGTACCTTGACACCAGATGTAAGTAGATGTTCCACTTTATCTCACCATATGGCGTACCATACATCTAAGGCCTCATGGCCCGGGTCGTTGGGACAGCCAAATCTTCAGAATGGGGAAGTCGGCCATCGAGGCGTCCATCATGCTACTGCATGCCTCATCACGGAATTTCGCGACGATGATATCTCCACGCCAGGCTCTGGCATCTACGAAGTGTTCGTCATGTAGCTCCTTTGCGCATTTGTTGACGCGGAACGGCATGCCATCCCGCGAGACAGTAGGGTAAAAGATGACATATGGCGTCGCAAAAGTCCTGTTCATGCAGTCGAGGCGGTCGGCGATCTACGATGAGAGCGATGTTAGTATGAGAAGGGTATGTCTATGGCTTCACGGAGATAGCATACCTGAAACCGCCACGAACGAGATACAAGGCCCTCGGCGATTTTCTCCATGTACATCTCCGGGTGGGGAATGCAACCGCATTGGAAAGGCCATCGTTGATCAACGACGGACGTGCTGAGCGGAGTGGCCTTGAGAGAGACTACACATGGAGGTCGCCCGTCAGCGGGAAAGTAGATGGCATCATACGCGAGCATTTGATCCAGTGTTACGGAGAGTGAAAGACTGAGCGAACACACCGACGAGACGAGGGCAGTGCGAGCAGAGGACGTTCAGCGCTCGCACAAACGACGTCCTATTATACACTACCGCGAACGGCGCATATCAAAATATCGACAATCTGCAGCTGAGGGAGTACGTACAAAGGTTATCGTCGTCTCCGCCCCGAACTTCTCTTAGACTCATCCGCACACACGACTGATTACATGTAAGGGGCTGGGCGACGAGAAGTTGCGGCCACGCGCCCCGGGCGGCTGAATCTGGGGAGTGAGGAGGCGCTCGGAGGCGCCGGACTCGGTCCTCCCAACCTTCGCGCACACGTGCATGCCCTGGATCCGCTATACTACGTGGTCTGGCCCATCTGTATCTCCTCTCTCTACTTGGTCAATACGGACTCGGTGTATAGTATCATCATAGTATGGCAGTCTTGTCGCGGGCACCACGCGAGTGAAACTGCGCGCGGCGACGACCTCAGAGTATACCTCCCTCCAGATCTAGACTTGCGCGGCTAGGTCGACGCACACCTCCCTCTTTTCTGTGCATCTCACGGTCTGTTAGTAATCTGTTACGTTTTCTTGACATCCATGATTTCAACTGAGCGCATGCTCACCGAACATAGATGCGAACGCCTCGCGATACGTATCGCGAGCGCATATAATTGAAGACCGGCGCATCAAGCGCAGGGTAAGTAGTCGAGTCGTATATACATAACAGCAGCGCAGATGAAACGACTCATCAATATCGTACACGAAGCACAAACATTCGCAGAAAATATGAAAGGGACACAAGTTGGGTAGAATCACAGAACAGAAGAGACGAGAGCGCAAATCCTAAGCAACGATCGCCATGTACTTTCCCGAGGTCGGCACCGTCTCTCCCGCGCGTACGAGGTCATCCAGGTGCAAGTACTCCGCTTGATAGAATTCGACCATCCATGAATGTACGTCCGAAACAGCCTCCAAATTCACTTGCTGCTTCACCTTCATCTCTAAAGCGGCCATCTCGAACAGCGTGCGGTCGATGGCGGAGGTCAACTGGGCAACGGCGGTGCCACAAGCATGCAAATACTCATCAGCCAGTGCCGTTGTCGCCACGAGCCGATCGCACGTTAGCTCTAGGAAGGCGTGTCGAGGTACGTGCCCAAACGGCATTCTAACAGGCGGTCCAGTAGAGCAGTACTGCTTCACGTTGTCCTGGAGGATGCCGCTTGCGTTTCGCAGGTCCTGGATGGAAGATAGAGCAGATCCGGCGAGTGTTGACAATCCGTCCGACGTCATCACCGTCGAGTTGTAAGTCGCTTTGAAGAGCTGAGCTGCGATCCAGGATCGGCTCGGCATTAAGGCGGGTATGAACGGGATCATCGACGAGAGTACCGCTCGGTGAAGGTATCTGGTTGCCGCCTCGTGCATAGCAACAAGGCTGGTGGACTGGTCAGTGACGTCGCCATGAAGGAATCATTGATCACTCACTCAGTCGCAGCAGCAGCTACCGCATCGTTGAGCCTTATGACAACGAGTGTCATGTTCTTTGTTTGTTCCATCAAGGCGATTGAGGAATCGGAGGGATCGAAGTGTGGGTCGACTTCGTCCCAAGTGCGTGCGATACCGTGCACCTGACGCGCCATAAGGAACGCGTCCGTGGCGCCGTCAAGCATTTGCGGGGTTCTGCTGCCCAAATACGCGAGCCACGACCTCTGTACCTGGGTCAACTCGAGCAGATCACTCATGCGGACATGCTCCAGGCCATCGGGAACATGCTGGCAACCATCGGTATGGATGGTTTGACCGGGCACCGTGCAGAAGGCGATATCTGCCATCAAGCACATGACAGACGGCTGGGGGGTCGTAAAGACACAGCTAGGCGTCGAGATTGCCTCAAAGACGGGATTGACGAACACCGCGTAGTAAGCGATGGCGACGATAGGTATGATACCGAGCATGATGCGTTTGACGTTAACCTTTGACCGCAGGAGTCGTCAGCGACTGTAGAACAATGGGCTTTGGCTCGACATACCGTTTGACGGCCTTGACGGGACCCAGAGGTGGTATCCACGGCCTGTCCTTGCTCTATGTCTTCGAGAGGATCGAGCGCAGACGACGGGCGCGAACGGTCTGCAGTCTGTGGGTTGCTCAGGCATCGGCGTGTTCTCGAGACAAAGGGAACCTACCTGCTGAGCTCGCTTCGCCAGAGCACGCCCCCTTGCGGGCGTATTGGCCGCAGCTGTGCGTGACCCGCTATTCTGGCGTTGTCTCATGAGGCGAGTTGAACGTCGGGGCGAAGGAGTAGGGGGAAGAGGACCGTTGGACATGGGCCTTTGTGGTCTCTGGCCGGCGGCTGTGGACAAAGGCACTATATACAACGTGCAGGTCATGAAGCAGGAACTCACGAGGCATACGGTGGCAGGATCGCTCATTGGCCAATCAGCCTGAATCCCACGATAATAGAACAGGACGACGACTCGTCAACGAATGTCTGCCATCCTGATGGTTCACCCAGTACTTACTGATCTTGAGGTGAGTATCGTGTCGAGTATTTGAGTGAATGTATGGGTGAATTAGGCCCTTACGAGCCGTGACCGGAGAAAGGGGATGATTTGGCTGGGATCCTACACTTCGACATATTCTAGAGGAATCTCCCCCGTGGGCCGTGTCCGTCACATCCAGATCTCAGATCTGATATAATGATTTTCAGACGTCAATATCTAGGCCTCATGGCTTGACATACACGCTCCGAAGCTTCCCAGTGGGCCCTTAGTCGCAGTTTTCCGACCGAGCGAGCGCATCCCCAACATGGGTTCTTTGTAAGGTACGGCTTGCAACTACATCGCATGACATCATTACGAAACTAAACTGATGTATGCGAGCTACAGGGATGAGACGTATCATCGGTTGTGATGACGCTCGGACGCACGAGAACAGTCCTGTCGTGACAAAGAACTTAGAGAATACGATGTTCCTATTCGTTGCGATGCGTAAGCAGAGTACACGATGTGTCGTAGCCGTGTTCACATACCGCGCTACCTCCTAAATCGTGAATCCTCTGGACCGTGTTGGCTATAGCGGTGAATTCCTCTTGGATCTGCAGACAGGTCCCCGCGGCTTCTGCGTGCAGCTCTTGGATCTTGTGATACGACTTCTGCAAAGACTCCAGGTGCGCTTGCGTGCGTCGGTGTTGGGCCGCTATCTGTTTGGTGAGCATCGCATTCGACTGTGTGAGCCGCTCGCGATCCCTCTCGATCTTTTGCCTTTCCAGATCACTTTGAACGAGCATCCTGTACGCTAGATTAGTGAAGGATGGGCTTGGAAGAAAACCAACCAACCTGCGGATTACGTTGCCGAAAAGATCGGCGTTGTAGACCTGGCCTCCGAACGTGGGCTGGATCGGGACAATGTCTTCGGGCATTTGGAATACCTCGCGACAAAGAGGGCATCGCGGAATACGTGCGCGAGTGGCAATAGCTATGATGCAGCCGAGACACACAACATGCCCTGACCGTCGCCTTTCACAATGCTGGAAGACGAAGTGCGGACGAGATCACTCACCACAGACAGCTAATGCAGCCATGTTTGGGCCCTGTTGAGCGGTGGTTTTGGTGAGACAAATAGGGCAGGATGCAAGCATATCGCAGGTCGAGTCGTCGCTACGAAGAGGATTGACATCCTCGCGTGAGGTTCGTGCATTTGAGTGGTTGTCAGACAAAGGCGAATGTGCCACTGGTAATAATATGAATTGAACGTGGCTGGGTGGCACAGTACGTACCGACTGCACATCTCAGATCGGCCTCGAGCGGTCTATGAAAAGGAATCCGCGTTTGTAGGTCGCAACTTTTTCTGCCTAGCACTTCGTGACTGTGACTAAGCTTGTCGGTACGCGCATGTAGGACGCAAGGCTTGCCACCTGGACCGTGAACAATCCGCCCTCCTCCCTCCTTCCACGATCCATCCCTCTGATCCTTGTCCCGTCTCACCGCGAAAGTTCTGGCCGCTCGCACATCCCTATGTCGTCCACGGCTTATGTGCATTATCACACCTTGACGCGAGGTCATGCTGGTACTATTAACGTGTTGGCATTCTCACCAGACAGCCAGTATTTAGCGAGTGGTTCTGACGATCGGTCGGTCATCATTTGGAATGTACCTTCAGGAAAAAGTCTCTACCGGTTTTCCTTCGAAAGCCGCGTCGATTCCCTGCTTTGGCATCCTCGTTGGGAAGAGACACTGATCGTTGCCTGCGAAAGTGGTTCCCTTCAGCAAGTGTATGGCTTTTCAATGGTATGTGTTACCCAACAACGGAGTTCGTCGCTTGCTGCTCTAATACAATGTTTAAGGCACATTACGGAGTTTATGACATCAACCTCGGAGTGCGATCACATATATATTGTCTTGACTTCCACCCGTCTTCGTGCTTGCTCGCCGCAGGGGTTGGTCCGGAAGTTCATATGACGCGCGAGATCAGTAGAAGTAAAGCATGTCTTCATTTTCCTGATCTACGAAGAGCTCACAGCTGGGCTAGATCAATACGCCTGTGCAAGTATGCGGCTTCCCGAACCCGCGGCTAACACCGACATGGACGATCCACGGTACCGTGCAGTCGCACTGAAGTTCAACGAAGCCGGAGGACAGCTAATCGTGACTTATCTGTCACATGGGATAGTGTGAGCGTCATATTTGTTCTGAGTCGTGGTTCAGCTGTTCAGTACTCAGCGCCTTTGGTTGTAGTTGCTGGGACATATCAACTCGGCAGTCAATTTGGCGCCTCGTCCCGCCCACGACGGACTATGCCATGTGAGCAGAAGTCTGATCGACATATGCCTGTGTACTCTTCATGTCTGAATTGAGAAATTAGTGGTCACTCCGCGATCAGCCCGGATTACCGTCAGATCGTTGTGCACAACTTTCAAGACGGGCTGCAACAATACGCGATCAAAGGGAAAGAGTCGCCTCATCCAATGCTCAAATACTTGTTTGATACGCACTCCGACTCGAAGCTTGCTCTGCAAGTCGCGTTTTTGCATCACGGTCGGGCAGTCATCAGTGGAACGTCTACGGGGAGAGTTTGTATATGGGAGACGGCATCAGGTGACTACTTCCAACAACTGCCACACGATGGTATGCTATGTCGTTGCTCTAGTTGTTCGCTCCTCTCACACTGCTTGGCAGGTGATACGATCGTCGCCGTGACCGTAGGTATTCTCATACGAACTATCAGAGTCGGATGTAATGCACATGACCAGGGATGTCAACGAGGAGAGTTCTCATATGTCGCAACAGGAGCAGCTTCCAAGGGCGCTGAGACCTATATCAAGATCTGGCGCGCAAAGATTGGTGCGTCGTCTGTCAAAGACACTGATCAATCTTATACCTAATTGAAGTGTTTATTAGCTGGCCTCTCGACGCCCCAGTACATCATTGCGCGTGCAACACTATATGAAGTACTAATGCGAAGTTGGCATGTACGTTGCTCGACTGCTGACGTACGCGATTTGAGTTGACTATATCATTTAGATTATGCCCTGTTTATCGGCTGACGATACTCAGAAGATCGTATCTGGTATCGTGGTGACGGTGGTATCACTACTCATTCCTTGGGCACTTTACAGGATGAGCCTCCTGATCCCATGGAACCAAGTAGTCCAATTCTCAGTCATACAGGTGTGTCATTATGGTTGAGAACCCATTCTCATACGTTCAGATGCTCCCATAGGTCGTGCGATTCTCGTATTGGCTATGCGGCGTATTCCTTGACGTGGGTCGCATGATCGGCATCGTGTTTGACTTTACAATCCGTACCATCACCGGATGCTACGCAGCTATCACCGCGTGGGCTACAGCGAAGGCACTCACGGCATTGAAGTTGCCTCTGGACATTTATGATAGATTGCCACCGTCGTAACATCATCTTCCTCTCCGAACTACGGGCTGCTCAGGTCCACCTGATTGTACGCTCTTCTTTCCTTCTGAATATGCCGTTCTGTCATCCTTGTATATAAGGCCTTGATTGTGTATGTATCTACGAGTCCTCTTGCTTGTGCGGCTGGTCTTGTTGCTCAGCGCTCAGTCCCCGGGGATCATTCGGACCTCCTTACTGTACGGCGTCTATGAACCTATGAAGCAGCTTGAAGCTTCGCGCACTTGCTTCACAGCGCTTCGCGCGCACGGGTGCCAGACGCTTTGGATGCGAACGTACGTCAGGTGCTGAGAATGACTGGAAATCGCGTGTCAGTGCCTCAGACTCTTGCTAATTGCGTCGTTTGGTATGCGTCCGAGATGGAGGCTGTTCATGCTTCCCGCCGCGGCTGTAGGTTAAATGGACAAGTACCCGATTCAAGCGGCCGCCGGAGGCCCTGAATGTCGTTATCCCAGTGAGTTGGCTGTCTCCGCGAGACCATTAATGTCCCTCCGTCAGGATAATCACCACTACGCCACTGATCGAGGGCGCCGAAGTCGCGTGCTGCACGTTGCATAGTACTGTTGTGTGGCGGACGGCCCATTCTTGGCCGCTGCACAAAGGGCTCCTCAGGTACAAAGGCGAAGGATGGCGGTAAACGTGCTCTCAGAATCCTTCCACCATCACTTCCCCACTCCCTCTTCATGTCGAGTACCGAGTCGAATGAGATCCCGGCGACTGGGTCCAACCCGACCTCTGGTACCAACGACACGCAGGTTCCCGTGGCGCCCTCTCCCTCAGACGACGCAAGTCTCCCTCATCCTGCCACTGGTTCTGCATCTCACACTCAAGGCCAGAAGCGTCCACACGTTCCCGACAACGTAATGATGGGACGTGTTCGAGACGAACGCGGGGTTACCCGGCTATACCCTCTCGTCGAGACGAAGTCGTACACCGCCAGAGAGGATTCGCGATCAATCAGATCGCTTCCAGTGAGCCGTCGAAGGACCAAGGCCTCCACTGCGCTGGTTGAAGACACGGGAACCGCTGCGCCTCTTGAGAAGGCAGACGTCGGGTCATCGTCTGCTTCTCCTACCACAGGAGGGTACACTTATACGATAGGAAGCCGGTCTGAGACCCCCCTCGAACCTATGGATCGGTCTGTGTTGCAGCTATACCAGAGGTCACCCTACGCATTCGTGCGTTAGCGTTCCGGATTTTGTAACATATATTATATGCTCACTGCATTCTCAGATGATGGAAAGTCCGCTGAAGAAGATCAGAGCTTGGGTACGTCTCACTATATACTCCATGGGCAAGAATGTATCTGACGGGCAGTAGATAAAACCTCAGAGTTCAGACACACCGTCCAAAGTCAGTATTGGGGTGTGTAGTGATTATGTGTACTCATGCATTGTAGGCCGAAGATGCAGAACCGTCGTCGAAAGGGATACCTGAGGGCGACTTCGCGTTCCAGATGGAAGTGTCAGAGACATCAAATACGTCTGGGCCGGGGGAGACTTCCCAAGTTGAAACACAATTGAGGCTCATGCAGGTGCGTGTCTCGGGTCCGTCAACGTTGCTGACCTCGTCTCACGCTCGGGTGGCCATTTCTAGATCAGGGAGCATCCCCATCATCCTGCCGAGCAGCGCACAGATGATCTTGGAGCTTCGGTTTCCAACAATGGGTCGAATTCTGGTGGCCAGGTAGGCTATCAGCTCCTGTACGCGTTGTCCCTCTAATTCTCTAAGCATATAGGATAGCGAACGCATAGCAGACGTTGACGATCCCATGACCAGTCACGCCGTGCCGTCGGACTCTCACATTGGGGGCGGTGGTCAGGTAGCCTTGTCCCCAAGATCTTCTATGTCCGTCATTGACTCGTCATGTATATAGGCATCGAGCGATGTTGGCTCCGGAGACATTGGTTCCACGAAAACCGGTTTGACGGCGTTGGGGCCGGATTCCACGCACAGCGGCCAGGTAGCGTGTACTATCTGAACTTCCTGTGTCGACCACTAGCTCATCATACGTGCACTCGCAGACCCATGGCGTCGTTGGAGATGTGGATGATCCCATGGGTGATCCAGTTGCACCCTCAAACACTTTTGTCCAGGGTTCAAGTGGTCAAACCGTCCGTATCACTATTGTCTCTAGCATCGCCTACTCACTCCTGTGCATGTAGGCACAGACTCATGGCTGGTCTGAAGACGATGATCCCGTGAAGCGTGATGACGTCGCAACAGAGTCTACCCCTAGGCCTAGTACCGTGGATGTGGACGATCCCATGGACAATCCAGACTTGACATCGGATCCTAACGCGCCGGATCGCGCCGGTCAACTCGTTCGTGTTCACGATATCTCCTATTAAGTCTGTTGACGTACGTTCGCAGAGCCATAGCAATTCTCAAGGTGCTGATATCCCCACGGGCAGCGGTGCCGTGGTGACGGAGTCAAATCCCGAATCGACTCAGAGCGGCCAGGTACTGTGTGTCATCGTCGTCAGCCACATTATTTGCTCACACGGTATGCATGGCCACCAGTCTGGTATCGATGGTGCATCCTCCGATGGCAACAGTTCGGGCACTGTGAAGGCTGGTCCAGTTGACAAGGGCAAAGCACGAGAGGCTGCGGCAAGCACAGCGTCCTCTTCTGTCAACTCGGATGCGATGAAACGTGGCACAGTAATGATCTCCGCTGTGGATCTGGCTGCTCTCATGCTGACTATCTCTACCCTTAGATTCACATACGTAAGATGTTTGAGAAGCCACCGTCGACGATCCCTCTACGACCCCGCAATCTATCACCACCGCCACCCGCCTCCGAGGACCAAACCCAACCGAGTAATCCAAGTCAGGTGCCTTCTAGACCCCGTCGAACGACGCCAAATCGCAATGTCGGATGGCCGGCGACGAACCCTCCCCCTCCAGGACTACAGACAACTGCGCCTCCACCGGTTGTTCGTGCCACGCGCAACCCATCGCCGCCGTCACCTGCCTCCGAGGACCAAACCCGACGAACGACGCCAAACCGCCGTGGCGTCCGGCCGTCGATGAGCCCTCCCCCTCCAGGACTACAGACAACTGCACCTTCGCCGGTTGTTCGTGCCACGCGCAACCCATCGCCGCCGTCACCTGCCTCCGAGGACCAAACCCGACAAACGACGCCAAACCGCCGTGGCGTCCGGCCGCCGATGAGCCCTCCCCCTCCAGGACTACAGACAACTGCACCTTCGCCGGTTGTTCGTGCCACGCGCAACCCATCGCCGCCGCCACCCGCCTCCAAGGACCAAACCCGACAGACGACATCAAACCGCCATGGCGTCCGGCCGTCGATGAACCGTCCCCCTCCAGGATTACAGACAACTGCGCCTCCGCCGGTTGTTCGTGCCACGCGCAACCCATCGCCGCCGCCACCCGCCTCCAAGGACCAAACCCGACAGACGACATCAAACCGCGATGGCGTCCGGCCGTCGATGAACCGTCCCCCTCCAGGATTACAGACAACTGCGCCTCCGCCGGCTGTTCGTGCCACGCGCAACCCATCGCCGCCGCCACCCACCACCGAGGACCAAACCCGACAGACGACGCCAAACCGCAATGTGGGATGGCCGTCGATGTACCCTCCTTCTCCGGGATTACAGACAACTGCGCCTCCGCCGGCTGTTCGTACCATGCAGTTGAATCAACGTCCTGGAGAACATTACTCACCTGAGGGTAGCCGGCGGCGAAACGTAAGGTTCCATTGCATCGTCTCAGCCGTGATTAACTGGGGTCCCAGACTTCTTCAGCGGAACCGACCGGTCGCTCGCACACAGGATCCGACTTAACGCCAATCACGCGCCAGGATATGGTAGCGATGTATGACACCATGAGTAACAGGTTTGACTCGATGTCTCAATTCCTTCGTACGACAATACAAGAGACCGTCCAGACATCCGTTGCAGGTGTGTTGCAAGCGAACGCTCCCACTGCGGGACCCGCGAATAGCATGCAAGACACCGGTGCGGATGGCGACGATGAGATGGATGTGGACGACCTACCACTTCCCAAGAACTATCGCCCAAACAAGCCACGCGTCGAAGGCCACAATGCTTTCATGGTAGGTCTTACATGCCAGATACCGTCGATGTTTTGGGTGACTCATCTGCCAATGAAGGCCCTCATTCGTGCTCACGGTCTTCTGCTCATGAAACGCGGCAATCACAAGTCGCCTTTTCGCGATGTTCCAAGCCGCGCTGAAGTTGCTCAGTTCGATCCTCGTCGAGGGCGTCTGTGCTGTACGGACGAAGATTTCCGATTCGACGTCGTTGGTACCCCGCGTTCACCCTGGAACCTATCTGCGGCCGATGTGTTTACACAAAGCTTCATGGCGAAACATCCTGGCCTGCAGAAGGAGGACGTCGTCAGATCCGCATGGATCCGTCATTCACAACGCCTCCGTGAGCAATATCAAGATCAGATGAAGGATCCTGCTGCTCTCGCCTCTCAACAAAGCCACGTTCGACAACAAGAGCGCAAACGCACAGTGGGTGTGCACACTATATCTAGCTGAAAAGCTTCTGACATTAATTCTTAGCTATTTGCTCAGCGCCGGGCTATCACAGTTTACGTCCTGAGCGATATCGAACCCCGTGCTCGCGATCTCGTAGATGCGCTAGGAGTACACGGAATGAGTTCGGACGAGTCAGATCACGAATTGGGAGAGGGACAGGCCACCTACTTCATCAAGAATGTGAAATGGCGTTCGCCAGCGTTGCTCGTCTGGTTGCGCGAATTGGATTCGCTTCACCTCTGGGTCCGTTACAGGGCAGGGTTCTCTGCATCGGAAGGTAATTGGCCTCATTTTCGTGTGGATGGAAGACGGAACAGTCTGCGCCCGCCGATCCGCGGCCTCCCGAAGAACTGTTATGCAGCGACCTTGAATTTCGACGAATTCCAGATGAAATGGCTCAAACCTATCTCTCAAGACATCGCACTCATGCATCGCCAGGACGTGAGAGAGTAGGTTTGTTCTTCCTGCTCCTACTAATGCGTACTGATATCGTGGTGTTTATCAAGGACGGCGAAGTTGTACAACCTCGCTCATCGACAGCTGGTAGCCGGTCAATTGAATCCCGCAGGAGGTCGCCAGAGAGAGGAAGGCACACAGACGATGTTCTCCGAGAACATGCAAATCGATTGATCTGTATGCTGAAGGGGTACGGTCTATCTAACGGATACGGGAGGCAAAGCACAGGGAAGTACATATATGTTTGTTGACTCGGAAATACCTGGAACAGGTGGCAAATGGACACTGGCTTCAATGTCTCTTTATTCCCGGGCGGCAGCCTGCTATAGTACTCGTTATGAGCAGTATCGGTACCCGCCGCCAACTGACTCACCTCATGGGCGATACGATGTAAATGCTGTTCCAAACGTGCACTCCGGGTGCGCAGCGTAGCCAGTTGTCTGGCCAATCCTTCGCATGTGGTTGTCGCTTGTTCACGCTCGTCTCCGGCAGATAGCATGCGTCGGAGTAAAGAATCGACAGAGCGAGCATTGTGCGAGTTCTCTTGTAGAAGATGTTCATGCTCGCGGTTTAAAGTGTCCAGGAAACCCTCTTTCTCCCTGAGAAGAGTTTGCGCTCTGGACAGGTGAGGCCGAGACCTAGGAATTAGAATATATGAAAACGTAATCGCGGTACATGGCTGTATCACGAACTCTTCCAGAGCACGGTTAATCCAATCATCAGTGCTATCATCCGCGCTGCTGGCGAAGATGTCCAGTAAGGCATCTCCCAGAGGTTCAGCAGCGGAACCCACAGGGGGGAACGCCATGCCACATTGGGGACAACCATCGTCCCTATGGAGTCTCATGTGTTGTATGATGCAATCCGCGCAATACATATGTCCTGAAAACAAGGAGGGAGAGGAAGTCGTCAGCGACCGATGGCTAGACAAGTCTAGCCGCTTACCACATCCTCGATTGACTTTGATTCTCGGAGAAGACGGATGCAACTGGAAGAGTCGTCCTCGACAGATGGCACACAGTGGGTGGTCGACGGCCGACATCTCTGTATCGAGCAAACACAAAAGAAGACAGGGCCGACCCTGGCACCGGCAGTGTAATAAGCATGCGTTAGTTTTGTACGACCACGAACAGGACACGCTTGTATCGGAAAGGCAAACGCGTGGGAATCACAGCGCGTCGGCGCAGCTCGCCACCGCGACTGCGGTCACTCCAGCGACGCCCTTCCGCCCTCCCTTCAAGGACTCTCATCAAGCCTGTTCGTCAAGCATCGTCGTTGCTCTTCTATGGCGTAGTCTGTGACATCACCCGATCTGAGTAGTGTTTGATGCTCGTGCCGTTGTTCTCTCGTGCCAACTTCTCAAAGAAAGACAGGAGCTTGCGAAGTGCGTCTGGATGGCATCGTCGTCTTCGGGGTGAGCCCGTGGATTATGAACACCGACCTGAGTGCTAATAATGGAGCCCACGACAGCATGATCGTAACGGGCGATGCGCCGCGATCTACCTTCTCTATGCTGACTTTGATCTGCCGCTAGAATACTCGGCGATTCCTGAGTCTGAATGAAAGTACCTACTGGTCGCAGTCGGTCTATGGATGTATCGGAGAAATGAAAGGTACGTCATTTTGTTAGTCGACCTCGAACCGATCTTCAGAGGCTGACATGGCTCAGACGTGGTCGCCACCGACGCTGGCGATCGGCCGGCTGCTCGACACTTTGGCAAGACGCAAGCGATTACCACACAGCGCGTGATGAAGGACACCTGCGACATACACAGGACACCTCGACGTCGGGAGATCAACTGCACTCTGGTCGTCAGTCTACGTACGTGGGTCCTTGCATAAAAACTCTGAGGGCGAACATACGCAGCAAGTCTTGCACACAGGTTCCGCGAGTACGTATGCTGACGGCAGTTGCACCGTGTACCCTTGATCCGCCAAATGACATTTTGTCGCATTTGCCCATGTTTTCTGCATCGTTCACGCGTATGTCCTCCTGCCCAACGAGATTATTGCGCTAACAATCGATGACTAGTGATTTGGCAGTGGATACGACGATCTTCATCACAAAGAGCTGCGCGCGCCGAACAAGGTGTTCATCCGCGTGTACGCTTCGGATAACGGCAACTTGGACCACTTCGACAAGTCGGGGACGTAGCCGGGCACGGACAGGGAGGGACGGTACAGGCTCGGCGCGCCCGTCAGCGTCGACTGGATTGGCGGCTACTGCGGACGATGCGAGTCGCGCAGGACGGGGACCGCGTTTTTGTGCGAGGAGGGACAGGAGACGGGGTTCACGTTTGATGATGGGCATGCGGAGTACATGTATGCGCCTGAGACGGGTGAGTTGCCCCGAGTAAGGTATGCATTGGTGCAGTGCTGACTGAGCTGCAGCGGTGGTGAGCATCCCGGAGGAGGCGTTGCAGCAGGCGTCGTATGTGGAGTTCGCACCCTTGCTGCGTAGAGGCATCGCGGGTTTTGACGCTATCCGCGTGGCACTGTCGACTCGGCTACGTCTGCCTCGTACAGGGCGTTGTAGGTCTTGGGCACCTTGCCATCCGATACGCATCGAAACTCGGCCTGAAGGTAAGTACTCGCTCACGCCTCGTCATCTGTATCAAAGCTCAAGGGGACTGCTGCAGGACACCGCTCTCCTCTGGCTTGTCCAAAAAGCCGCTCGCTCTCTCGCTCGGAGCCTCCAAGTACATCGACGCCTCCGCGACGGACGTCGTCTTATCGTCAAGTCGCTCGGCGGCGCATGCTTCGTCTTCTGCACCGCGCCCTACTCGCAGAGCGTCTCCGAGATCATCCCCACCGTCGGCCTGAACGGCACCGTGACGCTCGTAAGCGCGGCGGTGGACGGGAAGATCCAGGTGGGCAACCTAGTAGTGCTGAACATGAACCGCGCTGCGCTGCGCAGGTGGCGTTGGAGTGTGCGCAGGATATGGAACAGTGTGTCAAGTTCTCGACGTCGTCTGGTGAGTGGTCTGGTATCTGTATTCTGGGGCTTGGAGGCTGATGCTTGAATGCGTAGATGTGGAGTCGATGGTGAAGGAATTCCCTCTGGAGGTCGTCCGCGATGCGCTCTATGGCCAATTCCCTTCCTGCATGTGCCTTACCACGTCACGCTCCCCTCGCGCCTGTCAGCGATCTGGAGTACACCCTGAATCACCCACATTCCTGCACGCTCGTGCGTGAGAACGTCGGACTCGATCACACCCTTGGTCTCCTTCAGTTTCGTCAAGTCACTTAAGTGCGGCTACCTTGGGCAGCTATCTGGGCTCTTCTGCTGAGGGCGTCGTGTCACTTCCGGTTATCATGGTTTCGAGCCACTTCGTCGTGGACAACATCTTCGAGGGTTCGCTTGTCGTCTGCAATGTCTTCGCCTACGTCTGGCGTATTGCGGTCGGGCGCATGGCGCTGATCAAGCTCTCCCCGAAGACCATCGAGGGCTTAGAGGACTTAGTGGGTACGTTCTTCAGCACGGTCGTGTCCGGTGTGGCGTGGTTGACGTACTTAGTGCACTCCGATTATATGATCCGCACGGTGCAGGACTTCGGTGTGGGGGTTTAAATGCCCTGGTGTGACCTCAACTCGGCGTTCGTGTGGAGAGAGTGAGTGATACCGACTCCTGCGCGGGCTTTGACTGGCTCCCAATGAAGTTACGATTATCCCGTACGCGCCATAGCAGTCCCATGCCCTCGCATCCTTCAGTACGTTGCCTCTGGCTTCAAGCACGCCTTCCACACATCAAGAAATTCAGACACGGCATGACGGGCCACATGTATTATCAGTACGTACACCCCTCTCCAGGAGGCCCTTGGTTAATGACGTACGTGCTTCTAGGTTCCTCACACATGGGTATCTTCACCTCTGTCTGTTACAGCAGCCTCGCATGATGCCAGCTTCGCCATCGCGCTCAATACATCGTCCTTTGTGCGGATCCCACATATCTTCATAGACGGCCGGTCCAAGACTCTCTGGTCCCTTCCCGCGTCTGGCATTAGGTTTCCGTGTAACGGCGGGGGGCGCGGGCGCGGGCCAATCGAGCAGGGTCAGCTCGATGGATGGTAGGTTGTATCTGATGACTGGACGTCGCGGGCGATGAAGGATCCAGCGCTCGAATCGTATACTGCGCCTCCGAATAGTGTTCCAATTTGCTCGGAATGCCATGAATTCACTCCCTGAATAGCTCTGATTCCAGCCCTGACTCAACCTGATTTCGAGTCTGAATTGTCATGATTTAGACGCGATTTGCCTTCGAACATACAACATGTTCGACGGTCGCACATGCAACGAGAATATTCCATTTATTGGATGCGAAAAAACATCATTTTCATTGCATGTTCGGCGCTCAGAAATACAGCGTCTTCTAAGCCTGCAAATGATAAATTTTCGGGGACAGAACTGATATCATTTTCGGAAGGAGAACATGGGACAGAAAAGGTCCCGTTTTCTGTCCGTTTTCGCGTTGCATTCTGCGACGGAAAAGACTGGATTTTACCCAAAGTTGTCGCGTTTCGGAAAGTCGCCGGACATTTGGCATTTTCGCAGCATTGTCCCCGTCCGAAAACTTTAAGAAAACGTGACACATGTTCTGCGCCCGGCGACATTGCATGTTCGCCGCATGTTCGAAGCTCCGAAGATTCAAGGATAATAATGCGTTTACTTAAGGTTTTCGCGCGTCGAAGTGGCCCATAACTGGTTCTCCATAGGCGCCACTCTTCTTAGCATCTTCTGAGTCCCAAAAAACTGATTTGTCCCCGGTGAGGCGAATCACCGTCCGATGATATCACACTAGCAGCCACAGCCACCGATCCAAGTCTGAGTCGACTTGCCGTTTACCGGCGCCCCGACTCGGACGCTCGCTGGCTTTTACGGTCCGCCACAACGGAGATCGCGAGCCTCAGGAAAGCAAGGTCGCGCATTGAAGTACGTCGTGAACTGTGTGCTGCCTCAGCTGAGTGCCTCGAACTACCGTCATTTCATTTGCGTCCGTGTCATGGGTACTAAACGTGGTCGACCGCTTCCCTGCAACTCGTATCATCCTCGGCCCAGGACCGGCGACTTCCTGGCTGAGACCACGTCAGGTTGATGGCCACAGCATCTCGGGACGCTTCTCCGCCCAATCCGAGCGCGGCTCCGGACATCCACGGACATCTTTGCCAGCAATAGACAAGAACGGGCAAGCGCACCGCCCTAAGCAGGCGCCATGCCCCGATCCAGCCGCCCACCGTCCGTACAGCATCCGCTATGCGGTATGCGTCCCAGCTTTCGCGGACAGCTTCCCGTCACATGCCTGCGACATACATAAGTCCCCTCGTCGCCGCCTGTCACGTCCGACTTGCCTCGAACGCGCCTACCCCGCCCCCACACTATCTGCTGCCCACCGCCATGGCGCCCTCATTTGCAGCAGTAGCAGCAACACGACTGGGCGTGGGCCTCATCTACGGCATCGCGAACGTCATCCTCCTCATCCGCCTGTTCATCTGGGACCTCGCATTGACTTTGTACAACGCGTTTGCACCGCTCCTGCCTGAAAACCGGGTGGTACCAGAAGGCCGGCCGGGCGCAGGCGGCCTCTGGCCACAGTTCATCCCTCCAAAAGACACGGACAGTCGGAGCTGCTGCCCGATGCTGAACGCCATGGCGAACCACGGTGCGTATCCTGATACTACACGCGAAAGGCGATTGCTGAGCTTCGGCGTGGTTAGGCATCCTCCCTCGGGATGGGCGCAACATCACCTTCCGCGACCTCAACACCAAATGCCGGGAGACGTTCAACTTCTCGCCGACCTTCTGCTTCTTCGTCCCGCACTACGCTGCGGACATGCTGGACCGCAACTACTGGACGGACAAGATGGACCTGAGCGACCTCAGCGCGCACAACTGCATCGAGCACGACGCGTCCCTGTGCAGTGCGTCCCTTCAAGCATTCACCGAAAGAACGGCAACTGACGCGCGGTTTTGCAGGAGAGGACACCTTCCTCAACCCCGACCAGTCAAAACCCGCGCCGCACCTCATCAAGGAGTTCCTTGAGAGCGGGACGGGCCCGGGCGGCGACATCACCACGAGCGACCTCTCGCGCATGCTCGGCAAGCGGCGCGCCCAGTCCAAGGCTAGCAATGGCCAGTACAGCCAGGCGATGATCCACAAGATCTTCGGTGCCTCCAAGTACGTGTCCACGCACTTCCCTCTCGAGTTGCACTGACGCTGTTCTTGTTCCAGCGGCTCGACGTTGCTGACGATCTGCGGCGGGCGGGTGAAGGACCTGTATCCCTTCCTCCTCGAGGAGCGCATTCCGGACGGGTGGCAGCCACGCATCCGGAACCCCGGTGGCCTCACATTGGCGATATTCCAGAACACGGTGCTCAAGGTCGAGCTCGGCATCAAGGAGGAGGTCGAGGACACCCTCCGGCTCTTGCATATGGGCAGCATCCAGGAAGACGCCAAAACAAAGTGAACGCGCGACACACTTTGGGTTGACGAGAGGCACCGGATGCGCGTATAGCCACTAGTTTTGCAGATAGTGTATGCCTTGATAATGTATAATCGGTACAAATCGAGCTTGGGCTGTGCGGCGGGTATGGTCGTGTGGAATAGATCAGCGATGCAGTATGTACGTAGTGCGTAGGATAATGCGATATCAAGACGAGCGCAAACCTGAGCCTGTGCGGCGGGCCGAAACCAGTGTTGGCACCTAGAAGTCCCCGAGGTCGATTTCCACAGACTGGATAATGGACGCTTCAAAGTTCGTTGAGGGGGCGGTCGGGCTGCAGAGGATGGTAATGGGGACGCGTGCCATCCGCCAGACCCGGAGCCGCCGGTGTCCCTGGCCTAATGTTGCCGCCGAGAATGCGAGCCCAAACCAAGACGCCGTCAACGCCCATTCGCACACGCAGATCACAGAACGACACGAAGAGGCAAGCAGAGACGGTACAGACCTTGGGCTAAACGGTTTCAATCCAGTCTTCGGCGTTGCCGAGCGGGGCGTGCCGGCCGCGGACGCAACAAGGAGCTTGCGTTCACGCCGCTTGCGTTCCGTCTCGCGCAGCTCCGCTTGACGGATAGCCTCCATGTTCGCGAGGCGGTTCCGCCGGTTGACCTCCGCGAGGAGCTCTTCGCGGGTAGGCTCCTTCTTCTCCTTGTCTTCCTCCTTCTTGGGCATCTTCGCCTCGACATCCGCGATCTGCTTATCGAGCTGCTCGACCTCTTTCCAGTCTTGCCGGCGCGTGGCGAGCATGCGTATTTGCTTCAGACGCGAGTGCTCGGCGGCCAACAGAGCGCCCGTCGACTTGTCTTGCAGGTTCCGAGCGAGCATTGCGTTGATATCGCTCTGCGATGGGGGAGAGGTCAGCTGAAGCCCTTCTGCAGCCCACGTTGCCTACCTCTGTGATATCTCTAGAAGCGCTCTTGACAATCTGTGCGCCCTTCTCGCGGAGTTCACGCTTCGTTGGGAAGGACTGCTTGTCTTTTGCCAAACTCTTCCACTCATCGAAGTCTGCCTAAGGAAGCGGCAGCTTGTGTAGCCAGCCTTTGTTATGCAACATCACGTATACGAACCTCAGTAAAGGTCGAATTGGATATTCTGTCCATTGGGAATGGGCGGTCACTGAGGGCATATCGCAGGCCGAGGTGTGTGGTAATCTTCCGGCCATTGAAGTCGTAATGTCGGCCGTCCTTGTGCACACCTGGCCGCAATCTAGGCAGGCCAAGGAGATATAACCTGAACCACTCACCAACGACCTCAAACATGCGATATGTTGGCTGACCGTCCTTCGAGCCGTTCAGGTATCTGACCCATGCTCCTACACATCGTTAGTGATATCGAACAGTACTTAATGGAGCGAGCATTAGCACCTTTGACAGTTTCCTCGAACCACGGCGTTGCGGAAAGACGCGCCAACATGTCTCGAGAAAGCCGAACTTTCTCTAGATCCTCCAGCGAAATGCTGTCGTCCTCAAGCTTATCCTTCTCGGGATGCAGCTTGTCATAGAGTCTGCGGTCCCTCTCTTCCTCCTCCTCCAACTTGCTGATCTGACCATCCTCTTCCTCGTCGTCCGAGATGTCCATATCAGCGGGCGAGGAAGACCGTGCACGCCTCGGAGAGCTGGTCCGTGTCTATGTGACATTTAAAACACGTAGGCAGGCAGAGCACTGAGGCACGTACGCGTTTCTTCTCGTCCTTCTCTTTCCGCCTGGCCTTCAGTTCGTCTAGCTTGCGAGTCTTCTCCTTCGTGGCGCCACGAACGGCGTGTTGACCTACAGGACTCAGTACCCATGAAGCACATCAAGAGCAACGCGCTCACGTTTGGCCGCTTTGGACACGCTATCATCCCCGTGGCCGCTCTGAGCCTTCAACATCTGTTCAAGGTTACGCTTGTCTTGTATCCGCTGCATCTCCTCTTGCCGCTGCGCCAGGATATCCTCTCGCTCGATCTCGGACATTTCCAAGAGTCTACAGAAAACATCTCGCATTATAAACCAGATTGCAGACAATGCAGGCCAGGCACGTACCGTTGCCTGTCGGCTTCATCCGCATATTTGCCTTCCAGCGGGTAAGGATCCTGCTCTTCCTCGCCTGCGCTCTCTGTTTGATCTGCGTCCGACGCATCGTCCGACATTCTATTGCATTGTTCACACCAGTTCCGAGAGGCTGCCAAATTGCCAAACCACTCACTCAGCCCTGCGACGTTTGGGACCCGGTCCTTGCGCTTGACGTTTTCGGCGCTTCTTCTCTGTAGCACCGGCCAGTTCAAGGAGCTCGTCAGAGATGTCACCTTCAGAATCAGACATGGCTGGCCTGTAATCGCGAGAACTGCTCGTGGTGGTGGTGGTAGAGAGGAAAGGTAGACTGAGGTGGGAATGAACGCGAGGCGGTGGATGTCAGTCACAGAAATGATTCGCCAAATGCGGAAGGCAAAGTCAACAGTGTCACTCTGCACGGGATCATGTGTCACACGCGTGACGGGCTTATACTATGCGTATAACTAACTTCTAATACAACTAAATAATTGGGCAGCTGGACTTTCTTCAACGGTGCCTCAGCTGCATGAATGTATACAGGTGACTACTTACGGGGTGCCGCACGTCGCCCAAGCAAATGCTACTGTCCGCCCCACGGAGATAGCAAAGGGAAGGTCGCATTGACTTATTAGCACTGATGTGATTTCGATGGGGGCATGAACCAGTGCGTAGGCGGGGACGTCTTTCGCTTGAGCTCTAACCGCAAACCGCCACCATTTCTTGCTTTGTCGGCCTGCATACAGGAAAAAGTCAAGATCAATATACACATCGCCCAACGCGGATAGTTGAGATAGTAGGGGAGACGAGGTACGTACAGTCCACACGCGCTCGTCCGTGATGACCCTACGGAGGTTGGGCACGATCTCCATGATGGTGCGGATGTCAGGCTTGGACACAGTGGTCCGCGCTCCGTGCGAAGAATGCGCGTCGCTGACATCGCTGAGCGTATGGAGGCTCGTGGACCGTGAGAGCGCCTCGGAAAACGAGTACTGCACAGACGACTATCAGTATATGCGCCCTCATTGCGACGCTGAGGACGTACGATATCCCTCACGGGGATGCTCACTGCGAATCGCTCAAGGTCCGAACAGCGCCTGCAGATCTTGCGGACGCTGTCGAGGCTCAACGAACAATTCAGCAAAGCTATATGCGTGAGTGTCGTCTCGTGCGTGTTCAAGAGCTCGTCGATGAACCCGTCTTCTACCAGCAGCTTGTCGGTGAGTTTCAGCGTGATGGAGCGCAGACCACACGACCAAATGCGTGTTTGCTGGATAAGTGATGTCCAGAGGCCGGGCGTAGTGGTTGGTGACAGGGAACAATGGCTGTCCACTGTAAGATGGCGGAGGCGGCGCAGAGGGGAGGTGATACCGTTGATGATGGAACTCGCTGCCATACTACGAGGAGAGTCCTAATGGGCCGGTAAGGCACCAAATCAGTGAAGCAAGCCGCTCGGACACGTACCCAACTTGTGAAGGAGAGGCTCCGTAGGTCTGGGGTGTGCGACGTAAGGCGCAGGACCGTGTTGTGATCGATCTTAGAGCAGTTTATGACGTGCAACCCGGTCAGATGTGGGAGATCTGTCAACACGCTCTCCAGAATATAGTCGTTCAGCTCGTGTACGGACTGCAGCCCCCCAAAAAATAAGCATGATTGGGTAGACAGTCCAGGAATGAGCGACGCACGTATAGGGTCAGGTTCGTCAACGTTGTCTTCAACGCAGCCATCCATCTCGGCAAGATATCCACCACATAAGGCGAGCCAGTGTCCAAAGTGATGCCCTTCAGTCCTGTAACCTTGGCGAGGTGTTCTGCTTGTTCGTACGTCAAGTTGGCGTTGACACGCATGTGCTGCAGCGAATCCTTCGCCTGGAGGTCGAGGAGGAAGGATGGCAAGACACTGGGCGTGCATGTAAAGGAAACCAGATTGTCGCAGATGTGTATTGCACGAGCGCAGTCCCGCATGAACTCTGGATGCATGACAGATCTACTGCTGGGCACTGTCCTTATGTCTGACGGACCAGGTAAGGAAACAGTACGTGTTAAACAGAGCTTGTGCGCACCGATATGCCGCACATGCGTGGCCAGGTTAGGGTGGCGAAGCACAGACGCAAATGGTGACAAAATCTACGCATTTTAGCTGGAGTTCATAAAAGACGTTCATTGTAAAGACGCACCACCGGATATCGTTTCGCTTGGTTCAACTTGAATACTAAATTGCGATAGAGTCTGGGGATGATTCCCGCCAAAAACGACCGACTGACGAGCGAGACAGAGACGAGGTCGTTCCCGTAGAGATAGGCAAATATGAGCTCAAGACAGTCCAAGTTCAGATTGTCCGCAGAGACCATGTTGGCGAGCAGAATGATGTTGTAACACGAGAATAGAGGTTTGGCAGAAGATGAGGAGACAAGGTCGCCGGCGCTTAAGAGTTGGGGCCACTACATCAGCGCTTAAAGTCACATCTTTCCAGCGCTTAAGAGTCACACCTGCCCGATCAGGAAAGCATGTCACAGCACTTGTGACCACGATCTGAGCGCGCATCTGGGCGGGTGCGGCACTCTGAATCTGCTCCTCGCCGTCGACAACGATGACGGGCTCGACCGTCTCCCTCGAACCTCTCAGCTCACCGTCTCCTTCACCTCCACCCCCAGAAGAAACCCGGTCTGCATCCGGGTCCAACAACGGCGGTCCCGCAGCCCTCGACAGCGGCTCAGAGCTTTCCGAACTGACGGAGGAGGAGCAGGAGGAAAACAGTAAAGCAGAGGTGCGCAACTCGAGTAGACCGCGAGATAGCAAACGAAAGCGAAGTAACCTCCTACCACCTCCGATGTGGGATTGGGCATACAAGAACAACAAGAAGACCGAGAAGGGAGACTGGCGTACACGCCTCGTAGAGGAGGAGGAAGAAGAGGAGCAGTCCGGCCCCGCGAAAGCGATGGAAGAGGAAGAAGACGACGAGCAGGACCGCAGCAACGACGATGACGACCCCGACCGCGCCGTTCCGCACGAGGTAGAGAGCGATGGCGAGGACGAGCGCGAGGACGATGACGACGAGCCGCCTGCGCACGCTTCGGACGCGGAGGCGCTGGAGCCACTCCCAGACGATCCCCTCGAAAACGAAGACGCTACCGACGAAGAGGACGTCGACGAGGACGACGCCGAGCTTGACGGTGCAGTCAGCCGTTCCAATTCGCGCGCCGCATCCCACAAGGGTGCCCCGTCGCCCGAACTCACCGACGACGAGAACGCAGACGATGAAGAAGCGGGCGACGACCCAGTCGAGGATGATGCACCCGTCCCAGAGTCCGACGCTGAAGATGAGCCTCGCGCATCTGCCGCACTCGAACCGGCAACGCCACTGGACGCGCCTCCCCCAGTGCTAGACGACGAAAACGCCGCGCTCATGGACGTCGACCAGATCGTGCCCCCACCGCCACTCGTCGCTCCCACACCTCACACGGCTGCAGCTTCCTCCATCATGGCGGGCTCGACTGTTGTGGCGCCACCCTCACGTTCTCCCTCGACCTCGTCCTCAGCATCTGGTTCGCCATCGTCGTCCCGCTCCCCGTCGCCCGACGCTGACGCTGACGCACCTTCCGATCGCGAACCCGAGCCAGAGCACGACGTCAAAGGAAGTCGTCCGTCACGCAAGAGGAGGACACGGGCACGAGGACGCAAGACCAGAGCTGAGGCGGCGGCGGATCGTGACCTCGACGCAGACGGGGACGCGGATCAAGCAGCGGGGGCAGATGGCGAGGACGGAGACGTGGGTGACGTTGAGGAGGCTGACCTGGACTCTCCGGAGTTGGAGATGGAACTGGAGTCCGATCTGCAGCCCGCCCACCGTGCAGAGGCCCTGGACGTCCTTGCGACGATCGAACTCAAGTTCGCGCTTCTTAGAGAACGCTTATACGTGGAGAAGATGGAGGCACTTGCATGGGAAGAGGCCTTGGTCGCGGAAGGTGCGGGTGACACGGTCTGCCTGTGTTAAGCCGTCTACTGACTCTCGCTAGGCACGCATCCCGAGATGCTACATCTCAATGAAGAACTGCTGAAACGACGCGACAAGCGGCTCGAGTTAGCCTCTAGACGTCGCGACTTTGAAGTCCTCAATGTCATGAAGCGTCGCAAACTCGATGAGGATGGTGTCTGGAGTTGGTGGAAGGTAAGGACGCGCCCGGCACGTGACCTGCATACATTGACATCACGCCGGTCGCGTCATATCCGCAGGCGGAAAGGGATGATCTACAGACCGAGATGATCTCGGAGACCAATCGAAAGAGGCGCAAGCTCGAACGGGAGCGACGAGCACTGGAGCGCCCACTGCCAGGTCAGTCCGCCGAGTTTCTTGCTCTAGTGCGCTTTCTGAAGCAAACTCAGAGCGTCGAATACCGGAACCACCGCAAGAAGCCCGCGCGCCTCCTACGCTACGCGAGATTGTGAAGTCTTATCCTTTCGGCGTTGCATCTTCGGGACAAGCACCGCGGCACAAGGATCGCGTGAGCCCAGGGCCTCTTGCATACCCACAATTGAGCGCACTACCGCTTACCGACGTCGCGAGGGACTTGGAGTTCTTGTTTCAGCATAGACGCGGTGCAGGCGGTTTCGATCCACACCGCCAGATGATGAATCCCGCTCTAGGTGCCCCGGTTCCGCAATTCGACTACCCAATGAACATGGCGATGGTCAACGGACCTAGTGCAAGCAATCGCTTCGGCCCTGGTCAGCCGGGTTTTCAGCATCCCCACTACCCAGAGATGCAGCCCCCGCCGGGTATGCACGGCTTCCAGCCCCAAGCTCCGCGTCCCGCACATCATCCCTCGGCAGTTCCAGGGAGCTTGCCCAATCTGCACCCCTCGCAAGCGATCGACCAGGATATGCATCGCCCTGGCTCTGGCCCTGCGCAGTCAAGCATGCATATGCAGCAGTTTGGCGGCATGGCACCAATGAGTGGACCCGGTGGACTCATGAGGCCGCGTTCCATCTCGCCGGTGCCAGTGCAGACCGTACCGAACAGGATGGTCCCCTCCCCTGCACCACCTGGGTTCTCGCAGTCCAAGTCGAACGGGTGGGTGGGCTCTGGTCCCCCTGGGCCGAGCATGCTCGGTCTTGGAGGCAAGGATCCAAAGAGACCGGGGAGCGTCGCGGACGGGCGTGATGTGGAGATGGAGCGTGAGCGTTTCGTCGAAGTGCAGAAGACGCGCGAGAAGATGGAGCGGGATCGCGACCTCGGGCGCGAGCGCGAGCGTGAGCAAGAGAGAGGATATCCGATGCAGATGATGCCCCAGCGACACGCGGGACATCAGCACTCGCACTCACATGTACATGCGCCCCCTGGGCAACCGCCGCATGTTCATGTCGTCCAGCACCATCATCGCATAGGGCCGCATCACCACCATGTCGTCCACCACCATCACACTTCGCAAGCGAACGGCCCTGGCGGAGCGGGGCAGGGCCCTCCGATGTCCGCATTGCCGTCTGGTATCGGGACGACTTCGAGTGTGGCAAATAGTCCGCGCCCGCCGCGCGATATTGAGCCCCGACATATCCATCCGAGCGCATCCATGGAGGTCGACATGGCGGCTGGCCCGTCAAGGCAACACCTCTTATCGCCCCCGCACATGTCGGTCGACGGCTCACGCGAGCGTGGTAGACAGATAATTCCAGCCCCCGTGGGTCCCCATGAAAGATTGATGACTCCATTCACCTTGGGACCTTCACAAGGGATGCAAGCGAGCTTCCCGGGATCGCCGCGTAACGGCGTACCGCCTCCTACAGCCCCAGTATCTGTAGGCCCGTCACGACGCAGCTCTTTTACCACCAATGAGGATAACGGTCTACCTCGTCCGGGATCTTCTGCCTCCACCAGTAAGTCGTCCCAGGGTCTCGGTCAAGGCAGTTCGCATCGCCAGGCGATAGCGAGACGGCCGCAAACTCCGCCTCCTCCTCAGTCGCGCCCGAATACATGGAGCTCGCCGACGCGCAGCGGGCCAATGGATTACGGTAATTCACGTTCACCACCACATACAAATGGCGGTCCCGCCCCGCATATGAGCCCTTCGGGTCTGGGAAGCGGTTTTGTTGGATCTATGCGCTCACCTACGAGAACGGGCCAACCTCCACTGGGAATGCAACTACCTCCACCGCCGTCGCTGAGTGCTTCTGCGCGTTCGCCACCTGTAGGAGCGGAGGGCGCGGGTCCGTCGAAGAACGGCAGCCCTAGCCTGAAGACGTATGGTCGCCCTCCGTCTCCTGGTCTTCCGAAGGCACTCCCTGGACCAGCTCGACATATGGGTCTGTCAAATCCTGAGTCTGTCGGGATGGGTGGCTTGAGAACGTCGCCCGCAGGTCCGCTATTCCCGCCGCCTTCACAATCAAACTCAAATCAGTCGCTCCCGTCTCGAATACCAAACGGTTCGATGCCGGACATACACCCGAGCGGGGGTCCTGTCGCGCCGAAGATTGTGCCCGTGCCTGTGGACGGATCTTAGCTCTTTCCCCTGGTTCATCTAGCTTTGTTGTTTCTGCCTTCGTCTTTTCAGATTTGGTATGTATTGCTGGAAGATTAATGTATCATATAATTTCCTCGATTCAATCGTATTGCGCTGTGCTCGAACGTCCATCCGGCGACAGTGCGATCGGGTCCCCCCTAGGCGTGTTTTGGTGCACCTGGTCTCGGGCTCGGCTAGAAGCCCAGCTTTACCGACCGCTGGGATGGAAGAAATAGTAACGGAGTGGAACCAGTCCCATCCACCGCCGCGCAGCGTGCCCTCTGGTCTACGTACGTGGCTCATGCTGCATGAGCTCGGAGCATCCCTTGATCAGTGGTTCTCCAGTAACAGATCGAAGGCTTCGGCTTCACTGCCCAGTGACCTTCGTCGGCCCCCATTCATTGCCGACATGGTGCACTGACTCTGTGGGCGTAAGTCTGCGAACGATGGGTCAACAGGGCCAAGGATGCCTGAGGAAGCATACGGGCGAAACGTATCTCTCAGGCGGGGTCTCCGGTCGCAGCAGTTCATGGTCAAACAGCCGAGTCAGATGCCACTTTCAGTGACACCGAAGTCCGTCATGAGTCCGCACCTAGGCGCGACAGCTTGATGCCGATGAGTGTAAGTATAACAGCAAGGAGCGGAACGCACCAGACTCTAAGAATTGGGCCACAACTTCGCACACCCTGCCAAGACGATTACGGACTCCCTTCGCAGTAGAGCTTCTGTCGTTGCTCATCACACTATTTCAACGCTAGCGATGATAGAGTTACGTGAGTCCAAGGAGGCGGCCTCTGCACTCCTCCGCATGATAGGGTATCGTTGTCCGACTACATAGCCTATCCTGACATGCGGCGGCCATGTGGCGAGTTAGCTGTGATGCTGCACTTGACTAATGGAATACCAATACGATTACCGTACACTTTGGCGCAGCCGTTTCGTCCCAGTACGTCGAAGGCCGGGTTCGCCGCCAGGGAGCGTCTGTACGTATGAGGGTGTGTGATCTGAATTTGGACCCTCGGCCGACCTGCCGTAATGTGCGGGGTCTGTCCAGTACCGGAACGTCGGATGCCAGTGCAAACGCGTGGTACGTAGGCGCGAATACGCGTTCAAGTTGGCTGGCAGCGTGTTGAAGCTCGGCGATCGGTGGGTACCTGCAGAGGTTATCCTCGATGGCACTTCTGGATGCTTCAAGGGGCAAGCTCAGGGATGACATTGCAGATCTTCAGGAAGCTGTACTGCATGTCAACGGACCTCCAAAGGACAACAAACCTGGCGGTGGCTCAGGATTAGAGCCGTGAACCGAAACCAACCTCCTTGTTACTTCACTGGCAGCGGCCGCGTCACTGTGGCATTGCAAAGTGCTCATGAGCACTGGTAAGTCAACAACTGACGACGAGAGCTCGAGATACTCAGCTGTCATGGATGTGCTGTGCACATGACGGATGGTGGTCTAGAGGATATGTGGATGGGAAGTCCGTAGACTCCGTACCATACTATGCATGGCTAGCTTCTTGAAAGCGCGGCTTGTTTATCCTGAGCCATAGAGGCTGGATGGCAACTCGGTATCAGGAACACTGTGCTGTCCGACGCTGTCCGGAGTATGTGGTCAAATCGCCAAGAAGCCCAGCCACCGTACAGCTAAGTCCGGTGATAGTGTGAGTCAGTACGAGTGGACTTCGGAAGCATAGACATATTACCTTGTCGAGTACTTAGGAGTCTGCTGTCTTGCGCTTCCTGTGTTATGTACGATGCGAGCCCGTCAACAAAGCTAGGTCATCCGCAGCTTTTCAATTGAGCCCTTTGAGATTGTGCCAAGTTGAGCTTAGTCTAGTTGGCTATCGATTTCCGTAATGATAGAGGCCCTGGCACGCACCACAGAAGCTACCATTCCATTCATGTATAAAAGCTCACCCATGAGCACGAGCTCGATGGCGTACCAGTGATATGGCAATCTAGTGAACATTAGAAGGAGGGAGGCCGGCCGGCTGGCATCGTACAGTCACTAAGTAAGTAATATCATAGTGTAGCTGGAGAAGCACTCACGTGACTCCTCACGAAACGAATGGACCCACTGACACCTACGGAGGGACGAAAGGGGTGCTTTTGTCCTCGCCCTCGATGCCTGTTCGGAACCAAAAACACAGACAGGTAAGAAAGAACACTTACCCCGGGATGTCCGAGCCATGACCGCATTCAAAATGCTACGCCGGTCACTGATTCCTACCTCGCTGTGAGTCCAATCGCTTGCTCGTAGCACTTGCTGTAGCCATTAATCAGGTTTCGTGTCAGTGGGCAGTCGCTCAGTCGTCGCGACGCCTCGGAAGCGATATTGGATGATTGAAAAAATTGAACGTGCCTAAGAGGCACGTTTCCCGCGAAGGGGGCAGTACGGCTATTACAGCCGGATCTAGTCCATTACTGGCTCAATTTGCAGATCTTGCGCGCCCAACGCGTATTTTCTGACGCGGCGCTGCGACGTGGTGCGCTTCTGAACGCAATCCCGAGCTACCTATCCTTCGATTCGCGGGGATCTTGTCTTTCCGGCTCGAAAGGCTACGCCGTTTGAAATATGACAATTCTGCTCTCCAAGAGTGTGCAGCGCGACATCATCTTCCAGTCGTATCGGCACAGTGCGCGCGCCTGGGGCTTGACACATGCAATGCTAACCCGACTGGGTAGGCAAACGTAAGTACCTAACGCGACTGTATGGACCGCCGACTCGGAGGGACCTGGGGTGGGCGCGTTTGGGGCGCGTGATGGCGGCCGGGGTCTTGGTATCTTCCGTCTGAATTGGGACCCTGAACTGATCTAGATGCTCGCATGTTGACCACAGCAACCGACCATGACTACATTTAAAACCTTCAGCTTGGACGAGCCACGTCGATCCATCCCGCGACTCCTGTGGTCTCGCCTCCTGCACTCTGCCCTTCGTCATGTCTAACGCGTACCAGCTATGGTGGGCTCCGCCGCCGCCGCCAGCCACTGCCCTGGGACGGCACCGGCCCCTTGCACCCCTCGCCGGCGTGCACGTCTCTCCAATCTGCCTTGGGACGATGAGCCTCGGCACTGCCTGGGGCCCAGTCACTGGCACCATAACTAAGGAGGAGACCTTCAAGCTGCTTGATGGGTTCTATGCAGCTGGCGGAAACTTCATCGACACGTCGAACAACTACCACGACGAGGAGTCCGAGATGTTCGTGGGTGAATGGATGGAGGCGAGGGGCATCCGGGAACAGATAGTGGTTGCAACGAAGGTGGTTCTCGATGTTGTCCTCAATTACACGCTAGCTGACGTGTTCTCCAGTACACGAGCAATTACAAGCGTGGCCAGAAGGTAGGGCAGATGACCCATTACGCCGGGAACAACATGAAGTCCCTGCACAACTCCGTGGAAGCGTCCCTCAAGAAGCTTCGTACCGATCACATCGACATTCTTTACGTGCACTTCGTGAGCGTCATGTCCGCACAAGAAGTGTTCGGGCTCACTCATGAAACGCGGAATAGTGGGACTGGACTTGCGGCATTGAGGAGATCATGAACGGCCTGCACAACCTTGTCGCCGCTGGCAAAGTGCTGTACCTCGTGCGTCCGGTTCTATTCTTCATCTCCGAAGCCATAGCTCATCAGTTTCAGGGCATCTCTGACACCCCAGCATGGATCGTAGCGAAGGCGAACACGTACGCGCGGTGCATGGGGAAAACGCCGTTTTGCATATACCAGGGTCTCTGGAACGTCATGCAGCGGGATTTCGAGCGTGACATCATACCCATGGCCCGCGCCGAGGGTATGCAACAGAGCTTCTTTCCGGGTATCCGTCCTGAGAGTATTCTGTCATGTTCGCAGGGATGGCCATTGCCCCTTGGGGTGTCCTCGCGTCCGGCAAGGTACGAACGGACCAGGAGGAAGAGCAGCGTAGCCGGTCTGGCGAGGGGGGTGAGTGGCTTGATCAGCTGAAGACGATGCCATTGAAATCTTTCCCGCAGGCCGTAAAGACATGCACAGCGACGACTGGAAGCGTTCGCCGGCGCAGCGGAAGGTGTGCCAGGCGCTCGAGAAGGTCGCAGCAGAGGTCGGCGCGTCGAACATCCGAGCCGGTGAGTGTGCCTGTGGTGCTCGCTTTCGCGCCGGACCATGCTAATACACTGTCTGGCGTCAGTCGCTATCGCATACGTGATGCAGAAAACGCCATATGTCTTCCCTATCATCGGTGGCCGCAAGATCGAGCAGCTCAAGGATAACGTCGAGGCGCTCGAGCTCGCTCTGAGCCCCGAGCAGATCGCACACATCGAGAGCGTTGCGCCGTTTGACCCCGGGTTTCCTGCTATCATGTGTGTAAGTGATGACCACCCACTGGGCTCGCCCCATGTGTGGAGAAGTGGCTGACTCGTTCCGTCCAGGGCGATGGCTCTGTCTACATCCCGCTTCAGAGTTCAGCAGGCCACTTTGAGAGATGGCCCGTCCAGCAAGCTCTCCGGCCGAGCGGCACCAAAACGGCGAACGGTAATGGCCATGCTTGACGAGCCTGTCATGGTCCGATGTGTGATCGGCATGTGGTGCTTGTGTGCAGCTTCCTCCGTAGTGTGGTCCCGCTATCAAAATTTGTATTTTCGTCTCGAAGCTTACTGATCTGCGCTTGTGAAGACGCTATGCCGAGACTAGATGTGCTGCGGCGAGGTCGGGGTCCGGTCAATGACGAATGCACGAGGCGTCACGACTTCGAAGTGCCGCCAATTACACGGGAATAGCCATGGGAGTCTAGCAGTGATCCAACACGAAGGTTGGTGAGAAACCGTGTAATCACGATCTCAGGATTCGGAGACCGAGGTCAGCAGTCCCCTCGGAAGGTTGGCAGCCGGGGATGGTATGAGAAAATCCTGGCCTCGTCCAGAGCAGGAGAACACGGTACGTCCGAGAGCGAGAGCGAGCAACGATCAACCACTTTGATGGCCGAGCATTCGCGACATCGTGAACATAAGTATACAGCTTGATCGTAATTTGCATATAGGGTCGCGTATTTGCTTCGTGTCGACGCGTGTCACCACTGCCGACGACCACGAGTCCGCTCGAACGCGAATGCCTTCGAGAAACATCCTGAGCATGAGGGAATTCAGCCAAAATCAATGTCGGTATATGCCGATCATCAACAAGAGGAGATGGAGTGGGGTACAGAGGGTAGTTTGTGCTCAATCGGCACAATGAGCGGCTTCGAATCATTATAGGCATATATCATTTCGGATCGCGGCATCAGCATGTACAACGCATCGAACATTCACTCCAGCACAGGAATGTAAGCCATCCAGCGCATTTCTCTAGTCGGAGGTCGGACGGAGGGCCTGGCGGCGCGGCCAGCGCTCGAGGGGACCACCCATCGCATGCAGGAATCCGAACCCAGTCCCGTCGCCCTGGAGAGCCGTGGGTCAGCGACCATGCCATCAACACCATCACCAACTGGGCGAGACTCACGATCATCTCGTGCGGGAACCCGCGGACGAACGGCAGGACGTCCTCGAGGTACTTGACCTGCTCCTCGCTGAGCGCGATCTCAAGCGCGGAGATGTTGTCCAGCAGGTGCTCGACCTTGCGCCCGCCGACGAGCGGAAACACGTTCGGCGTCTTCTGCAGCACGTATGCGAGCGCCACTGCACAAGCCCGTCAGCGTACAGATCGGCGGGTACGCGGGAGACGGAGACTCACCAGCTGTGATGCTCTTCGCCCCGACTTCCGCAGCGACCTTCTCGAGCGCGAGGCAGACCTTGCGCTCGCCTTCAGTGCGCTCCCAGTCCGGTCCGAACCACATGCGACCTGCAAGTAGCGTGAGCCCATCTGGCAGACACGTACTCCATGCAGCGCACCTTTCTCGCCTGTCTGGCGGCGACGTTCCTCTTCGGCGTCTGTCCGGATCTTCCCTCCAGCGAGCACGTTCCAGGGAGCGAGCGCCATGCCTGAACATTACCGTGGCCATCGTCAGACCATCGTGCTCATCATGAGTGGTCCACGGAGACCTCTCACCTTCCTCGCGCGCCATGTGGATGATCTCCCGCTCGAAGTCGCGCTCGAGGATGCTCCACGCGCCCTGGTAGATCACGAACGGCGTCTTGTTCGCCATCCGCGCGTACATATTCGCCTTGGACACGATCCACGCAGGCGTGTCGGAGATGCCCTAGACAGAGGTTAAGGTTACTAGGTTTTCCTCCGTGTAAGGTCGTGGCGTACCAGGTAGAGCACCTTGCCTTGGGCTACGAGGTTGTGGAGGCCGTTCATCACCTCTTCGACGCCGCAGGCCCAGTCCCACTACGCGGTGATGTGTCAGAATGACGCTTCGCAAGGCAAAGTACAGGATACTCACCCAGTGGACGTAGAGAATATCGATGTAGTCAGTGCGGAGCTTCTTGAGCGACGCTGCGACAGACATGTGGAGAGACTTCATGTTGTTCCCCACGTAGTGCGTCTGCTGGGGGATGTCCGTGCCACGCTTGTAGTTGGAAGAGTACTGAAAACAAACGCCGTCAATGCCCCGTCCCGCGCCACCCCGTCGGGAGACATCACACACCTTGGTCGCAATGACCATCTGGTCGCGATTCCCTCGTTGCTCCATCCACTCGCCGATGAACTGCTCGGACGTCTCGTCCTGGTAGTTGTTCGCGGTGTCGATGAAGTTCCCCCCGCGTCGTAGAACGCGTCGAGTAGCTTGAAGCTGCTCTCCTTGTCCATGGCGCCGAACCCGATCTTGTCCCACTTGTCGCCGATGTTCATCGCCCCCAGGCAGAGCGGCGAGACGTGCATCCCCGCGAGCGGGGCGAGCTGGCGGTGCCGGCCCAGACGGGTCTTGGGCGGCGGAGGCATGACGACGAAGGTAGACATCTTGGCTGTATTGAGTTAGTGTATGAATGCTGTTACGGAGAGGTGGAAGGCGAGGTGAATGACTTTCATCGACGCGAGCAGCCCTTTTATTTCGGGATGCCAGTGGGCTTGCATCGCGTCAGCAGAGAATGGGGACGTCATTGTGAAGAGCCGTCCGAGTGTATCATTGAGGCGTCTCGAACCGAAAGTGTCTTCGTCATCTCAATTGGGAGCTTACATGGTGCTCTGGGACGCCTGTTCCACGGATTCTTGAGTGGATTGCATCGGTAAGCAGCTGGGCACCGGCGGAAACCAACCCACTAGGAGGTTAATAGCCTGGAACGACTAGCAACTCGGAGTCTCATTGTCGAGCCGGTCGATCACTTGGGTTCTTCATGGCACCTGGATGAGAGTACACCCGCCTGAGTACGTAGGCCCCATACTTTTTTGTGGTCAATCACAGAGCTTCCATTAGCCTGATTTTATAGAGAACGCCGGAGGTATAGCGCACCAGGCATATCTGCAGCGTGTCGTTTCACACTGACATTGACATGGTATGAACAGGCTGGTGCCAATGGTTTCAAGTTGTGAACTGACCCAGCCCCATCCCGGGCCATCCAGTATATACTGTGAGTAGCAGTATATCAACGAGGTCGCAACGTCCGACGCTCGATTTGTTCGTCCTCGCCATTCGGAGACACCGAAGTAGCGGATGTGGCTGACAGAATGTTAGTACAGGCAAACATGGGCTCTCATACCAAGACCCTCCACACGGCGCATGTGTGGGGTCTGTGTCGCACACACAAGCAAACACCTGTGCGCCGCACGGGATGCGGTTCACGGTTCACGACAAGGTGTTCAGAAGGTACATAAGTTCTTGTAGATTTTGACAAGATTTTGAAGCGGAAGATGAGGAGGCCCCTCCGAGTCGCGCCGACGCGCCCGGCCACCGTTGCGCGGTCACGTGCTCAGAGTGTACGCGGTGGGACTCCTGCGGAGCCAGGAGCCAATCACGAAGCCGAAATGTCGACGGCACCACTACGGCACCGCGTTTCCGCTTATGTAATAAGTAGAGAGGGATTGCAGGGATTGCCCGCTATCATTTGTTCCACTTCCTGAACCAGACCACAATCGTGAAGTCAGCTTTACTTTATGCCATCGTGAACGCCGAGAAGCCTGAACCGTCGATGACGGACGTAGCAAAGGACATGGGCCAGGTGCGCCTTCTTTGAGCCTAAGATGATACTGATTCCACCCTTTCGATCTATGCGTCGACCCGGTTGCCCAAGGAAGGCCCGATTCGGCCCATTCAAGTGTTCAGCATGTTCAGACATTCATTGTTCAGATGAGACGCTTTATGCATTTGGCCTGGTCGCGGTCGTGGAGAGGTCAATGTTGCTGGTGGCGCATATATGCGCTGGACGAGACGAGCGGTGACCAGTGACCGGTGACCGGTGAGTAATCATTATATCTTACTGCAACACTAAGTCTTTGCTAGGTCTAAGTAGGTGGCAATCAAACCTGCTGAACAATCAGTCGGGCCCGCTTCCCCTTGGGTCTACCAGTCTTGTACGAAGCTGTCACGGCGAGGTCAGTATCACCGACACAGGAGTCTAACTGGTTCACGAGTGCTGAAGGTCAAACCAATAGCTGAAACCCTATGTGCGCACGAACCCTAATTTATTGTCGCCGTATTGCCGGACCATGTCACCGTGACGCTGGATGGCAGTGCTCACTTGAGTTGCAGCTTGGCTGCAGCCGTTGAACGGGACATCCAAGGCCAGCCCAATGCATCGGGTACGCGGCATTGGCACGTTAAGGAAGCCCGTTCTCCGCCATGCCTGTGGGGTACGTATGCGGTACGTCCTTGCGGATGCAGGCGCCAGCGATGCAGTCGTCAGCGACGCTGACATTGACATTGCACCCAGTGCGGAAATGATATGCAGCTGGAGACACATAAGGTACAGTGCACTAGCTCGAGTCACCCGGTCAGTAGAGAAGTAAACAATACTGATATACAGTATGTCCGGACAGAATAGAGAAACAGCAATGCGGATGTTTCTCACCACCTTGCCATGGTTCACCGGGGGCGGAGCGCCTGCTGCACAGGCCACTTGTCGAAGTGGCCGCCACATTTGAACGGATCCGAGTACGCAGTCCCGTCGCCCTGCAACCATTATGTATCAGCTTCAAGCCTCAACAACACCGCACAATCCCGAACGTTCACTCACAATGATGTCGTAAGGAAAGCCTGGTACGAACGGTTGCGCGCTGTCTATTAATGCGATATGTTCGGGACTGAGCGAGATTTCCAGGGCCTTCAGGTTGTCCATCAGCTGCTCGACCTTACGGCCTCCGATAATGGGGAACACGAAAGGCGTCTTCTGCATCACGTATGCGATCGCCACTGCTCGATTGCTAGTCAGTCCGTCGTCGTGAAGTCGTTCGAGAGTACGCACCGGCCGTGATACTCTTTACGCCGACCTCGCCTGCGACCTTCTCAAGTACTTGGCATACCTTCTTTTGCTCTGCCGTGCGCTCCCATTGGCCGTCCAGGATGGTCCGGCCTGCAACCAGGTCATTTTGTGGCCAATCGACGGGCGCCAGTCTTATTTTACGCTCACCTCGTTCTCCGCTCTGACGACGACGCTCTTCCTCCTCGTCGGTGCGGATCCTACCAGCTCCCAAGACATTCCAAGGCGCGATGGCCATGCCTGCGTACGCACACGCACACGTGAGCGTTTAGGCGTCATACGGCGGGGGCGTACTCACCTTGTACCCGACACATCGGGATAATCTCGCGCTCGATGTCTCGGTCGAGGGCGCTCCATGAGCCTTGGTATATCACGAACGGCGCCTTGCCTGTGAGCCGGGCGTACATGTTTGCCTCTGACACGACCCAAGCCGGCGTGTCGGAGACTCCCTGCGGAGGATTCAGCATATCCGCAGGCTATCGGAGGGTGTCTGGACACTTACCAGGTAGAGTACCTTCCTCTGTTGAACGAGATAGTGCAAGCCGTTCATGACTTCTTCGATGCCACACGTCCAGTCCCACTTTGCAAGGAGGGTCAGCGAAGGCCTACTATTCTGGGTGCACGACTTACCCAGTGGACGTAAAGGATGTCGATGTAGTCCGTCCGCAGTTTCTTCAAGGAGTTCTCGACTGACAGGTACAGGGACTTCATGTTGTTTCCAGTGAACGTTGTTTTCTGCCGGTAGTTCTCGCTGCGCTTGTAGTTGTTCGTGTACTGAAATGCATTTGCTCAGATCCCGCCCCTCGTCAAGAGCGCTACGAATGAATTCCGCCGACCTTTGTCGCGATGATCAACTGATCCCGCAATCCGCGTTCCTGCATCCACTCACCCAAGAACTCTTCTGAGCTCCCATCCTGGTACATGTTCGCGGTGTCGATAAAGTTTCCACCAGCATCGTAAAACGCATCGAGCAGCCGGAAGCTCTGGTCCTTGTCCATCGTGCCCATCTGCGTCCACCTGTCCCCGATGCTCATCGCCCCGAGGCAGATGGGCGAGACGTGAACGCCCGCGAGGCGCGCCAGCTGGCGGTGCCGCCCAAGCCTCGTCTTCGGCGGTGGAGGTGGGGCCCAGAAGTCTGACATCGTCTGCAGTTCAGTTGGAGATGTCCTGGAGGCTGTTTGGGTAGACTGTCAACAGTGACCATGCTAGGCTTAATGCCTCTTTTATACTTTGCAGGCATTGGCGTCGGAGCGACCTCGGGGTTGCGTCCTTGACATCGGTGGGGGATGTGGGCGCGGTAGGAGTCATGACTCACTGGTCGAGACCCGCCTCGTACGCCGATGGCAGAACTCAACGCTGCCTCGCCGTTCAGTCACATCGGGTTCGTCATACGCCCGTATGAGAGTTCCTTGCGTACGATTGGTGACCCTATCGGAGTAAGAGGTTTGTCACGCCTGGCAACCTATTATGATAACAGATACATAGCTGATCATGGCACTTCAAAAGAACCCGAACAGCGAATCGTAACAACCGATGTCACTGAGATTGCGTCTGTACGTCAAACCTCAGTATGCTTAGTAGAACATTGCTGACCAGTCTAAATGCGATGGCTGCACTTATGCTAGATGTCGTGACTTGGAAGCCTACCAGCGCCTCACAAAGTTGTTCAACAATGTCCATGCATACTGTATGTTTACTACTTCTCATTGCGTCATAACCATTGTCAGCCGCTTTCAGAAGGCCGGATCGCCTGCTGGCGAGGCCACTTGTCGAAACGGCCCGCCGACTGATACATGGGGGCATACCACGAGCCGTCGCCCTGCAAGCATGCTATCTTCAGCCCCAGCATGCCCAGCCTGATGATGCGAAGGACTCACAAACATATTATGCGGGAAGCCCAAATCGAACGGGAGCACGTCTTCGATCTGTGCGATCTGGTCCTCGTTGAGGGAGACGTCAAGAGCGTTGATGTTGTCCATCAAGTGCTCGACCTTGCGTCCACCGACAATCGGGAACACGTATGGCGTCTTCTGCATGACATATGCGATCGCAACTGGCCAACTTTGTGAGAATTCCGCTGATCCTAACCGACAAAACCATGACTTACTAGCGGTGATGCTCTTGGCGTCGACCTCGCCTGCAATCTTCTCGAGAGTCTTGCAAACTTCCTTTTGCTCAGGCGTCCGCTCCCATGCATCACTTGCAACTTTTCTCCCTGTAAAGAACATGTTTGTTAGACCACGGTGGAGGAGAGAACCGATGCCAAGCTCACCATGTTCCCCGGTTTGACGCCGACGTTCCTCCTCTGCGTCTGTGCGTATTCTACCGGCAGCGAGCACGTTCCACGGCGCAATGGCCATCCCTGCGTGAGCTAGTTTGACTTCCTTATTCTATGCGAGATACCTGATAGCAGCTCACCTTCAGCGCGGACCATAGGGATGATCTCACGCTCCAAGTCTCGCTGTAGAACACTCCAGGCGCCTTGGTATACCACGAATGGTGTCTTGCCGGTGAGACGTGCATACATGTTGGCTTTGGAGACAATCCACGACGGAGTATCCGAGATGCCCTGCGTGCCATTCACGTCAGATCAAGCAGGCGATAGATGGTCCAAGATATGTACGAGGTAGAGCACTTTGCGCTCCGCGACGAGGTGGTGCAGGCCGTTCATCACCTCCTCGACTCCGCATGTCCAGTCCCACTGCAAGGGAAGGGTGAGTCGTTATCTACAATACATCGAGATACAACGCACTGACCCAGTGGACATACAGGATGTCTACGTAATTGGTGCGGAGGTCCTTGAGGGACTTCTCGACGGACAGGTAGAGCGACTTCATGTTGTTTCCCACGTAACTGGTCTTCTGTGGCATGTTCTCACCACGTTTCCAGTTGCTAGTGTACTGCACCGAGGAATGCGCTTCAGGTACGTGTTTAACAGATAAACTGCACTAGCACTGACCTTTGTAGCCACCACCATCTGGTCGCGCACACCGCGCGCCTCCATCCATTCCCCGATGAGCTGCTCCGACTCGCCGTCCTGGTAGTTGTTCGCCGTGTCGATGAAGTTTCCGCCCGCGGCGTAGAATGCGTCTAGGAGCTTGAAACTCTGCTCCTTGGTCATCTCGCCCATGCCCAGCGGGCCCCATTTTTCGCCGATGCTCATCGCACCGAGGCAAAGCGGAGAGACATGGATGCCGGCATTGGGTGCCAACTGTCTGTGGCGGCCAAGCTTCGTAGCTGGCGGGGGCGGAACGGATTCAGCCCAGAACTTCATGAATCGTGGACCTCTGGATGACATGATGTCTCGCTCTTTCAGGTGAGGTGGTATTGGAGGTGGTAGCTCGCGAGAGAGGACGTCTTGCTAGGGATTCTGGGCTCGGTGAGGGGCCGCTATATACTCGCGAGTCCCATATCCTACTCCGAGACTCATGCTGCCCTCCGCATCTGTGTAAGCAGGGGTCGACCCAGGTACTTACTAAGGGTGATGTACGCGCGATGCATAGCGAGGGCGAGTCGAGTTCAGGAGTTCGAGTCGTTCCCCACCTAACAGAAGGCCGTGTAGCCCGAGTCCCATCGTTTGGTCCCCAAATGGTGACAAGGTGTAGATACCTTTGCGGCGCCAGCCTCATTGAAGACTCGGGGAACTTACAATGAAGGTAACCCACACAGTGTTCCGAATGCGGGGATTCAGGAGAAGTGACCGGCCCGGGTGTGGCTCTGGGCCGAACCTTGAGCGCTTCAGCAGCGACTCTCTTCTCTCCAACATCGATCATTCGGAGATGCTTTGGACCAGTGTCATGGATGTAAAGGATGTCTACATACTGGCGTTTGTGCACGTAGAGACCTCCAATAGACTTCTCCGAGTCAATGGCATGGAAAGGTAATTCCTCATGAGTCACGGAATAAGAACTGAATACAACTATGCATCATGTCCATAATCTGTCTTGACTTGGGACTGCTCCAAAACATCTCCACCATGCCTATGAGTACTAGTAGTGCTATCAACTGTGACTAGGTTCATAGCAAAGGACTGCCCAATAGTATGGGCCACAGTGCCATGGTGAGAAACAATGGCTCTCTGTGCCCATCCTAAGCCAACACGGGCATTAATGAGCATAAATGCTATGCCAGCAACAGGGCATATAGTGTCTATGCAGAAATACTGTAAATTGCTTCTTGTTGTGTATGATACCAAGAAGAAAATGGTATAACACCTGATCACAGGATGCTTCAGCTAATATTGTATCATTTTAGCATTGTCACTTACATAAAGAGCATGGCACTTTCCACTACAGTGACAAGAACACTCTGGAAAAAGACAGGTATATTCAGTTCAATCCCACATGCTCCATGTTCCTGGGTGATGTCCTACCATGAGATCTGGGCCCCCCAATGGTCTCACATGTTGACGAGCAGACCACACACGACAAGCTATACCACCTGAAAGATATTGAGGTGAGCCTACAACCTGAGAAGTCAGTATAAATGATTACATGAGCTATAGACATTGGTCCTAGAGTAACATGAGTAAAGAGACCCAAATCAATTCATGTCATGACATGTCTACTCACACAAAAGTGAAAACATTGCCAGAAGTGATCCAATGGCTCATGACACTGGCAAATACACCATCCAGACCACTGGCTGGGATGTGTGTCTGATGATAGATTGCTGTAGGCAATGTAACTAGGAGAGACCTAAGCCTGTATATTTCAATTCACTATATGGGAAATACTGACCACATTGTCCCAAAATAGTACACATTGGTATGAAGGCTATAACATAGCTATGATTCCATACTGTCCATAGACGATAGACCTTGACAAATCAGATAAGTACTGTGACACTGAAGGTTATAACATGAGTTTAGAGCTTACCAGCATGATATCACACTCAATAAGAGTGACTGCAAGGAATGATGCCTTGGCAACTGCAGTGGAGATGGGTAACATGGAATAGTATGTTGATGGGGCTGCTCCGCCTTCATAATATACAAATGCGTCAAAAAGCCGTATCACAACTGTTATCCAGTGCTGCATACTGCCATTAACACATGCAACCAATGGATGTCAATGAGATACACTCACTCCAGTTACTGTGACAGTGATGGCCACGGAGCCCACAAATATAGGACTGAGGAACATTGAGATGCTATGGTTCATGCCCTCATGAGTCAAATTCACCCGAGAGATATGGAAGTACATGGAAGAGAGGGCAAGGATCAGAAATACGCCGTAGAGCACGCTCTCGAGAGCTGCAGCAGCAAGAGAAGCACTGACAAGGGAGACCGGAGGCATTGATAAGCACAGTACTGTCTAGAATACCAGTCTCGTCGCAGCTCATGGTGAGGTAGCACATATATATGGTCACAGTAGCGCTTACAGGTGCATGCCCGAGCCTCTGTTTGAAAACGGTGCTCGTAAATCTACCTGCATCGTGATCTATTGCTCCCATCAACAATGGGATCATACACTGGTGACACAGGATTACGATCAGAGGTCTGCGAAGGTATCACACACCAACATTTGATGTGTTCGAGTTCTTGTCCTTGAGTGCTCGCCAGTGTGCAACGCTAAGAAAAGTCATGCGAACACTCGGGAGAACACGCAAGCATGATCCGTATCCCTAGATCACATATGTACCTGCAACAAATTTGTGCCTTGGTGAACCGGCGAGCCCCGGTCACGGGCTGGTGGACAGCGTCGTGAAGTGCCCGCTGTCATGGCCTTGGGGTCTAGTCTCATGAGTTGATACGTGTGTACATGTTCCTAAGGATAATCAGGCATTATCAACCTGGCCATCGTCGATACTGGCAATACGCACAGACTAGGGATGGGAAAGTGTCACTTCCGCAGAACACCAACACGCTCCGCCTCACTTTGTTGAGCCGGACTGCGCAGTGACCGTGAGCGTGTTCGACAGACAACCTAGCTGGAAAACACGATTGCTTGGTACCGGCCTCAGTACGCACCGTAGCTCGGAAGCTGCTGACTTTGTAGCATCCGGCATGCCCGGGTTGCACGAAGGGGATGGGATCTCGGTCGTAACTGTTTCGGACTCCCCGAAGTATACTGCCCCAACAATTAGCATTCTGAGGAGCACCACAAGGACACGACGAACCGCATAGCCACGACTGGTGCCCCGGAACGTGACTGGATCCGAGAGTTCTGTGGATGCATCAGATACCGCATTTACACTACTGCGGAAGTTATCACAATCAGACCTGGGAAGGCGAACATGATTGGTAGCACAGACATCCTTCTGCCAAGAAAATTGTCTCACACCTGAGAACCCATCCATCGAGAGCGGGGATATTCAGCAGGCATACACTGCCATGCAGAGACTGCATCGCGCTGCAGTCAGTCACGTCCGCCACACAAGCAGCGGGTAGGTTAGATCCTTTGCTACCTGGCGACGCTTGCCGGTAACCGGGTCGCAGCACGGGGAAGCCGGTATCATACTCGTGTCTAGAAGCTCTCAGTGGTCGGTGAACCAGGATTATCGCACAGGATTATCGCAATGGAACGTACCCACCACGCAAAGATCCGCCGCAGTCGAATACCAGTGGTGTCGTGTGCAAGACGTGACACAGTGTGCGGATTCCTGGAAGTGTTTATGACTTCTTGCGATGGAAGATGGGGGCGGCGAGCGCGCTGATTGATGAGCCTCCATACTTACATAGCCCTGTCGCAGAGCAACAGACTATAATGGTTTCCTCATGTAACCAATTGTACACGACTTGGATAGAGTTCAACCTCGCGGCGGCGAGTCTGGCCTGGAGCCTTCCTGTAAGAGCTATGATCAAATCGCTATTGTCTATGGACGTAGAGGCACACGTACCTCATGTCACACCTTGACGACGAGTGCGACCCGTGTGGTATGGCGAGCTTTCGCGCATGTTAGACCTCCTCTTTCATTCTAGGTACGCAGTGCTGTCAGATAGCATACCAACTCACGTAGCTGCGGCTTGGGACATGTCGCTTTGCGACTTTATCACAAAGGCACGATCCTTGAAGCTTTGAAGCAGTAAGCTTGTTCAGAGTAATAGCTTGCCTGCCTTGCCACGTCCGCGCACATACTGAAGTCTACGTCACGTGGAGGAGCTTCGAAGTCGAATTTGGTAAGTTCTCATTTGGCAACCTCTCTCGTTCGGACTCTCACAGCTGGCAGTGGAACCGCATGGCTGTATGTAATACGTATTGTGTGTCCCTCTATGTTCTAGCCAGCATCAAGGAATGAAGAAGGTAGTCACTTATCTGGCTTCGATGTGAGGCTGATATGCTGTCACGGTCGCCTGTGAAATTCTGAACCTCAGGTTCAAGTTCCACACGAAGTCCACACGTCGATGCCTACAATCGATATCTGGCAGCGCCTTCGTGTATGTACCTTATAGGTATATAGGCCTCATGGGTGATATAAGGAAGGGACTTCGCTCATAGTAGGAGGCCTCCTTGCCTTTCATTCGCTCAGTTACACTGCCATCATGACCACGTCTTTGCGCCTCCTCCCTCCCCACCCTCGTACCCAAGGCCATTCTTGTGTCACATTCAAAGTCCCCCGTTAGATGGATCATTGACCTTCCCCCAGATGTTCGACTTTCATGAACAGCATTCCGCCGATCATCGCCTATTCGTGTACGCAGGACAGGACGATACCGTCAATACGGTCAACTGGAGTCGAGCAAGCGTAGCCATCCGGAGAGCTGCCATGTTGGTCAGGGAGCGCATGTCCGGTAAATCCCACGCAGCTGCCCATGAGATACCGGTAGTTGCGATACTATCAGCCTCAGGTAAGTCTGATGTCATACGGGAAGGACAACTCTGACTACGAGCCCTGTAGACGCCATTCCCTATGCAACATTAATGATGGGCATCATGCGTGCTGGCTACACCCCGTTTCCCCTCTCGGCACGCAACTCGGCTGCGGCGGTTGCTCATTTACTCGCTAAAACCAATGTTGTGCATATCATCGTGGGGCTTGACCAAGCTATGCGAGACTTGGCTGCGGAGGCATGTGAGATCCTCAAGTCGCAGTACAACTATTCTACTGCCCCGGAAGTGTCGCCCATGCCCGCCTTCAATGACTTCTACGATGTGGGACTCAAGGGAAACACCGAGCAAAACGTCCCATATGAGCACCCAGGGTTGGACAAGAACATCTTCTACCTCCATTCTTCAGGTAAGTATCGTACTCCCTGTTGTGTGGATCATTTCTGACAAGGTCGAATTAGGTTCCACTGCTTTCCCAAAGCCCATTCCTTGGACGTACCGCAGGATGTTGCAAATCTCTAGAACTGTATTCTACGGAGAGCGTGATTTGACCGGCCGCGTGATGGCTTTGTTCGGAATGCCAATGTTCCATGCGATGGGCATCATGTCCACAGTATTTGCTGTACGCCCAAATTGACTGTTCACGCAAACTGTCGCTGACGATCTCGTATTTTCAACGACTTAGTGCGCTTATGGCCAGGCGATCGCTGTAGCGGCGCCAACAACCTCTCCAAGTATTCCAACAATCGAGAACATCATTCATGGCGCGATGGCAACCAAGGCGGATCTAATCATGACTGTCCCTTCAGTTGTCGAGGTTTGTATAGTGTGTTCCCCGTAGGTCCATTGCGCTGAACAACCTCAACTAGGCGTGGTCGCATAATCCGGAGTGGGTCAAATGGCTTGCTACAATTGACGGAATCGTGAGCACATCTCTATCATACCAATGGACATTAAACCTAACTCAGACATGTCATACAGTCGTATGGTGGTGGCCCGCTCAACAAGGAACGAGGCGATTATCTAGTATCGCAAGGCGTCAGAATCTTCTGCAACTATGGATCGTAAGTACTATACAGTTTTTTTATTGAAGACATTCATTTTCTGACTGCGCCATCAGTACGGAAACCGGTGTTATCAGTACATTCCTGCCATGTAAGATCGTGTTTAACCGTGAGCGCCAAGACCTTGAACTCTCCCGTAGCTGAGACAGGGATGGATTGGGAGTACTTCCGCTTCGGGTCCTTCCTGAATGTCAAGCTCGATCCTTGTGCCAACAATGAATGCGAGGTCATAATTGTGGTATGCACCACCTTGATTCACAAGCATCATCCAGTCACACACTTCTGTGCAGGAGAATGAGCTTTTACGGCCGAACGTAGTCAATACGAAGGTCAATGGAGCAGATGCTTACGCGACTTCCGACCTTGTCGCACCCCATCCAACTCGGGAGGGCTTGTATAAGGTTGTGGGCCGCACCGATGATCAGATCATGCACAGTACCGGTGAGAAGGTGAGTGGCAATCAGAATTGTTGCGCGGCACCTGAAGATTGACGAGGGCATTGCAGACCAACCCAGGTCCTTTAGGTACACAGTCACTAGCTATGCCTCAGCAGTCGGCTAACGATGTTGCACTAGAAACAATGATGAACCAGAATCCGCATGTCCAGGCATCCGCTATGTTCGGTCGTGGACGTTTGCAGGCGGGAATTCTAATCGACCCCAAGCCCGAGTACGGTTTCGATCCCTCAGATGAAACCAGCCTTGCAGCGTTTCGCAACAAGATCTGGTATGTTGAGTGGTTCACTCCACAGAAAGAACATTGCCTTACTACTGTGTTGAGGCCGACGACCTTGAAGATGAATTCGTACGCCCCCCAGCATTCGCGCCTGTTCAAGGAGGTGGGTCATGTCCGATAACCGCGGTTCGCCTCAGCGGTTCATTGTTGCGACTCACGTGATATTTCTACTAGATGATAATTGTCGCGAAACCGGACAAACCGTTCTCTTACACAGCCAAAGGAACTGTGCGTCGCGGAGCTGTGATCCAACAGTATGAGGACGAAATCGACGCACTGTACGATGTCGTGGACGCAGGCTCCCAGTCCAGCATTGCACCACCAGTACGTTGGGACATTGCGACAGCAACCGACTTTGTTCGCAAGATAGTCACCCATATCCTGAAGCATTGCCCGAATGACGACGACGACCTCTTCCAGCATGGCTGCGACAGGTGAGATCGCATGCATGATCAACCTGCCAGCGCTATCGCTGACAATGTATGACGACCAGTCTTCAAGCTACTTACATACGAAACACGCTGCTACGCACCGTCCGCGAGAGCGCGAAAGTTGAAACCCGCCACGTCACGCAAGGCTTCGTCTACAATAACCCGAGCATCAAGCAGCTAGCTGCCTTCATCACGAATGTCGCACTCGGTACCTATCAGTCAGCGGATGATGCAACATCCTCGACGGAGCATGTCGGTGCCATGCATGCGTTGGTAGCGAAGTATTCCACTGGCTTTCCCGTACACAAAGCGGATCCCAGTGTCAAACTACACGCCGGTGACATCGTCCTGGTCACAGGTACGACGGGGAGCTTGGGCTGTCACCTGCTTTCCCAGCTCGCGGCGAGGAAGGATATCGAGCACATCTATGCTCTGAATAGGGCCTCGAGGGACCAACAGACGCTGCGCGAGAGGCAGCAGGCGGCGCTGCTCTCCCGCAAGCTCGACGCGAGCATCCTGGACTCTGATAAGGTCGTCCTGCTGGAGGGAGACCTAACAAAGGCACACTTCGGGCTGCGCGAGGAAGTGTTTAGGGAACTTCACTGCGCTGTGACACACATCATACACAACGGTGCGGAGTTCTCTTTCATCGATGTCGACTCGGCTGATGACGCTGATGACTGTCGCTGGCATCCAGCGTGGCGTGTCGACTTCGTGATCAACCTCAGCTCCTTCGAACCACAGATACAAGGAGTACGGGCCCTCATCGAGTTCGCGCTCACCTCTCCCCTGCCTGAGCCGCCAAGGTTCCTCTTCGAGAGTTCCATGGGCACACTTCACAGTGAGTCTCCGAGGCGCTTTCATCAATCTGTTGAATACGTACAGCCTCCGCAGATGCACCGTCAGAGGAGACCATACCTGAGACTGCAGCAGCAGCGGAGTGGTCGGTCGGTACAGGATATGCAGATTCGAAATGGGTATCTGAGCAGATTGTGTTCGCCGCCGGCCAGGAGACCACGTTCAGACCGCTCATTGCACGGCTTGGCCAGATATGCGCCGGCCCTGACGGCGCATGGAACGCGCATGAGTGGTACCCGTCTATTGTGCAGAGTGCACCTACGCTGGCCTGCTTCCCCGATGACGAAAGGGCAAGTGCTACAGCTTGATCTCCAGGATGATGAGCAGCAGGACTAACACGATGCTCCGTTCCGCAGCTCATCGACTGGATACAGTTAGACCTCGCCACCGCGGCACTCATCGACTTCCGCAAATCGTTCAGCCCAACTGGTCTCGTCCATCTCGTGCACCCGCGTCCGATCTCGTGGCACGACCTCGCGGTCGCCATCTCCGCCGAGTTCGCCGTCCCGCTCGTACCCTTTGCAACATGGTTGGCCAAGCTCGAGGACTATGCCACGTCCCAGGGAGAGAGCGCTGGCGCTACGAAGCTGCATGCGCTACACCTACTCCCGAAGTTCCGCGAGATGCGGCTGCAGACGGACAAGGGGAAGATGGCGTTGGGCACGGCAGACATGGATGTGAGTCGCGCGAAGGAGGCGTCACCGACGTTGGCAGACCCGGGGTTGAGGCAGATCGGCGTGGAGGACGTCAAGCGATGGGTGGCCTATTGGCGTAAGGTTGGGCTTTTCACTCGTGCATGAGGTGTGTCTGCGTGTACTTGATACACATGGAATCGTAGACCTGCGCTTGCTCCATCCGATCTCTATATGTCCTGTGCTCAAATGCATGTGTCACACCGAATTAGTATCGATTTTAACACCTCTCTTCGACATCCTGGATTCCAGCTAGTTGCAGAACATTAGGCGCAGACGAACGCGCGCGACATATGATGACAAATAGGCGCTATCCACACGAAGACGTCGGTTTACCCATCTATGAGCTTAGTTCCTCGCTACTGTTGGGGATTGGTTCAGTCGCAAACAGTGCATTACAACCGTATTAACAGCAACGTAAGTTAACAATACAGTCCTTGGTTAAATGAATGAATGGCCGCGAAATACGAGCAGAGTGTGGGTGACAGCCCGCGCCCGAAGGGCGCGGCTCTCCGACGCAAGTCCGTGTGAGTCCGTCCTGCCAATGTCCGAGTCAGCCGCGATTGGGCGGGATGGGCAAAAGAAGGGTGTGGTGAGGTGGGAAAGACGGGAGACTGGGTGAAGTCAACTGTCCATCAGTGATGTGCGCAAAAGGGACTCGCATCCATGGGTTGGCGAAAGAAGGAAGGGGTGGGGGTGCGGGGCGGGTACTATGTCTGGACGACGTACAGGGTAGTGACTGGGGTCAGTTGAAAATAGTGCCCCGTGGATCCTGCACGTTCTCCGTTCACTTTGTCGCTGTCTGGCGGGCCTCGGTCATTTCGCGTATAAGAGCCACGTGCTCGGCGAAGCTGACGGATTGTCCAGGGCATCCGGCCCGTAGCCACGGGCGTAACTCGGCCTCTCTCTGATCTGCAATCAACCTGGCGGTTTTCTCGAGCAGGGAGTTCGCGTCCTCGAGAGAAAAGGATGGTGGCGGGGCCGGGGTTTCTGGTGGCGTGGACGGTGATGGTGAGCGAGAAGGGGCGAACTGCGGAATGGGCGTGACACTGTGGTTCAGCCCCGGAGGGAAGGCGTCTAGCCAGGCATCTGGTGCGAGGCGTGTGCGCAGGCGGTACCACCAGCTGATCTGAGTTGAATCGAGTGGAGCCAGGAGAAGGCAATCGACGCCGAGATGCCCGCGGGTGTGGAACATGACCCATTCCTTGTTAACAGCGATGACGGAACGGAGGGTCCCATAAAACGATGGTACCTGCTGCGTGGGCAAGGTAATTTCCACATCCGTCCCAGGCTGCAATCGCGTCCTCGGAGTCTCCACCATGAGGACTATTGACCCTCCTACCACCTCCTCGTCTGCCTGGGTGAGTGATCTTCCCTTGATCCTTGTATACTGAAGTCCGTCTCCTGACGCATGTGGTATTGTGCAGTCTAGGCGTGTTAACGCTATAGAGATCGGAGGTGTGGTAGGATGACGGTGCGCCCATTTTTTGATGAAGATCATGTTGTATTGAGCAGCGGTTCAGATTGTAATGAACGTGGGAGGCGGTGGATGCTGAAGGAACTCCTGCGTGTCTCTTCCTTGCTCATGGCTTATATTCGCCTATGGCGCCTCTGGGTTGACACCCAGTGAGAACCTGCAACTTTTACAGCGATTACCATCTGTTACCATCTGACTTTCAGATGGTGATCGCTGGTAAAGGCAATTTGTCCAAAGTAACAGATTTTTTCTCGGTTACCGTCCGTTACCATCTGTTACCGTCTGTTACTGTTCGGCGGCCCATCTATTTGGATCGGTCTCTGTCGAACTCGTCGAATGCTGTACATCATACGAATATAATGCGAATTTCTGGGTATTATACACTGCTATTACATGCTGCTCGAGCGACCCCGAAAACAATGCTACCGTTGACTGCGCTGCTTCGGCTACGACACGTCGACATTACACACACATCTCCGCAGGCTGGCCTTCACCTGGTCCATCCTCGTCCTCGTGAGTGGCCAATGTTGTATCATTTGGCAGCTGTGCACCCTGCGCGCACCCCCGTTTGGTCTTCTCAGCCGTCTTGCTCCTCTCGGCATACTCCTACAGATTCGTGATTAGAATCAGATGGAGCGTCGTCGAGAAATGTGATGGTACTTACCTTGGATTTGTTGGCAGGAAGGGCTCTGAAGATCGCCTCGAACTGGGGGCCGGTCAGCTTCGCATCGAGATGGTCCTTGAAGTAGTCGATTTTGAACAGACCACTGCTCATGAGTGTCAGAAGGTTGGTCAGACGAATGAAAATACTTGTCGACGTCCTTACCGTGCGGTCGTGCTATCCGCCTGCACGCGTACGAAGCGGTGTCGCTTCTTCGCACTGGTCTGTGGCTGCATGATCGTGAGTTGATGAATATAGACGAACGCACGGCGGCGTACCTTCAAGTCGCCGTCTTCCTTGCCTTGCAACACCTTCGGAGCGCTCACGGTGGGCTTCGCAGCCTATGGCAACATAACCGTGAGTTGACGAATGCAGATAACCGCGCGGCGGCGAACCTTGTCACCGTTTCCATTGTCTTGCGACCCCTTCGGAGCACTGGTGGTAGGCTTCTTCACAGCCTGTGTGTACATAATTGTGAGTTGACGAATGCAGACGAGCACATGACGTACAGGCTTGCCGCCGTTTTCCTTTCCTTGAGACACCTTTGGAGGGCTCGCGGCGAGCTTCGGATCGGTGGACGCGATTGCCTGCCTCTGAGATGTTGGGCTGTCCTGCGCACCCTGTCTGGCTGCGATTTGTGACTGAGGCTTAGTGGGGCGTCGAGGCAGATTGATGCTAATTTTGTAGATGATGGTCCGGCGAGCCAATAAGAAGCAAGAGGACGACACGGGTGGATACTACTCACAGGGGATTGAGCGGCATGACAATCTTCTTGGTCAATGCTTGAGCTGGTGAGGGCCGCACGATGAGGTCGCCGGAGGCTGTGGTAGCGCTGGCGTTTGGCACCGCTTTTGGTGGTGCGACTGGCGGCAAACCTGCGGGAATCGGAAATGAATCTGGCAAGGCAGGCGGCGATGAGTCTCTGGTAATCGGCAACATGGCGGCGAGAGGAGTAGTCTGCGATGAATCTAGGGTAAACGGTGGGCCGGCTGCAGAGCCTGAGACGGGCTGGCTCGGGTGAGCATCCGCCGTGTTCTCACTGTGCGAGACGGCACAGTCACGTTCATTCTGAGTGGTTTCCACAGCAGGGGGAAATTGCGCTGACAAGGCGTTCGGGAGCGCGGAGATGACTGAGTTGAGGGCATGTGGCATTGAGGAGGATTCGAGGCTGGTAGGTTGCTGATCTGCAAGAGGTTGGCAGATGTCGGTCGGGGTCAATGTGTTCACGCCGGCAGATGCGTTCGACTCCAGCGGCTCGTCTACTGTTTCCGTCCCAGTCAAGCTGCGAATGAACCAAGGCGTCGAGAGGTGAGACTCATGACAATGAACTTACATTGGACAGGCTCGGAGACGTCACTGGGAAGATCTTGAGGTGCAGGTTCGACATCGCCAGGGACCGAATGCTTGTTAATATCTGCTGGTTCAGGTTCGGCTGCAACCATAGCCGTGGTGTATCAGCTCAGGCAGATGTCCTGCGAAACAGGACCATCGGACTTACAGTCGGTATAATCTATCATAGGCGAAGGTGAACGGCCTTGGCCTGGGGGTGCCGTGTCATCCGAGTCAACCTTTTGCTTCTTCGCCGAGGGGAGGTCTGTGACTTCAGGTGTGTCTGATCGTTCGCGTTTGACCCCGAAATTGTTCTTGTACCACTGAGGATATATGTCTTTAGCTATCTGGTCGACTTTCCAGTGGAGTGCGCAAAATCGTAGCTCATCAAATTTGCTGTACATCGCCGCACGGTAGTAGTCCCCCTGTATGCGCGATCTCTTACTGAATGTCGATGGTACGGCCTCTGTCAATGCAGCCGCAGCCTTCCAGTCGTTGAACGTGCGCATAGCCTCCTCGCGTGTAGCAGCAGCCCGCCAACCATTGACTACGGTGCCGTTTTCTAGCTCCTGGTACTGCTGCTTGACGTTGACTCCTTGCGACAAGCGGGCCTTACCCCGCTTTCCTTCTATCCTATCCGGATCGGCCACATCTTTTGCGGCCTTGTTTGCTTTCGCCCAGGTAGAGCGGTGCCAGTGCTTGACCTCTGGATACTTTGATTCATCGAGTTGAGCAAGAAGGGAGCGCGAGAGCGTCATGGTAGCGTCCGGACGGAGTTGAATTTGATTGCTTCCACCAGCACCGTGGCCAGCGGCTTCACCAGACTCGAGCCGTCCTAGCGAGTCTCCTACCCTGTTGACAAGGGAGGCATAGTCCGCCCTTGGGGACACCTATCAGTATATGCTGGCACACGAAATGGGGTAAAATAACGTACTGACTCGCTTTCAGCTCACCAGCTTGCCGTAGGTATGCTTGATAGAGTTCAATGTGTGCTCGATTACCGTAAGAGACGAGGGAGTCATGCGAAGCTTGGCCAATGCTCTGTGATGCTGGAGAGGTCTGGAACGACGAGCTCTGCATATACTGAGACTTGCACAATTTTCCAGTAGATGAATATCACTCACATTTTGACGCGAGTGTGAATCAAGGAAGAGGAGGGATTGATTGTCGTGAGGAGATTCGATAGTGGTACTTGCGTTGGGCGACGAATGTCCAAAAAGGGGATCATGGTACTGCAAGCCGAATTGTACAGGCAGCGAGGTATGGGTGCGTTGACTGGGCATAGGAGGAGAGAACGGTGGGAACGAGAGACTAGTAGCAGGACCCAGGGTAGTAGGCCCGGGTCTCTGAGGCAGCTCCGTTGTTGACGAGATGCCTGGATCTGGTGAGTACTGTTCCATCCGAGTGCCAGTGGCTCGATTTTGCTCCATGTAGCAGAGGTCCGAGTCGTGAGCGAAGACAAGACAGAGGTCGGGGCGAAGACAAGAGAGAGAGGTCGGGGCGAAGACGGTGTGGATGAGTCGGTAGCGCCTAGAGTAGCGCACGTCATTGCCTGTTCTGGACATGGGCACTCGGGACGCACACTTGCGATGTGTCCCATTGCATCTCTTCGACCATGTCCATTCGTACTGCAGCTGGCTCATCGGAGCAAGCTGTCTCCTCATCGGGATCTCTCATGAATATTCTCAATCAAGCGACCGCTCAAACCATCAAAGCACACAATGTCATTGAAGTTTTGTACGATCCTCATGCAAGCGAGCCTCAGATAGCTCTTCTAGATGGCATTGATGTGACTGACAAGTCGTTGGTGAGTTTCCCCTTCACAAACTGCATAGCATCTGTTGAAATCCGTAATAGATACTCGTGCTGCGTCCCAAGAGCTCGAGTACACGGATGGATTGTATGACACCACCTAGCAGGAGGCCTCTCGCGCGCAGGGCGACCATGAGTGGTCTTCGGGGACGGATAGAAAAGTCGACTGTCCACCCTTCTGATAGTTCAGAGTACGTGGCAATTACCCCATTATATGTGTACTTCTAACAAATAATAGACGGCTGCGACAGCGGCTCCGACTGTCAAGTCAGTGTGGAAGTACTGCTGGAATCCATGCTCGCTCGCCTTCCATCATCCCTGAGACCCCGCAAAAAGCTGCATCAGTATCTGCTCCATCATCTGAACTCAGTATAACGAGGATGCATCGGCAAAGATCTGGGACACCTCCTAGTCCAGATCCGTTAGTACCGTCACGGCCCTCGGCCGTCCTTTTCCCGCATGCGCGCACACCGAGACCAAAATTGATGGTATGTCTATACAGGCTTTGATGTCTGTCATTAGTTAACTTGTATTCAAGACTCCTGTAGCCGGCAATGTCGGTGATATTGCCTCGCGCCGTGCAGTGGTACGTGATCATACGCCCGAGACACAGGATGTCATAGTGAGTACATGTTATCGTGTTCTTTCAATTGCTAATTCACACGACGACTCGGATAGGCACTCCTTGTGGGCGAATACGGATACAGTGTGCCAGACTTCGCTCGGAAATACACGTAATGCATTACAATCACCTGTACCTACTGTCCATCTTGTTCATCGTGTCTGTCTCCTCCTTCGTCCTCGTCATCCTCCCCTGTACCGTCTGTTGTGCCATCCATGTACATTACGTCGAGCCCCAGTTTCTCCACCAAGAATACACCAGTTGCCATGTTGGCTTGAGCTAGTGCAGCTGGGGGCATCGGACACATCGCGACGACCGACCGGATTGACTTGGCCTCGACAACAGTCCAGTCTCCGTCTTCTGCTGCTGTGCACGCCCAGACAGCTCCTGACGATCGCTCCAGAATGTGGCGGTTCGGATTGGAGTACTTCTTCACAAGAGCCAGTGCTCTCGGCTCATCGTCGTCTCGCAAGACCTGTACCCTGAAGAAATACTGCACTTCAGCGAGTATTGTTTGATCGCCTACGCATATCTGACAATTTGTTAGGATTGCTCTACACGAGAGGTAAGAGTTCCATACCTTGACATTGCGCGACTGTCGGACATCCTTGGGCGCCTTCAGTGTCTCCTTGTAAGCAGAACGCGCGATTTGCCCATTGGGTAGGCGAAGACGAGCCCACCGCCTATAATGGGGGTCCCAGTGATCCATGTTCTCGCCTCGAGCCGTTGCGACAAATGAGCGAATGACGGTGGTTTCAGCAGGGGTCAATACGTGGAAGCTTCGATCGCGCGCACGTAGGAGTGTATAACCGTCGCCGAGTTCTTCGGCACCTTGTGGTGGCCCTTTCTTTGACTTGTCGAGATCGAAATTTACGGGATCGAGGGCTTTCAATGCATTGATTTGACAGCGGCGGAGCCCACGAACCGCGAGATTGGCATACGGATTAGATGGCTGACGGATTTCTTCGACAAGATTGCCTATTGTCCGCTCCATAGTCCACTGGGTGTAGCAGATGAGCGGCCCTAATCGGATGATTTCTTCGCAGATATGTCGGAGAAGGTGAATGCTCTGACGACAGAAGTGAAGGCGGTGTTTGTCATACTGGTAGTAGAGTGCCTCAAACTCCTCGATGAACTCGCGGAAGAGCTGAGAAGCCAACGTGAGATCGTCCTCCGAGATGCTGCGCTGGTTGATGAGCCGCAGCCCTCTGACGAGCTTGCAGAAATGAACCCAGTACTCGTCCGGAAGTGTCCCGAGCAATAGAGCAGGCCCAAGACCGAAGACGTATGTCAAGAACTCCTGGGCTTTATATCCACTTGAAATTTTCTCTGCGGGGTTGCGTGGAGGCCGGTCAAACGAACCGGGGAGGAAAGGTCGCATATCCGCGACAAGAGAGCCATGTGTAGTCCATAGATCGCCCTGAAGTACTGCCCAGTCCCAAGTCTGCCGATCATCGTCCTTATCGCAGTCCAGGGTGCCACGCCAGAGTCCAAGCATGAGGTCAGTCAAGTTCAGTGCTGCGAGATGCATGAGGTCGATAGCGCAGCAGCGAGGTACGCCAAATGTGCGAGAGAGTCCCAGGAGGATGCTAGGCTTAGAGATACCAGTCGCCTTTCGGTTGCTCTTGTACTGCGCATCCGTATACGACTCATTGACTAGCTTCTGTAGGTTGCCTGAATAGTCCGCAGAATACGCCGGGGGTATGTCGTCAACGGAGATACTAGCGTGATCACTGCCCGAGACATCGTAATTGAGAGGCTTGTGCAAGGCAGGATAGTACGTCGGAGCACCCGCTTTGTGTCGGCAAGGAAGTCCACAGTAGACGCGGCAGCCAAGGGCGCCAGTATGCCCGACTAACCCGTTGATACCAGCCATGCCAGGTCCATCCGCAGCGACAATTGCAAGGAACGGCCGAGAGACGAAAAGCTCCCGAGTGACAGCATCCCAGACAGTAAGACCCTCCTTCATCAGAGCCGAGACATGATGCAGGCCGACGTAGACATAAGAGTCTATGTTCCGTGGCTTGTTTGGCCCCGGCAGCATCCCGCCAATAAGCACATGTTTCTTCAGGTAGCGAGCGTCGGGAGCCAGTTCCAAGACCACCCAGATGTAGATCCAGCAATCAGACATCTTCATTTCGTATAGCTGTGCGCCGTCGAGGGACAGTAGCAAGACCATGTCGTTTTCCGTGATGCGACCATCCTGAGCTGCCCGGAGATAGTCCTCTCCATGCAGGATGTCATCCCGGATGGGGATATGATTGCCGTTCGCCTCAAGCTCCTCGATGATCTTCTTCGTACGTTCACGTCGATAGCGCATCGCGCTCGCACTTTCCTTGGAGCGCCAGAGTGCCTGAAGCTGGGGACCCACTGGGAGCGTCGAGAACTGTCGGTTCGGGACCTTCTCTTTTCCACCACTCTTCCGGAGCTTCTCCTGGTCGTAACGCGGTGTGTTGCAGTATGGGCAAGAGTCGAGGTCGGCAAAGGGCCCAGTGTATGCAGTACAGCTGTTGAGACACATGTCGGTGAGCAGCGGTACAACCCCAGTGAGCTCTGCGATCTTCTTTTCCACCTCGTATAGCGAGAGCATCTTCGGGAACTTGAAGTCCGAGTTAGGATACTCCCGGTTGTTCTCCTCGCGAAGTCCATCGTACGCCTCCTGGGGCAGGTTATGATATCGCAGGAACATCCGCAAGCTGTATAGGACGCTGTTGTCACTGATGTCCACCTCTTCCTCCGGTGGATGGCGCAAGCGGTGGACGGTGTCCTCATCGAGAGAGCCATTGTCAAGTGTTGCGGATTTGAGGCCGTCTATGAAGTCGAGCGCGTGACGGAGGTCGTCTATGTGGGCATGGAGTGTACTCGTCTCGTCGCTGTCTTCTTCACCCTCGCCGTCTTGTTCACGTTCATCACTCGGGTTGGGCTGGCTGGAGGGCGCAGAGTCGCTCGCCCGGTTTGGCTCAGCATGATCGGCTGCATGCGGAGCCGCTGGCGCGACGCGCGCAGAGTCGCTCGGGTTCGACTGGCTGCCAGACGGCGCAGAGGTGCGCGCGTCGCTCGGGTTCGACTGGCTGGACGGCGCAGAGTCGCTTGCCTGGTTCGTTTGAACTTGCTCAGTAGCATGCGAAGCTGCCAGCGCCACATGCGCATTGCTCGGGTTGGGCTCGCTGGACGGCACAGACTCGTCGCTCGCCTGGTTTCTCTCAGCGTGATCGACCGCATGCGGAGCCGCTGGCGCAGCGCGCGCAGAGTCGCTCGGGTTCGACTGGCTGCGAGACGGCGCAGAGGTGCGCGCGTCGCTCGGGTTCGCCTGGCTGGACGGCGCAGAGTCGCTCGCCTGGTTTGTTTCAGCCTGATCAGCAGCATACGAAGCCGCCGTGCGCGCCGCCTCGCCCACATTGCTCGAGTTGGACTCGCTGGATGGAAAAGACTCAGAGTTGCCCATCTGATTTCGAGATTGAGTGAGAAGTACCACAGAAGTTTTGAACACGTACCGATGATCGCTTTTTACTTCCTGACACACCGCCCTCGGAGTCCGAGTCAGAGCCAGACTCACTGTGCGCTCGCTTGCGTGGTATACTCGCGCTAGTAGACCCTCCTGGTTGGCCTTGAACCTCCTCCGCAAAAAACCTCAGGAATGGCGAAGGGGATTGCGGGCGGTATGGTATATGTCGCGTCCATGTTCGCTTCGCCACAGGTTTCCCGCCTCCACAGCGGACGGTACAGGTACAGAAATGGTCTTTAGGTCCGTCGTCTTCACGAAGTTCGCGTTCTTCGCGTTCATCATCGCTAGTAGACGGCATAATTTCGGGTGTTGTGCGGACAAAGGACCTGGCAGACACCGGCGCCGAGTGGGAAGAGGAATGGCTGGTGTATGTGATCACCTAGCAGCTGACGAAAGTCAACAGAGGCCGCCTCAGCTTGCTACAGAGAATATTGTGCTTGTGAACGTACCAGCAATCGCGTGCAAGTCCCGGATAGACTAGAGCAAGCCAGGATGTGTGTAGGACAGACTATATGCGCATTTAGTCACGGGACCGCGAACGCGCAAGCGCTTAACACACGAGAGAGCTTCGACTCGCGCGACTCTCGACGAAGTCGGCCACAGCTTAACGTGTTAGGCACCTTGTATGGGCTTAAGGTGCTTTAAGCCGACAAACGATAGCATTTAAGACGGCCTTAACATAGATTCAAGTAAGTAACCGACACAGATCGTTCTGAACGGATTCTCTGACAGGTCGCTGACAGGAGTCAGACGCAAACGGCTCCAAATCGCTGGAGAAATTGCAGGTTCTCACTGGGGTTGACAAGCGAGCCGGCCAGTTACGCGACGTCAATCTAGAAGTTATTAGGCTGGGAGCGGGTCGGAGTTGAGATCAGGGCGTTAGAGCGCTGCAGCGTTAATGAGCAATGTGCCAAAATGTGGTAGAGACTGTGGAAAACTAGGGAGCGGAGGGTGGGGTTTTCGAGAGACGAGCGAGGTACTAGCAGCCAGCGTGTAGTGACCGCGAGACAAAAGCAGTTCGGGCGCTCACTATCCCGCGCTCATAGACAACACTCTGTCGAAGCGCTCGTTCCTCGCGCTTCGCCAGACTTACGATCTATGAGCTTAGTTCCTCGCTACTGTTGGGGATTGGTTCAGTCGCAAACAGTGCATTACAACCGTATTAACAGCAACGTAAGTTAACAATACAGTCCTTGGTTAAATGAATGAATGGCCGCGAAATACGAGCAGAGTGTGGGTGACAGCCCGCGCCCGAAGGGCGCGGCTCTCCGACGCAAGTCCGTGTGAGTCCGTCCTGCCAATGTCCGAGTCAGCCGCGATTCCCGGGAACTAGGAGTTGAGACGACGCGTCGTGGGACTCGGGACACCCAAATGCTAGGCGTCACAACGGAATGGAGCTTACCTCGAGGTCACCTGACCGGTGGCATGGTATATCGTATGAAATCACCATGGGTGCTCGACTCGCGCTGAAGATATGGTGCGAGGATCTGCGCGTGTTTCCGGAGGTAGAGCTGGAATGCATCGCTCTGCCAGCGCCCCATTGTCTTTACGACGTCAAAGGGGGTTCCTCGGAGTAGGTACTCGAGTGTCCCTCCTATTCGCATGCCATGCCCTTGGAGCGGGTCAACTGCGGCTCGATTCGCTGCATCTCCTATGGCTTTGATGAACTGTGCCTTCGTCAAAGGTCGCAGCCTCTTTCGCCCTCGTCTGTCAGCATGCTGGTAGGTGAAGAGTGCGTTGTCGGAGCCCGGGTTGTTGATGCGGAAGTGTGCGAGCAACGCTGCCTCCGGGTCGGTCACACCATCTTGGCGTGCGAAGCTGATGTTCTCTCCGCTCGGCGCCGACTTTGTCGTAGGCAGGCGGATTGTCCAGACAGCAAGTCCTTGCCTGTCGGTCTCTTGTCTTGCATGCCGTCGTGCCACGTGATGCTGTGCAGTGAAGTCTTTGATGGATGGTACGGTGATCTCTCCGAGACGCGCGAGGCTGTAAAACCCCACCGTCGCGCACGCCCAGACGGCTGCTCCTAGTGGTGAATCTACATCCAGCTTTGGTTGGATCGCAGCTAGGAAATCCGTGGTCCATGGTAGGCGTTGCTTTCGCCGCGTAGACGGCGGTGTGAGTCGTAATGCTGCGCGCATCAGTGTCTCTAGTTCGTCTTTGTTGCGCTGCCAGGGTACACCGTGGAGGATGTGCCATGCCCGCACGCCGTACACATAGTTACGGATGGTGTCTCCGTTGTAAGCTCCCGCCAGAGATGCGATGAAATACTGGAGGGTGATGTCTCGTACCGGTGCGCGCTCCTGCTCGGCAAGCTCTCGGCGATCGCACATGACGTGGAAAGCCATTAACCCGGAGCCATATACCTCGAGTGTTGAATCTGCCCACGCATGCTCGAAGGTGTCTCGTATGAGCATGATGTCATGTTCTGTAAGACCTACGGGGAGGCTGGATGATGTGTTCGCATGCAGTGAGACCTCCGGCAGCCAACGTCGTAGCCGGTCCTTCGCCCGGCAGTCTGGTCGGAGCGCGGATGGCATGAGCTCTGGTGGGCGGGCACGATGTGTTGTTGTCTGCAGCGGTGCTCTCGGTATTGATCGTACTCGTGGGCTTTCATTCGTCCCAGTTCGGGACTGCCTGGAAGAACCACGACTCATCGTAGTGTCTGTCCCCTGTAAAGTCTGCACCCGAGCTCGGGCTGCTTGGAGTGTCACTACCCTGTCTTCTGGAGTATGCGTCTGCGTGCTCAGTGCATCCGGGGCCCTCGATGATTGCGTCAGTAAGGAAAGGTTGGACTGGGTCGGGGATCGGTATGGGTGGTAGGAGAAAAGTGGTTTCCGGGTAGGCGCCCCGAGACGGAGCGTCGGCGGGGTTGCTGGCACTGGGGATGTAGCTGATGAAGAATTCGTGTCTTGATTCTTCCGCCACCTCGTGAATGCGGCGGAAAACCGCGTTAACCTGTCGGTTGCGGCTGCGTCCGTTTCTCCATCCGTCAACGACCACATTGTTGTCCCCGAAGACTCGTGATCTGTCTGGGAGATCAGGCGACGATGTGAGGCAACGTACAAGGAGCTCAAACCCAATGGCCTCTGCCCAGGCGATGTCTCGTCCATCCTTTTTCCATCCGTCACGCAGGACCCATGCTCGCCAGTATTGGCCAATGACGATGGCAATTCCTGTTCCTGAGCTAGCATCCGAGAACGCTTCCAAGCGCTGGACAGGCTGTGGCCCGGGGATGGGTCTGGAGATGTCTGATCGCGCGAGTGTGGCGTCCCACCAGGCGAGATCAGCTTCAGTCCCTCGAGGTGGGGTACGTGGCATGAAAGGATTGGAATGGAATATCCCGAGCATCCCCTCGAGATTTGTGAGATAGCTGCGTCCCACTGGAACAACCAGGGAGGCGTGTAGCAATTTACCGTAGAGCTTCTGTACGTCCTCGAGCGAGTGTGTTCGCGAGGTGCCCCACGAAGCAATTGCCGCCCGGTATTTGTCCGCCTTGGCTCGGGGGACAGCGACTGTCTTCCGTTCGAGGTCCCATAGGAACCCTGTGAAGAGGAATGAGGTCGCGAAGGGCGAGTCCTTCTCCTTCTGCCATGGGATGCCCAGTTCTGTCGAGATGTCATCGATGTCTTGCATGCAGGACGAGTATCGCGCGTCCTCTTTAGAGCGAAGGGAATGGTCAGATAGATCGAGGATCGGGAATACGAGGTCTTCAACAAACTCGTCTGTTCGTCCGTCTGGCAGTGTATCACCTCCATACCAGATGCGACCCCGTTCCCGGTGCTCCCCGCCGTGGAACTGGACCTGCTTCTGCCATCTCCATCGATCAGCGTTGTATGCAGCCAGAGACCCAACCAGGATGCGAAAGAATACGTGGTCATCGACCCACTTCGTGATTGGCCCGAGTCCACGGGATCGCATGATGTCCGCTCCTGCATCAGCCATGCCGCCATACGTGCCGCCATTGGGAGCAGCCCCGAATGCGGCGTTGGTGTCGGCGAGGTAATCGTCACCTTCTGAGACCCGAACAACTGTTCCGGGCCACTGCGAGGGATGCAATGGGATCGTGCGGTATGCCTCTGCCACGTCGCGGACTGCTGCTTGCGAGCCTGGGGGTAATCGGTAGCACAGGAGGCTGAAGGCGGTGAACGTACCCCATGTGCACGGGAAGTCGTCGGCGCACAGTGAATGATTAATGGAGGTGTATTCGTAAGATAAGGAGCGTGGAAACGAGAAGTCTTGGACGAGGCGAAAGGCTCCGGGCTTGTGTGGCTTCGGGATGATGGACAAGGGGGAAGTTTGGAAGGGACCGATGATCGCTTCGAGGGCTCGTCTGGTGAAAGGGCCCAGCATGCGCCCTTTCTGTCGCTCAGTGTCGATGGCCCGTCGGAACTCGACTGCGTGGTGCTCGACCGACTTGCTGTTTGGAGGTGTATGTGTATGTACAATACGTGGGATGCCAATGTCGAAGCCGAAGCGCAAAGAATGTACGAGAGAAGGATATTTACTACGAAGTCCGGACGATGATAGGGCCCGTTCCCATGCGTCTGTGATGTACGGCGTGAGCGGCTCAAAACGTCTCTGCCAAAGGGCATGTGCTGGCTCCATGGTCGTAGAGTCCACAACCCGAACACTTGTGGACGTGTCGGGCGCTGGTGGTGGAGCAGCCAGAAGGGCGTTGCCAGTCGAGGCAGATCGTGGTTCCGTCGGTACTGACGATCTGTCCGGAGGAGTTCCTTCGGCATATCGCTTTCTTGCCTGACCATAGCGTGACGGAACGGCACTTGCCCACCTCGGTCCTGGGGTGGCGACCGAGGCAGACGGCGCAAGTCTCGCCGCCCGAGCGACCTGCGCCGTGGGGAAAAACCCCGGGCTTTGTGCGCTCGGACGCTTTCTCGCTGTCCTTGTACCCTCTCGCCGACGAATCCCTTGTCTGCCCGTAGCTTGTCGGGCCCGACTTCTTCTGGGATCGCTGGTTCTGCCCGTCGCCCTTGCTCCGCCGCTCCACCGGGGACTGCGATCGACGCGCTCGTGCTGCAGACGCCTGCGAGCGCGTGTCTCGGCCTCGCATGTTGTCTCGCATCTGCTCGTTGAGCCTCTCGAGCTATATGGGCGGAGGGATGGGCGCCGAATGGCAGTACAGGGGAGGGGGTAGGGATGACCACGCCGGTCAGGTTGCAGTCAGACCACGCCGGTCGACAGATTCGGAGACCACGCCGGTCCCGAGACAAAACGCGACCACGCCGGTCCGTAATTTGCACATACCGCGACCACGCCGGCCCGTATTGCATAGACGCATGCGACCACGCCGGTGCGCAAGGTCATCGACCACGCCGGTCGTAATTTCGTGACCACGCCGGTCAGAGGATTGTGCAACCACGCCGGTTTACGAGAATGATGTGTACGCCGCGTGGGAGTTGCCGTTTCAGGCCACGCGCGCGTGTAGTTGCATGTGAGATGCAGTAGGGGAAGGAGGAGGGGAGATGGAGATGGAGAATAACATTTGTTAGCGACTGCTGTCGACCGCGGCATGACGGATACGCACCGACTCGACTGCCTCCCTGTGCCTCTTACTTTCGACCGTCCTCCTGCACGAGTTGTAGAGATTGTGGTTGAACTTGGAGATGTTGAAGAGCGTGTCGTCCATGTCTTTCGCAAGGACTTTCCTGTGCCACTCGTGACGGACCGAGTCGACGTAGAGCATGAGCGCGGCCTGTCCAACTGCCTCCTGGTTGTCCACGTGGCCCACAATGGCTACGAGGAAATCTTGGTACTGGTCGATGTGCTCCCGCGGCCAGAGCGGGAGGGTCTCGAGCTCTGCCAGGAAACCCTGCCAGGTGAGTAAGAACTCCGCGAACGGTAGGTCTGCGTCTGCGCGGACTTTCTGCGCTCTGCCTGCGGCTGCGGGGACGAAGTTGTAAAGGTTCGAGCCCTCGCCTCTCATCATCAGCATCGCGTCGTCCGCGACCGTCTTCGAGTATGTCGACGCCTCTGACTTCGCTTTGGCCGTGAAGTAGTCTAACTCCACGTACCCTAGCTTGGCCAACTTGTCTCTTGCGTACTCCGAGATGCGGTCTCGTATCGTGTCTGGCGGCGGCTGGCTCGAGATTATCCGCGCGAGCTTGGGTTTCTTCTTGTCCATGGCGCGCCGCTCCTCTTCTCGGACCTGTTGCTCTGCAGCTAGATTCCGAGCAGCCTCTTCTTGCATGCGCTGGTGCTGTGCCTCGGCGGCGGCTATGTCGGCTTGTACCTGGGTTTGCCAGGCTTCCAACCTTTGGTTGTACTCGGCTTGCCAACCGTCTTTCAAAGCCTGGGTCGCGTCTTCCACTGTCATCCCTCGCTCGACGAGCATCTGCCTGAATGGGGCGTAAGCGGGGCCTGCGTAGTTCGGGCATACCTCGCCTGAAGGATCTGCGACTCGTGGTCGGTTTTCGTCTCCTTGATTATCCATGTGTGGGTACTAGGGTAGTCGCTTAGTGATAGATAGTATAGCTAGGCTGAGATCTAGGTTTTTCGAGAGACGAGCGAGGTACTAGCAGCCAGCGTGTAGTGACCGCGAGACAAAAGCAGTTCGGGCGCTCACTATCCCGCGCTCATAGACAACACTCTGTCGAAGCGCTCGTTCCTCGCGCTTCGCCAGACTTACGACCTCACCACACCTCGCACCACCATGTTTTTGCGTTGCATCGATTGTCCCTGCAGCAGCCGTCATGAGAGGCATGTCTTGCGACTCAGTAAACACGATCCGTGGACGCCTTGCAGGAGTACCGGCCAGTGCCGCAGACAATTGAACGTGTATCTGCCCCTACACCCAGGTCTACGACGTCTGTCGGACTCGTCCATTGTAGCTGACTGCAAGCAGTCGTGTAGGGAGGCATTATGCATTGTTACTACTCTCGATGTAAAACACATTAATACGGTGTCCGAGGAACGTGACCGCGTCGCTACTGCTCGGTACAGGTGCTCTAGTGCAGACGACCGTGAAGCCGCAAAACATGATGGTGCGGCAGAAGTGGATGAACCGACGTCAACTGTGGCGTGGCGCTTATTTGTCATCGTATGTCGCGCGCGTTCGTCTGCGCCTAATGTTCTGCAACTACTTAGCTGTCATACAAAGTGAGTAGGAAAGGACAAAATGAACGAGGAACGGAACTCGACGGCCCACATGAAAGATACGGATGTTCTCGGAAAACAAGGGTATATGATAATGTTGCATGCTCCACACTCGATCAAATAATTATGCCTTTCTATCTCGTAGTACCAATGGCATAGTCGCATAGCATCCAGCAAAAAGGAGAAGACCGAGTTGGCCATTTGCCTAGGAAACATGGACATATCAACTCTCGGGCTCTGAGCGCCAACATGATACGCTACTTACCTTGAAGATTCTGTGACAATCGGAGCTATCGTCCAGGTCGACGACAATAAGTTGCCAAGCCAGGTGGAATGCGGTACCTGCCACAGTGATGAAGAAGAGCGGCTTGATGATTGATGCCGCAGCCAATGCGAGGCATATAACGAAGCAAGCGGAGAAGCAAGCGAGGATGAGGCGGGTCCAATCTCCGAACAGGACTGCGGTAGACCGAACACCGGCTTTGATGTCGTCGCGACGATCTTGACAAGCGTAGATAGTGTCATAGTGGATGGTCCAGCTGTTCAACGGTGTAGCAGAGATCTCATATGGACAAATTATTTGCCTTACCAGACACCGCCTCCGAGTAGAACAGGTACGATATACCAGTTCATCTCGCCGAAATTTGACACCCATGAAACAGGTAAGCCCCACGTCATGGCGAATCCTACAAGCGCCATGTTAGTTCTTGCACAGATGAGCCTGCAATGTGCATACCGAGCCAGAGCTGAGGCCAATCAGTCCATCGCTTCATGAGAGGGTACAGGGGATCCAGAAAACAGAGGCAGAACAGCCCCCACTTGAAACTGTCAAGAGGGTTAGAGTGTTTCGGAACGGTGCGTGCATACTCACGCTGCGTCTCCGGCATACGAGAGAATGACGAGACACGCGATGAAATGGGCGGCGAGTAAAATGGCCGCACCGCCAAGCGATGCTTCTCCCGCGGCCAATGGGCGACCTTTCGTCCTACCTGCGAAGACATAAATGTACGGATGAGATTTGACAACCACGGACGATCAACTTGAAGACGTGGCACACACCAACTTTCCGGTCAATCTCAATGTCGCACATGTCGTTCCAGATACAGGCGGCACTATGTCGAAGTGTCGCACCAACAAAGTACGCAGCGAGCTGAATCGCAAGTGACCGGGGAGACAGCCGCAGAGCGTAAGCACTCATGATTAAACCCCAGGCTATGAAATAGAATCAGCATGCTCGTCCCTCCTTTGATAACGGGTTACTCACTGCAGGGCCAGAAGACGACATCTAACCCTGTGGGAAGTTGTGCTTGCGCGTTAATCTGTAATATGCTACCCATGTTGCACGCTTTGAGTTGGGCCGGCCAGCACCGTTAAGGGACATAACTTGAGAGGCCATATCTTCTATTCGCCAATTTGCAGGATCTTCAGGGCTGTGAAAGGCATCAGTGCTCATGTCTGGCAGCGAGCGCACTGTTGGTCATGACTCACATGTTACTTACAGGACTCAGAATCGGATTCGATGTTTATACCACAGACGAACCACACAAAAGATCTAGCACAATCAACGATCAACAGCGCTGCACATTCGACTGATGAACGAATTCGTACCCTTACCATACCAACTAGCAACGTGACGGTGTGCTTGAGTATATAGACATATAGACACCCGAGAGGCATCGCTTCTCTCAGAAGTCGCGCATTGCGAGCCTAGATAGCTTTGAACATGACATCGAGCATTATGGTACATCCGTGCACTCATTGCCGTAGCTTCCGCCCCTGGCGTACTGTTCATTTGGCCAAAGGTTACGCTAGCCTTGCATGATGACCATAGATGACCGGTCATCGTAGGTGCTGCACGCCGGGAACACGGCTCTGACTGATCGCTTCGAGCGCGGACGCCCAGAGGGGTGTGAAGGTTTGTTCGGAGTCACTAAGGATAGATGTTCAGCGCTGAGCTATCTGGTTTATGTCCACACGCACAGTTGTCGTTAACGCAGGGTTGGTGTGTGCAACTTCTTAGTCTCGAGATCGCATGTGAGGCCGACCAGGGTGGTACTCTCCGTAACCATCATCAGCAAAAGTGCATTCTGCTGATATGTGCAGACAGAGAAAGATCGACTCACCGCTGTATGATTTCGCAAGATAACTGCAGATAGCCACGCTTCATAGTGACGAACAGTTATCTTTCGATATCGTGCTGACGGTTGTTTGTCGTACATCCCTAAGACCGACTTGTAAAGATAATCGCAGATGGGTTAGCCGCTGAGAGCCGAACACCAGATATTTGCTTACCAGTAGTACCCGTGCTCCAATTAACTCCGTTGAAAGTTTCTGCGTGTAGAAATATACCATGGCGATCAAACAAAAGTGGATGCACGGTAGTAGAACCGGCAGAGGAACGAGGATAATTAACATCGCGTACGAGCTCGCACCAGACCAGCGTGAGAACTTCCGAGCGTATGAGCGCCGGACCGCCTGTCAAGCCGCGCATCCTCAGAAAGCGTCCCGTCGGGCTCGTTCCGTCTAGAATAAAGTACTGGGACCTAGTTAGTTGGAATGCCAGAATATAAAAACGGATTTAGGTGATTTTTGATTGTACCCCGGGGCCAAAGTGTCCGCAGGACACATGGGCCATTGTCACTGTCAGGCCTGGCTGTCGGAGGCGCCAAGTGTTCTGCGCATGTCGTCCGGACGAGCGTCCACCGCCTTGCGATTGACTGTATAAATCCATAGTAGTTAGGAGGGGTTATAGGTACTATGAAGCAGTGACTCACCGGACATTTCCCAAGCTGCCACCCTCGCAGATCACTGTGGCTACGGATGTGAGTGCGTTCAACACGAAGGACGAACCACGGGATCATGCCGTTCTAAATCCTAGCGGCGGAGATTCGAAATGGGTGGAAGTAATATCAGCAAGATAATTAGCACCAAAGCCTTAGAGGGACTGTCAGCGGCGGTGAACCATAAGCAGTCCGTGACTACGAGTCTTATGAACAGCCTGGCTGCGACGACTCGGAGTCAGATCGAGTCGGATCATGGCGGCGGAGGCTCTGCAATGCCCGGCAAGGTAAAGTCCAGCTTTCATCCGTCCAATGACTTGGACAAGTACTGCAGTTCTAATGCCTACAATATGCTGAAGGATTATCACCGTGAATCAGTACTACTACAGAGACACGACAACGGCTCAGACGCACCTAAGGTGATGCATAACCATCTTGATCAAAGTCGTCCTCCCATCCTTCCTCCTCATCCTCAGCATCAAGGTCTTCTTGAACGTCCTCGTCATCTTCCTTGCCACTGTCTGCGTCACTATCGCCTTCATTTCCAACCATGTCAGCATCTACTACCTCAAGCCTTTCGTCCCCGTCGCTAGCTTCATGATCGCCATCGTCACTAGACTCGGAGCTCCAATGATACCCAAAGTCTTCTTCGTCACTAGGGATCACCTGTCTGCTTGTCGGCTCTCTGGATCTGCCCGGGCCATGTCTTCCGCATGGGGTGCCATATCATGACCCATTGCCTTCTCCCAGAGGTCGTCCAGCAAGACGGTGTTCATTTCACCTTTTGGGTACCGAATGCTGATCGTCTGCTTGCACAGGGAGCGAAACTTCAAGATAGCCGCCAAGAGGGATCGCGCTGTGACCCGGCTAGACGGTAGGCCTTTGTGCCCGATTGCACCGCCAATGTAGCGCATCAGCATGTCACGATCAGCGAACCTGTAGAAGCTATAAGGTGAGTACTGTTCAAAGGAGCCCGGTACTATTGACCACAAGACGTACATGCCAACATAATAATAGACATAGTCCATGTCGCGCTCTTCTGGTTGGCGTGCTATGGATGGTGGAAGATACTCAGCCGTAAAATTGTATGCAAAGCACGGTAGGATATGGCATGCTCGGAGAACTTGCTTGGGGTCGAGGAAACCAAAGGCGTTCGGGGCGTCATGATTGATGAATCCGATGCGGTGAAGACGGCAGGTCTCGAAGCCACCGGGCGCTGTGGTATCGCGACCGAACCATCGAATCCAGAGCACGTCCATGCGTTGAGCAGACTTCGATTTCGACAGGAAGCCGCGATGCTTGACGTTAAGGTGGAAAATCCCAATAACTCGAGCATACCAGTATGGATGTCCATTTGCATTGTCGTCTTCGTCATCTTCATGTGGTGCCAGAAGCATGATGTCCGATCGGATACGAGGGTTGATCGTGTCCTGAGCTCGTCGCATGTCGTACGTGGTATAATTGATACGAAGGGCCTTGTGAAGGAAAATGCGGTCATGGACGAAGCTTACTGTGTCATGTTCATCTGGTCCAAAGCTATCTTCGTCGCCGTCATATTCACGGTTTGTCAGTCGTGAGAGAAGGTGGTCCTTGAGCATTGGTACGAAATTCTGTCCGAGGACATGGTCAGTATGGCAATCAGTGCTCGTGTACTTGAATCACTGACCGTAAACACAGGGTCATTATTACGCATGCCAGTGTTGACCCACTTGGAGATATTCTTGTAGTGCCGTTCGGAGCTTGACATATGATAACGTTCGTGTGGAGACGTCTGGAAAGGAGTGGGTCTTCCTGTGATACAGTAAGCGCAGCGCCATGCCTTGCGGCAGGCTGCGTCCCGGACCCGGAAGCCACGGTGTGTGTCAGTGTCCCGTTATGAGGGCGTTCTACGTGCACTTGTTTGCGCGGCTCAAGTTGGGCTTCGTGAGCGTGTTCGCGGGACTCAAGCTGGGCTTTGCGAGCTTCTTGTGCGACTTGTTCTGCATGCCACTCGCGATCTCTCTGGAGGATCTTCCTGAGATGATGTTCACGGCGTTGCCGTCGAGCTATTTGCCGGGCAGCGTTGTTCTTGTTTGTGCGAATATAGAACCGCTTCACCCGACGATGTTCCATTTCACCCTATCATATGGCAGATTATCATCTGCTGCATATATCACATCGGTGACACGTCGAGATCTTACCGTTTGTGTATTGACACCATCGAGTGGCCCAAACCAAGGGATGGCAGAAGCGTAGTGGCCTAACGAGTGCCACTTGAACGTTAGCAAGTTGAGCAATTTACGCTTGGCGCCGGTTTGTGGTGCTGGAGCTGGTGCGCCTCCGACAGAAGACTTCTGTGCACGCTTCTGTGTACCTTTCGACTTGGCTTTGACCCCTCTTTTTGCCATCATCGCTGCCTTACGGCGACCACGTGCGGCTTCCTCCCTAGGGAGCTCTCGAGTGTCGTATGCTTCACATGTCTTACTCAGAAACTTGCGCGTGATCTTCCCGAGTGCACGCGTTGCGGCATGCAACAGTGCCACTGTTTCGTCTGTATGTAGGCGAAGCTTCGCAAGTCCATGCCAGTATGCGAGTTGGAATAGCAGTGTCGCCACAAGCTCGTCATGCGGGGGAGGGAGGAGTCCATCGAATACGGGGATGATGCACTGGTATGCAAAGCTATTGAGCACATAGTATCCGAAATGACAATGTGTAGCTTACCTGAAGGATGTCCTCAAAATCACGCCCAGCCATCTGCTTCAGTCCGGATACGTTTCGTGAGAATCGACGGATCGTGCTACGACCAAAGGTGGGAACACGGCGAAAACTGCAATGACCACATATATTAGCACTGTGGCAATGATGTCAGAATATTGACGCACCGTTCATTTAGGATTTGAATGCGATCCTTCCCTTCGGCATATAAAATCCTTAACAGATGCACGAATATGGCCTTCCACACGCCAAGTTCGAACTCGTGGAGAATATCAGGAACAAAGAGGGAATAATGGTTGAATCCAGTGTCGGCCAGGCGCGTAGAGAAGGCACTCTGATCTATTGATTAGCCTGGCTTGCTAAATCAAGAACACACATTCAACGTACTCTTGTTGGGAGAATGGAGATCGGATCCATTACTTGACCAATTGCCTTGCTCGTCAAAGCATACCCTTGTTTGAATATCCACCGGCGCACTCGATCAATAATGGACCACAACTTTTTACAGTCGATGCGAATGTTCATGCGTAGCTGGAGATCTGCAGATGAGCCCATGTCGAGGATATCTGATTTGTTGATAAGACATCGCGGACATGGGCATTTTCCGAGGAAACGGAGGCATGCAAGTAACACTCTGCAGTAGGCGTCGTCGGTCAGTAATGTGAAATGGCGCAGCAACAGACGAACATACTTCTCTGGATAATCAGCGGAGTATGTAAAGAACCTTGGAAAGAAGCGACGCAGAACACCATCGCTACAGTGTATAAGCATGCCATTCCGATATGCATCCATGAAGCTGTCGTCCATGAAGAGACACCAGATCGCGTGCATGAGTTCCTTCTTGCAGAAACGGAGGACGTCTGCGGTCGCTGTGGTGCCATACGTCTTCTGATACCAGTCTTGTATGGAATCCGGAAGCTAATCTTCGTCAGCCCACGCACCGTTACATTCATATTTGCTAAGCACTCACTGATGGTAGGTATGCGAGATGGTGAGCTGCAAACGATGTTGGTCGTCCACGGATGTACTTCGATAACCATCCGAAGTACACATATACTGGCCAAAGGTGCGCTCCACCGAAGTTCGCGAGATGTGTCGAGTCCGACCAGACCATGAGTGGTGCCACTGCGTACTCAACTTCCGGGGCATCTCCAGGCTGGCGCGGCATCGTACGGATCCTAGCATCTTCTTCAAGCATTGCGTCGGTGTCGGTGAGATCAGAGAAGAGACGGATGTTTTCGTACTTGTTGTCCGAGTCTGGCGTGGAATCCGACGATGACTCGGTGTCACTGTCTCCTGAATCGGACTGAGACATCTCAACCTTCCGACGTCTCCAATACCGCCGGAATGGCAGCCAGTTGACACGCCGGGCGTCGGTGTTCTCTGTCGCCGAGCGAATGACCTCAGCCAGTTTCCGGAAGTACACGTTGGGTACATGAAAGGCAGGGGTCTCGGCTTCCGATGCGTGTTTCAAGCCCTCCTTAGGGACATGAATCTTGACGGACCCTTCATGCCATCCATCTTCACTTGAGAAGATGTTGCCCGGCTTGTCGAGACTGTCTAGGCGTTCGAATTCCCTTGCGACACGGAACTGACGCAGCTCCTCGCGATCGAAGTCGTGGGCAAGGAAGACCTCGTCTACGAGCCGCTGGACTTCCTTGTCTGACTTCACAACTGACCCGGTGTTCGCCCAGGCCATGAGGCGAAAGATGGTGGCATTGAGGAAGGGGTAGAACCAATCTTTGGCCTTCTCTGCACCACTTTGGACCTTCTGCACGATGCTTGGGCCAAAGCCTTGCAAGACGGAAGCACCGTCACGACTGCGGTCCAAGGGACGGAGCGTAGGGGCATCACTGAGCTCATCGAGAGTGGCTGACTCCTGGGGCTCTGTAGAAGGGCGAGTACTGTAGCAACGGAATGAACCGAAGTCATCCGGTTCAGTTTGGAAGTACGAGACTGGGCGGATAGGGGGTTCAGACTCTCCGATGGCGATGTCATGGTTCAATGTCGGGTCAGTCGCATTATTGGGAGCTTCAGCAGATGTGGAATCATCGTCGTCAAGGACAAGGTGGGTTGGTATGTGCGCCGGAAGGCCAACACTTGTGGAAGGAAGGTAGTCATCGAGGCGTCGCGGCGCTCTGTGTTTGCGCCCAGCACGGCTGCGAGACTCTGGAGGGATAACAGATGCATTGGGTGCCGTAGAGAGAGTAGTATTACTCGTTCTGGATCCAGATGAATTGCCCAGCTCGGTACTCTGAATGACGGGCAGCTAGCATCCAAGTTATCAGTTCATGGCAAAGTTGAGCAAGGTCTGTTCTGCGCACCTCATCCCGTGGCATTTCCCTATCACTATGCACCAACACCTCCTCATCAACTCTAGCCTTTTTCCTTGCCTTGACCGTAACATCGGGAGCTCGGACGCGCTTCTGCAGGGAAGTTGTTGTGAAGATCGTGTTCTTCTCGCATGATCTTTCGTGCTTTTTGAGGGCACGCGAGTCGTCGAAAGTCGCTTTGCAGCCAAGGCATTTGTTCAGCAAAGACGCCATGAGGGAGAGACAAAGCAGCAGGATGAGAAACACACGATGCCGTCGCATCGCGGAGCACACAAGATGGAGAGTCTCAGCGACTTTGCGACTTGAAGATGCAAGGCTCAGCCACTGACGCGAGACACGGCGGTCACGTGTTCCAGACACTCGCGTTCTCCGACGCGTCACTTGCTCCTCGTCACTTATTGCAACTTGACTTCGTACTACGATGTCACCACGCTCCTCTGCTACCAAACCCGCCTCTGGCGCAGTCGTCTCTCAGTCCAAACACAAGGAGAAAACCACTCACCAATCTCACGGTGACGAGTTGGGTAAGAAACGCAAGAAGAAGGCACCACCCCCTGTCGAATCAAGTGCAGAAGAGGACGAAGAAGAGGAAGAGGAAGAGGAAGAGGAAGAGGAAGTTGAGCCACCACCACCGCCACCGAAGAAGAGGAAGAGACTACGACGCCGAGATGGTTTGCAACTCGTAGCACCGCATATAGTAGGCCGCTGACGACTTGGGTGTTGCAGATGCCGAGCAAGAGCCGGAGGGAGACGTACAACCACTGCCGCCGCCACCACCAGAAGTTGAAGAAGTACAAGACAATGAAGCCGAGGCTGAAGATCTGGACGCCGACGCGATGGATGCCGAGGAGTTTAGGCAATTCGTGCTCGAGGTTGGCTTGAGCATGGGAACCGCGCGCACGCCTCTCATGTCAGCATTTTCTCTCTCTCTCTCTTCCCATCTCATCTGCTCCTCAGTAAGCCCTTCTGGGATGCTGCGCGCTTTATTCCACGTGGGATGGGGCCTCTGGAGAACGCAAAGCACACAATCCGCCTCGGTATGCATCTCCGAAACAACCCTACACTCAATCTCGACGACGACGGACCACCAATCAAGGACGAAATGCTCGAAGGATTGTGCGTATATGCGCATATATGCAACAGAGTGCATATATGCGACACAGAGCGCATATATGCTCTCCGTGTTGCCTCTACGAGGTTTACTACTTACCCATTAGTACAGCGAGAAGGAGGACCTACGATACACGTTACACATGTTCAATAAGCTGCTTCACTACTGTCCCGTGCTCAAGAAAGTCCTGCCGAACATCAAGAATAAAGCTGACTTTGACACTATCGCGCACTTTGTAACTCCCTTGTGTTGTGCTGAAGATCTCGCACTACTAACATTGGTTCATCTGTTATAGATAGACAAGGCTCAGCGACAGGCTCGCACAGACGACATCTCACGCCTCAAAGACAGGGTCTTGAAGTACGTATACGAGGCCGACGGACTTACCATTCCCGACAGTGCCCTCGCGAAGCCTCAGCGTGGGTGGCACTGTCATGCCGCAGCACGAATGCTGTGTCCGCGGAATCAACGCGATGAGTTCGACGAAGATCGCGAAAAGTAAGTTTGAGTGGCACACAAAATTAAGGCTCATAATTCGTCTACAGGTTTTGCCAGTCCGTTCGGGCCATAAATGGGCGACACATCGACCATGAAGACTGGCCATCACTCTTGTATTGTGAAACCGAGTACAATCCAGAAGCCCTTGATTGGGGTCTGCTCAAGTCGCCATTCCTATTGAAGGTTAGTCGTCTTACCTCATCTTTAAATGATGCTTACTGATTGCATTCAAGTGCTGGAAGACCACGTTCCTAGGGCCGAGTAGTGTGACGACAACAGTGCCAGGACAAGTGAAGAAGGGCGGTCGGCAGACAGTCGCGAAGATGTATGGAGTCACGAAGGTCGATGAATACAGCATCCTGTATGTTGCTCTCATTGTAAGTCCGAGCTTTCACACGCCGGGTAGTGCCTGTCTCTGATTCCTGCAGGCGCGTTTTCTATTGTCTTCGGTCCTCGAGTGGCACGCCGATGACGGTCCTTTCTCCGGGATGGGATTCTTCAAAAATGCACTATCACTCTTTGAAGACGACGAGTGGCGCAATGATACGCTCGCATGGTGGAACGCGTCAGTCGATTGCCAGTTCACTCTGGCAGACTACTAGTGGCTCACGACGTATGATAGCCAAGTATTTGGCACCAAGATGCCTGGCGGCGGCACTACCAATACCATCGTTCGCACGGGGCCTTCGTCTGTGGCTCAGCTCAAGCAACAGCGGGCTGCGCGTCGTCTTCAAGCACGCCAGCGTCGTGGCTCTGCGGCTGGCGAGAACTAAACTACGCAACCGTTAAGTAGCTCGTGCGATCTTCTGGACTACATCGCTGACGCCTTCACATTAGTCAGCCGACTTGGCCCTCAACGTTCAACTCCAGCGCGGTCTTAAAGTGAGTCCTTCCGTAAAAATAACTCGGACCTGTCTAACTGACAATGTAGTGCAGTACACATCCATTTCCCTTTGATTCCTCGTGCCAGTTTTTTCCTTTCGATCTCGCTCGTCTGCTCTCGCTCCTCCGCTCTCACTCGGGTTGCCAGCTCGCCGTCACGGTCATTGAAGGCCAAGTGCCAGTCACGTTTTCTACGACTAAACCCATCATGCAGATTTCCCCTTCCCTTTCGTTCCTACTGTTGCTTGGACGGTCGTTCACGAGCTCGTCTCGGGTCCTTTTGTGACTATTATTCCGATGTATTTGTAAGGCTGATGATCAAATAGTGATGATTGTTCATGGTGCTCGAGCGGTCGAATGCCGTATCTTTGAACAAATGAACTAGGCAGACAGTCGACAGATCGGCGAAGCATTGCTACGATCTCCGTGTTGTAGGGCAAGCAACAAGCAATGATAATAGCTAAGTCATGCTGATGCTGACGAATTGCTGACCTTTGCTGACCATTGTCATACATCCCCATATCATTTCTCTGTAGCTGCAGGTGTGGGGTCGAATTCATGCTATATTGCAGTCGGAAGGCAGGACATCAAAAGACAATCGACTACAATAGAAAACAAGTCCGAGAATATTGGCTTGTCAGAGAGGTAGGTGTCGAATGGTGTGATATAGATGATAATCACTGACTATCGCAGATCATTGTTCTGCGCTTTTGGCGATGATGCGTCACGACCGAATGTTGACTAGCGCATATCTGTTAGTAGCGATTTCGGTAGCGAGCGAAGTGCTTCGACGACGCAAACATACCGCGAAGTGAATTTCGACTACATCTGCAATCATTCGATGGTCTGAGGCTGCGGCTTCTGCGCCAGATCGATTTGTGTTCCTTCCCTAGATCATGTTTCACGCCGGGCAGAAAGCCTCTCGCTCTACTGACCCGACGCACGATGGGATCATCAACAAGACCTCGAATTCGGGAGAAAGCTGACCGAGATCGAAAACTGGTCAGCGGCCGCAGGCCATGCGATACGTGATGTATTCGAAGACGTTTCGACTAGGTCCCCGCGCGGACCTTACTTCACGGTGGCATTGAGCACACCCATTCTCCGCAACGGGCGATGCATGCCCCACTCAAACTTGCGTTCCTGTCGCGGACAAACTGTATAACAGCGCTCTCGGGTCTTTTTCAATTCGGAGGCCGATGTCATACTCGAACCTGCTCTCAGTGATCAGTAAAAGCAAAACGCACAGAAACGAGCTTACCAAACGAGCTTGATCCACCGTTGTCCAGTGTCGAAGACCAGGCTCTGAGCTTTGATGTTGTGTGCGAGGCGTGGCGCGATGGTACGGATTCTTGACAGTGTTTGTGTATTCTTGCTATGGAATATCCTTGCTATGAAAGACAGTGGTAGAGCGCGCGCTGTTTGATTAATCCATCTTACACAGTCGCGGAACAAGTGGTGATTCCCTCAGGAATCTACAAACAGTGACAGGTAGTAGTCCCTCATATCACGACCCCAATGATGAGGCCCGACGGCGGTACCGTGGGCAGCTATAGCGGCTAGCTACCTGTGAAGTTGTAAGCGCAGTTGTCGCACCAGAATTTTCAGCGCAGCTTGAAGAGAGCTACGAGTAGGTAAACTTCACCTTCGAAGTTCGCGCATACATGATCCTTCTGGTCAAGAAATTTAAGGCCACGAATTTTCATCCGTTCTACTTATAATTACATTGTGACGTCGCGGTGACCTGACGGTGACTGGAACATCGTCGTCTCGGGCATGGGAGGAGGCAATGCGTGGCGTTGCGTGGGCGCGAGCTTCCTCAAGTAAGCGCCGAAGTGCGCGTGAGCGCTTGATCATGACGTTCACGACTCGTTCCAAAACAGGACTGTACACATAAACATCTTGACCGTTCCAGTCAGAGACCCGTCTGCGAAGCTTTAAACGTTGACGACTAATCAGCCGGCATGGTGCTTAGATATGCTATCGGTGAGAGACAGTTATATCTACCGTCACAGGGTCACGACTCACCAAGTACTATGTTGCTTGCAGAGCACATGGAGGAGGACGAGGAGACATCCAAAGCCATACCAAAGTGGGTAGAATTGGAATACATGGTTCTCACAATCATCTACAGTCCGTCAGACACGCGGCTTACATCCCTTCAGCATATGCGATCACTGGCAGGGCCCGACGCGCATGTGCATTTTACGCACTTGTCCCGATCTTCTTGTCAAACACTCACTGCCCTGTTTTCTGTGCATGCCGGCGATGAACGGGAAGCGGCTGGGGCCACTGCGCACTCAGAACCTATTCTGGACCTGATGCGACGCCTTTCCATACCAACGGAAAGAGTGTGCCTACTGGACCCGAAAGCAGAGAAAGAAATCTCTCCCGAAGACGGAGACGGTCGGTTCGAGTGCTTTCTTTTCGGCGTACGTACGATTGACCGACAACCTGTCTGTGCCTCTGGGTATTGTGAACCGCGCTCATGTGCTGTATACAGGGGATACTCGGTAAGCACGCAGAAGGCAGCGGTGGAACAGCAATTCAATGCTCTGCCGATAGGTGACGATCCGCCGCGCGATCGAACGTCTGAACTTCGAGTCTTGGGCTTTCCTACGCGACGCCTTGGACCTATTCAAATGACGACTGATACGGCTCTCGGAGTCACAAAACTAGTCGTGCAGGATAAAAGTAAGGTCCAGATCCTAGCGGAATGTGTGAGGATGTACTCATCGCTTCCGTAGTTCCGCTGTCTGCAATCCCTTACATCGTAAGTGATGCTCAATTTTCCTGCTTGTCCTTTCTGATAACGGGCTCAACAGGACCACCCAACCATTACATTTAACCCGAAAGAAAGTGTCGAAATGCCGTTCAGTGCGTTTACGGGTTTACGTGTGACGCCATCGTCTGATGCCTCTCGCTAGGGTACATCGCCCAAAACAGCGAGCCAAGACTCCCGCCAGGGATGCGCGAGCATCTCCACGAAGATCTTAACAAAAGCTTCGATTTCTGAGCGCACGGGGTGCTACACGAGAAGCTGTACGAGAAGCACAGCGAAAGGATGCATGAGAGCACATAGATGATGTATAAGTACTGTACAGTGTATGCAGAGCGAATGAGCGCGTGCGGGTCCATGGTATGTATGAGACAACTAAAGACAAACAGAACAGAACATGGCAGAGATGGCGTGTCGAGTAATTGACAACCACCACGCCGACCAATAGTTAGCAGTAACGTACACCCAGCAGAGATATCTATACAAGGAATGACTTGAAAAAGTACCAGGCATGATGAAGGGGCTACCGCGGCGACGTCAGAATTTGTTGATCTAGGACGGGTACCTCCCATGGAGGCGGCTCCCGAGGTACGTCGGAGAGATTCACGTCCGCATTGGCATCGCGGAGCCGGTCGTGCTCGTTCATGCCCATCCGGACACGACACCGGACGAGGCGCAGCTTCGTCCGCTTGATCCCTGCGTAATACTTGTCAGAGCGAAGTCGGACGAACGCCTGCCGCGGACTTACACGTCGAGATTGTCTCACGGTCCTCTTCGATGTATGGGTTGTCCTTCTGCAGGAGATCGTCCTGCAGCGCGTACAGACACCAGAGCGCCTCTTCATATAGCTTCTCGCACTCGTCGTGAGACGACATCTCGTTGGTGAGCTCCTTCCGAGCGGCTATCTTGCTCTGAGAAAGATATGAGTAGCGCATCTACGTTACGGATTGCTGAACTCACAAGGCTGAGAGCACGGTCGTAGATGAGTTGGTCCAGGAACGTGGGCGGCCCCGTGTACTGAGCTGGCAACCACGTCTTCACCAAGGCAGCACGGTCGTGGCACTTGTTGAAGTGGTCCTCGAAGTAGGTCAACGCTGCCACGAGATACAATAAGCATCCTTAACGTGCGACAATTTCTGACGATCGACTTACCTTCATCAAAGCCCTCGCTGACTTCGCTTTCTCCATCCGGATCCCGCATCTGCAAGTGCTCGTAGTAATTGCACAGCTTGTTCACGCCGTTCTGCGAGAACGACATGAGGAGCATGTACAGCGCAACGCCGGTCATCGCGTTGTATTCCGCCTGGATATCCGCGTTCTTCCGCTTCACAGCGTGTCGCTCCGGCTCGCCCTCCCGGCGTATGAACTTCGTCGGGTCCGGCAAGGGCTCTAGCAGGAAGTCAGGCTCCACACAGGTCAGGCAAGGGTGCACGCGCACGTACTCTGCGGGATAGCCTTGACATACTCGTACATCTCGTCCGCCCAATGCGTCAGCACCTCGGTCTTCTGCGCGAGCTGCTCAAGCGAGGCCAGGAGCTCATCCTCCATCGGATCCCGCGTGCCGTTGACTTGCAGCCCCAGGCCCTGCCTCCGACCGGACAGGATGGTCTGCCGCCGAGGCGACGACGGCGACGGGCTGAACTCCTTGTAGTACGCCGTCCGCGGACCGGACGAGCCAAACAGCTTCTTGGTGGCGATGTTCAACGCGCGCGTCAGCGCGTTGGACGCTGCGCGCGAGCCTGCGCTAGAGGGCGAGGAGGAAAGCGCGGGCGCGTTGGGATTCGGTGGTGGAGGGAATGTGGTGTTGGCGTTGGTGGGGGAGGGCGTTCCAAAGTCCGGGTAGGCCGACCGTGTCCTGGCGTCGGGAAGGGGCATGGGCATGGGCAACGCACGTCTGTCGTGCAACGGCCGTCGTCGGGCAGTGCTGATCTCTGCAAACAAAGCATCCGTGATGGGCAGCGCCTTCGAACGAACAAGTCTCGTCGACTTACCATCTACAGCACGGTTGATCTCTACGGCTCGCTTGTCACCCACAAGAACGTACTCGCGTCGAAGGAGGCCGTCCTCTTCAGTCTCTCCGGGTATGTCGGACGACTCTCCGGATGCCGGCTTAGGCAGAGGGGAAGGTTCGTGTTGTGGCGACCTCGCTGGTGATCTCGACACTTCGGCAATGCCATTTCCGGTGCCAGTAGGACTACTAATGAAACGTCGATACAAACACCCGTAAAATTGTCACGCTAGCATACCTGCTTCCAGATGGCACATCCTGTGATCCTCCGCTCACAATTTCCCGTCTTCTGAAGTTGAACTTGCTGGGAGGTATCATCGCTTTGGGGTCAAGCACCTCCGGCGGGATGACCTTGTGATGCGCTGGTGTGATAGGCTTGCCATCCGGGCCGTACTCGACACCACCATCATCGGCCAACTCAGGCGTCGGACGCGGGAACTTGGACTTTGCCATGGCAGTACTCCCAAAGAAGTCCTCGAAGCTGCTCCTCTCCGCAGGGACGCGCTTCAGGAGACTACGGATGAGTATCTTGACGTCACTGGGCACTGACTTGAGCTCGTCGCCTGCAGCCTGCGTACGCGCCTGGGCCTGCGGGTCCTCATCGGGGAACTTGATTCCCTTCGAGGTGTCGATCTTCTTGAGAAGCTCGATGTGGTTCGACGCGCGGAATGGTGGCTTCCCGACTGCCATCTCGTACAGCACGGCACCCACGGACCAAAGATCTGCTTTCGCATCGTACTTCTCGTATCGGAGAATCTCCGGGGCCATGTAAAGTCTAGCAACTGTTAGTCGAGATAGCGTGGCACATGCGCGCAGACGTACGGTGATCCGCACAGCGTCTCCGCCATCATAGCCTGAGGTAACGACCGCGCGAAGCCAAAGTCAGCAACCTTGAGGACAGGCACGCCGAGCGGATGGCCCCTTGCGTGGTCCTCGGGCGATGCGGGATTCAGTAACAGATTCTGCGGCACGTCAGGGTACGGAACCTCTAGCGATTCTGGCTCTCACTAACCTGCGGCTTGATATCCCGATGGATGAGGTTCCGCTGTCGCAGGAACTTCAGAGCGCGAGCTTTACGGGTGTTAAGAAGGCCCAGCAGCGATGACCAGGGTGCTTACCAAGCTGACGCAGGAAACTACGGACGACTATTTCGTCAAGACCTCCTGTTCTCGGATGGGGGTAATACGTCGGAGCTGCGCCAGGAGAACGTACGTATTCGAGACCCTCCACCCTGCCTCGTTTCTTGATGTAATTCGAGAGGTCACCGCCGGCGCAGAACTCAATGATGAGATATATGTTCCTCTCTGCACGCTTGAGTCAGAAGCGTTAGGGTTGATCGTTCACATGCAGCAGGATATACAGCGGCTTACAACGATATCCAGCAATCTTGTGATATGCCGATGCGACAACGCCTTGAGGATTTCTATCTCGCCTTGCAGATTATCGAAGAGCTTGGGGCTAAGGCCTGCCCTACTGACGGTCTTGATCGCTACTTGTCGGTGTGTTTGCTGGATCATTCGTTAGTCAGGACATGACTGAGACCTAACCATTGCGCACCTCATGATACCCTCGGTACACCGTCGCGAAGCTGCCCTTCCCAAGGTCGCTCACGATGACATACGGCTTGACCTCCTCGTCCTCAATGCGCTTGAAGGTGGATTTGTCCGAGCCGCCGCTCGACGTTTGCTTAACCGCTGCAGGAGCAGGGGCCGGGGCCATGAGATATGGTCGGAAGATATGCGTCGTTCAGGTTATTTCGTTGGGCTGATACTGAACTTGGTATGGTAGTACAAGTACAAGAGTAGCTTCCAAGTGATCACGCAAAGCACCTGCGACGCGAACAAGAGCCCATTCCGGCGACAAGCAGTCAGAGGAGAAGAGACGGAATCGGCTCGTGCCGTGGTTAGCCTGGTCTGGTCAGATTAGATAACTGGCTTAGTCAGATCTAGACGCTCTTCTACTAGTATGATATAATCCTGCCAATTGCCATCATTCGCGCAATGGCCGGGCCTACCCCCAGCTCCCCGCAGAGCTTTGCACGAATTCTCCAGACATGCGATAACTTCCGATTGAACCTCACAGATCCTGCGGCAGAGCATCTAGTGACTTGGCGCCTGATCTCGGACCCAGAGTCTCCTGCAATCGGTCTTCTTCGACCACCCATTGTTCAGCAGTTGCTACACGAAATAGAGGGAACCAAGGATGGCTCTGCATGGGAGGTTCAAGATCACGACGGCAAGCAGGTCATCAGCTTTGCGTCTCACGTTAACACATCCGCCGCTCGGTCGCGTGTGATGAAGGAACTGTGCGAGCGCTGGCGAGACGAGGGTCTCTGGTCAGACGTGGTTGGCCCTAAGAAATGGCGCGGGGAGATGTATCCCATCTATCGAAATCCATTTGGCCCACACGATGCACCAAGTGAAGCCGAGGAATTCGCGACGGCCGCAACGGTCGGCTCGACGAGCGCGGTGCAGGACTCGGAAGATAGACGGAACTACGCGTTCATGATGGAACGTGCAGCGTGTGCGCTATTCGGCGTGGTCACCTACGGAGTCCATATGACAGTGTACGAGGAGGATCCAGACGAACTCGGTTTGCCGAAGTCATGCAGGATGTGGATTCCAACTCGTTCCAAGAGCAAGCAGACTTGGCCGAGATGGCTGGACAACTCGGTCGCGGGAGGCATTCCATCCGGCCTGGGCGCATTTGAGAGTCTGGTCAAGGAGTCAATGGAAGAGGCCAGCATCGAGGAAGCCATCGTGCGGAGGCATGCACGTACAGTTGGCAGCGTGAGCTATTTTTTCAAGTGAGCATTATCTGCTCGAACAGATGCAATTCGAACACTGATGATACACACCACCTGCAGAACCCCTCTCGGATGGCTGCAACCAGAAGTCGAGTGCGTCCAGTGGTCTCCTGAGCGAGGGATCTTGCTCATATGTCATGCATTTCTAGATATGTCTACGACCTGCGAATCCCGCCAGGTGTAGATCCTACGCCATTCCGTCCCAAGCCTCTCGATGGCGAGGTAGAAGCATTTGAGGTCAGCTTTTCGCTCTCGTTCGGTCAGTACTGGATCTGATCCTCCACGTCTTCTAGTTACTTCCCCTAGAAGACGTGATCACGCGTATGCGTTCGGGTCTATTCAAGCCTAACACAGCCCTTGGTATGTCCTCCGCTCGTACATGAGACTGTGTACTGAGGAAACGCAGTGATTCTGGATTTCATGATCCGACATGGTTATATGACGGTGGAGAACGAGCCAGACTATCAGGAGATCGTGACGAGATTACATGGTCGTTTCGAGTATGACCAGTGGTAGAGCGCATCTTCTTTCATCTCCGTACGCTGCTCCTTCTTTAGGTGGCAACACAATTTGACTCACGTCGATGTCACTAAATACCTAAACATCGATCGTGTTCTCCCCGGTGATAAGCTCTGTTCGAGCCCGTCGTGGCTGCTGGGAGACGCGACGAGCCCTCGGCAGTACTTATCAGTGACCGCTGTACTGTTCTACACCTGGTCAGTAGTGCCAGTATCTGAATGTATGGATTAGCATTTCCCTGAAGATACTACAGTCTACAGATCCCATATCGCCGAGCTGATTCTCAGAACGTCACCTAATTCCAGGACATCATGCACCCGCACGATTTCTGCTCTCTGCTGAACCGCACAACTGACCGCAGCAGCCGTTGCCCAGCTCCTCTCACTCGCCTTCGTCTCCCGTCCCTCATAACTGCCCCCCTCGTCCGGTCGGGCGAGAATTGTCCCAAGGAACGACTTGCGGGACGCCCCGATAAGCTGCGGATATTCCGCAAGCGGGTTCCTCCCCGGCCGACGCCACGTCTCGGCTGTGAGCTGGCTCGCGTCCCTCAGCAACTCCAGATTACCCTCGACGGTCTTGCTGAAACCGATGCCTGGGTCGACGATGACGTTCCACCTTCGGATCCCGCCAGGGCCCTTCACGGCTGCCTCGGCCCTCTCGCCCAGTTCTACCCTGACGCCTTCGAGCACAGCCCCGTGCCCGTGCGCGTCCGCGGCGTACGCATACTGCGAGTAGTCCTTGTTCGCGGACGCTTCCCCGCGTGAATGCATGAGCACCACCGGGACGGCGAGCTCGCGTGCGGCGCGGCGCATCTCGAGGAAGTGCTCCGCGGAAGCCTCCGTGAGTGGGAAGCTTGGACCGACGAACGCGTAGACATCGTTAATGCAGTTGGCACCAGCACGTACAGCGGCTTCTGCCACGTCAGATCGGAAGGTGTCCACACTGATCAGGACATGTGCCGTCTTCGAGCGTAAAGCGTCTTCAGTGCCCTCCCTCTGTGAGATAGATCGTATGGCCTCGATGACAGGCACGACACGCGACGTCTCCTCTTCCGGCGAGACGTACGCAGCCCTCGGGCGGGTAGAATAACCACCGACGTCGACGATCGCAGCACCGCCAGCCACCGCCGATGTCGCATACGCCAGTGCAGCAGGAATATTATTGTGTTTTGAGCCGTCCGAGAACGAGTCTGGCGTCGCATTGAGCGTCCCCATGATGTACGTCGTGCGCCGGTGGCTGGCCTTGCTCCGCGTCACCGGGTATGTCCAATACGCAGCGGTGGGTGGGACAGGTGGGGCGTCCTCCAATGACGGGGAGGAAGGCCGCGAGGGCGGGTCCGTAGGCAATCCATATCGCGGGAAGGGCATGACTTTGTACATGGGCGCAGCGTCCGAGCTTGAGCGCATCAAAAGCTCAGAGAAGAGGGCGCCAATTGGCTTGCGCAGCGTTGGGTGAACATAATCTGGGATCATGCTGTCGATAGTCAGAAATGATATCAAGTACGGTACTGACAACTCACTCATTCAGCGGCCGGAGAACGAATTCTCTCTCTGCTATGCGCGGATGGGGCACGACGAGCTGGCCTGCCAAGTTGTCCAGCGTTTCCCGCTCTGAGACTGGTCGTGAGTCAAAGACATCTGAATCGTACGTGAGGATATCAAGGTCGATAGCTCGCGGGCCGTTTCTGAAGGAAGTGACTCGCCCAACGGTGGTCTCGATCTCCTTGACAAAGTCAAGCAGCTCCAAAGGGCTCATGTCCGTCTCGACCTGACGTCGCAGGGGATCCACATCAGCGTATGCCTTACTCGGTTGGTGATGAACTTACTATGCATGCGCAGTTGATAAACAGTGGCTGATCCGCCACATACATCGGTGCAGTCTCGTACATGAAACTCGTGTCGACCACCATTGCTTGAGGCGTCCCCGCACCTCGAGGAGGTGACTCCAGAAGTCGGAGCGCCAGTTCGATGTTGGCAAAACGATCGCCGAGATTCGCGCCTAGAGCTATCGCAGCGCGATGAGAATACTTGACAGGCTTGTCTCTCTCCCCGACCGAAGCGAGAAGAGACGCAAACGAAGTCCCCTCGCTGCGCGCTGATACCGACAGCGAACCGTTTGCGATATTCGATGAGTCTGCAGGACGGAGCTCGTGCTGGTAATCCTCCAGTGTTCGTGAGATCTCCACTTCTGCCGCCTCAGCAGTCGGACGCAGTGCCTTTGGCTTCGCGACGCGCACATTTACACGCGCAGTTTTATCTGTGCATTGCGAAAGTGCGGTGTGTGCTACGGATGAGGCGAGAGCTTCAATCGTCAGATACGAACTATTGGATACGTCCTGCGGGAAATCGTCAGCAAGTGGATACATCGGTGTTCCTGCACGACATACCTCCTGAATTGCGAATGTCAAGTCCCCGAGATCCACGGGCTGGTTCAGGCGAGGCAACGCATCGAGAGTGATATTGAATACGACTGGCTGCCGGACATCTCGCTCCTCAGGATTCACACCGACAATCGTCTGGCACTCCAGGTTTTCGATGAAGACGCGCTGTAGGGAAGTGTTCGGAGGGTCCCTCGTAGAGCACATTTCGATGCCAGCCTTCGTAACAGGCGAAAGAACCGTGCGGGCTCTCACAGACAGCTCTTGTACCTCGGGATGGTGATCAAAGCAGGACGCACACACACGTTCCGCCAGAGCTTCGAGCGATGGGACACGAAAGGCGTCGTGCGCTTGAATGATAGTTTCCGAGATGGACGCATAGTTGACGGAGCGAGACAAGTCGTCCGCTGCAGCCGTGGACCGTGTGTCGTGCGCGATGGAGAGGGTGAGTAGAACGTGCTGTGAACCCGTCTCGTTCCCCTGCTTCGCTATCGGGACATTGAGTTTCAGGTCTCTAATGCGTATAATGTCATGACGGGCTGTTGAAGCCTCATTACTGTGTTGAACAGCTACATTTCCGGTTTTCGAGGAAAGTTGTCTGCCCCGGTACGGCGGTTAGTGACGGTGTAAATACTCAGCCCTGACTTGACTACTCACCTTATATCCACAATCATACTATGTACATACGGAATGGGCCGACACAGACGAGACCAAGGCCTCGATCGACACCCGACGTGGTGAGCAAAAGCAGAATGCCATCGAGGAAAGTGGCAAAGCGCGGACATGTGATGGCGCCTGCAGCGGTCGCAGCGACTTCACCATGGACCTCACGAACTCCCTCCAGAAGCTCGCAAGTTACAGGCAAAGACGGTCAGAGAGCTCGAAGGAGATTCTCGCGAATGGCTTGGTACTCCTGAAGAGCAGAGCGTACACCAGGCAAGGGGATGGAGGTGAGTCGTGAGTGCCGTGATGGTCGACGCGCATGGCCCGACACGCTCGCACAACAGGATGGGACAACCTTGAGAAGCTTTTCCTCGCTGCATTGGACCAAGGAGACATTGAAGTCGCAGATGTGAGCTGCATGTTGTGACCTAGCTAGCGATATGCATAGCTAACGTGGACAATGTCGTGCCCAACGTCGGTAGCAATGTCTCCAACACATCCTAGACGCGTTTCCTGGCTCCCCTCGCGCCGACGTACTACAAGGCCTCAGAATGGAAGCGACGGAACCACCCGAAGTTGCACTGAAGTTCTATGACGAGTTGTTGGAAGCAGATGAGACGAACGCTGTGAGTATTCAGTCGCGTATGTGGCCACTTATATGCTGACGCTGTGTAGGCGGTCTGGCGTCGGAAAGCAGTGGTGCTTCGGAACATGGGCAAGATCGACCGAGCTGTGGAAGAACTCTCATCGATGCTTGACACGTTCTACACCGATGTCGGTGGCTGGTTGGAGCTCGCCGATATATATTGCTCATGTAACCAGTGAGTTCCTCGAAATCTCACTCGTCGCATGTTCGCTTGACGACGACGACGCAGATACACATATGCGCTACAGGCCCTATCTCACGTTCTCATCCTTGCCCCGCAAAGTCCATTTTACTTCCTGCAATTCGCCGAAACCGCATACCTTGCTGCCGACATCACGTTGTCACTAAAGACGTTCCTCGTCGCTGTGGACATGACCGACGACGACGACGGGCCCGTACCTCCACAAGATTCAATACCTACCGGACTGACACTCCGCGCGTGGTACGGAGTGAAGCTGGTACGTCGTCGTGTTCTCAGTTGTTACCATAGACTGAGCGAAGACATCAGTGTACGCACCGTTTGATGTCAGAACCACGGTTGTCGTCATCTTCGGCATCAAACACATCCGCTCCATCCACAGAGAAGCTGTCCAGTCTGGACGAACTCGCGACTGAACGGCTGCGGACAGCTTATCTCAACATTAAGGGCGAGTCACCGCCCAAGGTCGACAAAGAGCTGATCAGTGTCCTGGCTACTATTATACAGTGAGATGGCACCCCCTGCTCGCCATCTCTCTACACGTAGCTGTGTGTTGTGCAGAATGATGATCTCGTCTCCTTTTTGGGCTATCAATTGCAAGAATGGTGTGCGCATCCGGACTTGTCGCCCCAAAGAGCTACGCAGTCACCGTGTCTTGTCACTGGCCCTGGACCATCCCTAGGGACATGTTCGTTACAAAATCTGGAGGGCCGGAGCTGCTAGGTAATGAATTGCCAAGGCTGTAATGATGGACATTTCTTGACAGGCACAGACACATTTCAATCTTGCCTGCAAAGCGCCGTTACCCCTGGAGCTATCGATGAGGTCTGAGGTGGCCCGCATCTCTGCCAACCCCACCTCAGTACACATAGTGAGTGCTGGGCCCCAGTGCGTGATCACTCCGACGTTGCTAAATTGACGGATTTTTAATTGCAGAGCAGCATGCTACCTGAATTGCCCACCGAGACTTGGGAGCGGGCAATTGACTATCTCTGGAATGAGCCAGCTGATCTCAGGAATTGCGCATTGGTCTGCAAGGCATGGTATGCCAGGAGCAAATACCATCTCGTCGCCACAACCACTCTCGGACTTCGGCAAACCACACATCGTTTCGCAAAACTACTCGATACACATCCGCAACTACGAGCCAGAGTCAAGGTGGTCGTAGTCCTCGGAACGGTGAGCACCGGAGAGACACGCCGACCGATCCCCCACTTTGGGACTTTCGCGTCGATGCTGGCGGGAAAGCTACCGTCGTTGGGCCACCTTGGCATTGGCAACGCAGCATGGCAGTCCGGAACTATGCACCGCCATGTATTTGTTCATTTATCGACCTTCGTTAATGTTGCCGGACTTCATCTGGTCCACGTCACCTTTCCGTCCAAGATCATCTTCGGCCGGCTCGTCTGCGCACTCCCCAACCTCAGAGAGCTTAGCTGTCAGACGTTGATCTTCCGGTCGAAGGATTTTCATCCGTCAGCTCTGAGCACTACCCCTCCACGACTCGCAACCCTTCATTTGGACGGTCCGTCTGATGATGTCGTGGACTTGCTTGTCCGACATTTACGTATCGCCGGTGGCTTACAGGAACTCAGGGCGGGTTGGGTGGACAACCGGAAGGAGGCGACGGAGGACTACGGTTTGAGCGACGCAATCGCGACAACGCTGCAGCATACGGGGTCGGAACTCAAACGTGCGTACATTCGGCTGCGGCTGCCACCAGCAATAACTCCCGGGCAGGGGATAGGTATGATCACTTCGATCTTGATGGATCAAGTCTGAGGTTCGTCTGCTAGGAGAACATCGACAGACTCTGACGCTCGGTCAATGCGCCGGACTGGAGCAGTTCGCGATCTCATTCTGCCTACAGAAAGTACTGGCTGCACCGTCTCGAACGCCTCAACGGCTTTACTCGCTCTTACAAAGCATCAACTCCTCAAAACTTTGGGTTGTAGGCATCAGACTAGACACCCGACTCATCGACTCCATCGGGGAGTCTGAGATCCTAACCCTGGCGGAAGAGTTCTTGGAGCAACAGCGATGTGTGCTGATAGACGAGGTACTCTCCTCCGACTCGCGCTTTGCAAGCGTGAGGTATGTGTGGGTACAGTTGATGTGTGCTTCGGGAAGCACCTCCCCGGACCATGATAGTTGGCAAGCAACCATACAAACGAGGCTTCCGAAACTTCATGCACGTCGCGTGCTAAGGTGAGTCCAGCGTAGTCCATTGCACTATACGCGAAATTGATATTTTCCACAGTACATCGGTGCGCGTTTGGTTGCAGGACGACTCGTTCTAAGGATAACGCTTGAAGCCTTTGTGTACACGTACTGCAGAGGGACAAATCGGGTGATGCTGTGGCCACTTGTCGAATTGCGACGTGGAGAGGTGCTACATAATGTAAGCATGAAGACCCCTTCCCCTCTTTTATGGACGAATATGCAGCTTGAGCTTGGAACGTAACGCCTACCGTACATGACCGGTTTATTGGTCGGCCTACTAGGCTACTACTAGAGCAATATCCTCGCAGCAGCTTGCACTGGTAGGTTAGCGAGCCAAGTCGAAGACGGTCACAGTGATTTTAGAGGCGAGGGACCAAATGCACATTGTGCAGGACGGGTCAATGGCATAACTATCGGCTACTAAGTTAGTGCGAGCTATGTATCACAAATATTCCATTCCGTCGACGTCGTACACCAGGGGCCCAGGGGCCCAGGAAACAGCGATGAACATATATAATGCTGCCTTGAGCTTGAATACTAGGATGGAGGCAGGGTTACAGGCCCACACGAGCCTGAGCATCCTGGGCGCCAGTGAGCTCGGTGGCTGCCGCTCAAACGGCTTGTGTACGTAAGCCGTGAGAACCTTAGATCGCTGACTGTACAGGAGCACCGGTCGCTCTCCTCGCTCTCATCCACAGCGACTAGCCCTGTAACCCCGCCTCAAGAAAACATGGGAAAAGGTCGGTTTTTGTGCCCATCGGCGAGCAGAGAGGTGCCGACGCAACAATTTTTCTGCTAGTTCACGGATCCCTCGCCCGTGCCGGCAAAGTCAAGTCGCAGACCCCCAAGGTCGAAAAGCAGGAGAAGAAGAAAACTCCCAAGGGCCGTGCTAAGAAGCGGATGATCTACAACCGTCGGTACGTAGTCATAGACTTCTCAAAGGAAACCAATCGCTCACGCTAGGTGCAGCTTCGTGAATGTCACCACTCTCCCCGGTGGCAAGCGGAGAATGTGAGTGCCAGTTCTTTATTTTCTCTCCTGGCCTCGGTGGCCTGGTCTCGTCTTCGAAGATGATACAACCAAACCATAGCATAGTTCACACTGAATACCTATGTTGATAACCACGCATCTTGTCTTTCGCTCCTATCTGACTTTTCCTCATTTTTACTGCTCTTCGCCGTGCAGACGCTAACCGAATATCTTCTCACAGGAACCCCAACCCCGAGAAGTAAACCTTCTCCCCGCCACACTCTCGACGCTTGGCGTCGTCCTCAGGGAGCCTCGCTTCCCTTGCTTTCCGCTGCGGACGTTGGTCCGGGATCGTTGCAGGCATGGGGGTCCGCATCGCAGTTGTATCACCCGCATTCCCCCCATTCCTGTATGTTACTCTCACGCATGCATATGCCCACAACATGACTATGATATAAGGGCACGTCACTGGCTCACTCAATGAGACGTGAACCGCGTAACTCAACGTGCGTACATGTATGTTATTGATCACTCTTGTCAATGCGTGAGCTAGAGAACCGCTAAGGCATCGTCAAATGTACTGAGCAGAACTGGGATCTCAAGCAGAGGAAACTAGTTCTTATGACGGGTCGTGCTATGTACCGACCAGAGGCACTGCTTCGTATTTACATACATGTGAGCAAGGCGATTCGATACAGATGCATGGTGACCACCATTGCGAAGGCGAAGGCGAGTGCGAGTTCTCTGGAGGAACAGTGAGATGCCGTGTTCAACGTTCAGCGGTCGGAACTCGGTCGGAACCACTGCTCGAACCGTCGCTGCGACCGACAGGCTCGGTAGCGCACTCCTTAGGCATGATCTCTACGCAACAGTTGTCGACCAACGTCTTACGCATGTGCTTGCGTACATTGAGCCTGCATAGAAATGGGGTCGACGTGAGACTGATAGTTCCTTTATGAGTTTGACACTCACACTGCCAACGTTGAGTTGACATATACTGCAGATCCAGGGCTGTCAGTGGCGGGTAGGGATACAAATGACTACATTGGCGTTTACCAGAAAACTCCAGGTAGTATATGACCCCAGCGGTATTCGTCGTCTTAGACTGAAGGTCATACACGAACTGTCCAGTTATTGTTAACTCGAGGGCGTCATCATGAAGACCCCGTAGGAGGGGACATACAAAGGCAAAGACTATTAATTGGACCATACTGTGATGGATCGTTACCATCCAGAGGTTATGCTGAAAATACCATCGGACGCTAACGCACCATAAGGCCATACCACGTTCGGCGTTATATTTGATCAGCCGATTGACCAAACTCGCTGTTCTGCAATGGTATTCTGGCTCATCATGTGGTCAAACTCATGATGACAGGTCTACTCACGGGCTGTGAAGGCGAGACTTTGCTGCGCGCACAGAACGGACGTGATAAAGACATCTGTTACGATTACTATGCATGGCGAAACCAGGGATGCCGAGGTCTGATGGTCGACAGACTCTTAGGATCAAGGTAGACGTAGAATAGTTGGATGACTTGCCGTATAATTCTTCGTCCCGCTCACGTACCTGTAGAGATCTAGGACACTGATATCTGCCAAATGGAATCCGACTCACATGTCAAACACACCTACTGTCAATGCGGCACGGGAGTTCAACGTTAGCCGGACAACAATTTAATGCGGAAAGTAGCTACCCGCGGATCCGGTGACTTCAGCGGACTAGACATTAGAGTGATTCAAATCAGTGGCATGACTTGAACGACCCACAAAGCGTTAAGGTCATCAGTATGATCTGTATGAAAGTGAGCGCGGACGCCCTCCCTCTGTAATGTGGACGTTTGAACACGGACTGTAACGCGTACAAACAATTTGCGATATTTATGATGGCAAAGAACTAGCTCGTGTCAGGAATGATTGTGTGATGCGGCTTTGAACATTGCTTACTTTGATTTATCTTGTGAACATAAAAACTACCTGCATGGTCAGCGTACACAGATAGTTGTATTCCTGTACAATCACCACTGAATTGAGAATATAAGCAACCACTACACGTCGTGAATACACAGGTAAGACATCGTGGCAAGGGAACGTACCCCGATGGCATTCTGTACCTGAAATGGGATTTGAACTGCCGCCCACCATGTAGGAATGCACAGGACTCACACCATATGCTCTACGCCTGATCAGTATCACACGCGCGATTAGAATAGGCGTCATACATGGGTAGCTTTGTCGCGCCCTTTAGCTTCGCATGGTTGGAAATTGTCTCACTGTAAATGGCCTTGTATGTATTAATGACGTCGGTGGGACGTAGATGCGATGCCCTGTTATTGACGTACTTGCAAAGATACAGCCTGTTTAGCCGTTGCCAATAGCCTACCACAATAGTCATCAGCTCGCGGCCGCCGAGGGACTCGTAAGTTTGGGGGGACAGCTCACATCCACCACGCCACCTGTCAACCGAACTGATTAAACATAGAGATCTCTTGAACTTGAGTTCAAATACGCACCAAGCTCTTCAGTCGCATTGAGTCCCCGCGGTACACAGAAAAGTAGTAAAAGGTCTGGGAGAAAGACACTCCATACAGACTGTGGTTCGACCGGAAGGTGTCCATGTCGTTGCAAGGTATCTTCAATGAGGGCCAAGGGACCCGAAGAGTCACGGATACGTACAACTGTGCCAAGGTAATTCCGACAAGGCCACAACCGAAAGTCGTCCCTAGCCTGACGTTAAGGTCGACCATACTGCGAATCGATGCAGCGGCAAGGCAGGGACCAGCAAGTTATAAGCATGGATAGGCGTGGAATGAGTGAACCTCAGTGGAACCTATCAACAGCGCTGCCTCGGAGGCGATGTATATCGAGCAGTAACGCGCCGGCCACATATCACGGACTCTGCGTTTCAAACCTAGGTTCACAGATCTCACTGAGGGGCTTTAAGTTTCACTGCACCAAACGCATCAGTCATTTGCATTGACATAGCACTCGGCTCGAAAACTCACCTTGCCAGGACCCTTATACACTGCCTTCGGAACCTCATTATGGGTCACCTCGAGCCCGACCCTACCATATATCACCCTCTTTGTATGTTGAGCTCAGAACCGTGGCCGGTGAACAGAATAGTCGCACCAGAAAGGTCATCATCCAAGGTCGTTTAGATACGGAACTGCTCTCTACACGCCACGACCTTCCACAATTGCCTTAACGATGGGTGCGGTCGCCTTCCTGGTCGCATCTGTATTCTTCTGCTTCCATGCTTTCACGCGCCATCCCTCGGCGAATGCACCTCCCGATCTATCCCACACCGCAGGCTCCATTCCAATCTTTTCCCACTTCCGCTTCTTCAGTCTCAGATCTTCGCTGCCCTCCAGGCCATGGAAGAGCCTGCGCGCGAGTTCCCCGCCATGCTCCCCGGGCGCGTCGTCCCTCGCGCGCACGATCCACAGTTGTTCTCTGCGGTGCTTGCCCTTCCCGCTCTTCCCCGCCTTCTTCTCGTCCCGGAACGACGTGAGCACGCCGAGGGCGCTCAGCCCGCGTTCGTCCATCCAGCCCCTTGTGTCCCGGACGAACTGCGCCTCGTCCCGCGGCACGAACGCAGCGAGCCCGAGCGGGACGGACGCGAGCCCAATGAGCAGTTCTCGGCTGGGCGCGAACGCAGGCGTGAGCGCGTACTCCTTGTAGTCCCGCCGGAGGAGGTCGCGCACCCCGAGATGTGCGACGGAGTTCTTCTTCGTCTGCAGAGTGGCGTTTAGCTGCTGGATCACCGGGGACTCATGCAGGGGCGGTATCGCGTCCGAGGAACTTTCGGGCGCTAGTGAAAGACCGGCCGGGTCTGTGGGGGCGAGCGTGCATCTCGAGGCGAGGAACGCGGCTGCCCTCTGATCGACCTCCACCGCCTTGCCACCGGGAGTCATTCCGCCCGTGTCGATGATAATTGCAGATAGAAGCAGCATTGCGAGCTCCCGGGGAATGTGCTCTGGGCACTTGTCTTGGAGAAACGATGCTACGAGCGCCGCGCAGCTGCCTATGCCCTGTGTGACAATCCGCGGGTTTGCCTCGGTGTGCAGGCCCTCATCGGCGTGGTGATCGATAATCGCAACGACGCGTGCGTCCGAGTTGTCGACAGAGAATTGGGCACTTAACCGGTTGTGGTCGACTAGCGCGAATGTCGTGGAAGGAAAGGGCAAGGACGTGGACTCGGAGGGCGACGCATCGTCCATGCAAAGCAGGTCGTCAAAGCTGAGGCCGGCAAGCGCGAGTGCGTGCGCGTTCTCAGCGCGCAGATGCAGATCCCCGCGCGGGGTTTGCACGAGAGCGACGGATGGTGACTGCTGCTCCTGGGAGAGGTACCATGCGTAGGCGATGGCACTTGCGAGCGAGTCCAAGTCTACGCCCACGTTGCAGATAGCCAGATGACGAGTAGGGTTAATGTAAGGGAGCGCAGGAGGGCAATGTCATCGGATATCAGTGTGAGTACGTCAGAGGGGAGACAACAGGCTACGTACCACCCGCCTCGTTCCCCATCACGACAGTCCATTCCTTCCCTCTCCCATTGTGGACAGCCTCTAGATACTCTGTTTTCGTGCGACGGAGGAACACGCGCAGCGTATCCGAAGGGCTCGCCTCCTGGGGTGCCTTCACATCCGGCGTTGAGCCTGAGACCATGGTAGTATAGTGTCTTGAGATCGTGTGCGTGCGTCGTAAAAAAGCAGGGCCCAGCAGTGTCGTGTATGGATTCTGGGCGTTGTAAACAGGCCCTTGTGGTAAGAGCAAGCAAGAGACCTTCGCAAGTTGAGGGCAGCGGATGCGGGATGCCGAAGACAAAGAGCTTAAGAGTCGTCCTGATGTCGAACATGAGAGCATACAAGCGTCTGCAGCTCAGCAGGACTTACCGTCTAGGGAGTAAACCGACGTCATATCTATGCTCCAAGCATGATTACAGTCCAAAGGAAAGCAGTCCTTCCAGCTTCAGCGCTTCAGCTTCGATGGTTAATTCAACTTGAATGTGCAAGTTCAAGTACTCACTCACTGTGGACGCGGTCACTGGTGAGCGGGTGCGCCTCGAATGACTATGGATTCCCATTGCGAAGATTTAAACAGAGAGTGTATCACAAGCAGCATTGACAAAGCTTTGCAGGTGGAAGGTCGAAACTCATCGTCAGCTCGGAGCAATGGACAGCGTAGTCCTTACTAGCACGTGAAACTCATCACCTCCAGTCGTTGACTGTTCTCCCTTGATTTTTGAATATTTGGACCGCTTGTGCATACTAGGAGGCATATTGCAGCAGTCCCTTGGACGCTAAACGTAAAGAACGTGACAGAACAGCGCATCAGAATGAAGATACAGTATTCTATACAGTTACACAGTACTCTACAGTAAGAAGGTCTCGCCCACCGCTGTGGGCTCACAACTTCGCATGCTCACCGGGACCGGGTGGCACACCACTCGAATTGTACTTCAGCGCCTTCCTGTTGTTATACACGTCCTTCGTGATACTTTGGTAGCCCCCAACCGTCATCAGAATATCCAAGTCCTATGAGGATGTGAGTTGGACGTCTTTACGAGGACACAAGGACGAAGAAACGCACCGCGAGCAGGCTCTTCATGACATGCCGACACCCATACTCGCCCTCGTGGGCCATGCCCCAGACATACAGCCGTCCGACCTCGACGACGTGCGCGCCGAGTGCGATTGCCTTGAATACATCTGCGCCCGTCCTCACGCCGGAGTCAAAGATGATGGTCATCTCTGGACGCACACAGCATTGTCAGTTCATGCCACCGTTGGTAGTCAAATGTGATACGTACTATCACCGACTGCTTCAGCGATCTCGGGCAACACCTCCAGGCTGCCAACAGCGCCGTCGACCTGGCGGCCCGCGTGGTTCGTCACGACGATGCCCTCACATCCGACCTCATACGCCTTCAGTGCATCTTCGGCGTTCTGGATACCCTTTATGACGAACGGACGACCGTTGGAGATACGCTTCCACTGTGGGTGTGTTCGCTCAACATTGTTTCAGTCTCAGGGCGTTCCCGGGAAGCATACCTCGCCGATGAGCCAGCGGATCTTCTCCCATGTGTGGGGTTTCCCGTGCCACACACTGTGGTCAATCCACTTGCCCGAGTCCTTCTTCAGATCCTCCCCATGCTTCTTCATGAACACCGGGTCTGACGTTCCGATCTCATTACCGGCCTAGACGGACCCTCAACGTGATATTCTCGATCTCTCAGAGGAATGCTCACCGTGCTGGGGTAGTAGAACGTGTAGTTCGCAATATTGATGTCTGTCGGCCTCCACGCGAGCTGCCAGGTATCTGTAGTCAGCATGAGCGCGTCGTAACCGGACTTCCAAGCGCGGTTGATGAGTGACAGCGTCTTGCGAGGATACGCAGACAGTCAGCATGCGTCCCGCATCCCGAGTTACATAACTCACGATCTCGTCATCATGTCCCATGTAGAGCTGGAAGAATCGCGGACTGTTTGCGTTTCCACCATTAGGGCCACTGTAAGAATGTACGCTGTTGCTCTCGTTCTTGATAGACGCCCCGAGATCGTTGGCCTTTGCCACGTCCTCGATAGATTGCGAGCCCGCCGTAGACAGACAATACTACGTGCAAGACAAGTTCGGTTAACGAACGTCAAGAAAATTTCGTAAAGATACATACGGGGATCCCAAGTTCGCCCGCGATCTTTGCCGGGACGAGCTCGCCAAGAGGATGGTAGAGTTTATTGATACCAATTGGTGCAAACATGATCGGGGCAGGTATCTTGTGACCAAAGATAGTTGCTGATTGCGACCGTCACCCTCGAGTAACCGACACAGCACGAACGAAACCACTCACTTGTCAGGTCGCGGACGGTCGTGTCGACCAGCGTGCGTGGAATGATGCGCCATCTATAGAACGCCTCCCTGTTCGCGCGGTCTGTCCACCCGATGCCGGCGTTCGAGTTGGCATAGAAATATCCCCTGTCGTTGAGCTTCTTCTTGACAGACTCCTGCAACTCCTCTGGGTGCACAGAGAACGTCGGAACTAGATGCAAAGTATGTGTGAGACTAGACGCGAGGGTTGAGGTTCACGGATGTAGACTCACGCTCTCCTGTCTCTCCACCCCGTTTGAAGACCTCACGCTGGTAAAGCGAGTAGTGTGGCGAAGGTCCTTTCGGCTTGTTTTCTGGGTCCATGGCGTATGACAGCGACCTGGTTCTGTGTGCAAGTCAATCGACAGGTAAGGGGAGAGTAGCGCTCGTATAGAGAGCCATGGCAGCGTATATATATCTGCCATGCCTGCGCCGTGCTGAGCTTGGAAGAGGTGTAGTACATGACATCACTCTGAGCGGCTTAGATGCGCTTCGCCGACGGGGCGTCGCCAACTCCAGTCACTTGTCACCAATGGGCGTGTTCGGACGTAGTCGCGGAACAGCGACGGAACAAGAGCGGAAAATAGACACCAACTGTTCTGCAAAGAGTCATCATCCTACGGAGGAGGCACCACCGTGGCTGAGAGGACGCGTGATGTCATAAACAACACGCACCCGTGAGCGTGACGCGCCTGTGTTGTAAGCGCCTGGAAATTAGACATTGTCTGTTCCAAGCTGCCTTGCGTGCGCTCCGGAATGAGACGGCACACGGTCGTCTACGTGAGACGACGTTGAGCAACTTGTGCTTGACACTGTAGCGATGCAGACTGTCATGCTCTTCCAGACAAAGGTGGGCTGAGCACGGACAATACGAGCACTCACAACTCGCTGTCCCCGAATCCTCGTCACTGAGAGACGGGGCGTACAAGCTTCCTGCCCAGATGAGCTCCGAGAAAGAAACATCGTCGGTATTTTGCGTCGCTGATAATCATCAAGATAGCAACAAAACCTACCTCCAATCACCTGTGCACAGCAGCAAAAATTAGCAGATTGCAGCCGGCGGAGTCCTTCGCGCGCGAGATGGGACAATGACGGTCTAAGAGAAGAAGAGGAGGGACTACAACTCGCCCTTATATACCCGTACGGCGGCGCCGTGCGACTTGCGTCATAAGTGGCGACGGTAGGCACAGTAGAATGACAGGCAGTCAACTAGGAGTTGCCGATCTCGCCGTGCGCTGTCGTCGCCGTAACGTTGCAGTATGTTGCATGTCGCTGAGAAAGGGCTGACATGCTGGAAATCGTCCTATTGTGAGTACTTGAGTTGCAATATAATGATAAGCGGGGAAGCCTGGAGAAATGGGCGAGCGACATGATCTTCGTTAAATCGTATTTGCCAGGGCCTGCCATCTCGAATACAGGACGTATGCACGTTTTCGGAACTTGAACTCGCCACTCCGGTGCACTTTATGTGGGGGTAGGGTATATATACGATGGACGACCATCATGATGTTCGAGAACTGCGCGAAGATAGTCAGCAACCACACGTCACGAGTGGGTCACTCAAAGGAGTGAACAGCGACTCTGAATTCGGAACGACAACTCACAGTCAAACGATGGGCGGTCATGCCTTTGTAATTCTCAATAATAGTCAGCAGCTTGTCAATCCCCAGTACCTCCTGATGAAACGATCGAGAGCAGTTTGGGGCGGACGAAACGGCATCACTCACCTCATCCGTTAACCCTCTCTCCAGGAACGCAGCCTGCAGCCTGCGCATCCAGCCCACCACCATGATGGCGCCCGGGTCGCGGACGTCCCTATTCAGGTACATATCCAAGGTCGGCGCGTAGTCCACGTCGACCGTGGCCGTGCTCGGGAGCGACAGGTACTTCAGAACGACCGCGAGCGGCCGGTGCGAGTCGTCCTTGAGCTTCAAAGATCGTATTTCCCGCAGCGGCACGACACCTCGCGTGCGCGAGTCGACAGCATTCCCTCCGTAATTGCGGGCAATCTTCATCCCGCAGTTCAGACAGAATAGGGCCTGTAAACGGGGCATCGAGGACAGCAGCCGGAGGAACTCGTCGAGGGTCGGCTGCTGCTGCCACAGGAGGCCGTACATCTGGACGACGGTCACGTTTGACATCAGAGGGGGGTCCCACGCCGGCTCGGTCTCGTGCAGCGTGAGCGACTGCAGCTGCGGGAAGAGGCCAAGGTTGATCGGGGGCAGCGCGAAGACGCCGACGTCGTTCGCGTCGACGCGCAGCGAGGTGAGTGCGGGCATCGGGCAGCCGAGAAGGGAGGATACGTGGTACCAGGACGCCTCGGTACACACGGCGGGCCATAGACGAAGGTCGAGCTTGACGACCCGCGCGGCGTGCGGGATGAGCAGCTGCGCCTTCGACGCCCAGCGGCCGTCGCGCGAGCCATTCGCGTACACGCTGATGAGCGCGTTATGGGAGCAGCGCAGATGGAGTGCGAGAAGTCGCACATCGTCATCCAAGCGGATCGTTGTCCAGAATGTCGCTGTATTTTGCGCGACATCGCGCCAATGACTGCAGACAGCGGTGAGCCTGAGAAGGTTCTTCACATCACGATCGCCATGTCGTTGATGAGCAGGGAGAAGGGTGCCCTGGAATATCGTGGAGAGTAGTTCGTGCGGAAGTTGGTGTAGAGGAATTGTCATGTTGTGCGCTCTTGCCTCTTCATATCGGGCTGACGAACTTCGCGACATACAACGATGCCAATTGAACCCCGTGAAGTCTCTTTCCACGCAGCCGTGTATGGAGAATCGGAATAGAGAAAGCAGAAGACAGCTAATGTCCAAACGTATGGCAGGTCGTCTGGTCGAGGTAGGGCACAAGTTCGGCCGCTCGGCGGCTAGATCATCATGATCGACAAATTTTGTACTTATGTTCTTCGTTCCCCGAAGTGGTACTTATGTATGTATCGCTTCATCATCACAATGACTGCCCGAACTCGGTCAAATGTTAGTACTCTCAAGGCGGTATGTCATAGTATGGCAACACTACTTACCCGTCTACTAGTAAATGCGCTCGGAATCCGACGACTCGGCAGTGGAGCGGTTTGCGGCCGGTACCGGGTCTATCCCAACTTGGGTCCAAGTCCGTCGCAATGAGCTGAAGCGGCTTCTGGCCGGAAGACCTCCTTCAGGGCTGAGCGCTGAACGTTGAACGTTTGAACAACGGACGTGAGTGAGTTTCTGTCCAGAGCAAATAGTACACACAACGCATAGTATCCAAGCGTTGCACTGCCCTTCCGAGTACGCGCTCGATTTTGGCTCGCGCGACGATGGGCGCCACCAGCTGTCCTATTGACTTCCTGATTCCTAGTTCAGACTTAGGTAAGCTCTGCAATGCAGCCTTGTGGGGGCGTACGAGGTTGGATCTAGCCTCGACATGTCTGATTTACTTCTCCTGCTTTCGCGGAAAGGAAGAATCAACGCTAGACCTGTAAGACGTCGCTCAGAACATACTATCTGCCAGTCGCAAATTGAACGTGCAGCGTGCAGCAGCAATCGACGGCGAATGCTCACGAGAGGATCCAAGCAACGCGGCGTGTCTTGTGTATCAATCGCTGCCAAATTGTATGTGCGCATACTTTCGCCGTAGTCAATGGTGCAAGCTAAGGATTTGGAGCTTTCCAGCCGCAGGTTCATGGGTGAGAATTGTGTGGTACAGCGAAAGAAATTCACGCATCACCTGGTGTCCATTTGCCCTCCGTTTCGAGTCTGCCAGTACACAGTATGTCTCAGCGTTCTTGACCTCAGCGAGTACCAGCCCTCGATCATACCTGACATGCAGTCGAAGGTAGGTTCCGAGAATGTCAATTGCGCTGACCTACTGGCAAGGTTTCCAGGTAGGTGTGTATTATTGTCAGCACTCAGAAGGGATGCACAGCCTGCCACTTGCCTACGAGTCCTAATTTCCGGATTGCCCAAGGCGCCTGGACCGTATATATCGATCCAGTGCGTCAGCGTGTTATGTCCCTAGGTGAGTCCCTTCACGTCAACACAGGCCTGAGATTTTCACATTCGAAGGATGAGGGTGCTACACGACGAGAAGCAAAGAAAGGGACGATGAAGAGTCATTATGGGTGCCCGGCGATGACGGGTGCTTGGACCTATACCGCCCATGTGCCGTTTCCAACAATACCTCTTTGTCTTGCATGGTTCGCTTTGTCTCTGCGCATTTACATAAGCCCCGTGGCCGCTGTGGCCAACTTCCGGCAATCCGCGCGCCTCAACAGGCCACTTCTTAAATACCTGCCTTCCGATCGCAGTAGTCTCTCAACTCTCTCTGCTTGCTTATTCTTGTCTGTGTTTTTGGTACGTTGCATCGCCTCGCATTTGAGAAGCCCCATTGATAGGCCGTGCGACGCGTTCATAGACTAGCACGCCTACTTTCAACCATGTTTGAAGACGTCGCTCTCCGTTGTCTGCGGATTCAAGAGGTACTTGAGATTGTCATGGGCGACCTCCACGAAGGCCGCAATGGAAGGGCATCGGTGGCCAGGATGGCCAGGACATGCAAGACATTTCACTTTGTGGCCGTGGCCGTCTTGTGGCAACACATAGGAGGACTGGTCCCGCTGATGTCTACAATCCCGGGCCACGTCTGGGAAAAGGATCAAAGGAGACGCGAGCTTTTATGGGAGCAGCCAGTAAGTGACCCCTTGGGTCTCCTTTGCCTTGAAGCGATTAACGTGACGCCATTGGATAGAATACCAACCGTCTCGACGTCAGTCGCCTGGCGTTTTATGCCTCCCATATCAAGTGCTTCACTTGGAAGTTTGACCGCACTGTGAATATCTACAGCGCCGGGAAATTTCTGCGGGGCATCCCTCAATCCATGGTTCTGTTCCCTGCGGTACACACGATCTGGTTTCAAGACGACAAGGAGTGGTTTGGACTGCTCGTCCACAGCCACATCTTCGCGGGCCCTGCGGTAGAAGAGCTGTATATCAACGCATGCGCGTACGACGCCGAACCCCTATTCCAACGAGCCAACCGTCTCTTCCCTCGACTCAGCCGTCTGCACTTGACCGGGCCTTCGAGCAGCGCAAAGTGGCCGCCACCCACGTTGACGGAGGACACTGTACGGCCTTTAGCGACCACCCATATATCCCACTTCGACGCGAACGACCAACTGTCCCTGAGTGGCCTAATCGTTCTCGGTGGGATCCCGACCCTGGAGCACGTTGTCGTGCGGCTCGATCCCAAACGCTGTGGATCTTCGTTTACTGCCCCTCTGGCAGACGGACACTGCTTTCCCGCATTGAAGACCTTGCAGCTGCACACGGGCCTGATCAACGAGATCACTCTCGCCTTGGTCGAGGCCATCTCGTCGCCTTCTCTGCAGCGGTTCGAGCTTACGGTCAAAGCGCGTGTTTACCGCCACCTGGGCGAAGAAGTACTCTTCGCCCATCTCGAGGCGTTGAGCCGGGCACCATTCAGGACTGCCCTACGGGATCTCAAGCTTTACCTCGCCCACAAGGAATCTCTGGAGCCCAATTTCACGGTCGGTATACAGATCTTGCGACCCTTGCTGGGCCGCTTGAACGGCCTCGTCTCCCTTCAAATATTTTCGGATATGATTGTGCTGGATAACGCCACCTGCCAGGGCATCGCCGAGGCATTTCCGCTACTCAAGCTATTGACGCTGACGTATGAAGGAGTCGGCTCTTACGCAGGACAAGTGCATACGGGAGGGGATCAACTTGAAGCTCAGCGTGCGGCATCTCTCGAAGGGCTGGCGTTCATTGTTAAACATTGCCGCCAATTGACCGACCTCAGGATACCTGTTCAAATCTTATGCGGCAAAATTCCTGCGTTCCCCAGCGCAGAAGAAGTGTCGACGACCATCGAACGCGGCGCCTTGACTTTGAGGGTTGCCCCCTTTACTTGGGAACGTGTCAAGCAGTACTTGGACGTGTTGCTCCCTCCGTGGCAAACTATGGCCAATGTGTCTTTCACGTAGTCTTTGTCATTCCAGGTTGGATCAGAACTGCCAGAGTTTGCTAAGTATGTTGGGTGTAAAAACATGTATCTTGTACAATGCGTCGCTAATGTACTGATCGATCTATTAAAACTGTACGCAGATATCAGCCTCAACTATCTGAAACTCTTATATGTACCTCGGCACTAGCTCTCTCGCATTGAGTACCTCTGAACGAGATGGCAGGACCCCCTCCGACGTTGACGACGCGCAATTTGGCCGCCATCAGCTCGCCCTTCTCGTTAGTATGTATATATTGCCGTCTGTATCGACAGTCACGGCATGAGCATTGGCGACCAGTGGGGCAAATTATTCATGGGTCAAACGCACGAGGAACGTGGCTTGAGCTCCAGGACTCCCATGCTTAACGAGAGGGGCGGCAATTTTATCGACACCGCGAGCATTCAAGCGTCCCAGAGGTTCATCAGCGAGTGGATAGAGACAAGGGTAATCCGGATTCTGTCTTGTTGTCCAGGGCAAGGTCCTGTACGTACCTTATCATGTCACCGGAGTCCGTTCAGGCAAATTCAGCGGCGCAGTGAGTGTTGGGAGCTACATTGACTGGTTCTGAATGTATGCCTGGCATCATGCACAATGCTGACAGTAATAGTACTAGTTAGTAGCGGTGTGTGGCAGTCTTGTATGCATACTTACCACATCCAATTGATACTGTCCCTCATACCGAACGCATACCTCGACGTAAGATGCGGCATCTTTCCCTCCATCGGGAGCACATAGTCGGCTTGGTCACAATAACGAATGCCAGGGCAATTCTCATCCGGCGAAGCACCTATATGCCCTTCTTACCATGGCTTAACAGAGTACAGGAGGAGTACGTGACCCACATGAGACTTGCGACGCGTAAATTCTCAATATCAGGAGAATATACTTGTCGTGATGAATCGGAGCCCTGCAGGCGATGATCGCCGCACACTGTCGTCCTTGGAGTAGATGTGCGGGCAGAGGCTCCTGTTCACGCGAATGCGAAGAATCATTGTCGATCTCACTGAATAATAGCGCGAGGAATGTTTGTAAAACATACATCTATGATACACCGAGAAGCCTAAACCAAGCGGATAATGGATAGCGAATTGACATATGGACGAAGGTGAGGGATGACAACAGCGCAGAGTGCTACTAGGATTTGGTCAGAACTCCTGAACATCCCTGCTGACTGCGTGACTCACCGATCAATTGTCACTTCTTTCTCTCTCCGCGCTTTGCTTCTCCACTACGAGCTGCCATCCACCGTAGAGCTGATTGGTGATAGCGCTGCGTTTCAGGACCGCGAGCTCCTTCGTCTTCTCGTTGTAGAATGCGGACAATTTTGCCGCATCCGCCTCATTCTATTGACAAGTGTCGAGCCCAATTACAATGTGTGCAGCAGAACAATCGACAGGGACGTACCTCGATCTCCTGGAATGCTTTCTTCGTTCGGCGGATGAAGTAGTTGCGGAAGTTGTACGAGCTGAACTCCCGCGACGTGCGCATGGTAGTGTTGAAAAGCTCGGTGAGAGCCTGCTTCGTCGGTGCTGCAGCCATTTTTGGTGGGGGTAGACGAGGATGCGAAGGTGGGCGAGCAGCGGGGTGAATGAGGTTATTAAAGAGCTCGGTGGTTTGGCGCCCTTCGGACTCGATGCTCGTAAGCCTTCGGCGGCAACGTGACCAGCCTGTGGCTGTCTCCTCCCACCAATGCAGCGCTCTCGGTTTGCAATGATGACCATCTCCTCTCTGCCACGCACCGAAATCGCTTGGACTCTAGTGGTCGCTGAGACTCCCAGGACGAATGCTTTCCGGCCCCAACGTCTTTTGAATTGGACCGGACTATCTGGAGTACCATGGCCCATTGGAGACAGTGATTTCGAACATGCACCGTATGCACTGTCCGGGGCATGCAGATCAAGTCTTCGACGGAGTACGATGGGGCGCATACCAATGACCCTCATGACTCGGAGGAAGGTATGAAGCCCCCATGTTATCGTAGGAGGGTTGTAGGAGGGTTGCAGGCGTCGGTGAGTATGAAACACATCTATCACTCTCCTCCGTACACACATAGTTACATTTTGCCACGCACCCTGCGTGCAATGTTCAGTTTTACCGCAATGCGAGATTGAGCTTTCTTCACTGAAGGCAACATCACCATGTATCGGATAATTCGACAAAGATATAGCATCGGTGATTTCCTAGGTTCTTGAGGATCCGTTTCGTGCTCTTCTGATCCAGAAGACCTCCCAGTGAAACTACTCGTCTGATAGCGCGATCTGCGAAGCCGTGACAGTGAACCTTTTCAACACGATCATCTACGTGCCCAGCCCATTAGTGGCTAAGAGTAGTCCGCCACGTTCCGCTGGTGAGTCCTTCTACTGATAAGTTAGTCTGCGCCGCTGCTGTATAGCCCCAACCGCAATAGCTTTCGAACCTACAGTAGAACCCGATGTGCCACAGTTCGTTCTCTGGGGAAGCCGCGTACTTTTCGCATTTAAAGAAAGTCGAGCTATCCGTCTCCCGCGATAGGGCGAAGGTCGAGACTCAAAGCTACTAGAGCCATCACTTGTCGAGATCATCGACGCCGCACAAGACGCGGCCTCGGAGAAGTGAGGCGATTGGTCTGATTGGTTAGTCTCCGTACTTATTCTGCGCCACCAGTGGCGACCTTGAACAACACCTTCCTGTGGCGACAGTCGCCTCGAGGTTTATTGCACAACAAGATCGCATCGCAACTCAACGCCTTGCGCTTTCTTCGAACGGGCGATATGATGAGCCTCGCACGTCTGCCACTCATCTCTCATCTCACCAGATCATTCCCTTTCAAGGTCATCGCTCGAGCGGCGTATTGAGGCTCGAGCAGATCAGTGGCGAAGCAGTTGCAGTTAAATAGCAGGTGCGAACACGACGCCTCACCCAACTCTCCAACCTACTCACCTTCGAAATGCTTGATCTTAAGCGTCTCCTTCGACGCATCGCACGACCCTGCTCGCCCAGGGGACCCGACGACGAAGAATTCCACTCGGCAAGCGACCTCTCCTCCGTCTATGTCTGCGAATGGACGCCGGATCACATCCCCATCTCAAGGCTGTCCGTGACCGCTCAGGCCGGCTCCCAGCGCACCAGCGTGCGCCGGTCGTGGATATCCGCCCTCGCGCGCGCGCCCAACATAGGCCCGGCTCGTAAAAACAAGGCGAGGTGAGCGGTTCTGCTATTCGGCGAAGGGCGAGTTCTAAGATTGCTTAGGCAGCCCGGGAAGCGGAAGGAGCCTCCGAGGCCTACGGAGTCAATGATGGTGGCCGTTCCCAGTGTAGAAGCGCCAAGGACGTCTGACGGGCTAGGTGAGTCGTCGACGTTGTCAGGAGGGTAAGCCAGTGTTCCTTCATACCGCTCGTATACTCACCTTCTCCGTGTCTAAAAGTGATACTCCCCTGGCATGCTCGGACCAACCATCAGACTTGGGCTCAATCCCGTCCTGGAGCTCCTCTACTTCGAAGGGTGGCTCAGATGGCAGCAAGAGGCTCGCCGTACGCGGTATCGTCGGCGAGGGAGGCTCCGGCAAGGTGTTCTTGGTCCGGGACGTTATGCAAGAACAAGACGTTGCGATGAAGGTCGTACGAGTTACCGACTCGTCACTTCCCTTGGAGTATCGTGGTGTCGTCACCGAGGTCAAGATCTTGCGCATGCTCAGCGAGGCCCCCCAGAAGTTCCTCCTGGAGCCTTACATGGGGTGCACGCGGCGTGACTGGCTGACGCCTTTCGGCGACCTGCATATCCTAACGGTGCGAGTTTCAAGCGCGTATTTTTGAAACATCAGCTTACGATTCACAGAAATACTACGCTGGCGGCACCCTGGAGCAGTACCTGGGCCTGCTGAGCCACAGAGAAGTGTGGCTTGTCACCGCAGAGTTGGTAAGCGCGACTAGCCTGAGCCGTGCAGGCGTCGCAAAGCTCACTCTACGTAGGTCCTGGGCCTTAACTGGCTCCATACGCAGGGACTCGTGCACCACGACCTGAAGCCAGCCAACGTCCTCGTCGGCAGCGACGGGCACTGTGCGATCGCGGACTTCAACTCGTGCAGGCAGCTGAAGGACGGGAAGCTGCGGAGACGGTTCGTATTCGACGAGGTGGTCTTCACCCAGAACTACGCCGCGCCGGAGTTGCTCCCTGACAGCAATGGCGTCGAGCCGGAGTATGACCAGTCGGTGGATATATGGTCCTTGGGCGTCGTCGTCAGCGAGCTGCTCACCGGCGAGGTACGTTCTCGTCAGCCATCTCATGTCGTCTCAGGCGTTAAAGCGTTGCGCCCAGCTTTTTGGAGGTGTTAATTCCTGTACGAAGGCTAACGTAGGCGGATCGCGCGATGATGCGTTGTCGCATATGGCAGATGCCGAAGGCGCATGCAGTTACCTGGTTGATCTAGTACGAGGGGTACGCCTATCTTGTTCTTTCTGCATCGGCATGTCTTGACGGTTCTCAGATGCTCTCAGAGGACCCGATCGAGCGGATGGACATCGCCGGTATCTCTAAGTGTCCGGGCTTCGACCAACATATGTGGGTGGTTGTCGCTGCTTCGGTGTTGTGTCGCCTCGCTGACACGGGAGCAGGGGCATCAAGTGGCAAGACGTCTTGCAGAAACGTGAACGAGGCATGTTGTTGCGTAACCTGATCGCGTTTATGTGCTGATATGTACGAGATGCAGCTATCAGGACCGTCATTCCTCTCAACGCCGAGAGGCTACCCTCCCACTCCGCGAATGCTGCGCCTCCCGAAAGGGCCCGGAGTCATGAATGGCGTCGATTCAGAGCGGAGTGTGGCAAGCAGGATGTGCATTTCGAGAACGTCGACGACGTCTGCGTCTGACGATATGGTCCATATGGCATAGCATAGGTGCGTCGTTACGTTCCTCTCACGCGAGACATGCTCATGTTGGGGACGACAGCGTATATGTCCCAGTTAACAGGACATCGAGCCTTGACTTGTACAAAATTACCGTAATGTCATCCTAATCTCTGTGCATCGAAGTCATGCGCTGTCTCGATTGGATCCAAGGACCGAATAGCCGTGACGGCAGTGCCGCAACATGCAGGGGTGTTGTTCCGTAAGAAGATTCTCCTTGTTCGTGGATACAAGGTTCTGTCATCACGACCCTTCTTCAGTGCGTCTCTAGACGCCGATGTACCGTTTACATAAAGAGGCGTGGCGAGGGTCGGACGAGGATCGTGCTCTTGTCCCACCATCATGAAAATTGTGTTCGCTTCAGCGTGGTTCGCGTTCCTCACCACGGTTCTGTTGACGGCTTTTGTCAGCCCAGAGCCAGTCTCAGCGTCAACCACAGCCAACTTTGCAAAGTGAGTCGTAGAGACCAGTACTGTTCTTCGTTGCTGACGCTGGATCGCAGGAGTATCTTCCGTGAACTCAAAGATGCCGTACACAAAGCGCAAGATGTCATAAATGGTGCGCTTACGTCCACATGATACCCGTCTGTCAGTGCCTACTGAACTGTAAACGATGTCGCAGATGTCGTGCTTGACTCCTTTGGCCCTTTGACCCCGAATCGATTCTGGCAAGACGCACTGTCGCTTGGTCGGCGCGGCCAGGATTACGCAGGTTTCTTGATCCACGAGGCTGCACAGAAGGAGGACCCGACTACTGCTGCTCGACTTTACGATATTCAAAGCACGATGGAAGTTATTGTCCATGACACAGGCGACCTGAAAGAGCTGATCATCGCACAAGTCCCCGATGAATCGTTCGATAATGTCCGGCGCGGTATAGAGAAGACCCTGGCGAACATCTTGGAGGATCTGAAAGACCGGTTCCCTCCGCCTGATCATGCGCTGAGCCACGCAGAGCGGGAGGGCAATGTGACACTGGTCGTCAACATCATAGAGGAGTCCCTCATCAAGTTTGGCGTGGAACACGGGATATCGGAGGAGCAACTCAAGATGCGTCTTGCCCCAATTATGAAGCACGTCGAAGACGTCGTCGTTGCCATCGGTCCGTTTACATTGTCATATTTTTGTTTCATATCCTTGTGATCTCACATTGAACCCTTGCCAGGTGATCTGGCGGAACAACACCCGTACTTGCTCAAGACTTTGCTCGTCTCTGGTGTCATGATCATCATCCCCGAAGCCTGGTTCCTTCGCCCATTGCTCCGATTCTTCGGCTTCGCTCCTAAAGGTCCTGCCAAAGGTACGAGGCAATATCTTCACTATCTCGATGTGATTGTACCAGGGCATGCCATGCTCACTTCGTTGAACCGTCAATAGGTGGTTCCTTGGCGACCTGGACCCAGCGCACATTCTATGGCGGAACCGTCACAAAGGGGAGCTGGTTCTCGTATCTGCACCGCGCAGCTTTCGGTCGCTGGGAGCATTCGACCGAGACCATATATCACTGCGGACCAACCGGACTCTGCGAAGCGATTACATGGCCCTAAGAAGAGCGTGTATATCAGTAAGCCGTCGAGTGAGAACCCCTACCACGGGAATTAGAGTCTTAGTGTATGGCGCGATTTCCGAATCTAATATGTCATGTTCAGATCACTTATGAGCAGAGGTGCCAGGCAACCTACAGGGCGCAGCAGCCCAGTGGACTTCCCGTGCACGCCGCTGGGCGGTCATGCGGTCGAGGTTGAGTCCATTGAGCCGCGCAGCCGAAATACCTTCACAGAGCACGCCACACCTAGGTGTGTTGTCTGTATCAGGAAGGTGAGCTGCTTCCGTTGTCCGTGGAAATAAGGTTCCGTCGACATGAGCTTCCTTTGTGCAGTCCTCAACGCCCGCTCGCCCATATTAAAGGGCGCGGCGAGCGCGAGGCCTCCTTCTGTCCCCATCCACCATCATGCGAGTCGTATTCGCCTCAGCTTGGTTCGCGCTCCTTAGCACTGTCGTCCTCCTTGGCGCTGAACCTGTTTCAGCGCTGACCACAGCAAACTTCGGTAGGCAAGTGTCTCTTTTTCATCTTAACGAGTCGTCGGGAGCCACTGACCAATGATTACAGGAATATATTCCATGGAATCAAAGGTGCTGTTGATAAGGCGCACGATGGCATGAACAGTACGTTTGCGTCCGTTTAGTATCAGCATCTACTCAGTGGCATCACAGAGGCGATTTCCGATGTCAATCGTCGTCTAGGCAAGCTCGGAACGCCACAACAATTCTGGGACCGTGCACAATCGCTTGGCCATCGTTCTCAGGACTACGCGGCTTCCCTCATCCACGAAGCTGCACAAAAGGCTGACGCGACCACCGTCGCCCAGCTACGCCATTTCCAATATGCTGTCCAAGTAGTCATCGCTGATACGGAAGACCTCAAAGAGGTCATTGCACAAACTGCAAACAAGCCCTTTGACGAGATTCAGCACAACATCGAGAAGGTGTTCGCGGACCTCCTCGAGCAGTTGAAGGAGCAGTTCCCCCCACCTGACCAGGCGCCCAACCATGCAGAGCGCAGAGGCAACGTTTCCCTGGTTGTTCGCAAAGCAGAAGAGGCCTTCATCAAGTTGGGCGTGCAACATGGGATGTCGGAGAAGGAACTTCGGATACATCTCGACCCGATCATGAAGCATGTCGAGGATATCATTGTCACTATCGGTCGGTCCAGTCCATACGTCCGTATCCTATGTTGCGATCTCACGCCTTACCAGGGGACTTGGCGGAACAACACCCGGTCTTGTTCGAGACGTTGATTGTCTCCAGCGTCATGCTCATTATCCCCGAGTCGTGGTTCCTCCGCCCTCTATTCAGGCTCTTTGGGATGTCGCCTGAGGGCCCCGTTGCAGGTACGGACCAGCTGTCCTATCTCGTACAAGAACACAGTATGCTCACGTCGTTGGCTGCGCAGGTTCCGCGGCAGCTTGGGCTCAGCGCCGCTTCTACGGCGCATACATCCCGAAGGGCAGTTGGTTTTCGCACCTCCAGCGCGCGGGCATGAAGGGCGCGCCCTGGGTGGATCCGGTGAAGAAGACTGTAGGCGGTTCCATCCTGGCTGGCATCGGACTCGCTGGCGGCTTGTTCGCGGGATGTGGCAGGGCCTGAGGTCACTAGGCACCGACGTTTCATGATCCATTGTCTGACGTAGCATATGTGTACTGCTTGTAAATGCATAACAACGGTACTCGCATTCAGATGATGATAACACGGAATAGACCTCGACATCAGTCGTTCCAGCGGGCATGTAGGGTGAAGTGGCGCTGGCCGGGCCGGCTGAAGGCGTCGACGAGCCTATCAGCGATACGGGCACTGCGCGCATACACGCGTCTCTAGCGGGCATGGCCGACGATGTGCACAGTCACCGCCATAGATTGTCGATGCGACGAATCATACTTTGACGTGCGATCGCTGCGGACGGTGGTGTTCGCGGCGTGGCCAGTGCGGTGTCGTCAGAGCCGCTGAAAGCGTACGTATGTCAGTCACGCCGGAACCGCAGAGATCGAATATGCATACCTCGAGGTGTTGTTACTATCCACGGGGCCTTGCGGTCGGGTCATAGGCATGATCTCACAGAGTACTGGTCGTTCAGCGATTCCCGGACGTGCTTGCGCATGTTCAGCCTGCGTTGACAGAGCTGACGTGAGCGGGTGCGTTCCGCCCGGTCGATGGACTCACACTGCCATCCCGGTGTTGCAGTATACTGTAGTTAGATATCAAGTCAGCAAGTGGCTGGGAAAGGACTGAAGAGGCGCTCACCGTTCACTTCGGCGAAGTAGACGACTGCGGTGATGTTCGTCGAGCCGGAGTGGATGTCGTAGATGTACTGCCACACGCACGCGTCAGCGTCCCTGCACCCGTCACGGAGAACAGAGTGAACCGCACGCACAGTCGCGAGGGCCACGAGTTGCACCATGCTGCGGAAGCCCACATAAGACGACTACGTCCCGGGGATTGTGTGCAGGTGCTCACCATAGGATGATGCCGCGGTCGGCGCTGTACTTGATCAATCGGTTGACGAGTGCTCTGTTCTACGTGATATGTGTATCGATGCTTGAACGGGCTTCTGACGGACGTGTACTCACGGGCTACGCAGGCCTGATTTGGCGGCATATAACGTATAGCATAGGACAAATGTGATGTAGACGTCCGTGAGGATGATGATGCCTGGCGGGGCTAGGGCCACCAAGGACTGATCATGGAATAATGGATGAGTCGCGCGTCGGGGATGAAGGGAGAATGGGACAGCCCACCATCTTGTTGAACCTCCCTTTGTAGTAGCTTGGGGGTTGGGGGTGTGAGCAGGTGTTGTGATACGCGGCGAGGTGAAACTTACATAGCGTAGTCGATGACTGAGGGTGTAAGTAGCAAGGTCAATGGTCTCCGTTTGCCTAAATTGTCGCAAGACACCTACTTGCGGACCCAGCAACTTCGTCGCGGATTTAGTGAGATGTATAAGCAGATCCGATGGTAACTCACGAAGGGTTAAGATTGCTAGCACGATCTGAACAGCGTAAGCGTGGCAGTTTTGCGGCGTTTAGAAGAGACTCACGGCGACACCTATGATGAGTCGACGACGTTTGTGATATCGTAGAACTGTGACGAAATACGTCGGTGAATGAACTTTACGAACTCAACAAGCAGACTCACTATGTTTCATGTTGTTGATGTAGAAGCTGCGGTATCGTCAGCGTCAGCATACCGTCAATCGAATTATAGGTATTCGCTGTCGCTCACCACTGTACTGAGAACACAAGTATCCACTGCGCGCGGTGAGTATCTCAGAACGGAAGCACGTGCTAGTACCCACGTACTCCTAGAACATTCTGCGCCTTGGTGAAGCTTTACTTCAGCCGCGCCCCTCAGGATGTGCGAGAAGTGAGAACGTACCCCATAAGCTCTGAGTGAAGAGCGTGAGCGGCTATATGCTACATCTCGCGAATAGTGCTTACATGGAGAGATGTGCTATACTTTCGAGGTTGGCGTGGTTGGCGATCAGGTCCTCGAAAAGGACCTACACAGACAGTAACGTCAATATGTGCACACACTGGTCAGATATGCACGTACCTGCAGCGCTATCGCCTCCTTCACGGTGTCCAACAGTCTGTCGGCCAACAGTCAGGTCATCGAAGTGGATGCTAAAACCTACACTGACAACCAGCATGCTACCTACGCATAAGATGAGCTCGCGCAGATCTTCTTTCCACGATCAATCTGTACGCACCAGGCCCTTCAAATGTCTCGGGTCATCGGGATACACCCAGAAGTAGTACACGGCTTGAGCGAGAGACAGTCCGTACAGACTTTGAATCCGGAAAGAAGATCAGCTGCGGAGTCAGCGAACCGGGAAGACACTCCGAAAGACAAGGCGGACGTACAACTGTGACAACATCGCCCCGACGAGGCCGCATCCGATGGTCGTTCCGAGCAGGAACTCGAGGCTAGCCATGATATGGTCCGCCGCGTCCTCGGGGACGCGTCGAGGAGGAGGACGAACAACACGCAGGCGTTATTAATATGAGTATTGAATGCCGCTATCGTTGACCCCTAGCTGACGCGCTCGCGACTCACATGTCTCCGGATCCGATGGATTTCCGGACCATCGCAAGACGATCATGTCCGGTCGCCTAGCGTCTTGGGAGTCCATGTAGAAAGGATCAGCGCTTCAGCACCTTGCTAGCACTGCCATCAGGCGGGATCTCCTGCGCGCTACATGGTAGGGCATGCGGTGCCAATGCGGTGCCGTGACAAAACTGACCGCTCGCCTTCTGGGGAATCGGGATGTGCGGGAACGCTAGTGCAAGCTCAGCCCAGGCTGACACTGCACGCAGAACGTTGGAGAATTAGAGTGAGTCTCTTCGTTTCTGGTCATTATTTCGAACTTGCATACTCACCACAGGTAACTTATGGCCTATGAGCCTACGCCGGGTCTGCGGCTCGAATGCGAGCATACGCGCCGTGATACAAATTCAGATCTGCAAACGTAGCGATTGGCCTGAGACATCCCGCCCGCGGCGACCCTCGGCTTTCAAGTGAAAACATGATGAATCTGCGTATGTTCAGCAACACCCCATTCGCACGGCACGCTTGAGCACAAAGGTGTTGCTCACTCTGCCCAGCTGTAGCGTCACCTAGTGCTTCTGAGTTTAATACACGTCGCGAAGGCAAGATGAGGCGACCAACGCTGGCGGAGGCAAACGGACGGGCCCGCGCAAGCGTGCGGATCACATGTACTCTACCTCCTCAGCTTCGCTCTCGCTGCAGAAGCACTGCATGAGCTTGGGCAATGTATGTTAATGATGACTACAACTGAAACGTTGTAGAATTGGTGAGAACGTAAACCTGGATGAGTCTCGCCGCCAAGAGGTTAGTACATTGAGGTATAATGAAGCAGCACGTCGTTGCGCGTTCGCTGGACAGTTGCGGATCATAGGGCCGTAGCACCTAAGAAGACAGCGGCCAGTACTCGATGATAAATAAGACAGGGACTCTCGAACACTGTTCTCTGCTGAGTTGTGAAGTTGTCAACGAGAGCATAGGCTACATATGCTCACCGACGTCCCGGGTTGTCAAATACATCCCAATAGTGACTCATCCGTGAACATACAGAGCAGGGCGCGTTTTCTCTCTTCCGTTCAGAGCCCGATATACGACAGCCGAGCGTTGCATGACGCACTCGACAGTTGTATGGGCGCAACTGAGAGAACACTGTGTTCGCAAAATGCAGACAGGCCGGGCCATATCCATCCACATCCTCCTGAACTTGAATCGTGTTATTCCCAGGACGGAGGCACCACAAGACAGACAAACTCACCTAGGTGACCGGACGACCCCTGCCATTGTGACCCTTCTCAGTGAAGCCTTCGCTTCCTCCACATACGGTGACAGCTCATCCTCATTGTCTGCAGCAGAGACTTGAGGTCGGTTTCGACATCCATCTGTGGCACTATAGTACTTGAACCGCAGGACCTCGTGCACGACAGCGCGCGCGATTACACAGGAGATATTGCGCTAGTGAACGTGGATATTGCCCGCTGAGGAGTGTCTTCGATTGTAGCAGTAGACGACAATGCTGGAGCTACCCGGCGAGTCGATTCTGCTGAAATTTGGCGGCCGACTCATCGTCAGAGTGATGGTTGAGAGCAAGTAGCAGCAAGTCACGTTGTCGCGCTTCGGGAGCGTTGTCCCTCCCCCTTGCATTTTCGACCACAACGTCCTCGTTGCTAGAGGTCCATTGCATACCTGTACTCAATAATCATGATATGGGCGATGCATATCTCCTCTGGGTTGTTCGTCACATCGCGAGAGGTCTCCTCGTCATATTGCCAAAGCTCCCCGCTCGGTGACTAGGTTTCCGGAAACTCGAGTTTGCTCTCCGCAGATTACGCTCTATACGTATCTGGTGAGCATCTCAAGGTTCCAATCACAACAAACTTTATGTGATTGAGTCGTCGGATCCCGCACGAGAGGATGAAGGAGCCTGGCCCTACTGAGTAGCGCCGTCACCCATTCATGTTCCAAGCTGGATGGCGGGCCTCGGGAAGAGGCGAGAGGTGGAGAGGAAACACAGCGATGCAGTGTCAGGTAAGCAGAGTCTCGTGTTCAGAAGATAAACTCGTCCTGACAGACCGTGGACAACACAGAGCTACCGCGCCCCGTCGAGTCTGGGTTGACTCATTCCGCACCTTAGTCCGTATTGCACGCACTTCCCTCTGGGTCGGTTGTCGCTCTAGCTCCAGTGTATGTTATATGTATGTGCCATCTTTGAGTCTCTGTCGTTTGAGTGTTGAACGTCTCTGCAAGGAGGTTGTGGATACACATTACAAGTCGGAGACTGCAGTGTGATGTGAGTCTACATCGTCAACGTAGGCTAGCAAGTATGCCCCGTACGCGGAATGGTGACAAATAAGCGAGTAAGGCAGCAACGCGCTGAGATAGCCCGACATCCCAGTTCAGTGTACGCCGTTGCTTGCGGAAGGCGTTGAGGAAACACGAACGTTTTGTGAGTGTATGCGCACATTTCACTCGACTTAAGGCATGGTAAACATGATGATCTAACATCCATGTCAGCGTTCGGGTTCTGACATAGTATCGCCGTCCTGGACCTATACGCACCCGGGGTGTGCTGTTTCGAACCTTGGGCGGCGATGGCGTCGCGGATCGATGTGCAAGCAGTGCATTTCAACACGCGTCTAGCGTTGGCACGCGCGCAATGCGCACCGAGATATGGAGTGAAAACGCTGTCCTTCCGGATGGTACCGACACGCTCGCATGAAGTAGGGGCGCTTGAGAATGCTACAGCGATGTCGACGGGCATTTTATCAGAACAGACATACGTCAATACCTGCTTTGCCTCCGCATGAGCGGTTTAGTCCATCGCTATGTGTCTTGTCCGAGTACGCTGGTGAGCGTGTATCGTATAGAGCATGAAGTTGATCTACGCACAGACGGCACAACCGCGTACTGGCACATCTTTCCAGAACCGTCGACTAGCTGCCTAAAGTTCGTCGTCCCTCGGTTACCCGTGAATCTCCAGTGAAGAAAGGGAAGCATGAGCAAGGTGCGCCGATGACTGCTTAGCCGTACTCACTTGTACCAGGGTAATATACATCGTCGGCGCATCTTCCACCTTCACCGTGTCGCGCTTGTCCCGCTATTGCCGCGGTATAGTACCAATGGCGACCAATGATGGCAAGCCGTGCTCGCAGCACGTCGAAGAGAAGAGACCAGCAGGCAGGATAGACGCAACGGCGAGGTCAGTGTCGGCGGTGTATCGACAGCCAACTTCTTGTCCCATAGTCAAGGCCTGGAACTTGGACACCGACGAGAGTCCGACGGGGCATGTCCGAGAGCCCAGACGGTAGCATACGCGCGTGCCTTCCGAATCCAGAGAACAAATAGGTGCGTCCAAGCAGCCTAACCAATCAACGTGCACGCTGACCTCGACGACAGCCGTAAACTGGCAGTCCCTTGTACGCTGCATAGTCGCTGGATTTCAGATCTGTCGGAGGCTCGGAGTCGCGTGGTCGTGGACCGTGGCTGCGACGAAAGCCAACAACGCGCGCTTAGTTGTGGCCTACCCCCGCTCAGCCTGAACTCTGCTACCACTCGTTCTCATACCCTACCTGCTTCGACGACCTCTGCCATTTGACCGGCAGCAACGACGCTGCAGCACTCTCGAATTCAGTACACGCGCCCTGCATTCCCGATCACAATGTCTTCTGCAGCCCTGACTGCCTTTGAAAACATGGTAAGTCGTCGGTGCTGGGCACGGTAACGTGGTCTGACTACTTATGCTGCAATAGCCCACGAACGCCTTGACCCAAGCTAACAATATTGCCACCCTCTACGAATCTTCCGCGGTGTACCGCGTCTTATTCAACGACGACCTATTCGAGGTCGTCGTACGCAGCCTGCTTTACCGAGGCACATGCGACCGTGCCTCCGTCGCCCGCCTGGCGAGGACTTCGTCACAATTCACGTATGCCGCCATGCGGTTCCTATGGGAGAAGATGACGTCGCTCGTCCCGCTGTTCAAGACGATCCCGGGATTGCGTTGGTCGATCCACATTGAGCGAGACACACAGCTTTGGGTACGTCTAGTGCAATCCTTGTGTACCGGCGTTATGTGTTGATGCCCGATACATTAGCATGTTCATGCTCCCACCAGTGACCCGGCGTCGCTCGTGCTCGATACATCGGCATTTCAGCGATGCGCAACATTCATCAAGGACTTCGCCTGGGAAACAAACGAAGACGTGACTCCGTCGACGTTGATTTTTTTCGCCAAAGCGTTGGAAGGGTCTGTTTCATTCTGGATGACCAATATCCATGTCTTCAAGTGGCACGAACATCGACATGTCCCCACGCTCCCTCCTCCGTGTATTTCGGAGCACCGACGTTGAAGGATATCTCCATAACTGCTTCTGACATCGAGCAACCCATGTTGCTGCGCATACTCGAAGATCTGCCGGTGCTGTGCCCAGAACTTGAGCGCGTCGTCATCAAGCACCCAACGCGGCGGCAGAACTGCACACACATCACATATTCTCCAGACATCTTCCCCGCATGCAATCAATTCTTCTACGATATGCTCAACGGCCCCTCGGGCAGCTCGACACTGCGACACCTCACCACGTGCATCACGCTCACTTGGGACGACGTCTTCCTGCTCGCACAGATGCCGAGGCTCGAAACTCTCGACGCCACGGTGTGCGCGCCGCCCGAGTACCCCGAACCCCCGCTCCCGGAAGGCGCTTTCCAGAGCCTCATTCACTTGAAGCTCGAACTCTTCGAACTGGATGACTTGATGGACCGTCTGCTAGGTGGCATAGACTGCCCGGGGCTGGAAAGTCTTGACGTGGAGGTCACAGAAACACCCCCGAAGGAACCACAGATTCGTCGGTTCTTTGAGCGCGTAGCGCTTGGCACATTCCGGGACGGCCTCGAGCGGCTCCGGTTCGAGGTCTGGTGGCATATACTTCCCGACGAGTGGGATGAATGTGTCCCTGGGATTTCAATGTCGATGCGTACCCTAGGTCCGCTACTGCAGCTGCCGTCTTTGGCTTCGCTATCCTTGATGGTGCCCAGGATCTGCCTCAGGTACCCGGACGACTTCAGGGAGCTATCACTGGCTTGGCCCCAGCTCAGGAAAATCAGCATCCTACAATTCTCCAACGCGGTGTCCCCTGCCGACGTCGACGGGTTATGCGCATTCGCAGCGTTGTCGCCCAATCTGAAGTCCATAGCATTCGACGTCAATGGCGACTTTATTCCTTCGCCGCCTTACTACTCTCCCGAGGACATGCCGTTGCGCTCGGCGTCAGTCAGGAAGGTTACTTGCTGCGTCTACAGGCAGCTGTCCCAAGACGAGGTCCTGGCTTATTTGAAGTTTATTTTCCCGAATGCTGTGGTAAAGCCGACCCTGGAATCGGACCGACGAGTGAGACGATGGCGAGAATGGGATGATGAGTAATTGGATGTCCGTCCTTGCTGATTCACGGACTCGGGGGTCGTGCGCGTTATGTTTCAATATGCCAACAGTTCACGTATTTCTGTTTATAGACAATGCATTAATGCGTATATGACCGCTCAAGCTCAAGGACCAATGTGTACACCATACGGCACTACTGTTAACGCCCCGCAGTGCTATGTAAACCACACCTATGCGTAATCATACTTGTTACCCCCCCCTGGCTTGGGCATGCGAGATTAAGATAGCCTCCTCCTCAAATCGGCCATGGGCATTGTTCCTAGTCAAGCGTTAGTCTTAGTCGCTTCAGCAACACAAGCAGGCACAATCTCTCTGAGTGGAGCCTGAGGGCGGCCGCTTATGACAGGAGCACGCCTCGAACATCAGCAGCTACCTAACCCAGCTAGAAATGAAGTGCGACGCAGCCTGACCGCACTCATAGAAGACCCACTCACATGGATGGGTCACACCGCAGAGTCATGACGAATCGTGATGTCGCGAGCGAACATTCAAGTCGACTATGTAATCCACGGCGAGACTGATTAGAGCCAAGTGAGAAAGGCGAGAAGTATTGCTCACCCGTACTATGCTCTCTATCCGATCCCGTGTGTTGTCTATGTTCAACCCTACCTCATATTCTTCAGCACGTCAAGATCATGCTCTCGTGGCGTGCGCGTCCTGCGAATTGAGCGCCTCGGGGCGGCGCGGAGGAGGAGGGCGCGGGCGGACGTAACCCCAATGTGCTGTTTTCGAAACGGGACTCGGAGAGGATGCTGCGCAAGTTCTCTGCCAGTCCACTCAGACCAGCCATGGGGTGATCCAGGTGGCCCAAGATGAGTATGGATGAGCGAAGTTAGCTCTCGCTGGAGGGACTGACGCCACAGGTTGTCGGCGGCGACTCGTCGCTAGAATTGACATTGAGCAACCATAATGTACGTACATCGGAGTCTACTCAGCCTCCTGTCAGATGGAAGAGACAGGGACTTTGCGAGCAACAGAGTGCCCCGCCTTCTGCAAGCCGAGAGGAGGAGGGGAGGAGGAGGTACCTGCAAAGAAAGCCGCACGCGTGCGCGTCACCGCCACCAGCCGCGTTCAGGCTTCGGCCCAATCGGGTCTCAGAGCACTTAGTATGTATCAGCTGTTCCATCCCAGCACGACGAGTAATGGTATTGTTGCAGTCCCATCTCCGCCGCGAGCATTCCAAGTTTGCAGTGAGTTTCGATTTGAAGAGCCTTGCGCGCTGTGATGCGACTTGAAGCTGAAGATGACATTACTGTAACACCGGGCAGCATTTCGGCCCACTGGATGGTGAGCGTCGGCAGCGTTTGATAGCGAAACAATAGGAAAAGATGGACAGAGGGCAAGGAGTAATGCGAAAAGTGAGTTCCAGTATGCATGCGGTGGACCGTGACGGCGAGAGGTGTGATACTGACAGAATGCGCACAGAACTGTCCATGTCCATAAATGACGTGGCATCTTCACTGTTACTCTCAACATAGCCTCCTCAGGTTTGTACTAGGTTGAAGAATGATGGATGTATGCAATGATTGTCCTGTCGTCATCACGAGTCTTGTACTGTCTCCGTAAGTGAATCAAAGTCGCAGACAAATCGGAGCTCAGCTTGGACATGAGACTAAGCAGGATCTCAGTCTCTCGTCACGGAGAGTCAAGCAATTGAACAACGTCGTGAATACATGGACGTTTCCAACGATGCCTATTGCATAGGACGAGGTCCGCCGAAACTAAGGCTGGATGCTCGGAAAAGCAAGACAGGCGTACCTGATAGGTATTCCAGTTCCTCCGTAACAATGCGTTTGATAATAATGAAGATAGAATTGACAGTGCCTCGCCGGCGCATTGTCTGTCGCAAAGCCAAATAGCTGTACTACGGGAGGAGGTAAGCATCCGTTGCGCGATAATCATTCACCATGGCCAAGTTCGTGGAGCTCACGTAATTGACGTCGGCTCTTACCCACCTAGCGCTCTTTATCCCCTCGTTCATCGTCATGGTGTCGTGAATGTCGCTGAAGAATCAACTCGATTTTTGAGGTACACTGGGACTGTTTTGAGCGCATCCAAGTCATGTGTCGGCATCATGCCAGTCGTTGACGCACCTGCGTACGCACTCCCCGTTGCATCTGTTATCGCAGTCGCAGCAACCTGAGTGTCGGAACCAGTTGGCACATAGTTAGCTACAGGCCGACGAAACCAATCGACTGCATCGTCATAGTCTCGAGGTCTACACAACGACCGCAATGTGGCCGCGACCGCCGCCCCGGCGTATCTAAGGCAACGCCAAAGTTTCCAGAAAACTGCCAGATTGGGCGAACAAACAGGTGCGCCCACACAGCCCATCCAATCACTGGCATGGCGCACGCTGACCCAGTCCAGGCCGTGCAGATATTCCAAAATAGCCGTGCATCTGTACTGTACACGCTCGCTGGGTCTCAAACCCGGCGGAGGCCCGGAACCACGAGCTGCAGAGGTGGCTACGAGGAAAGTCAACATCGGCGCTTGTTTGTGGCCCACTTCTGTCCAACCCGATCGCTGCTCTCGGTACTCACTTTCCTACCGTGCCCTGCTAGTCCCTGGACAGCCTGACGCGCAATACTATCGCCGCAACGCATTATTCCAGAACATCTGATTGATTCCTCCATCCCGCTTATCCTAGATACTCCTACTGTCACAATGGCCTCTCAAGCAAGGCTGCGCGCCTCTGATATCACGGTAAGTTACGACTGTTCTGCCACATGAAGTCGTCTGACCCCGGATGGCTAGTCTTCCTCTCGCTACCCCACCCATCCGGACGACTTCTTGGCAAAATACAAGACGTCCGCCATGTATCAAGTGCTATTCAATCCGGACCTCTTCGAAATCATTGTACGATTTCTTTACGGTGCCGAGGGCCTGTATGATCCGAGTTCTGTTGCTTGCCTCGCTCGGTCGTCACGCCGGCTTCACCCCACTGCATGTCGTGTCCTATGGCGAGACATGGACTCGCTGGTACCGCTCCTCAAGCTCATACCAGGGTTCACCTGGAAGCAATGCCGCGAGGAGGGCGATGAAATGCGTTGGGTATGTCTCTTATATTTCTCTGGCGGCATCATGGACAGCACGTCTCATCGCCTTGGTTCCACAGGAGGCCGATGCCTCCCGACCCAGCTCCGAGGCCCTGAGTCAGGCCGTCGACACCGTGAAATTCGAGCGCTATTCGCGCTACATCAAACACTTCGCATGGACAGGCGAAGACATAACCTCTGAAACGTTGAAGTTTTTCGTGAAGACGTTGTCCTCACTCGACAAGCCGTGGCTTCCCGTACTACAAGTATTCACTGACCAGTCTCTCGAGGACGTCCCTCCGTTGGCGGTGTTCGGCGCGCCTACCTTGGTGGATCTCTGCTTGACTCCCACTCTGGCCAAAGAGAAGACCTTGGCGAACATCTTCAAGGAACTACCATCACGTTGTCCGAAACTCCGGGAGCTGCACATGCTAGAGCCGGATCCGGACTCAGACTCCGAGTCGGAGCAGACTGACATCCCATGGCTCAGCAAATCCCGCACCTTCTACTCGGAGTTCAGCAACTTTCTCCGTATGGGTGTCAGTGAGAGATCACTGATGGGTCTGCGAGTCTTGCGCATGACTTCTGCCATTGTCTGGGAGGATGTTGTCCTCCTGGCTCGGCTTCCCCGGCTCGAAGTGGTCGACGTGTGTCTGTCGGTGGAGCGGGAGACGACAGAATTCGAGCGACTTCTTCCCAATTCCTTCCCTAGCCTCACTCAACTGTGGCTCGCGTTGCATCAGCTCGATGCCGCAGCCATGCATCTCCTTGACAGCATCCATTCTGTCTGCCTGTCTGACCTGGAAATGACAATTGTAGGTGCTGCGCCGGACGTCACGGCGACGCGCAAGTTTTTCGAAAGGCTGGTGCGCAGTCCGTTCGCCGGCGCCCTTACAACCTTATACTTTGAGGTGGACGAGGCCACGCAGTCCATGAAAAGTCCAAGCATACATCCGCCGACATCCTCTGTACACACTCTGCGACCACTTCTAGGACTCCAAAACCTCCGCCGACTGTCCATCGCATTTCCCCGGATCCTCCTGCGCGACGAAGACATCGAGGCTCTGGCGTCCGCCTGGCCACGCCTCCAGAGCATCCGAATCCATCAGACCTGGGATGGTGAGCTCCCCGTCGGGGTCCAAGCCCTATCGCATTTTGTGGTGAAGTGCCCAGACTTGGAGGAGATAGGCTTTGACGTGGGGCTTTCGGACGATGAGCGAAAGTTTGTTCACCGCGGATCTCCTACGTCGACGTCGTCAGTGAAAAGACACCACTGCCGCGATCTCTGCCCGACTGAAATCGGCACCTATTACGTGCGGGCGTATTTGATGGTTATGTTTCCGAACACGTCGACTCAGGAAGATGAAGAAGAGCTGTTCGCGTACATAGCAAGAATTCCGAGTGAGCAGTCTGCTCAACCTCAGGCCGCCGATGTAGCACAAGGACTTCTTACCGTTTAACTTCTATCTCTCCATGACATGTATCTTGCAACTGAAATGCTTGGTTGTAGATGTATCTGATAGTTCTGTACATTCCATAGTGACTTAGTAATGTATACCATTGTTCAAACGTTCAGGCCTTGGGTACGACTTGAAGCTTGAAGCGTCAGCTTGAGGGCTGATGCGATCGTCCTCCCAGCTACCGTCAAAGAAGTGGCAGTTGCCAGTGTGGTTTGCCTACCGGAGTCTAAGCATTCAGACCCGATGCCTTCGCTGATCATGACATGGACGCTGAGGTCGATATCAACGCCCTTCGAGGCTTCACTGGCAGCCGCACTGGAAGTAGTACAAGGCAGGCAGTGGGCACAATCGTGCACGGCTGACCACTCACAAGTCACCAAACTTTTCGGAAAGCCTGTGGCAGTCGTATCGATTGCTGCACTCGTAAAATCGTAAGTACTAAACGGACAAAGGATCTGATGTCACAGCATAGCTACACGAAAGTAGTGGAGTCGCATCATATATACAGCCAGATATGATACATTGATCAGTATGGAGACATAAGTCATGATACGGCTTGACTACATGAGGTCGAGGATAGCAGTCAGTCGGGAACGAATATTTCGAAGTAGCCATCGTCGCTGGGGCCAGCGACGAGCGATGATGAGTGTTCATCGGCTTGGGCAGAGTCAAGCTGGTCGAAGTACTCCCATAACTTGTCCAATGCCTCCTGTGTTGTAGCGTACGGGTACAGGCGGTCGAGATATGCGACGCAGTAGTAATACGTTGCCTTGGTTCGGCATACAATGCGGCACGATTGATATCTCACCGAGGTCAACGGCCGGGGATGATGATCCAGTTCATACGGCACATCGTCCATACCCACATCAAAGTCTATCTCCTCCAGGTAGCAGCAGTCGGCGAACGCCAATAATGCGTGCACCTCCACAGGCGCCACGATGTGCCAAGTCTGACGAATCTTGATGCCCTGGAGACGGGGCCATGCCGCTGCCATATCGTCAATGTCTTCGCTGTACAGGAAGATTCGGGGCACCTCGATGGATAAGACTTCTAGGTCGAGTAGCAGGAGCGGCTGGAGCGTGTGTATAGACGATGTTGGCGGCTGCAAACTCTGGGGATTCGCCTCCGTCTGCGTCGTTGACTGTACCAAGAAGCAGAGTTTCGTAAGGTTGCGGGAGAACGCACTACGGGCCACGGATTCGAAGAACTTGCGTGTGGTAGCGACATCCGGGGCCTTGTGCGCGATTTGTATTTGCAAAATGTTCAAGTGGACGGAGTGAATATTGTCAATGAGTTCCACGAACCCATCATCCAGCTCCAACATGTGGAGCCATACCCGAGTCAGACTCGGAAAGGGGTTAGCGGGGAGCAGCTGGACGTCGAGCCCGTCGAAGTCTAGATCGAACAGAAACATCTCGAGTTGCTCAAGCTGCGGCATGTGTGCAAGACAGGACATGCCCTCCCATCCAATTGGTACAATCGTGCGCAGGTGACGCAGACCCATCAGCGAAGCCCCATCAATCCCTCTGACGAGGAATGTCGTGACATTAGGGTAGAAGTCGGAGTTGACCGACGACCACATTGCGTCGGTTGTGCACATAAGGTGTATCTGCTGGAGGCCAGCGCATCGCTCTGGCAGCTCCTCGAGCAAATCCAGTAAGCTCTCCTCCTTTGTGATGAAGCCGTTGACCAACAGTGACTGCAGGGTCGGCGCACCAAAGACCACTAGCGGAGGGAGGTAGTCCCGCGATTGATCTTTAAACTTGCGCACGGCTGGAAGCCACGGCTTGCCAAATTCCGACAAGGCGTTTAGGAAGAAGAAGAACGCTTCAGCGGCCAGGTCTTGATCCGTCCAAATGAAGGTCTTGACAAGCGATGAGTAGCACTCGAATCGGGTCGTGTTGAGGGCCAGAGCGTCGGGGGGCGTGGTAGCAGCCTCTGCGACGTCCTGGACAACTCGAGATGGTAAGACAGACTGCCACTATGACCTTATGAAGAATTTGAGAAACGTACCCAACGGACAGTACCGCCTTCCTCCCGATGTTGATTCCAAGTGAGCCCTGGGATGAGCTTTAAAAGCGGCACGAGCGAGTCCAATGTCGCCCATAAAGCGCGCGTTGCCGTGTATTGTAGGCGCCTCGACGTACGAGCCAGGCGTGCGACAGAGACTGGGTCGTCCGTGTACTGGGAGTGATGAAGGAACCCAACAATGTTGTCGAGTAAGTCCTCGTTGAAGAGGACTCGCGGGACAGCTGACGCGTCGTCTTCGGCCAAAAGGTCATTGTGTCGGCCCAAGTCGCAAGAGGAAGACTGGCGTTCGACAGTGAGATAAATGCAGAGGACAATAAGACAATCACGTACCGTAGATTCAGAGACGATTGGTACTGGAGAGGACATTGCGGCAGGAATTCCGACAGCGAGCACGACGGTGCGAATGCTTCTATGAGAGCTACCGGAATGTGACAGTGGGCGCGTCAGACTGTCTGAGTCGGGAACTAGCGGTATGAGAGCGAATGGAAGGAGTAGAGTTCGAGTTGGATGGAGGCGGGCCCTAAGCGCGCGTGTTGACTTTCGTCGCAGCCACAATCCACGACAAGCGCGCTTCCGCGCCTCTGAGTCTGACGCCTTTTGGACCAAGTGAGCATGCAGAGTACAAGAGGACTCGGATCTGGACATAGTCGACGTCAGCACGAAGAGTGACTGGACAGGAGGCCTAAACAAACTGGTGTTTTCTGCGGATCCGTGAAGGCCTGCTAGTACGTCGTCGCCTTTGGAGATACTATGCGCTGATCTGTCTGTCTCTTAGCTTGGGCTATGGAAGGGTGGCAGATATTGGTTCAAGTTGTGACGGATGTCTGAGATCCGGTCGTGATCTGATCTGCTGTCAATGGACAACTCGGTTGCAAGAAAGGGGACAATTGAGTACAATTGTATGGGTGAGCACGCCGAAATGACCGTCAGGGGAGTCCCACTAAGACGTAGCTTGGTCCAGACGCGTTTCGGTATGCAGAAAGAACAGAAATATCGAGCTGCGACAGCATGTTACGAGGGTCCACTGAAGCTAAGTTTCAAGGGTCCGTCATGCACGCCTTTGCGAGAATGAATACAATGCGCTCACTGATGGAGATATTGCAGTATAGCAAAGGATTTCAGTGCCGACGCGCGAATGGGCGGATATTGAGTGACCAGTCCGTCATAGCTGGATGTCCAGACCGACTGGATCTTTCGACTCATTCTCTGATACCCTCTGTGTATGGCCAGATAGACCTTGGTCTAGCGTCAGCAATGAGGCCTTAATGAGGTCGGATCGTATTGGGACAGTACGATCCTACAACGACAACTCACTCGTTTTACCGTTAGCTGTCAAGTACAGATGGTTCAGGTATCGCGCTGTGCATCGCAGAAGGGTGAATGCTAATGCGACTTCTATACAGATTGCTCCATACCTCAAATCGTACGCCAATAGTACACCCGCAGGGCTTCTCCGGTAGCTCACAGAGCTTCCAGAGATCACGTTCTGTGGCGGGTAATTTTGTCAATTTATCTCGAGGAGACTACGTCCAGCAACAAACTGGCATACGGTGCGATGCTTGGCTTTTGAGGCATGTTTGTCTCCTGTATACGAGCAGAGTCCATGGTCATACTCACGATCGCGCGAACAGTTGGCCAGGTCGTCAATAGCACTCCCCTCCCCGAACGTAAGCCTTCAAGTTATACACGATGTACCTTTCCTTTCCTTCTGCTTATCTCGTTCCACACTGTCATCCGGAACCGTGTAAGCCGCAAGCGATGGTCGAACACGGGTCGTCCATTCCATTCCGGCGACATAGAACGTTCTGAAATACATAAGTGCAGTTCATATTCGAAAGCCCTCCGAAAATGACCCTGCATCCAGTGGATGAAGAAGCAGTCCGGGAGGTCGTCCAAGCTGCCTGTAGACTTCCGCCGTGGTTTAGCGCCTTTAGTCTCCCGCAGGCAGACCATAGTGTCGAATGGATTACTCAGCGAAGCGGCTGAGTCAAGTTGGCATAGTGGTCAATGCATTCCTGTACCAGAAGGCATAGTCAAGGGCCTCGAGACCGCGAAGATGGGAGAGGACCTGAGACTCAGAGGAGGTGGTTCAAAAGACGGATTGGCGACCACGCGAAAAGCGGCGAGCGCGGCGGCGTGACCGTAGCGCGGCTTACTTTCGACCATCAACAACGTCCCGACCTCTCTGTGCACAACGTCCTGTTCCTCCTGGTTTGCCCTTTGAAATGTGCTCGAAGACATTGGTGCCAAAATGTCCGTCCTGAATCAGACCGAGGCGACTGGACCTTCACGACTTTCGCGGCGACTTGCAAGACTCAGCAGCACCCGCCACGACCTACTCATTTCTCTGATTCTGCTCGCTTGAACAACTTTCTTGTCGTCGATGGTCTGCCCCTGGCCATCTTGGGCGGGCTGTCTCGGAGCGATGTACCTTCGCGAAGTTCACGCACTGGCAAGCGTATTCACGACCATGACATGACGCGAAGCGGGCATAGTAGGGTGACTCGTGGGAGCGTATAAATATATGCGCCGAACACGCCCAACACGTAGAACTCCAGGGGCGACGGATAGAAATCAAGGGGCAACAGTGGAGGTGGAGAGGCTCGAGCCTGAGGGACGGTTGAAGCAGAGCGTACTATGAATGTATGTCGACACCGTTCCGACCCTTTGGTGAGTGTCTAAGTTTCATCACCCTTTTTGTTTTCTTCCATGACAATGCGTCAGACAATCTGAGCCCTTCAACATGCTGTGCATGTGAGTGCCCTATGGACATTCCTCGGTGATATCTGCGTCGTCGCCGCCTTCCGTCACACGCAATACCTACTAGGCATCGCTATCTATGGACAGTATGCAAGATATCATACAACAGGTGCGTAGTATGCCTCACCCATCTGCGTCTCGATATTCAAGAAAAGTGGCATTTGCTGCCGTCTGTAGAGTCGGAACGATGACGGGACAACGCATACATGTACAATGGGCGGGCTACATGCGATATGTACATTCCGAGCGACCACGGCGTCGGCTTGCCTACCCTGGCTACGTGAGTGAATCATTGGATACGTATCTCAACCCACAACTGAGACGTCGACTATCCCGCGTACAGACCACGGCTGAAGCAACCCGTGAATCATATCCCCCAGCTTCTGGGACATGTAGTCCGTATCTTCCTTGGTCTGGCCCTGCAGACCAAGCATGACCGCCTTTACTTTGACATCCTGCAGCGCGTCGAAGTGCGGCTCGCCAAGGATCTTGTGCAGGTCCCGCAGGTCGAGCTTCAAGTCCTCGGGCGCACCGCATAGATCCTCCGGCTCGCTTTCGTAAAACGGGAAGTCGGTCCTGATCCCGACGTGCTCCAGCTGGCGGCCCCTGACCGTGGATAGGACGCTGCGCAGGTGCCCGGCGACTTCCAGACAGACGGCAGGCGGCAGACTCAATGGGCTGATCTCGGGCAGCTCGAACTCCAAAAACCGCAGGGTGGTATTGTACACGAGATCGCCGTAACAGTCTGTCGTATGTCGCCTGTTAATTGCGAGGTTCTCGCGGAGTGGGACAGAGAGACTCAACTGGAGAAACGGAACTCTTCGTTGTACCGAATCATGGATGGCCCGGCTGCTACGAGGAGCCTGTTGACTTGCTGATATATCTGCGGGTCGTTGTCTTGCGACCAAACCTCAGGTGGTCAAGGGAGGTGCAGATCCCCGAGCGCTCGATCCAGTCGATGATAGTCGCCGACGTCCCCGTGTCGTTCAGACCGATCTCGAGAGATCTCGAGGCGCTGCAGGCGTATGTCGGACGGTGGCTGAAAGTGCGTGGCTTCTTATACGTGGCCGGCGGGAGACTCCTGGGCGAGGATGTTTTCGCTCAGCAGGAGGTGTTTGAGGCGGGGAAACGCACAGACGAGCCGCCGCAGTTGTGAGATGTTGCTCAGTCTGCAGTGCAGCAGCGTCAGCGACGTGACGGATTCGAAGTGCGATAGCGCGAGGAAGAAAGGCAAGGGCGTAGCATTCGGGTGAAACCTTGTGATCGAGAGGACCTGTACGCCGGATAGGACATGACCGAGGGCGAGAGGCAGTGCGTGCAGGAAGCAACTGTTCTTTCTGTCCTTTCTTTCTTTCCCGGGAGGGAGCTTGGGGCGATCCGAAGCGATTAGCTGGCGTGCGGTCGCGAGCCATCGCCTGACGCGCGGAGACGTGCGACACTGCTGGGACAGCAGGTCGAAGCCCTTGCGGTCGTGCAACTCGACGATGAAGTAGAGGTTGTGCATAGCTCGGGAATACCACGCTGCACAGACCAGCCCCGCGGTAGTCAAGCTTGACATGTCCAGGCAGTCGATGATGAGTTCAAAGACCTCGACGAGAATGCGGGCGGAGAGGGCCGTCGGAAGGGCGCGCGTCGTGAAGGCATGATAGATGTCTTCGTCAAACCATTCGTCGTATGCTTGTTGATATGGCATGTCTTCGTGATAGGGAGGGAGGGCAGTCTATACAGGTCTGTCAGTAGCACGCACAAAGATACATCAAATGGACGAACGGGATCTTGGTCACGGTCACCCATTGCCAACTAATGCTGAAGTTACACACCTACCTACTACAAGGCCGAGCACATCCGCCACATGCGGTCCATCTCATACATCCCACGAGAAGGTAACCAGACCGCGGTCAGACCACGGCTGCAGCAAGCGACAGAACGCGTCTACGAGCCACGCCCGGACCTCGTCCCCTTCTACCTCTTTCCGCTCGTGCCACTCGTGCTGGGCCACTAGCACCTTTACACCCTCCAGCGCGCTGAAGTGCTGTTGGCTCATGAGCTCGTGCAGGCTCTGCAGGTAGAGCTCAAGCCCGTTCGAGTAGCGAGGTTGTGGATCCTCATCATCGCTCGGGTCGTGGTCTTCGGGCCTGATCCAGCACCTAATCTCGAGGTGCGCGAGCTTGTGGACTGTGGAGAGGACACCATGGAGCTCATCCGCCGCTTTGGCCAGGTTATGGAATGAGCGGTCGCTGTACCTCAAGAGGGTGAGAAGCGTGAAGTCGAAGGAACGCAGGACGGTGTTGTGTATGAGGCTGGTATGGCGATCTAAATGGGTGTTAACGACGTCAACATCAGATGGCACGAATATAGTCCTGACCTGAGTCCGAAGCAGACTCCGAGTATCGACGCAGAGATGGACCAGCTGCATTGAGCAGCCCGTCAACCGACGCGACACATAGCGACGATTTGTCAATCCAGGAGATGGTCAAATCGTTCAAGGAGGTGCAGATTCCGGAAAACACCAGCCAGTTGATGATGGCTTCGTACGACTCCTCATGATACCTGTCCACGTGAATCACAAGACACAGGATCCGTATGTCGGACTGCGAATGATATTCCAGTTGTGTGCCGGCCACCTGAGGGCTGTCAGGGTGCCGCGGGCTGATGATCCTCTGGCGCAGCGCAAGGTCTGTAAGCTGCGGAAAGGAAGATATGATTCGCCGTAGCTGCGACAGGTTGCTCAGCGCGCAGTCAGTTAAATCCAGCGACCTGACGGAGTTGAACTGTTCCAGGGATCGCAAAGAGTCGGGGCGCATGAATGGGTGGAACCCGCCCACTTCCAGCACTTGCACACCAGACATTGCACGGCCGAGGGCGAGCGGAAGCGCATGGAGATATCTCCGTTTGTCCTGGGATCGATCATGGAAGGGCGAGTAGGTGTCTACGGCGACCAGTTCATGCGTGGTCGCAAGCCATTTCTTGACGCGTGAAGATCTGCGGGACTGTCTCGCTAGAAGGTCGAAACTCGTACGGTCAAGGAGCAAGACAGTGTAGTAAAGGTTGCGCATAGCGCGAGGGTACCACCTAGCACAGACCAGCGCCGTGTTGATCAATGTGAGTCTATCCATCTTGTCGATGATGAGTTCGAAGACTTCAAGTGGAATGCGATCTGTGAGGGAAGGAGGCAAGGTGCTGGGTGGGGAGGCATCTTGCCGCCGCTCGTGTATTCGTCTGCGTGGCACGGCTTCCCTAGGACGTGCAGGACGCTGACGAACGCGTCAGCTGAGGCTCACGAGAGGGATTGAGCGAACACGAACCTGCATCTCTGGAGTCATGCAAACTGTGTAACGACAATGTGTGCGCTATCGACGGAGGAGCAAGTCGCACAGTCGACGTACGCGTCAAGAGCAACACGCAAGCAACACACTTCGAGTGGTTTGTGGCGCCGAGAATATTCCGAGCGTCAATGTTTCAACCCAAGGACGTTCAATGGCATCAATAGAGCCGGAAAGTATTGTAACACAAAAACATTCCAGTAGCTAGTTATCATAGTCCCAGTGTTTTTTCTGGGCGTGGAACGACATACAGGCTCGCATTCTGCTCCGATGACGAGGAAGGCAAGGGGATATGACCTCCGGCGAACGAGAAGCGTGTTTCCACCGACACGGCCCTGTGTAACGGTGGCTGACGACCTCTCGTCCGAACGGGCCAACGGCGGTAAGCCGCTGACAGTTCGTCTCTGTTCGCGCATTTTGAGAGCGACAGTTGCAGCTGATCAACTATGACGTGAGATGAAGTCAGACGGCGACCTGTGTACACAGAGACGCTCGCTCACACGTACCATCTACTCACCCACGCAGCCAGGAGATGCAGACTATACCATGGTCAGACCACGGCCGAAACAAGCTGTGAAGCACCGCCGTAGCCTTTTGGCCAATGTCGTCCACCTCGGTGTCGCCTCGATCCCGCAGGCCGTATAGCGTGATCTTTACTTTTACTTCTTTCAGTGTGTCGAAGCACCGCTGATTCATGACTTCATGCAGAACCACCATATCCTGTGGCTGAGGATCCGAGGCGAGCAGCACGCGCGTGGTTGCGAGCCATTGCCTGACGCGCGGAAACATGCGGCAGTGCTTCAACAATTTGTCGAAGCATTCGCGTGAGGGTATTGTGACAGTGCGGTAGAGGCGGCGCATGGCATGAGGGTACCACGCTGAGCAGATCGAGGCTGCAGTAGTTAACATGGATCGGTCCACGCAGTCCATGATGAGCCCGAAGACCTCGAACGGAATACGAGCAGAGAGGGCTGCGGGTATGCTGCTCAATCGTTGGAAGGCACCCCTCCGTCTGTGAGCTCGCAAACCCACCGAATCTGCGTTCTCAGAGAAAGACATCTGCGCAAGTAGTGTCAGTGGGACACGAGAGAGAAGTGACCAACACAGACCTGCAAATCGGTCTCAGGTATCGAATAAGCACTGTCTAGGGAGGGTGTATGCACTAAGAGCGTCGCGACGGTGAGAGGTAGGGGGAGCAGTGCGCACATGGGTATAAGTAACTAGGGGCTGTATGCTGTACAGTGACGCTCTGGCAGTGAGGACAGTGGGCCGCTCGCCGGCCCACGTACAGGGTTTGTGTCGAACCTAAACCAGGACATGCTCTCGGTTACCCGGGATGACAATATGCCACGCATGGGCCACCTTCGTATGAAAACTTCTTTTTCCACTAACAGTAATCAACCTACTGTGAGTTCAGCGTATTGTCACGGTCAAGGAGCGTCAAAGACGGACCGAGGCTATGCTGCACTTGAGAAGCACTTCAGAGTTCTGTCAGTCCGTTCAGCGAGTCGCTCGCGTAAACGCTGTGAACGCACCCCAATACTCCGTAGTGCTAGTGTCTTTGAAACCAAGTGCCATCGAAGTAGAAGCGGAAGTGGGCGGCTTTCCCGACGCCCACCGGCAATTACCAATTCGTCCGCCTCACCGAGACTGTATGCACTTCGTGTGCTGCGTCGCTGTGATCCCCTCTCCGGGACTGCCTTCCTTCGACGTAAGACCTGTGTCACGACATGCGGTGGCACTGTTGACGGCGACTACGAAACCTGCGTGCTTGTCAGAGACATGCACCTGCGATAACGCGCGATAACAAACACATACTCACAGTTACGCGAGGCGTAGGGATGGACACGAAGTCGATACGACCGGTGGATACCGCGGAAGGGTTCCTGGATGCGTATATGCGCGAGTCCAGTGGCCCCTTGTAGGTGCGGGCAAGTAGTATTGGACGTCGTCGCTGAGATTGTGCTGCTTCGGATGTATAGGTGCGAGGTGGTAGTAGTTGAAGCGAGGCCCACAAGCCTGCGAGGGGTCGGTCCGAACAAACACGAGATGTCTACAGAACCACGTTCGCCATAGACCGGGAGACTGGTGCATCGCGTTGCTGGACGCCGAGAACAGACCAAGAGCTACGGCCTGCCTGCTATGAGACGTCGCCATTTGAATTGATGTCCCACACTGTCCCTGTCAGGTCGCATTCACTCGTTGAGCAGAGACTCAATCAAACACGCATAATACAATTGACGTTCACGACCGAAGTCAGCCTGGAGACCATGCTCTCTGACCATCGCCTGTTGTATATTATGTGAGAGACTGAGCGGTTAAAACATAAACCGCCACTCACGTTCGTAAACACCCGCTCAAGAGTCGGTCCTACGAGAAACATTCACTATGCCGCGGTCGGACCACGGCCGAAGCAAGGTACGAATCGCATCCCGGAGCCTCGCGGGCACTCCGCTCTCCGTGGTCTTGCCCCGTTTGCGTCGATCGTATACGTCCGCCACGACATCGACAGTGTGTAGAGCGTCGAAGCGCTGTAGGCTCATGACTTCGTGCAGATCCAGCTCGCCGGTCTCGGGACTGAGGAAGAGTGGCAGATGCGAGGTATCATAGAGCGTGAGCCTGATCTCGATCCCGATGTGGCCCAGTTGGCAGCTTCGAATTCTAGAGAGGACGCTGCGCAGCTCATCCTCGACTTTGGACCAGTGGCCTAGCGCGTTCCAGTCCCTGTCGCCCGTCAAGATGTCCGTCAATCGGGATCGGAACGAGCGCAACGAGGTACTGCGCGTTAGGTTGCTATGACGATCTGTGTCATGAATAGTATCAGCGGGAGATTGTTAGGTCGAGAGAGATGAAGAGGCATTACGGGAGTTGTCAGCGTACTTGGTCAATGACGATCCAGAAGACTGTCAACTGCCTCGACACTCAGCGGAGACTGGTCTTAACGATCTTTACACCAGACCGTCAGATCATAGAGGGACGTGCAGATTCCCGAGTCTACAATCCAGTCATTAACGGTGTTGGAGGATCCTGTATCAGCGCTCGGGGATTCGCTGCTCACCAAGCCACGAAGCTATATCTTGACTCGCTTAGAGAATTGTGTGGGGTCTGCGCGGTTAGCGGAAGCCTGTCGAGCGAGGATGTTTCCTCGTAAGATGAGGGTCTGGAGCTTGGGGAAGGCACCGATGATCCGTCGCAGCTGTGAGGTATTGTTGAGCATGCAATTGGATAGGCCTAACGACTTGACGGACTTGAACTGCGGCAGCGCTGCGAAGGCGGGGTTCATGAACCGGTGCAACCCATCCATCATGAGGACCTCCAGTGTGGTCATCGCATGGCCGAAGACAAGGGGCACTGCGTGAAGGAAGCGACCATCCTTCCTCCCATTGCCCGCGGAGAATTTGATCCCGTCCGACGCGATCAGCTGGGGCGTGGTTGCGAGCCGCTGCCTGACTCGCGGATACCTGTAAGACTGCCTGAACAGTGCCTCGAAGCTGGGCCGGTCGTGTATCTCGATGGTGTGGTAGAGGCTGTGCATGGCTTTAGGGTACCAAACCGCACAGACTAACGCGGCGGTGGTCAGCATGCGCCTGTCCATCTGGTTGACGATGGCCTCGTAGATCTCAAGTGGGATACGAGAAGAGAGCGTCAGTGGCTAGATGTCGTTCCTCCGAAAATTGTGAGCACAGACCTCTTTGTCGTCAGTCCATTCGAACTCCTTGTCACTCCACTCGATCTGCTCCAGTTCGTCCTCACTGTGTTCATCGTGGCTCCATCCGTTGTGGGCGCTCTGCGCGTCTTCGCGCCAATCGTCTACATCGTGTCCCATCGTTACGTTGGGTACAAGTCGGGCATCCTCACACGGAGAGCCAGAAATTGAGTACACGGCACGTCAGGTAGGTTTTAGTGAGAGGAGACGAGAGATGCACCGACGGAAGAGCCTCGGGCAAGCCTCGGGTAGACCCGGGGCCCAGACCGTAGCGTAGATCTCGCAGCCAGTGCTGTAAGTACTACTACGTATACCTGGACCCATACGTATGTTCAGCAGCCACTGGCAGGCTCCATGCCCAATGTATCCATGTATTGTCCAGTCGTCGTCCGAACACTCGTTGTAAAGCACCACCTGCCAGTCAATCGGACAGTAACCACGCCGAATCCGAGTCGAATCCACACCGTGACCAGAGGGAAATCGACTGTCCTTCTACTTACTGAGTCAGACGATGGAAAAAATGGAGCCAGGCGACCGCTTGTGGACGGCAAATTCCCTCGCATCGACCCGCGCTCCGTACGGCCAGGCCTCCTCGCCGCCACCTTCGTCTGTACTGTTCGGATGACATGCCATATTGTCACGAGGACTCCCGAGGGTTGAATGGCTGCATGGGAGACATAAGTGAGACAGACGTGTGTATGCAAACGGGCTCACTCACATTTACAATCTTAGTAGCTCTTCCGGGTGATAGTGACTATGCCACGAGCAGACCATGGCTGCAATATGCCACGGAACATGGCCTGGAGCTTCTGACCGATGCTGTCCACATCCGACTTGGTCTGATTGGCTCGAGGAGACAGCATCATAGTCACCTTGACATCCTGCAACGTGTCAAAGTATGGCTGGCTCATGACCTCGTGCAGGTCCCGTAAGTCGAGCCTCTCGAGGACAACGCCGGGCTGCTCAGGTTCGAGAATGGTGTCATCGACGTGGGCTCGAACGCGAACTTCGATATGCTCGAGCTGACGACTTTGGACGGTGGAGAATATGCCGTATATCTCCTCCGTTGCCTTGGTCCATGCCGCGTGAGGCCCCTGGTATTTGGCCTCGTGTTTGATGGGTTGCAGCCTGAACTCCAAGGATTCCAACGCGGTGTTTTGCAACAGATTCCCGTGAGTCACTACATTGTGCATGTGAATCAATGGTGAAGTCTGTACGCAAGACAACTTACGGGCTTTACCGTCATAGAACCTCTCGCAGAAACGGGTCAACGATGCCCCCGCCGTCTCGAGGAGTTGGTCAAGGGGTGTAAGTGCCATGGAGGGGTCGTTTGACCAGATTGTCAGATCCGCAAGTGGGGTGCAGAGGTCTGAGTGCGCCATCCTGTCAAGGAACATCACCATGGGTTCATCATCCAAGCCGACGTGAAGTCTTCGAAGACGAATGTGAGATGGTGGCCGAAATAAGGAGGTCTCCGCGTAACTGGCAGCACCTCGCTGATCGAACTCAAGATGCATCATCGTAAGGTCTGTGAGCTGGGGGAAGGCAGACACAATCCGCCACAGCTGCGTGATGTTGTTCAGATGGCACTCCTGAAGCGTCAACGAGTTGACAGACTTGAACCTCGACAGGGCGAGGAAGAAATCTATGCGGATGAAACGAAGTCTCCCGAGCCTGATGTGAACGGTGCGTACACGAGGCGTCAGACTGGCGAGCGCGGACGGTAGTGCTTGAAGGAAGCGAAGGCCATTATCGACATCATCGTCACCCTTCAAGTCCTGGTACTCAGGGCTATTCTTGTACACACGTCGGAGTAAGCACCCACCTCATATACCACCAGCTTGTATGTGCTCGCAAGCCACTGTTTGACGCGTGGTGATGGGTAACACTGCTTGAACAGCAGGTTGTAGCTTGTGCGGCTGCGAATCTCGACGGTATGGTAGAGGTTGTGCATCGCTCGAGAGTGCCATGCTGTGCAGACCAGAGCCGCGACGATCAATTCGGTACGATCCATCTTCTCGATGACGAGCCTGAAGACCTCGAGCGGGATGCGAGCGGAGAGGGTCAGGGGTAAAGTGCCTTGGAAACGGGCAAACAACCAGTCCCACCGGCTCCAGGCTCTGGATTCCATATTGCTGTGTCCATCGGCACTCTGTTCACAGGCGCTCATTCCGTTCGCACTCGATCCCTTCAGGTCGCCATTCTGTTCATCGGCATTTCTCTGGTCGATGCCGATAAGCCCGTCGGCCCTCCATCGCGTGACTTGAGGGCGTAGTAAGGCATCGTCGGGCTACGTGAACATATTAGTCGGAATCATGGACAGAAGCAAGATGACCGACGGTAGGCTGAAGATCGGACATCTGGGCACTCGCACCCTGTACGCGACGTGTGAATGTATGCGGTATGAGATGAGGCGCAGCCGTGAGCGGAGGAGTGGTGGGGGTAGGGGCGCAAGTAGCGGGGGGGGCCTCAAGCATGCAGCGAGACCATGTATATGGGTACTTGGGAAGACCTGTGTCCGAGAGTTTGATGAGCCGCACGGTCACTGCCGCGAACGGGGCATACCACCAGGTCATGGCCAGTCATGCTGCCAGTATTCCTGGGCGCGCCGCACTAGTCCTGATCTGGTTGTGGGACTTGCACTGGAACGCGGCCAGCCTGAGTGCGAGGAGGCGGTCTGTCCATGCCCCTAACCGTAACCGCGTTCTTCGGGGTCCCATCCAGTTTGTGCATCCCCCTTCGATCTGTACAGCCGACTGGCAACTTGAACGGCGGCCCTGTTCCCCTGCTTCCAGTCTTCCTCGGTGTCTCCCGCTCCATACTACGCTATCCGCCGCTGCGCACGGACTGCATGCAGGCCTGGCGCATCGACGAGCCACAATCAAGCCCGTTGGCGAAGTCGTCCTTACAGGAGTCGTACATCGGCATCACGCTGCAGCGCCAGGTCTCCGAGTATGCGGTGTGCGACATCGTCCGGGCGCGGGAACGGCTGTGGGGGATCCCCGATCGTCTTGAGTCATGACGAGGAAGGTCGACTTCGCTGCGGAAAATGCTCACCAAGTCCGGTGAGTGCGGAAGACTGTATGGACGAGTGCGCCGTACCGCGCGAACGAACTGTAATCATCCAAGAGCGGTCATGATAGTTGGGAGCAGACGACAAAGGTCTACGCGCCCATGACGTACCATCCCACTTGTCGAAGACTCGCTGTATCGCACGTGAGCCTGCTGCGTCGAGTAGGTGTTGCCGCTAGGCCGCTGGTGAGTCGCTGGAGCCCTACCCAGTGGTGTCACTCACCTACGAGGAGTCAAATCAGCGTCCGGGACGTTGCCTGGAGCTACAGCACGAAGACAAGGCAGTCATCACTTACCAACTATCCAGACGACTCGCTGCTGAGCACGGGGACCTCATTCGCGCGACACAGTTTGTGGAGCACCGCCATTCGACTCGCGACGTCCCCTTGCGTCCGCGAAAGTCATTTTGTGTCCATCCCCCTGGATGTGACCTCGGGCTGCACATCGTCCTTCACGCCTCGACGCCGGCGTGCTGATCAGCATCTCGTCAAATTGGCTGAAACATTGTACAGGTGCCGGTCCTCCGTAAGACTGAACTCCACCCATTTCTCATTGGTTTGCACAACGACGTGGACATCGTCACCCCTGCTCCGAAGATCCTGCCACACCAGCACGCGCTACAAGATCTACATAAGTGGTCGTTGCCGTGATGAGCTCTTCCATACATGCACTTACCGGACGCTCGAAGTATCGTCCTCGGCTTCCCACCCATCCAGAAATGTCAGAAGAACATCCCGAGAGCGTCGCGGGGTGTCCAGTCCTCGTAAGCGCTGGATGATTCAGAGTGCGGTCCAACACTCGATCTCGATGCCCGCGAGCTAGCGGAGAGGATAACGGAGAGGATACTACGGGCTATTCCATATGCTCTGGCGATCGCTCTCAGTGGTTCGGGGTACAGAAGAATCTGATGTCGGAGTACTGTATTGCAGTGTCAGATGTTAGAGTGACGTGGCGATCTACAGTACGTACTTACATGTGTCATCGTCCGAACTTCCGGCCACGCAATAGATAGGGTATCCCAACAAACTCGAGGTGGTATCCGAGTCTCGGGGCAACAAAGACCTCGCTGCGTTGACAAAGTTGAGACAACGCGCTTCAATGAATTGTCAGATATACCGTCAGGTAACTAAAGGAATGCCGCATAATGGCGAGCACGGACCTCCCAATAGTGAGCAGGAGCGTCTGGGCACATCGTCCGTGTACACCTAAGGCGAAGATCTACGACTGAACTGCCAATGCAGCAGGCCTATCCGAACGACACGCGTGATCGTCTAGCGAAGCGCAAGGCATCAAGGCAGTGTGACACCACTGGATCGAATTCAGCAACGTGACGAACCAAATGGCAGCAGGAGTGGGAACGCACATAAACGGAATATGTACATACGCCTCAGAATTCGCGCGTCACACACCGCACGGCCGAAGAGGAGGAGCAGCGCGTGCAAATACCTCTATTTACGACGACGTTGGCACGATGCAATCAGCTCGAGCGTGGTCGAGCGAGGGCTTGTTGGGCAGAGTCACGGTACGGTGCCGCTCGGACAGGACGCCGAAGCCGGTGTGGTTGAGAGCCGCGACGTGTTGAGAGCTGTACAGACATGGCGTGAAGACAGCAAGTAAAACAATGCCGTGACAACCGTACTGACCAATGTCGAGGCCGCCCGTTCATCCCTTCGACGATGGACTCGGAGGTCTTCAGCAGTATTTTCGATGAGACCGCTGGCGACGTAGTTCAAGGGGAGATACAGCCCTTCTTGGTGTATGTTCTGTCGTGTTACAGCGTTGGTGTCGACTATTGAAGCTAAGGACGAGAACATGTTACATTGAACGCGTAGGTCGCTCAGGCGCAACAGACTGCAATATGCGGAGGCGAACCTGGGGGCACGACGCCGTCGTGTAGGCGGCACTTGCAGCCCGCGTAAACATAGCACAAGTCGTGTGAGTAACTATGTAAGGCGATGGGAGCAGCAAGAGCAGCGGAGAGCAGGATCGAAGCGGAGGTCGGCGGTCGCGCTGGTCGAGGAACAACTTGGATGGACAGACACGAAGCTGAGTACCGAACGTCACATGGATGGTTGCCGCCTGCGTTGGAGACATTACAAGCCCTTCGAATGACCCACACGACGGAATTGGCGAGAGCAGCAGAAGACTCGAGCCCCAGAGAAGAAGTCCGAAAGAAGTCAGCGGTAGCGTCGTCGAAGTCCAAGTCAAAGATGGAGGAGCGCGCGGCCGGCGCCGTGCCCACCGAGTATCCTTCGAGCACTCTTTACCACGCTCTTGGACCTCTCTTGAACCTCCTCCAGGCACCTTCTAATCGCTCTCCAAGCACTTCCCAAGCACCCTATGATGTCTCGTCCTCTCTACTGCTACGACGATCAGATATGATGATGTTCTGCTGAGTCTCGACTGGATTTCACGCTCGCGCCCATCCTCCGGAACCGTTTCACCCTCCGTCGCACGATGAAAGCGAATGGGTCTCTTTGGTTACTGTCCTCGTGAGCCACTGTTTGTTCTACATTTTATGAGGTTTTGGCCTGATCGAGGGACACATACTCGACAGCTGTCCACGTTCTGCAACGAGAAGACGTAGCATCACGGCCGAGCAGCTCCTCATCTTGACGGCAGCTTGAGAAGCCTTGGGAGATCCAAGGCGAGAGGAACGGAAGGAATATTTGTTTCAAGGTACGTAAAACAGCTCTTGTTTTCGGTGAATACGGCTCATCATCTGCCAGTAGTGCACCAGCCTCCATTGGCCGCACCACGAGTCTCCGTGGCATACTTACATGTCATCGCAACAGGTGTCTAAGCACGGTCAGTCCCATTCCTCCTTGCCAAATGCTCCACCGCCATAATGCGGTTTTGGCCTGCCCCTCCCTGAACTGCCTTGGGGCGCAAGCGACGTTGCGACCTCGTCCAAGGCAAGGCGAACATTCCTGTTCTTCGAGTTACAACTCGCCACCGCCGACGCAGAGCCCGCCAACCGAAATATGTGGCAATGAGAACTAGTACGCTGCGTAGCCTACTGGTTCATTCCACCCGTCGCCATTCTAGTGGCAATTGCGGCCAACACGATGACATTCAACTTGCACCCTTGTAGGGAGGCTCGCCACCTGCCGACCAGTGCTAGACAACTCGTCGCGACTGAAACACTACAAGGCATCCCTGTGGAAGTCCTCCAGTTCGCCAGGTGAGGATAGCTTATGTACTTCGTACCTCATTGACCCGCCATCATTCCAGCATGTTAATCTCGATCCTCGTAAATCTATTTCTGCAGTCTCGAGGGTCCCGGTCTTGCGTAGGCACGAACGTGATTCACTACATCTCGGTAAAGTATTCGACCAACAGTCCTATTAATAGCAAGGTAGGCGACGACGCAGCGAACCTGTTTTCTCTCCGCGTTGGCGCACTAGCCGGGCTCCACAATCAAGCATTGGTGAGTTCCAGGTGATGTCGTACGCGCACGAGATGCTCACCAGATACAGCGAGCGAATCATTATCGGGAGGTGCGTCTTCACATTCCACGAGTTCTCTCAATCTGTTCTCTAAACCCCATGTGTCGCAACGCTGGCTTAGTCACCTCGTGTGCGTTGAATGAGGTGGCTACTGCGAGCTGCTTTTTTGACGGCGTCCATCCCTCTCCACGCATCATTTATGCGGGTGAGATTCCTCGTATATGTGGCTCGCCACTCGTCACGGAGGGCCCATTTGCGCTGATCAATCGCCGCTGAGTGATTTGATACAACCGTACTCGGGCTACCAGCACCGCTGGCAGGTCGCGCGTCCAATACATCGAACGTCATACATCATGTACGCGACATTCATGTCTCTGAGTCAGACGCAGATGAATCCCGAAGGCATACTCTTACATTGATAAGTCATAACCATAGCCATGTCCGTCCAGTCCCGAGCGGCTGATCCGAGATGACAGAAGGCTCATACGGTACACTCCAGTCCGTCGATCGTTGATCCCGCAGTCTGGCAGCGTCTTTTGAGCGAGCCATTTGCTCCAATCGACCCACACGCCGAGGATGCTACTGGGGACGATGCCTCTGTGTTGCCGCCTTCGCTCGTGGCACTTCGTGCCGACGGGGTATCCACCATAGGTGGCCATGGTGTCAACCTACCAGGAGGCGGGAGACAGACGTGAGACGTATGTGTGTGCATACAAACGAGCTCACTCACGACAACCCGGAGCCACATTGGATGACGTTGACTATACCGCGGTCAGACCATGGCCGCAGTAAACCACGGTACACGGGTGCGAGTCTCCGACCGACGTCATCAACTTTGCTGTCATTCAGCACCCCGAAGAGGTCCATCTTCACCTCAACGTCCTCCAGAACGTCAAAATATGGTCGGCCCATGACCTCGTGCAAGGCCCCCAAGTCAATGTTCTCGAGGACGAACTCGAGCTCCCTGTAATCGTGGTCATAGTAACCAAGCATAGATTGGATCTTGATGTACTCGAGCTCATAACTCCGGACGGTGGAGAGGACACCATATAACTCATCCACCCATTTGATGTATGGCTCAAGCCATTGGTCTCCGTGTTCTGGGCATATGTCGTTCATCTGGAATCCTAGGGACCGCAGTGCGGTATTATGTGATAGATTGCCGTGATCATCTCTACCTGCATAGCATGTGCATCAGCAGCGAGGTCTGCTGAGCAATAAGTACCAATTGACAGGGCCTCTTACCGTCTGGGGCAGGCTCACAATCAACCCCTGTGCAGCATTCGTGATACAGAGTCAGGGATCCCCCTGTGGCTTCTAGGGCTTTAGTCAGGTTCTCTAGTGAATTTTCGAATTTATAAACCAGCCACGGCCTCAGCTCTTTGAGGGAGGTGAAACAGCCTGAGTGTGTCATACAGTCAATGAACGTCACCAAAACAGCACTTTTGACATCAATATCAATGTTAAGGCGTTGAAGACGTGGGGACTGGACCGGTGTGGCTCCTGGGCAGCAGGCAGGACCCCCGAGTTCTTGAGTGAGCTCGATGCCAGTTATACTGAGGTCCGTTAGCTGAGGGAAGGCCCAGATGATGCGCCACAGCTGTTCCAGGTTATTCAGTTTGCACCCACACAGGGTCAACGACGTGACGGCCTTGAAGTGCAACAGGCCAAGGAAGAAGGTCGGCCGGATGAAACGAAGATTTCCTCCTCTCATGCAAAGGGTGCGTACGCCGGGCATCGCATGAACGAGCGCAATGGGTAGCACCTGAAGGAAGGGATGGTGTTTCGAATTCCCATAAGAGCGTTCGTAGTCGTTGGCCACTAGCTCGCGCGTAGTAGCGAGCCACCTCTTCACATGCGGAGACGCGCGACACTGCTTGATCAGGATGTCGAAGCTCGTACGGCTGCTGATGTTGACGATACGGTAGAGGCTGCGCATCGCTCGAGGGTGCCAAGCCGTGCAGACCAGCGCTGCGGCTGCCGAAGTGAATTGATCCATCTCATCGATGATAAGTCCAAAAACCTCGAGTGGGATGCGAGCGGAAAGCACGAGTGGCAGAGTGCCTTGAAAACGGGCGCAGCGCCAGTCCTTCGAGTTCCATTCATCGGCACTCGAGTCCTCTTCACTTTCTGTGTCACCGTCGGTACTGCTCTGACCGCTGCCAATCTGCCCACTGGCACTCTGCCGCGTGACTTCGAGTGCACTTGCCAGTGGCACACTTGCGGTGGAGGGGGACTGCGCGTGTACATCAGCGAAGTTCTCGCACGAACAGGAGAGGAACCAACTCTAGTACGCATTCTAGGCGACGTTCACGCAAGGTCGGGGAGGAAGAGAAAGGGTACTCTGTACAGTCGCCGCGCACGCGCTGTGAGTGGCAACGCAGTCGTGAATGGAAGCGCAATAACAGAGCGGATATGGGGATTTACGCGACTTCCTTGCATGGAACTTGACAAGCTTGACAAAGCAAGCTGAAGCGCTCCTAACCCTAACCGCGTCTCTCGAGGCGAGAGAATGTCCTGGTGGCAGATCAAATGCGCGACCAAGGAAAGTACCACGAGAAGACGAAGCGAGGATTCGTTCTTCTGTGCGTATACAATGAGGAATAGGTGCGCACTCTATACTTTTCAGCTCTGGGAACATGTGTGATCCTGAACGAGGCAATCGCATCCAATTTCTGGGTGTATGCCCCTCGAAGTCATCTTAAGACCGCTGCAATACGAGCTGAGGGAAGACGCACCGCGGAAAGTGATATTTTTATGTGCAAGGCTATTGGCCATATTTGTGGGTGTCCATATCAAGCGACAAAAGGCGAAGCATGGCCCTCTGCAGTCGTTCAAATACTGGAATGCATTTTGCCTGTAGCATTACACCGTAGTGGCGCACGGGCGCACTAGTCACACACCGCATTCACCAGCAAACTCCAACCTACACAGTCGGAGTCATTCCCTCAACAAAAACGGTCAGTCATGGACAGGTGTGAAGCGCAGACATATAAATTACCAGAAGCAGTAGATAATACGCATTGAGGGCGATGGGACGCACATGTATGACCTGTTTCCGCGCGGATCGTAACAAGACATCGTGAGTCGGAACACTCGCTAGGCAAGTCTCCGGGGGGCTGCGAACCCAGGGAGGGTTCGTACCGCACGCACGGGCCATGAAGAACCTGCAGAGTGGCCACCTGTGGGCAGATGTGCTAGTGTTCGACCATACCACTTGCATGTATGGAACGTTCGCTGGATCGCACGCAGACCTACTGCTGCGCATCGGGAAAAGTGAGTATAAGCATCCAGCCATGAGCTTTTCCTGGACGTGCTACTCACCGACTAAGAGCCAAGGATCAGCGTTCTGCACACTGTCAAGAGGAATAGCCCGAGGGCGAAGCGACAGCGACTAGCGCATGCCTACAAGCCACAACTAGTGTTTGGGCTCGGACCTCGTCTGTACAGTCAACACCGCCGCGCATAGCTGCTTGCTTTTCGAGAAGTCTTGTTCGTGTTTGCTGAAGCCATATGTACGAAGCCCCGTCAGGCGGTTTAGGGCCGCAATGGTGCCCTGTCGAGGAAGCTCAGCTCAACATTTCTTGAACGGGGAGCCCGGGCGCTATGTGCTTTCTGAGTATTTGGGAGATATTGTGCAAGACAGTTAGATGAGCCGCACGCTAATCGACATGACAGAGACATCCGAGTCGGGCTGCGAGTGTTCGTCGGAATTCCTCCTTTAATCGCCCACGCCCGGTCTGCGTGTTGTTTGATTCCGTGACTCATACGTGTGGGCTTGAATAGCCGTTGAATGTGAAGCGGCCTGCAGGCCTGCGGAAGGCGTCGGAAACAGCTCAAATTGACGTGCGGTGAGTCTGTAACGTACCGACGAGGTTCACATTGAGCAAACAGTGATCTTGGGGTGGAAAATGCAGCGCTCTACGAGCTCGTGCTGGGTGTCGCAGCAGTCACATATCTTGCATCATATACATCAGACAACGCAGCATATATCAGGACCGAGACGAACTCACCTCACGAACGACTGCAAGGGACTCTACTAGTACTTACTTCATGACATCACGTATATATCCAAGCACCCTGTATCGCCGCGCCCCGCTGAAAATACCGTCAGATGCAGATGCAGCACATAGCTCACGCGCTCTGGGCCTCAGGTGATAGATCATGCTGAGCAGCTGGTCGCCCTCTCCCACCGACGAACCTCCCGAGCAATTCAAGACAACAGGCGTCGGGTTGGAAACATTCGACAGAGAGTCCGTGGTCCATGGCCAGGAGAGCTCAGAGGCGTCATCTAATTGGAGCGCGAGTCGTGTTGCATGACAAGGCTGTGACCACCGCCAGTGCGTAGAATATGTATGAACGAGCATGGTGGACGTCGAGAGCATTGAGCAAAGCCGTCGCGCGCTGGTGGAATATGCCGAGATTCTTCCGGTCGGCGCCTCCGCTGCGCCGACACAGTCGGCGACGCCACCGTGGTCGGCCCGCTCCTCCGGAATGCTTACCTCCTCCCTCCTCCTCCTCCTCCTCCTCCTCCTCCTCCTCGTCGCTGACTGGGAGCGCCTTCTGCACTTCTTGAACAGTCGCTCACCGTTCTTTGGGAATCTCAACACGCGTCGCGCGACACTCTCAGACATCATATCGTCCAGCCAGACGCGCGTCGGCGGTACTCGGTTCGCGCGCATTTTCCGCAACCGCTGCACCCTCCTGCTCATGACTTGTATTTCTCTTTGAGCCCGGCTCCGGTGAGCACGTCTCTGTTGCGCGAATCCCTCAATCATCACATAGAATAACGATGCATACTCGCCAGTTCTGTCGGCGTGCTGTGCCGACTCAGAGAAGACGCGGTGCCATAGGCAAGTAGCACATCGTGGAAGCTTCACAGAACGAGACCAGAACAGCGGAAGGCCGAATTTCTGTCAGGTAAGCAACCTCTGGCTCACGGCGGACATGGCTCATCGTCCGGTAGTGCATCAAACTCCTTGCAGAGCTTAATTCGTCGCCGAACGAGTGTCCATGGAGCATCATATGACTCATGAGACGGGGGCAGCGCTCACCGTGCTCGGACATCCAGAGCATGCTTCTCGTGTCTTCCCGTGTCGAAGTCGATGAACTGTGCGTGACCGTTACTCGGCCCGAGTGAATGACTCCGTGGGTCCATAGATCGAGCATCCATGACAGGCCGTATCTGTGGGCGGATATCTCACCGACTTGGGAAGCAGTCAGCTGTGCCCCTCGACCACTTTACCTCGCCGCTACAACGCATCCCATCCGCAGCTTAGCCGCTAGCACTCCTTACGGGCCACAAGCATGAAGGTCGAGGTAGCGATCCAATTTTCGACTGTTCGTAGTGACTGAAGTCACACCACCTCCGCCGCTGGTCCCTCATACGCGTCCGCCCAACGACGTGTGTCCGCAGCTCGTGCGGTCCTATGGGGTGCGTCTCTGTCACGCACTTTTGATTCTACTGGATCGAGCCAGATCGACGTGCTAACTGTGCTCTGCAGCGAGAGGACGCTATGCTGTGGCCGATCTCATCGTCTCTACAGGAGACGCTGGATAGGGATTTGTTGGAGGTTCGCGACAGAGATGAACCGAGCAGGATGGGGGAGAACGGGAAATAGGTCGGCAAGTTCTGTATTATACACAAAACATGATCATACTGAATCGAAGTACTACGCTTCGTTTGACCGTGGCGACGAAGAAGTTGGTTACAGTCACAGACCAAATTTCTCGAGTTTACATAAGTCGACCATGTGGAGTACATTCGGTCATTGTCAAGAGCACGTTGTAGCCGCATCGTAGCAGGTATGAGTCGATCGAGACAGTGAACCAGTCCGGGGCAGCTCCATACTATGACCAGAGCCCATTCGACCGTCGTTCCGAGGAGCCGGTCGATGAAATGGAGCTGGCAGACGACCGTTTGCGAACGACCCATTCCCTCACATCGACTCGTGCTCCGTATGGGTGGTGACGAGGGCTCGTTACCGCCACTTCCATCTACCAATCGGATGACGTGCAACGGCTTCAATACGAGGACTCCCGGGGGTTGCTGAGCGGCTGAACAGGAAACAAGAGTGAGACGGACATGTGTCAAATATGCTCACTCACGTTGACAAAATCCAGAGCTGATTTAGAAATATACGGTGACTATGCCACGGGCAGACCATGGCTGTAAGATGCCATGGAACATAGCCTTGATCTTCTGAAGGCGCATGCTATTATTCGATTGCCAGGTCAGACCCGTGATGCTTTCCTCTGTCGTCACCTCGACAACTTGCAATGTGTTGAAGTATGGCCGGCTCATGACCTCGTATAGGTCCTGCAGGTCGAGCATCTCGAGGACGCGGTCAGGGTGCTCAGACTCAAGCTTGGTGCAGTGGGAGCAAATAGTGATGACGAGTTTGATGTGCTCGAGCTGACGGCTTTGAATGGTGGAGAGAATACTGTGTAACTCGTCCGTTGCTTTCGTCCATGCTGCGCGAGGCACCTGCCACTGGTATTTGGCCTCGTGACAGATGACATCCAGGCAGAAATCGAAGGATCGCAAGGCGGTGTTCTGCGACAGATGTCCGTGAATCCCTACATTGTGTGTGTGCATCAGCGGTAAAGACTGTAAGCAAGACAAGGGACCCTTACAACAGCCATCATGGTCATAAGCACCCTCGCGGTAACGAGTCAACGAAGCCCCTGCCGTTTCGAGGAGTTTCTGAATGGACGTCCATGCCATACGTTCTGACCGATAAGTCAGATCCGCAAGTGAGGCGCAGAGGTCTGAGCGCGTCGTCATCCAGTCAACGAACATCGGCATGTATTCGTCGACCACGTAGACATCAAGAGATCGAAGACGCATGTGAGATGGTGGCCGAGATAGCGAGGCTCCCGTGTCGCTCTGAGCACTTTGCTGAGTGAACGTAATGTCCTGCATCGTGAGGTCTGTAAGTTGGGGGAAGGCAGACACGATCCGCCACAGCTGCGTCAGGTTTTTCGGCCGGCACTCTCGAAGCGTCAACGACTTGATAGACTGGAACCTCGATATGGAGAAGGGAAAGTCCGTGTGGATGAAATGAAGTCTTGCATTCTTGATGAACATGATGCGTACACGAGGCATCAGACCAGCGAGCGCGACCGGTAGTGCTTGAAGGAAAAGATCATTACCATTGATCTTGTTTTCAAGCGGTGTGTCTTCAAAGGCGCTTTCGGGGAAAGGTGAGTGTTCGTGATCCCCGCCTACCACCAGTTTGCATGTACTCGCGAGCCACTGCTTGACGGTGGGATAGGTCTGGCACTGCTTGAATAGCACGTTGAAGCTGGTGCGACTGCAGATCTTGACGGTGTAGTAGATGTTGTGCATAGCTCGGGGATACCATGCTGCGCAGACCTGCGCCGCGGTGATCAATGTGGGAGGATCCATCTTGTCGATGACGAACTCAAAGACCTCGGGCGGGATGCGAGCGGAGAGCGCCAGCGGCAGAGTCCCTTGTAGACGGGCTTTCAGCCAATTTATCCAGATGTCTGTAGCCCTGTACCGCTCATCGGTCCAACGAGGGTAAAAGCTGAATTCCTCGCCGCTGTGTTCACCAACAGTCTGTCCACAGGCACTCGTCCCTTCGGCACTGGATTCGTCGGCACTCGACACCTCCAAGTTGACGTTCAGTTCATAGGCGCCACTGCTCTCATCGACGTCAATATGCGCGTCGGAATCCCATTGCGTGGCCTGTCCGCGTGAGATGTTGTCGGTGAGAGGGAGAAAATGCTAAGTGGGCGTATCAGTCGGAGTTGGCACAGACAGAAGCAGGATGACCGACGCTAGGCTGGAGATCGGACATCTGGACACTCCGAGCCGCACCTTACGCGTACGCGACGTGGACGTGTACGCTATGAGAGGAGGCGCAGACGTGAGCGGAGGAGTGGTGCGGGTGCGGTGCAGGGAGCCTCGAGGATGCGGTGAGGCCTGTAGTTGCGAGGTGAGAGTTTGATGAGCCGCACGGTGACTGCCGCGACCACGAGACCTTTCATAACATGACCAGTCATGTTTTGGACATCCGTCGACACGTTGCACTGGCCCCGGCCGGATATGAGTGTGGGACGTTCCACTGAGCCGCGGCCAGCCTGAGTGTGCGACGCAGGATGCCGCGACCAGCCCTAACCCTCACTGTGTTCTTCATCCAGCTCTCAGCGGTGTTTGCGCGTTCCTGCTCCTCGACTGGCAAGGCGGCGCTGCTCTCTCTCTGTCTGCTTCCCGCTATTATCGGTTTCGCCGACTGCACCAGTTGTCCTCCCTTTGGCATTGACTTTGCTGGGACGCTGACCGCCTTGACCGGGACAGTCCGAGTCCATGCGACTGAGCAGTCCTACTGCGCGCGTTCGCCGAAAGCCACGCTTGCCCCGGTACGAACACGCCCCCAGTCTAAGTCTGGGTCTCATGCCGAAGTGAGGGGCCATCGGAGGCAAGGACGCCCGACAGTTACTCACGCGCTCCACCGTAATTGCGTTCTCTGACGCACGAGCTGCGCAGGTTCTTGCATCCTGCACCGACAACCAGGTCCTGCATACTGCATCTACATTGATGCTCAGTAACAGTCCGACGTCGACACACCCGACTCACCGAAGTTCAAACAACTGGCGGCTACTCCGGCTTGAAGGCCTCCAGGTGACTCGCTCATGGACTCGCTCATCTCATCCGCACAGAGATCCACTCTTGATGTGCCCTGCTCGCGTACGTCTCTACTTTCCGTCGACATCTCGTTATGCAGATCCGGATGCCGTTCACGTCAAAGACTGGTATGGCTGGCTCTAGTCCAGGCGCATACATTCGTCCGAGTCCAACGTTTGTCATATGGCACTCGGAAGGTCTCGTCGCATCTCCCGCATCCGCGACCCTAGTCGCCTACACCAATGGTTCCGCCTTCGCAGGCCGGATGTCCGCACGGCCGGACTACCCTCGCACCTTCCAGCGCACTTGCACGAGTTCATGCCCACCTTCGGCGCGGGAGTGGAATCGCGGACCAGACCTCTTCAGCTCATCGCTGAGCCCCGCTGCAGCTCAACGAGAGGATACCAGACACCGCAGCTTCTGAGGTGTCGGTGGTTCAGCGAGACCGGAAGTCAGCCGAGGAAGGGCACGAATAGTCGATGCGCCGACGCAGGGCCTGGGAGGACGATGCGTGGCGTCGTCCCTTCAGAGTGTCTGTGGAGGGCGAGTCCCTGAAGGGGTGCTGGATGCGGGTACGTTGAGTCTTCCGATCCTCGATCATCCGGCTGTTACAATCGACGTGAACAGCCCCGGTCAGGTCAATCCGCAAAAGATTGTGCCCACGCAGGGAGAGGACGAGATGCCGCCCGTACAGGCGGTGTAGGAGTGCGCGGGGCCGCAGTTCGAGGGGCGGCTGAACTTTGAGGTGTACAGCAGTTGGAGAAACAGTCGAAAGCGCAACCGAGTAAAGGTTTGGCGGCGGGAAGACGAGTGGTCTGGAAGATCATAGGCTGGACAGACGTGGGGCGGGTCAAGGCTTCATCGGGCCCACCTATTATCGGAACTCGAGGTAATGTCTGATCTCCCTCGGTTGTATGCGTTACCGCGACAGGAGCTGGGACGGTATACCCGCACCGTGGCGGGTGTCGCAAGAGACAGCCCACGAAGTTACTGACGTCGCCCCATCCTCGCAGCCTTGCTGCAGACCAGCCCGGCTTGAGCTTGAGTCGTCTCTTGGCTTAGAAGGCGACGTCGAAGTACCCCTGCACACACACAAGAGCTATACCCAACTCTACCTCGAGTAGTAGTGAACACGACAGCTCACCTTCATGGACCGCAGCGGCTCTTCAAGCCGCAGGATCTGCAAACAGGGCACCGTATGGCCGAACGCAAGCAGCAGCGCGTGAAGGAAGCCCCGATTTTCCCCTGTCTTGTATGGACGGATCCTTGGTACGCGCGGGCTTCGGATCCGATTCGGACGATACGATCGTACGGGTGGATGTACGCGCACGACCCGTGGAGACGTGCGGGACTGCTTGAATGGCATGTTGAAGCTCGCGCGGCTGCTGATCTCGACGGCGGGGTACGGGTTGTGCACGGCTCGGGGGTACCACGCTGCCCAGACCAGCGCCGCGACATCTAGCGTGGGGTGATCCATCGCATCGATGATTGTTTCGAGAATCTCCAGTGGGCAGCGTCGGAGGGCTCGTGGCAAGCTATTGAGAAAGGGAGCGTCGTCATCCCATGCGTCTTCGTGCCATTCAGGCTTCCATTCGCTCATTGCATGCGTCCTGACTACTACGATGGGAAGTGTCGCTCCATTCATTCTCATGACATCCGTCTTGACTGCTACGATCGGTGTCGCTCAATTCGTCCCACTCAAGACGCCGCGCGCCCTTGGAGGAAGAAGCGAAAAGCTAGGCGAATGCATCAGTTAGTCTCGCACGGCGATGTTTTACGAGAGATGGACTGACTTGTTGTCCCAGACGACATCCCGCTACGGTTTATGCATGTGGTATGAGACGCTCAGCTTGGTTGGAGGAATGGAAGCTTCGCGGCGGGCGTCGGTCTCGCTCAGTGTCTCGGGTTTCCTGGCTCTCTACGCGCTGTACATCATCCTGTCACAAACATAATGTATCTTCAGAACACTAAGACTGAAGAACCGTTCTATGACGCGAAATTGCAGTACCATAGTTTACCGTCTCTCCCGCGACTCGATGCGAACTGTATCAGCGCCACGCTGCAGTGTTGGGTCTCCAAAGGCACTTCTCCAAGCGCGATGTATACTGCATGCGACGTCGTCTTGAGCAGGTGTGTAGCGTAGGTGCGAGTACGGCTGTTAACGCTGAGGTCGAGCAGGCTCCTCCGGCCCGATCGTCTGTCGTGCTGACCGTAAAGACGATGGGGAAGGCCGAACGCGCTGTGGCAAACGTTCACTGAGTTTGGTGAGTGAGGGAGGGTTGCGGGCCCTATGGGTACGTACCGCACGAACGAACTGCGAAGATCCAGGAGAGCAGCCATCTGCGAGACGACGAGAGTACGTGCGCTGGTAAGGTACCATCCTCTGCCGAACATTCGTTGGATTGAACGTAGGCCTGGCGCGTCGAGAAGCCTTCATGCAGTTGGCCAGGCCGTCCGGACCTGTACGTCCAGCTATTGGACTGCGTCAACATAACTTCCCCGAGCGTTGCGGGGCCGGATGTCCTCGTCGGCGCTGTTGTGGTCTTGAGCACGACACGACCCTTGAGCTCGATGTGCGGGAGCTGGGCGCCTAAGCTCGTGAACGCGTTTGGCAGGTCGCTCTTCGTGGCTCAGGGTAGTGACTCGAGTGCTTGAACGGAGTCGGAACACACAGGAAGACAGCTTAGGAGCCTTCGGCTTTGGCACGCCACACACCGTGCGACAGAGTGAGAGACGCGTCGCGTGCGTCCTGCGGGAGTGCAACGAGGCCTTCGTGACGTCCGCGCAGCCGCATCCATAACCAGGGCACCACAGCAGGTAGCCGATACGCGACGTTGAAGGGCGTTCTCCGCGCTGCGAGGTCGACGTATACCGCCGTTACCACAAACAGCTCCCTATGCGCACTCACCGGACGCCGGGACGACCGACCTTGTCTTCCCGCCCGCCTAGAAATCGTGCGTCGCCGACAGAGCTGGGAACGTCGCGGGGCTTCGAGTCCTCGTTGGCGTTGCTGTGGTTCTGAATAGCGCCCGACACCTGATCTCAGCGTGCGCGAGCTGGCGTCTTCGGATAGCGGAGAGCTGTTCCACGCGCTCAGATGATCGCTCTTGGCGGTTCGGCGTACATAGAAATATGATGTCGGGGTACTGCAATGTAGAATTAGATGTTAAGCCGACGTGGTCATCTGCAACACGTACTTACCCGTGTCATCGTACGGGCCTCCGGTAGGGCAACAGATATGGGTTTTCCACCAGATTCCGAGAGGTATATGAGTGTCGGTGCAAGGAAGACCTCGCTGCGTCGAGAGGTCCGTTGACCGACGCGACGCGCCGCGAGGATGTGGCTGTTCGAAGAACCATCGAATTTATCGTCAGCCCGTGCAGAGAAGGACAAATCTAGCCAGCACGGACCTCCCCATAATGACCAGGCGTGTCGTCCTCATACAGCTGGACTCGTACCTGCGTTCATCTACGATTGGTGTAAGGCCTATGGTACTAGAAGGACGCGGTGATGATCGTCTGGCGAAGCGCAAGACATCACTGGACGGGCAGGCGACCCGAAGCAGGTATGGCACTCTTCACAGGGCACTGGATCAAATTCAGCAACGTGACGAACTGAATGGCAGCAGGATTCGAATGGAGTGGGACACACATAAACGGAAACTACGCCTCAAAACTCTCGCACCGTACACGCGCGACCAAAGAACGAGGGGCCATAAACGGGGACTACCATTCTATTGTTCGTCGTACGTGTCGCCTGGCGTAGAAAGTAATGAGACGATTATGCCCTATTATAGCGTACCTCCGATGTACATGTCCGTCGAGACAATCTCCTCGCCTTTCCTCTCCGCCTCGTCGCCCTCTCGGCGACTGTCTGTGGCCGTTCAAGTTGCTTCAGAATAGTCCTGTCATGCCGGATCGTGCGTCGTGCGAGCTCATGCTGGTATGTAGTCGAGACTTGGTCGAGACGGCAGCGCGCGCAGATGCTCCTTTTGACGGAGAGATTGGTCCGATATGACGAGCTCAAGCGTAGTGGAGCCAGGACTTGTTGGGCAGAGACGTAAGGCACCGCTCGAACGGGATGCCGAAGCTGGTGTGGTCAAGAACCACGACGTGTTGAGGACTGCGTATGCACGGCGTGAGACACCAAGCAAGTAATTGCCATAGCAACCGTACTTACCCCTTAGAAGACCGTCCTCTCCCCCACTCAAAGAGGTTTTCTTTAGGGTCTGCCTAGGGGAGACTAGTACTTACCAACGTCGGGGCCGCCGTTCAGGCGCGACATACTGCAGTCTGCGGACGCAAACCTGGGTCTCCGACGTCATGTAGGCGGCACTTGCTATCCGCGCGGACACAGCGCAAGTGCTGCAAGTCACTAAGCAAGCCGAGGGGAGCAGCGAGAGCAGCGGATCCAGACCTGGATCGAAGCGGAGGCCAGCAGTTGCGTTGGTCGACGAGGAGGGGAACCTGCAGTCCGCGGCGCCACCGTGGTCGGCCCGCTCCTCCGAGATGCTTACGACTCCGACGAGCGCCTGTCCGTACCTCCGAGTCCTCGCTGACTGAAAGCGTGTTCTGCACTTGTCTTGACCCCCTCGGTGGATACCGCCACAATATCAACACGCGTCGCGCGACGCTCTCAGACACTATGTCGTCCAACCAGATGCGCGATTCATACACAACTTGCTAGCTGCTAATGCATGCAGGTCCGGCTCGGGCGCATCCTCCGCAACCGTGCACCCTCCGCCGAACGACCGTTACTCGTGGGTCTCTTCGAGTCCTGCTCTAGTGCGTGCTGTTGTGTTGCGCGCATCCTAAATCATCACATGGGAAGAAGCATACATACTCGACAGTTCTGTCTGTTCCGTGACGAGACTTGAAGCTTGAAGACGCGGTGCCATTGGCGAGTAGCTCGTCGCATAAGCTTGAACGAGACGAAAACAGCGGAAGGATGAGTGTCTGTCAGTTCCTCCTCCTCTGCTTCTCGGTGGACATGCTCATCGTCCAGTAGTGCATCAGAACCCTTTTCAGAGCATAGTTCGTCGCCGAACGCATCGCAGTGGACGCTTGAGCACGGTGAGCGCTGTTCCCATCTCATATGGTACTGTAAGCTCTGAAGTACATATCTATCATTTTACAGGGCACGCTTCTCTTGTCTTCCGGTGTCGACATCGGTAAACTGTGCGCGACCGTTGCTGGGGGTATCGCTCCAACTGTCGACTGTTCGCACTCATATGTTCCAACATCATAGCGTATGGTCTAGCCTGCACCTCCGTGGACGTTTCTGGGGCGTGAATGACATCGTGGTCCCGCCCAAGGCAAGGTGAGTATGTCTGTCGCGTTATCTTCCAACTTCTCGGACATACATTTCACTACCGCCGATGCAGAGCCGGCCGACCCATCCTTACGGCAATGAGATCCAGTATGCGCACGACCTACTGTTCTCCATTGCAGCCATCGTTACGGGGAACTAAAATGACAGTTGCGGCAGACCTACTGCTATTCAACCTCCACCCTTGCAGGGAGGCTCGTCATCTACCGTGCCAGTAGACTCGCAGCGGTGAAGACTAGTGAATCCGACGACTGACAAGCCACGTAGTACTCCTGTGGAATTCCTCTTGTTCGCCAGGTGAGGTCGGCCGATAGTTGAAAGGGAGCCGAACGACCACTCTAAGGACCAATTCCCTCGCATCGACCCGCGTCACGTACGGGCGGCGACGATGCCTCGTTGCCGCCATCTCCGTCTGTACTGATCGGCTGACGGGCCGCAGTCTTCGGCATCAGGACGCCTGGGTTTGGATGAACTGCTGAACGGGAGACAACTTGTGAGACAGACGCATGTGGGTGCAAACGGGCTCACTTGCATTTACTATGGGAGGCGCTGCCAGGTGACGGTGACTATGCCACGATCAGACCATGGCTGCAATATGCTATGGAACATGGCCTGGAGCTTCTGAGCGATGCTGTCCTCATCCGACTTGGTCTGAAGAAACGAAGGCACCAGCCTCATCTTCACCTTGACATCCTGCAATGTGTCGAAGTATGGCTGGCTCATGACCTCGTGCAGGTCGAGCTTCTCAAGGACAACACTTGGCTCCTCAGACTTCAGAAGGCTGTGGTAGTAGTCCACCTCAACATTAACTTCGAGCTCGATGTGCTCGAGCTGACTGCTTCGGATGGTGGAGAATGTGCCGTGTAACTCGTCCGTTGCTTTGGTCCATGCCGCGCGAGGCACCTGCAATTGGGCCGTGAGTCTGAGGCTACCCAGTTCAAGTTCGATGTTCAAGGATTGCAAGGCGGTGTTTTGCAACAGATTTCCGTGATTCACTACATTGTGCATGTGCATCAGTAGTGAAGTCTGTACGCAAGACAACTTATGGGCTTCACCGTTACTATAGAGCCTCTCGCAGAAACGGGTCAACGATGCCCCCGCCGTTTCGAGGAGTTGGTTAAGTGGTGTAAGTGCCATGGAGGCCCGGGAATTATCGAACCACACTGTCACATCCGCAAGTGAGTTGCAGAGGCCGGAGTGTGTCATCCAGTCAAGGAACATCGCCATGCATTCATCATCCACGGCGACGTAAAGGTATCGAAGACGCATGTGAGATGGTGCCCGAAATAGTGAGGCTCCTGCGTAACTGGGAGCGCCTCGCTGAGCGAACTCAACATCTTGCATCGTAAGGTCTGTAAGTTGGGGGAAGGCAGACACAATCCGCCGCAGCTGCGTCATGTTGTTCAGTCGGCACGCGAAGAGCGTCAACGACTTGACAGACTTGAACCTCGACAGGGCAAGGAAAAAATCGGTGCGGATGAAACGAAGTCTTGCATTGCGGATGTGAAGGATGCGTACACGCGGCATCAGACCAGCGAGCGCGGACGGTAGTGCTTGAAGGAAGCGAGGGGCATAGTTACCCTTCAAGTCCTGGTATTCAGGGCTGTCCTTGTACATATGTCGGAGTAAGCACCCACCTCATGTACCAGCAGCTTGTATGTGCTCGCGAGCCACTGTTTGACGCGTGGTGACGCGCGACACTGCTTGAACAGCATGTTGTAGCATGCGCGGCTGTGAATCTTGACATCGTAGTACAGGTTGTGCATCGCTCGAGGGTGCCATGCTGCGCAGACCAGCGCCGCGACAGTCAATGTGGGGGATTCATCGCGTTGATGATGATCTCGAAGACCTCGAGCGGGATGCGAGCGGAGATGGCCAGCGGCAGGGCGTTCCGCCAGCGTTTGAAGGTCCAGCCCTGGAGGGTGAAGGAGTATCCATCGTCGCTCAATTCGTCGGCGCTGAATTCCACATCGCTCTGTTCATCGGCACTCAATCCAAAAGTCCTCCATCCGTCGTCGCTCGATTCGTCGGTGCTGAATTCCTCATTGCTCTGTTCATCGACACTCGATCCAGAAGCCCTCGATCCGTCGGCACTGGATACCTCGTCGTTCTGTTCATTGGCACGCCAACGCATGAATTGCGCATGTGAGGCGTCGCCGGGGGAAGGAGGAAGACGCTAAGTGAACGGTGCATCAGTCGAGAATCGGGATCACCATGGAGAGAAGACGACCGACCCTAGGCTGGAGATCGGACATCTGGGCACTCAGGCTCGCACCCCGTACGACGTGGATGTATGCGCTATGAGGGAGGGCGCAGCCGTGAGCGGAGGAGTGGTGGGGGTGGGAACGCAAGTAGCAAGGGGGCCTCGAGGATGCAGCGAGGCTAATATATGAGTACTCGGGAAGAGCTGTGTGCGAGAGTTTGATGAGCCGCACGGTGACTGCCGCGACTCACCGGGACGTTTCATTCTATAACCAGTACTAGTCCTAGCTATGCTTCAAGAATTCGTCGCCGCGCCGCACTGGCACGGAGATGAGTGTGGGACGTTCCAGTGAGTCGCGGCCAGCCTGGGTGTGCGACGCGGGAGGCCGTGACAGCGGTCTTGCGGTGGTCCATACCCTTAACCCTAGCTGCGTTCTTCAAGGCGCCCATCACATGATCCAGTTCTGTTCGAATTGGACAGTCGACTCGCAGCGGCGGCCTTGCTGTCTGCGTCTGCCTCCTGCGTCCCTGGTATCGTCCCATCTCCACTAGCCTGCGCATCGACCTGCATTGTCCCTCCGCCCTGTTCTTTTATCCACTGCGCCTTGGTATGCCATCGGTCTCCCTCAGTCTGACACAGTAACGGCGGCGCCCAGCGCAGACCTGCCCTCCGGCGAGGCGGCCATACCATGTGTTCTCGTCTGACAACTGCGCCCTACGAGCCAGATATACGCGCCGCGAAGCTGCTTCAATCAGTCGTCTGAGCACGAGCAGACGGCACGCTCATCCTGGAGGATGTCATGAGCGCACGCAGGTGTACCGGTCGTAGACGAGATCATGGTGTTACGGCAAGCAAGGTGCGCATACCAACCCGTACAGGAAACATCTTTTGCACCACTCATTTGATGGACTTATCACGCAGGCTCGTGCCAATCGCGGTTTGCGCTCGCCGGTACGTACTGAAACCCTCACTTTGGATTGACATCGTACCCCGGACCGACGCATCCACGCCTAATGTCTACCAGTGTGTCTTACAGCGGAAGCACGTCCCACACTCAGCAAAGCCGCGCTTGCTGCGTACGTACACTCCGTCGTGCCAGAGTCCCTCGTGTTGGTCACAACGTCGATGTTCTGGGCCGACTGCACTCATACCGATGTCCGAATGTGATCTTAGGAGGATGGTACGTCCGGACAGACTATGCAGAGCGCAAAGGGGCTGCAAGCCTTCTGAAATGTGCCCTCATACGAAGGCCGATGCGGCAGTATGCACTAAGACCGCTCCTTCTCGCTATTCGCAACTTTGATAGGACTAAATGGACCGCGTGCAGTCTAGGTCTCGTCGCACAGATGAACCTCAATTTCATCGTTTCCGCGAGCTCGTTCCTGTTGGACCACTCCTCCAATATACCGCATGCCGAAAACGAAGCCATACTCAGTCCCCGACGTTGTCAAGAGGAGCGGCCTCCACAAGATCCACTGCTGCGACTGCGGACCGCATCTGCGTGACACAGCTTGCCCAGCGTAGTTCCTCCGATTCGTCTCTCTAAATAACCTGTCCGCATTTTGTTACATCGCCCCCTCTGCAGGAACTACGTCGACGGCAATGTGTTCTGTAGTATGCGCCGAACATCCTTCCCTTCCCCCTGAAAGTTTTTCCGCGCGTGCATAGCATCTCCGTGAACCATACTGATTGAAGTCCTGAACAGGTCCTCTTCAGCTCCATCGGAGCGGCTCAATACGACAAGTCCTTCGACTCGTAAAACTCGCGCCATACATCACACGGGTATCCTCGACGATCGCAATCTGCTCATCCCGCACCTCCCCACGTCCACGAAAGTGTCTCGCGTTGAGGACCAGAAAGACCGAGCTCCAAGTCGTCATGTCCACTCGTACAACGCCGCGAACGTTCTCTGTCCTTGCAAGCTCGGATTCTCGGCTCCGCGCCGGGTGTCGGTCTTGTTAGGTTTGCTGGGTTCGCCCCTATGCGCCGTTCAAAATCCTATTATGATCCCTTGCTCGCTAGAGCAAGGCTCTCTCGTCTGTAATTGTTGCCGGGCGCTTGAACACTTGTTTGTGGCTGTTGTCAATGTCACATGCGTGAGCAGCGAAGGCTCACCTACCGTTCCCACACTTACTGACTAATAAGTGATGTCGGACCGACCGATCAGTCGGCACTAGTATGTGCCCTTATCACTCAATCTCCTTACCCTTGAAGATTTCCGTGAAGAATATTGACTTCGCAATGGTGCTCGCTGTCTAGGGCACGTGAGTTCTTCCCAATTGGGATGCCCGCTCACCTCCGTCCCCGTGAGTCGGGCTAGATCTCCCGATCCTTCTCCGATGTTCTCGGAGTCCGTTTCTGGTCACTGTCCCGTGCTCGCCGGCGCTTGCGGGCCCGTTCTGGCCACCACCCCGTGCTCGCCGGCGCTTGCGAGTACATCACGCCCCGTCCCGTGCTCGCCGGCGCTTGCGAGCACATCACGCCCCGTCCCGTGCTCGCCGGCGCTTGCGAGCACATCACGCCCTGTCCCGTGCTCGCCGGCGCTTGCGAGCACATCACGCCCCGTCCCGTGCTCGCCGGCGCTTGCGAGCACGCCACCGCCCCGTCCCGCCCTCGCCGGCGCTTGCGCACACGCCACCGCCCCGTCCCGCCCTCGCCGGCGCTTCCCGCCGCCACTGCCTCGTCCCGACCTCGTCGGCGCTTCCCGCCACCACTGCCCCGCTGCCCGCTGCCCGCCGGCGCTCCCTCGTCCCCGGCTGTCCCGCCTGGCGCTGCCACCCTCCGCCGGTACCTACACGTGGTCTGTGCGATGTCTGGTATGACGTCCCTCATACACCGGCATTCGCACACTGCCAAGAGGGCAATCACTCAGGCTTGCGAGGCTGAGTCATTGTCCACATTAGGGAAGTGAGGCCACGAGGCTACCGGCCTCCGCGGTGCGTGTACGTGAGAGCAGTGACTACTCAGGCACAGCGTGTGTTGCCACGACTACTCAGGCACAGCACGTGTTGCCACAACTGGGTTACTGCTTTTGGTAATCGCAGGCACCACTGGTTCGTGCTTCTCATCATGGCTATCTTCGCGCTCATCGAGTCATGTCCAAGTCCAGTATATTGTGCTTGGCCAGCAACGTGTATAGTAGCCATCACACATGGGGTAAGTCAAGAAGAAACATGAGATAGCTGACAACATGACAACAGCATGGGACAACGCGTACAAAAGCATTAGACAGAGCAAGGACGAAAGCATACAGCGAGGGTAGTAGCATACGACGACGAGAGCAAGACAGTGTGCAGTGACAACATACTGGAATGGAAGCAGGTACGAATGCCCTACTCGTCGTTCTCGACGAACGGTGCACTCTTGGGACGGTTCTTCGCCGCGGCCTTTGGCTTCGACGCAGCCTTCGACTTCGACACAGCCTTCGACGTCCGACGACGCTTCTGCGGTGGGCCCGGGGCCTCCGCTACGTTCTCGTCGGGTTGCTCGGTCTCCTGGCTATCATCCTCATCATCACGCGCGTCGGAACGGCTGCGCTTTCCCCGTGCGACGCCCTTGTCCTGACGCTCTTTACGAGGTGCGACATCCCCGGCCTCAACCTTTCGATAATACTCCTTCTCTCGCACGCGATGATCGGCCGGCGACAGGCGAACAAACTTGCAAGACCCATTCTTGAGCGCGTCAACGAGTTTACGAAGAGGGGGGAGGCTTGTGCTCATGTCGGACGGGTTGATGAACTTGTCGTGGGTCCAGCCTAAGACGTCGATTCCTTGCTTAACAATGAAGTCGCGTTCGAAGTTAAGATAGTTCATCTTGATCTTCTCATTGCCAGTCAGCTCGACTGCGAGTGCATCTGTAAGTATCGGGACACCCATCGAGCAGAGTGTAACATACCGAGTTGACTTTGCACGAGGTCACGGATCTCTGACTTCATATAGTCTGCGCGATCCTTAGAAGTCCGAAGGAACCCTATCAAAGAACAGTAAGTGTCTGCCTTCGTCGAGTATTAAATGAACGCACTCATAAAGTCGCACCCAGCAACTGCAAACGCCTCGGCCAGTGCCCCGATTGCCTGGATGTCCCACCCTCTACGCACTGCCTGACCAAGGTAGGTGTTGATGTCCGAGTTCGTGAAATACCAGCGCGGGGCGAAGGTAATGTCGACGTCGCCCTTGAAGATACAAGTGAATCCTTCGACGCCCGTACGCAGCTTGAGACCGAACAGCTAGTGTAGAAGCGTGAGCAGCAACTGATGACCATAGTTCGAGTACCTACCATCGCATCCAACTTCGCCGACGTGCGAATGATGTCGTTGTGCTTGGCCCGAGCTGAGAGACGAACACCATACTGCCGCGACGCCCGGGTCTCCTCTAAAAGCGTGACGAGCTCCGCCTTCGCTTCGGGCGTAAGATTTTTGTATGCTTCCTTATGGTCCCTCTGAACGTCGAGCAGAGATTGCGACTTGCCTGCAGCTGCTCCTAGTGCGACACCGGGATAAGACGGCTCTGCATCGTGATATACTAGCAACTCACCTTCGTTCGCAGCCTTGGCTACTGAACTAGACCACGCGTTGTAAGCGTTCGGCTTGCGAGTGTTCTTCGTGTTCACGGAGCCAGAGAAAAGCAGGTGGAGGAAGTACCCCTCCGTCTTCCCGAAGTCTTGAGCCATCTGCCGGGCGAACGCAGCAGTTTGCTCGTGCCATTGCGCGATCCGCTCGCGGATCCTCGCCTCTTTCTCTTGACGAGCAAGAGTCATGGCTTTCCTGACCTCGGGGGAGACGGGAGGAGCAGGAGCACGCTTGACGGGCTGCTGAGGCCTCGCGGTCACGGCAAGTGCCGGGCCATACGTGACACTTGCCATGTGGCCACGAGACGAAGGCAGTGCGGAAAACGTTCAGTGCAGAATACGAGAAGATACGAGAAGTTCAGCGAGAAGGGCAATTCGGAGCACGGGGACTCAGCATGTCAAGACAGGCGGATTAAAACGGGTCATAACGAGCGCTCAAGATGGTAATTTTTCATAGATTCCCTGACAACACTTCCCATGATGCATGACAGGGTTCCCACTGCGGCAAGCAACACCGGACTTCTCGCTCCCACATTTAGCAAGATGACGCCAGACGGATATCATTCAAAAGAGAGTCCAATTTATTTTGTCCGACACACGGCGAAATCATTGGACGAGACGATGAGCTAAGCCGGGTCGGACTCAGACGATATTCGTACCACAGCACTGGCAGGGATCATGAGAGCAACAAGTAATGAAGACGATGAGCATACGACGAGCAACGACTATAACACGACATGCGGTGACAAGAACACGAGAAGCGACGACTATAACTCGACAGATGATGACAAGAGCAGAACATGCGACGACGAGAAACAAAACAAGCAACGAGCAAGTAGATAGCAACGACGGGAGATTAAATGAAACACACCGGGAAGCACTTTCAAGGCAACACGAACTGCACTTAATCGTAAATGCACAGATCCGCCTCCATAGCCTCCTTGAGATCCATGGCAATGGCCTCGGACACCGCGAGGCGCCCTTGAAGCTCGGGTATCCAGATGATCGCAGCATACGAGCTTGCGACAGCCTCGCAGACGTTGTGAGTGAGGTAGTCGAGCTGATGCTTCTCGACGACCTGCTGAACCTTGATGCCGAATCCGCGAGCATACTTGGACCGCAACGTATGAGCCGACGCCGCACCATACAAGACGGAGCGAACACCAGACGGTGTGCTCGGCCGAGCAGGCGTGGGCGGCGGCGGAGGTGGTTCAGACTGCGAGAGGCCGGGCGATGTCTGAACGGCTGCAAAAGATTGTCATAAAAAATCAGAACAGATTGTTATAGCACCACCTACCTGCGTTCGTCGTCAACTGTAACTTCAACTGGCGGATCGTCTCCTTCTGCTTCATGACGACTTTGAGCACCTTCTCGTGTGCCTCAAGTACCGTGGCCTTCTCCGCCTGGACCCGGCCAAGTGCCTCGCTCTGGGCCTTGACCAAGGTGTCCTGCTCGCGAACCCGTTCAGCGAGCTGAGCCGTCAGCGCAGTGACCTTGTCCTTTTCGTTGGCAAGGTCGACATCCAGACCATCAATCATCACCTCGTAGTCCTCGGCCTGTCGACGCAAAACCTCGATCTCCTCCTCCAACTCGGCTTGCCGCTGTTGAGAAGAAGGTGCTTCACGCACGTCGGCAAGCATCGCGTCCAACTCTCCTCGCGGTCGGCCGTGGAACACGAAGTGGGTGGTACCCTGAGAGTTGGGGATCAAGGGTGCCCGGGCACGGTGAAAATGTTGAGTCGGGGGTCGAGATGCAGCGGGCTCATCATTCATCTTGTTGAAGTTCCACTTGAGCCTTTCCTTGGCCATGTTCTCGAAGCGCTGCACGGCGTAGACACCAATCTCCTCTGCGAACATCTGCACCATCCTCGCCAGCCCCGCTTTTGCCGTCGGAATCTCAGCTAAGATAGGCGGAAACGCATAGACGTGGAAAGGAAGATCTTGAGGGAGTGGAACGGTTCCCGGCGTACGAGTCCCTGGAGACTGAGAGCCCGACACACGTACAGCCACCGTGCACCCGCCGTCAACGCGGTCCAACGCCGTCAGCTGCCCGCACTGTTAGAATGACATTTGAATGCTGTAAAAGTCGTCTACATACTGCGTCGAATGCTAAGTTCATGATGTTGTCTCGAAATTTCGCTCGAACCTGCCGGCCAACGAGACCAGTGCCCGTGAGTTCGCGAGCTTCGTGGAACATAGGGTGGAAGTCGCCGGCAGGCAGTGCAGAGCGTTCGTGGTGAGCATTGGCGACGAAGAAGGCTATGTCGGCGGCGGCAAGTCGTGATGCGTGTATCGAAGTGGGACTGAGGGATCGATTTAGGGCATCGCTGAGGCCTTGCAGGCCGGTTGGATTGAAGCGAAGGGACGCGACAGTTGCCGCAGCCTCCTCCTCGCGTGCCCGCTTTTCTTCCTCCTCTCGCCTTCGCAATTCTTCTTCGCGACGATCGGGCATCATCGCGAGAGAGCAGTGACGGGGTAGGTAAATGAACGTGGTAGTTGGCAGAGAGTCGCCGCGAGTAGATTTGCCGCTCAACCTGCAACTTCACGCGTCACGCTTCAGCTGCAAGCTTGAGACGCCGACAGTGAACATTTGAACACTCACGGAATTGCTACGGGTCAGTGCGTCGACGCTGCTGCGAGAAATCAAAGATATTGTTAGTAGCGTACACTCGAGGACACGGCTCCGTGTTCGTTTGAATATATGGGATATGTCAATGCGCCGTGGTCGATCTCGACTGGTCAGACTCGTACATGCACCAATGTTACATTCAGCATTCGGTCGCATTTCGCGTCATGAGAATTCTGCAATGCATTGCTATACAACAAAAATGCATCAAATGATATACTACTCTGTACGAATGTCCACATCTTGTCTACCCAGGTCGTCGAGGAATCCTACGTACGCGTTCGCATCGTGGTCGAACTCGATTCCAGGCAACAACGGTTCGATCTCATCATCCTCCTCGGCTGCATCTGCATCTACCTCACGAGCCACTGTAGTATCTACTAAGCACTTCGCCCACGGAGGTATCGGAATACCATCGTTTCGCGTCACGGGGCGTCCAATACGTTGACCAGTGTGAAGACTTCCTGTGAAGCCGCGCAGTTGAGACGTCTTGAACAGCTTGAAGGCGATCCTGGTGTTGATTTCGTTACGATAACGCCATCGTCGTTTCAACTCCATCACGAGGCCTGGATTGGTCGAAGCGAGCTCTTGCACCGCGACGTGGTAATCAACGTGTTCATCATACATATGAGTGAGCAGACGTCGAATCTCGACGTTCAGGCGCGTAATCTCCTCGCGTGCTCGCTTGATGTTGAAGTACAGGTTCATGGCACGTCGCTGCGAGTGTTTTGCCCACGGCTTCTGACGGATGTCCTCGCGGCCTTCACGAAGAAGGTCGAAGTCAGCTAGGGAAACCATCCCTACCACTTCTTGCCACGAAAGGGCTGCGCGCGGGGGTGTCAGACGCGCAGCCTGCTCATTGTATCGACCGAGAGCTTTCTGGATCGCTTGCGCGCGTGCTTTAAGGGCCTTCCCGATCTTTTCGCGGAGCTTGTAACCTAGCACTTATCCGTGAGGCGAGTCCCAGTTGAAGCAAGAGGATGGTCATACCGATGCCACTCATCCCGAGCTTTGTGAGCTCGAAAAGCCGCTGGACGACAAGTCGTTCGAGCTCATCCACCGCGCGCTGATACTGGCGCATTGTCAGGAGTTTGCATGCTTCCTGATACTCCGTGCTGTTCGGCGTCCATCGCACACTGATGTCGAGTTCCTTCTCGTACGCCTGGCAGTCGTCGTCAGTCTCGAAGTACCGTTTTGTGGTGTTCGTTCGATTCGTCCGGACCCGTGTGATCTCCTTCGTTGTGTAGCCGTTATGACAGATGTTGAAGTCGAGCTCGCGAAATTGCTGATCTGCAGTCGCTTTCTTTGCCCTAAAACCTTTGCATCAGATGAATCCGCCATCGGAGTCAGAGTGACGTACCCCGCATCCTCGAGTCTTCGTAAGGCTTCCAGATACATCAGCTTGCGGGAAACTTCGGGTGGTTCAGCTTTGCGACCGCGTAGGTACTCTCTCTCTTGTCTCAGGTACTCCTCGTAGTCATTGTCGCTCGTGTTCAGCTCCGCTGACAGGGCCGCAAGTACGCAACCGTCTTCTTGAATGATGTCGAGAGCCTGTCGATAATTATTGTAGATGAAGTTTCCTAAGATATGCGTCAGTGTCTGAATGTTGCTCGGACGAGAAAACGCACCCGAATCATAATGCTTCTGCTCGCCCCAGAACTGGAAATGTTCCTCGATTGCCTGTTCCCGGTGGAAGACCGACGATAGGCGCGTCCCAGGGGCGAGGCTGTTCGATTCAGAGAAGCAGCGCTCGCAACCCTCGAAGTCCTCCTTACCGACGCCATCCATGTAGAGGGGATGCCAATTGACTTGGCAGCCGCGATTGTGGCCGTGCCCGTGGAATGCCGGTACGACACCTGCCATACGGAGCCGACGCGCATCTGGCGCGAGGCAGCTCTTGGCGAGCGTCTTGGCGAAGGCGCATGCGATGTCGTAGCCGACCAAGACGTCGGGGCCGTAGACCTCCATCAGCTTGTTGACGATGGCGAGGGGGTATTTCGCGCTGCAAGGATTAGTGATCAGCGAAATGATACAAAGGTTAGCACTTACAGTTCTCCACTCCTGATCATGTCACAGAGGATGAGCAGTTGTCCATGGCGGCATAAGCACACGAAGATGCCTGTCATCGCGAACAGGGCGAACATCTTCTTCCGCGCTTCGGGACCCGCGTTGCGCCAGCGCTCCACGCACACGTCGACGGAGGCCTCGAGCTTACCATCTTCGGACTCGGGCAGATCCAGCCACGCGATGTCGTCGCTGTGATCATCAAGTCGTCCGGGATCATCGGCGGTTTGATCTGCATGTGCCGTCGCACCACCGGCCGCTCCGTTTTCCCCACGACTGTCCTGGCCAGCCGAGTCATCGACAAGCATTGGGGCTGCTCCCCCACTGCCTTGCTCGTCCGAAGTAGGGTCAGAGGAAGCCAGCTTTGCCTACATGGAGGAAATTTAGAGCGGTGATGATACGAGGCGACGCACGGCGACGTACAATTTTGCCTGCCTCATCCTTGAACCGATCGACCTCTGCCGGCGAAAGCCAGATATCGGTTCGTGCACTTCGCCCATCCTCGCGGGTAGTACCGTGCCGAAACATGTCGTCGACGAGCTTTAGGGACTGGTTGCCGTCCATTGTGGCTAAGAGCGCATACTTGAGTGTCGGCTCGTCTTCGATCTTGTAGAGGCACGGTGCGCAGGCATTGAGCATGCGCCAGTCGGAGTATCGCGGTGCATGGCTGACTTGACCAACCGATCGACTCCATACTGGATGTCGAGGTACACGTCGTAGGCGTCACTGAATTGCTTGACTAGATGTTTATTGAAAGGAACCTGTGACGCGTCGTCAATCGTAGCCGCGTATAGATAACAATCAGTATATACTTCGTGTAAGTAACAAAGTGCTTTGACTTGCGCTTGTACACTCAGGCGCGGGCACGCTCGGTGAAGTTGTCGGTAAGCTTCGAGGGTTTTCAAGGAGATGGCGACCGTCGGCTTCTGAGGAGCAGACCCGAGGAATCCGCGAGAGACGAGGGCGACGTTGGCGTGGACCATTGTTGAAGCCAGCTTGAAGGTCTGTCTTGAGAGGTCTGGCATACAGGCACAGTCAGGAAGAGTGCGCGCGAGAAGTAAAGGAAGCTCACCGAAGAACTCTACTGTAACAACATCCCACTCCGCGTACGAACCCGATCCTTCAGCATCACCCCCTGCGCCTACCGTCGTCTCTTCGTGCCAGTTGTGGTCTTGACTAGGAGACTGACGCCTGGCACTGCCAGGCTCTTCGCCGCCCGGACAGGACCTAGTGTGCATGGTTAGTGGGCGGCCACACAATAGGACGTCGACCTGTTACCTATTCTCTGCAGGACCAGCTGCAGGAGCATCATCCTCTGCCGAGGAAGCCTTCCATGCCAGATACGCATCAACGAGGGCCGGCATCTGTGCCTGCCACTGGGCGCGAGCACGTTGAAGTCGGTCGCGCCTTGTGCGATAGTCGACGCGCTTCCTAGAGGAACTGTGAGAGAATATACGCAAAGGAACGATCAACGTACCGCTTTTCTATGAACAAGTCCCGGCAAACCTCCGTCTCCGCCCCCGCATGGCTGAGAAACATAGCTTCTTCGCCCGGAGGGAGGGGATATAGCTCGTCGTCGTCCTGTGTTGCACTCTCGGCTTCTGCGAACCCACCGGAAGTCATCGCATCGAGGTGTTCTCGCTCCTCAAACGACAACCCTATCGTGCGACGTCAGCAACTCAGCCTAGATGAGAAACAACCTTACCGGCCACCATAGCCCGACGCTCTCGCTCCTCCTGTGCACGACGTTTTCGCGCATCAGTGTGCTTGAGCTTTCGCGGCTTCATGGGCCTGATGAGAGGATTGCCAGAGGCTAACGTGACGGAGCTCGAGAGGTAGCTGCGGACCTTCGGCATGATAGGATAGCGAGGACACGGACGGACGTGGCAGGAGGTGTAACCGGATTAGGAAACAAGGACGAGGTGTGAGTTAGACATTGCCAAATCGGGTAGCGTGCTCAGGGCTCCAGCCTAGGCGGACTGCGAGTCGGAGTATTGATGGCAGCTTCTTACCCAATCAGGAGAGGCAGTGATTGAGTACCCGAAAGAGCACAGCCGTGCCAGAGCAAGGCATCGGCGGCGGGCGGGGCAAGGCAGGACAGGGCAGCATGGCCGAGTACGGCAGACACAGGCGGGGACGCTGGGGCGCTGGGGACAAGGGAGCGCCGGCGGGCAGCGGGCAGCGGGGCAGTGGTGGCGGGAAGCGCCGACGAGGTCGGGACGAGGCAGTGGCGGCGGGAAGCGCCGGCGAGGGCGGGACGGGGCGGTGGCGTGTGCGCAAGCGCCGGCGAGCACGGGACGGGGCGTGATGTGCTCGCAAGCGCCGGCGAGCACGGGACAGGGCGTGATGTGCTCGCAAGCGCCGGCGAGCACGGGACGGGGCGTGATGTGCTCGCAAGCGCCGGCGAGCACGGGACGGGGCGTGATGTACTCGCAAGCGCCGGCGAGCACGGGGTGGTGGCCAGAACGGGCCCGCAAGCGCCGGCGAGCACGGGGTGGTGGCCAGAACGGGCCCGCAAGCGCCGGCGAGCACGGGACAGTGACCAGAAACGGACTCCGAGAACATCGGAGAAGGATCGGGAGATCTAGCCCGACTCACGGGGACGGAGGTGAGCGGGCATCCCAATTGGGAAGAACTCACGTGCCCTAGACAGCGAGCACCATTGCGAAGTCAATATTCTTCACGGAAATCTTCAAGGGTAAGGAGATTGAGTGATAAGGGCACATACTAGTGCCGACTGATCGGTCGGTCCGACATCACTTATTAGTCAGTAAGTGTGGGAACGGTAGGTGGAAGGCTACATGAGCAGGCACATCGACACCAAATATTCAGAGAGTCAGACAGTTTCACAGTCATGGAGGGTTTTGTTGTGGAGAACAACTACAGGTAAATGAGTACATGATGTATGACCATGCAAAATGAACGAGAATTATTCACTTCGCGACACCGGGCAGCGGTGGTGGCAGTTACCTTGTAAGGTAATACTCGCAAGCGCCCGTTAAATGCGGCTGCTACTGCGACTGCATGCCTGAACTGTGCACGGGGCATGATTTTCTAAGCAAAATGAAGTGATTCAGGAGCATTCTATAGCACTCAACGTACTTTATGCCAATTTTAAGTCACCTCACAGAAGCTTTGCCGGGTACAACACAGTGTCTGTCTTCTTGCATTAGCCTGCGATCGCGAATACAAGCGCGGCGGCACTCTTAGTACGCGTCTGTACGATACTTATTCCGCTTCTCCGTCGAGGGCCGATATAAGTTATGGAGGTTAGTCGAGCTGCCTTATTCATACCTGAACATGCTCATATCATTGTGCTTATTTCGACTCCCGCACCCGACCTCGGTCCGGTGACGCTGGAGGCGCAGAACATGCAGAGACTGCGGCACGCACATATCCGCGCCCTACTGGAGCCAGGGAAGCCAGATGCAGCGTTTTGGAGAGCCTTCCGAGGGATGGTAGACCCCGCGCCTCGCCCAGCTAGGGTGACAGTCGATGAACTGCGATTGGCTTTCGCGCCGCGGATGAACCCACCTGTCCAGCTTCCTGACAACTTCGAGGCGACGCGATATGCGGCGAACAGAGCGTGGTGCAAGGCACTCCCGGAGCGTACACCGACGCCACCGGAACAGGAGTTCTTTGCGCGACCGTGGACCCTCGATGAGATTGCGGATGCTAAAGAGCACATCCGCCTACATTCTCGCCGCTCTGCTGTCGGAGGCGATCGCATCTCGTATGCAACAGTGCTCGCACTGGACAACGGGGACCTGCGGGAGCTCTTTCAGACGTGTGTGGACTGCGTCGACGCACCATCCACATGGTTGACGGCCATCCTCACTGGGATAGCAAAGCGCGGTAAAGACACCGGGAATGCGGCCAATTATCGTGCTGTGGGCTTGGAGAGCTGTCTCGTGAAAATGCTCACACTGATGATTGAACGACGCATCCGGGCTTGGGCCGAATCCTCATTACAGATCCCCACCTCACAGAATGGCTTCCGAACGGGGTGCCGGACGAATAATAATGCATTCGTACTCCGCGCCGCCATCGAGAAAGCACGGGAGATGGGCAGACCACTGTATGTCGCGTTCGTGGACCTCTTGAACGCGTTTCCGTCTGTGGACCAGCCAACATTATGGGCGAAACTGCATGCGTCGGGTTTCTCGGGCCCGCTGTTTGACTGGCTGAGAATGCTCTATGCAAGGCTGCGCTATGTGGTGCGCGCGGACGGCCACATCTCGGATTTCTTCAAAGCGGCAGCAGGGATCCTGATAGGTGATCCCGCCTCACCGATCCTGTGGATCCTATTCCTCGCCGATCTACACATCTCCGACCATGACGATGACGTCCGCCTAGGTGGCATATTGGTATCTCACCTCGAACAAGCGGATGACATCGCGCTGTTCTCAACGTCCCAAGCAGCTCTACAGCGCAAACTAGATGATTTGGCTCGATGGTGTTCGCTGAACTTCGCGACGATCAATGTCTCGAAGACGCAGCTGATGATCTTCGGTGCCCTCCCAACATCCGCCCCCTGTATCACTGTCAATGGAGCACTCATTGCCCTGGTCGATAGGTACACCTATGTTGGCATCACGTTCCTGTCCACAGCGCGGGACATCTTCGCGGCGCATGTCGAACGCCGTGTAGCCATCGCCCGCAAAACCGCGAACGCATGCCTGTCCGTGGAGTCATACGTCACAGATCTGCCTCCCTGGGCGGCCCTGACTCTATACAATACCCACATCGACTCGCACCTCATCTCCGGGTGCGAGGTCACGATCGATGTCCAGCTGAGGGCACACACCACCCTCGCGGCCGTGCAGTTGACCTTCCTGCGCCGCACGCTCGGACTTAACCCAAGGTCTGTCACCACAGTCCTGTTCACGGAGACTGGCCTATGGCCAATTCGCTACCGACGACTCTCGCTGGCGCTCCGTTACCTCATGTATGTGGTAACAAAGCGCCCTGTCCTACCCCTGGCAGCGCTGGCCGAGACTCGCCGAATGGCTTTGAGTGGTACTGCTTCATGGCTCGGAGACCTCCGGTATGCTTTGCAACAGCTGCCAGTCCCAGTCCACTTCCCGTTGTCGGATGCCCTGACTTCGGATGTCGTCAAGAAATGTGCTGAAGAAATGCTGGCCTCCCTGAGGACTTACCTCATACGCGAAATTCAGGCATCGCAACGGCTATATCTTCTGCGTGCGCGCCCGAATGCCACGAATGTCCTCGTGCGTCGCAAGTATCTCGCGCTGGATGCCCGCGAGGCCCGAAAAGCGGTATGCAGGCTCTTCGCCTCGGACCACCCATTTGCGGTAGAACGTCTGCGACGACGATCACCACCGGTCCTGCGTGAATGGCGAATCTGCAGATTCTGCCGAGGGCGAAACATGGTCGAGGACGAGACACATGTGCTAATGCAGTGTCGCGCTGAGCCTCTTCGGTCGCGACGCGGAGCGTTCATGCAGGCGGTCGACGCGGCCCTTCGCTCAGAGAAACGAGCATGGCCGGAACAGTCCCCCCTCGCATTCCTCAATGCCGCGATCGCGGAGGAGTGCACAGAGCATATCACGGCTAAATACATTCTTGACATCTTCCACTGCTGTGACGCCGTCCCCATCCTGGTGGTCACCAGCGTGGAGCAATTCCACTCTTACGCCATGCGGTGAGCGGGCCAGCGCTGTCCCCTGTGTGCGTCTATATCACCGCAGCCGCTTGCTCTACGCCCTCGATGGCGGTGTCTTTGACACCAACGTCATTGTGCGCTATGACCAGGTTGGGCGTGTCCAGCCCCTACTATGCCAATAGGGGGCCTCGCGTGCCTCCCGCATGATCGCGGACGGCAGTAGCGCTACCATATGGTACCACCTGGACCATGGTGAGTTATGTTAGTGTGATGGGGAACCACCACTGACGCCTGGAGGTTTTTCGAAGCTTTTTCCTACCAGGTTTTAGCCATGGATTCTGCCCTGCTGGGCCGGGGTGTTCGTGAATTTTCGAGTAGTATTGCAATCATGCGATAGTAGGTGCTGGATATCCCGATCGGGAATTAGTGTACAAGGGTCTATGGAGTATGGGGGTTGTCATGTAAATAGAGAACACTGTCACACGTGGCAAGCCTTATGGCGCGCAAACGTGAGGACTAAATGGAAGCCCCTCCTCCTCCTCCTCCTCTCCATATCATGAACTCTGTCTTGCACTCAGTGTGTACAATAGCAGTGTCCTCAACTTTTGTACGATAGCAGAAGTCCTCGATCTTTGTACAGTAGTCTACGTTCAGAAGCCTTGTTGCCTTTCAGATACTACAGTATTTGTCGATGTCCCCTTCCAAAGACCTGCGCGAGCAAGGTAGCGCCGCCCCTCTTGGCGGCATTTCGAGTAAATATTTGTCTTCGGAATACACATAAGTTACTATCGATGGAATCCCGCATCGGCGTCCTGTTGCAGCGTTAGGACCCCGAGTTCCACCAGTCACCGCGCACTTGTACAAGCACAATGTATGCAGTATGTGACGTCATCTTGAGCAAGGGTGTAGTGTAGGTATGGGTAGAACTGAGGTCGAGGAGGCTCCTCCGCCCCGACCATCTCTCCTGCTGGTTTGATCATGTCCAAGAAGACCGTTCGCACTGCGGAAACACCGACTGAGCTATATGAGTATAAGAGGGGAGGACTACGAGGACGGGTACGCACCGGATTGCGAAGATCCAGAAGAGCGGCAACGGCACCTGCGAGCAGGCGACGACGATCTATGCGCTGTTGACGTACCATCCCACTCTCGTTGAACGTTTCGGATTGCACGTAGGCCTGCAGCGCCGAATCGGTGTTGTCAACAGCTCGTCCTGACGGGTCACCAGGGCCCTCCAGGCACATCGTTCACTAATGAAGGGACTTGATCCCCCTGTTATGCACGCGGATGTCACTTCAGTGCGTGCGCGTCCTCTTGAAGGTCTTGCATTCGTGCGAGGCGTGTTTCCTGCGTCTGATTGACCCGTACGCGTCGCTTCGGCTCCGTCAGAGACGATCAGGCTCGATTTTTCATGAACCGTGACCTCGGGCTGTGCATTATGCTCCACGCCTTGACATCGGCCTGCTGACCAGCGTCTCGTCAAATTGATTGAAATGCACGACGCGCACCGGTGCTCCGTAAGATTGAGCGCCACCATTGTTTGATTCGTTCGCGCGACGACGCGAACATCATCACCTCCACACATTCCGAAGGTCCTGCGGCACATCCCCGCGCTGCAAGCTCGACGTAAGCGGTCGTTACTACAAAGAGCTCCCTGCAAGCACTCACCGGACGCCCGGACAACTGTCCCTCGTCTTCCCGCCCATCCCGAGTATGGGGGCGCCGCCAGAGCTGTGAGCGTCGCGGTCCACGGCATTGACTTGCAGGGGTGCGCAAAGGTGGCACGAGTGCCGCGATCATCAAGCGGGGGTACTGATATCGTGCAGATGCCTACTCACAGATTAGTGCACAAGGTATTCGGCATTGCAGGACGGTAGACGTACTAACTCTGATCGTTGTGCATGGCACGTCGCATCGACACTGGGATGCTGGTGTGAATCAGTCGACGGTACGCTTGAACCTGTGCACTGAATCTAACTCACTGCAACTACAATGCCTCTCCATTGATATCCTTCTCCGTGCCGCTCCTCAGCTCTGCGTCCTGATGGCCACCATCTACCATTCCCACCTCAGGTTCCAGGTGTTGCACAGACGGGTTGCCGCTCCAGTATGTACCATCTCAGGTACGATCCGGTACAGGGCACATGTACGAGGTACGACAAGTTCGAAAGACCGTACGCCCTGAGAGTCCTGCTCGTTCGTAGGTCCCCGTCGGGAGAGGGGCATCGCGCGGAATCGACAGAGGTTTGGTCGCCGGAGACTGAGAGGGTCGTGGCGGTCGTCGAGTCTCGAGAGCATTCGAGCTGTGCGGCGCAGTAGTTGGCCTCGGCGAGCCTTTTCTAACAGTCACTGTATGGATGCCATAGGGTCTTCAAGCTCAAGCTTCAAGTTGTGATGGTCCGGGATATGCACGTCTACAGAATTGTGGGCGCTGCTCACAAAGAGCCTACTAGTAATAAGAAGACCTCACTGGACTTGAGACGGTCAGTGGGTTCCCGCCGAGATTTCTCCGACCGCTCTACCGCTCTTCGTCCGAGTCTCAGCCACAATCGCGTCGCTCCACCCAGCAGCTCTTATTCACGTCTGTCTGTCATAACAATTACGGCTCTGTCAGAAACCATAAATGTCCTCGCACTGAGAGAACTACACATTACAGCCGATGCGCAGACTGCGATAACACGCTGTACGACGGCCAGCTGGCTCTGAGTCTTCCGTATGCCAAGGAATCGAGGATGTGACGCTGAATGTATAGGTGCGGGAGAGACGACATAAACGAGGCGGGTGAGATAAGTAAGCTCTTGTGTTTGTCAACGGGTATGAACCCGTCGGAGGAAGGGGCTAAGCTTGTCACGCAGCTAATGTCGGCAACATACATATGGGGTATTGCATTGGATGTATGGGGCCCGAATGCCCGCTGCTATTCTCAAACGGATCGTTTGGTACTCGAGCCCAGTTATCTTCAACCTCTGCGACGCGTTGCTGATCGAACAGAACACGCTAGGACACTGACGCACTCAACGTATGACGCAGTTACCGACGGTGGACCAACGTTGCAGCCCAGTGGCCTTTTCTCAACGTCGCTAGTCATCGAATCATCTCCGGCGCGATCACAGGGGGAAACGACGTCGCGGTTAGCCCAAGGCACGCGCACATCCTTCATTGACGGCGACCCGTATATGTGCTGACACATCGTGGTTTCATAGCGACGATCATGCATATAAAAGTATTTAAAGAGCGGAACTGTGCTGACCAGACATAATTGATACCAGTTGGCAAGCTTGGTGTCAGCATGTGTCGTACATTCATATTCAGTCATCGTCCTAGCGTAACATATCTGTGAGACTAGCGAATGCAGCAAAACGACATGGTGAAACATCTCGAAGTGGTAGCAAAGGCCGTGTGCACTGTCCCTTCAGCTCGAAACTACTCGGGACGTCGACGTCCGCGATTACAGCATAGGCACACTCCAGTGCGAGGAGAGAAATTGCTGGACCCCGCCAACGGTCGACTAGGCGCTCGTTCTCAAGAGAGGCTTTGCGCTAGCGACATCTCATCCTCAGCGTCCCGGCTGGCCATGAGCTCCCGGAGCTCAAAGTTCAGCAGGGGAGAGCTGAGAATCGGGGCGAAGTGAGATGTTGTCTGCGGGACGTACAAGAGAGCTTACTCACCGGCTTACTTGTGATGGCTTATGCTTCACTGGGCGCCGCTGTGAGACATTGACGATACCACGGTCAGACCATGGCCGGAGTAAGTGGAGAAACAGGGCTTCGAGCTGCAGACCAACGTCGTCAACATCCGTCTTGCGACTCCGTGCAGCCATACGATAGAGGCCCACTTCCACCTCTACATCCCTCAGCGCGTCATAGTACGGCTCGCACATGACTGCATGCAGCTTTCCCAGATTGACCTGCCCAAGGGCAGCGCTGAACTGCTTGAACGTGCGGTCGTCGAAGCCAATATTAGCTGTAACGCCGATGTGATCTAGCTGAGGACTTCGGATGGTGGAGAGGATGCCGTCGCGTAACTCCTTCTCTGCCTTGGACCACGCGTCAGGCGCCTTGCCACCGGCCTGGGGGTAGACGTCAGTCAGCCTCAGTTCCACGGATTGCAAAGCGATGTTCTGCGACAGATCGCCATGACTATCTAGTTTACACGGGCGCATCAGCAACCAAGTCTGACGAGCAAGACGAAGTGACTCAACGATGAGGCCAATACCGACCGCGGTACCGGGTCAAGGATGGTCCCGCCGCTTCGAGGAGTGTGTGAACACTCCGCCGGGCGAATCCATCATCAGACCAGATTGTTAGATGTTCGAGAGAGTCGAAACAACCAGATTGCGACATCCAGTCAATGCAAAGTGCCATGGCTTTCCCGCGCACATCAATGTCAAGGTGCCGAAGACGCATTGGACAAGGTGTCGATATTGTATGGTCTGGAAGGGGTCGCTGAGTGACACTGGTTTTGGTTACAGTGAGGTCCTCAAGCTGGGGGAAGGCACGAAGAATCCTCCGTAGCTGCAGAATGTTGTCCAAGCCGCCAATCTGCCCATGGGAACACCATTGCGCGACTGGTGTTGATGGCACGTCGGCGGCGGCAGGGGAGGAGCGCTATGTGAACTCATCAGTCGAGCTCGCACGATGAATGGAAGAGATGACCGACAACAGTCTGCGGCGCAAACGTCATATCTGCACCCCACGCGAGGTTGAGGTATGTGCTATGAGTGATGGTGAGGGCGGGAAGGGGGCGGGGCTTCGCGGCCAGGGTTTGCAGACTTACTCAGGCTGCACGCGAGAGATACCTGCTGCGTCAGAAATTTTGATAAGCCGCACGCCAACTGCCGCGACCAGGACCTCACATGCTATCATGTTGTCAGTCATGCATTACTGACGCCGCAAGTGTTCGCCAACACGCCGCACTTGGTTGGGTATGACTCTACATGTGTGCTGCTTCCATTGAGTCGCGGCCAGCCTGATTGCGGTCATCATGATCCAGGTCGAAGCGGCCAGCTGGACATGTTAACTGCAATAGTGAGTACTGAGATACTGATGATCGATGATCACACCCAACCCACGCCCGTCACGATCGTACCGACGTGTTCCGCGCTGGAATGGGCAGTATCACACACATGGCTCGCCATGCTTATGCCGCGTAAGATGTCCGATCACGATATATGCCTTGGTAGTCCTGCAAGGACAGACGTCCTGTGTACCACGCACACAGACTGCAGAACGCTGACAGAGCACTCACCTATACAGGTTCATGCACCAATGCTGCCGCCACAGTCTCTCCACACGATCCGCTGCTATGTTAGCGTGGTCAGCTTGAAGCCAACGTCGAGGGAATCGGTCCCTCGTCGGCGGTGTCGTGGCTTTCAGTGCGACCCAACACCTGATCGCGAGCTGGCGGCTTCAGGTCGTGGAGGATGCCGGGTACTTCACGCGCGATTCGTCTTCGTGGTCCAGGACGGTGAGAACTGTTATAGAAGTGCCGCAATGCGGTCAGGTTGACGTGACGGTCTACATCATGCAATTGTGTCACCGTCCGGGTTTCTTGTCATGCATAAGATAGCGGCTTTTGACCATTTGCAAAGCGAATGTCGGATACCGGAGCAAGAATGATCTGGCCGCACCGAAGGGTCTGGGCATGTTGACCGACGCGATGCATGGCGACGATTTGGCTGTCGAAGATATCGTCAATTCGTCCAGGAAGCAGTAAAACGACATAGAACGAACCTGCCAACGACGGGATCGTATCACGCATCGGGGTGCCTGTACTCTTACGGTGTATCCGTCTGTTCGACCGTAATTAACGGTCCCACTTCCCACCGTGTGTCGGCTGTAGGGCTGCCGGAACCCGCGAGTTATACGTTCTCTAGTGCAGTACAAGACATTGAAGGCTGCGGAGCCAACAGACAATCCGCTACAGCTGCGAGACGCCATGCAGGGCTTAGCGAATCTTGTCCAACGACACGACAAACGTGAGCAGCAATAGAGAATAATGGAGTCGGGACGCACAAAAAGATCAACCGCATCCGCCTCCAAGCCATACACCACACGGCCGAGTACAAGGAGTAGTTCGTGCAGATGCCTCATGAAGTCGTACATGAACGGTCGAGCGGGTGTACGACGTGACTAGTTCGAGAATCGAGCCAGGGCTTGATAGGCGGAGACGTTAGTAGTTGGACAAGAATATCTGGAGCGCGCGCAGGTTGAAAGAACTGTCTACCCACGGGAGACTACAGGTATTAACCTTTGGAGATCGCTGGTAGCGAGTAATTGATCAAAAGATAGGGCTCCTCTGTTTCAGGTGTTTCGGCATGCTACATAGTGGACAAAATGGGGAGAGGACTACAAATGAACGCGTCAGTCATTCTGAGTCGCGCGACGGGGTGCAACAGACGGGTGGACGCGTACTTGGTTCCCGACGTCAAGTAGCCGGCACTTATTCTCGGTGTGCACGCATTACAAGCGCTACCAATCGCTAGGCCGGGCGGCACACGAGAGCAGCGGAGCAGTAAATCACAGAGGAGGTCGGCGGTCGTGTTGTTCGACGTCCAGAGCAACGAAGAGGCGACGCCACCGCGTGTCACTGTCTGCCCCGCCGAGATTCTTCCGAGCGTCTCTCCGCCACAAGGCCTTAAGGAGGACTGTCACTGCTCCGAGTGACGAGGAGCTTATGTACATCGAGTACATACTTCTGTTCTCACAACTCCAGCAAGCTCTCGTTTGGATTGCACTCTGACCTGGCTGGACGCTCGATACGCCACTAGTTGACGCGTGCATATCGGCGGACTTTCGTCCGCACACGCTAACCACCGGCAGACACTTCTTCGCTGAACAACTCGGGCGGATTCTAGAAGGTCTCCTACTCAGTCCTGTTCCGCCATTGCGCATGACTATGCTGCTCGCTCTCGACGATCTTGGACTAGACGAGGGATCTCGACTCGACGGCTCGAATGTTCTCTGCAGTCTTTGACGAGAAGACGCGGTGTCATGGCCGAGCAATGATACGTCCAACTTGATGACAGCCTGGGATGGTTCTCGAGGCGGACAATGCGAGATGCTTGGACAAAACGGGGAGTAGGTGAGTAGGCTTTTGATCACAGTGCGTATGACCCGGCGACTTCATGCGCGTCCGCGCACCCAGACTGGACGAGAGCAACGTGCTGACTGCGTTCAGTGACGACATGTACCGTGGTCGAGTTCCCGTACAGGGGCGGCCGGTAGCTTGATCGTACCTGTTTGGAGACGCACGGTGAAGAAGCGAGCGGGACGGCGGGAAGAACGGAGAATAGATGAGCAAGTCCTAACTAATCATGTTCAACGGACTCCTTGACGCCTCTTCCTGTAGCCTATTAGACTACTTCCAAGAGCTGATCGCGTTGTAAAGCATGCCTACACAAGTCAAGGAAGATTTCCGTGAATGTATGCACACGGTGAGTGCTGTTCCTCGCTGGATGCGTTCTTAGCGGGAGATAACTCGTCTTCCGAAATTCCAGCCACCGTGGCAACCCAGACCCACTGTGAATGACAAAAGAAGGTTCAAGTTACCTGATGCCCGTACTGGGCTCTAGGCATTCACTCCCAAACGAAGGCGACGCGTACCCAGGCGTGTTCTGAGGTTGCAAGCCTATTAATACTATCCGATATCCTAGGAATTCCGCAAATGCTTGAGTAACGCGAACGGCGTCGCGGCCTAGCTTCGAGGTAAGTATATCTCCCCGTCTTGCAGCCACTATCAGCTCATTTGTACTTCTCAGCAACGATGAAGCCGAACGCATGCATGCGGATGTAGAACTGAGATTTTCCCGCCTAGCATCGATTCACTCTTTCGATCAGGAACGTTCGTACGGTTGTTGTTGCCGATGTATCGACGCTGAACCCACAGCCTACCAGGGGCGCAAATAGGCCACTGCTGGCAATCGCGACCCGCTGTCTCGTTTTATTCACTCATCGGTTATCCAGATGTAAGACCTGTAGAATCTCCCGCATCTGCCGGGTACGAGGACGGTCAGTTTGTTACTCACCCATTGAACCTTGTCGTACTCATTCCCATTTCTCACACTTAGACCCGTCCGTAGATCGCGATAGCGCCTCCATTAACTCGTAGGTACGCTCGTCATCCCCCTTACCTGAGAGGTCGTGGAACGCTAACCGCAGACCGCCGTTAGCAATTTTGTCGGCGACGCTTACAGCCATTTCTCAATTGCGAGACTCGAAATCATGAGTCCTAGTCAGACAATCCCGGGACTACTACATACAGACGGCTTGTCACCGGGCCCAGCGGAGCGTGGCTGTACGCACTGCGCACTTGGTGACGACGCACACCGGCCTAGACATTCTGTCGCTCTGGTGTGCCCTCGTACCCCACCGAGAACTTCCTCCCCCGGGCGAGGTCTTCGCATGCGTCCGATCGTTAGTCACGTCACTCGACATGCAGAGACGGGATGGTGACTCGCTTTTCCAACAAGCACTGCGCCTATGATCCTACGACGATTTCATCCGTGTATGCGGCACGCCCAGCACGCTCTCATCTCGCACGTAGGTTAGTCGTCTCTGAGTTCCTTCACTAACTGTGCCTGCGCTCTGCGCGTTCGTCCTGCCATAGTGCTCACTGCTATGTACGTACCGCAGCCGTTGGCAGGCTCCATGCAGAGCGCATCCAAGCATACAAATTTTCGTCCGAGTGCACTATGTTTCTCAGCTCAAACCGAAATCTTCCACCCTTTTGCCCTCTTAGTCGCTGCCGCAATGCGTACTCGCACTTCAGTTCGAGAGGGCGCTACGAGAGCCAGACGTGTGCCCATATTATTTGCCGAGATGTTCGCTCTCCTTGGCTCGCTGCGCGTAAGTACGTCATGAACATGAACATCATGACGATACTGAATCGAAGTACAACAGTTCGTTTCGATATCATAGCAGCCCAATCAGGTTCATCAAGTCGGATTGCGTAGTACAGAACCGTGCGCCCGATGTTGCATATCTAGTAGATGCAAATATATCGTACAATCAACCATGTCCACAGACGGAGTCTTTCCACTACACATCAATCAAGAAAGGACACATTTGAGACGGATAACAATGACCATGCCCCTTGTCCCTTCGAATCGTCCACCCGCGGAAACCGAGAGGACAGTGCTCTCGCACAGTAATCCAACGGCATCGCGGGAGCCAGACGAATGTCAGTATAGGGACGGCATCTCGTTGTCGTTCACTCTGCCTGTGCCGCCAGCGACTCTAGCTGACCGCTCCGCTGTTGCCGACGAGGAAGGCTTGAGGCAAGAACAAGTCAGCATGAGGTGCTGGATGATCCTAGTGAAGAGCGAGCTCACTTCAGATATGTAGAACCATTCCAGCATGTTATGCAGGTGTCGACTATGCCGCGATCAGACCATGGCCGGAGCAAGCCACAAAATACAACCTCGAGCTCCTGAGCGATGCTGTCCAGATCCAACTTGGCCTGATCAATCCGAGGCCATATCTTCATCTTCACTTCGACATCCTTCAATGCGTCGAAGTATGGCTGGCTGATGACCTCGTGCAGGTCCCGCAGGTCGAGCTTCTCGAGGACAGCGCTCTCACCCTCGAGAACAGTGTTGTCATGGATACCTTGAACGCGAACCTTGATGTGCTCGAGCTGACGGCTTCGGATGGTGGAGAAGATATCGTGTAGCTCGTCCGCCGCTTTGGTCCAAGCCGCGCGAGCCACCTGGAATTCGGCCTTGTTGTCGATGTGATGCATTTTGATGTCCAAGGATTGCAAGGCGGTGTTTTGAAACAGGTTTCCGTGAGTCACTACATTGTGCATGTGAATCAGTGGCGAAGTCTGTACGCAAGACAACTTACGGGCATTATCATAATTTTGAAAGTCACCGAACCTCTCGCAGAAATGAGTCAACGATGCCCCCACCGTTTCGAGGAGTTGGTTAAGGGATGTAAGTGCCATAGAGCGCTGTCCTGACCAGATTGACAGATCCGCAAGTGAGTTGCAGAGGCCGGAGTGTGTCATCCAGTCAAGGAACATCGCCATGCATTTATCCTCCACGGTGACGTCAAGGTATCGAAGACGCATGTGAGATGGTGCCCGAAATAGTGAGGTTCCCGCGTAACTGGCAGCACCTTCCCGAGCGAAATCAACATTCATCGTGAAATCTGTGAGCTGGGGGAAGGCAGACACAATTCGCCGCAGGTGTGTCACATTGTTCAGTCGGCAATAGTCAAGGGTCAACGACTTGACAGACTCGAACCTCGATAGGGCGAGGAAGAAATCCGTGTGGATGAAACGAAATCCTGCACTGCAGATGTACAGGATGCGTACACGAGGCATCAGACCAGCGAGCGCAAACGGTAGTGCTGGTAAGACGTGATTGTCACTTTGGCTCTTGTTTCTACGCCGCGGGGATTCCACGCTCCCGTGTTCACCCTTACCCTTTTCCTGGGCCTCAAGGTCGTCCTCGTGCATGTCGCTATAGGCATCCCGCTCGCCGTCTGCCACCAGCTTGCATGTGCTCGCGAGCCACTGTTTGACGCGTGGTGATGCGTAACACTGCTTGAACAGCAGGTTGTAGCTTGTGCGGCTGCGAATTTCGACGGTATGGTAGAGGTTGTGCATCGCTCGAGGGTGCCATGCTGCGCAGACAAGCGCCGCGACAGTCAATGTGGGAGGATACATCTCGTCCACGACGAGCCTAAAGACCTCGAGCGGGATGCGAGCGGAGAGGGCCAGTGGCAGGGTGCCTTGAAAACGGGCGTTCCACCAAGGTCTGCATACCCGCTTATCGCGGTGATCCTCAACAACCCATACATAGCTGGATTTCTCATCGCTCTGTTCATCGGCACTCGGTCTCTGGCCAATCTGTTCATCCGCAAGACTCTGACCGGCACCAACATGACCGTCGGCACTCGATCGCATGACTTGTGCGTGTGAGGCGTCCGCGGGGCGGGGGAAGATGCTAGGTGAACGGCACATCAGTTGGGATTCGGGATTATGATGGACAGAAGGCGACCGACGGTAGGCTGGAGATCGGACATCTGGGCACTCGCACCCCGTACGACGTGGATGTATGCGGTATGAGGGGAGCAGCAGCCGTGAGTGGAGGGGTGGGTGCAGATAGCGAGTGGACCTCGAGGATGCAGCGAGGCCATGTATACGAGTACTTGGGAAGAGCTGTGTGCGAAAGTTTGATGAGCCGGGCGGAGACTGCCGCGACCGGGACCTTTCATGCCATGGTCAGTACTTCGTGCTTCCAGCAGTCGTCAACATGCCACACCAGGGTCCCGGATAAGCCATCACTGTGGGATATCCAGCGCCGAGCTGCGGCCAGCCTGAGTGCGACGCAGGCCCCTAACCCTAAGTGGGTTCTTCGAGGTTGGGTCTTCGATTTGGACTGAGCCGCGGCTCTCTGCGTCGACTTCCCTTCTGCATCGGTGTCGCCCAATCCGGATCGATGCTGTCTCCCCTTCATTCAGATATTCCCATCAAAACATGAATTCATTGCCGACCGCGCCACATCACCTTCAACGAGACGGTAATCAGTCTCCTTGCCACGGGCAGGCGACCACATCCGGGGCATTGAATGTATGCGCCCTAAAGTCGTCTTTACACCTTTGAAATACGAGCCGACGGAAGACGCGCCGCGGAGAGTGGTGTTTGGGTGTCCGAGGCCATTGACCATGCTTGTGGTGTCCATATCAAGCGATGAAATTTGTAGGCGAGGTATGGCCTTGTGCACTCGTCGACCTACTAGTATTCGCATTCCTTCAAGTAGAACTACACGCCGCGTCCACCAGCAGGAATTCAACTACATAGCCGGAGTCATGCCCTGCACGAACACGGTCAGTCATGAACGAATGCGAAGCGGAGGCACTTAACTTACCAGGAGAAGTGCGAATCCGCGATTGCGGGCGATGGGGTGCATGTGTATGCCCCTGTTTACACGCGGATCGTAACAAGACATCGAAGGCTGCAGCACTTGCTAGGCAAGTCTAGGGCAAATGCGAACCCAGAAGAGGTTCGTACCGCGCGTGCGATCATGAAGATCCAGAAGAGTGGACACCCACGAACAAGCATGCTAGTGACGGACCATTCCACTCTCGTGGAGCGTTCGATAGACCGCACGTAGGCCTACCGCCACGTCGGAGGCTCAACCTAAGCACTATCACCAGCCCGGTCAGATAGTCACTCTTCCTGGACGTGCTACTCACCGACTGAGAGGCAATCCTCAGCGTCCCGGACATTGTCAAGAGAATATCCCGCCCCGAAAGCGAAGCGACTAATGCTTGCCAGCGATCCCCACGACTCGCGTTGATACGTCCTGTTCGTGTTTGCTCGAGCCGTACGAAGCTTGTTCACGGGGTTTCGCGCCTCGTGGTGTCCGAGTATTCTCTACCTCTGTCAGGGAAACTCAGCTAAATGTTTCTCTCCGAATGGGGAGTTCGCGCTACGCACCGCGAGCCTGAGGTTGGCGTGCTGATTATTGAGAATATCTCACACTGAATAGACTTCCGCTGCAGCGATTACTCGCTGGACCGGACTTGACCTGGACAGATCCATGTGCACGACGTGAATGCCCATCGCTGTACGCAGGCTCGTTAGATCCGGCAACACATAAGTTGCTAGATCCACGGGATTGGTTCTTCGTGCGATCCGCTCCGCCCTGCATGCACTCGCAGGACGCCCGGACGATCGTCCTCCTCTTCTCGACGGTTCAGACATTGGTGGTCGCCGAAGAGCCGCCCAGGAGCGTCATGGGATTTACTCGTCGGCGTTGTCGTGGTCCAGAGCGCGATCAAGTGCCTGATCTTGATGCGCGCGAGCTGGTGCGCTTACACTCGGGAGAGGGTTCTACGTAGCTCGTGAACACATCTGAACGGCCTCTATTCATGGTTCAGGGGTTCAGAGTGCATGCAGCGTTAGATGACAGGTCGCCGGGATGATCTGAGATATGCGTGCCTGTCTTTGCGCCCGGATTTTCACGCCATACGGTCGACCATCGCTTTTGACCGTATTCAGAGGCGGACGACAAGTTAACGTCGGCCTCGCTGCATCGAGAAGCCTGTTGATCAAATCAATACATCGCGAAGATCTGTCTGTTCAAGAAGCCGTCAGGGAAGGACACATACTAGCGAGCACGGACCTGTCCACGATGATCCGGAATCTGCGCATCATCCTCATACAGCTGAAGTCGTAAGTTTCCCTGCACCTGTCATTGAAAAGATCACGCAACCGCGGGTTGATGGTCCTTTGGGACAATGCATTCGCTGGAAAACCAGAGATCTGAATTACCGCAGCTGCAAGACGTTACTGAGCGCGTACCGAATCGGGTCCGACGGCGTGACAGACTTGAGCAGTTATAGTTCTTGAACGGAGACGAGACGCACAGTAGGATAACTTAGGACCCATTCGGCTCCGAGATCCGCACGCTATTAACTGTGCGACAGAGTGAGACACGTCGCATGCGCCCGGCGGGAGCGCGATGAGGCCTTCGCGACGTCCGCTCAGGCACATCCACAACCAGGATGCCAGGAGACCGAGCGGGTGAGCGGTGAAGAAGGGAACGCAGGTGACCTACCGAGAATTGGGGCTCAGCGTGGGATGTCTGCAGAGTGATCGTGGAGAGAGACGTACCAAGACAGGAAAAGGATTCAGCGGTCGGCCCAGGCTGCGTAACGCACTAGACAATGTCCCGCTTAAGAATGACGACCAAGAGGCCTGCGGACAGTGTCAGCGACGGGTGAAAGTCACGTCCGGTGAATCTGCAACATACCGACGAGGTTCATGGAGCATGATAATGGGGCCTACGATTTGGCCATGAACGGCCATACGGACGTGCGGATGAACAGACATCAATTTGATCAAATGGTCTAGATATGTAGTGCGTTAGTTCCATATCGCAGTCGAGGGGAGTACACGTACCTGGACCACGTTGGCCTATGGTACACGAGCAAAACAAGATAGACATACTTGCCACCATCACGACGAGGAAAGCTTGTCGAAGCTCGATCTGCGATGTATGAATGTATGTCGAGGACGTGGTAGACGACTCGATGTTCTCGTGGGTCGTGATATCAACGTGTCTGGGTGCGACGCGAGACTTGGAGGATGTGCCTAGGGCATGTGAATCTGATTAGACGAGGAACAATCTCAGAACGAAAGACACATACAGTGGAGGATGTTTGTTCTTTCGTGGTGGTCGTAGTTCGAAACAACGCATTCACCCGATCTCCTTGTCCCGCACGGAGCGGGCGCTGTACCATATCAGAGCCTGGTGGTTGTCGCAAGCGGGAGGACTGGGCATGCGTCGAGGAATGAGATGCGCGCCCGCGGTTTCCTTCGTCGATTAAAGTTCATCGGCGACATGTTGATGTGAGAATAGATGTTTGGTGAGATCCCTGCTAGTGTGGCGTTCGAGAACATGGGAAGTGACTAGCCAGACCATCGTTCTGCCTCCAGAGGACATAAGTGAGGGATGCGGGAAGCAGTGGCGAGTTACTTACAGGGAGGTCGGTCATGAAGCGCTAGGTTATTATGCTCGTACAGGACCAGTAAAGTACCTCGGTTGGCCTAAGAAACGTTATGCCCCTGCGTGGCTAGGTGCGAGGAGCCGCGTGGCTGAGGACTAAGGCAGCTTCAAGCTCGTGTTGCGACATTGCAACCAAACAGATCGCAGTAACTGTATCGCACCGCGTATGCCCTGCTGGTACAAAGTGTGAGGTGTGCGGATAGTATGGGGCTACGTGCAGGCGCACACGAGACAGCGCGAAATCGATCGAAGATACCAGTGGCGTTGGACCAAAAAAAAACGCAAGAACTCATGTGCTCGTCACGGTTCCTGCATATCCTGCATATAATTTTGGACAGAAGCAGACTCACCACACGAACGACCACAAGGGTCTCTATTTGATCACATCACGTATACCCAGGTACCCTGTATCGCCACGCTCCGCTTATAATACCGGCAGATGCAGATGCAGCACAGTTCTCGCGCTCTGGGCCTCAGGTGGTAGACCACATATGCAGCCGGTCGCTTTAGCTCAACGACGGACCCCTCGAGCAGTTAAAGACATCAGGCGTCGGGTTTGAAGCGTTTAACAGAGAGATCGTGACTAGGGGGGCTCAGAGGCGTGATCCAGTTGGAGCGCGAGTTGTGTTGGCAGAGTGCTTAGAAAATCAACGTTCAAACGTTCATGCAATGGTGGACGTCGAGAGCAAAGCAAAACCGTCGCGCACTGGTGAAAATAGGCCGAGATTCTTCCGGCCGGCGCCTCCGCTGCTCTCGCTGCTCGATCACCCACTGGCAAGCATCGTCTTTGACTCGATAGGTCGATGGCTAACGCGTCACAATGACGGTTCGCACTCGCTTGCAGCTGCCAGCTACTCACATAATCCAGAGGATCAACATCCCGATCAAGCGACACTTACGGCTAGACGCTCCCCATGACAAGGTGAGCTGGCCCCCGCGCGTCCAACCACCCGTTCAGCCCACCATGATCACATCCATTCTAAAGGTGACCCCATTCCCTTTTTGACGGCTTTATTCTCCTTCTGCGATGTATTGAACAGTCCGTATGCGTGTCACGGGGTCTGTCTTCGTGTTCCAAGAGCTCAACACGGCCGGGCGGTCGGCTCTTCTTTAAGTGCCACGCTGGCTGGCAATACTGCAACATGAAACAGGTGGATCGGAGGGGGAGGGATAGCGGAAGAAGCAATGCCGATATTGTAGGTGAGTGATCACTGCGAGTATGCAATCAAGCCGTATGCATCACTGCTGATTGGTACACGTCCAAATTTGATCACTGTGTCGCAAACGTGACGGGGAGTTTCCAGCTTCGTCGGATTACGGGAGCGAGCTCTGCGACTGTATGCGTCACGGTTGCTTTATCTCAGGTGCGATTCAACTTCTAGGGCACTCGTTTTGTCGCTCAGTCATGCCGTTCGCACGCAATATTCAATCAATAGCTTCTAGCCGTCTACGTACTGTCCCGCGATACGAGTGGTAGCGACTCGGAGCAAACACTCCGAGGAGGTATACCCGACCTCGTAGGTGCTACGGACAAGACATTCACACAGGTCTGACGCACGCGGGATACTCAAAGAAAGCGACGTACTCCTCGTCGGGCAGAGTTACCTGTCCCCTTCGTTCCAATCTCCGCGGCGTTACTACATTTCCCATCAACGTCCGGACAGCGGGGTCACCTGCGCGTGACGCGAGCATTCCATGTATCGTCCTGTGCGACGTGCATGCTGGTGAGGATCGCATCCTTCACGCATGGCGGTTTCATGACATACGCGCTCACCTGTGTGTTCTCCAAGCAGGCGAGGGTTCTCGACACTGCGGAGTTCTAAGATTCACTGACATTGAACCTGTGCTCACAAGTAAGTACTGGCATCGACGCACCTGTCTTTCATGTCGCTAGTCTTGACGTCGCGGCCTCGCAGCTGCGTGACTCCAACTATCGGCTCCTGGTTGTGACCGCCGTTCATCCCGCTTCGAGCGAGAAGGGGCTCGCTCGGCGCATCCCCAACTACAGGAATGGACGTAGGAGATGATCCAGGGAAGTGGCGGCCGCATCTCGGTCAATGTACTCCCGTGACGTACCTCGTGTTGGCTAGGTGCAGTACCAGTCCAATCGCTCGTTGCTCAGTGAACCTCACTACTCCAACAGCCAATCTATCTTTGTAGATTTCTCCGTACGACATCACAGCGTACACGCCCGACGTGTTCGCCGTCGCTTTGAAGGCGGTCCACCTCGCGTCGAGTGCATGTAAAGACCTGACTTTGTGCTGTCAGAGTCCGGTCAGTGACGACGCGGTGAAGGTGCAGCAATATCCCCATTGCGCAACCGAGCCATCGAATCGAAAATCGCTGGTCATCAGACGGCAACGTACGGTATGGTCGCCATATCCAGCGAAGATCTAGCAGGTGCGTCTACAAGCGCTTCCACGGCTTCTCGAGAGCTCTACCTCATTAGTTGCATAGTACGTCTATCACTCAGAGTGTTGGCACAATCGCTTGGCGGGCTTGGGGCCAGCAGTGCTCCGCCTGATCGACGATATCGACGTCTCGATGCGCACGTAGCCTCGCGGAAGGTTCTTCGGCGAGGCAACTCGCGCTCGCCACTCCCGGAGGGCTCTCACTCGGTAATCGCTCACCGCTGACTCCCTGGACATTTTGACGTCTACGCCATTTGCTCGCGCCAAGCATGTTGAGGCTCCTTCCTTAGCACCGTTATGCAGTAGATACGTACTAATCAGCATCCCGATGAATCGAAGTACACTTTATTTGTTCGTGGCGGCGGGGAAGTCCGATACAGTCGATGTACAGTACATCCGGCCATCGTCCAAGCACAATACATTTCAGCCATCGTAGCAAGCATGAGTCAATCGAGACAGTAACCATACCGATCCCGGGTCACCTCCGTACCAAAGCCAAACTGTCCCTCTAATGAGTCGGCCGATAGTGGTAGATAAAATGGAGTCAAATGAGCCCTTGTGAACGACCGGTCCCTCGCATCGACCCGCACTCCGTACGGGCAGTGATGATGTCTCGTTGCCGCCACCTCCGTCTGTACTGACCGGCTAACCTGCTACGTCTTCGGCATGAGGACTCCTGGGCATTGCTGGATGAATGAACGGGAAACAAGAGTTAGACAGACGTGTGCCATGTGTGCACACGAGCTCACTCACATTTGCAATATCAATAGCTACTTCATCACAGCCAGGTGATGGCGACTATGCCACGGGCAACCCATGGCTGCAATATGCCATGGAACATGGTCTGGAGCTGCTGACCGATGCTGTCCAGATCGATGCCGTCCACATGCAACCTGGTCTGCCAGTGACGGGTCAGAGGCGCCAGCACGATCTTCACCTCGACATCCTGCAATGCATCGAAGTATGGCTGGCTCACGACCTCGTGCAGGCCCCGCAGGTCGAGCCCCTCGAGGACAACACCGAGCTGCTCAGGCTCGAGAATGCTGTCGCCGACGGGAACTCGAACTTTGACCTTGATGTACTCGAGATGACGGCTTCGGACGGTGGAAAATATGCCGTGCAACTCGTTCATTGCTTTGGTCCACACCGCGCGAGGCCCCTGGTCTTTGGCCACGCGTTCGATGAGTTGTAGCTCGAAGCTCCAGGATCGCAAGGCGGTGTTTTGCAACACACTTCCGTGAACACCTAGTGCATTGTGCATGTGCATTAGTGGCAAAGCCTGTAAGCAAGACAAAGGGACTCTTACTACGGCCATAATTGAAACCGTTACTTAGACGGAAACTGATCAACGACGTCCCCGCGGTTTCGAGGAGTTTGTTAAGGGGGATCTGTGCCATGGAGGCAACCTCGGGGCTGACTGTCAGATCCGCAAGTGAGGTGCAGAGACCTGAGTGCATCATCCAGTCAGAGAACATCGCCATGCGTTCATCGTTCAAGTTGACGTCAAGGTATCGAAGACGCATGTGAGGTGGTGGCTGAGATAATGAAGCTCCCGCGTAGCTGGCAGCACCTTGCTGAGCGAAATAAACATACAACGTGAGATCGGTAAGCTGAGGGAAGGCAGACACAATCCGCCGCAGCTGCGTGATGTTGTTCAGTCCGCAGTTCCGAAGTGTCAATGATTTGACAGACTCGAACCTCGACAGGGCGAGGAAGAAATCCGTGTGGACGAAACAAAGTCTTGCACGGTAGATGTGAAGGTTGTGTACACAAGGCATCAGACTAGCGAGCGCGGATGGTAGCGCTTGCAAGAAGTGATTGTCACTATTGTTCTTGTTTCTACGCTGCGGGGATTCCATGCTTCCGTCTTCGTTCGAGTCCCTCTTGTCCTTGAGAATCTCGAAAAATGCATCCCACTGCTCGTTTGCCACCAGCTCGCATGTGCTCGCGAGCCACTGCTTGAGACGTGGTGACGCGTAACACTGCTTGAACAGCAGGTTGTAGCTTGTGCGGCTGCGAATCTCGATGGTGTGGTAGAGCTTGTGCATCGCTCGAGGGTACCATGCTGCGCAGACCAGCGCCGCGACAGTCAATTTGGGAGGATCCATCACGTCGATGATGATCTCGAAGACCTCGAGCGGGATGCGAGCGGAGAGGGCCAGCGACAGGGTACCTTGAAAACGAGCGTCCTTCCAGCATCCGGTGGCGATCTGTTCTCCACTGTAGAGCTCCTCGACGCTCCATTCATCGGCGCTGAATTCCTCATTGCTCCGTTCATCGGCACTCGATCCCGCGTCATTCTGTTCATCGGCACTGCTCTGACCGACAACAATACGATCGTCGGCACTCAATCGCATGACTTGTGCGTGTGAGACGTCCTCGGAGGAAGGAAGAAGATACTAAGTGAACGGCACATCAGTCGGATATCGGGATCATCATGGACAGAAGACGACCGACGCTAGGCTGGAGATCGGACATCTTTTTGTGGCACTTGCACCCTGTAGTAAGGCTGAGGCTATACACGACGTGGATGTGAGGGGAACCGCAGCCTGCCGTGGGCGGAGGAGTAAGGGGGTTGGGGGCACAATTAGTGAGGGGGCCTCGAGGATGCAGCGAGGCTATGTATACTAGTATCCAGTGTGCGAGAGTTTGATGAGCCGCACGGTGACTGCCGCGACCGGGATCTTTCGGGCTACGGCCAGGAATCGTCGACGCGCCACCTGTCCCGGATATGAGTGTGGGTGGACACGAAGGGGCGGCATAATCCGCTCGTCCCGCGCCTCCCCACGCCCGCAGAAGTGTATCTCGCGCTAAGGACCAGCAAGACCGAGTCCCGTCTTCGCCATGTCTACTCGTACGACCGCGTCAACGTTCTCTTTTCTCGCACGCTCGGATTCTCAGTTGCGCATCGGCCGTCGGTCTCGTATAGGTGTCCTGGGGTTATTCGCCTCACGCTCTGTACAACGGCTTATAACAAATATATTTGTCTGTGAATACTGAATTGTCCGCATTCCACGACACGAAGTTGCAACACACGGCTCACTGCGAGGTCCACCAGATACTTGGTACACATTTACATGCGATGTATGCGGTATTCGATGTCATCCCGGTGCGAGAAACTGCTGCCGGAGTTGAAACATTGAAGTCGAGGGGGCTCCCCGATCATCTCTCATACTGGGCTAATCGCGATGAGGAAGCTCGACTTCCCTGTGAAAAACGTTACTCAGTCCCTTGAGTGCGGGAGGACTGTAAGGACGAGTGCGTACCGCGCGAACGAACTGCGATCATGCAAGAGAGCGATCTCGGTACCTGCCAGCAGACGACGAAGATCTACGTGCTGATGACGTACCATCCCACTCTCGTCGAACGCACGCTCCATCGCACATAGGCCTGCTGCATCGAGTAGGTGTTACCGCTAATGGGTCACGGGAGCCCTCTCCGGTCGTGTCACTCACTGACGAAGGGTCGAATCAGCGTCCGGGACATTCCCCGGAGGTTCAGCACGATAGCAAAGTGATCAACACTTACCGACTATCCACATAACTCGCTGCTGGGCACGGGTACCCCATTCGCGTGGCAAAGCTTGTAGAGCACCACCACTCGATTTGCGACATCCCGCTCGCGTCTGCGGAAGTCAGTCTGTGTCCTTCCCCCTGGATGTCTTCCGTCCGTGCATGGCCTCTTTCCGTATGTTCAAGAATGCTCAGCTCGATCTGTTTTGATATGTAACCTTGGGCTGTACGTAGTCCGTCACTCCTCGCGACGGCCTGCTGATCGGCGTATCGTCAAATCGACTAAAATGCAGTCCGCGCGTCAGTCCCCTGCAAGATCGAATCCCACCCATTTCTCACCTGTCCGCACAACGGCGTGAACATCGTCGCGCCCACACACCCAACCTCAAAGATCTAGCCACACCAACCCGCGCCGCAAGATCTACGTACTAAGCGGTCATTGCCGTGACGAGCTCCATACATGCACTCACCGGACGCTCGGGCTATCGTCCTCAGCTTCCCGCCCGTTCAGAGGTGCGAACAGAACTTTCCGGGAGCGTCGCGGGGCTTCAACGTAAGTCCTCGTTGGCACTGAATGATCCAGAATGCGGCCCAACACCCGATCTCGGTGCGCACGAGCTGGCGGCTTGGAGGAGGTCGCTACGAGCTGTTGCACATTTGGACGGTCGCGCCGGGTGACCCAGGGTACAGAGGAATGTGATGTCGGAGTGCTGTAATGCAGCGAGGATCTTAAACACGAATTGGGTCAGCGTCCGAACTTCCCGACGTGCAATAGAAAGATGTGCTTCACCAGATTCCGAACAGTATGAGTGTCCGGGAAAGGAAGGCCCCGCTGCATCGAGAGGTCTGTTGACACTGATAGGCGCGACGCGCCGCAAGGATGTGGCTGTTTAATACACCGTCAGATATACCGTCAAACGGTTGAAAGAATGACACATACTGGCGAGCACCGACCTCCCAGTAATGGTAGGAGTATCTGCGCACATCGTCCCCATCGACCTAAAGTCGAGAAAACACTGATCTACGACGGACATTCCAATGATGCAGGCTTGTCAGAACGACGCGCGTCATGATTGTGTGGCAAAGCGCAAGACATCAAGGCCAGACGGGAAGGATATTCGAGGCATGTGTAACAACACCACCGGATCGGATTCAGCAACGTGACGAACCGAATAGCAGCAGGGTTTCAATGGAGTGGGAACGCACATGAACGGAATCCGTACGCCTCAGAAGTCGCGCGTAACACACCGCGCGGCCAAAGGAGAGAAGAAGCGCGGGCAGATGCCTTCGTTTACGGCGAGGAGGGCACGATGCGGTCAGCTCGAGCGTGGTCGAGTCAGGTCTTGTCGGGCAGAAACAGTGTGCGGCACCGCTCAGACGATATGCCGAAGCTGGTGTGGTCGAGAACCACGACGTGTTGAGGGCTGTACGGACGTGGCGTGAGGACACAAAGTAAAACAATGCCGTGACAACCGTACTGACCAGCGTCGAGGCGTAAGTCGCTCAAGCCTCAGGCGCGACGAGATGTGTGGACGCGAACCAGGGTCGCCGACGGCATGTAGGCTGCAGTTGCTACCCGCCTGACAGGATTATAGCCCGAGTTCTGCGAGTCACTAAGTAAGCCGGTGGGGGCAGCGAGAGCAGCGGAGAGCAGGATCGAAGAGAAGGTCGTCGGTCGCGCCGAGGAGCAACCTTCAGTCGGCGCCACCGTAGTCGGCCCGTGACGCCGAGCCTCCTGCTGACTGCAGAAGCGCTTTCTGCACTGTCTTGAACACCCTCTCACTGTTCTTTGAATACCGTCAAAGTCTCAGCACGCATCACGCAACGCCCTCGAAAACCATGTCGTCCAGCCAGACGCGCAATGCATACACAACTTGCTAAATGGATGCACGTCCGCGCGGGACTCGACTCGCGCGCATCCTCCGCAACCGTTGCACCCTCCGCCGACTGACAGTTACTCATGCATCTCTCCGGGTCTTGTTCCAGTGAGCACGCCTCCGTTGCGCATATCCCGTAATTATTACATGGGAGAAGGACACATGCTCGGCAGTTCTGTCCGCCGCGTTGTATGACGAGAAGGCGCGGTGCCATGGCGAGTAGCTCATCGTGTAAGCTTGAACGAGACGAAGACAGCGGAAGGCCGAAGTTGTCACTGGTAAGTACTAAACCTCTGCGTCTCGGTGGGCATGGCTCATCGTCCGGTAGTGTGGCAGACTCCTTTTCAGAGCTGAGTTCGTCGCCGAACGAGTGTCTATTGCACACATGACATCGCAGTGGATGCTTGAGCACGGCCAGCACCGCTCTTCGTCCCATATGGTACTCTAATCCCGGAGATCCTTATCTATTTTTGTCTCTTGCAGCTAGTGCACGCTCCCTGTTTCTTTCTGCCCGGGAGATTGTGCGCGATTTTTGCCCTCCTCGATGCATTGCTACGTCTAGCGGCTCTTGGTACTCAGGTGATCCAAAATCGTGACGCGATGCCTATTCTGCACCTCCGTGAACTGCCCTGCAGCGCAAATGGCGTCGCGACCTTGCCCAAGGCAAGGTGAGTATCTGCCACGTCTCCGACTTCACGTGAATCCCATTCCGTCCGTCAGTATGGGACACTCCAGCGGCAGTTGCGGTCAACGTGTTTGCAGGGAAGTTCCTCACCTGCCTACCGGTGCTACTTTCCTCGCGGATACGCGTTATAACAGTTTCGGCTACAGAGGCACGCAGTAGTCATGTGGAACTCTTCCTGTTCATCAGGTGAGAACTGCTTACTTGCTTGATGCCTCACTGACCCGCCGTCATTCTAGCATGCCCGTCTCAATCCTCGTAGACGCGTTCTTGCACTATCTCGGCTCCCGCATCAATCCTGTCCTGTATCGGTACAAACGCCGACCAATGCATCTCAAGAGAGCCTATGACCCACCGTGTTTTCTTAGCAGCACGGTCGGCGACGACACAGCGGACCTGGATTTCTCTCATACGGGACTGGTGAGTTCCAGACGACGTTGTATCTTTACGGGATTCCTCGCATATACAGCTCGATCGAGGAGCCTAAGTCCTACTGTGTCCTCGAACTTGTCATTGCAGGGGCACTCGCTCGCCCACGATGAGCCCGTATATCGCAGCCCGTAAAGGTATAATGCGTCAAGGCGATACAGGCGTCCTGTTCTTGGGTTCCAGGACCCTATCCACGCACCTGTTGAGCTCAGCTGGTTGCCTCTCGAGACATCCTGATCGCGTTCGCCCGGTGGTGCCTCTGGGTCCGTCGACAGTGAGATGATGGGCCTGACGTGCGACATATATAATGACTGTCTCTCTCCCTAGGGTCTTCCATACTAGACGTCTCCCTGCGGTTCGCGACTCCGTGAGTGTCTTATTCAAAACAGACAAAATCTACGCAGTACTCCCTCGTCTCGGAACCTCGGGCTCCATCACCTTCAACAACTGGTTGCTAATCAAGCCTCTCGCCGCTCTCACGAAAGCGCCTCTGGTATCGACCCTAGCAAAGCCCCCGTCACGCCTGCCTGCACGAATCCGTCGACGATCTGCGTCCATGCCAACTCGGTCTCAGCCACGCGTTGCTCCCGCTAGGTCTCATGAACCCTCTGGCCGTCCGCGTACTGTTACGAATCTGGAACATTTTTGGACCAGTTCGACATCTCTACTGTCGGCGACCTGCGCGTACGTTTTGAACATGGACATAATGATACGAAACAAGATACAATACGTCTGATCGTAGCGATAGAGAGGTCCGATACCGTCGCATGTAGATACCCTCGAGCCCAAGTCGTCGATAATGTGTAGTAGTACATCCAGTCATCGTCCAAGCGCAGCACGTCTCAGTCATCGCAGGACGCGCGAGTCAATGCAGACAGTTACCATACCGAATCCGAGTCAGTGTCATACCAGAGCCAAGCCAACTGTCCCTCTAATGAGAGTCGGCCCATAAATTAAATGGAGGGAGGCGACCGCTTGTGACCGTCCGATTCCCTCGCATCGACCTGCGCTCCATGACGATGCCTCGTTGCCACCACCTCCGTCTGTACCGATCGGATGGCGTGCCGCGTCTTCGGCATGAGGATACCTGGGTATTGCTGAATGGCTGAATGGGAGACAAGCGTGAGACAGACGCGTGTGTGTGCACACGGGCTCACTCACATTGACAATATCAAATGCGCCTCCAGGTTGCGGTGACTATGCCACGGTCAGACCATGGCTGTAATATGCTATGGAACATGGCCTGGAGCTTCTGAATAATGCCGTCCACATCCGACTTGGTCTGATGGGACCCAGGGTACAGGTGTATCTCCGCATTGACATCCTTCAATGTGTCGAAGAATGGCTGACTCATGACCTCGTGCAGGCCCCGCAGGTTGAGCTTCTCGAGGACAGCGCTTGGCTCCTCAGACTCGAGAATGCTGTCGCCGGCGTCAACGTCAACGGCGAACTTGATGTGCTCCAGCTGACGGCTTCGGACGGTGGATAATATGCCGTGTAACCTACCCGCCGCTCTGGTCCATGCCGCGCGAAGCCCCTCGTCTTCGGGCATGTATCTGGTGCCATGCAGTGCGAAGTCCAAGGATTGCAAGGCGGTGTTTTGCAGCAGGTTTCCGTGAGTCACTACATTGTGCATGTGCATCAGTGATGAAATCTGTACGCTTGAAGACGAAGGCAGTCTTACGGTCATCTTCGTCATAGAGCCCCTCGCAGAAACGGGACAATGATGCCCCCGCCGTTTTGAGGAGCTGGTTAAGGGATGACTGTGTCGTGGGGAAATCATATGGTGACACGATTGTCAGATTTGCAAGTGAGGTGCAGAGGTCTGAGCGCGCCATCCAGTCAAGGAACACCACCATGTGTTCATCATCCACGCGGACGTCAAGGTGTCGAAGACGCATGTGAGGTGGTGCCCCAAATAGTGAGGCTCCCGCGTAACTCGCAGCACCTCGCTGAGCAAAGAAAATAAATTCCATCGTGAGATTTGTGAGTTGGGGGAAGGCAGACACAATCCGCCGCAGCTGCGTGACGTTGTTCAGTCGGCACATGGAGAGCGTCAGCGACTTGACAGACTCGAACCTCGACAGGGCGGAGAAGAAATCCGTGCGGAAGAAACGAAGTCTTGCATTGCAGATGCGAAGGATGCGTAGACGAGGCATCAGACCAGCGAGCGCGGACGGTAGTGCTTGTAAGAAGGATTTGTCACTCCTGCTCTTGTTTCTACGCTGCGGGGATTCCACGCTCCCGTCTTTGTCCTCACCCTTTTCCTGGGCCTTAAGGTTGTTCATGTGCACGTCTCTATAGGGATCCCACTGCTCGTCTACCGTCAGCTCGCATGTGCTCGCGAGCCACTGTTTGACGCGTGGTGATGCGTGACACTGCTTAAACAGCAGGTTGTAGCTTGTGCGGCTGCGAATCACGATGGTGTAGTAGAGATTGTGCATCGCTCGAGGGTACCATGCTGTGCAGACCAGCGCCGCGACGGTCAATGTGGGAGGATCCATTTCGTCGATGGTGAGCCTAAAGACCTCGAGCGGGATGCGAGCGGAGAGGGCCAGCGGCAGGGTGCCTTGAAGCCGGGCGTTCCACCAGGGTATGAATTCCCGCTTCTTGCGGTGATCCTCATAAATCCGTGCATAGCTGGATTCCTCATTGCTCTGTTCATCGGCACTCGGTCCCTGGTCAATCTGTTCATCGGCAAGGCCCTGACCGACATCAATGTGATCGTCGGCACTCCGTCGCACGACTTGTGCGTGTGAGGCATCCTCGGGGGCAGGGGGAAGATGCTAGGTGAACGGCGCGTCAGCCGAATCGGGATCATCATGGACAGAAGACGACCGACGGTAGGCTGGAGATCGGGCATCTGGGCACTCGTACACCGTACGGCGTGGATGTATGCGCTATGAGGGGAGGTGCAGCCGCGAGCGGAGGAGTGGTGGGGTGGGGGCGCAAGTGGCAAGGGGGCGTCGAGGATGTACCGAAGCCATGCATGTATATGAGCGCTTTGGAAGAGCTGTACATGTGTGCGAGAGTTTGATGCGCCGCACAGGGACTGCCGCGACCGAGGCCTTCCATGCCATGACCGGCAGTCATGCTGCCAGCATTAGTCGTCGACGCGTCACAGATACTGCCCAGATATTACTGCTCGAGGGACGTGAGCCCACTGAGCGGTGGCCCGCCTGAGTACAGTGTCATTGTGCGATGCAGGAGGCCGTGACAATGGTCGTCAGTCCAGGCCCCTAACCCTAACTGCGTTCTTCACGGCCCCAGTCTGAGTCTGCGCCTGCTTGCCACCGCTCCCCTCGAGCGGTGTCGGCCACTCCATGCAGCATTCACTAGCACCAATATCCAACCTGATATCCATTCCCATTGTTACATGTGAGCTGAATACGTCTTCGACGAGACGGTGCTCAGTCTCCTCGCCACATCCCGAAGACCCTTTCAACATGAGCGGACGGCATACGCACCTTAGAAAGTGGTGTTTGTATGCGCAGGGCCAAATTTCATGCTTGTGGGTGTTGATATCAAGCAACAGAAGCCGAGATATGGCCCTCTGCACTCGTTCGCCTACTAGTATGTGCATTTTTCCCCGTAAAATTACACCGTAGTAGTGCACTAGCGCACCAGTCACACACCACGTTCACCAGCAGGCTCTCACCTACATTATCCTGAACGAAAATAATCAGTCATGATGGCTTTGAACTGGAGACCCAATAACGTACCGTAACCAGTGTTGGGACTCACGATTGACCTCGATGGGGCAATGTATGACCCTGTCTACGCGAGAAGGGTCGGAACATTCGCTAGGAAAGTCTAGGAAGACAGCAAGTCAGTACCGAGCGAGTGGATCATGAAGATACAGCAGACTAGACACCTACGAGCAGACGTGCTAATGACGGACCACCCCACTCTCGTGGAACATTGACCGGACTCGGATCGCGCGAAGGCCTACCGCCATGTCGGAGGCTCACTCTAAACGCCATCACTAGCTCGGTCAGACAGTCGCTCTTTGAGAACGTGCTACTTACCGATGAAAAGACAAGGGACCGCGTCCCGTACACTGTCAAGAGGGATATCCCGAAGGCAAAGCGGCTCGGACTACCGCTCGTCTGCGGGCCACACGACTCGTGTTTGAGCACACGGACCTCGTCGTATAGCCAAACTCGCTGCGCACAGCTGGTCGCTTTCAAGCAGCTCCGTTCACGTTGCCGGAGCGGTACATGTGAAGCCTCATCAACCGGATCGGCGCCTCGGTGGCGTCCGAGTCCTCTCTGGCTCTGTCGCACAAGCTCAGCCCGACCGCTCTCGAATGGGGAACACGAGCTACTCACCGCAACATTGGTCTTCGACGACGGTATGCTGATTGAGTACCTCCTCACATCTACGGGAGTACCCTTCGCGCTGATCCTCCCGCTCGTCCAGACATTGGGGGTCGCCGACCGGGCTGCCTGGGAGCGTCGCGGGTGTTCAGGTCCCCTCGGTGCTGCTGTTCCTACGTACGGCCAAACACCTGATGCCGATGTGCGGGCTGGCTGCCTTGAACTGCGGTGAGGGCGCTGCGTAGCCCGAGAACGCGTCCAGACGATCGAACCTGGATCGAACGTCACGGGTACGGTATGGATCTGACAGTGGCGAGTGACTCACCGAACGACGGGTCCTCCGAGCCTCTGACGGTACCCTGTTTCCAGCTCTGAGCTACAGTAAAATCTCTCTCGCGTCGCATGTTTCGCCTCATCTGTGGCTTTCGGGTCCCCGGGTGTAGGTCTGTAGGCTGCGGAGCATCGCGGGTTGCAGTGGATACCTGGGTGAGTCGCCTAGTGGTGGAGTAGCTCACGATTTGGAGGGAGGAGGAGGATCCGGAGAGGAATCCATTGATGTTCAGTTAGTGCGAGGTACAATATGTACGCCGTCAGAGTTGAGTTTGCTGGACATCGAGATCGGAGGAGGGAGCAAACCACCGTTCGCGAAGCCGCCGTGGTCAGCCACGCCGAGGTTCTTCCGGCCGAGCGCCTGTTCTTGCCCCGAAATTTGAACACCCTCTCAACGTTCTTTGTGTGTATCGCGCGACGCCCTCAGAATGCTGCGTTAATTCCGCAACCATCGCATAGGAGAAGGATACGTACTCGCCAGTTCTGTTCGCGTCCTGTGGCGAGAGGACGGGACCATGGGCGAGTAGCTAGCTCGTCGTATAAGCTTGAACGAGACGAAAATAGCGGAAGGCCGGATGTCTGTCAGGTGAGTAACCTCTGCTTCTCAGTTGACATAGCTCATCGTGCGGTAGTGCATCAGATTCATTCTCGGAGCGTAGTTCGTCGCCAAACGAGTGCACGGCGTGTCCGAGTCTGCCACTCATCTCATCTCACTGTACCATTTAAAAGGTCGTGGCTCGAGCGGCGTATTGAGGCTCGAGCAGTTCAGTAGGGAAGCATCTGCAGTCAAACAACAGGTGCGAATGCGACGCCTCACCCAACTTCGGCCTTCTCACCTTCGTCATGCTCGATCTCAAGCGTCTCTTTCGACGCATCGCGCGACCAGAAGCCCGTGCGGCAAGCGAGCTCTCCCCCATCTACGTCTGCGAATGGATGCCGGGTCATATCCTTATCTCAAGGCTGTCCGTGACAGCTCAGGCCGGCTTCGGCTCCCAGCGCGCACTACCGTGCGCCGGTCGTGGATATCCGCCCTCGCGCGCGCGTCGAACATAGGCTCGGCTCGTAAAAATAAGGCGAGGTGAGCGGTGCTTCTATCCGGTGAAGTGCGAGTCCTAAGTCTTCTTAGGCAGCCCGGGAAGCGGAAGGAGCCTCAAGGTCTACGGAGTCGATGACGGCCGTCGTTTCCAGTGGAGAAGCACCTGGCGGGCCAGGCGAATCGTCGACGTTGTCAGGAGGGTAAGCCAGTGTTCCTTTATACCGATCGTGTACTCACCTTTGTGTCCTAAAGTGAGGCGTGGAACCGGAGTGTGGCTAATCGGTGAATATATGGTCCTGGGGCATCGTGGCCAGCGAGCTGCTCACCGGAGAGGTGCGTTCTCGTCAGACATCTCATGTCTACACAAATCTTAAAGCGTGGTGCAAAGCTCTTGGAAGTGTTCATTCCAGCACGCAGAGTAACGTAGGCAAATCGCGCGATGATGCTTTATCGCATATAGGATGCCGAAGGCGCGTGTAGGTACCTGGTTGATCTAGTACGAGGGTACGCCTATCTTGTTCTTTGTACATTGACACGTCCTGACGGTTCTCTCAGATGCTCTCAGAGTACCCAAACGAGCGGATGGTCATCGCCAGTATCGTTAAGTATCCGGGCTTTGACCACCCTATGTGTTGACATATGGGGGTGGTTCACGCTGCTTCGGTGTCATGTCGCCCCTTGACACGGCACCAGGGGCATCAAGTGAGAATATGTCTTGCGGAAACGTGAACGAGGCATGTTATTGCGTAACCTGATCGCGTTTCTACGCTGATATGCACCACATGCAGCCATTAGGACCGTCATTCCTCTCAACGCTGAGAGCCTACCCTCTCGCTCCGCAAACACCGCGCCTCTTGAAAGGGCCGGAAGTCATGAAAGGCGTCGATTCAAAGCGGAGTGCAGTGAACAGGATGTGCATCTCGACAACGTCGACGACACCTGCGTCTGACGATATGGTCCATATGGTATAGCATACTTAGGTGCGTTGTGACATCCCAGTCATGCGAGACGTGCATGCTGGGGATGACAGCGTGTATATCCCAATGATACAGGACATCGGCTTGTACATATATTAATGCCTCGCCACCCTCGAACTCCGTTTATCGAGGCCGTGCGCTGGATCCACGGACCGAATAGCTGTCGCGGTGGTGCCGCAACCCGTAGGTGTGTTTCCGTAAGAGGAAATCGCTCTGTCCACTTTGTCCGTGGATATAAGGTTTCGTCACCCTCCTTCGCGCGTCCCTAGACGCCTATGTTCGGATGGAGGGGGCGTGGCGAGGATCGGTGCTCTCGTCGCCTCCCACTATCATGGGGGTCGTGTTCGCTTCAGCATGGCTCGCGTTTCTCAGCACTATTTTCTTGACGGCCTTTGTCAGCCCAGAGCCGGTTTCAGCGTTCGTCACAACCAATTCTGCAAGGTGAGTCTTAGAAATCCATACGGTTTGTCACCGTTGAATGTCGCTGACGTTCAATCCCAGGAACACCTTCCGTGAACTCAAAGACACAGCGCAAGATGGAATGAACGGTGCGCTTGCACCCGCCTGTCAATGCATACTGAACCGTAAGCGATGCCACAGATGTTGTGATTGACCCCGGTCTACGACTTGATGACTCCGAAACGCTCAGTCAATTCTGGAAAGACGCACTGTCGCTTGGTCAGCGCGGCCAGGATTACGCAGATTCCCTGATTTACGACGCTGCCCACAAGGCGGATCCGACTACTGCCGTGCGACTTCACGGCATCCAAAACACCCTGCAAGCCATAATCCATGGCACGGAAGACCTGAAAGCGCTGATCGTCACACAAGTCCACGACGAATCGTTTGACGATTTCCAGCGTGGTATAGAGAACATCCTGGCGAACATCTTGGAGGAGTTGAAAGACCGGTTCCCTCCGCCTTATCATGCCCCGAACCACGCAGAGCGGGAGGGCAATGTGACACTGGTCGTCAACATCACAGAGGAGGCCCTAATCAGGTTTGGCGTGGAACATGGGATGTCGGAGGAGGAAGTCAGGGTGCGCCTTGACCCGATTATGAAGAACGTCGAAGAGGTCATCGTTGCCATCGGTCAGTCGTCGTATCGTCTCACATCGTCGGGATCTCACATTGTACCATTGCCAGGTGATTTGGCGGAACAACACCCGTACTTGCTCGAGACCTTGCTCGTCTCGGGTGTCATGCTCATCATCCCTGAATCCTGGTTCCTTCGCCCACTGCTCCGACTCTTCGGGATGTCCCCCGAAGGTCCCGTCCAAGGTAAGAGTCAACCTCTTCACCGTCTCGATGCGATTGGACGAGGACATGCTATCCCCACATCGTTGACCTGTTCACAGGTTCCGTGGTGGCTTGGGCCCAGCGCACGTTCTTTGGCGGAACTATCCCGAAGGGGAGTTGGTTCTCGTATCTGCAACGCGCAGCTATGGGTCACTGGGCGCGGAAATCGATCAAGAAGACCATCCTCGGTTCTATCTTGGGTGGCATTGGGCTCATTGGCGCCATATTCGCCAGCTGTGGCTGTGTCTGAGATCGCTCAGGTTCCATTATCTCAAGCGCGGTATATGCGGCCCGACTACAGTGACCCGTACCATACAAGAAGAGTCGTGCATGTTCTTGCAATTAGAGGTTGGGTTCATTGAGCCACGCAGTTGAAATGCCGCGTTCGTCAGCTTCCCAGACTCACAAAGTGGCCGCTCGGTGCGTATGTAGCATGCGAGCGCATACAAACGGGGATGGGGGCGATATCCTCGGAGTCGAGGTACACTACTTGTTTCGCGTTCTCGCTAGCCTAAGGTTGCGTGAGCCAAGTAACGTCGGGCGTACGTAGTCTCTTAGTCGAGGACAGCAGAGCACGCGCCATCATGATCCTTGTCCGGAGGCAGAGTCGCCACACCCAGGTGCGTCGTCCGTATCAGGAAGGCATATTAATGCTTCTGTTGTCTGCGGAAATAAGGTTCCGTCGACGTGAGCTTCCTTCGTGCGTCCCTTGACGCCCAGCTCCTCGTATTTGAGCTGAAGGGCGTGGCGGAAATGAGATCCCTTCTTGTCACCACCCACCATCATGCGTGTCGTATTCGCCTCAGCTTGGTTCGCGCTCCTCAGCACCACCCTGCTAACCGTCCTCTTCGGTGCCGAGCCGGTATCAGGATTGAGCTTAGCGAACCTTGGGAGGTAAGCATTTCTGGTTCGTCTTCGCGGGCGTCGGATGCCACTGATAAACGATAACAGCAACATATTTGGCGGATAAAAAGACGCTGTTGACAAAGCGCACGATGGCATGAACAGTACGTCTGCGTCCATTCAATGACTGCTTTGTTTGCGCGTGAGGCTCAGCGGCTGTACAGAGGCGCTTTCTGACGCCATTCATCATCTGGGCGAGCTCGACACTCCAGAACAATTCTGGGAGCATATGCTTTCACTCGGCCATCATGCTCAGGACTACGCTGCGTCTCTCGTCCACGAAGCTGTGCAAGAGGTTGACGCGACCGCCGTCGCCCAGCTACGCCAATTTCAATACGTGATACAGGTAGTCGTCTCTGACACCGAGGACCTGAAAGAGGTCATTGCACAAGCGGGAGACAAGCCATTCGACGAGATTCAGCATGGTATCGAGAAGGTATTCGCCGACCTTCTAGAGCAGTTGAAGGGGCAGTTCCCCCACCCGACCAAGCGCCGGACCATGCAGAACGCAGAGGCAACGTGTCTCTAGTCATCCGCAAAGCAGAAGAGGCCTTTATCAGGTTAAGCGTGCAGGATGGGATGTCGGAGATGCAGCTTCGGACGCATCTCGACCCGATCATGAAGCATGTCGAGGATATCGTCGTTACTATCGGTTAGTCTACCTCGTCGTGCGTCCTACCCTACGTCGCGATCTCATATCTTGCCAGGGGACTTGGTGGAACAACATCCGGTCTTGCTCGAGACCTTGATTGTCTCCGGCATCATGCTCACCATCCCAGAGTCGTGGCTCCTACGTCCTCTGTTCAGGCTCTTCGGCATGTCCACTGAGGGCCCCGTTGCAGGTACGGACGAGCGTCGTCATCTTGTACGAGAATACAGTATGCTCACATCGTTGGTCTTCGCAGGTTCCGCGGCGGCTTGGGCTCAGCGCCGCTTTTACGGCGCATACATCCCGAAGGGCAGTTGGCTCTCGCACCTGCAGCGCGCAGGCATGAAGGGCGCGTCCCGGTGGATCTGGTGAAGAAAGCCGTAGGCGGTTGCATTCTGGCTGGCGGCTTGTTCGCGGGAGCCTGAGATCGCGCGGCACTTATTTGTTATTATCCATTGCCTGATGTAGTGTATGTGGGCCTACTTGTAAATCGCACAACAACTGTATTCGGATTCAAACCGATGCTACCACGGAATAGACCTCGATATCAGGAGTCTCACTGGCAGCGCACACCCCCTATGTAGGGTGAAGTGGCGCTGGCCGGGGCTGAAGACGTCGATGAGTCTGTCAGGGATACGAGCACGGCGCGCGTGCACGCGTCTCTAGCGGACATGTTCGGCGATGTGCAAAGTCACCGCCATAAGGATTGACGAGCGTGCGACGAATCATACTTTGACGTGCGGATCGCTCATGGACAGAGGTGACGGTGTTCGCGGCGTGGCCAGTGTGGTGTCATTAGAGCCGCTGAAAGCGTACGTATGTCAGTGAAACCCGGAACCACAGGGATCGTATGCGCTTGCCTCGAGGTGATGTTGCTATCCACGGGGTTTGCGGTCGGGTCATAGGTCTCTACGGAGTGTTGGTCGTCCAGCAATTCCCGGACGTACCTTTCCATGTTCAGTCTGCGTTCACAGCAGAGCCGAGCATGAGCGAGTGCGTCTCCGCTCGGTAGGAGAGACGATTAACTCACAAGCCGCCTGTGCAAGATCGACGTAAGTGCCTGTTGCCGCGAAGTTCCTCCCTGAAAGCGCTCACCGGACGCCTGGACGACTTTCCCTCGTCTTCCCGCCCGTCCGGATTGGCGTCGCCGACAGAGCTGTGAGCGTCGCGTGGTAGGCCATGACTGGCATGAGAGCGTAAGTCGATGCATCGAAGCCAGGTACTTGGGCTTGAGTCGGAGGTGCTGTGTCCGAGAGATCGATGAGCCACATAGCTCACTGCCGTAGGTGAGACACTGCATACCGTTATTTGCCAGTCACACTGCCAGTGTTCGTCAAAGCGCCACATTAGTCTCGGCGTGACGACATGTAGCTTGGTGTGTGGTCGTGCCAACGCAAGAAGGTCCCGGTGAGGAGGACCCCGTCCCTAATCCTAATTGCATTCTCGCGAGGTAGATTGCACCGATGACGGAAGCGGTCGCTAGTACTTGTTCTTGGGCGTTGTCCTGCGTATTCTGTACTGTTCCCTGAAGGTCGGCCCAGTAAACCGTGGTGATGCCTACTCACAGATCGGAGAGTGAGGTGTTCGGAGTACACAGGTAAACGCACGAAACGACCGTCGGACGTAGGCTATGCAACACTCAAGCGGGTAGTTAAAATCAGGATAGCGACGACCATCCAGGTCTCTGGTGCCCGATGATGACGCGTCGTATTTACACTGAAAGGAATCAGCCGACGCTACGTAGCCCGTGAAGCAAGTCGAACTCACTGTAGCTGAGCGGATGCCCTACATCGTGCCGCTCCTCAGGGCCCCGCGTGTGAGCCAACCTCTACCCTTCCGCCGGTTCCACGGTTCAGTCGTCGATGAGCGAGTGGCTCAACGGCCTCACAATCCGGTACAGGACACAAACTTGTGGTCGATCACTCCGATGGGTTGCAGGCCCTGACAACCGTCTTGAATAGCAACAGACGTTATCGAAGGGGGCGTATCAGGCGGATGTGAGAGAGCGTTGGTCGATGGAGACTGAGTCGGTCGACGGTCACGATGGTCGTCTGTGCGCACCCGCCGAGCTCAGGCTTCTTCCGAGCTCCTCTCGTTGTGAGCTATTGCATGGATGCCTCGACGCCCTATAGTTGCGGTGACTCGGGGTATTTCAATCGACAAAACTGTGGTCGTTCCAGAGCGTCATGGTAGTGAGTACCGACGAGCAAAGCCAGCGTGCGCTAGGCTGCCCCGCCGATATTCCCCGACCGCTTCCTCTCTCGTCTCAGCCACAGTCCCGTCGCTCCTGTCCCTCCTCCAGAACCATCCCTGATGCACCTGCCGGGCGATAAGCTGGGTCCACTACCATCGACCTTCCTCGTTCTCTTCACCGGTGAATATGATTACATCCCACGCCTTCCGTGTTTGCTGGGCCTGGGCGAGGCTCAAATTGACGAAGCGTTCTGCGAGAAGATGCGGCACCGTGGAAACTTAACGCATATATGCACACAGCCCTCGATGAGAGCGTGATATAAATGTACGAAAGGGACAACAGGAGCAAAGTGGAAGGGAAATCGTGCGTCAGGTACTTAAGTAGATTCTGCTTACTTGCGGGAATGACACGTCGCCGTCAGCCTGGTGTGTCTCAGTGGCGCGTAAATTCAAAATTGATCCAGTTGTCTGTGTGAACTATCGACAAGCATTTGTGAGGTCAGTCGATAGGAGACGTTCCAGCTGGCCTCTGTCATGACCATCAGGTGCGCTGTTTGCACATTAAACCATCGTTCGACCATTTACCGATCGTGCAGATCTCTCCGTGATACCGTCCTGTCGTTCCTACTTGCAACAGTCGATTTAGTCATCCCAGTTGGTACGGACGCACGTTACCTCCAGGAACACTGACAGGCTGGTTGTACACTTACAGTGAGTAGCTCTCATTGCGCGACCTAAGCCTCTCGCTCAAACATCGCCTACACCGTCCCGGCTTCCTATACTAGCAAACTGATGCATGCGTCCGGTGAGTGCCCAGACCCTACGCCGACGTCGACGATGCCTCACCATTAGCGCGCCCTTTTACTCTGCCAGATTACACGACGGCGACCTTTCCGGGGTTCATGTGCTCAGGGGAGTTGGTCGAGTCATTGTTCGATGAGACGGCAATCTGCACGCCCGACAGCATCTTAAAGGCCGTGAACCCTCTCAGGAGACTCCCGGTGTGTACCCTCCGCACATTGTCAACGACGTAAAGCAGTGACCAGCAGGTGTACCGGACCTCATATATCATTTATAGCTGCCTTGAACTCCCCGATGACTCGAGCCGGACGTACATACGATGCTCGAGAAAGGCGATGTATTCCGATTTTTGTCAAGCAGAGGTACTTATGCGCTTCCTCACCCGAGGTCACTCCGCTGCGTTGCTAAGCGTCCCATCGGACAGTGAACCCATCTCTGTGTGCCGCCCGCATCCAATGCTCGCCATGCGACGTCTATGCTGGTGAGCATCGGAAGCAGGTGTGCGTGGCGGTTCGCGTCGCCCACGCTCATTGTTGCTCTCCAGGTGACAGTTCTTGATGCTCCGGAACCTGTGGGGTACACTGACAATGAACTTACGCTCACAGGTGCCAAAGTCGACGAGCCTGTGCACGCCGCCGCTGGGCTCATACCGCGGCTACCTGAATTCCGCCGGCAGCTCCTGTTCGCGAGAGCCCTTTCCGTCTCAATTCGAGCGAGAAGAGGCTAGTTCAGCGCATCCCCGTATCAGCAAAGAGGTCAACAGCAAGCGATCGAAGCAGCATCACCGTCCTGGTCGACCGGGCAATCCCATAGCTCAAACATTCTCAAGACGCATGGGGTCCGTCACCCCAGATGTCGGTGTACAAGTACTTAAAAGATGGAGAGACAGGGCGGAAAAGGCCGTGTTCGCGACATCATCCCGTCGCACTACGACTTCGACGAGACTGACTCCTCCAGATCCAGCAGTACGTAGATGTGACATGTATATAAATCAGCATCCAAAAAATCAAATACACTTCTGATATCGTAGCAGCCGGAAAGCGTAGTATAGAACCGTGGGCCCTCAGCACCCGGCGGTTCATATTCTAGACACACATGTATCGTACATTCAACCATATCCAGACAAGTCACCGTTTGTCCGCTGTAGTGGTATGGATCGATCGAAAAGGTCACACAGCTGAGACCAATGTCCATGTCCCTCGTCCCTTCGAATTGGTCGCACGCGGTCTCCCATAGCACACTTCCACCCTAATCCGACGGCATCGCGGGAGCCAGACGAATGTCAGTAGGTATAGGGGCGGACTCTCGTTCTCAAATGGGGGGAGACTGCAAATGAACGCGCCAGTCATTCCGAGTCGCGTGACGGGGTGCAACAGACGGGTGGACGCGACCTTGGTTCCCGACGTCAAGTAGACGGCACTTACTTATTCTCGGTGTGCACGGCATCACAAGCGCTACCAATCGCTAGGCCGGGGTACACGAGAGCAGCGGGACAGTAAGTCACAGAGGAGGTCAGCGGTCGTGTTGGTCGACGTCCAGAGCAACGGAGAGCAACCTGTACGTCAGCGACGCCACCGTGTCTGCCCCGCCGAGATTCTTCCGAGTGTCTCTCCGCCACAAGAGCGACGGGGAGCTTACATCGAGCACTTCTGTTCTCACAACTCCAGCAAGCTCTCGTTTGAATTGCACTCTGACCTGGCTGGATGCTCGATACACCACTAGTCGACGCATATCAGCGGAATTTCGTCCGCACACGCTAGCCACCGGCAGACACTCCTTCGCTAAACAACTCGGGCGGATTTTAGGTCTCCTACGGTCCTGTTCCGCCATTGCACATGACTGTGCTGCTCGCTCTCAACGATCTTGGACTAGACGAGGGATCTCGACTCGACGGCTCGAATGTTCTCTGCAGTCTTTGACGAGAAGACGCGGTGTCATGGCCGACTCGGAGCAATGATACGTCCAACTTGATGACAGCCTGAGACGGTTCTCGAGGCGGACAATGCCAGATGCTTGGACAAAACGGGGAGTAGGTGAGTAGGCTTTTGATCACAGCGCGTATGACCCGGCGTTGTGACACCACTCTCCTTCATGCGCGTCCGCGCACCCAGACTGGACGAGAGCAACGTGCTGACTGCGTTCAGTGACGAAATGTACCGTGGTCGGGTTCCCGTACAGGGGCGGCCGGTAGCTTGATCGTACCTCTTTGGAGACTTGCGAGTCGCGACAGCGACGAAGCGAGCGGGACGGCGGGAAGAACGGATAATAGGTGCCAGTGAGCAAGTTCTAACTGATTATGTTCAACGGACTCCTTGATGCGTCTTCCTGTCGCACAGCACGTCTCCACAAGTTAAGGAAGATCGTCGTAGATATATGCACATGGTTAGTGCTGGTCCTCGCTGGATACGTGCTCAGCGGGAGATAGCTCATCTTCCGAAGTTCCAGCCACCCGGATCCGCTGTCTAATGTACGTACTGGGTTCGAGGCATTCACTACAAATGAAGGCAACGCGTACCCAGAACTGTTCTGGGGCTGTAAACCGATCAATACCACCTACAATTCTGGGATCTCCGCAGATTCGTGAGGGAGGAACGGCGTCGTGGCCTAGCTCCGAGATAAGTATATCTCTCCCGTCTTCCAGCCACTATCGGCTCGTTCCTACAGCTCAGCGACGATGGGGCCGAACGCGCGAACGCATATATGCGGATGTAGAACTCGTGTCTTCCCGCTAATTCATTTTTTCGATCAGGAAACGGTTGTTGTTACTGACTTTGACGACGAGCCCGCAGCCTCCCAAGATCGCATATAGGTCACTGGCGTCGAAGGCGAGCCGCGACTTGTTCTGTCTGAAGGCTGATTCTCAACAGTGAGCCAGGCGCAACACCCATAAAATCTCCCGTATCTGCTGAGTGCGAGGATGGTCAGCTTGATGCTCACTCACTGAACCTCGTCGTGCTCATACCTTTTCTCCTAGACCTGCCATCCGTAGATTGTGATAGCGCCTCCGTCAACTCAGCGAGCCGTAGGTACGCTAGTCAGACGCCATACCTTGAGAGAGTTTGGGATGCTAACCGCAGACCATTCTTAGCGAGGCCGGTGACGCTCGCAGCCGTCTCAAAATCGCCAGACTCGAAACTGTGCGTCCTCCTCAGACAATCCCGGAACTCTGGTGCATCCAGACGGCTCCTGAATGGTCCTATCGAACGAAGTGGATGTACGCACTGCGCACTTCGTGACGACGCACACCGACCTCAAGTGATGGTGCCGAAATATACCTGCTCAAACGGCGCCGACTGGTATCCTCACGATGATACTGATGCGCCCGACCTTATTAGGTACAGAGCGCGTCCTGTGCGATAACCCCAGGTCTAGCACGCAACAATATCTGTCACAGGCCATGGACACTGAGGGACGTTGATCCGCGGTTGGCTTCGCTCCTACGTCGCCCGTCGGCATTGTTTTCCTTTGCGGCAGTCCGAGCTGCAGCTTTCTCCCCCTCTCTCGTGCTACCCCGGTCGGAGCCCCTCACGCTTCTATGGCGCCGCTGTCTAACGGTCAGATTCGTACTCATTGTACTTGACCTTGATTGACCTGCTCTTTTCGAATATGTCCAATACAATCAAGTACCAATACCCTCGAGCCCAGATCGTCGATGTATAGTACACGCGGTCATCGTAGAGTGAATAGAGATGGTTTCCATAACGGATCCGAGTCACCTTCATACCAGACCCAAGCCAATCGTCCTTCTACTGAGTCCGCCGATAGATAAAATGGAGCCGAACGTATGACCCCCTCGCATCAACCCGCCGCGTTCCATACAGGCGGTGACGATGCACCGTTGCCGCCACCTTCATTTATACCGTTCGAACGACGTGCCACGTCTTGCGTGAGGATTCCTGGGTGCTGCTCAATGGCTGAACGGGAGACAAGAGTTAGACGGACGTGTGCGCAAACGGGCTCCACTCACGGTTACAAGATCAAAATCGCGCATATTAGTAGCAGGTAACGTTGAGTATGCCACTGGCAGACCATGGCTGTAATATGCCACGGACCATGAGCTCGAGCATCTCACGAAGGCCGGCTGCATCCACGAATGTATAGGGGTAACGCAACCTGTACATCTTCACCCCGACATGCTTCAATGTATCGAAGTTTGGCCGGCTCATGACCCCATGCAGGTCCCGCAGGTCGAGCTCCTTGAGGACGACGCTGGGTTGCTCAGACTCAGAGTCGTGACGTACAGCGTCGTAGCCAACCCAAGCATGGAACTGGATGTGCTCGAGCTGACGGCTTCGGATAGTGGAGAGGATGCTGTGTAATTCGTCCATTGCTTTGGTCCAAATCGTGTGCTGAGGCTGGTTGTAGCCGTGTTCGATGCGGTACAGGCGGACGTCCAAGAATCGCAAGGCAATGTTTTGCGACAGATTCACGTGAAAACCTACATACATTGGACATGATGATGTGCATTAGCGGTGAAGCCTCTCAGTACCCCCTCCGCTTGAGAGAACCTGGAGTGTCCCCCGCCCGCAACGGGTTCAGTGATCGAGCAGAGGGCCCTGGAGACGGGGCTGTCCTCCGTAGCGCATCGTCGCGAGACAATGCACAAGGGGAAACGGAAGACTGCGCTACCCTCCCCTCCACGCAAGAAGCCGCGGAGGCGGCTCAGCGTGCCCCGACAGGACGAAATGTCCCATCGGGAAGAAAGACCAAAGCTAGCCTCCATGTTGGTAGCTTGAACGTAAACGGCAGAGGCTCCCTGAGCGGACCTCGAGACCAGAAATGGAATGCCATTAATCAATTACTACGCGAGGAGCGTATAGGTGTCCTGTGTTTACAGGAAACACATCTAGACACGAAACACCTAGATACGATACACGAGTTATACGGGCGCAGGATCCGGATCTGGAACTCGGGTTGCACGTCGTCTACATCCGCACAAGGAGTTGCGATTATATTGAACCGGGAACTGGTGGACGTATCGAACGTCGTCTTCCAAGAAATAATACCAGGGCGGGCTATATTGCTGACAATGCACTGGCATGCAGACCAGTACATCACGATACTGAACATCTACGCCCCTAACTCCCCGAGCGAGAATGCGGCGTTCTGGGCCAGGCTACTAAACATGGCAGAAAAAGGGAGATACAAGCCGGCTGACATAGTGGTAGGAGATTTCAATGTAGTGGAAGAGGCTGTCGACAGACTACCGGCAAAGGAGGATCCAGCTAATGCCGTTGACGCACTGCGAGACTTCATCAGGCACTTAGACCTGTATGACGGGTGGCGCCTGTCGGAACCACACATGAAAGACTACACGTACCCACAGAGAGGCAGCATGTCGCGCTCCCGCTTGGACCGCATATACGCCTCGGACTCTCTAATCCGGACCTCACACTCCTGGGACATCAAAACGACTGGCGTACCCACTGACCACAGACTCGTTAGTACTAAACTTAACACCGCAAACACCCCCTTTATCGGTAGAGGACGGTGGGCAATGCCAGTCCACCTGACTGAGGACGATGTCTTCATGACTCAAGCGAAAAACCTAGGCATAGAGACCTTTAAAAAAATGAAGATCACCGTACGAGGAGACACTCACCAAGACCACCCGACGATTCAACACCTACATAAACTCTTTAAAGACAGCGTACGGAAGCTAGCACAAGACCGCATCAAGCGCAAGTCCCCGAAACTGAAGGCCGAAATCAGCCGCCTTAAAGACCATATACAAGAGATTGAAGGACAAAGCACATACCAGACTTCCGGGGACCTGCAGACCGACTCCGCAGTACTGCATGACAGAGTCTGCGACCTGGAAAAGAAACGGCATGCTCTGTCCAAGCTTACTACCACAGCTCGCTACGTGATAAATGCCGAGCGAGTTTCAAAATACTGGTCCCAAGTAAATAGAGAACGGAAACCGAGAGATGTGATATATGCCCTCAAAGTGCCGAATACAAATCCACCCGTCCTTGAGGCCCGATCCGACCGAATGGCCACTCTAACAAAAGACTACCACGAGTCGGCCCAATTTGTAGACGTACCTGGCTTTTCCAAAGACGAACAGCTGTTAGAAACCGACCGCATCCTTGCACACATCACTTCCCCCCTAACAAGCGAAGACAGCACAACGCTAACAAGTAGTATTTACAAGGAGGAAGTGAAAGACGCACTGCGCAAGGCACAGACCGGTAGGGCACCGGGCCTGGATGGGATCCCATACGAGTTCTGGCGAGCACTGATGAACGGAAGTACAAAGGAAGGAGCGTTCGATAGCTTAGACTACCTCACCCTGGTTTTCGCCGACATAGAAGACAACGGCCCCTCCCCGAACGAAGGTTTCACTGACGGGTGGATGTGCCCAATATACAAAAAGGGAGACAGACGCGAAGTGGCAAACTACCGACCAATCACGCTACTAAACTCAGACTACAAAATATACACTCGAACACTCACCTCACGTCTGGGACAAGTAGCCACCAGACTAATCCACCGTGATCAGGCTGGCTTTGTCCCAGGACGACACATAGAGGATCAAACACAAACGTGTCGGGTTCTCGTTGATTACGCGGAAGCTACCGAGGAAGACGGAGTGATAGTCGCTCTCGACCAGGAAAAGGCATATGATAAAATCGACCATACGTACCTGTGGAAAACACTAGAAGCCTTTGGTCTGCCCTCCGGTTTCATAGCTAAAGTCCGCGCGCTCTATGTGGCAGCAAGAACGAAGATCATTTTGAACGGCGAAAGCAGCGGCTTCTTTAATGTAGTAAGGGGAGTGCGACAAGGAGACCCGCTCTCCTGTCTCCTCTTTGATATAGCTATTGAACCTTTGGCAATACTTCTACGCAAGTCGAGCCTAAAAGGCTTCCAAATTCCGGGCGCGACCGATCGCCTGATAACGAAACTCTTTGCAGACGACACATCCGCTTTCCTGTCCAAGAATGACGACTGGACGGGCTTGTGGAGCATCCTGAATAGGTGGTGCATGGCCTCTAGAGCCAAATTCAACAATGGGAAGACGGAGGTGATGCCGGTAGGCTCACCGAACTATAGACTATCAGTAATATCTGCCCGCAAGCTTAACCCGGATGACGCCAGCTCAAGCCTAATCCCCCCGACGTACGTATCGCTACAGATGGGGAGCCTATTCGCATCCTGGGCGCCTGGATCGGAAACCATGTCGAACAGGTGGCAGTATGGACGCCGGCCCTAACAAAGATACGGAACTTCTTGAAGAGATGGGGACAGTGTAGGCCGTCCATGTTAGGGCGAAGACACATAGTACAGATGGGACCTGGCGGAATATCCCAGTACCTGACAATGGTTCAGGGCATGCCAAAGTCTGTAGAAACAGAACTGAAAAAGATGGTTCGCACCTTCGTCTGGGACTCGGCGAGTATACCACCAATAAACACGGCAACACTACACAGGCCTGTGAGAGAAGGAGGCCTCGGGCTGCTTGACATTGGGGCAAGAAATGAGGCGATAGACCTTATGTGGTTGAAACGCTACCTGACTCTAACTGAAGACCGCCCGGTATGGGCCTATGCTATGGATGCCATCATCAACAAGCATGCCAAACGTGCCACGGGCGGGATCCGCCCGAAGGCTCAAGTCAACACGTACCTACAAAACTGGGACCCAGCACTAGGTAATAACTCCAAACTCCCGCTGTACATCCGGCGAATGCTCACTGCCGGGAAACGCTTCAATGTGAACCTAGAAGCCATTAAGGTGAACTCCTCCCTAAAGAAACAACTGCCGGCCTGGTACCACATAGGGGCGACCAAAGCACTACGGCGACTGAACAACACACGGGTGGGAGACTGCCTCCGCGAGCATCATGATGTGGTAGTAATCTCGGACCTACTGGAAACAACAAAGTCGTCGTGTGGGGACGCCCCGCAGCCACCAACAACGGTATGGGAAGATAATGAATGCACCTGCCCGGAGTGCGAAGGGCTGCGAGCCCGAGGGTGCAAGCACCCGGCGACTTGTAGGATTGCCGCTTTCCGCATCCTCAGCGAAATCCTACCCAAATGGAACCCTCTCTTCCCTGACATAACAGACGGACTCACCCTGACCAGTAGAAGACTTGAGAAGAACGGTGAGGCCATATTAGGGGAAGGTGACCTCCTCACCTTCGACCCATCGGTCACATCCAGCGGAAACCTGTCGGAAACCTTCCGAGTATTCGTCGACCCGAGCACAATATCAGACCCTCCAGCATTACGTAGACGCCCAGGCCGGCCAGTCCTGGATGAAGCCGTAACCGTCCTCGTATTCAGGCCGACGCCCAACTCGAGTCAGCAAGACGAAGATCATATAGACGAAGGGCGCACCTTCGCTTTTTTCTTCGGCACCAGTGATCCACGAAACGGGATAGTGAGGCAGATCACGGACACTGACACAGACGTACATCCACCTGGGGAACTGTCAGCCGCACTACATGCGGTCGCGCTAACACCCCTCGACGCACCACTTTGCGTACTAAGTACCAACGAAGTACTCACCACCCTTATCTTTGAGCGAGCCCCCGTTTGGGAGATGAGAGGCTGGATAGAGGCTCCACTCGCCGCCTATCTGCGGCCGCTCCTCAACCGCCTACGCCAACGCTGCGCACCCACTACCTTTGGCAAAATAACTGACGAAGACACATGGGCAACTTTAGAGCGGGCCCGCCAAGACGCCTCAATGGCCCCCCCGCGAGACTTTGTACTAGCACAAGCCCCAACATTGGAGCTCGACCCCCGTTTCGAGCTGACGGGGGCACGCCTCGATGCCCTGACCCAAGCCCTAGCATACCATGGCATACTAGAGCTCAGGGGAACTGAGACACGGCGTGCGACAACAACTAACCTTGAGATAGTTCGGACGCACTCACCTCCAAGCACCCCATTGACGCATGGAGCCATATGGACTAGCCTACGGCACCGAGATTTTAGTAGGGCATTCGCGGTTTTCCTCTGGAAAGTTATGCATGACGGCTTGAAATGTGGCACTTACTGGGATAAGATTCAGGGATACGAACACAGGGCCCAATGCGGCAGGTGTGGACTGCCGGAGACAATACAACATATCCTCTTCGATTGTGAAGCCGTAGGACAGTCATTGGTATGGTCCATAGTCGGCGGAATATGGAAAAAGAAAGCGCCTGATGCAGAATGGCGGGCCCTGACCCCAGCAGACTTTCTCTCGGTCGGCCTGAAAACGTGGAAGGACAACAAAGGACGATTTCGGCCGGGCGCCACACGGCTCTGGAGAATAATGATATCTGAGGCCGCACACCTGATCTGGAAGTTGAGGTGCGAGAGAGTTATTGGACACGCCGAGGAAGACGACTGGGAACACAGTCAGCCCCTGGTTTGGAATAAGCTGCAGTACGTGCTGAATAGCCGATTGGCACAAGATGTCGAATCAGTGCGACGGAAATATGGCGACTCTGCGATAGACAGACGACTAGTTCTTGCAACATGGAATAGAACTCTACGGGACGAACCTGCGCTCCCGGAAGACTGGACAACATGGAAAGGTTTTTAGTGGGTAGGACGCCGGCACTACGAGTGGACCTCGAGCCGGACTGATGAGCCCCACACTGATTGTTGAATCGTGCGTAAATGGCATTTTTTAACCCTGGACTGGCAACTGTGGGGAGACCCACATGCAGGCTGGATGTCCCGGGATGACCCATTGTCATCTGCGGGCGTCCGTGATGGCCCTCCAAAAAAAAAAAAAAAAAAAAAAAAAAGCCTCTCAGTACGATAAGGGGAACCTTACGGTCATCGGTCTCATAGGTACTCTTCCAGAAACGGGCCAACACATCAGTCTCACAGGTCCTCTCGTAGAAACTGGTTAACGATGGCCCTGCCGTTTCGAGGAGCTTGTTAACGTGGGTCGGTACCAGAGAGGGACCGTCGGACCGAAGCTTCAGGTCCGCAAGTGAGGTGCAGAGGCCTGAATGTGTCATCCAGTCAACGAATATTGCCATGCGTTCTTCGCGCATCATTATGTTCAGGTATCGAAGACGTATGTGAGATGGTGCCTGAATTAGCGAGGCTCCTGCGTAACTGGCAGCAGCTTGCCGGGAGAACCGAACATCTATCGTGAGGTCTGTAAGCTGAGGGAAGGCAGACACAATCCGCCACAGCTGTGTTGGGTTGTTCAATCGGCAGCCCCAAAGCGTCAACGACTGGACAGACTTGAACCTAGACAGGGCGACGAAGAAATCTGGGCGGATGAAACGAAGTCTTGCATTCCGGATGCGAAGGGTGCGTACACGAGGCATTAGACCGGCAAGCGCGAACGATAATGCTTGAAGGAAGTGATTGCCAGTATTGATCTTGTTTCCATGCTGCGGGGATTCTATGCTCCTGTCTTCATCCTCCGTCTCCTCGTCCGAGTCTTCCATACTCCCCTCTTCGTCTTCATCTGCATCGTCGTCCTCGAAGCTATGCCTGTCAAGGTACCCAGTGCAGTAAGCCAAATTGTCCTGCTCGTCTGTTACCAGCGTGCATGTGCTCGCGAGCCACTGCCTGACGCGGGGAGATGCGTGACAGTGCTTGAAAAGCATGTTGAAGCTGGTGCGGTCGCGAATCTGAACGGTGTGGTAGAGGTTGCGCATCGCCCGCGGGTACCACAATGCGCAGACCAGCGCCACAGCGGCCAACGTAGGCTGATGCCTGATCGCGTCGATGATCAGCATGAAGACCTCGAGCGGGATCCGAGCCGAGAGGGCCAGCGGCAGGGTGCCTTCCACACGGGCGAACCCCCACGTGGGCCTCCATTCATCGGTATCGGATTCTTCTTCGCTCTGGTCATCGTCACTCCGATGTCCACTGGCACTCGATCCATTGACATCCTGTTCATCGACGCTGCTCCGACTGACATCAATATGTCCGTCAGCATCCCAGTGTGAGTGCGAGTTGTCGTCGGGAGGAGGGGGAAAAAGCTAAGTGAACGCATCAGTCGGCGCGGTCATGGACAGAATCAAGTATTAATAACTGACACTAGGCTGGAGACCGGACATCTGAGACGCTCGCACCCTAGGGATACACGACGTCGATGTGTGTGTCATGAGGGAGGTGCAAACAGTGAGGGGGTCTCGAGGACGCACCGAGGCCATGCATACGATACTCCAGTACTAGGGAGGCGGTGATGAACCGCACGGTGATTGCCGCGAGTGGGACCTTTCATGCCATGGCCAGCCATGATTCCAGCATTCGTCAACGCACCGCACTGGACCGGGTACGTATGCCTGTCGGTCCGCGGCCAGCCTGAGTGTACGATGCAGGAGGCCGTACGCGTGACGGCGGGGACGAGATGAGTCTCCTGCGGTTCGCGACCCTGTGAGCGTCCTCTTCAAGATGGATGGACCAACTATGCGTAGCGCCCCTCGCCTCGGAACCTCAGGCTCCGTATCGCCCTCGACAACACGCTGCTAATCAAACCTCTTGCCGCTCTCACGAAAGCGCCTCTGGTATCGACCCTAGCAAGGCCCATGTCACGCCTACCCACACGCGGACGTCACTAATATGGCACGTTTTTGGACTTGCTCGACATCCCTTGTTGTCGGCGACCGGCGGGTACAATTTGTAACGATACCATCTCAAAGCACAGTGTGTTTGATCGTAGCGATAGAGAAGTCCGTTACAACTACCGTCGTAGCAAGCATCAGTCGATCGAATTGAAAAATGTACCGAATCTGAGTGACCTCCGTACCATTGCGACCTCCGTACCAATGCCAAAACAACCGTTCGTCCACCGAGTCGGCCGATAGATAAATGGAGCCCGACGACCGCTTGCGAAGGACCCATTCCCTCGCACTGACCCGCGCTCTGTACAGACGGCGATGAGGCCTCGATGCTGCATCTCCATTTGCGCCGATTGGGTGGTAATGGGCCACGGCTTCGGCATGGGGACTCCCGGAGATCGCTGAATGGCTGAACGGGGGACAAGAGTGAGACAGACGTGTGTATACAAATGGGCTCACTCACAAAGTCTCACATTAACGCATAGCCGTGCCCCCAGGTGACGGTGACTATGCCGCGGGCCGACCATGGCTGCAATATGCCATAAACCATGGCCTCGAGCTTCTGACCGCTGCTGTCCTCATGCGACTTCGTATGACCGTCCCCGAACCCCAGGGTCATCTCGACACCGACCTCATTGAGGGTGTCGAAGTATGGCTGGCTCATGACGTCGTGCAGATCCCGAAGGTCGAGCTTTTCGAGGACGTCGTTGGGCTGCGCAGGCTCGAGAGTACTGTGCATGACCTGAATTCCAACGGCGACCTCGATGTGCTCGAGCCGACGGCTTCGGATGGAGGAGAAGACGCCATGTAACTCGCGTGTTGCCTCAGTCCACGCCGCGTGACTCGGACGCCTCTGGGATTTATCATCGTGAGTGATGCGATACAGCCTGAAATCCAAGGTCTGCAAGTTGGTGTTGTGCAGCAGATTTCCGTGAGGCCCTACATTGCGCATGTGCATCAGTGGCGAAGTCTGTACGCAAGCCAAAGGCAGTCTTACAGGGATCCAACCCATAGTGATCCTCGTCAAAACGGGTCAACGATGCGCCCGTCGTTTCCAGGAGTCGGTTCAGGGGTGTCGGGGCTGGGGTGGAATAGTTTGTGGAGATTGACAGATCCGCAAGTGAGGTGCAGAGGCCTGAGCGTGTTATCCAGTCGAGGAACATCACCATCTGTTCATGTTCCACGCGGACCTCAAGACGTCGAAGACGAGTGTGAGATGGTGCTTGAAATAGTGAGGCTCCCGCGTAGCTGGCAGCATCTTGCTGAGCAAAATCAAGATTTTGCACCGTGAGGTGTGCAAGCCGGGGAAGGCAGACACAATCCGCCGCAGCTGCGTCACGTTGCTCAGTTGGCAATCGAAAAGCATCAACGACTTGACAGACTTGAACCTCGACAGGGCGAGGAAGAAATCCGGGCGGACGAAACGAAGTCTTCCATCCCAGATGTCAAGGGTGCGTACACGAGGCATCAAATTAGCGAGCGCGGACGGTAGTGCTTGTAAGAAGTGACTGTGACTCTTGGTCTTGTTGCCTGACGGCGAGGATGCAGATGGCTCGATATCCTAATCTCAGGGCTGTCTTCGTAAGCCCATCGGAGTAAGCACTCACCTCATGTACCACCAGCACGCGTGTCCTCGCAAGCCACCGCTTGACGCGTGGTGACGCGTTACACTGCTTGAATAGCATGTCGTAGCTTGTGCGGCTGCCAATATCGATGGTGTGGTAGAGGTTGCGCATCGCTCGAGGGTACCATGCTGCGCAGACCAGCGCCGCGGCGGTCAATGCGGGAGAATCCATCTTGTCGATGACGAGCTCGAAGATCTCGAGGGGGACGCGAGCGGAGAGGGTCAGGGGCAGAGTGCCTTGAAAACAGGCATCCCGCCAGCGTCTGAAGGTCCGTGTTTCGGTGTATTTCTGGACAATCCATTCATCGGCACTGGGTTCCTCATCGCTCTGTTCATCGGCGCCCGGTCCCTCGTCATCCTGTTTATCGGCACTGCTCTGACCGAGATCAATAAGATCGTCGGCACTTGATGGCATGACTTGTGTGTGTGAGGCGTCGGGGGAGGGAGGAGATGCTAAGTGAACGGCGCATCAGTCGGGAATTGGGATCATTATGGATAGAAGACGACCAACGGTAGGCTGGAGATCGGACATCTTCGCACTCGCACTCTACGAGCACGCGACGTGAATTTATGAGCGGAGGCGCAGTCCTGAGCGGAGGAGTGTTGGCGGTGGGGCCAGAAGTAGCGAGGGGGCCTCGAGGACGTACCGAGGCCATGTACTTATGTATATGAGCATTTGCAATTGGGAAGAGCTGTGTGCGAGAGTTTGATGAGCCGCACGGTGACTGCCGCGACCAGGGCTTTCCATGCCATTGCCGCAGTCCTGTCCATGCTCCTAACCCTAGCTGCGTTCTTCGAGGTGCGCTCGGACCAGCTTCCTCCGAGTCAGCGTCGCGCACTCTCCTTAATCGAATCATCCATTGGTCTCGATAAAATCTAAAGATTCAACTCTACTTCAATGCCGACCGCTCCGTGTCACTCGACTAGGCCGCGTACCTGTATAGCTCGTTGCCATTCACTTTGGTGGCCATAGTGTACCTCATCGGCGTAGTGCAGCATGTCAAGGTCGGCCTATCCGGGTCAATTGCGAGACACCGCTTGCGTTGGCTGGATCACCTCTGCAGAATGCCTACATCAAGACGATCCGGTATGCTCCGGACGTCCGAATCATGGCCATCCTTCCCCTTCCCTCTAGGTGGTCTTCCGCCCATGACATCTCCATGCCTCGCACGCATCTTCTTTGGCCTCGTCGAACCGGCCCTACACGGTCTCTTCTTCGACTCGGGAACCCGCGCTACGTATCACGGTGGGAGTCCTCGACGGCAACCTGCATATCAAGTGTCCCCCCGAAAACTCATCTCGTGTCGAACTACGGCCGAGCACCGTCCTTGTCGTGTCGCCGACGTTCTCCATCCTCGCATGCTCGGATTCTCTACTGTGCGTCCGTCGTCGGTCTCCCTAGGTGTCTCGGGTTCTCTCTACGCACGCTGTAGATTGTCCTCCCGCGAACACAATTCGTCTTCAAGTTTGCGACACTAGTGCAGCTGCGCTGTTCGCGTCCTTCGACACGAGATTTCGGCACCATGGTTCATCGCCCTTGCAGATACTCGATGAATGAATCCTCCTCATGCTCCGGAGATCCTCTAGTCACGCATCGCTGATGCCGTGCCGAATTTGCGGTATGCGACGTCTATCAAGGCATACACTGTCTGCGGAATGAGCGACTATATGCGCGTCCGGTGCCTCTTGTCAACGCAAAGTGTACCGCGTTCACTTCGTTTTGGCGTCTTCGTGAATGCTGCCTATACGCAAGAGCCGGAGGGCGTCCTCGACCTCCTCCTTAATGCCGAGCTCGACCTTGAGCACCGTGCTCTGGAACGCCGTGGTGAGGCCCCCAGGTTTCCGGATGCGCGGCTGTCACCCGTCCGGGATGCACTCCTCGAGGAGGAAGGGGGTTACAGGTCCTTCACCCACCCGCCACAGATCGTCAGCAACGTCGCGCCGCTGGAACGCGACCGGCGTCAGTGCATTCCGAGTGGGAAGCGCGCAGACACGCACTTGGAGGCACCGAAGAGCTTGTGGACCATCGCCTGGCTGTACTGGCCGTTCCTGGCCTTGGACTGGGCGCGCCATTTGCCGAGCATGCGCGAAAGGTCGCTCGCGGTGATGTCGCCGCCCGGGCCTGTCCCGCTCTCGAGGAGCTTGATTCGGAGATGCGGCGCGGGTTTCGGCTGGTCGGGGTTGTGGAACCCGTGTGTCAGCTGTCGTCGTATCGATGAATGTGTGAAGGGGACGTACTGCATAGGGACGTGTCGTGTTCGACGCAGTTGTGCGCACTGAGATCGATCTTGTCCGTCCAGTAGTTGCGGTTCAGCGCGTCTGCAGCGTGATGAGTCTGACCGCGAAGCTGACGTCTCCCGGACTCTGATGCTGAGCTCGCGGAAGGTGATGTTGCGCCCGTCCCGAGGGAGGCCTGACCGCGCCGAAGCTCAGTAATCGCGTATTGCGTGTAGTAGGCTGCGCACCGTGCTTCGCCATGGTGTTCAGCATCGGGCAGCAGCTCCGGCTGTCCGTGTCTTTCGGAGGGATGAACCGTGGCCAGAGCCCACCCTCGCCCGGCCGGCCTTCTGGTACCACACGGCTTTCAGGCAGGAGCGGTGCGAACGTGTTGTACAGAGTTAATGCGAATCCCAGGCGAGTAGGTGGACGGGGATGATGACGTTCGCGATGCCGTAGATGAGGCCGACGCACAGTCGTGTTGCTGCGACCGCTGCAAACGAGGATGTCATGGCGGTAGATAGTGGTTAACGTGGGGGCGGGGTAGACGTGAGCGGGGTAGATGCGATCGCGGCGAGTCGGGCGTGACAGGCGACGAGGAGAGGGCTTATGCATGCCCGGGCGTCGTAGGCACCCGACGGGGAAGCTGTCCGCGAAAGCTGGGACACATACCGCAGAACAGAAGCTGTCCAGACGGTGGGCGGCTGCATCGGGGTATGGTTCCTGCGTATGGCAGTACTAGTGCGCTGGCCCGTTTTTGTCTGTTGTTGGCATGGATGTCCGTGAATGTCCAGAGCCGCACTCGAATCGGGCGGAGAAGCGTCTTGGGACGCTGTGATACGCCTGCTGTCAAGTGTCGAAGGTCCTGCGCTTGACGCAAGCTTAATCAGATAGCGACACATGAGAACAGCTAACTCACGTCCACAAACTCCACAACTGCGTTGAAGCGCTCCACGCAAAGTTGAACACGCCGCGGTCGGACCACAGCTAGATCAAGACGTAGAATCGCCTACGGGCCATCGATGGGTGCCATCGCATTCCACCCATGTATCTGTTTGTGCCACTCGCGCAGAGCCATGATCCTCTCGACTCTCCTTTGTGCGCTGAAGAACGGCTGCTCGCGAGCTCGCGCAGGCTCCACACCCCGAGCTTCTCAGGGACGCCGTCTGAGCCAGTGAGTTTTTCCTGGCGCTGTCGTGGTCCTGGAACCGGTCCCGTACATGGTCTCGATGTGCATAGGCGGCAGCTTTCACTGGAGAGAAGACGCTGTGAAACCCGTCCATGAGTCCGGACAAGTTGGAGAGTGATCGTCGAGGCTCCGGGAAGGTGCAGGGCGCGTCACGGCCCAGCGGGCTGTGGCTCACACAGCACCTCAGAGCGTCTGCACGTATATGTATAACTCTCGTAACGCAGTATTCGCGTGTTGGATAACAACCGACGTTCGACGAATGCGCTGTTATGCAGGCCTATTGGAAGGCCGTGGGTTGATGACTCCCTGCCAGCCTATACCTCTGGGACCGACTAGACAGAGACCTAGTCCGCCGCGGAAGTCATTACGTGTGCGTGCAGCGAAGCCAATACAATGATATGTCAGATTCTGAGCTAGAACAATGACATGGCTAGAATGGACTCGAGACGCACGAAAAGATGGGTCCCAATCGCCTCGAAAGACTCACCTATGGTATATCTCACGGCCAAGGTTTATAGACGGCGCATGCAGATACGTCTTGCTCTTCAATTGGTCGAAACCAGGTGACAATCAGAAGCGAGGAGCCCGCGTGCGGGTCAAGGTCAAGGTTTGACGTGCGGGAATGCGTGGTACTGGTTGTACAGCATGTCGAAGCTGGTGCAGACACTGGCAAGACTGAGACAACGTATAACATTTTGAACGTGAAACTTCGAGCGTGCATACTGCACATACCTACGCCACGTGGACCTAGCGGATGACGACCTCGAGCGGAGAGGGCGAGTGGAAGGCAACGTCACAGGAAAAACGACATAAGTGTTCGCCAATCGTTCCGCGTAGCGTGGTCTCGCAGGACTGGGCGAAAGGCTGACGACTGTGTGTTAAGTAGGCACACATGACGGCCCAGGGTTGCAAGAGATGGTGAACACGAACCTGAATACCCCACGTCACATAAGTAGGTGTTTGCTACCTGTGTTAGAGACACTACAGACCCTTCATATCACCCACACGGCGGGATCGGTGAGAGCAGCAGAGCTGCAGAGGAGGAGGAGGGCCCCAGAGAAGAAGCCAGAGGTCGTGTTGATCGACGTCCAGAGTCAAGAGGCACCTCTTGACCACGCTCGCTGAGTCACGTCGTTTCATCTCTTGGACTTCTCTTGGACACCCTCCAAGCACTCTTCAAGCACGCTTTGATAACTAGTCTTCTCTATAGCTACGGCGATCGGATACAATGATGTTCTGTTGAATCTTGACTGGATGTGCGGCCCAGGACTCAGAACTCAGTACTCAGCTCGCGCACTTCCCTTCAGGCTCCGTCGCACGAAGAAAGCCAATGGTCTCTAGTTCGAGTACTATTCTAGTGAGCATGTCTCAGTTCCATGTCTTCTACGGCCTTAGCTTGAATGAAAGATACACATTTGTCAGCTCTGAAGCTCTGCACGTTCTGCGACGAAGAAGACGTGGAACCATTGGCCGAGCAATTTTCCGTATACGTCTAGCCTGGTGCCAACTTGAGACCCGTCGAGAGAGACGAGAAGAACGGAGAAAGTAATGGTTGTCAGGTATGCAAGTGAGCTCCTCTTCAGCGGATACAGTTCATCGTCAGGTAGTGCACCAGCCTCTATCCAAGAGCTTAGCCCGTCGCACCGCGAGTGTTTCCTGTGCTCTTCCTGTTCGCCAGGTGAGGATGGCTTGCTTGCTTGGTACCTCACTGACCCGCCGTCACGCTAGCATGCCCTTCTCAATCCTCGTAGATCTACGCTTGCAGTATCGAGGCTCCGACATCGACCCAGTCTTGCATCCGTATGAACATGATCCACCGCATCTAAAGAGTGTTTGACCGACCGTGTTCGCTCAGTAGCAAGGTCGGCGACGACGCCGCGAACCTGTACTCCTCCTCAAGGGCGATCCAATCAGAGACTGGTGAGCTCCAGATGACGTCGTATACGCAGGGGATGCTTACCGGATCTAGTGAACGAATACCAGGAAGTGCGTTTCTCTCGAGCTGTTCTCCGAGTCCAGATCTCGTGCGTGAATGCTGGTCGCGGTAACGCCACCTAACGCCGCTCGGTGTGCGTTGGATGAGGTAACTACTCCGAATTGCCTGCCCGACGGAGTCGATTGCTCTCGACGTGTCATTGAAGCACACGAGAGTCTCGTGTATGCGACTCGCCGCTCATCAGAGGGTTTCCTTGCGCTAATTGCTGGGCGCTGAGTGTCTAAATCTACTCGTATATGCTCATGCGAGGAGTTCGAACGCATCCTTTCGTGAGTCAAACTCAAACACATCGAGCATCGTAACATCGTCATTAAACCCACAGCCAAACACATCAGTCCCGTATCCGAGATGGTTGATTGCGTAGCCCAGCAGCCCCTTGTGGGCAAGCTAATCGCTCCCATTGACCCACGCCCCGAGGATGCTGCTGGACACGATGCCTCTGTATTTCCGCCTTGGTTCGTGGCGACTGGATGACCCGCCACATATGCTGTCAGCCTGTCAGGACGGCGGGAGACAGAAGTGAGACATATGTATGTGCATACAAACGAGCTCACTCACGTCTACAATGTGCAGAGCTCATTTTGGTATTATATCCATCGGGTGACGCTGACTATACCGCGGTCAGCCCACGGCCGCAGTAACCCACGGTACACGGGTGCGAGCCTCCGACCGATGTCATCAACCTTGCTGTCATCCAGTACTCCGAGTAGGCCCATCTTTATCTTGACATCCTTCAGCATATCAAAGTACGGCCAGGCCATGACCTCGTGCAAGACCCCTAAATCGACCTCCTCGAGGACGGTGTCGAGCTCCTTGTAATCGTGGTCATAGAAACCAAGACTAGACTTGATTCCAATGTACTCGAGCTCATGGCTCCGGACGGTGGAGAGGACACCATATAGCTCGTCCACCAATTTGACCCACGGTTCAAGCGACCGGTCGCCGTATTCTGGGCAGATGTCGTTCAGCGTGAATTCTAAGGACCGCAGTGCGGTGTTTTGCGATAGGTTGCCGTGATCATCTCCACCTACATTGTGCATGTGCGTCAGCGGCGAGGTCTGGTGAGTAAGTGACAGGGCCTCTTACCGTCTGGGTCAGGTTCAACTTCAGGCCCTGTGCACCATTCATGATACAGAGTAAGGGATGCTCCTGCTGTTTCGAGTACTTTACTCAGGTTCTCCATCAAGTGTTCGACTTTACACGGTAGCCAAGGCCTCAGCTCTTCGAGGGATGTAAAATAGCCGGAATGCATCATCCAGTCAATGAACGCCACCATCGAGTCGCTTCCGACATCGATTTGAAGGCGCCGAAGACTTGGTGACTGAACTAGTGTGGCTCCCACGTAGCAGGCAGGACCTCTGAGTCGCTGCGTGAGATCGATGCGAGTTATACTGAGCTCCGTTAGCTTGGGGAAGGCACAGATGATATGCCGCAGCTGTTCAACATTATTCAGTTTGCACTCACGCAGGAACAACGACGTGACGTCCTTGAAGCGCGACAGGCCAAGGAAGAAAGTCGGTTGCATGAAACGAAGGTTTCCTCCTGTGATGCGAAGGGTGCGTACGCTAGGCACCGCGTGAACGAGCGCAATGGGCAACGCCTGAAGGAAGGGATGGCCTTTTTGATTTTCTTGGTAGATAAGTTCATTGTCGTCGGCCACTAGCTCGTGCGTAGTAGTGAGCCACCTCTTCACACGCGGAGACGCGCGACACTGCTTGAATAACATGTCGAAGCTCGTACGGCTGCTGATCTCGACGATACGATAGAGGCTGCGCATCGCTCGAAGGTACCAAGCCGTGCAGACCAGCGCGGCGGCTGCCGAAGTGGGTTGATCCATCCCATCGATGATGAGCCCAAAAACCTCGAGCGGGATGCGAGCGGAGAGAGCCAGTGGCAAGGTGCCTTGTAGTGACGATGAAGGTTCGCGCCACGAGTCGTCGCTCAATTCATCGGCACTCAGCGAACCCTCGTCACTTTGTGTGTCATAGTCGATACTGCCCTGACTACCGCCAGTCTGCCTATTGGCTTTCTGCTGCGTAACTTCGAGTGCGCTTGCCAGTGGCACACTTGCGGCAGAAGGGGAAGAACACCGCTTGTGGACGTCAGTTAGGTCTTCGCACGAACAGGAGAGAAACTGACGCTAGTCCGCATTTTGGATGTCATTCAGGAAAGGCCGAGGAGATAGAGAAGGGACATTCCGTACAGTTGCGGCGCATGCGCTGGGAGTGGTGACGCAGTCGTGAGTGGAGGCGCAGTGTCAGGGCGGACGTGGTCACTTATGCGAATTCCTTGCATGGAACTTGACTAGCTTGACAAAGCAAGCTGAAGCGGGAGTCATTACTCCTAACCCTAATCGCGTTTCTCGAGGCTCCTTCTCCTCCTGCTGGCACATCAAATGTGCGGCCACTGGGCACCGATGGGGGTGCTGCCTTCAAGAGGGCTGCCTGAGAGTGTCGAGCGTCTTCAGTGCTTCTGTAGTCCTGAGTCCGGCCCAACCCCTGATTCCAATGTGCGCAACTGACAGCTTCGGACGAGGGCGTTGCGTACTATAGCCTGAGAACGCATCCCAGACGATAGGTCTTCTAACTCAGGGTAGCGATGAGTGTGATGTAGAAGCGCTGCGACGAGATCGTTGACTTCATGGTCTAACAACGCGTACTCCTGTCAGCTTCTGGATTGCGGCCGCGTGACAGACAGACTCTTGACCAGATCCAAGGGCGTATGTCCAATAGCGGAGGAAGTTCGGCCTGGTTACTGTTGACCTGAAACGCTGCGAGGATTCGAGTCAGATCGCTGAGGAAAGGACAGATCATAGCGAGCACAAGTCTACCCAGTGATTCGTACTCCTCCTCAAAAGGTCTTTGCATACCATTCTCGTACTGTCGAGTTTGTACGTTGAACTGAAGGCGATGTTTGGAACGGACCTTCAAACTTCAAACCTAACTTGTGATGCGAGCAACGCGAGTATGCGAGATAAAATTAGCAAAGCTGGGAAGCGACGGTGCGTACTACGTTACCTGGTATGATCACCGCAGGCTGCGCTGTACGAACGCTCGGATATGAAACCGAGACTCGCCATACAGCGCGATGTCTGCATCCGAGTTGGCGTGACGATGCCATGACTGCCGCGGACCTGAACAGCTTGCTAAGACAGCATTAGTCACGCAGCTGTGTACCATCCAGAATGGACGACCGAAGGGAAGTGGATATGACGCTGACGACTTGAATAGAACTACAGCATCATAGTGGATACGTATCGTTCCTATCACATAGCAGCAGCTCGACGGAGTTCGGGAATCAATGCTGAGGTACCGGAGACGTATGCTACAGCCAGATGTTAGCTGGAAAGGCGTGGCTCCCGCATAGCTGGCAGACGCGTGCTGAGCGAGATCGACGACCTACAGGGTGAGATCTGTGAGCCGAGGGAACGCACAGACGATCCGACATAGCTGTTGGACGTTGTTCAACGTGCACAGCGTCAAATCTAATGAACTGATGGATTGGAACCGCGACAGGGCAAGGAAGAAATCTGGGTGAAACAAAGCTCTCCCGATTGGATACGGAGGATGCGCACGCCAGGCAGCGCACGGACGAGGGCAAGGGGTAGCGCTTGAAGGAAGCGATGACTGTTCTTCCTCTGTTTGCCAGACAAGGAGTCTACGCTGCCGTCTTCGCCCTCGTCCTCTCCGGCAACTAGCTCGTGCGTGGTAGCCACTGCTTGACGCGTGGATACGTGTGACACTGCTTGATGTCGAAGCGTCTGCGGCTGTAGATATCGACGGTCCGGTAGAGGTTGCGCATAGCCCGGGGGTTCCACGCTGCACAGACCAGCGCCGCGGCAGCCAATGCGGGTTGATTCATGGCGTCGATGACGAACGCGACGATCTCGAGAGGGATGCGAATGGCAAGGACCCGTGGCAAGGTGCCTTGAAAAGAGACAGGTTCCTCGAACCACCGTGGCCTTGTTGATCAGCATATGGTTGCGCAGCTGTCGGTTCATGGTCAACCAGTCCATCGGCAACCCGTTGCGCGACGGGTGCGCATGACACATCTTCGGCGGAAAGGGAAGAACACTACACAAACGCATCAGTCTGTGTCACGCAACGGAAGGGACGAACCGCTAGAATGACTATCGGACGCCATGCAGACACAGTTGCGTCCTACGGGACGGCACCGATGTCTGTGATCAGTAGTGCAGCCGTGAGTGGAGTGCCGTGGGGGTGGAGGAAGAAGGCGCGGGCGCAGGCGCGAGAAGCGAGGGTGCTTAGAGGGAAGCACATCCGGATCGTATTTGAGGACTTGGGGAGATGCTGTGCCACAGCTTGCCATCATCCGTGACTATGACTTGCCAGCGTTCGTAAGTAAAGACTCCGGACTCGAGGGAACACGACCGTGGGCCTTTGCAACTAAATGCTTTTTATGTTGTGAGTAGTGCTGCCTGAGTCTACGACGAGAGACCACGGCCGACGTCGTGAGGCCGTAGAAATTGAAGCAGGCGTCCGTGCTCCTGACTTCAAGCACGTTCTCAGAGTCTGCCCGATCTCGTCGACGCGACATCTAAAGAATCAACACTGAAAATTATCTCCCTCGTCAGCTAGAGCAGACCATTACGACCACTGCGGTCTACGCAATGTCGATATGTGCGGTGCCAGTGAGACGACGATAGCCAGACGAACCTCCGCGTGCGAGATATCTCTCTGGCCCTGTCCCGATCACTAGTGGCGGTAACAATTCGTGACCACCGCCTGTGCAGTTTTTGAGCATCAGGATGCCCATAAGTTATGCTGCGTGTTAAAGTGAGACACACAACTGTCCGCGCTGAAAGTTTCACTCACGTCCGCCACCGCTGTCATCTCTCGGCGTTGGGAACTTGGGTGCGGCGAGTTGCCGTACTATCTTCGAGTCCTTGAACACGGCTACCGGGAAACGAGACGGGAAGCGCGTCTGGGAATTACTCGATTCAATCAAATGAGACGTAGATTCAGGACACGTGTGAGGAGACGTACGCACAGTCCGGACGCGAGCGTAAACTGCGAGGCTTCCAGGTGCGAGCAAGAAGCCTAACTTGTACAACTGGACTTTGATATTCTCGGTATCTTCTCGTGAGTGGATCAGTATTCGACAACAAGGCGCGTGAGCAGTTGTTGCAGGAACATCTGTCGGTGATGAGTGAGCTTCATCTGGCGCGAGAAAAACATCTGGGAGCGCTTAAATGCCAGTTAGTATGTAGTGATGCAATGGGCATCGGTATGTCTCTCCTTGGCTCAACGCCTCCAAAGGAACGATAGCCCTTACTTTCGTCGCGGTGAGGCGCCCTCGGTGGTGGAGTACGACACGGTATGAGGGACGGCTCGAATGCCTTAAAGTCATGACGACAGCGCTGTACGGGATGGATTGGCAGGGATGTCATATGAAGATGTCGCAAGAAAAATGGCCATGAGCGGTTGGACGTTCTTTCGAGTCAGTTCAACGCTCGTCCTTCAAATCCCGGGGCGGGCAAGACTGAGTGAGACCCCGGATCCTGAGCGCAACGACTCGCCAACAAGGCGCAGCGAAGCACGTCCGAGGAACCTGGATGCCTATTCAGTAAGGTGCGACAGTAGAGCGGAACACAGAAACTCACGCCGGCTGGAAGACGCTGTACGGAGGATGATCGAGGAGCATCGAGAACTAACGCACATGCGGCAGATATATCGGGCGAGGATAACAGATTCATCTGTCGCTGAGAAGGAAGAGTGTCGATCGCGTCGGACGAATATACAAAGTACAATGGTCTACCTTTACCTGGCGTGCTTTCCGCCAGCCTAAATAAGGTTTCTTCTCTGACCCACCCACCCACGATCGCCAGCCGCTCTTCCCTGGCGCGTCCGCCATCGGCGCGCTAACCTTGTCCACACCTGCAGGAGCGGACGACAGAGCGCTCTGCGTAGCAGGCGCATGCATACTTGCGGCTGCACCCGCCGACACGCTCGACACTTCAGACGGTGTCGGCTACTTCTTGGACTCTGCGGGCTCCTTCGCCTGCGCCTCGCGAGCCACACCCTTCCCGCTTCCGAACACACCAGTCCACTTGCTCGACTTCGCGTTCATCTCGTCCTCCAGCCGCTGCGCCTCCTCCGCCGCCTTCAGCCGTTCGTGGAACTCCGCGCGCTCTTGCGCCGCCTTCTCGAGCACCGTCTCGTTCTCCGCCTGCGCGCGGGCCTCCTTCTGCTGCTTTGTCTGTCCGAGAGCGTATGCCCCGATCGCGAGAGCAGCGACGGTCGACGCTTGCAGGCCGACACGCGCCCGCATCCAGTAGTTCATACTCAGCGACTCGCCCTTCCGCATCTTGATGAAGGACATGACGAGAGCAACGACGGTGGCGGTGGTCCCTGTAGAATCCTCAGCAACGAGACTTCCACTATCCGCGAGCGAGACGCACCGATGGGCACGAATGGGTTCTCCTTGAATTTGCGCGCGAACTTGCCGCTCCACGTCTCTTGCACGATAACGCCATCCACAATGTAGAGGCCTGGATGGTCCGCAGTGTTTGAAAGTGGTCGCGAGCTCATCGTTGTACGAATAGGTCGAAGGGGGCTCAGAAGTCGCAGCCTGCCGTGCTTATGTATGCTGAGAGTGGAGCCTCCGAGCACGAAGGCGGCCGGTAGAAGCCAGGTCCTCCGGCGGCGTACAGCGCTAGCCTTAAGCTAGCTTCCGCAGATGCGACAGCCCTAGCCAAGCCAGAAAGCCGAGATGTGAGCAGAGGATTGGTCGTGAGTTGGCCATGGAGAGCACTTCCCGAATGACGATCGCAATACGGTACAGAGGTAGCTTCCGCATATGGTAGGTACGGCGCCGCGAGTCCCGGGACTTCCCGGGCCGGGTCCGGGACCAGCCGGGGCCGCCACAGCGATGCTAGGCGCTGGCTAGGCGTACCTCGGTGACATCATCATGCGCGCCGCGTCCCTCTTTGCCACCACTTGCAGCCCAACAAGACGCGTCCCCAACATGGGGCAGCGCAACATACTTAGCTTGCCTCCAACGCTCACCTCGACGCGCGAACTGGTTCAAATCCTGTCCACAGACACTCTAATACCCGCGCATCCTTCGGCAATCCCGGAGACGCGTACTCAAGTCTGTTGAGACATGATGGAGAACCTACCCATCGACACCTCTCATCCGGCAGTGAGAGACTACCTCGCGCTGATACGGTGAGCAAGTCACCACATGCCTCAGCACCGCGAGACTCACGCTCGGCGGACAGGCTGCAAGTGCTCACCCCGCTCTCGCTACTCATCAACATCGCGACGGTGATGGTATGCAGTACGATACTGACTCCGGGTCTTAGTACGTCAGGTATTCCTCTTGGAATTTGTTTTGAATGCTCATGTATGCGCCATTGTGACTTGCGTATAGGCGAGATATCGAAGCTATACCCAGCGACTATCGCTCCGAACCAGAGCCTCATTTCCATCTATGTCACGCTCGTCTATATTGGCCAACTAGGCTACTGCGTCCTGCTCGTGTTTGCACGAAAACCAGAAACCAAGGTGCGCCTGCAGAAAGTGACGCGTGGATGGCGATGCTAAAGTATATGCGGCGTAGGCGGCGATGGTGAAGGGTGTGGGCATGCCGCTTGTGATTGCGAACTGGGTGATGGCCGGTTGGGCTATAGCCTGGGTGAGTACTACCTCCGATCTGTGTTGTGACTCGACATCGAGGCTTCACAGGTTCTGCAAGCCTTCGTCGTCGCGACGGTGGCACAAGGCATTTTGTTCGTGTTGTTGCTCTACGCCAACCTCGTTCTACTCGTATACCATAGGCCGACGTGGTCCAGGTACGTATATTCCCCTCGTCTGCGAAATCGAACTAACCGCGTTACTTTCTCAGACCATTCGATGTACTGTTCATCCATGCGCCCGTACGGGCGTTCATGATCTGGCCATTCATGATCATGTTCCCTTATACGCTCTTGTAAGCATCGCCACCGCGCCACTTTCCGTTACACTGATTCATACTCTAATCATCTAGTGTGGCCCTCGGATGGACGTTCTCACCTGGCGAGCCTCAGCATTACGCACGGCATCAATGGCCAGGCTTCATCATCATGCTCGGCGTGAACCTCGTTGGTACGCCACAGCCTCTCCGCACGTCGCTTTGAACCGTCGCTAACGCTGTCCGCAGGCCTGCTGGTCGTCGTCATCAGGCGTGACGTCGTCTGGTGCATATCCGCAGCCTGGATGTGCGCGTCGGTATGGAGCCGACAGCCGAAGCCCATGCCTGTCTGGGTATACCTCCTCCTCTCTCACTCCGTAGTCACCCCACGCTGACCCCCGATTGTCGATAGCTCACCTGCGTGCTCTTCACAATCGCCCACCCGCTCGGTCTTGTGGTGTCCTGGTTGTGGATACGCCTGCGCGGACGGCGCGAGGGCCGCATCGCGCTCCCGCCGGACCAGGATAGCCAACCGCAGGGAAACGGGCAGGATCAAGGACGGCCTGGGGGCCCGAGGGAGGTTGACGCGGAAGCTCTGTGGGGATGAGTTTGGTGTATGGAATATGTATCGAGAACGAGGTACCGTTTAATTGCCTCGACGAATGTCATGCTTTTCTCACTGTGGAAAGGAGTAGCCTTGATGATGATGATGTAGCGACGTCGGTGTTCTGCGTTCCCGTCGCTTCGGAATGAATACGGCCCTAAGGCCTAAAGACCAATGTATGGCATGCGAGCGACGACAGCTGGTGGCTAATCTCCTTGAAGGATCGTCACGAGAACGTTAGCCTCGATTGCAACAAGACTAGACGAGAGGATAGCCGCTTCAACAACTTCTCAGGCTCGTACGTACGAGTTGCAGAACTAGACAGCACACAGACTGGCCGTGGTCTAGAACAGTCACATTCTTGTCGAGAAGTCCGGCATCCCGACGAACGCTCGCAGCCCAACTCGGATGTCCTGTTACGGCGGTTAGGCATGCGGCTCATCAAATCCTCTGGCACAGCACATCTCAAACACTCAAATGGCGCATAGTCTCGGTGCGTCGTCGATGCCCTGTTGATACCTGAACGTTGAACTCTCACCGCTGCTCAGCTCACTGGGTCTGAGCGTGTATCCGCACGAACCAGCATGGCGTCCGATGTTCAGCATAATGCTGGTTTACTTCTTGCATTTCGTCGTGCGAGATACGTACACGTAGCATTCTCTTCCTATTGTCGAAGAGGAGACGCGGCCGTACGCATCGATGAAGGGAGGGCCCATCCTGGCGTTCTTTGTCCCATTCCACCACTGTCCCCCACAAGTACTACGTTTGCCTTCTCACATGTACTCGACCGAGGTGTTCAACTCGTCCAGCTTCAGCGGCGACCAGCGATGCTCAGCTGCACACAGACATACGTTCGGGGACCTGAAAGTCGGCCATGAGGCGAAACCTGCGACCCAAGAGACGTCTCGCCATACTTAGCTGGAAACAGGGTGTCGTCCGACGCGGGCGACTCGACTACAAGGCTAGCAAACAGATCGAATATTCATGCATTCGACTGGAACAAAATAATAGGAATGCAAAGGCTCGAAAGGACGCTATAGGTACGTCTACGATTTGATCTCAGTTGACTCGAGCGCGACTCACCGAACGACCCCAACTTTGACACTCTGTTGGCCCAGGTCTCTAATGACGGGTCGACGTGACCTGGCCTCTCTTTGAAGCTCGTGCCTAGATCCGAGGTGAGAAATACGCTCATCCTTGTTCTTGTAGTTGGGGCAAGTTCAAGTTGGGAGAGGCACTCGGGAGTTGGAGGAACCTCAGCGTCGACCAACACGGCGCCAACGCTGTTTTCCTCTCGACGTCCATAAGCTCCACTCCGCGACCTGCGAGGCCTGCTAGATCTCAATCTATAGTTAAGACGGTTCTGTCGACATGTCCTGCGAGTGAGGTGTGTAGTCTGGATCTTTGGAGGCAAACTACGGGCACCCTCGCCGACGCAACAGCTGCAGACCGCCGCGCCCTGGCGACGCTCGATTGTGAATCGATGACCGGGTTGGTTCGCACGCGGGGTCCTGAGAAGCGATACGGAGTAGGGCATTCTGACAGCTACAGTACTACAGTGAGTTCGACCCGATTCACAGGCTACGTAGCGTCGGCCGATTTCTTTCAACGCAAACGCGACATGTCATGTTCAGCGACCAGAGACCTATAGAGTCGTCGCCAGTTGGCAACAATCACCCGCCCCGGAGAGTCATCAAGCGTGGTGCATTGAGCGTGAGCTTTGCCGTCAATAGCGCGTTGTTGGGCATCGCCGGACATATTTATGCGCTGTCGATGGTTGGTCGCGCCTGCGCACTGGCAGGACGGACCAATGATGTCGTGTATGAGTACAAGCGAGAACAGAGAGACAAGTCGGTCAGTGCTTTCCTCGAAGACTACAGTGAGCTCAGGAGCACGGACTTCCGCTTCGAGCGCGGGCTTTATGGGTCTTCACTTGGCCTCCCGTCCGTGTCGCAAATTCAGACTGGTCATTGCCAAACATAATCATAACAGGCAAATGCCGGCGACGGACGCTGGCAGCAGGGCATGTCTCGTTCTTTCGCGGCAGTCGCCGTGCGGTCCATCAAATGGATACTAGCGGAAACCCGTGCTTCGCTACGGACTGGAGGTTATCAATGATTGCATGCCAGTAGTGCTATGCGCGTTGAAGAGGTACGAAGGCCACTCCAAGTCAGCCGCCTCCTTCGGCCGCACGGGGAGTCAGCGCTAGTCAGCTTCAAAGCTATACTACACAACAGTCATATGCCAGTACTGCTGTGCGCGAAGACGTATACGTTGTACGCAAAGGCCACTCAGCCACCTCCCTTCGGGAGTCGGCTTCGTGGCCTCATCGAGCATTTTTCTGCTTGCAATAGTTTAGTCAACATTGATGTAAGTACGGATTCCATAGCACGTTTACGATCAAGTCGTCTTTTATCCAAACTATGGCTAGTGCTAGTGAACGGGGCCAGGATGGGCACGGGTAGCACCGCGGGAGCGCAGGGCGCATACCGCACCCGCGACCCGCGACCTACGCACCCATACCCTGCCCGGGTTCACCGCCGGTGTCGACAGTGGACCGCTGGTTGACTTACCTCGGCAGTATCTGCGCGGGTTTGGGCTTGTTGCCTGCACCCGCCGTCCTCCCCGTCCTCCGTCTTCGCCCCTCACGCGCCATCCTCACGCACTCCCGCCTGCTCGCTGTACCCACGGCGCCCTCGTCGGCTGTGTTGGCATGCGGGGCACCCTGTGCGTTCGCAGTCGGCGCATTGCGCATGCCCCGACCCTGCCATTCGCTCACGCTCGCGCAGTCCCTTCGTCGGCGGGGCTTGCGTGCTCGCCCTGCGAGTTCGCGGTCGCCATGCGTGTGTCATCGTCCGGTCGTGTGCCCGCTCGCCCGACCGATTGTGTGCCCGCTCGCCCGTCCACTCGTCTGCCTGCGTGCGCGTTCATCGGCCGTGTCTGCGTACTGGGCATTCGCCCTCCATGCTCGCGGTCGGTGTGCTGCGCGTGCGCCGGCCTGCCCAACAACGTCGCCGTTGCTGGTCTTTTGCTCAGCGCGTGGGGTCTGCCCACCATCCGCTCGCTCGCGTCCACACCCACTCGGTTCCGCACTCACCCTCCACTCATTCTCCTCCTGCTCGCCGCTATGCTCGCACCTGTGGTCCGCTCATCGGCCGCGCATGCACAGGGGACCTCTGCCCTGCGCGCTAGTGGTTGGTGGTGTTGCCGTGCGCCCACCGTCTACTCGCCCTTGCGCGTTCTTCGCTCACACGCGGCGGGTGGTCCGTTCATCGGTCGTGTTTGCGTGACGTGCATTCGCCCGGTGCGCTCTGACGTGCGCGCCGTCACCCGCCGTGCTTCACGTCGCCGCGCCCTGTGACTGCAGTCAGCGCGCTCGCTCGCGTGCGTCTGCACTCACCTTTCCCCGATGCCCTTCTTTAGCTCTCGCGCACACCATCCGTTCGTCGGCTGTGTCTGCACGCAGGGCATTGGCCCTGCATGCTCGTGGTCGTTGTGCGTCTTGTGCCTGTACTGTTGAAGTTTGTGTTGCTGCACGTCACGCCCGCCAGCCCCTCGCTCTCGCCCTCGCTGTGCATGTCGTGGCCCACTTGTCTGCCCGCTCGCATGCCTGCGTTCGCGTTCGTCGGCCGCGTCTGCGTGCACTGGGTGTTCGGCCACCACGCTCACGGGCGGCGGTGGACGTGTGCGCTGTCGCCTGCCGCCCGCCCGCTCTCCCGCCCGCCCGCTCGCTCTCCCGCCCATCCACTTGCTTGCACATCCGATTGCCCGTCCACGTGTGCCCACCTGCGCACCAGCTCGCCCGCCTGTCCACTGGCTCCATGCGCGTTCGTCGGCCGTGTCTGCGTGCTGGGCATTCGCCCGGCGCGCTCGCGCTCGGCGTGCGCATCGCGTTTCATGTCACCACGGCGACTGCACCCTGGGGAAGGTCAACTCCGGTGCTTCAGACCACTGGGAAGAAAGACGTACATTCTGCCTACTTCCCTCTAATCTGTATGTGGGAGCCTGCATCTCGGATGACCTAGCCTGCTTGTGTGTCCTGTCATCCGGTCGCTCAAGCGCTCACTAAGAGGATAGTACAGTGTGAGAATATGACTGGCATACCCTTGGCCTTCAATACTTCAATCCCTAGTCGGGCTCATCATCTCCTGCGCTTGACGATCCTCACGCCGACGCGCACTCCATGGAGTCTTGACAGGCGGTGGTATAGCTGCCATTTGTGCCGAGTTATTGTGGCGAAGGCGGGCAAAGGACGGCAGTGTAGTGGCATAAGTAAGTTCAAGCCATCTGCATGGATATGGAAAAAGTGTCCGCTGTGCAGAACGTGTGGAGCGAGGGCCTCCGAGCTTGCAGAGGAGGAACGCGCAGTGGCTGAGGGCGCCCCGTCAGACTCAAGAGGTCGGGCAGCGCTCGGTGTTCGTCTCTCAGCCAATGAGATGTCATCTTTGTCTCGTCCAATTGTCTGCCGTGTGAAAATTATCGACGCCTCTTGTAGAGTAGATGTACAGCATCTCACAATGACTCAGATACACGGGTTCGGTACGTCCTCGACGCTCACTCATCCCCCTTGACTTTGCATTGCTTTTCAACTTACGGCCGCATCTCCGTCCACAGCGATCCTAGAGCACAGGCACCTAGATAACTTGAATGACATTCGATCTGCAGCCTAACGTAGGTCCCCATTTCCTCCATCGCGCGGGGTTCAGCTGATGTGTTCCTGTCATACAGTGTCCTTCTCTTTCAGCCGGCGTGTCATGCGTATCACTCGCGCAACGGAGAGCCGATGGGCGGATTGACAAAGTTTGGAGCAGTGGCGATGAGCGGAGCGGTGAGGACTCAAGTGCCAACGAATTCAAATGGAGCTACGACGACCCGGGAAATGCTCGTCTACAAGGCGCTCTGCCGTTGGCTCTGTCCACTCGCATCCCATCCGAGATCTTCGAGCTCATAATTGATGAGATGGACCAACCCATGTTACCCGCCGCGGCGCTGGTCTGTACAGCATGGTACCATCGGGCCATGCGAAACCTCTACCAAATCGTCCGGATTACAAATCACAGGTCCTTCAACATTCTGGTCAAGCAGTGTCGCACGTCTCCACGCGTGAAGAAGTGGCTTGCTTCCACACGTACGCTAGTGGCCGACAGTTACAAGACCCGGCATATCGGTGACCGTGACCCGGGGAGCTCTGATTTTCTCCAAGCGGTACCCCTTGCCCTCGTCCGCATGATGCCCGGTGTACGCGTCCTTCGCATCCAGTTTGCGAAGCTTCGTTTTGTCCATCAAGAGTTCTTCCTTGCCCTATCGCGATTCAAGCCCGTCACGTCGCTGAGGCTGTATGCATGCATACTCAGCAACATCACACAGCTGCGGCGGGTCATCTGCGCCCTCCCCCGGCTTGCGTACCTCACCATACACGTCAAGCTCGTTCAGCGGGGTCCTGCCAGCTACGCGAGGATCTCTCCGTTTCAACCACCATCCGACATTCGTCTTCGGCACCTCAATATCGATGTTCAAACAGACCTCATGGTGACGGTCCTTGACTGGATGACGCGTTCAAGCCTCTGCGCCTCACTCGAGGATCTGACGGTCACGCTGTGGGATCAACCCCTGCGGAGCCTTAACGAAGTCCTCGAAATGGCAGGAGAATCCTTGACTCGGTACCACGAACGGTGCCCCGGGCGTGAGCTCGACTGTAAGACTCCTCGTTGTCTTGCTCGCTAGACGTGGCTGCTAACTCAAACACGTAATTGTAGCTCATGGCAACCTGTCGCACAACACCGCCATGCAATCCTGGGAACTTGAGCTGAATGAAATCAGCCCCGCAGCCGGAGAGAAGGCGCTTAGCGCGTGGTTCAAAGTAGCAGACGAATTGTACGCCGTCCTCTCTACCGTCCAAAGCCGTGCGCTCGAGCACATCGAAATCAGGGCCAATGTAAGTTACTACCCTGACGGCGCTGGCGAGGAGCTCGGTGTTGTCCTAAAGCAGCTCGACTTGCAGGGGCTACACGGAGTCATGAGCGAGCGACGCTTCGACGCACTGAGGGCTGTCAAGGTGGTGAGGTACCTACACGGTCTGCAGGATCAGAGCGAGGCGGATGTGGACGACATCGCTCAGAAGATCGACGTCGTGTTTCGTGGCATACTCCGGCCGTGGTCTGACCGCGGCATAGTCAGCATCACCCTGCTACGCTGAAATCCGCTCTGAATATGATGAACGTGAGTGCGCTCGTCTGCATACACACACGTATCTCAATATTTTCCCCAGGCTCGCCGTTCAGCGATACCTAGAAACCGTCTGCGACGACCAACGGCGGTGCAGGCGGCGCTCGAAGAGGAACTAGCGACTCGCTCGGCTGGACGCTCGTGCCGGCCGCAACTCGCATGTCGGGCTCTGCGTACGATTGTGAAACACTCAGGTAGGTATAAAAATGATCGATATATGGAGCGAAGGCCAAGAAGCAAGGGCGAATAGCTCGAATTTTCGTTCTCGACGCAAGAATGCGCACATGCCGCGTTCCCGGACGTCATGGTGGTGAATGCAAGGAGAAGTCTTGACCCACCGCCGTCTGTCTAGCCTACGGGCGTTGAGATGAAGGGCATGTGCCTGCGGCTCCATCCCCGCGCTGAAGGTGAGCACGATTTCCTACAATTGGGAAAGGTGCGACGTACGGGCATCTGGCCTGCGAGAGTGGAATTCTGAGTGTAGGCGACTAAGGTCGTGGACGCGACAGCACGAGGATAAAGTGTCGTTGGACTTTAGAGCGCGGCTGTAATTGCCAGTGAGCGCGGGTCTACGTGAATGGCGTCCGGGTCAGCATAACGAGATGTCGACGGAGAGTGCAGGCTGATTCAGCCTCCGCGAGCGGGGCACCTCCAAGTCTGTACATTGGTGCAAATGAGGTGGGCGGGTCCCCCAGTGAGCCATTTGAAGGCCCTCAAGACGAAGGAACCGCAAGGCTGAACTTCGGTGAGTCGGATGTGTCGATGTCGGACTAATACTGAACAATAAATAGTGGATGCAGTGTTGGACCTGGTCGTCGGCGCAGGATGCAAGAGCCTGTGCAGACGACTCTTGTGTCGGAGAACGCCACGCCATCGTGCATCCGCCGGTTCATTTGGTGCTATGGTTATGGATGCGGCTGCGCGGACGTCACGGACGCCTCGTTGCACCCACAAGACGCGTCCCTTACTCTGTATGGCGTGCGGATCCCGAAGCCGAAGGGTCCTAGTCACCTTCCTGTGCATTCCGACTCCGTTCAAGCACTCACTACACGCGACATGGCAAAGGGGTCCATGAGCTTAGTCACCCGCTCGCGCACATCGAGCTCAGGGGTTGCGTCGTGCGCAGATCCACGACAGCGCCGACGAGGACGCCCGCCCCGCGACGCTCGAGGAAGCTATGTCGGCGCACTACATTGGCTGGACATACATGCCCGGACAAGCTGGCGACGACACCTACATTGGAGACGCGCCAGACCTACGTCCAATGCAACGAACTTTCGACAGAGGATGGTACGTTACCAGCGCACGGGCCCTCGTCGTTTTGCGGATGAATGCTCTCCTGGATCTCCACAGTCCATCCGCGCGGTGCGTACCCGTCCATGCAGTCCTCCCATACTCACCAATTTTTGTCAACGGGCTCCACAGCGCGTTCGACCTTTCAGAACATCGTCACGACCAGCGCGAGACACGATCGGGCCGTAAGAGCCTGCTCGACCTCAGCTCGAACACGGATCTGTAGGACAATATTGATCAGATGCAACGGATATGCGGCTCATCGATGACGAAAAGGGGTTTTGCATTGCATAATTACACTGGGATTTTGGAAGGAGGGGTCTGAGGCGGATCGGAGCCAAGGGATACACGCCAGCAGCGAGCTCTGGAGGTACTACGCTCGAGTCACGTGGAGCGGTGGGGTTTGGGATTTGAACGATGCATATCGAGGGAGACAGCTGGGGGAGTGGGCAACATCGAGGAGAGCGGGCTGGGGCGCTGAGACTCAGAGCAGGCGGCGACCGTGAGCGCCTCGAACGAAGTTAGGGTTAGGGGCATGGGCCGCCACAAGACCGTTGTCACGGCCTCCTCCGTCGCACAAGTACTCAGCTGGCCGCGACTCAGTGGACCGTCTTTCCAGCAGTCGTATCCCGGCCAGTGTCTGTGGCGCGTCGACGAATGCTGGCAGCATGACTGCCGGTCATGGTAAGAAAGGCCCCGTTTGCGGCAGTCACCGTGCGGCTCATCAAACTCTCGCACACAGCTCTTCCCAATATGCATGGCCTCGGTACGTCTGCGAGGCCCCCTTGCCACTTGCACCCCACACCCACCACTCCTCCGCCCACGACTGGGCCTCCCCTCATAGCGCATACATCCACGTCGCGTGCTTGTAGGGACGTGCAATGTCTGATCTCCAGCCTAGCGTCGGTCGTCTTCTGTTCATGATGATCCCGATTCGACTGACGCGCCGTTCACCTAGCATCTTCCCCCTGCCCCCGAGGACGCCTCACACGCTCAAGCCGTGCGATCGAGCGCCGACGACCACATTGATGTCGGTCAGAGCCTTGCCGATGAACAGATCGACCAGGGACCGAGTGCCGATGAACAGAGCGAGGAGAAATCCAGCTATGAATGGAGATATGAGAATGGCCGCTGTAAGCGGATATTCATACCCTGGTGGAACGCCCATTGTCAAGGCACCCTGCCGCTGGCCCTCTCCGCTCGCATCCCGCTCGAGGTCTTCGAGTTCGTTATCAACGAGATGGATCCTCCCACGTTTATCGCCGCGGCGCTGGTCTGCACGGCATGGTACCCTCGCGCGATGCACAACCTCTACTACGCCATCGAGATACGCAGCCGCGCAAGCTACAACATGCTGTTCAAGCAGTGCCACGCGTCACCACGCGTCAAGCAGTGGCTCGCGAGCACATGCGAGCTGACGGTAGATGAGCAGTGGTCCTTATATAGCTCCAGGCTCAAGGACAACCTTAAGGGCCAGGACAAGGGTGAAGACGAGGACGGGAGCGTGATGTCCCCGCAGCGTAGAAAGGAAATCTACGGTGATAATCACTTCTTACCAGCACTACCGTCTGCGCTCGCTGGTCTGATGCCTCGTGTACGCGTCCTTCACATCCGCGATGCAAGACTTTGTTTCATCCGCATGGACTTCTTCTTCGCCCTGTCGAGGTTCCGGTCTGTCAAGTTGTTGACGCTCTACCAATTGGAAGTGGACAACATCATGCAGCTGCGGCGGATTGTATCTGCCTTCCCCCAGCTTACAGACCTCACGCTGTCGGTGATTGAGGTTGCTCCGCGAGGTGCTGCCAGTTACGCGGGAGCCTCACTATTTCGGCCACCATCTCACATGCGTCTTCGATACCTTAACGTCGAGGTGAATGATGAACGCATGGGGATGTTCCTTGACTGGATGTCGCGCTCAGACCTCTGCACCTCACTTGCGAATCTGAGGATCTGGTCAGAAAGTTCCTCCGTGACACCGACACCCTTTAACCAGCTCCTCGAAATGGCGGGGGCATCATTGACCCGTTTCTGCGAGAGGAGGCCCCCCTTTGGACATCATACCCGTAAGACCGCCATTGTCTTCAAGCATACAGACTTCACTACTGATGCACATGCACAATGTAGGGTCTCACGCAAATCTCTTGCAAAACACCGCCTTGCAATCCTTGAACTTCGCGCTGCGACGTGACATACACACGGGCAATTACCAGGGGCCTCACGCGGCGTGGACCAAAGCAACGGACGAGTTACACGGCATATTCTCCACCGTCCGAAGCCGTCAGCTCGAGCACATCGAGGTTCACGTTCAACAAGATTACGTCGACCAGAGCATTTTCGAGTCTGACTCGGAGGAGCCAAGCGCTGTCCTCGAGAAGCTTGACCTGCGGGACCTGCACGAGGTCATCAGCCAGCCATACTTCGACGCATTGAAGGATGTCAGGGTGGAGATGGAATTGTTTTCTCGGTGGCATGATCATACCAAGTCGTATGTGGACAGCATCAGTCAGAAGCTCCAGGCCATGTACAGTGGCATATTGCAGCCATGGTCTGCCCGTGGCATAGTCACCGTCAGTAATATTGAAATGGTGAGTGAGCCCGTTTGCACACACACGCATCTGTCTCACTTTCATCTCCCGTTCAGCCATTCAGATACACCCACGAGTTGCCGCGCTGAAGCCGTCGCCCGTCATCCGAACGGTACAGACGGAGGTGGTGGCAGCGAGGCATCGTCACCGCCCGTACGGAGCGCGGGTCGATGCGAGGGGATTGGCCGTTCAAACGTTCGCAAGCGGTCGTCTGGCTCCCTCTTATCTATCCCCGATTCAGTGGAAGGACGATTTTCTTGGCTTCGGTATGGGATTCACTCGGATTCGGTATGGGCACTGTCTGGATTGACTTATGCTTGCTACAACGACTGAAATGTGGTGTGATTGGACGATGACGCAATGTACTACACATCGACTACTTGGGCGGGTATCCATATGCGACTGTATCGGACTTCTCTATCGCTACGACCAGACGAATTGTATCTTGTTTCGCATCGTTATGTCCATGTTCAAAACGTACGCGCAGGTCACCGACAGTAGGGATGAAGAAATGATCCAAAAATCCGCTATATTCATGACAGTACGTGGATGGCCAGAGGGGGTTCGGGAGACCTGACGGGAGCGACGTGGCTGAGTCCAAGCTAGCATGAACGCAGATCGTCGACATCCTCGCGCGAATTGACATTACGAGGGCCGTGCTAGGGTCAATACGAGAGGCGCGTTCGTGAGAGCGGCGAGAGGCTTGATGAGCAACCGTTTGTCGCAGGTAATATTGAGCCAGAGGTTCCGAGACGAGGGGGAACGACGTAGGGTTGGTCCGCCTTGAAGAGGTCGCCCACAGGGTCGCGAGTCGCAGGGAAACGTCTCGTACTATCGAAGACCCTAGGGAGAGGAAGCGAGACAGTCATTATACATGTCGCATGTCAGGTCGATCATCTTACCGTCGACGGAATCAGAGGCACTGCCGGGTGAGCACGACCAGGGCAGTTCGAGAGGCAACCAGCGGGGCCCAACAAGCTTGAGCGCGTAGATAGGGCCCTGGAACCCGAAGGCGGGACGCCTGTATCGACTTGACGCACTGTAATTTTGCGGGCTGCGAAATATGGGCTCTTCGCAGACGTGCGAGTATCTCTTCAAAGACGAGATGGAGAACACGCTAGTATGTCAATATTCGCTCGCTGAACCCAGTAGGCATCTTGAGAGTATATGACGTCGTCTAGAGCTCACCAGTTTTTGATCAGGACGCCCGTAGGAAGAGGCATACAGGTTCGCTGAGTTGTAACCGGCCTTGCTACTGAGAACGTGGTCAGTAGTACACTGTCTTGAGATACGGTGGATCATGTTCGTACCGATGCACGACTGGGTTGATATGGGGGCCTTGATACCGCACCGCAAGAATGTCTACGAGGCAATACTGACCTGCTTGCATGACGGCGGGTTAGTGAAGTAAGCCATGCTCACCTGGCGAACAGGAAGAGTTCCGCAGCATTGATGTGCAGCTCATCAGTCGTCGGATACGCTATGATAGCTCACGGAGTCACGAGGCAACTGAGTATCACCGGTGGGCAGGCGTCAAGCCTCCTTTCGAGGGCGCAAGGTGAGTGACAGCGCGTTGGCCGCAACTGCCACTAAAATTCCCAACATCGACGGACACAATGGAGATCAGTAGGTTCCCCGCACACTGAGTCTCATGTTTGCATGTGTGGGCTGGCGGGCTCTGCGTCGGCGTTGGTAAATGTAAGGTCGAGTCGCCTGGGTTGGAAAACAGATATACTCATCTTGCCTTATGCGAGGCCGCAACGCCAATCGCGCCCCAGTCTAGTCCGCGGGTGTCCAGGCTAGGCCGTATGCTATGATGTTGGAACACTTGAGTACGAATAGTCAACAATTGGAGCATTACCTCGAGCCGAGTGTCACGCACAGTTTATTGGCTTCGACGCGGGAAGACACGAGAAGCGTGCTCTGTACAATAGTAGATAAGTACTTCAGAGCTCAGAGCACCTTATGAGACGAGGAACAGCGCTCACCGTGCTCAAGCATCCACCGCGGTGCCATGTTCGGCAACGAACTAAGCTCTGAGTAGGAGTCTGATGCACTACTAAGCGATGAGCCATGCCCATCGAGAACTAGAGGTTACATACCTGACAGACACTCGTCCTTCCGTGTTTTCGTCTCTTTCAAGCTTTTACGATGAGCGACTCACCCATGGCACCGCGCCCCGTCACAGGACGCGGATGGAACTGTCGAGCGTCATAACTGCGGGATGCGCGCAACAGAGGCGTACTCACTGGAACAGGACTCGAAGAGACGCATAAATAACTGTCATTCGGCGGAGGGTGCAATGGTTGCGGAGGATGCGCGCGAGCCGAGGCCGAGTCACGTACATCCATTTAGCAAGTTGGGTATGCATTGCGCGTGTTGGACGACATAGTGTCCGAGGGCGTGCAGAGATTTCGGCGGTGTTCAAAGAACGGTGAGAGGGTGTCACAGCGGACAAATCACCTTGTGAGAAGTGCTTACATAGCGCTCACAAACCAGGAGCGAGTATTTTATCAGGACTCGGTGTGAGGGGTTCTAACATAGGAAATGCACTTCCCTTGTAAGGCCTAACATTGCTTATGTTCGGAAGTCCGCAATGTTAGTATCTATGTTCTTTCCATGTTCGGGCTTTCACGCTATGCACTGTCTCTTTACTTTCAATGCGAGGACTTCTAACTTTGCGACTTAAATTAGTACTCAATCCTCCTTTGTAAGCGACATGTAGACGCGTCGTACAAAGGGTTTTGTCCGCTGTGTGTTCAAGACCTAGTGCAGAGAGGAGGCGCTCGTAAGCATTCCGGAGGAGCGGGCCGACCACGGTGGCGTCGCCGACTGCAAGTGGCTCCCTGTTGCTCTTCCTCGACCGACGCGACCTCTGCTTCGATCCTGCTCCACGCTACTCTCGCTGCTCCCGTCGGCTTACTTATTGACTCGCAGTACTTATGCTATGGTCACGCGGGTAGCAAGTGCCGCCCACCTTGCTCGATGCGCTCGACGTCGACCGACACGACCCGTCGACCTCCTCCTGCACAGGCTGCGTCTGGTTTTCTTGGATCTGCTCTTGTAGATGCCGTCGTCCGGGCGTCTCGGGACGCTTAACTTGTCTCCGGGCCCACATGAGCCTGAGGCTGGTCGCATGGGAACCCAAGTTCGTTTCTGCCCATTTCTCGGAGCCCGTCGTGCAAACAGCTGACACGTTCATCAGCTTTCTCCACGTTCCCTCGACGCGCTGTCAGGAAGAGCATCCAAGAGAGCGAGTCGTAGTGTCTGACTTATCACCTGTCGCGGGCATTTTCAGAAAGCATCTTGCGTGAGTTCTACGCATTCATCATCATGGGGCAAATAGGCTGACCTTGGTCAACGCGGTGTCGGTCCCTACACCATGGTATTCTCGCTTCGTGTTCTGATGCGTTGTCGTGACTCTGGCCCGCAGCAGCCTCGACATGCTGTCCAAACTATGGTCCCGTTCCAACTGGTCACACCGGAAACCATGAACGATCCGGAGACATAGATACCTGCATGCGCTACCTTGGCGCTACCTCTCGTCTTCGGTCGCACGGTATACAGCGTGAGTTCTTGAATGGGACAGGTACCATCCGTCTGTGCGTCCTGACCCCATTCGAGCACTGTTGCCGTTAGATATGAATCGTTGCATCCTGGCATCATCTCGCACCTGCGGCGGACCTTCCGCTCGTCCTATATGTCTCTGTACCCTGCACCGCACTAGAGGATCACTAGCTAACGAGGTTTGAACGGGCGCTGAATCGGACTCCAAGACAGTGGCGGACGTGGGTTCTATCTACTTCCTGTCTTTCTGTTTGCGCGACTCATATTGAGCCACAGTGCCAGTGCCTTGGGTCTCTCCGTTGTGGTCAAGACTGATTACTCACAAGTTCATGCACACTCCGCCAATGGAGCTTCCTTGGGGCATCCGAGCCGCGGGCTGTGAGTTCACTCTGAGGCTGTCGTAGGCTTGCGCTTAGAAGGACATACTGAGTGAGTTGGCCGTTCTTATATGCATAGATGTCTCAATTCGTCTCTAAGCAGGTCATTCGAGCACTTCTACTGCTCAAACTACGTTCGGCCCGCGAACCGACACAGCGTGGACGAAGTGTCGTAGATTAAGCAGGACGAGTGTCAAGGGCAGACGTTCTCTTGTATGCAGGGCGAGTCCTGTCACCAGATACCGTACTCGCTTACGTTCCATCTTGTCCTCCAGCCGCTAAGTATGCCTCCTCGCCGCTTTCAAGTTCAGCCACCCCTCGAGCTCCCGCATCGTCCGCGCGGGTACCACCTCATTCTCTCCCTACGTGGATGCTCCTTTGGTTTTGACCGAGACGGCTCGGCAAGCCACGAACGCGTCCAAACTCGGTTCTTCAACGACTTGCTCTTCACGAAGTCCCTGGGTGGACAGCGCAGGATCACCGGCAGTGATGCACGGCCCTCGACTGGCCCCTCGAGCACTAGTTGAGACGGAATACGACGGTTAACTGGCGATATCCGACCGGCGGTTCCATTCCCGCAGCACATAGCCAGAAACACGAAACGTGCACGTCGGCGAGGCTGCGCGGCGCGGCGCGGCGACTTTGCTCTCGACGTGCAGATCCATTGCCGACCACTAAATATGAGTTTTTGCGTCCTCGTGTCGCGCCGGTGAACATTAGACTCAACGGGGGAACCACAGACGCGTACCTTGTTCCCCGACACATGTCCAGCTGGGCCGCCTTCGCCACGTTCGAAGACCGCCATCCGCGCTTGTATACGGCCCAACACCCGCCCGTACGCCCCCAGGAGATCGGTTGGGCGTTTAGTTTTGAACCAGATCGCGCCCTCCGCCATATGTGCCTTTCGTTTTGACTTTTTGCCTCGTCTGATCGACGTGTTTTTAGGCACATCCCCCAGACCTGTCGTCGAGCCCAGAGACGCGCAGATAGCGCGACTCGCTCGCTTGAACCTCCCTGCCAACTCCTGATTTGGCCGGAAGAGCAGACGCGAGGCCGGCTCCCGAGAGAAGATCCAAGTTGTCTCTCGCCGATCTCGTTACACGCTCCCATATCACCGTGCAACCAGCACCGCCCAATGACATTAGCGTCACTCCTTCGACCCCTCCCGATCTGCCGCTTCCCATTGAACACGTTCACAAGGCGCAACTGTATTGTGTGTCCACACTGCGGCCCGTCGTCACGTCTAGCGTCAAGCCGTGCTACTCAAGGCATGTCAGGGTGTATGCATGGTTATGCGATCTCTCCGCGGCACTCATGCTACCTTTTCGCACTCCTGCAGGTCAATGCCGTACCCCGCGATGCTCACGGCTCTGTCGGCGACCCCAATCCCCGGACGGGCGGGAAGACGAGGGACAGTTGTACGGGCGTCCGGTGAGTGCTTGCAGAGAGGTCTTCGCGGCAACGACCGCTTACGTCGATCTTGCAGCACGGGGAGGTGCCGCAGGACCTTTCGAGTGGGCGTGTGCGGGCGACGATGTTCGCGTCGTCGCGCGAACGAGTCGAACAAGGGTGGAGTTCAGTCTCATAGAGGACCGGTGCGCGTCGTCCAGTTTCATCAACTTGACAAGACGCTGATCAGCAGATCAACGTCAAGGCTTGAAGCACGCTTGTGCAGCCCGAGGTCACGGTTCACGGAAGATCAAGCTGATCGTCCCACAGTGACGTGTACGGGCCGATGGTCATACACATGAGATACACCTCGCACGAATGCATGACCTTCAAGAGGATGTCACGAACTGATGTCCGCTGCATACCGGAGGATCAAGTCTCTTCATCAGTGAACGACGTGCTCGGGGAGGGATCCGGAGACCCGTCAGGACGGGCTGGCGACAACACCGACTGGACGCAGCAGGCCTCCGTGCGATCCGAACGTGCGGTGAGATGAGATGGTATGTCATCAGCGCGTAGACCCTCGTCGTCCGCTCGCAGGTGCCATTGTCGCTCTTCTAAATCTTCGCAATCCGGTGCGTACCCGTCCTCGTGGTCAGGTTCCCCTCCCACACTCACTTAGTTCAGTCGGTGTTTCCGCAGTGCGAACGGCCTTCCTCGACATGATCAGACCAGCGGGAGAGATGTCGACCTCAGTTCTACCCGTACCTACACTACACCCTTGCTCAAGACCCGCATACATTGTGCTTGTACAAGTGCGCGGTGAGTGGCGGAACTCGTGGTCCTAACGCTGCAACGGCACGCCGATGCGAGATTCCATCGTCTAGAGACGGTGAGCCGTGTGCAGCAACTTCGTGTCGTAGAGCGCGGGCAGTTCATCGATAGTATGTGTATTCCGAAGACAAATATATTTGTGATAGGAATTTGAACGGCGCATAGAGGTGAATCTAGTACTACTTATAACCCGACCGCAAGGCCCCGTGCATAGCAACAACCCCTCGAGGCAAGTATACACGATCCCTGCGTTTTCGGGTTTCACTGACATACGTACGCTTTCAGTGGCTTGGGATGACATCACTGGCCATCCCGCGCAGGCCGCCACCGCTGTCCATGAGCGATCCGCACGTCAAAGTACGATTTGTCGTGCGCGTCGTCAATTGTCGTGGAGGTGACTAAGCACCTCGTCGACCATGTCCGCTTGAGACGCGTGTACAACGTCTCGCCTCTGTCGCTGAAAGGCTCGTCGACGTCTTCAGCCACAGCCAGCGTACATGGCGGCGTGCGTTTCCACTGGAATGGCGGACGTCGAGGCCTATTTCTTGGTATAATCACTTCGAATGCGAGTACACTGTACAGTCGTTGTGCAATTTACAAGCAGGCACACATACGCTACGTCAGACAATGGATGATGAAAATTGAGTGCCCCGCGGTGTCAGGCCCTGCCATACTACTACGTGAACCATTCACCGGCTATCCCGACGCCAACCATGATGGAGCCGACTACAGTCGTCACCGGATTCATTAAGGGCGCACTCTTCATGGCTGCGTGTTGCAGGTGCGAGAACCAACTTCCCTTGGGGATGTATGCGCCGCAGAAGACGCGCTGAGCCCAAGCCGCTGTGGAACCTGCGCAGACCAACGAGATCAGCATACGGAATTCGTGTACAAGGCAAACATGTTTGTCTGTACCTGCAACGGGGCCCTCAGGGGACATGCCGAAGAGCCTAAACAACGGACGGAGGAACCACTGTTGAACTTCGACTATTTTGGGTGTTACACTACGGGATAGGTCTTATCCTTTACCCGTTATGGACTTATGTTCTTCGTTGCTACATATTACATACATTTCTTACGGACTTGATCCAGACCTGTAGCACATGATCTGTTCTAGACTTGTACGGAACATTCCACTACCTTCCAGTACTTTCCAGGATGTTCCAGCACGTTCCTTGATGACATCACTATGACATCACTATGATATCATGTTCTAGGACTGTCCAGATTCCCTTCCGGTCCTGTCCAGTCCTTTCCAGTACGTTCTATCCATGGTGCAATCATCGCATCATTGCTCATTGCACCATTACGATGTCATGCTACTACGCTTACTGTACGATCATGTGATGGCTCTCTCATGTGTATATATACTGGGCTGGATGCCCCTGTAATGTAACGATCTCTCCTCTCATTCTACGCCTCCTGAGTCTTCCCTCTCAGTAGTCTTGAGATCTGTTGTAAGTCCTCTGTTCTTACAGTCCTTTGTTTGCTCCCTTGTAGTTTTGCCTTCAGCTACGCCACACCACTCCTTGTTCAACAGGTTATGAGCCCCGGTCACTGACCAGCTCCCTGTTACAGTGCGCACTACTGTTGTTTAAAGTCCTACTTCTTCAAGGAGTAAGTTAGGCACCGTTTGCTGTCCTTCTAGGACTGAGTTTGGCGTTGCGTGACATAGTGCCCAAGGCCTTGTCCCAGCGTCTTTCCAGGGTTACTCGTCAGAGTATTTTACAAGTTTATCCTCCAGCCAAACCTGAGAGAAAGGTTGGTCTGACGCCGACACTACCTACGTTGATCTTTTGATCTTAACGTTTTCTTGATCCCAGTCTCATCCGCTCCCCTCTCGCCCCGCCACCGCTCCCACCTCTGAACCCAGACCTCTTGCTGAGCGTCTGTCAGCACCTCGCCCTCTCCCTGACTTCAAGCGGAAGTCAGACGTCGAAGCTCAAGGCATTCTTGCCAAGAAAGTAGAAGCTACCGCTGATCGTTTCCAAGCGATTTTTGACAAGAAGCATCTCTTTGATCGCCTCGACGACGAGTACCAGAAGGCTCTCCATCGCTTCGCTGATCAGCTCAACTGGCTTGATCAGAACATCGACAAGGTTCCTACCTGGTCGAAGGAGCAGCACGAGAAGGTTTCTTGGGCGTGCAAGTGCGTTGGGAACGTCGAGTTTTCTACTCCTACAGAGCCACTTGCGCGTAGATATCGCAAGGTGACTAGGGAGCTTGTGCATATCTCGAACGGCGGATATTTGGACTGGATCGTTTTGTAGTATCTTTGGTCGGCGTACCAATACGTTTTTGTATACCTGGATTTGTTATAAAAGCATCACACTGTGGCTTCGTCTGAGCATCAATCGGACAACAGCGAATCTAGTGAGGAAATTACTCCTTACGATTGTACCGGTCATCAGCATCTATTTGATTATCAGGAGGTCTTCGATTATCACTACGAGCCAGAAGCGAATTCTTGGTCGGCTTGTGATCGTCATCTTTGTCCAAATCGTTACGATACTCCTGAACACCCTCTACAAGAAAGTAGTTGGGGTGGCTTACCGGTTGCTTCCTGGCAGGAAGACTTTGTATTCTCTGAATTGTTTTCGGAGGCACCTCAACCTCCTGGTCCTGAACACGTTGTAAGGCTACCATCGCCAAGCAACACAGATTATTCTCCTCCTACTCCCCTACCTGAAGTTTCGTCTGCGGATTTCCTAAATCCTATCGTTTTTGAGTCCGAAGTTTCTGATTTCCACGAGTTTATTCTTTTAACTACCACAATGGGTGACGTCAAGCCTGACGCGATCCCTGTGCTTGCCCAAGCGTCTCAGTACGCTAATTGGTCGGCTGCCATGCGCGGCTACCTCACGTTTATTGAAGCCTGGCCTGCTATCGCTCCGGGTACCACCACGTCGGAGGGATACTCCAAGATGAACTCTCGCGCTCAGGGTGTTCTCCTGATGCGCACGGATAGAAATATCCATCATCACCTCCTTGAGGCTGACGGGGAGACCCTGAAGTCTGCAAAATCTATGTGGGACACCCTTAAAAAGGCTTTTGGTACTCCGGATGCGGCCTATTCCTGGTCGTTGTTTTGCTCGCTCATCAAGTCGCCTGAGATGTCGGATTCTAAGCCCCTGCAAGACCAGACGAACAAAATTGTTACTCGTCTGAAGGAAGTCATTGCTGGCGGGATCAAGCTCGACGACTCTACGCAGGCCCTCATCCTCTTGTCCAAGGTGCCGGAGACGTACCAGACGATGGTCTCAGCTCTTATGGCAACTGTCAAATTGACCGAGTTGAAGGTCGAGACGGTCGTCAACAAGATCTTGGCTGAGGAGTCGCTTCGTCGCTCCGGTATGGGACAGTCCGCTTCAAAATCTTCGCAGATTAAGCGGAAGTCGACGGGTCCTTGTGGTCATTGCGGCGGAAAGCACGGCGAGGAGAATTGCTGGACCAAGTACCCTCATCTGCGCCCACAGGCTAAGGGCGGCAAAGGGGGAAAGGCCAAAGGCAAGGGCAAGGGCAAGGGTAAAGCGGACTCTAACGGACATTCTTCGCATACGGTATCTACGTCGGATGGTGCTGGTAGTTCTGGACAGTCGTCAAATGTTGTACAAGTAGATCAGAGCTCTGCTGGCTCCGTTCAATTGACTTCTTCTTTCTATGTTGCGGATCACTCCGCTGAGGATAGAGGAAAGATGACTGACTGGATTATGGATTCTGGTGCGTCTATGACAATCACCAATGATTTGTCTGATTTCTGGGACTACCATGAGTATCGTGTCCCTATCGTTTTTAAGACCGCCGGATCAGCAACCATCAAAGCGCTTGGTGAAGGTACCGTTAAGGGAGTTTGTTTAGTCAACGGACGGCGCATTTCTACGACGATCACAAATGTCGCCTATATTCCGTATGCATCTGGTCGTTTGTTCTCAACCGGATGTATTGAGAGGACGAACTACTGTTTGATTCAAGGATCAGGACGGATGGTCATTTATGACCGTAAGTTTGAACATGGGCAAAAGACACAGAACATTGGCAATGCCATCTTGCAGGCTGACTATTCGCCTGTCAATAACTTGTATCTGTTGTATTTGGAGATATTGAGCCGCAAGTCTGTAAAGACTGTTTCGTCGTCAGATTGGAAACTCTGGCATCGTCGTTTTGGGCATCCTTCTAAGGAAGCTCTTGAGAGACTGCCTAGCCATACCACTGGTGTCGATTCTATTGGAGACCCTGACAAGTCTCCGTGCGAAGGTTGTCAGTGGGGTAAATCTCATCGTGCTCCATTCCCTGCATCGGAAAAGAGAGCTTCTAGGCCTCTTGAATTAGTTCATACCGATGAAGACGGTCCTATGCGTACGGCCTCTGTGCCAAATGGTTTCAAGTACTTCATAAGTTTCTTGGACGACTACTCAAGTCTTGGCCGTGCTTATTACCTGAAGCAGAAGTCTGATTCGCTCCGTGCGTTTGAGGACTTTAAGGCGTGGGCTGAGAATGTCACTAAGCAGAAGATACAATGTTTACGCTCGGATCGTGGGGGGGAATACACTTCTGACGCTTTCACGGCACGTCTCAAGTCTTATGGTATTGAACACCAGAAGACGGTTGCTGGCTCGCCTCAGCAAAATGGCAGAGCTGAGCGTTGGAATCGCACTATTGTGGAGAAGGCTATGGCCATGCTACACCAAGCTGGTCTAAGTCACGGTTTTTGGCAATTGGCAGTTGATACGGCGGTTCATATCTACAATCGTCAGCCCATGCGCCGCTTGAAGTGGCAATGCCCCATTACTCTCTGGGACGGCACAATCCCAGATGTTTCCTATTTTAGAGTTTTTGGGTGCAAGGTGTTTGTGCATGTGCCGAAAGAGCAGAGATCTGGGAAGCTCGACAAGAAGGCAGTCGAGATGATATTTGTTGGTTATGAACAGGGTTCAAAGGGCTATCGTTTTTGGAACCCGGCCACTCGAAGTATCGTTGTGTCTCGTGATGTGACCTTCGATGAAGAGATCTTTCCAGCACGCAAAGATTTAGGCAATGACCCAAAGTCCCTGGGTCCGCCGCAGTTTGACCCTTCGGATCTTGAGGAACCGGAGGATGTAGACATACCTCTACCTGAACCTGTACCCACAGACGATGATGATGATGAACCTGAAGAGCCAAAAGTCGAACCTGAGCCAGTGGGAGAACATCCGCATGAGCAGCCACGTCCTGAACCTGTTCCACCTCCTCAGCCTCAGTATCAACGGCCTCGGAGAGATGGCGCTGGGAGAAATCCTGCGAGGAACAGAGACAACGTTTACGGAGATGAACCTCCAGCTTCTATAGACCGACGTACTGATACTCAAGGGAATCAGCGGCCTGAAGCAGACGTTTTAATGATGGCTCGTGCTGTTGCGGAGGCGAACTATGGTGTTCCTCAGAGTCATTCTGAAGCCATGCGTTCTCCTGACAAGTCGAAATGGCAAGGTGCAGAGAAGTCTGAGTACGACTCTCTGATTCAGAATAAAACTTGGATTCTGGTTCCACGGCCTAAGAACAGGAAGGTCGTTAAGAATCGTTGGGTTTATACGATCAAGCATGATGGTCGTTATAAGGCTCGTCTAGTAGCCAAAGGTTTCACCCAAGTTTGGGGTCAGGATTACCATGAGACCTTCTCCCCGGTTGCGCGTTTTGAATCTGTGCGATACTTGCTTGCACATGCAGCCCTTGAGGATTGGGAGATTGAGTCGATGGATGTCAAGACGGCATTCCTGAACGGTGATCTTGAAGAGGAGATCTACATGGAACAACCTGAAGGCTGGGTTGTACCAGGCAAGGAAGACCACGTTTGTCTTCTTCTGAAGGCTATATATGGACTTAAGCAGGCTTCACGCCAATGGAATGCTAAGATCCATGCGTCTCTCCTAGGGCTTGGTTTTATGCGCACATATTCGGATGCTGGTGTATACGTTTATACCCGTGAGTCTGGAGATCACACCTGTGTCGTCATTTTATATGTCGACGACTTGTTGCTCTTGGGTAACTCTAAGCCCTTCATTGATTCGGTCAAAGAGCGCTTGTCAAGTGAATACCAGATGACGGATTTGGGAGAAGTCCAACGTTTCCTAGGTCTTAGAATACGTCGAGAGCGTTCTACACGCAGGCTCTTCGTTGACCAGGAAGACTATGTTGAGACTGTCCTAGAGCGTTTTGGAATGAGCAACTGCAAAGTAGCTCGAACACCGTTGCCAGCAGGTGCAAACTTGCTGAGCAGTACTGAGACTGCTACCGAAGAGTTTAGGACGAAGTATCAGAGCATTATTGGCAGTATCATGTACGCCATGCTAGGTACTAGGCCTGATATCGCTTTTGCGGTCACGCGATTGGCCAAGTTTTCGTCCAACCCATCTAAAGAGCATATGCGTTTGGCATTCTACGTTCTGCGCTACTTGCAAGGAACTAAGAGTTTTGCGCTCTGTTATGATGGCGGCAGTAACTCTGGTCTGATTGCCTACTCAGACTCAGATTGGGCCGAAGACCGCGATGATAGGCATTCAACAAGCGGTTTCATCTTCATGATGGCCAATTGTGTCATTTCGTGGGCGTCGAGACGTCAGCCGACTGTTTCTCTGTCTTCAACTGAAGCAGAATACAAGGCCGCCTCAGACACTTGTCGTCAGATGGCTTGGCTTCGTCATTTCGGCGAGGAGCTTGGAGACAACATGTCAAGTCCTACTCCTCTTTGTTTAGACAACCACGGAAGTATCTTCCTATCGGTGAATCCTGTTGTGGACCGCCGAACCAAGCATATAGAGATCAGGTATCACTATATACGCGAGTTCTACGAGCGTGGTGAAACTGAGATCTACTACGTCGCTAGCGAAGACCAGCTTGCTGACTGCTTGACGAAGAATGTTCCTCTCAAAGCAATTGAGAAGTTCAGGTCGTCTTCTGGCATGCTTGTAGCATCTTGAACAAGTGGGAGTGTTGAACTTCGACTATTTTGGGTGTTACACTACGGGATAGGTCTTATCCTTTACCCGTTATGGACTTATGTTCTTCGTTGCTACATATTACATACATTTCTTACGGACTTGATCCAGACCTGTAGCACATGATCTGTTCTAGACTTGTACGGAACATTCCACTACCTTCCAGTACTTTCCAGGATGTTCCAGCACGTTCCTTGATGACATCACTATGACATCACTATGATATCATGTTCTAGGACTGTCCAGATTCCCTTCCGGTCCTGTCCAGTCCTTTCCAGTACGTTCTATCCATGGTGCAATCATCGCATCATTGCTCATTGCACCATTACGATGTCATGCTACTACGCTTACTGTACGATCATGTGATGGCTCTCTCATGTGTATATATACTGGGCTGGATGCCCCTGTAATGTAACGATCTCTCCTCTCATTCTACGCCTCCTGAGTCTTCCCTCTCAGTAGTCTTGAGATCTGTTGTAAGTCCTCTGTTCTTACAGTCCTTTGTTTGCTCCCTTGTAGTTTTGCCTTCAGCTACGCCACACCACTCCTTGTTCAACAACCACGACTCTGGGATGATGAGCATGATGCCGGAAATAATCAAAATCTTGAACAAGACTGGGTGTTGTTCCGCCGAGTCCCCTGTAAAACGTGAGATCGTAACGTATGGTATGGGCGTATGGGGTGGACCGACCGATGATAACGACGATGTCCTCGACGTGTTTCATGATTGGGTCGAGATGCTTCCGAAGCTGTTTCTCCGGCATCCCATATTGCACACCTAACTTGATGAACGCCTCTTCTGCTTTGCGCACGACCAGAGAAACGTTGCCTCTGCGCTCTGCATGGTTCGGCGCTTGGTCGTGTGGGGGAAACTGCTCCTTCAACTCCTCTAGGAGGTCCTCGAATACCTTCTCGATATCGCGCTGAATCTCGTCGAACGGCTTGTTTGCTGTTTGTGCAATTAGCTCCTTCAGGTCTTCCGTATTAGAGACAACTACTTGAATAGTGTATTGGAATTGGTGCAGCTGTGCGACGGTGGCCGCGTCAGCCTTTTGCGCAGCCTAGTGGATGAGGAAAGCCGCGTCAGCCTTTTGCGCAGCCTCGTGGATGAGGAAAGCCGCGTAGTCCTGAGAATGATGGCCAAGCGATTGCGCATGCTCCCAGAACTGTTGTGGTGTTTCGAGTTCGCCTAGACGACGATTGACGTCGGAAACCACTTCTGTGGTGCCACTGAGTACGTGCCAACAAGGTAGATACTAGACAGACGCAGACGTACTGTTCATGCCATTGTGTGCTTTATCGACAGCACCTTTTACTCCATGAAAGATATTTCTGTGATCATTGGTCAGTGGTACCCGACGACTCGCGGAGGTGGACTGGAGACGCTTGCCCGCCAAAGTTGGTCGTAGTTGATGCTGACACCGGCTCAGCGCCAAAGAGGACGACGGTGCCAGCAGTAAGGAGCGCAAACCAAGCTGTGGCGAATACGACGCGCATGATCGTGGCGGGTGGGGACAAAAGGGGGCTTCGCGCTCGCCGCGCCCTTCGATATGGGCGAGTGAGCGTTTGAGAAAGGAAGCGAGCGTCGACGGAACCTTAAATATTTCCACGGACAACACTTCTTGTCACAGAACGGGGCCAGAACAGGCGAGTATGTATCTTTCTCCTATGCAATGAGCGCGGGATGCGCGCAACAGCATGAAGCGTGCTCACTAGAAGAGGACTCAAAGAGATCCATGAGCAATCGTCGTTCGGCGGGGGGTGCGGAGGATGCGCGCGAGAGTCCCGCCGACGTGCATGCATTATAGCAGCCAGAAAGTTGGGTATAATCGCGGGTTTAGCTACAACAGAGTGTCATGGTGTCCGAGGGCATCGCGCGATCCATACACAGAACGGTGAGAGGGTGTTCGAGACAAGTGCAGAAAGCGGGTCCAGCGACCCCAGTCGCGGACGGACAGGTTCAAGGTTGCTCCAGACCCCGACCTCGATATCCACCAAACTCAACTCTGACGACAAATATCTCGCACCAGCTGAACATCTCCCTCGAAATGCTAGCGTTCTGTGATCTACTCCGCCGCTAGGTTACTCACCCAGGTATTCACTGCAACTCGTCCAGCTTCAGCGGCGACCTGCGATGCTCCGCAGCATACAGGCCTACACCCGGGGACCCGAAAGCCATAGATGAGGCGAAACATGCGACGTAGGGGGATTACACTGTCGCTCGGAGCTGGAAACAGGGCATCGCCAGTGTCTTGGAGGACCTGTCGTTCGGTGAGTCGCTCACTATGGTCAGATCGATACCGTGCCTGTGACATCCGACCGTCTTGACGCGTTCTCGGGCTACGCAGCGCCCTCATCGCAGTCCAAGGCAGCTCGCTCGCATGTTGACATTAGGTGCTTGGCCGTACCTAGGAACAGCAGCGCCGACGAGGACCTGAACACCCGCGACGCTCCCAGGCAGCTCGGTCGGGCGACCTCCATTGTCTGTACGAGCGAGAGGACCGGCGCGAAGGGTACTCCCGCAGATGTGAATCAGTACATCGTTGTCGAAGACCAATAGCGCGGTGAGTAGCTCGAACATCCCATTCGAGAGCGGTCGGGCTGAGCTTCTCCGACAGAGCCAAGGGAGACCCGGACGCCACCGATGCGCTGTCCCGCTTGACGAGTCTTCGCATGTACGGCTCCGGCAAACACAAACGGGACTCCTTGAAAGCTGTGCGCGGCGAGGTTGGCTGTACGGATGAGGTACGCGAGTTGTGTGGCCCGTAGACGGACGGTAGTCGCTTTGCCTTCGGGTTGACAGTATCTGGCACGTGGACCCTTGTCTCTTTGTCGGTGAGTAGTACGTTCAGGATGGGTGGGTGATTGTCTGACCGAGCTAGCGATGGCGTTTAGTAGAGTGAGCCTCTGATGTGGCGGTAGGCCTTGGCGCGATCCGGTCAACGTTCCACAAGAATAGAATGGTCCGTCACTACCACGTCTGCTCATAGGTGTCTAGTCTGCTGTATCTTCATGGTCTGTTCGCGCGGTACAAACCTTATATGATTTGCAGTCTTCCTAGACTTCCCCAGCGAATGTTCTGGCCCTCCGAGTTGATGTCTTGTTACGACCCGCGCGGAAACAGGGCCATACATATGCGTTCCATCGCCCCAATCTGCGGGTTCATCACTCTTCCTGGCACGTCACATGTGTCTCCACTTCACATCTGTGACTGACTGTGTACGTTCAGGACACAACTCCGACTATGTAGGGAAGAGTTTGCTGGTGAACGCGGCACTGATTGGAACACCCGTGCGCTACTGTGGTGTAATTATTCTCAAAGAATTGCACATACGAATGCAGAGGGCCGTATATCGGCTCTTGTCGCTTAATATTAACACCCTCAAGCATGGGAATTGGTCTTGCGCACACAAACACCACCTTCTGTGGTGCGTATGCCGTCGGCTCATGTTGTAAGGGTCATCGGGATGTGGTTACCTGCAGGGCGAGCTGAGACTGATCACCGTCTCATTGACGATGTACTCAGCTCGCGTGTAGCGGTGGGAATGAATATTAGGTGCTGGGTATGATGCTAGTGAATGCTGCATGGAGTGGCTGACACCGCTCGAGGGGAGCGGTGGCAAGCAGGCACAGACTCAGACGGGGGAAGAACGCAGTTAGGGTTAGGTGTATGGACTGCTGCATCCCACAATGACACTGTACTCAGGCTGGCCGCCGCTCAGTGGACTCACGCATCCTTCGAGCAGTCTATCCGGGTGGCCAGTATCTGTGGCGCGTCGACGATTAATGCTGGTAGCATGGCTGCCGGTCATGGCATGGAAGGCCCCGGTCGCGGCAGTCACCGTGCGGCTCATCAAACTCTCGGTCGACACAGCTCTTCCTAATATACATGGCTTCGGTACGTCCTCGAGGCCCCCTTGCCACTTGCACCCCCACCCCCACCACTCCCCCGCATACGACTGGGCCTCCCCTCATAGCGCATACATCCACGTCGCGTGCTCGTAGGGACGTACGATTGCCCAGATGTCCGATCTCCAGCCTACTAGCGTCGGTCGTCTTCTTTCCATGATGATCCCGATTCGACTGACGCGCCGTTCACCTAGCATCTTTCCTTTGCCCCCGAGGACGCCTCACATGCACAGGTCGTGCGATTGAGTGCCGACGATCATAGTGATGTCGGTCACAGCAGTGCTGATGGACAGCATGACGGGGGACTGAGTGCCGATGAACAGAGCAATGAGGATTTCAGCGCCGATGATTGGATTTTCGACAGAGACATCAGAAAGTGGATGTCCAGACGATGGCGGGACGCCCGTTTTCAAGGCACCCTGCCGCTGGCCCTCTCCGCTCGCATCCCGCTCGAGGTCTTCGAGTTCGTTGTAAACGAGATGGATCTCCCACATTGACCGTCGCGGCGCTGGTCTGCACAGCATGGTACCCTCGAGCGATGCGCAACCTCTACCACACCATCGGTATTCGCAGCCGCGCAAGCTACAACATGCTGTTCAAGCAGTGTTACGCGTCACCACGCGTCAAGCAGTGGCTCGCGAGCACATGCGAGCTGACG